AGCTGGTGCTTCAGTAGTTTCAGCTGGTGCTTCAGTAGTTTCAGCTGGTGCCTCAGTTGTCTCTTCAGCCGGTTCTTCCTCCTGGTCAGCAGTGGTACCTTCGGCTGTGGTGGTAGCCTCTCCTTCATCAACTTCATCACATCCACCTGTGTAGTCACAGGCTCTAATAGCGTAATCTGGGGTGTAGATATCAGTCAAAGTGGTTGAACATCTGCTAGTACCAGTTGGCTCAGTGGATAATCCTGGACAGGCTCTCAAGGCATCGGTAACATATGGACCGTAATACTTCCACAAGGTCCAACCACAGTTCATACATGATGGGTAGTAGGTCATAAACTCTGAGTCAGATGGACAGAGACATTCACTGTCATGAGGACCAAGGTAAGAATTCTCTGTGTTTCTAGAACACTTTTGACCTTCAATGATCAACAAACCGCAGGCAGCGTGACAAGCAATATCAGCACACTGGTCCTCTGAAGCTGCCATAGCATAAGCCTCTGGATCAGCATGACCAATCGCTTCGGCCTCAGCATAGGCATCAGCATAAGCACGAGCAGCTGCTGCCGCGTGTGGGTTGGCCTTCGCCCATGGAATAGCGTCAGCGTTTGGAGCAGCATTGACAAGAGCTGCAATTGTAGCAGTAGCAAGGAAACGAGTGAAGAACATAGTTAAAATGTGCTAGTGGTTGAATTCTGTGTGAATTTGAAAAAAGAAGGATATATAAGATGAAACCTTTAGAGTCTGCAAAGGGATTCCACTCTCCTATTTATACAAGGGCAACTGTAAAGTGTTCATTAAATACAATTTAATAGTAATATCTCTTTTCACAATAGTACGTATTCAGATGTACAGGTTACAAATTTGCATTGAATGACAGATAGAATACGCTTGGTGATGCATTTAGAAACCACTTTGGTATATCAAGTTGTGCAGAATTGCAAAACGTCTTGGTGTAAAGCAAGAACAAAACTGGGTGTTGATGCAGAATGTTCAATTCATTACAACAAAACATAAACAAAGGGATTAGAGTTGTAACTTTTCAGGCGTGACTCCGTATGGGCCAAGGCAAGGCAACTTTCCAGGTTTCGAGCAATATTGATCATTTTATTCAAATGTAGGGATATAAAACCTGTTTTTATTTAGATACATCAATTCTGCAGTATTGACAGGATACATGTGCCTTGATCAGCTCAACACTATTGGGTAACTCCCCAAAGTCGCAAATTATTCTTTAAAACGAACACAGATCTTCCTATGAGTGTTGTAGAGGGAAATCAGGCCATGCTACAAGGAGCTCAGAGTCCCATCAATTCTTCTCTAATAACACCCAATTGTACCAAATTCCAAGAATACTTAGCTCTATTGGGAATTAATGTTCCCCATCGTACAGGTTCCAAGACAAGTCTTGAGGAATTCAGTAGTTACACACTTAAAGGTCTCTGATATGAAGCCCAAGTGTCCCGGGACCATGGAATTCCTGAAGGAAACACTTGCTTATAGTGCAGAGGCAGAAGTTAACATTTGTGAGGGTTATGTCTTTGTAGATCTATCTATCATCCTAACATCAGTGCATTATTGGTTCTCAGAATTCACCAAACACAATACACAGCTAAAAGTTGTAATGCTAATAAGGCCCCTAATAAAAGCAGCTCAACGAATTACGCGGAATACATCCAACTCGAAACATTTACCATGAAATGGTCTTTCTGTACAAAGTCAAAACATCTTCTCTATTGGTTCGCTATAGTTTTAATGCTGCATGCCTTCTACTGGATCCTCAGAGTTACACAAGAGAGTAAAAAATGGGTGTACCAAGAAATGTTGAAAAGACCGAAAAGTTTCGCAAGACTTTCGAGCGAGGAGGAACACGGTGCTTTCAGAGTTTCTTGTGATGTTCTATACTTAGAAGGGAGACTACAATCCAGACTCGGTGCACCATAGCATTCTCTCCTTCACGTTCCCATCTAGCTCTTGTTTTTTCTGCCTGTTCACTGTTTTTTTTTTTTCATTTTTATATAATACCAGTACAATTAATCAGCTTTTGAAGTAGTACCAAGTTGAGCTATTTCGGCTGTAAGATACATACATAGACACCTAAGCTATTATGCTCCTTTCCCAGTTATAATCACGCAAATGTACAAATCATAACTGTTGAAGTGACATATGTACGACATGCCTCTCTTACATGCACCTCGGAGAAGAGAAAAAACACCATATGGAAATGTTGAGTAGTTTTGATGAATTGAACAAAGAATGTTAGCGTCATCATGTAGTGGCATATTGATGAACATTGAGAGTATATTTGCTTTAGGAATATTGATGATTTGATGTTTGTAGATTGCAAATGATTTAAGGAAGGTGAGGGCACAAAGAAAAAAAATGCGATTTCTGTGGATTGAACACAGGACCTCATGATCTTCAGTCATGCGCTCTCCCGACTGAGCTAAAACCGCAGATTACATGTTCGTTTCAGAACACGCAATGTCTCATTAATATCGTTGATAGCATAATCATCGTCGAAAGAGAGCATTCCAGTTATTATTGAACAGAGTGAGTGACTTCTTCTGGGCATGATATCCATATGATCCTCGGTTCCCTTTAACACTGAACTCAACCGTAACTCATCACTGTCTTAAGGGGAAAGCCAACTGGCATTAATTGGCAAACTTTTATTGAGAGGTTAAGGTGATGCTCAGTTCTGTCATCTCCTACGCTTCAATTATTCAAAGAATCCAGAACCTTGTTCAATCAATGGTTGATAGCTCAAATGAGTTCCTTATTTGTCTGAACACTGAACACAATAGGGGGACCTTAGGATCTGAAGCAGACTAACCAGCAATTTACTGTTACTTTTAAACAAACAGTGGCTCCAAGTGTTCGTGGAGCTAAGCAACTATGACTTGATCCGCTTATAACAACCACATCATAATCTATAATACACTCCAGGTTCTTCATCAGTTTTGCCAGCAACAAAGTCAACAACAAAAATACTTAGCTTCTTGTCTACAAAATAGTGTAACATTTGCTTATAATCAGCATGATATAACATAAAGTCTAGAATTTACAAATCTGAAGAGAAAAAAAAAGATACCTCGATAAAGAACAATAATAAGCCTCACAGCTAAACACTCGAGACGATCTCGTTTGCATGTCTCAAAACATCAACCATCTTCAAGCATTCTTGTCTTCTCTGTTTGGTGAGCTCGTTTTCCTTAACCAAGTCGCTCATGTCGCTAGAACTATATAATTTCTCCAACAAGATCTTTTGAATATCATTTCTGGACTTGATGATCAACTTCAACATAATAGCCTTTGGAATAATATCAGCAACTGTGCGCTTTACAATGGAGAAGTAACTTTGAATCAAGAGCTTGATAACTTCAGTTTCCATAGTCTCACGATCAGACATGGCACCAACAGCTTTGAGAACCGGAGGAGGAGCTTCCATAGCAGCCAAGCGCTTCTTGTTCTTTGATGAAAAGAAGCCACCAAAGAATCCTTGACTCTTATCATCTTCAGTAATAGATGGGGCCGGTGAATGAGAAGCAATTGGTTTACCTGTCTTTGGATCAACTTGAACTTGCTTTGGGTGAAGTTTCTCCTGCACCATAGCCATGGCTTGGGAGCCCTTCAAGAGATCTGGATGAGCTGTATTGATGTATGTTTCCTCAGATTGGATAATATCAGTGACAAATTCTTGGGTTGGGATCAATGCCTGTCTCAGGAACTCGATAAAGGAGTTTGAGAGAGCCTCTTTCAACTGTGGGTATCTTGAATATTTTGGATTTTGCAAGATTTGTGTCAAGATACGAACCAACTCGTCAAAGATCAAATTGATACAACGTATGGATGGATCCTCAAATCTATGGATCTGTTGCTTGACCAAGACTTCAAAAGCCTGTGTACCGACGAAAAGTGAAGGAGCAGCACCCGAGGAGTTGTACATGATCGTTCTAATATCAGAGTCCTTGATCTGGTCAAATGGGTCTAATGCATTGACACCGTTCTTGTAAATTTCGTGGAAGACAAAGGAAATTCTGGCACCACCACTCAATTCTAAACTTGACAATTCCTTAGCTTCACCATCCAAGATACCGTTGTAATCATTACAGAAATCAGTGATGATGGACAATACGATAGAGCTTGGTGAATCCATAGTCTCTGGGCCCAATGATGCGAGTTCAGATTGGTACTTCTTCAATGCGGTTTCAATTCTTAACTTGATCTCTGGTAAAGTCTGCTTGATGTGGTGCAACAAGATAGAGTTCAACTTCTTAGCCAAGTATGGAGTACCACAATAGTGAGCTTTTGAGCTGTACGAAGGGTGATTCTCAAAGAATTTCTTTTCATCTAGTAAAGCTGCTCTGATGGTCTTCTTCTGTTCGATGTCCTTTTGACCTCTATTTATAACTGGAACGTAACCATATCTCAATGGGATCACACGCCCAGCCAAAATTTCAATGACATCGGTACCTTGGTCCATCAAGTCAACCTTTGTCAACACACCGATGGTTCTGGAACCTTCAGGGTCCACTTCACGAGCAAGCTTAAGACCGTCACTATTAGCCAAATCCGTGTTGGCGGCGTTAACGGAGAGGATGATTGCGTTTGGCTTTGAGATAAATTTGAGGATCATATCCTTAATCTGCTTCTCAATGTCTTTTGGTTGATCACCAACTGGGACTTTTGTTAAACCTGGCAAGTCCACAAGTGTCAAAGTCAAGACGTGTGGAGAGTAGATTCTCAAATTGATTGGAACTGGAGAGATACCGGCGTTCTTACCCGTTTTGGCCTCGGTTTCGTTCACAATTTCTTGTCTAATCTCGTCAAAGTTGAAGAATTTCTTACCTGGAAGGTGCAAAAATTCACCCCATTCATCCTCGTTGTCCTCAGACTGGCCCCCGTTCCCGTTGGATCCAGATTCCAAGTTCAAGAGATCCTTGGTGTCCTTCTTGGAGTCCTTAGAAGGTCTACGGTTAACAAGCTGCAAGATCAAAGGTCTTCTGGTCACAATACCGGTACCACGTGGTAAGAAGTCACGTCCAACAATGTTCTCCAAGACAGAAGACTTACCAGAGGATTGCGACCCAACAACCGTGATCTGTGGCAAGTCAACCGGTGAGGAAGAGCCTCCACCCAATGGAGCTAGGGCATCCTGCAATTTGTTGATAGTGGCAATGAGTGTCTCGTCCATTGTATCAGTCTTCACAAATTAAACACACTTTGTCTTTCTTCGTTCTCTGAGAAGCGTATCAGAACGAGCTTGTGAGGTGTTGTTGATGGCGGGTTTCTCAGTTTTTGTGTTTACTTTCCCGTTATGTTGTTGTCCCTTAAATTTTCAGGTTTTTCCACAGCGGCGGTGCCCATGTTTGTTGCACGTTGCGAAATACGTAAGCAAAAAAAAAGAGGGTGGTGTACGGATGTGTGAAACGGTTAACGATCTGTGCGTTCCCATAGTTACGCGGGTTTTGGGTGTTGCGCTGAGGTTCTTTGTCATTTATATGATAGCAAAAGGAATGCTGTTGCAAGGATGTATTTGGGGTTTATAGCGATTTACTGGGATTGATTGGGCATTGTGAATAAATGATTTAGTGTTCTTCACATACTGGAGATTACTGAGGCTTTTTTCGGTGGTGTTCATGGTGGTGTTCAGACGCCAATTAGTGTTATTAGAGCTCAATCACTGGATACTTTAGAAAGCATGTGCCTATTAGTGTGTATGATCACCAACTGGTGTTTTGAGTCCGAAATAATTGTTCTGTATTACCTTCTTATGTGCTGGTCCCGTTGGAAATGGGTCACAAGCACTGTTCAAGTCTTGAGAAGATTTTGAAATGATCTCGTAGACTATCATCCCAGCATGTGATTTCAAATCGTATATCAATCTTAGATATATCAATAGTGACGTACTCTTGTCCTTATATCCCGATGCCTATCTGCAGCTGGTATCTTATGGATATGTGCACTGATACCTGATCTACCTTGACATGACTTTTGAGTGACGTCCATTTACCACTTCTTATCTTGAAATTAAAACCCAGGCACATGATTTGAAGAGTTGCATTTATAATTGCTTGAGATAAGACACAGATAGGTGTATACCGTCTCTTTTTAACAATCTACAACCCGAAGCTACGGAACATGCACGTTGTCGAATTCCGTTATCGAAGATAATAAATCTTGTGAGAGGTTTTAATCTCATTAAATCAATCTTCAGGAGTCGAGTCTCAATAGATAATGAGATATGCTTGGCTTGGATCAAAGGTTGATGCAGTTGGGTGTGTTCTAACAATTGATACGAAGACAAATTCGTCGTGATTTGCGTATCTTACAACATACAAGTCAGGACCTTGCATTCCCCCATGGAGCTATAATCTTATCCTCTTTAGGGTTCTCTGGCTCCATGGATACAAGGACATACTGTCAAAACATTCAACGTCATAAATGTGCATGATATGGGCATTGTTTTTTTGAGTAACCTAAGAAGGGTAATATTTCGCCCAAGTGGAAGATGCATCTGTCAAAAAGATAAGAAAATATGTTAGGCAACTGAGGTCCCATCAAAGAGAGCCGTAATACCTTAGCAAATATGGTATTCATCATTTTGGTGGCAGTGGCTGGGGCCATGGTGTAAAGCGAGCCTATGTATCTATACCACACTATCGGTGTCATCCCCCCATGCCCCATGCCATGTGTTATACACTCATAGGATGCATTACATCATGATTAAATTGAGATATGCACCAATGCAGACGTGATAGCTTTCAAACACTTGTAAGCAAAAACCAGGAACAGAACGACCCAGGCATTGTGATGGGCACTGTATTCAGGAATGAACTAGTCTGGTTGACTAAATCGTTAGCACTCGGTTCAACCATAGTATACCGTGGACAACTGATAAAGGTAGAACGTGGTTGCTTCGCTATCTATGCAGCTGGATAATTTGGGTGTTGCTCGATTCGTCGTCGATCGATGTCCGCCCGGCATTGTGTGCATATCTCCCTTATCTATTGGTACAATCCCCAGTAGCAGGTGTAGTGTTCTCTCCTTCAACCACTTCAGAATCGAAGCACGACCCGGCCACTCACCGCTGTGTTCTTCTACAAATCACCAATAAGCAAGTTTTGTTCTACAATTCAACTGGAAAATGCCCTACATAGTAATGTCCCGGTCTAGTAAAAGCTCTACGAGCAAATAAAAACCCAGAGTGTGCTTACAGTTTCCTCTTTCCGATCGAAATCTCGAGGAAATACATTTTCTCTCACAATAAAAAATGCGGTTAGAAGCACGGGGCAGGGATCTCGTCGCCGGGAGAGAAGAATTGTGGCTTGCACACGACACGAGAATTAAGCACACCTTTACGCCCACCGTATGACCCCTACCATAAATCCTGTTCGCCAATAGAAACTGATAAACCATTCTGATTGCCCATGGATATAGGAAGTTGCCAATGCAGTAGCCGTACAGAGAGACCAGGTGTGTGTATCGCCAGTATAGAAAAATTCTACTGATGTTGCCAGTCTAACTGATACGGGGAAAGAGCAGTTTAATATTTATGCCTCATGATAAGCTGATAAGGTCCGACGACGTTTCGGTGTGCGCGCAAGTGAAAAAAAATTCCACAAACATTGTCGATCCGCTTCGCAAAAAAGTGCGCCGTATCGTGGAGAATTCATGCGTAGATTGGGCTTCCATTCGACAACAACGTATGTTTTGATGTGTGTAGATAGTTAATGTACCAGTTTCGCAAAATAGACGGAGAATATGTATTATCTCAAATTATAATGAGCAGATTTTGTCAAGGCAAAAAAAAAGCTAAACCACAAAAGAAAAAAAAAACATACAATCTCTTTTCTGTTGTTGACCTTTACACTCTTCTGCCAGAAGCACTGGTGGACGTACTATTGAAACTAGTGTGGGACATAATTAGTTTACCTTGTTGACTGGTGTGTGTAACGGGAGTCTCTATTACTTTAACATTTGTGGTTGAAGAGTGACCTCACTTATCTTGATCAGAGTTTACTGTCTCCTGTGTTTCTTTCTTGTTGACTGCCTAGACACACCAAACACGATGACGGGCAGCATATCAACGGTATTGGTGAACATTGCGCTAGTTTTGATGTTTGTCATCGAGCTACAATCCATGCTAAGGTTACACAGGCATGCTAATTTGGACTCCAAGACGCTGCATTTCATATATCAGGCTTTCTTCATCGTTGTTGTGCTGTATTCGTTTGCATCTATTGACCTTTATCATTTCAAGCTAGTTGAAGCACCTCAGGAGATGCTACCGAACGTCATCAGCTCTGCTTGTCTATTACTTGTATCCGTTGCATTCATTATTGGCGCATACACAGCAGAACCTCTAGATTCCTACACTGATTTGGAGGAACAGCTCTTGTTATCATCCCAGTATTACCACTCCACAAATGGAGATATGGTGAGACAACAAGGTCCAAGAGTGAGTCTCGTGTCTAGTGAGGATGTGCGTATGAAGTCTCCGACGAGCACAGCGTTTACAACGACAACACTGGATCTCAATCACGACCATATACATACCAAGGATGCGATGTCACCAATGGTTAGGGGTCTTGAACAGGACTTTAGCTTATCAACTCCTAGCATACGAACACCACAGGGAGTCGACAACACTAGTCAGACACATCCAAAGACGTCGCCAATCTTGGCAACGTTACTAAGTGCACATACAGCAATGGCTTCCCATGTGCACACGGGAGAAGCGTGGCAGTGGCAGGACCATGAGACGATGCCCTATTGGATGACCTCTCTACCAATAATCCTATCGGTGATGTTCTTGACATCCCAGCTTCTCTATGGGTTTGCGATGCTCAAGACAAGTGTATTCACCAAATATCGTGATATTATCATCCCGAGCGTTGTGAACCTCATAGTAGGTACCGGATATCTACTCGCAACACTTTTGGGAATACCCATCGGTGAAGATTCGCTTATAAACTTCACGCATATGGCTACGTTGAACTACGTTGTATATACGTCGATGTGTGTTCTCTCCATTGGGGTTCTAACCTTGCATTTCTATGCAAGGTTCAATAACAAATCACCAGTGGGCATACATCATGTACAGGTGTACCACTCCATAGGAACTCCATAGTATGTTCCCTCAAAATGACGTTCATGATGACACTTGTAACCTATCTGTAAAGCCTATAACCATACCTTCCGCTCCGCGTTGATACATCCAAACACCGCGTAGTACGCTTCACGTGTCCCACGGACGGGATGTGCTTCCCGGGGCCACGTATTTGTCCGTAGCGCTAAAATTTGCGCCATGTGTCGTTTTTAAGGCCGGGAAACAGAAACTAATGTCCCGAAGCGCACAGGACTTCCAAAAGGGTCTAACCGTTATTGTAAGGAGTGAATCATTGTAATGATCAACCACCACATTTCAGTGCTGAGGAATGCTTGCTAAACATACATAACACACACGCTAATTCACCCGGCTCTCAACTTTCCAGTCCTGGTTTGTCTTGTGTCCTTTCCCACTGGGATATATTCTGTCCCACAGCGCCCACCAACCGCACCCACCAACCGCGACTGTCCTGCCTCTGTCTCGCGCGTCCTGCCTACCCCTGTAAAATTTGTAAGCGTTCGCGTGGACATAGAGAAGTTTCTACTTTCATTTCTTGTCATCATTCTCGTGGAAAAAGGGACAACCCGCACGTTTACTAAGGACAGCCAAAACAAAGGACGAAACGTCGATAGTTTCCCTGTAACTCGTTTCCACCCCTGTCTTCTTTCCAGCATAGAGCCAGTCGTCAATTGCAAACAAGCTTAGTTTAGCTTCGAAGAGCAATTAACGTTATTTCCCATCCCCCCACCCAACCCACCAACGTCTTGTTTTTTGTCTTTTCATTTCCCTCCTTGTCTGTTTTTTTGTCTTGCTTAATTCCACAAGACGAACAAAAGGGGACATAAAGTACACACACAAAAGGGGATTAACCAAGATGGCCATCCATAAATCAAAGTCCAAGACGGCGCCATCTAACGCGGAGGTCAACACTGAAGACATAGATGAAGTTGATGAACAGGGCCAAAGTATCCTGATGGGGATAATCACCCAATTGCGCCCAGGATGCGATCTTTCCCGAATCACTTTGCCAACGTTTATCCTCGAAAGGAAGTCAATGTTGGAGAGAATCACCAATCAGCTACAACAGCCTGATTTCCTATTGGAGGCACATGCCGCGGGAACTCCGCTGGAGAGATTCTTAGCAGTTGTCAAGTTCTATCTCAGTGGATGGCACATTGCTCCAAAGGCTGTGAAGAAGCCACTGAACCCTGTATTGGGTGAATTCTTCACCTGCTATTGGGACTTGCCGAACGGCCAGCAGGCTTATTACATCTCGGAACAGACATCGCATCATCCCCCAAAGTCTTCATACTTCTACATGATTCCAGATTCCCACATTAGAATTGACGGCTCCGTGCTTCCGAGATCGAGGTTCTTGGGTAATTCTACAGCTGCGATGATGGATGGATTGACAGTGATCCAATTCTTGGACATCAAGGACTCAAACGGCAAGCCTGAGAAGTACACGCTGACACAACCAAACATGTACGCACGTGGTATCCTTTTTGGTAAGATGCGTATAGAGATGGGTGACCATATGGTGATCAAATGCCCTTCCACTGGATACAGCATCGATATTGAGTTCAAGACAAAGGGGTTCATCTCGGGTACTTATGATGCAATCGAGGGAACCTTGAAGGACGCTAAGAGTAAATCCCTTTATGAAATCACTGGTAAGTGGAATGACGTTATGAACATCAAGGACTTATCCACTGGTAAGAAGTCTGTGTTTTTGGATGTCAAAAAGACAAGTCCACAGCCTCCAAAGGTCCATCCAATGGAGGAACAAGGTGATTTTGAGTCGAGAAAACTATGGATACACGTTACAGATGCTCTTGGACATAGAGACCATACCGTGGCAACAGAGGAGAAGTTCAAGATCGAAGACGCACAGAGAGAAGCCGCAAAGAAGAGAGCTGAGGAAAACGTTGAGTTCCATCCAAAGCTGTTTAGACCAAGGGAATCACAGGATGATGAACTCGAATGGTACCTGTACAAACATATTCCAAATGACGCTCCACCAATAGAACAAGCAAAACTTATCCTGGAATCGGTGCCTATTCTTCCAGGCCAGAGGTTTACTCCAGAATTTGAGATTCCTGCTTTCGAAAAGATGTCAATCGGATCAAAGAAGAAGTAATTTTGGTTCTTGTTTTCTTTTAATTCACATTTCTTGTTAGTTTATTTGCTTTCGTCTACACTTTTTGATCACGTTGTATGCTTGAGTTAAGTATCGCTAGTTTACTCGTCAAGAGTGACATCTAACGGTATGTCTCGTAGATATGGATCGAATATGAACTCAGTATGCCAGTTCAGAAGTCTCTTCCAGTTGAAATACGATAACACTCGATCACGTAATACCAAATCCTTATTGAGGTCAACATCTGTGGTGAAGTATCCTCTCTTCAAAACCATGTTGATCTGCCTCTCTTTAAACCACAAGTCCTCCATCACGGAACAATGAACAACTGCTTGTTCCATAAGGTTCCATACCAAAACGTGTTCGTTCTGCTTCTTCACTGCATATAACAATAACCGACCAAATGTATGGTAGGGAACTTCAGAAGTACACTTCGATTTCCATAACCATGCACTCATCTCTTTCAATTTCTCACCTATACTCGGCACAAGAAGCATGACTTTGGCATATGACAATTCCAATTGAGATCTTGTAGCGTACTTATTATACTCAAAAATAGCCAACTTCAGCTCTGTCACGTTGATCTCTAACATATTGCCCATACACGACCACGCGCTTGAATCTGTTTGGTTTAACTTGCAAAAATGTTCAACGTCTTTCAAAATTTTATGGTACTTGATGGAATCTGTTCGTACTTTCGCAATGCTTACGCAGAACTGCAGGAAAGACCAGGCGTAATAGTTGGACTTGTGAAGCTTTGCCGATGTGAAAACAGTAGACTCAAAGAAGTACACGGGGATCTTCCCTATAGATTTAGAATCTATGACAAATATCATCATCTTTTTGAATAAGTGCCAATATGAAGAGGATTTGTTAAGTTTATTCTTGTTTGAGCACAACAGTGATTGTAGTATCGCCATTTCACAGAGAATGAGCTTATCCGATTCAAACATAGGATCAATATGCGATAAAGTGGTACTGTTACAGTGTAACATTTTCCATGTGATATCATCGTGAATACTAATAACAGTGTGGTTCTCATTGGTTGTCATCATGAGACCTATGGTGGCCAGATATATCTTTACAAGATCTTCTTCGTCTTTGAGAGCTTGGCCATCTTTGAGAAACTGTTCCATGATAGTATGGGAGGTTTGGAAGATCTTGATAGAGGTGGATTTAAACATTACAACCTCCAAGTGCCCATCGTTATACGAATGAAGGAAGTTTGTGTCATACTGTGGCATATCCTTCATCACAGTCAACGTTCTTTTCTTACACTCACTATTGCAACATAGTTCTAGGTATTCACGCACAATGGAAAGATCGTCGCCCATTGATAAGTGTTCAAAGTTGATCAGGATATTAACTTCAGTCGATTGGCAATAAGAGCAAGGATTAAAGTCGTCGGTGCAGTAATTAATTCCCATGAAGAAAATGTTGGGATGTGAACAGACACATCCAACAGGGCCTACGTAAACGATTTCAACGAGTTTGCTTTAGCCATTGATTGGATAACATAAAATAGATAATCACATCTGGACGAACAGAGGAACATCAATGATGTCAAAGAGGCATACCATATATATGATTGCACGCCATATGACGAAGAAGCTATGGAAAGGAGCGGTACTTTCAAAATAGTGAGTCTCAGTTGAGTTGAAATTAGCTATCAACTCTAATGACTCCCTCTCTTGCTTGATGATAGTGGAAGCTTCTTCTTCAAGTATGGTCTCAAGATCGGTATTATCATCTGGAAGTTCTAAATCTAAACTTGGATTCATAGTTCCAGTTTGTATTCCTGTCTCAGAAGGGACAAAAATAATAACAGCTTCCAAGACTGTTACAAAATCATCATCAGCGTCGGTGTATTCACGTGGTCTGAGACCAACTGTTGGCGTGGGCCGTCCAATACCAAGAGATGTGACCGTTTGTGTCGTTGTTTCAGTTGTTGTAGATGTCTCAGTTTTATAAACAGTCTCCCACTTTGGGTACCACTTATACCTTGTAGTCGTCTCAACTTCATCGTATTCGGTGATGGTAAGCTCTGGATACCACTTGGTCCTAACAATATCCTCGGTTTCTGTCTCCGTTGCTGTCGTGGTAGTTGTCACCTCGGCAAACTTTTTGTATTTGTAGATCGTCGTCTTATACTCTGTTGTGGTCTCTGTCCCTTCAAAAGTGGTCAAGATGGAAACAGAGGTATCCCTATACACAGTATCATATTCTGTTTCATAACAGGTTACTGTGTCCATGATGATGGAAGTGACTGTCTGATCAGATTCTTCGTACTCTGTAACTGTGGTACTTGGTATATAAATTGTTTTTGAGATTCTGCTAGTGAGTGTTGTCGGTTCAGCAACAGTTTCTGTCAAGACATCCTTGTAGCGAAATACAGTTCTCTTGTAGTACTCTTCGGTATATGTATCATCGTAATATGTTGTAGTCTCAGTCGATATGCTTTCGTATTCTGTCTCCGTAACAGTAGTTGGCCTCAAACGGGTTTTAATACTTGTCACCTCACTAAAGATATACGTAGTTGTTACAGGTGGCTCGATAGTTGAAACCACAGTGGCTGTCTCCACACTTGTCAATGTGCTGACAATCAAAGTAAATGTAGGTTGTAAGGTAGTCCTTATAGTTTCAGTTAGGTTGACGGTATCTACCACAGTTACCGTGTTGTTCAGAGTAATCATATCAGTGACAGTATCTGTCAAAGTCAACGAGTCATTTACTGTCATAATGTCAGTTATAGTAACAGTATCATTCATGGTTGCTGTCACGATAACTTCATCCTTCACTGTGCTAGTCGAAGTAACAGTTCCAGTATATGTTTCAGTTAAAGTCACTATATCGGCCCAGGTGACAGTTTTGGTAGGTTTACCTGGTACAATGACAGTGTGAGTCGAGGTTTCAATATCTGTTACAGTAACTGTATTCTTCAACGTTTGTGTATCCGTCATACCGTGATGTTTTGTTTCAAGAGGTGCTGTTGTGATCAAAGATGATTCAAGTGTTTTTGATTTGGTTGGTGATGGATACGGTATTTCGATCTCAGTAGTTGGCTCCAACGTTGTTTCTGAGTTGGTGTCGGTTAAATGCGACAATGTAATGTACTCAGTTGTAGTGGTCAGCATACACTCAGTTGATCCAGGGATATGGTCAATAAAGCTTGTCAAAGTTGTACGAATCACCTTATATGTCTTTTGATCAGTACCCATTGTCGTGTGTGGCACCAAAGTAGGTATGGTTGTGGAATGTGCCTCATCTCTTTTATACACAACATTTCTTGGATATTCATTCAATGAATGAGCATAGCTTCTGGAGCGCTTGGATAATAGTAAGTTCATTTTTGAGATGCCTAAGTCACTCTGGGCATTGAACTGTGACTTCTTTTTCGTAGTTCTATGACGGCGACCAGATCTGTCCTTTGATTTACCCCAATATGGAATTTCCTTCTCAACTTTCTTCAGTTTTGTTCTCTTCTTATCTCTGCGACGGCTCTTCAATTCAGACCCATTTCCAGAACCTATATTATCATGGGATTTCTTCGAGTCTTTCTTTCTATCAAAGACTGAAAATCTTTCTTTCTTGTTCTGTTTTGGTGTGAAAGCACCTGCAATGAGATATTTCCTTCCCTCACTGGAAGCTTTATGGAGTCTTTCGGCATTCTTTGTAAATTTTGCTGAAAGGTCATTATCAGACTGTTTTGACACATCCCTTTTGTAAATCTGTTTATGTGAAGATAACGATCGAAGATAAGAATGCTGCCTATTCTCCAAAGATTCAAGTTGAATGTTCTTTGGATGATTAACATCGATGGGGATATTATCCTGAGAAGAAAAGGGTTCAAACCCAGCAAAAAGGTCAATCTCAACATCCTCATGATCCGGATCATCTCGCTGAATAGGCAAGATAGAAGATTGTTCATCTTCAGCATTATCTCGAGCAAACAAATACTTGATATCCGGCTTGGTCTTGCATATACTTCTGACATACTTTTTATATCTTAATTTTTCCTTGATATCATAGCAGAGAGGATCATAGCAGAATGTGCTGAAATATCGTCCAAAACAACATGCACACCGACACTCATCATATGAATTATCATTTTGACAGGCAGGACAATACTTTGGCTCATTAGATATTTTCTCAATCATTTCTTGAATGCAATTTTTGACTTCATCTCTATCACAAGTCCGAGTATTATATTCCGGATAAAACTGCTCAAACCAACATTGAGACTCCATGACTCTTCCTTTGACATCATCACCATTATCTGGCCATTTCACTTGTGCATCCATATGTGGTTCAATATTGTACTGGTTCGACAATTCAATCTCAGTCTGTGGTTTCACATGTTCTTCAGAGGAAGATGTATTTTGAATCATTAAGCCAGCATCAGGAAAAGGTAAAGTGCTATGGCTGTCAGAGTACTTGTAGCAAAGAATATTTGCAGTTTTCTTGAGCATCCTAACTGGTGCACTATGAGTACAATGCATCTGCGCACAGTGCGCTGTTTGGATTTCAACACAACATGCGTACGCACATGCATCCGAACCGTTAATATAATCTTTGCACATGCTCTTCCTGGAACGATCATTGCAACGATATAGTTCCTCAATATTACAACTATTCAACAGAGGAGATACATAACTTTTAAGATCCTCATCAGATATCAAACATCTTGGTCTTTCCGAATCAAGTTGATGCACCGAAAAGTCAAAAACAATCCTTGAAGCATATTCCTCGAATCTTTTTTCGACATTCAAAAGCTCTCCGATAAATCTCATGCTTTCAAACTGTGAGAGTTTCCTCTCCATGGATGATTCTGGTGTAAGAGAGTTTGGATTAACAGGGGGTTCCCAATCACCAACATCAATCTCAGATTTGCAGTACCAGTCAACGCCCCGTTGTATTGAATCTGAGACATGAATATCAATGATAGGTTGTGGGAAGTTATTGTAGCACAACTGATATGCCCTTGAATATGCACAACGACATTGCCACGAGTAACTTGAATTAGAACAAACCTCATTGTGCATTTGATACGCCGTTATAACTGTCAGAGTACAAGTTATTAAGGACAGGATCTCTTCTTGACTAAGTTTGTCAGTTAAGTCTATATCTGAGTCTGTCTGTGGCAATGGAGTGCTTTCTCTGCCTGAAATTTGGCCCATGTCAAACTGCTCCAAGATACTACTTAACTTGTCATAATCAGATGTGAAATCATCAACAACGTTGGGAAACAACTGTATCACATCTGATCTCTTTCCAACGAGAGAGTGTAATACGTCAGCCAAATTATCTGGAAGCCAACTGTCATCGCCCTCGCCAACAATAGCCGTCATATCATAATAATTGAAAAATGTGGCATTGTTTGGTTGCGATAAACAGTATTTATTACTGACACGTTTAAGCATGGGAAGAACGGAATCTCTCAAGTAAAATTGTCGTTCTCCAAGTTGTTCAATACATCCAATCTCAATCTTGAGACCCAGACAGAAACATTCACAAGAGGAATTGTCTCTTGAGCATTTGGTATGTTTTTCCATTTCGAGTACTGGGGAGATTCGACATTCCTCTGGAGAAATAGGGATTTTGTTTGAATCTTGAAAGCTTTCGAATGCACTTCTCATCTGAGATAAGTCAGTATCACAGGGCGAAATAGAATCTTCCACATTAGCTTCTAGAGCGTCAATCCTTATAAATTTGTCGAAAAGGCTAAAGATCTTGTCAGCGTAGTTCTGACTTGATTGACCCTCGTCAAGAATCTCAACATTATCTGCACCATGATGATACAGTAAGCTGTCAAGATCAAATATTTTTGAAGTTGTCAAAGGTAACAAGTAACATTTCTCTTCGTTTATGAGGGAACCGCCTAGTGAATTCGGAAGCTTTGAAGATTGTTCAGTGGAACATATTGATTGTATGTGACTTTTCACGCGGTTAACTTCTGCTTCATCTGAACAATAAGGAGCCACACATTTTTCAAGAGTAAATGCATACCACGAGCAAGTACACTTACAATTGTGAATTACCAGAGTGTCTGAAGTGTTTTGTGGAAGGAGTAAACATCCTTCACAAACTGTAGGGTCACTTGAGCTCAGAATAAAGCACTCTTCCAGATCAACCTTCTGAAGGAGATAACAGTGCATTGTCAGTGACTTGTACACTAGTGAAATACATTGTAGAGTATCTTCATACACATGAACTCATATCCATGGCGGGAGTAAGTGTAAGATTCTGTTCACAAAGCCGACCAGGTTCCCCAAAGGTTTCATCGGCCAGAAGCACATGGCTCACTAGTGTGGAAACCCACCATAGACTACTAACCACCGAATAACGACTCATTCTAAAGTCATAAGTCTCCATTATCTCGGTATTTTGCACAGGGTCGCCTTTGTTGTATGTCTGTGGTTGGAATGAAAGGTATGTTTACCATTGCTTATTTTTGTGACCTTCTTGTACACACGCCGGCTAAATAAGCTGCTTTCACCATTGTCTCAATCGTAGAGCAAGTACAGCTTCCTGAGCCGAGACGATTCTTCGAGCCCATGTGATTTGGTGGAGTGTCTTCATATCCAAAGCGCTCTGTGTGCTATCTTAAGTGGGTGCAGGACAACTTCCAAGTAAGCTGTATGTAAGAGAGTGTGGACAACTAATGGGTAAAAGCATTACCCAGGCCAAATACACTTGAGGAGCTCACTTACGAATATGCTTCTGCAATTGCATTTTTCGCATCACTCAGAGCAGACATAGCACCCAGATGCTCCTCCAATTCCTTTGTATCGAAAAGTGGCCAGTTCTAACGGTTAATGCACCGTTTCCTGTCGTCACTACGTGATCGCACACATCCGATGTACTGTTTGTAAGCAGACTTTGGACCTGCGGCAAAACGGACACTATTCCTGACCCATCGATCGGGAACACGTTGGTGTCAGATCCGACTCCGACAGCTGAACTACACACGTAAGTTCAACACTGTCATAGATATACAAATATGTAGATAAGCAGGCTTTCAAAGGCCTGTGCTACCAAGATTTAGATCATCATCTATTGGGAGCCTATGGGCTCTCATTCTACCATTGGTCGGAGCACGCACATACTTTTCTTAGAGCCCGCAGGAGACTTTTTGGCTAATTCCCAGGTTCCCCGGGCACCAAAGTCATGTTGTAACTACCAGCAAGGTCAGCATGCTAAAACAGGAAAAAACCACAAATGGGAAGAGCGGAAAATAAAATCGTCCTATCAGATGTCTGTCGTATAGTATTATGTTTGCGTATCACCGCGTCCCACATTCGCGCGTGGCGTGTTTAGCTTTTATGTCAACAGGCTTGAAAAAACGAAACCAAATCAGCGTAATTTTGGTACCACTGCGTAAAAAGTAGCACGACATCAGATCTCAAGTACACTCGAACCACAGTGGAAGAACTGGTCAGAAGATGTGCACTACTTCACCTCAGATCAGGGTATATCTACTTTTGTGAGCGATGAGATTACACTACAATCATCTCTCTAACAATATGACGTCCAATTAAGCCTTTACATAGCTACGTAGTTGATTTCTGTAGCGAGCCCGTCCGCTGGAAAAATAAGAATCCAACGTCCGATTCATCGTTTAAACACATCGCGGACTTTTCCTCGCTTCCTTAAACGAGCACAAAACTATGCGAAAAAGGACCAGCTGAGGAAGCAAAAAAAATTGTAAGATCATTTCACAAAACCAGCACAAACGACGTGTATTTATTCCAGCAAGTTTCTCCATTTTGGTCTACCTTCCACTTTGAAGAGATCCCTGTGTCAAAAAAGAGATTCATACTTTGCTCTTGATAGCTCAGCTTTCTCTTTTTCTTCCTTCATTTTGACTTGAGCAAGTGACAACTTTCGTTTCGTACACCTGAGAGCAAAGACACACCAGACTCACGTCGCATCAGTATGGCCGCTTTGAAAGAACTGGCAAATGGGGTCAAGGACCTATCTGTTTACCTCTATTTGGTGTTCATGGCGCTCCCTATCTACCAAAGGGCTTCGATCGTTCTTTTGTTGCCATTCATATACACGCTCGTCTGGCAATTTGTCTATTCGTTTAGAAAAGATCGTGTTCCGTTGGTGTTTTACTGGATCCCATGGTTGGGAAGCGCAATCCCATACGGAATGCAACCTTATGAATTCTTTGCTGACTGCCAAAAGAAATATGGTGATGTTTTTGCATTTGTTCTCTTGGGTAGAGTCATGACTGTTTACTTGGGTCCAAAGGGACATGAATTCGTCTTGAACTCGAAGCTTGCTGATGTTAGTGCCGAGGAAGCCTACACCCATTTGACTACACCAGTTTTCGGTAAGGGTGTTATCTATGACTGTTCAAATGCGAGATTGATGGAGCAGAAAAAGTTTGTCAAGGGATCTTTGACTCGTGACTCGTTTGCAAACTACGTTCCAGTAATCAGAGAAGAGATTTTTAAGTACTTCAAGAGCTCTGAAAACTTCAGACTAGGAGAGAGATCCCATGGCCGTACAAACGTCATGAGCTCTCAACCAGAGGTTACCATTTTCACTGCTTCCAGATCTCTTTTGGGTGAACAGATGAGAAACAAGTTCGATGCATCTTTTGCCCAATTGTACTCCGATTTGGACAAAGGTTTCACTCCAATTAACTTTGTCTTCCCAAACCTGCCATTGCCACACTACAGAAAAAGAGATGAAGCTCAAAAGAAGATCTCTAGAACTTATATGGAATTGATCGAAGAGAGACGTAAGAACAATGATATTGGTGACAGAGACTTGATTGATACATTAATGAAGAACTCTGTCTACAAAGACGGTGTTAGAATGACAGATCAGGAGATTGCTAACTTGTTAATTGGTGTCTTAATGGGTGGACAGCATACATCTGCTGCCACATCTGCTTGGTTCTTGTTACACTTGGCTGAAAAGCCAGAATTGCAAGAGGAGCTCTATGAGGAAATCATGAGGGTGTCTGAAGGTAAAGACGTTACTTCTGATATGTTGCTCAAGATGCCATTGGTAAACAATGTGATTAAGGAGACCTTGAGAATGCACATGCCTCTTCATTCTATTTTCAGAAAAGTTATGAACCCAATTCCAGTGAATGGTACCTCATACGTTGTCCCAAGAGGACATCATGTTCTCGTTTCTCCAGGCTTTGCTCATTTGAGTGCTGCTTACTTCCCACAACCAGAGGTTTTCAACCCACACAGATGGGACACTGAGACTACATCCACTACTGATGAAGGAACAGTTGATTATGGTTTCGGTGCAGTGTCTAAAGGTGTGTCCTCTCCTTACTTGCCATTCGGTGGTGGTAGACACAGATGTATCGGTGAGCAATTTGCCTATGTTCAATTGGGTACCATCTTGACAACATACATCAAGACCATCAAATGGAAATTGCCAGAAGGTGCTAGGGTGCCAGAACCAGACTACCAAAGTATGGTTACTCTTCCTCTATGTCCTGCAGAGATCGACTGGGAGCTAAGAACCAAGAACTAGTAGCACTATCGATATTTTGTACATTATTTATCAGAGTCCAACCATTGGTTTGATGTCATACAAACTTCATTTTCTCATCTTACCAAAAAAAGAAAGCTTATAACATTGAACTATACACTTGGAAATTATATACAGGCGCAAGGACGTCTTGTTACAAGTAATATTGGAATTGTAGATCAAGTGATAATCGTATTTGCATTTTATACACTTGTGATGTTTATTCAGGCTGAGCTTCTGGTGCCGTGGAAGGAGGTGCAAGAGAGCTATCCATTTCTTCCTTTACAGCTGAAAGAGATCTAGGTTCGACTTGTTCAAGCTGTTCTGGAACGTGCTCTGTGTGTGTGCTCTCTGAAGCACCCAGTGCCTGCCTTTTGGCCTCTTCCTCTAAACGTTTCTCTTCCCTCTCCCTCCGTCTTTTCTTCTTTGCTTCAAACTCGTGCCACTCGCCATTCAGCGTTCTTTCATCTAGAGGCTCTGGCTGTGGTGCATCTTTGAAGTATCCATGTGCTAGAGCTTGTCTTGCAGTGTATCTCTTTTGTGGGTCATACTCCAGTAGCTTCAATGCTAGATCAAACGCACCCGGTGACAGGAACTGTGAGAATCTTTGTGCAAACTGTGACTTGGTGAAACTCTTTGGTTTCAAAAGTTCATACCACGGTAGTTCTGTAACTCTGGGCCATTTATCAAAAGTTGGCGTACCCATGATTTCAAAGATCACATGTAACTGGTGGATTTCATCTTTGCCTTGAAAGATAGCTTGTCTGGTGAAGAGTTCCACCAATAAGCATCCGATGCCCCACATATCAACTTCACGACCGTAATCAGTGGTTCCTAATAACAACTCTGGTGGTCTATACCACAACGTGATGACACGGTTTGTATAGTCCTTAGAATTCACAGCAGTCATCTTTCTGGCCAACCCAAAATCGGCAATTTTCAATACTCCTCTTTTATCAATTAACAAGTTTGAGCCTTTGATATCACGATGTATAACATGCTTTGAATGTAAATATTGCATGCCTTCTAGCAATTGCAGAAAGAAATATTTGCAATTACCATGCGATAGCTTGACATCAGGATTAGAGAGCAAACCAGAGAGGTCATGATCTGCGTAGTCAAAGATCATATAGATCTGTTTATTTTCAACCATGATTTCCAGCAGAGAAACAATGTTACGGTGGTCAAAAGATTGTAGCAATCTCATCTCTCTCATTGCGGTTATTGGGAATCCTTCCCTCTCAGACTCCATTCTTAACCTCTTCAAGGCGACAAAATGAGATGTCACAATGTTCTTGGCCTTGTAAACTTTACCATATGTTCCTTCTCCCACTTGGACAACTCTTTCATATACGGTATCCTCTCTAACTGCTTTTAAGAATGAGACCTTCTTCTGCGGGTTGAAATCTCTCTGTGGTCTTTGGTGGGGATCATGTGCATGCTTATGAATTGGAGGTTTATCATGTTGTGGCCTGTATGACCTGCCATCGTTATACGCCTTTGCAGTCGACTGTCTTGGAGGTGGCTGTTTCCGTATGCTAAAATTGAGACGTTTAGGACCTTTCGGTAGAGGTCCATCCGCCGGTCTTTTCCTCGATGGAGATCTTTGGTTCTGAAAGTCTCTGTTATTATTATTGTTGCTGTTGTTGATAGTGGTGTTTATTGTATGGTCACCTTTGTCATGCCTTCCTTGGAGGGGGGTTGGTTTCTGTTGAGACGCGGGACCCTTGGGTAATCCTCTAGGTTCTAGTTCTCTGTTTGGCTCAACTTTGGAGAAATAACGATCTCTGGAGTGTTCATGCCCGTTACGACGAAGAGGCTCCCTGTTATCCTGATTTCTTTCCCTGTTGTCATATCTTCTGTCTCCTCTGAAGCCTCTGGTTCCACCTCGGTGGTCTCTTCTGTCATCTCTTCTGTCATCTCTTCTGTCGTTTCTTCTGTCATTTCTTCGGTCATTTCTCCTATCGTTTCTTCCATCCCATCTACCGTTGTTCCTATCGTTAGGCCTTCCTTCAGGTGCCCTCTGACGTCTTCTATCATCACTGTCTATGCCTTTCCCGTTGACGCTATTGGACTTTTGGCGACTATCACGAAGACTCGACTCAGAAGACTGTGGATCATTACCAATTGAAGACATTATGAATGCCGGCAATACTAAGCGATGTAACGATGTGTCCTACTGCAACAACGACACAGTTCCTTTATATCACGTTCAATGGTACACAACACGCGTTGTTCCTGTATACCTTTTCTTGCCTTGTCTTTTGTCCTTTTGTCTTTTGTCTCTTTGTCTGCTTTTCCCTCGCTTCGAAAACTTTCTCTCCCATGCTCTCACCTACGCGGATCCTGGTGTCTGGATGCACTGCTTCCTTTCCCATAGAGTCTTTTTCTGTGTCCCGCGATTTTGCCTGTCTTTTGTCCCATCGAGATCTGTCCCAGACAGAGAGACCGCAATACTGCGAGACAAAGACAAAAATAAATAGCCTACATGTCAGAGAATATTCTGTTCTTCAAACTCGGGCCCGTTCCATTGACTCAATTGTTTCCAGATCTCGTGCTCTACAATTCTTGAAGAAGCCAAACTTTGTAAATCCTTATTTGCATTCCTTTTACCATCTTTCTCCCTGTCCCCTGTCTGCTTGTCCTGTGTCCCGTCCGTGTCTTGTGGCTGTTTTTGCCTTCTATTTTTGTCCTCTCCTCTACAGTTTGGTCACTTTATCAAGACCTCGTACAAAAAAAAAGAGAGTTTTTCCCTTCTTATACAAAGAATGCACAGCCAGTGCTCACATCAATCAGATAAATTCCCAGTCTAAACTGATCCCATTATAACCAGGAGTCACTTACATACTCTGTACACTATTAAGTGCATCCACATTTCTCCAGGTGCCTCAAAGTATTCATTGAAGGAGCTAGTGATAGAAAGAGAGGAGCAGATAATTGACACAGCGTGCAGTTTAGTAAACAGTAACAATGTCGCTGTATACACCGGAGTACTCAGAGGAGTTGCTATCTCTAGTGACGGAGCTATACAGCGATGAGATCAAGCCACACTTGAACGAGCTGCGGTTGTTGAAGATGCTCGATCTTATGGAGATGGCACAGGCTGATTTTGAACAGTACAAGAAGTCGCTGATCGAGAACTCACATATCAAATGTCTAAAGAACTACATCGTGGGACTGTTTTTGGTCTTCTTGGTGATCCCACAATCAATACAGTTCCAGATAAAGAACAAGAACTATGAGCTGTTCTTGTCGTTGAAGCAACTGTACGAAAGGGAGACTCATATGTCCAATGTTAAACTGCAAGTGGTTGATTACATCGCGTACATCAGTGAAAGGAAGCAACGACAGCAACAGCAGGAACACGAACAGGCACAGAGCAGAAAACATCGTCAGGCTTCAACTTCGGGACTTCATGGCAGAACACTTTCGAAGGATCATAGATCCTCTACCATGCCGGCCCCGTTATCCACTCTAGATCAAGACTTCAGTAATCTGAGGGTTTCAGAACATAATTCATCGACCACATCCCAATCTGATTCTGCTGCAGTATCCATAAACTCTGGCTCGACAAACTCTTCGATAGTGGAGGAGGTTTGGTCTCCACCAGAACTGCAACCAAAAGATCAACTCAAACTCGCAGATGGTTATGACGTTTCATTAGATTCATTGGTCCCTGAACTACCTGCTTATCCACCGCCAACTCCACCAAGGACCCGCAAACATGCATTGAGCTTTCCAATGGATCCAGAGGCACTATTGGAGGACCGAAGAACGCCATCACCTGGTCCAGCAGCAAGTTTTGCTCAAAATCACATATTCCAATCTAAGGCTTCCAGAAGAGAATCATATAACTCGGTCTATGCGGAGGATAGCTACGAAAATGTGACAATAATCTCCCCCAAGCAGCTATACCAATCATTACTTGATACCAATATCAAGACGTTGATCTTTGACATCAGACCTTCAAAGAAATATCAGAAAAAGCACATCCCTTACAAGAACATTATCAATTTAGATCCAGTGTATGTGGAACAAAGTGAATACTATGCCCAACTAGAAGAAACGGCTAGAACTTCCTTATCACCTGCACAATTTGCACAATTCCATGATATGGACAAATTTGACCAAGTTGTTTATTACAGCGACGGCTCCACTTCACTTGTTTCAGAGCTTGACTTCCTCGAAATGTTTGATACATTATTGAAGCAAAGGAAAATCCACCCGAAATTGATAGAAGGTGGATTCGAGTCCTGGACAAAGTTCTTGTCAAGGGAGAACATCCTTAATCCTGATTTCAAGTCAAATACGCCTGCTGCACCACTGCATCCACCACCAGCACCAACCGATCTTTCACCAAGGTCTACACCACAGCAACAAGATCAGCAGCAGCAAGTCCATCTGAGTAAGGCTTCGTCCAACCTTGTATCATATTTGGCACCATCTGGTCCTGCACCTCCGATTCCTCCACCTCATTTAATGACAGTGAAAGAGCAGAACGAACCAGCTGCACCTTATCCATCACAGTACTACTACACCACAACGCCATATACGAGACCAGCAATTCCTGCACCGCAGCCACAACGTGCGTTAGTGTCAGCACCGCCATCACTACCTGTCCCGTCTATTCCACAATATCAACAGTATCAACAACATCCGCAATATCAACAGCAACAGCAACAGCAACAGCAACAGCAATATCAATATCAACAGCAACAGCAATATCAACGGTATCAACCTAATTATTCAAATACAATCCATCAAAGACAAGAACAACTGAAGAGACAGCGTATAAACTCGGCTTGTATCCCGACTATTCAAAGAAGTTCTAATGTATTTGTCAGGTTATCTATTACTGGATTGAGAAACATGGGAAACACATGTTATATAAACAGTATGATTCAGTGTTTATTTGCAACATCTAAATTCCGTGACATCTTTCTGAACAATCAGTTTGAAGACTTTATGAACGCAAATTTCCACAAGACAAAGCTTTCGCCTTCGTTGTCGTTGTTATTCAAAAAGATGTACTTGAACGGTGCATGCTCCATCGTTCCATCTGCATTCTTGAAATCATGTGTTCATCTGAGACCTGACTTGAAAATACCATCTGAGCAACAGGACACCCAAGAATTCTTGATGTTTTTGTTGGACCATTTACACGACGAGTTGAGTAATTCCAACGTTGTTGTTAATAGTTATCCTGATTTGATGAACCACGATTACCAAGGGGATGAGTATGAAAAATGGTTTGAAACACTGGTCAAACAAGGTCTTTCACCTGTTACCAAGTATTTCCAGGGTCAATTGCAAGATAGTCTCGAGTGTCAGAATTGTGGTTTCAAATCTACTAACTACTCTACGTTTTACATGTTGAGCTTAAACATTCCCAAGTTGAGTCCTCATGGACGCAAGCTGAAGAAAGTGAACTTGGAGGATTGTATCCGGATGTTTACGCAAGATGAATTGTTGACTGGTGATAATTCTTGGAACTGTCCCAAGTGCTCAAAGCCCAAAGCACCAAACAGCACCAGTGGTGATAAAGAACGGAAGCATCGTCATCATAGGTTCCTCGGATCTGGTTTCAAACTTCGTGGAAGATCATCAAGTCCCGCGTTTGGATCGAACGAGCGTACTTCAACGTCTCCATTCACTAATGGGAAAGGGAAAACAAAGAAGAAACCAAGCCAGAGTATTAAGAGCCTCAGATTTGTGGTCCTACCACCTATCTTAATCATCCATCTTTCCAGGTTTTTGTTCTATGACACTTCCCATAAAGATACCACTGTTGTGACGTATCCGCTAATATTGGAGATTGACCATAAGGGTAAAACTGCACGTTACAAGCTCTATGGTGTTGTTAACCATACCGGTACTTTGAAGTCTGGACATTACACTTCGATCGCTAACAAGAACCTAGATCATGACTTGATGAAACCTGACTGGTACTACTTTGACGATGAAGTCGTCAAGCATACAAACCACGGCAGTTATAATGGCACCGATCAGACACACATGAGTAATTCTGAGGTTTACGTGTTGTTTTATGAACGAATCGATGACTGATCTGGCTGCTTGATCTTATTACCTAATTAATGGATTCGCCTTCTTGTTAAGGAGACTTGCTATAGCATTGATACCGCATATTCTATCTCTCTCCCTCCCTCTCCCTCGCTGACCCAACTGCTGGGCTGTAGAACGTCTGAATCTGGGGTAAACACATCTAAATCCAGACACCAGTTATATTGGTAGGGCCACGCTCGAACTGTCCAGTCAGCGTTTCAGCCGGGTGCCGAAACCAGTCAGTAGTTCCTAGACTAATATACCGTTCAACGTCATTGTGGGACTACTGTGATGGTATGTTGGCAGATGTACGCTGGTTAGTCGGCCCATCTTTGTAATTCAGTCCTTGTAGGTCAGTACTACGAATTGGTCGGGAGGTAACGCAGAGTGGGGCCGTTTCCACTCTTTCGAGCCAAGTAACACGTATGGCTGGAAAAGACGTGCAAATGCGGCATTGGCGTGTGTATGTGGGTGGGAAATATGAATCATTCGCATGAGCAAAACGACTCATACCAGACTCAAGACAATTTGCGATCGTACAGTGATGCTACCCGGACAATCGGTACACCTCTAAAAGACATTCACTCAATTGTTTGAGTGAACATAGTCACAATAACGAGACTACAATGGCGTGAATTAACTACATTGGGCATGTCCAACGCAGTGGAACCACAACGCTCTCCCTCTCCTCCACCCGTCCACCGTGTTCTCACCCCCGGTTTAAACACAGTTGACACCTTCCATGGCCCCAAAAACATCCAGACACCGTTCCCCATATTTCGCGTGTTTGGCCGCTCCAGACATTCTTCCAATGGACAAACCTTATTAACCCCACGCCGCACACAGTGCCAATTTTTCCCTTCCCTCTCAATGGTGAAAATTTTCCACAAAGCACTGCATTTTCGCCGGTTCCGGTGACCACCACCCAATGCCAGACTGGCATCTCAATCACGGAGGATTTCTAGCCAATGGAAACCGAATAAACCACTCCCGTCAAATAATCATCCGTAGTGACACCACCTCCACCTGTCAATGGCCGTTCATATTTAATTGTCCAGTGGTTTGTCCCAGTTTCACCTGGCCAGAGGTTTTTTTTGTCTCTGCCGTTGCCGCTGTTTTGTCACAGCTTCCAGACGCAAAACAAGCGAAAAAAGAAACAACCGAAGGGAAAAAACAAACGCACAGCTGAAAAGTTGTACACGATGATTCATCGGACAGGACAGAAAAAAAAAGCATGAAAAATTTCACTAACCACGCACACAGAGCCCTTTTTTTTCCTCTTCTCTTCCTTCCTTCTTTCTTTCTTCCTTTTGACACAAGAAACAAACCACCTGTTCTTTTATTAGGTACTACAGAGGGATTGATTGATCAACAAGGAACTTCAGCATGCTTTCCATCAGATCCCAGAGTGTCCGTTCGCTCTCGAAGAACTCCACTATAACCCTCTCAAAGGTGATCGCTTGTCGTGTAAATGTCCGCCGTTACAGACATGCGACCGCTACTGCCACGAGACCAGAGCCGGCTCCTTCATTTGCAAGCGAGAGCCAAGTGCCACCGGAGGCATCTAACCTGGGCGACTTGTTGCAGAAGCCAGCTACGGAGCTCGATAACTCGCTTGTGGGGCTCACAGGTGGTGAGATCTTCCACGAAATGATGATCAGACATGAGGTTGACACTGTGTTTGGTTACCCAGGTGGTGCTATCTTACCTGTCTATGATGCTATTTACAACTCTGACAAGTTCAAATTCGTTCTTCCAAGACACGAACAAGGTGCCGGTCACATGGCGGAAGGTTACGCAAGAGCTTCTGGTAAGCCAGGTGTTGTCTTGGTTACTTCTGGTCCAGGTGCTACGAATGTTGTCACCCCAATGGCTGACGCTTTGGCTGATGGTATTCCATTGGTTGTCTTCACAGGCCAGGTTGCCACTTCTGCCATTGGTACGGATGCCTTCCAAGAGGCTGATGTTGTCGGTATCTCTAGATCCTGTACCAAGTGGAACGTCATGGTGAAAGACGTTGCCGAATTACCAAGACGTATTAACGAAGCTTTTGAAATCGCCACCTCCGGTAGACCAGGTCCTGTTTTGGTTGATTTGCCTAAGAATGTGACCGCTGCTGTTCTCAACCACGCAATTCCAATCAAATCCACTTTACCATCAAACGCACTTCAACAGATCACACAAGCTGCTGCCACCGAATTCACGATGGCCGCAATCAAGAGATCTGCTGATTTGCTCAACCAAGCAAAGAAGCCAGTTATCTATGCTGGTAACGGTATCTTGAACTCTGAAGAAGGACCAGCTTTGCTCAAGGAATTGGCTGACAAGTGTCAAATTCCAGTCACAACTACTCTCCAAGCACTTGGTGCATTTGATCAAGAGGATCCAAAGTCATTAGACATGTTGGGTATGCACGGTTCTGCTTTCGCTAACTTGGCTATCCAAAACGCTGACTGTATCATTGCATTGGGTGCCAGATTCGATGACCGTGTCACTGGTAGTATTCCAAAGTTTGCGCCAGAGGCTCAAAAGGCTGCCACTGAAGGACGTGGTGGTATTATCCATTTCGAGATTGCTCCAAAGAACATCAACAAGGTTATTCAGGCAACAGAAGCCGTTGAAGGTGACGTTACAAAGAACCTCAGGGCATTCATTCCATTGCTTAATGAAGTGAAGGCTAGACCAACGTGGTTTGATCAAATTAAAAAGTGGAAGCACAAGTACCCATACGAGTACTCCAAGGAGACTCCAGGCTCAAAGATTAAACCACAAACATTAATTTCCGAGTTGTCAAAGCTTTGTAACGAATCTGGTAAGGAAACCATTGTCACGACTGGTGTTGGTCAACATCAAATGTGGGCTGCTCAACACTGGACCTGGAAAACCCCAAGAACTTTCATCACCTCTGGTGGTTTGGGTACCATGGGTTACGGTTTGCCAGCTGCTATTGGTGCTCAAGTTGCTAAGCCAGATGCTATCGTCATTGACATTGATGGTGATGCATCTTTCAACATGACCCTTATGGAAATGTCTTCAGCCGTGCAAGCAGGAGCACCAGTGAAAGTGTGTGTGCTCAATAATGAGGAGCAAGGTATGGTTACACAATGGCAATCTCTCTTCTACAAGCACCGTTACTCCCACACACATCAATCTAACCCAGATTTCATGAAGCTTTCCGAGGCTATGGGATTCGAAGGAATTAGAATTGAAAAGCAAGAGGACTTGATCCCAGGCTTGAAGAAGTTCTTGGCTGCTGAGAAACCAGTCTTGCTTGAAGTTATTGTAGAGAAGAAGGTTCCAGTCTTGCCAATGGTTCCAGCTGGTAAAGCCCTTGATGAGTTCATCGTATATGATGCTGCGGTGGAGAAGGCTGAAAAGAAGCTTAGATCTGAGCGTACCGGTGGTAAGCACTGAGTTCTTTGATGCATACTCAAACATGAAATTAATCCGCATCACAGTTGCATAATGACGTTATTATTTCTTTCTTATGTTTATTTGTTTTTGGTTATTCATGATTCTTTACGATAGTTCATGATTGGAGGGAAGGAGAGTAGCGTATAGGGGTGTCACTGCTTGAATGAGTTTCAATTCCTCATAATAGGAGGAAGACAAGAGAGAGAGAAAAAAGTTCCTAGTTGTTGTTTTTTCATATATATATATATATATTTCTACTTTTATTAAATCTTATTTTTTGTTAATCAGTAAACTGAGCTGTGTACAATTAGTTTTGAGTTGGCATGGATGTCGATGGTTTTGTTTCCTCCACCAAGGACGTCTTCCACAAGCTTGTAATGGTCTTTGGCTTTGTCAAGAAAGTCAAACCAGCCTGACCGTAGAAGTTCAAATCTCCCTGGAAGGAACCTTTACTACCTGTGAAGGAGAACATTGGCAATGGTACTGGGATTGGAACGTTGATACCAACCTGACCCGGCTCTATCTCCTTGACGAACTTCTTAGCATAGATACCTGAGGTGGTGAACAAAGCAACACCGTTACCGTATTGGTTGCTGTTGACGAGCTCGATCGCCTCATCCAATGTATCAACGTTGATAACACACAACACTGGGGCAAAGATCTCCTCGTCGTATGCAATGTTTCCAGGTGTCGCACCAGTCAAGATGGTTGGGCCCAAAAAGTATCCGTCAGGGAAGCCCTCAACTTTGATATCACGTCCATCGAGAACAACCTTAGCACCTTGTTTCACACCCTGTTCGATGATCTTGTGGGAGCGTTCTAAAGCAGCTTTGGAGATCAATGGACCCAAATGAGAACCCTTGTCAAACCCAGAACCTGTCTTCAGCTGCTTTGAGGCCTCAATCAAATCATCAATCCACTCTTTTGTCTCACCAACGGTAACCAAGACAGATGCAGCCATACATCTTTGACCAGCTGCACCGGCAAATGCACCAACAGTGGCATTGATGAATTGGGCCTTGTTGGCATCTGGCAAAACGACAACGTGGTTCTTTGCAGCTTCATTGCACTGTGCTCTCTTACCGTGTGCGATAGAGGTCTTGTAAATGTAATCACCAGCAGTTGAAGACCCCACAAATTGCACTGCTTTGACCAATGGATGTTTGATCAAGGTGTTGACAGTGTCAACTTTACCTTGAACCAAGTTGATAACACCAGGTGGGACACCAGCCTCGACAAGCAATTCTGCCAATACCGAGCAACAGCCTGGATCACGCTCAGAAGGTTTAATAACTGCCGTGTTACCAGTGGCTAAAACCATTGGGATTGTCCACAATGGGATCATGGCAGGGAAGTTGAATGGACAGATTGCGGCAACCACTCCCAATGGCTCACGGATCATCAAGGTGTCCATATCAGTAGCAACTTCCAACTGTTGCCCTTGTAGCTGCGTGGTAACACTTGTTGCGTACTCTGCAACTTGTAAACCTCTCAAGACATCACCCTTGGCGTCATCGAATGTCTTACCTTGTTCTGCAACAATCACTGCAGCCAATCTGTCGTGGTTCTTCTTGATCAACTCCACATACTTGAAGATGATCTGTTGTCTTCTCATGATGGACACCTTCTTCCAAGACTTGAATGCCTCGTGGGCGTTGGTGATCGCTTCTTCCAACTCCTCGGCAGTGGTCTGTGGACACTTGGAGATAACAATGTCAGTTGCTGGGTCGTGGATATCATACCATTCCGTGGCTTTGGAGACTCTGAACTCGTTGTTGATGAACAACGGAGTCAAGTATGGCTCAGTACCACTCTTGGTATGGCTAGTTGGGTAATCGGTGGTTGTGGAGTTGAGGGCGAACTGTCTTGTCATTGGTAAGCGTGAGAGTACTCCTTTACAGGCTTTACTTAGCATAAGAGAGGTTCCAATGGAGTCGAAGAAGAAAGCTGGAAGAAAGGGAAACAGTACGGATATTTATACTCCACGCTCCACTACACATCGTCAACAGCTGGCGGTTCAAAGCGTTTCCGTTATCAGCAACCGCTGTGAAAGCACCGTTGAGCATTGTGTCAGTGGCATTGAAGCGTTGGCGGGATGCGATGCCCGTAAAAGAGGTTTTTTTCTGTTTTTGTGTTGCTTTGCGTGTTTTTGTGTCGCTCGCCGCGTTGCGTGTGGCGGAGAGAGGGGATTTTTGGCGGTTTCCCCAGCAGCTTTCTCGTGGGATCAGCGAATTTGTGCGGAGAGAGGAACTACTGGTGTTTGGGCCAAGTACTTGACGCTCTCTCGACTGTTAATCGAAATAGAATACGTTGCTGCTGCCTTCGAGGGAGGCCATCAATCGGGAGAAAACTGACCAGTTCGCTATCTGAAAACGTCTCCAAGGGCTGGGCCTGCTGTTTCTGGCCGGCCTAAAAGGTGCTGAAGGTCGTACGTTGTATATCCAAAACTGCAGACTTCCCGGGGTCCTAAGGATGACTCCATTGCCCCAGATGGGTTGGATCAGTTCGGGGTAGGCTTCCCTACAAATAGTCATTTTCATTGTGCTGGAAGTTATTTGAGCGCGCGCGCACACACACACTCACTCACGTTGATGGCACTCCTTATTTTTTGGTAGGGACAGCTCCGACGGAGATGGCCCTCCTATTAGCAGCTCAGTTCCTCATTGCCAGTAATAAAGTTCGCTAATCTTCTGGCTACGCTTGTCGTGCAACTGCGTTCTGCCATGGCTGCGATAACAGAAGAGACTGTGATTGCAGTTCGCCGGTGGTGGCACTTAACAAGTTACGCACAGCATGTTAATAATGCACATGTTTGAGTAAAGGCTCGTTCTTTTCTGGTTTGGCTACGTATACAAATTTCGATATCTGGTTCCTGAATGTATAAAAGTAGCATGGTGCAAAGATTCATAGGCACGATCTATGTCCAGCTGGTGAGGCCCATCTCCGGTTCGCGCTCTATACGCAGGAGGAGGACTATGGCGGCGCGCACATCGGTTGGTGATCATACAGAAGAATGCACAAGTGTTCGGCTACTGTAATCAACAACAAAAAAGAACATATATAAGATTAGTACGAAGTGGAATGACTCAAGGGGATTCCACTTTGGCTATAGTGGTTATCCCAATGGGCCTGTAGATGTGGACACTTATAGCTTCCTGTTTCGTCTTTTTCCATTATGTGTTGATCAAGGTACTTTTCTGCGCTAAGCACCATCCCACAAGGGCAACACCCACGCGCGCCAAGCTTATCGCTAAGACTATTTACCCTCTTCACCATGGGATCATCAAATATGAAATGGGAATGTAATAAATGCTTCTTGAAATCGTACTGCCTGTTGAAGTACCCTGTCTTGTGGGGACACGATTCCCGAGGGTAAAGGCATCTGAATCTCGAAACCTCCTCGTGGATTCTCATATGACGGGCAATGTCCCTTATGATGAATCTACCGCATTGTGTACACTTCTTGCCTTGCGCAGCTAGAACGAGATCAGGCACACTCTGCGTATGGTTCTGTACAGTCATTGGCTGGTTTGCAAAGATATGAGGATATGTGGTCTCATAATTAGTTGGGTAATAGCCAGTTATACTGTCTGTCCCATGGTTCATTCCAGAGTTATTTGTGTAGTCAACGGGAACATGTACATAACTTGTGTGCAAACTATACTGGCTTGTTCCGTTATACATGTACTGCTGGTTTGGGAATGTCGCATAAGGGTAGCTTCTTTGATAAGTGGTCTCAAGTATATTGTCACCACTATTTGAATCAGAATGGTTGAGGCCAACGGCTGGCACACTAAGACTATTGACCCCATAAGGCGGCTGTTGAAACCCAGGTGTCAATTGGTACATGGACTGTGAAGGTAAGGTGGGTAGATTTTGTGATAAATGAGCCGCAAATGGTGGGTTTGTACCACTGGTCTGCTTATAATCAACATCAACCATATCGCTTTTATTCAGCTCTGTTGGCTTCTGGCGATTTACAATTCCAGCCGTTGGGGGAAAGAACAAGATTCGCAAGTTTGACCATCCATTATATAGAAGAACTTCTTGTCACCCCTTTTGGTGAACCACACATTTTTAACGCAGTTCTTCTATATTTTCTTGAGATATGTATATCACTGGTTTATGGAGTACAGTTATGAATAAAAGCTAAATATGACTATGGCTTTTCTTTGTTTGGTATTAATAACAACGTCTCAAATGTAACATGTAAAATCACTTGTTCTACCACAAGGTATACCTACGCATTTGTTCGTGTCACCTGGGTGGTACCATATTTGTTTCATGAAAGCATACAATCATTGTAGACTGCATGCCATGGTTACCGAAATTGTATACAGAAATGGCTGGTTTTTGGTGCTTGAGGTATATGTCCTGCAGAATCCTCGCTTAATAAAATTACAACCATTGGGATACATACGCATACTGATGCATTTCGATAAAGCTTTGTAAAGGATACGTTGATTTATACAGATTCAGTATCGTTAACAACCCCTTTGGAGCATTTTGGGGTGCGTTGGCCATAGACTTTCCTTTTGCATCAGTTGTGTATTTAGGGTTCAACTCTTTCCCGTAAATACTGATCGTGTTGTGAGACGTAGTATCTTTGGTATCCTTGGCTTCTAAAGTTCAATGTTTCCTGTTTTCATTCAGATATGATCACCTAAAACTTTTGACAACACTGTGATAACTGTAAAAAGACCAAAAAATCACACAATGAAGGCATAGGAGGAGTGCAGTGTGTTTCAGCAATTGCGATAAAGTATACATGGTGCCACCGCTTCCTACGGCTAACAATGAATGGCTTCACGCTCTATAGAAAGAAAATGTATGATTCTACATGAAGAATGAAGCCTTCTGTAGGTAGTTGTCATGGAGATAATTGGAACTGGCATTGGACTAAATTATTGCACATCTTGCAGCAATCAGGAGTTCTACAGTTGACTGCACAGCTTAAAGCCAAACTTATAAGAGCGATGCATACACATATGATCCCTTAAGCCATGTAATCAATAACTGTCACTGATTGACATAACACTTCAACCACGCATAAAGGTAGACATGTGCTTAGGTATATATTCTTAGAACCCTTACCGGTACCAAGGGTCTCTAAACAGAGTGATACGTCATTAAAAGGCAAAACTTCTTCCTACTTTGTCTGTGACATAAATACTCTCATTTACAGTTCCAAAATCATCAATATTTACGGTCTAGCAGTTCCAAGGATGTTAAATCGATTCTACAAACACGATCACATGGGATTTTGAAGGTGTGAAAAGGCACAGCACAATCATCTAGATAGCACTTATAAAGTGTTAGATGAATGTGTAATCCACTATAAAAGTTTGTTACATTAATATGAAATCCTCTGATCATTTCACTACAAAATTTCCGGAGAAGCTTTTTTCAAGTTATCACTCGAAACTAACGAAACTACAACAGCAACTCTTCTCAGCAATTACCAGTTACAAGAGTTTGAGTAAAATTATTCATAATTAGGGAATGAGTAATAGTCCCTGAGTTGTGGGTGATCTTAGCTTGTTTCATATTTGAGACGATGATATCTGGGAGAAATTTGCTGTCTTAGTCCTTGACACACCATACGGTGACATTTGAAGTTTTGCTTGGTAGTGAGGAACGTGGAAGCATGTGCCATGCAAGTCAACGCAGCCCTAAAATACCGACATGTTATCACGATCACATAGGATGAATTTCCATCTGGAACATGGTTTACCTTCTCCTGGGCAGAGGGATATGGTACACTTCTGGGAAGCTGAGGTCTCGTATCGGTACTTTTACAATCTGGTAATTCAAAATATGCTTGATGGAATCCGACTAATGTGCAGCGATTGTAGAAAGTTTAAGTTGAATTTGAGAACAAACGAAATTATCACTGATCAGTATGAGACTTTGGGAAAGGTTTCATGCTGACAGCCATGTATACCTCAGCTTGAAACTAATGGCAAGCAAGAGGATTATCCGTCTGCGGTGATAACTGTAACACTTTACTCACTTTGAAGCCGTACATTTGGGCATCATCATTCAACGTCCAACCTGCTCCTCCCCTCTCGCCCAGGCTTAGCATTACATACAGGAGATCAACAGCCACTGGCACAGTACGTGCTACACGTGTTACTGATTCATGATTGGAAATTTCATGATTGTTTCTCGATTCTTTATGTGTTAGTAGTGTTTTACTGGCATGTGAGCCTGGCTCCATGATGTTCATCCTCACGCTGTGGACCTGTAGCCTATCTAAGTAGAAAACATGAACAAGCATATCTTACTCATGTTTGTGCTTTATACCAGACCAAGGGTGCTTCAAGGATACTCTGCATGAGACCCTTCTTGGTGTCTGCCACCAGTAGTTAATTTTCTGAAGTTTTTATCAACCCCGATATCTACTGTTGAATCTTCTGTAAATATCTAGGGAGTAATAAAGCTAATACAAGCGGATTAATAGTTTCTCCAGATAAGTTCAAACATCAGGACTTACTTATCAGGATATGATAGCTCAAAGCAGAAACCACAAGCAACCAAGGGATTGCAGTAGTTCAATTCTAAACTTACCGTGATGTGTAGAAATTGGTTACATTGCCTAACAGCATATATATGCACAAAAGGATGTACAGCTGCCCAAATCCCAGAAGTAATTGATTTTTGGCAATACTTGTGCCATTTTCTGTAAGTGCTCTTGGAGTTTCTTACATTCAGCTGTTTACATGGGCTGTACCAACTACCTAAGGCTGGCGTGACACAAGAAATGCCTATTTGCACTTTGTTCGTCCTTACATAGCACATTAAAGAGGATCAACACTTGATGCATCATACAAGAGCCTGAAGTCGGTTTTGGAAGCGACATTATTTCTCGAAGCACGAAGTCAGTTGGGTGTAATGGAAGCTCTAACCATAATCAGTTTATCAGGCATTGGAAGTTTAAATATGTCATCGCTTCCAATGTATTAGTTAGTGATCATTCAGATCAAACATGAGCTCTGCCAGTCCCAGTTGTCCCAGTTAGTGGGTATGTTCACTGATAGGATAGGCCATTGCCAACGTATATATATATCTTTAATATAAATAAATAAATAATAAACATGATGTAAAAACAATATGTACAAGTCATAGCACATCTTTCAGGGAAAACTCACCAGATCCCCTATCAAGTGGCTTTGGTTGTGTTTCAGAGGCTTTCCATCCAATCATAAAGAGTACCCTGTATGTAAGAGGCAGCGATCCGTCACTGTCACCGTGGAAGACTTTATAAATTGCCTGGGTTGCTAGCAACAGATCTCTAGGAAGTGCACTGACTAATGTGTTCGTTGCATTTTGTTCACCCATGAGTTGCAAGTCCTCCAATATTGCAAAAAGATCAGGATAGCCCACAACAATCTCATCAACGTCGATGGTAACAAGGTTGAACCCACTTTGCTTCAACAAAGAGCTGATGTCGTTCACTGTCACCAAAGGTGAAACCCTTGCTGAGATACCACCACGACGTTCAGACTCTGCAAGTTGTAAAGATGTTCTGAGCTCGTACACAGAGTCCTCGCTGATCATGCTAGCAAGAAAGAGGCCATCTTTCTTCAACAACCCGTTGATCTTTTTCAATGTTAAGGGAAGGTCATTAACCCAATGGAGACTCATGTTGGACAGGACTGCGTCAAAGGATTCAGGCTTCAGATCTGGATGGTCCAACTCCTCTTCATCTCCAACAATCTTGGTCACTTTTAGCATATCGTTGTACTGATGGTCGTTCCACCTGTTCAGCATCGTTTCTGAAGAATCCAACATCGTCCAGTCAGAGAACTTCGAATTCACCATTTTTGTATCCTCATCTTCCCCTTCTACAAGTTGTTTCTGCAAATTTCCAGACCCACTTCCGATATTAAGCACTTTGGGGAAGTCTCTCTTGATAAAAGTCAATCTTTCAATGGCCCTGCGGGCAACTTCATCCCTTAAGTATTCAACCTCTTCTGACTGAGGTAAATTGGCAGCTCTTTCTCTCTGCCTTATCTTTGTAGCCCTGTTGAAAACTTCATATGGCTTAGTAGCATAACCTCTCAATTGTCTCACCAAAAATCTGTTCATCTTGCTCCTCCTCGTGCGAGTAGTTCTCTCTGTTTCGGTTTAAACTGATGAATTTTTTAAAGTGTGTTTTTCACTATTTTTTTGGCCCCAGCCCGACAATCATCTTGTAACAATGATTGTTAAAATACAGGAAAGAGCTACCAATGAAAGGAGCAATCAAGCACATATGTGGTTCATTTGGTTTCCGTAGATGCTATAGCGAACTCTCATCTATAAAATCACTCTCCAAGGAATTGTATCGGCTTAATGCACTCCAGGATCCACGTAGAGTGGAAGATGAGCTCCCCAGAATCTCAAAGAACATCATCACTAGCAAGAGGATTGACCAATTGACGTTACTGAATTATCAGACACTCGTTTCAAAGGTTTCAAGAAAACGCAACTGGTCTCTGCTGCAGAAATACGAATGGGAATTGGCTCCTTTGTTGAACAACCTCGGTCAAAATGGATACCTACAAAAGAGTGGATACGTGTTAGAGGTTGTGTCCATTCTCGAGCACATCACCAATGACTGTGACACGGAATCGAGATCAAAGATCTTGAAGACATTCAGACAGCCTCTGTTAGATACGATATGCTTCTCTATAAGGCTGCAGGACGATACGAGGTGTCACGATGGTGAGCTTCTCCGCCTATGGCTGCTCCAGGTGTTCTCCGCCTATTATGGGTCCTTGCCACCAGAGGATTATCATACAATATTTTATTCTGCTGTTCTAGCTGGTGATGCAGTAACTTTGAAAGAGCTTGTTACTGGTGAATTGTCTGTAAATATTGTTGCTGGTGAACGGCAGAACTTCGACATTTCTGAAGAAGCAGCAAAGAGATCAGTGGAAATATTTGCACAACGCGCTGATATTTCATCCATAGCTAAGATATGGAACAATAGACCGTTCACAAGCTATGAAGTTGGTCTCGTCACTGAATGTGCTTCCAGCATTAAAGACAAACTTGCCGTTATGGATATTGCAGTGCACGATAATGACTTGCAACTTGTACCAGAGGACTTTGACCATCTCGTTGATTCTATAAGTGCTGATTTACATACCAATGCCCTCAATAGAAGAAATCTAACACCAGATTCATCAGATTCAAGGAAAAGAAAGCTGAATTTACAACGTGTGGATATTACACGTTTTGCTGAGACACACTTTGATGATCAATTTGCCAAAAAAGATCAAAGGGTGAAACGAGTATTTGTTGATTCATTTTTGAAAGCATTGACTTCCCTTTCCAATACCACAGGAGTTGTTCATGGGTTTACATTGATTCCGGGGGATGTAATCAACATTGACATCTTCAATACGCTGCTTCATTCGTGTGCGAGAGGAGCCGGGTCTCCATTGACGGCAATGGCAATAAAGAAATATATGGAGAGTGTTTCGATGGAATCGGAACTATCAACAAAATGGTTTTATCAGGCAACGAAAGCAATTGAATGGATTGATACTGATGGTAAACCTGTGGATTATACCCCAGGAATCACCAATAAACACAACCCCTACAAGGGAAACAAATACGATAAAGCCGACGCCGCCACATTGACCAGATTCTTCAACAATCATTTGTCTCAAACATCGATTAAAGTATAGTCAGGTTGACGATCGTTTGAAGTCCAGTCAAATTCGTGGATCACTTCCATGGCCTTTGTATATTTTTCATTTCCTGTAATGGACAACTTTTCTGAATAAACCATAAAGAGCTCATCGGCAGCGATGGCACGTACCCGTGCAACTCTATGCGTGGTCATTATTGAAATTAGCGTAAGTTTTGCCTTCAACATTTCGGATCTTAGATAAAAATAACCAAACATTTTGATTGCACATTGCAATCGAGTAATATTAGTGGTTCCAAGATGAAGGTTGTAGATACGGACATATAGACCATCCAAGTTAAAATCTTCTGGGATTGGAATATTAGCTAGTAATATTCTTGTATAGAATTGCATACCAACAAGTATCTGCTTTGAAAGATGTTGGGACTTGAAATCCATCCTTTTATTAATTCCTGGTATCGGTTTGATCAAAGAAGCAATGTTCAATAGGATCTCCTTTTGTAATGCCGGTTCGATAGATGTATAAAAGTCACAAAATGCCCTCAAAGAGTCTGATATCAATGCATCAGTAGCCTTCAATGCACCACATGAAAATATATATCCTCTGAAGAACTCGATTCTGGAATCCTTTGAGTTCATCCAATGTGTTTTAAAAAACTTCAACAATTCAGAAAAGTAGTCAAAATGGCTTCTACTGGATGTGTCAACCTCATTGGTGTTGTAAAGTCGTTGCAAAAGTTCCGTTGATAGATTTCTCAATTTGTCGATAGGTTCAGATGACAATCTCAGTAACTTTAGTTCCAAAGTTGGTTGTGGAAGGTTTTCTAGGTTGTTTTGCACTAACTTCAAGCATGCCAAACGAACTTTAGATCCAACATCACCCTGTTCAGATATAGCATAATCGTCAAGTTCATTCAAGACGCATTGCATAAAAGATTCCTGTAACATTTGCCCAGATTTCAAATATTCGGAGACTGAATTCACAATTGCAGCTTTGACATTACAATCTGTTTTTTCAGATTCCAACAGACAAGCTATGTCATTAGTTTTCTCAGGAAAACATGGAAGGTAAGTCACACTTGAGGCGGTGTTCAAGTTTCCAAGTTTCATATAATGATACCACTTCGTCCAGTATTTTTCTTGTATGTGTATTTTGGGAGCTACCTCCTTCAAGATCTGACAAACATCGTGGTTATCCACCCTTATTGCGCTAAATACATTTTCGAGTATTTGATCATCACATTGTAATTCAAGGTTCAGCAGGGAATTGAGTAATGACAAATATGATAGCATTGCGAACTGTGTATCCTTGTGGTGATCGATCTTTATTGAGCGAAATACTGGAGTGATATCTTGAATGGAATCTCTTGACTGGAGCAATGGGATCAGCTCTGCAAGTGCTGTAAATGAATTAAAGGGCTTAATATCTGCATTTTTGATAATATGCCTCACTGTCTGATCCTTACATGTTTCATTTTCTGTTGTTAACAGCACCTTCAACGCCTTTGAAGAGTATTTCACAAGTTCAAAGTCGACATTTTCAATATTTTTGATCAAAAACTTGATAAAAGTAGGTTTAAGATCTGGGAAAATTTCTAGCACCTTTTGTGGTATTTCAAGATATGACTTATCAATTGATCCTAGGTCCACATAATCCAACGCTTCAATGAGTCTTATGCTCTTCGAGTGATTTGTTTCATCGTTTGGATATAGTTCAACCCAGGTCCTGACCCCATGACGTCCGATTAGTTCCTGAATAGCACTCGTTGCAGATCTCCTTATGAGGATTTCCTTGTCAAAACAGCACACAAGGAGTAAAAATGTGAATAGTCCTTTCACAATTTGAGAATCAAGTTGCCTTTTAGAATATTTTGCCAATGACCAAGCAATATAATTGGATGCATCACGGATATTTGAACCGGCAACAAAGGTTATTCTTGGTTGTTGGAAGAAAAGTGTTCTTTGAAGAATGTCCAAAATCTCCTGAAATTCTTGATGATTCATCAGGTTCATTCGTAGAAATTCTGCGAGGCACAACAACCGTGAATGCAGTATATCTGTATCTATGGTCTCAAAAGATTCCTTAGAGAAGAGCTCCCTTGTTGAGCTCAATGCGTCAAGCATAAGATCTATACCCATACAATCGTCGACTCTCGTTATCAACTTCCCGTACTGTCTTGCAAGTATAAATCTGGTATCGTTACTCTTGCTATGGAAACTATCTTGGAACCAGTTTACGATACCTTCAATGGTCTCCCAGTCATCTTCTTCTAATTGCATTAAGATAGTCATGAATTTGGACAATAATTTGGCAATAATACCAACGTGCGAAGTTTGACTTAAAAGTAATGAGAAAAATGGAGAAACTTTGTTCAAGTCTCGAAGGATAGTTCCGTACGAATCCTTGTGCATGGCAACATTTAAGGCCAGCAATAGTCCCTCTTGTAGTGCATCATCTGACTCTTCAAAGTTTTGCAATAGATTGTCGATAAACTTTGTCCACAAATCACTACAGTCGTGTCTCATTATCAGAGATCCAACCAATCTCGCACCTAAGGGCTGTAGTGGACCGGATTTCCCCAGTTTATCAACACCTATATTGTACAAATCCTCCTTTATATCTTGTCCAAACTTTTCAATTTGGAAGGGCGCCAGCACCAGGACTGTTAACCAGCATAAAAGCAGGTATTGTCTATGCCAGTGCACAAGAGATGAGAACTCCAGTGTCAATTTTGGCAACAGTTCAACGTTGGTTGGGAAGAAGTTCAGTAATTTCTTCGGAGTGACAATCTTCCCCAGGTTATAAAACACCTCCGTGATACTCCCATTCTCCGGGTCAATAGTGTACTCTTCCAAGATCAAATGGATGAAAGAGTCGAGGTATGGGTCTAACAGATGAGGACAAGGTTGAAATTGATGGAGATCTTCCAGAACTCGCTTGAGGTTGTGACGGGTATCCTGTTGCCTTCCTAGTAACTGTATTCCATCAATAATACTCTCATGGAGTTGCTTAGCAACCTTTGTCACCCTAAGCTCGTCAACGTCCATTGCCGCTGTTTTCTTTCACTATAAAGAGCTCATTACGCTTGATTCTTTGTTTACTTTTGGCTTTTTCCTTTTCGTTCTTCTTTGTGTCTGTGATATTTCTCAACACGCCCGCGCGCGATTCCCAGCGCCAGGACAAATTGATCAAACGCAAAGTGCTCTTCTGTTTTTGCCTTATGGCTGTTTCGCCTGCCTACATGTGAAGAATTAATTTGATTCTAATATTAACTTGTAAATAACCCCATTCTCCTATTCCCAACACATCGTCAAAGCTTGGACTTTTCACTGGTCCATTCATCACTTAGTATTCTATATCTACCTTTATGCTCAAAGTAGTTATTTGTTGAGCAATGTTGTGATTTCTTAAACCTCCAAACGTTCTGGAGGTGCTTGTAGTGGTAATCATGATGAACAGGATTATCCCAGCAGATCAGGTTTGGCCGAGGTTTGAAATGGGAATGGTAGTGCTCATTTGTAGCGTGGTACGTTGATTTGCACGTTAACATCAAATGATACTGATCCTGCTGAGTACAGTAGTTTATAAGGATCTGTGAGACGATCTCTGTGGGCAGTTTATCCAGCATCGTGTATAAGTCTATGAAATGGAGAGGCAAACCAGAGCTCAATGAGTGGGTAAATATCGAAGAAAATCCACTTAAAATTACCAACGACCACTGAGCTCTATTATTCTTACACACATCTCGAATCAAGTTTAGAGACTTTTCTTTCGTATAAATATCAAATCCCCAGTGTCTAAAAAGAAATCGCTTTTCGAGGTGTTTTGGGTGTCTTCGGGTGCAAATTCATGCATGGAAAACAATATACGACTTGTTCACGGCGAGTAATTTACTCAACAAAATGGGAAGACAGCTAGACCGGTTGGCTCGCTTTCACCATACCTTGTTTATTGCCTCGCCTATAGCATTTATGGTCTTTGGTGTTGTTCTGCAACATCCACCTATAATCTTGACATTACCAATTGCGTGTAGCTGCTCAACGTAGTCTACCCATGACAATGCTTCGACTTTTGCAGCGTCTTCCCACTTGCCGTTTCGATATATTTCACCAGAGTTTGGATACACAACCAGCGGTTTTCCAAACGGTCTCAACTTGGACAACCAATGCAATGAACTTGAAGATCCGAGACAGTTAACCCCAATACAGGTAAGGTTTTTACCCTTTAGACTCTCTGTTACAAATTCATCAAGAGGCGTACCATCAGCGAGTGTATCCTCTTTGACACTAAAAGATAGATAGTACGGTTTTTCTCTCTCGTTCATCATTCGTGTGAGAACACGAACTTCTTGCAGACTAGGCACTGTCTCCCATGCAATGATATCAACCCTTCTATCGTCACAAAGAATATCGAGTCTCTTTCTATGAAATTCAACCAGTTCTTCATCTGTAATGTTGCCATAATCCCCAGTGTATTCAGCTCCATTGGCTAAAGATGCACCAAAGGGGCCGACGCTCCCAGCTATAAACACTTGCCGGCCTCCATTGCACTTCATCTTGGCCTCATATGCCAAATCCACGCTTCTCTTGACAACCTCTGAATAGTCTTCATCTTTGAACCATTTCTTGACATTGGCTTCGCTGGTTTGGTATGTCGATGTCAACAAAAGTTCTGCCCCGTTCTGTATATATTCCTCGTGGATAGACTCAATAGTGCGTGGTTCGACTACGACCGCATGGGTAGACCAGAGCGCATGGCTCTGACTTTCCTGCGACAGAAGAGTGCCCAATGCTCCATCGAGTAAGATTGGTTTCGAAGAGCTAATTCGGTCAATTATCGACATAATTAACTAGATCCCACAGTTAACACACTTCTACAACTTGATCTGTAATGCCTCGATAGGGTGAACACGATTTGGACCTCCGCCAGCGCTCTGGTAAATCTCGAAATCACCGACAACTTTCGCGGTCAATTTACCCTGCGTGGATCCGACAGGTCTTGGCCAATTAATGTCTAGTCCCTCATTGATCAAATTTTGATTTGGAACTAACCAACTATTTGCTTCAAGGGTTTCTTAACTTTGTAGCGTAAGATTTCGTATATATGATCGCAACAGTATGTATGATGTAGATATTAGAATGATACAAATCTAGGCCCCGTTAATTTAATCTGATGATGGTTTGATTTGGAGATGTAACTTTTAATAGACTGACACATGGTTTTGTATAATACAGACGCTTGGCCTGGATGCGACGTGTCCTCTCAGAACCACCGGTGTATCTATTCTTTCATAAACTTTGATTGTATCTACCCCAGTTGTTTCAGCTATTTGATTACACTCCTCTGTAAATGAATTTTGGAGATTTATCTGTATCATTTCTCTTTGTCAATAGAAGAGGTATGAAACAATGCCCTTCGTAGTGACAACGTCCAAATTGATGTGAGATTTGTACTTTCGTAACTACTCTCCACTGTATGCGACGTCGTACGTATCACTTTCAGCCCTTTTGTATTGATTCCTACCGAGCATACTAAGAGTTGTAGTGCCTTGAGTCTTTCTTGGGAATCGCTTTTTACACATTCCAGTTTCGTCAAGACAGGTACGATATTAATAGATCATGAAGTTTTGAACCAATGCACTAAGTTGATGGTTTTCTTGACCTGGAATTGAAGCGTTGATCCTCTTGTCAACAACTGCTCTGCGGTGATTTCATCTTCTTCAGGGTTGAATCCGATAGTTCAATAAATGTGTGGCAGTCTTCTCTTTCGGGTCTCTGTGATGGAAACAACCTTGACAATTGTCCTCTTGCTATTTTTTGGTTGGAAAGCTCTGGTCAAAACAAGAGTGTGCAACGATGGTGTCTTTGAATTTGCAGTAAAAGGAAGGAAAATTGAAGGCGCATCATCTTCAGTGAATATTGTCATCATATTTTGGAATTTGGACTTGAAGAATCGAACATTCCTCAAGTGATTTGGTGGTGTAATCGTTGGAAGTGAGTTCCCTTTAACTGCTGTTCTGTTCTTGTATGACCTACATCAATAAGTCTATTTTTGTGTTGTTGAAGGCGATAATAGTCCATACTTCGTTAATCATTAGAGAAGCCGCCAGGTAGAACTCTTCAGCAAGATGATCTAACACATATCCTGGCTTCTATTCCTTATCTGTTCTCTGGCTTGCGTAGCGGCACCATGGAGATATTTGTTCCCATACATGACCTTCCAATCACTCTAGACATCATAAACCGGGTCAGTAAGCATCTCCGCTGTATAAGAACAAATCATGGAATCTCAAGGGGAAAGAAAACACTTGCACGGAGTATTGATAAAAGTAAAGCGACATGTAAATCTTTCCTTTATACGTAGTGAAATTGAAGTATGTTCTGCTCTTATGTTCAAAGTCCAGATCATAATCAAAGGCACCATCACGTCTAATTTCTTCTAGTGCTCTTTCCACTACCCGCTGCCGCACTTCTTCGTCTTTCTCTTATTATATCAGCCATATTTCCGTTATCAGGGTCAGGTAATGGCCGTTGTTGTAGTATATCTTCTGGTGGTGGTTCTCGTATCAGCACAGCTAATCTGTCTCAATAATTGCTCGGTATTCCTCTAGTGTCTTATCGTCATTCGTTTGAAGTTACTGATGTGTTTCTCTGTGTTATTATTCCTAACTCTTTGTATGAAGTAATGTGGGATATGTGTGATTCTGTTGATAAGAATTCAAATATAAACAAAACTGTGAAAACTGGAAGCATCCTTACATGTTTACACTTGCTGGCGTAACGAAAAACCAGAATTATACAGACAAATAACGGGGAGGTTGTTCTGGAAGATCCACAGAGCCAATCAAGTTAAGAGTGTGTATATTTGATTAAGTAGTTCAGCTGTCCTGTTTGGTCAGCTGGATTTTCCTTATGTTTTTGTTGTCGAGATTATAAGCAAATTCATGATTATCTTTTGACGAATTTTAGCAATTTATGAAAAGTTACATCTCAGGAAAGGTTGAAGATTACTTGCTCATGCTTGGTTGGAGTGTGACGTAGAGACTAGTACACTTTGGGGATTTACAAATCGTTTTGCTATTTTAACTAACACCATTGTGATTCTAATCCTAATGAACAAAAAACTGTCCGTGTATGGTCCATCAAAACCAGCGTGAGCAACTGACAAATGGACAGTAATCTCCCGGGGAAACGGTGAGCGTTGTACACAAATTTCACTATGAGAACATTCCAGTATCCAGAGTGTCCCAAGTGGGAACCTCCGACGGTCAAAACTTTCGTCCCCTCTCCCTCATCTACAGCCAATGAAATGTTGTTCCGCATATCGCCAAATCGCCCTTTGAAATGTCCGCTGGGCGATTTTAAACTTTTAAAATATGCGCTCCTGCAGCATAGCCTTAACAGTTTTTTACCTCTGCAGATTACAAAAGAGGAAAATGTAACAGTCACAGATACGGACTTACAGTGGTCAACAATTTAAGCGTGATCATCTGTTGCAACCCACCTTATTGAACACCGCTCGGCTGTTGAAGGATCTTCCCTTGCCCAAGAGCTCGAATACAATGTATCGTCAACTGGTTATAGTCGGGGGTCTACTTAGCAAGTACATAAACAAGTAAATTTGTGTCTTTCCCTGCGTTATTCAACCGTTTTGATTCCAAGCTTTGCTCTCTTGCATATTTGAATAGAAACCGTCTCGGCTTGGTTTGCATCTCAGTTAAACCAATACTTACGAAGTAGCAACATCTGGGAGGACGAACAAAACATTCCCACCCCACAACGAGTCAGGCAGCCCACCTCCACTGTCCATTTTGAGCTCCTGTTCCGGCGTCGAAGCGGGTTTGATTCGAGAATGGAATACGTCGTCCGGTCGATGCGCTGTTGAGTGTACACTGTGCTATAGGTCATATGCATGACTCACAACCTTCTGTAACAATCTCTTCATTAAAGACACCAAGTCATACCCCAAATTCCGATGCCTTTAGCGGAGGTGTGGAAGGGAGAAATTTTTTTCACCTAATGTGATATGCAATGAGTGAACGACTTTGAAGCAACTATGGACATGTTATACATATTCATGTGTGAGGGTGGTGTATACGTGTGGAAAATTTTGCTGTAGTTTAAATACCACCAGACATCCCTCATTCCTATCAAAATAGTGAGTGGAGCCTTAATCACACTACCTCAAGATTGTCCTGTGATTATGACACCAAACGAATCTTTATCGTCAATAGATAAGGCCATCTCCCCGGCTGATGAAAAACGCTCTCAGAATGCCATCGATGACAACATAGACTCTCTTGACATTACGAGTCCTTTCCCCACGGATGAAGAAATCAAGGTCAAGACAACGGCACTTGCCAAGGAACTCGATATCAATGAGAGACGACTGATGTGGAAGGTTGATCTCTGTGTTGTTCCACCGTTTGTCTTGCTATACTTTTTGGCATTCCTGGACAGAATCAACATTTCAAACGCTAACGTCTATGGTATTTCTCGAGATCTAAACCTGGTTGGTAATCAGTTCAACACGGCACTCACTGTGTTCTTTGTGCCATACATCTTCTTTGAAGTGCTTTCAAATTATGTTATGAAGAAAGTTCCACCTCATATCTGGCTCTCCCTTTGTATCTTTTTCTTTGGAGTCGTTACCATTGGAATGGGCTTTGTTACAAACTTCGGAGGCCTTGTTGCTTGTAGATTCTTGCTTGGTCTTTTCGAATCTGCAACTTTCCCTGGTATCTTTTACATCATGGCGACATATTATACAAAATTCGAAGCCCAAAGACGTATATCTGCCTTCTTCTCTTGTACATGTTTGGCTGGTGCTTCAGGGAGTGCCCTTGCATACAGAATACATGACCTTGACGGTGTTCATGGTTACGCCTCATGGCAGTGGATCTTTATCATCGAAGGTGCATTCACCGCAGGATTGGCATTCTTTCTGTTCTTCCTCATCCCTGACTTCCCAGAAGGGTCCCGATTCCTCAAATCAAATGAAAAGGAGTTTCTCAAGAGAAAGTTGGAGATCAGTTCGGTCTCTTCAGGATTCGAGGTCCATCACACATGGAGAGATATGCTTCATGCATTCAAAACTGATCCACTCTTCATCCTTTCTGCCTTTGCATATTTCTGCCTGATTATTCCATCATACGGTTACGCGTATTTTGCTCCTACAATCATCAACCAGATGGGTTACACCGCACAGTCGGCCAACCAGCATGCTGTGTATCCATGGCTCTTGGCCTTTGGTGTCTCTAACGTTGTTGCATTTTGCTCTGATTTTACCAAGATTCGCACGCCATATGCCCTTGTTAGTGGCTGTATCGCCATTGTTGGTCTCTCTTTGGTGCTCTCTCTGACAGATGATCCAAACGGGAGATATGCTGGTTGTTTCCTTACAGCCATGGGTCTCTACACAGCCATGCCACAACTTGTGTGTCTCACATCCTTAAACTTTGGTGGTCATTTAAGAAAAGGTTTAGGTACTGCATTCCAAATCGGATTTGGTAACATTGGTGGTATCATCGCCACTTTTATCTTCTTGAAAGGAGACTCTCCACAGTACAAAAAAGGGCTGAGTATCTGTATTGCCTTCACTGCACTTGCTGTCATCATGTTCATGGTGATATGGGGGTATTTGGCACTGTGCAATAAGAAGAAGCAGTCCACCGCATATCAGGAGAAGTGGAATAACCTCTCCGAGAGAGATCAAGTCCTTGCTGGTGATAGACACCCATCATTCAAGTATATGTATTAGATTATTCTGTTCTGCTCCAAATCCCTTATGTATCGTTTACTCTATGATTATCTGTACAAATGAATAAAATAGAAACAACACACTATTGGAACCAAATGATTGGTTGGCAGCTGATTTGTATTATTGAGATTTAGTACTGACGCGAAACAAAAATCGTTGAATGAGACGCGTCAGCTAAAATCTCTACCGGAGGAAGAAAGAACTAGGCACTCCAACTTTTGCTAGCCAATTGGAAGAAGTTCACTATGACGCCAATGAACGATTACTCCGATATTGAACGTGCACTGCTCCAGTTCATCATTTCTACTCATCCCTGTGAGCAGCGTGAACTAGTCATGCTCCATAACAAATTCACGGCAGAGTACGTGAACGAAACCATGTCTGACGAAGTCATCCAAGCACTACGTGAACGCCATCTGGATGAGTCCATCGAGCTCATAAACAACAAACTACACCCCTTGGGGTACGAAATTACCCATACAAAGTCACAAACCACTGGTTCTCTGTACTATTGCTACGTCAATACCCAACAGGATAGTATCTCCCAATCTGCAACCATTTTTTCCAAATCTGAAATTGAGTGTATCAAGAACACCGTGGAAGAACTATTCACCAATCCAGAAGAGACATACCACGTCTCTTCCACAAGATTCATGCGAATCTGTCAGAAAGAGAACAAGACTCCCTCACAGGCCGAACATTTGATGCGTAGGTTGATCTCCGATGGCTGGTTCGACTTGGAACAAGGCCATCTCACCTTGGGGATCCGTTCTCTTGCAGAGCTGAAAAGACAACTCATGAACGACTTTGGAGTGAAAAGCAAAGATACTCCCAATGGTTGTGTTGCTATTTGTTCCGGTTGCAAGGATATTGTCACTAAGGGAATCAGAGGTGCCAAATGTAGAGATGGATGTTGGGTAAGGTTTCATACTCAGTGTAAGGAGAACTACGACCGTGCAAGACGGGATACAAATGATGCAAATATATGTCATGGATGTTCTCAACAGTGGGAATCCATTGATGTTGGTGCAGTCCCACATAAAACTGAGAGATATCACTAATAAAACTATTCACATGGTTCTAAATGATCCTAGTGCTCCCTCGATGACTTCTGCCTCTATCTCATCAACAAGGTCCCACACTATATCATCGGCAATGCTCTGATCGTACAACTCGTGCAATTCACGTACATCATAATCCAAACCAGTGGGTTTGAACTGAAATTCAGGGCCAGCATTCAGCTCTGCAACACCACCGTTAAACACAGAGATGGTTGGATAGTACCCGAGTGAACCGTTGTCGACGTATTTACCTTCTTTGTTAAACTTGTTGCTCGTGAGCTCGGAATTTGGTGGTAAGAATGAATACAGCTCTTCAAAACATGTGCCAATAAATTCACCATTCTTGTAGACTTTTATAGAACTCCCTTGCAAAGTTTCTGGTCTCCAGGAGTCGGTATCAGCAATAGCCTTTTCTCCAAAGACACTCATTGGGTTTAAGAGGTGTCCCATCTGCTTTGTCGCAACGTAGTCAAACTTCTCATAATATAAATTGCTCTTGTACCTCATGGCAACTTGAGAACGTGACACGTCTGTGAATGGTGTTGGTGGAAGTTCAACGAGTAAGCCTATAACATCGCCCTTCTTGAAACCGCCATCCATAAAAGGTTTGGGCCTTGATAAATGAACCTTATCACCAGTAATGTCTCTTAGTCCATATCCGTACCCGTCAAATCCTATTGGAGCCTCCAGACTCGCCTCTCTTCTTCCAATCCCCAATCGTACGTGTCTTTCAGAATCGCTCTCCAAAACATTAAATTCAAAATACCATTTACCCTCTTTTATAGCCACGTTTGCCCTTGCAGATACCCATCCTCTTCCAGTAGTCACTGTGGAATCGTCATGGGATAAGTATGTCAAAGCTGAACGATCAAATATATCCAGCGATGTCTTATAAGGTGGAATATCTGCCGTGGAAAACTTCAGAACCTCCAGTGTCGGGTTAGGACGACAAGGTTTATACATGAATCCCTGTCTCGTGTTCAATGGAACGTCAATGATATTGAATCCATTCTCATGAGTTGTAACCTGTGGGTTGAACATCTCAAAATCAGACGCTTTATAACCAATGCCGGGCTTGTACTTGTTTATGACAATGACTTGTTTCTTGTCCAATGATCTGGTATGGTACATCGGAGAAGCTGATCTCTTCTCAGGAATCAAGGGTGTCACCTCCCGTGGTTCATCCTTAACGACAGGGCCTTGAATAACACCTCTGGCGTCTTCTGGAGCCATTGACACTTCGGTCGAGTCCACGTCATTGGACTCTCGGACAATCTCTTTCTCACAGTGCTCAGACTCTTGTTTCACAGGCACAACATCAGGTGCGCCATCAGAGCCGACAGCGTGATTAGCATCACCAACAACACCGGCTTTCAGTTGCTCAGGATCCATTCTATGAGACCGGAATGTTCCATCATGGTACAAGGTGGAATATACACACAGTATCAACAGCCAACTTTGTGTTACTGCGTGGTTTTTCCTCGTTCTGCTTGTGGGTGTCGTTGTCAGGGTAACCTCCCGATGGAGCCAGGCGTGGAAAGTGGTTACAAGGTTGCAATGGCACGTACAATGACAAGTTTCCGATATCGTTAAGGCATTGTTTACTAACTATTTGTCGTGTATATACATGTGACTCGTGACTATGTTAATTGAAGAGAGTCTGATGAAGCTAGTTTGCATTAGTTGATAGCGTTAGATGTTGTCTTTAATATGTCCTTTGGCCCTGGTCAGAGCGATGCCCATCTCATGGCACTAACCTGTTGATCAACAACAGACTTCATATACATTGCGGTATCCATGGCACAAGCCAATTGATCATCACACACCGACTTTATTATGCCGTTCTTCTGTTCAATCTGTAATTTTTTCCTTGGGCTTAGTTTCACCTTATGCGGTAACCGTAGCCCATTATCAACCCCGAGCCAGCGGACAGATTGCAATGAGTCGTCCCTTGTTCGGGATTTGTTAATCAAGTTTCTCACTTGAGTGTGCGTTTCGAGTATGACGGTGTCCCCGTGATACTCGTCTGCCTGTGAACCCACCTTTTGGACGAAATGGACCCTTCTATCGTTGACCAGCAACTTCCATAACCAAACCTCCAAGGACGTTTGGTCGAAAAGTGCGCATTTGTCGTAGTGCACCCCAGGTTTGGCAACGAGTTCACCGCTCTCTGTGCGACCAACTCCTTCCAAGAACATCAAGGACGACTCCTTCCTTTGAAACATCGCATCCTCCAATACCTGGAACTTTGACGAGACTGGAGTGATGACCCATCTCTTGTCCTTGTCTTGCCTTGGTGGGTAATACCCCTCAATGATGATTTTTATCTGAAATGGACTGAAATGTTCCAGTAGACAGCATGCTGATAGTAACACAGCAACTGTGTTTCCCTTAAGTATCACTAACATGACATAAGCAACTCTTGGACGGTTAAATGTACAGAAGCAGCAGGAGTCTTCATGAACAATGACAGGGAAGAAACCCCCATAGGGGTGTTAAAATTTTTCTATAGTCACTGTCGTCTATGTATGTGCGCTATTACTGTACATGTTAAAACTGTGGCTTTTGTGTCGTGATGCAGAGTGATTTTTTTTTGACTCGGTTCGTATACTAAAAGAGGAATCCAAGCCCTTCGGCTACAAGCTACATACGATTTAGTGTATCGGTGAATCATTTATCAATGGTCTCGTTACAATCGAATTAGTACATTAAAACCACTTTGCATAGTATAATACCCGTATTATGTGCCTGTCCCTGCTTTATTGTTTGTTTGTTTTCGTGCCTTCCCCTGTGTGCTCTCCATATATGGACCCTCTAAACCGGGGTCAACTCAAGTGAACAGTAAAGCTGCTTGGATCATCGGTTACTTTCAAAGAGGTGTACTCAACCTCCACTGTTGGATCAACTTCAACCTCCTCCAGCGTCGTATTCAACTCTTTTAATTGTTGCAGCGTGTAATCAAAGGGCTCGGTTTTCGCTATGGAAACGTGAAGGGCGTCTTTCGATAGCTCTGGTCCCCGAATCAGTGGTTCACCATTTGTTATATCATCGATAACATCTGAAATGAGGTCGAACAACGACTCTGTGGCATGTCGTGATTCTTTGGAAAGGGTCAGCGCTAGGAAAGTACTTGACATGTTATTGTTGGGTACTACACATACCTTGTCGAACCTCATGATGTATTTCCTTAGTGGTAATCTCGACACTTTCGTTCTCAATTCAGATTTGAACCGGCTTCTCTGATCAATGGATAAGTACACATTGGCTGTTAACGATAAATGCAGAGGCTGGGTAACGTTCAATTCGTTCTTATAAAGAGCAGAGTACCGGGGAGGCCTTAGACTGGAGTGCTTGCACACGGTGTTCGCATTGTTGATCACCTCTTTGAGAATCAACTGCAAAGACTGTGATGGGATGAACTCTGCAGAGGTATACACGTTCTGAAACCCCGGCGGAACAGTCAGAAGGTTATGGTACGCCAGTCTCATCCTCTTTGTGACATGAGATGGAGAGGGACGATGAGATTTGATGTCAATTATGGAATCAGGAACCGGTGGTAACGAATCGTTGTTTACAATGGGATCAGTATCACCGTCGCTGTTTGACTCGCTATCAGAGCAATAACGCGAAATTGTGTCCATCAACACCGCTGTGGAGTTGCACACCTCCGTCCCAGTGTACATTAATGTTATCCACGCCAGGAAAACAAACACACGTTGTGAACCTGTAAATCTACCACGAGTTCGCGGCTTTACCGGTACAGACACACTTCCAATAACAGCGCTGCGAATTATGTCGGATCCGTTTAACCATGGAGAGAAACGAGGGTAGAAAAAGCACTCTCATCTCCCACAGGCAGAAAAGGGAGAAGAGATTAGACGGTGACTTTGTCTATCACAACCAATGGTTCCCTATTCATTGTAATACAACTCTCCATGACCCTCTCAATGAAACTCGAATCGTCAACCTGCCACCTGACTTGGCCTCTTTCCTTTTCCCTACTCACACTTTCCATGCTGATAACCCCGTGTATATCGGTTGTCATTACCCACCTTAGATCAAAAGCCGTAGTTCGCAACCGCCCTCGGTTTTCCCACTCCGTTTGTAACCCCAATGTCGCTAGGACAGGCCAACTTGCATAACTAGGGGGATGCTCCCTTCAAAATTTCGTTGTTGGAAAGGAACCAACAGAGATCAGAAAAAACCGGAAAGGTTAAAGAGATTTTTTTGCTTGAAAGAAATCACTCAGTTCGTTCAATATTCTTCCTCCCTTCAAGTTCTATTGCATTTGTCGCCGTTGTATCATTCTATTGAATAGTCAGTGACATATCAATCCATACACGTTTTGAGAAGAAGATATCTGTCACAGAACCCACATAGACCAAAAAGATGCTTGCTTCAAGAAGTGCCCGTGTTGCTCTCAAGAGCACAACCACAAGAGTCATTGCATCCAATGTCTCGAGAAGAGCTCTCTCTCAACTCAGACCTGCTAGCAAGACCTTGTTTGCCACCTCTGTTAACTCTGTGAAGCGTTCTGCCTTTGCTCCATCAGCCCCAATCACTTTGGTGCGTATGAACTCCACCGTTGTCAAGGTGCCAGATATGGCAGAATCGCTTACCGAAGGTACCTTGAGAGATTTCTCGGTCAAGGTTGGTGATTTTGTCCAAGCTGATCAAGTTGTTGCTACCATTGAAACTGATAAGATTGATGTCGAGGTCAATGCTCCATTCTCTGGTACCATTACCGAGCTCCTTGCTCAACCGGAGGACACCGTCGAAGTTGGCCAAGATTTGTACAAGATTGAACAAGGTGAAGCCCCAGAAGGTGGTGCGACTCCTCCAGCTGCCGAGGCTCCAAAGGAGGAAACCCCAGCTGCTGAGACTCCTAAGCAAGAGGCTCCAAAGCAAGAGGCTCCAAAGAAGGAGGCTGCTGCTCCAGCTCCAACCCCAGCCCCAGCCCCAAAGAAGGAGGCCCCAAAGAAGGAGTCCAAGCCAGTTGAGACCTTCACTGCCTTTGCCAGAACTGAGAGCCGTGTCAAGATGAACCGTATGCGTCAAAGAATTGCAGAGAGACTTAAAGAGTCCCAAAACACCGCTGCATCATTGACCACCTTCAACGAAGTTGACATGTCATCTATCTTGGAGTTGCGTAAGCTTTACAAGGATGAGATCATCAAGAAGAAAGACATCAAGTTTGGTTTCATGGGTCTCTTCTCAAAGGCTGCTACTTTGGCTATGAAGGATATCCCAGCCGTTAACGGTGCCATTGAAGGTGATCAACTTGTCTACAGAGACTACGTTGATATCTCTGTTGCTGTTGCCACTCCAAAGGGTTTGGTTACCCCAGTGGTCCGTAACGCTGAGTCCCTCTCCGTCTTGGAAATTGAGCAGGAGATCTCCAACTTGGGTAAGAAGGCCCGTGATGGTAAGCTCACCTTGGAAGACATGGCTGGTGGTACTTTCACCATCTCTAACGGTGGTGTCTTTGGTTCCCTCTATGGTACTCCAATCATCAACTTGCCACAAACCGCCGTTCTCGGTTTGCACGGTGTCAAAGAGAGACCAGTCACAGTAAACGGTCAAATTGTGAGTAGACCTATGATGTACTTGGCCTTGACATACGATCACAGAATGGTTGATGGTAGAGAGGCTGTCACTTTCTTGAAGACAGTCAAGGAATTGATCGAAGACCCAAGAAAAATGTTGTTGTACTAAGCTTGCACGTTGACTTTAAGGATCTCCAAATAGGGATATATACTAGGTTTGTCATCTTAAATGGTACATATATAAGTGCTACTTTTTTTATTAAGTATTTATTGACTTCCTTAAATGCACACACTCGCCATAAATCAAGACTATTTACATGAGAATCACTAAACAGTTAATCAAAAAGCTTTGTTGGTAGTAGTTTTAAGGGCTTGGTCACTTCATCCTTATCGGCTAATCCCAATTGAACCAAATCTCCCCAGAAGACTGACAGTTTATCTCTTGCGTACTTGAGGTATTCGAAGGAATCCACGTCCGTTTCACCACTTTCCTCTTCCACAACTTCCTCCTCCTCCAGCTGTTCTTGATCGGAATCTTCAGTGACAATCTTGTATTGTTCACCATTTGGACCTTGCTCAATAATAACATCCTTGATTTGGGACTTATCACCATTTTGCAGAATCGCCCACAAAGCCCAGAAGATTGACACTATTGGTCTCCAGAGAATGCACTCGTCGTATAACTTCTTGGCCTGGATATCCAACTTGTTGATATCGGTTTCAGCGTTATTGAAGATGATGTAGGAGTGGATCAAGTTGAACTGCTCCTCCATAGTTGGGAAGTCTGACTCAGTAACTGCATATGATTGTGTTGGGTGGTTGTAATTGTGCATCCATTCGCAAAAATGGTTAGCGATGTCGAACTGAGGAGGATTGGCACCAGAATATTCAAAGTCGATGACGACGAGATTCTGATCTTGTTTCTTCTCCTGTTGAGAAGGTTTGATATTCTGTAAATTTTCAAGGCTCAAATTTGAAAAGTTGGTACGGAGTGACTGTTGATCTGAGATTTGTGACTGAGATTCACTTTCAGATGAGTTGGGAAGGCTCTTAGACGTGAATAACAAGTTACCATATTGAGTATCGTTATGGCAAAAGACCAAAGTCTCATTGAGGTTCTTGTAACGAGACTCGATCCATTTTTCGTACTCCTCAATTTTGCTCTGCAAAAATTCGAATGAAGATCCCAACACTTCTTCCGGTTCAACTCCCAAATTTGGATTTGCTAGAAGTTCCTTGACCACAGGTAACCATTTCTTGATGTTTTTAAACGATGATGGCCCTTCATTTCTCTCTTGTTGTGTCAATTTGATACCCGAGTGCAACTCTTTCATTCTTCTAGCAATTCTGGCGCTTGTCTTCTTGTTCATGATATCGCTCTTAGTTAGTGTGATTGCGTTATCCAAGAACTGCTCAATCCGACCATTTGTGAAGCATCCAAACAAACGAGGCCCAATGTGCTGCATAGAGAGCCTCACAAGGACTTTCAACTCGTAGTCCCTATCGATGATAGATTCAACGTTTGGACCGTAAACTCTTAGCAAGAGCACTGGGAAATTGTGATGGGACAGGTCCAAGTTCCTCAATACGGTGATAGAAGGAGCCTCAACTTTATAGATAGCGTTTGTCAAGGCACCTGAAATTCTCTTTATGGAGATATCCTGAGCAGCGTGCGAAGGAAGTCTATGCCACTTCGAAACGTGCAACTGCTGAAGAACGGACAACAAATCTTGCTTGAAATAGTCAACAGGGAGAGAATTATCCAATGTAGCTACAACAGCAGGGATGTCAACAGTTTCTGTGTCAACAGCACTGTCTTGTTGCTCTAACTCGATAGACTTGAAGGATTTAGCACTGTTTCTGCGCGATCCCAGCGTGGGTCTTCTTGAATGCGAATGGGATCTCGACTGAGAACGAGACCTTGAAGGGTTCGAGTGGAAACTGGAACGGTGACTTCTTGTTTGCTGTTCTGCTGGCATCGCTTGAATAGTAGGGGAAAAGGCTTTCTCGGCTCCTTTGGTTGATTGCTGTGCAAAAATGTGGGCGTTTTGTGGTTTTCTTTGTGTTTGCCTTTGTTTTTCAACATTTGACAGTTTTCCATTTGTTTTGGGCCCTATAAAAGTTTTCGGTTCCTCCGTACTAAATCGGCATGTGATCGTCAGACCTATAGAAAGATTTTCCTTGTCCATTTTGAGATTGTATCATTATTGACAAAGTTTTATCTTTATTAGATGTGACTCGTATTCGATTTCCCCAATTACTCTCTTTAAAGAGACGCCAATGTCCTCTTTGAGCTTTGTATACCTTCGAGTGTCAAAGGTGGACTAATTAAGCTGCGGTTAGATAAGCTGCTAGAGCTAGAAGCAAGTTAAAGTCTTATCGGATTAACCTTAGTGGGGATTTACGCGTGTGTGAAGCCCCAAGGACTTACAAAAGAAGTGAAGGACGATATAGACAGTTCTACCCCTCTTCCCTCTACCGCCGCATTAATTACACTGTTATTCGCTAAAACTTCCGATTCGGTTATTGCTTAAGGTCGTATACAAATGAATCCAAATGAACCGCGTATTTCAACTTCTTGACGTCTTTTTCATCGTCATTGTCAAAGAATGCAAATCCCAGTGGACCACGATCACACTCAGAACAGATGATTAGTCTTTCGACTTTCACACCGGACTCGACAAACTGGTCTGTAGGTTTGGAGACTCCAATGTTGTCAAAATCCCACACATCGTCAACGATGATGAAGTTATCGGTAATCGCATCTGTAGAAACATCCTCTCCAACTTTTATGAAGGGAATACCGGTTTCAATGCGCTTAACAACGTTGCACTTGGGCGTTATGATGCGCGCATTACACTGTGAATATGGACATCTGAGTACAGCACTTGAGAGGTTGATGTCTGGGTTATAAGTGTCCATTCTATCCTCTCCTTTATTTGCCAGCTTCCCGCTGTGCCTCTCCAGTAAAATCACCGGAGAAATTTTCCAATACGTTTTTTGTCCAACCTTTTCCGTGCGTTTTATCTACCCCACGCTTTTCCCGCCCAAGCTGTATTTTTTAACCCCGTGTGTCGCCCCTCAAAGTTTATCGAGGAACATCAAACCTCGGTGCCAAAACCGCTCTAATAAGATACAAGTACAAGTTACAATTAGCCCATCACCTCTATTATATTCACGCACATTTAATATCACATACCTAAGAAAAATTATAGATCACACAGTTCATCATCATTTTTGTTGTGGAGCCGGGAACCCCAAGTTCAAACTACGCAACGGCGGTAACTCATTCGAAAACGTACTCGAGGTTGGTCCCAGCTTTGGACTGACAGCTGGTGTTTGTAACGGCGTAGCCTCCGGAGTCTTACCCAAACGATTCGTTATGGAAGTGGCCCCGATGGAGTTGTTGAGCACATTCTGCAAGTTTGTGAAAGAATTAGGGTTGGAATTAAGCAGAGAAGATTGAACGCCATTATTCGTGGAGCTAAACGCCGTCGATGCGAAAACAGGGGACTGTGGCATGGACGGCGAATTTGGACGCGATCTCTTGAGTCGATCATGATTGTAGTAGTTATCATCCTCCAAGTTCTCATTCATAGAGGATAACGAACTTTGTGATTTGGACTTGTTCAAACTCGCACGACCGGCTGAGATGGGCGAATTCATCCTCAGTGGGGTCATTCTCTGCAGAGAAGATAACGAGTTTAGAGGGTGCGGATGGTGAATAGGAGCACTAGGCAACTTTGGAGATGTTGAAGTGGACTGTGTCTTCATAGCCTGTGTAGGTGGAGGTGCAAAAGGCTGGTTGTACCTTGAAGGGTCAAAGAAGGAAGTAAGGGAAGGTAACGACTTGACGGATTGTAATTTTTGTTCCTTCTCCAGCTCCAACGCAGCTGCCTTTGCAAGAATGTTGATATCGAAAAAAGACGATGGATGGCTTTGACCATTATTGCTTCCCGTACTTGAATCCAAATGTTGAACGCTGTTGCCATTCAAAGTAGTTGTTCTTGGGGGTGAATTTGGAAGCGAAACTGTCGTGGCCAGAATATCCCTCTTCAGTTGAGCCTCCTTCTGTTGTGTTGTAATGGTATATATATCATCCTTAGTCTCCTCGGACACTTTAGATTGTATAGGTTGCTTCTCAGCCTTAACCTCACCTTGTTTTTTCTTCAAGTTGTACGTTCTTCTTCTCGCATTGGGGTTGTTGTGGATTCTCGAGTGTCTCGTTAACTCATCCGATCTTGAAAACTTCTTGAAACAGCCTGGGTAAGTACAAGCATGGGGCTTTTCACCTGTATGTGTTCTTATATGTCTAGTCTGGTGTTCTAGTCTGTGAAACGCCTTTTCACACATAGGACATTTGTATGGTCGAGGAAGATCCTGCTTTTCCTTTGCTGGGGTGTTGGTCTTTTTTTTCTCCTCCATCTCTAATCTCAGACCTTTTACTTCTAGAAATACACAACTCGGTGAGTTTGTTTAAGCCTGGAACGATTATTCAACAGAAATTAATCTTTCAAAGGTGTCTAGGTTATACACTTTTCAACAAGTTTCCCCTGGTGGTGAGAGCTTTTGTAGATTTTTTCCCTGTTTTTTTGGTCTTCAACCCCAGGAAAAACGAGAAAGAGAAGTGGGAAAAAAAGAAACGAAAGCTGCCGGGTAAAAAAAAGTTTGGAGAAGAATTTTTTAACACGCCGCAAGTGGAGAGAGAACTTTACACACGCCGCCCTCCTAAGTTTTTAACAAATGAGTCCAAGCCCATCACACAGGAGGGAAACCTCGACGACTACAGTGGGTTTAAACGCAGCACAAGCAACAACAACAAAAAAAAATGGCAAAGGGGTAACTATTTGAGCAGCTTTTCTTGAAATGGACTCCTAGAAATAGGGGGGAAATGGATGTATTCTACATCCACACATACTTTTAGGAGGGGTCTCGGTGTTTGACTCTTTATTCAATTGTTTGGAAATTGAACACCTGAACATTGAGCGCTGAGCTCTGAGATCGAAGTTGTTAAAGACAACAAGTTAAACCTTTGTGTATGCTGTGACTATGGCACTACCAGTGGCACTTAACACTGGTACACTCACTCCCTTATGGCACAGAAAGCCATAAGATTTCCGTGTGCAGGCACGCATGTTCTGAGCGGCAATCGCAAACCGCAACTCGCAGCATGTTGAACGTGTGTGTTTTTTTGGCCAGTTTCAAACCTCAGCTGATTGCATGTTTGAGAAATGTCGATTTGTAAGAATTTTAGATGAAACTTGAGAGTCGCAGAGATCCAGCTTTTGGAACGGTGCCATAACGTGATTTGTTGTTGACTTGACATTTATGAGATCCTACACAGTTTCGCCAAACTTGATTTGAATTGTGGATGTATGCTAAACTTAGTACAGTAACTGTATACATAGTATCCCGGAGCTTGAGAAATCTTAGTTAACTAATCTTTCATGCATTCAAGTCCACCCTGGGAGGCATATACACAAATACATAGACTTCAAACATAAATTGGTCAACTTATAAAGGATGCTTGTGGGTAGGTGATATCCATAGACGTAAAATAGCACAAGCTACGTTCTCCTAGTATTCTGGAGGTTGTTTTTCATAACAGCAATGGGTCGGACGCCGGGGGCCGGACCGACTATCCCCAGACTGTTTCAATTGAAGGTGGACCAGCAATTAGCGCTTCCTCGGACTTGCTTCTGCAATGCGCGGCTAGCGCTTAGCTGAGATCGCAAAGCAAAAAAAAAACCGGAAAAACTGTTAGAACTAACGTCATTCTTACGCGCTATCTCGAATACAGCTGTTTAAAAGTTATTGCGGATTACGGCTCTATTTTTGCGTTTCGTCGATAAACAAATAAATAGTCGTTGATTTTATCACTTAACAACCATAAAACAAGTATGTAAAGTCAAAAAGCATAGTTGATAACCTTTAAAAAGTGTGTAAAAGCAATGCGAATAGCGTAAAAGTTTGTGTCATCGGCACCATGTACAGCTGACATTCCCTAAAACACCATCATTCAGTCATGAATAAATAAAATAGTGGAAGGCGCCCTGTCGTTCAAAGATGAATTCCACCTCGATGGTCTTGTTGATCCAGGTATCTCTTCTTCAAAGCGAAACCACAACATCAACTTTCGCCTACTGTAAAAGAGGCACTCAAAATTTTTCACTTTTCGAAGCACATTGTACCACGCGATATGTCAACACATGCACAAACAACCGAAAAAAAAAACACCCAAAAAACCACACGATATAAATACTTCGACTCTGAGGATAACAGACCAGTACACCCAGTACCAAATAAAAATTTTACTCCTCACGATAACACATCTCGTTCCAATCCCGATTCAATCCCCGCAGGAGATCAAATGTGTGTAAAATAATAGCACAAATTATGAGGTGATTTTCCCCTCCAAAGCAAAACGCCATCTCGTGTTGGAGCTCCGCCTGTAAACACCCCCGTCTGGAAGAATACCAAACATGGTCTAGAAACACGTAGTCTCTTTACTCATGCTTAAAACAGCATCTGTTACCATAACGACATGATCCTGTTTTACTCCAATTGGCACATGGTTTGGAACGCCATTTGGATCCCCTATCAACAGCCTTCAACTCGTGCTCGCCATGAGCAAATTGACATTTTGACCCATATGGACAAGTGCCACTTCTCTGAAAAGTAGAACACAATTCTGTCTTGTAGAGAACGGTGTTTATCTTATTGTTCTCCGATGAATTGGCTGACTTGGTCCCTGAACCACCAGCTGGAGCTTTTGTAGTAGTCGGCGTACTGTCTTGTAGTTTGTCCAGGTTCTCCTGTGTGAGTGGCAACTTGTCTGCCTCCAACTTTTTGGAGTTCAAAGTCTCTAGCTGTTGTTGCTGAAGTTGAATCTGTAGTTGCAACTGTTGAAGCTGTTGTGCAACCAACTGTGCTTGTTGCTGGAGCAAAAGTGGGTTAGAAAACATTGGTTGTTGTTGCTGCTGCATTTGTGACTGTAATTGATCGAGGTACCCCTGTGGTTGAGAAGTTTGAACCGTGTTATTCAAAGAAGACCCAAAAAGGTGAGCCTGTTGAAGTAGACTGTTGAGTGTTGTCTGCGATGCTTGAAGAGATTGCTGTTGTTGCATTAAAGTGGTCATTTGTTGTTGTGGTTGTGGTTGAGGTTGAGGTTGAGATTCAAACACCCCTAATGAATTGTTGCGGGTGTAATTAGTAGTCTGATAATGCAGCGGCGCATGTGGAATTTGTGACACACTGTTCAAAAGCGCGTTGAATTGTGAAGATGCCGATGAAGTCGCTGGTGGCGGTGGTGTGCTACTCCGTGGTGTTGTGCAAGCTGTGAAATTCATCTGCTGTTGCTGTTGCTGTGATGGCAAAGGTTGTTGTGCCATTGAATTGTTCACCTTCATGTCAAAAACAGAAGTGGACCTTGAGCTAAAATCATGCGATGAGCTTTGAGTCTGAGAGTGCGGGTTGGACTGGGGCGAAGATTGGAAATCAGATGAATACCAAAGATCAACACCCTGTAGCTGGGAGTACAGAAACCTTTGCTCTTCTGGCGTGTTGTTGTGTTTGAATCTCAACGGAATATCAACGTTGTGGCTACCTTTTCCCTTTTCACCCCAAAAGTCTGATGGGAGGAGCCTGGATTCCAAGTCTGTGTCTGTAGCAGATTCTGTGCCCATACCTGAATTGTAACTATCAGTGGACGCCAATGACCCTGTTGAAAAATCCTTCTGTGGAAGCTGGGACCTAAGCTCAGAAATGAATCCCTTGTCTTGTGTTTGATAAGATTGGTTTTGATGTTGAAACGCTTGGATGTAGTTGTAATCCCAAGATGACATATCAGATTTTTTGCTCTCTTTGGTAGCTGGATTCGGGGTTGTGTTTGGGTACGCTAATTTGAGAAACTCGCTATGTTTGGGCGTAGTTGCTTAGGAAAAACAAAAGTTCGGGGACTGTAAATACCAATATCGTCTTCCCTAAACCTTCGAGCGTGTCTCGTTTTATAAATCTTTGATCTGTGGAAATGTGAGCAGGATTCCAAAAGGTGCCTAGAAGTTTCTTATATATAGAAAGAAGTGAAAACTGGAAGGAACAGAAGAAAGAGGTGTCAAGGGAATTTTAAACACACGCACAAACTTATAACTGTGGACAAATTTGTCCCAAAACTTTTCTGCGGCTACAAAAAACGGTTTGTCCCGCATATATGAAAACAGCGAGTTTTTGGGACAAATTAGCTCGAAACATTTCTTTTTTTTTCGTGCAATCTGGCTCTTTTCAAACCTGGACATTTATAACGCTCATCGTCATCATACACGAAACGATTATAGTTAAAAGAACAAACAAAAGTCCACCATAATGTAAACGTTTTTTTGAATATCAATAGTGGATTTCATGATACAAGTGTTTTAAACTCCGCAGGTTCTAAGGGTGTGAATTTTGTCCAAATTGACACCTGAAAATCTAAGACTGTCCGTACGCTCATCACCAGGCGCTTAGTGTTATCTATCAGATCAGTGGTAGGTGACACATATGTACACCCAAAGACTTCACCGAGCCATCGGCCTTACTATTTTGAAACTTGTTGGAAAGTTGTAGAACTGTGAGTATATTGCATGTAACCGTATATATTTGATAGTACAGGGTGCTAATGGAACATAGGCTCTTTTCCGTATCCGGGATCAAAGCTGTACTTTCCCTCAATTCAGGCTTTTGGATCAAGTTTCAACTCGGCCTTAGGTTCCTACGACTCGCCTTTTATTGAATAATTTTATATCCAAACAATGATGTCCAGCTTTGTCCAGTCAATTATATAATGATCAAGCTGTAATCGACACATCAGTACACCTGTGATAGCTATATCAGTACACTAATTATTGACTAAGTTCTTTCAAGAACTTGAGGTCTTTTATAAACCTAAAAATTATACATTACCCCCTGGCTTTCTCTGTATTGCAACATAAAGATTCAAATATGAGGCTTCACTTTCAACGTGTTTACCCAAGCACATTTCTACCATGGAATGTATTCAACAATAGATCAATGTCAGACGACTCACAAGTGTTGTCTTGATTTAATAACTTACCATTAAGTTATTACATACTGTCAGTGAAGAAAAATGTAACTACATACAACAACGTCAAAGATTGGAGGAGTGTGAGATGGAAAAGGACATGTTCCCGGGTTTGACAAACATGTGTCGCTACATCATCATTTGTCCCAAAGCAAAGCATGGCTGCAAGACATTTTCTTTACCTGCATCTGTACTTCGGTGTTAAACACAAAATTACTGCATCCACGTCCAGTTCTCACAAATGCTACACAGAATTGAATAGTCATGGCTCATGGGATATATATCCAATAGATGTGTTTCAGATCATATAGATAGATGAAGTTTAATCGGTTGATCACATATTTACGACTAATGCTATTAGGTATGTTTATATGTTTTTGTAACTTGGTGACCGTCCCGCGCAGGATTAATTCGTTGGACGATCACAACAGGATTCGGCATATTATCTGGTGGATGGATTTCTCATGTAAAACCAGGATCCGAGAAAAGGGCGCCCGCTTGAAACATTTTCTTGAGATTTGAGTGTGACTCGTTGTGAGTCACTCTTCTACGAATCAAAAGATTCAACTATACTAGTGACATTTTGGAGACGACTATGAGAATGTTCTTTGTAAAAGAATATCTATACTCAAACCTAACGTTGTTCGCTTTCTCTCAACTAAACTGAACGGTTAAAAACTCACCCTTATTCATGTTGTGCAATGTCTAGGTGTAAACTTTGAAGAAAGAGGGTGTTTACACCCGTGTCCAAGGTAACTCAAGCATGAACTGGCGAACAGTGACTCGCCTCTTATAGGCTAGTTTGATGAGATCAAGCATTGGTACTGACGTCGACGGCAATGTGGCTTTGCAGTGCAAAGAAGTGCGTGCTAGGGTTTTCCTAGGTAACTTCTGTAATGCAGAGTTGCTGAGCTCCATTTCTAGCGTATACATACATATGTACAAAAGCGATTCCGGGATTGGTGCCCATTAGGTTCGATTTGTCCAAAACGAAAAAAAAAACACTCGGAAATGTCTGAACTTTTGTGTGTATGTACAACTGGGAATATTTTTCAGGGGCGAAGGGACAAGACATGAAGGAGCGGACTCCTCCATCTGATGTTCTGGTTTATGTGGCAGCTGGATTATCACACAAAGCTACAAAATAACATGTAAAATATATGTGAGAGTTTTATCACTGTTCTAAAATATCCAAAGATGTCGTGTTTGGGACCTTACTTATTTTTAAGTATGTGAGGAGGGGGACCTATGTGACACATAACTGAGATTAAATTTTTGAATGGCGCAAAGTGATCTTAAACCTTAAATACCTAGGTGAGGGGTAAGATTGGGGCAAACGAATAATCCGAATTTTTTTCAGGCCGTAGTCGTTCATGAAAATGTGCCATTTTGTGCTCTTCAGAGACTGCAAAAGGGTAGTGATTTCTTTAGAGTAGCATGAACGCACTCCTTGTGTGTGTGTGTCTTATTGAGATGCGACAAGACACTTGATGAGCATGTTGCGTGCACCGTGGACGTCACGGTTGTGCTCCTCGGGATTCAGCTTATAATCTTCCAGATATATCGACGTCACAATGTATGTTTTTGCCGATAACCTTTGTGTGGCACGTTGCTTTGCTCAGGGTGTGCCAGTTTAACTCTATGAATAATGTCAATATGATCATAAGTCAGTATAGTATAGAAAAATATAAGAGAAGAGGTTCAGTTCCTAAGAAGTAAGAAAGAGGAAATACAATGGTTCAAGAAGTGTCTTGTAAACCATTGTAGAGGACCACTTGAATCTTGAGGATTCATGCTTCATGTTGTTATCACATCCCAAAAAGGGTGTGATAATTGTAAAGTGTTATAGTGAATCACAGCTGATATAATTCAGTGATAAACCCGGAAATCGAGTCTGAAGGTCGAATATCACGGCAAGGTGGTAAAGACACACGCCTTCCAGCTGCGTGAACGACGCGTGGTGAGTGGATGGTCTACACTGGGCTCATGAGGGGGAGAACGTCTGGTCCTTTCCGGATTAAATCATAGACACTGCGAGCGAGTTGAGGAGTTTGTCAAATGTCCGTTGTCCACTTCGTAAAATCCTCCCTGTGGGAAGGGCTTGAAATGCCCATATCGGACACTTTTCCCACCACATATCAGTTTTGCTGTTATTTTGCTGTACATTTCCGTGCCCTAACACAGCAGTTTCACATTTGGCGCAAAAGTCTACGAAAGGGCACCTTTTTTGGGCAACAGTTGTATCTCCCTTTTTGTTGCTGGGAAATAATGCGTTTATAATTAAATCGAGGAAATCTAAGTGGGAATTAAATCTACACCAACGAATTCAAATTCAAACCGTTTAAAAACATCAATTCTTCGTAATCACTTCTATGTAATCTACTTACCGAAAACCTTGCTGAAGGATTGTTCAAAGTCGGCAATAAGATCATCAATGTGCTCAGTACCGACAGAAACTCTAATCAAGTCCTCAGTGACACCAGAGGCCAACTTCTCCTCGTGAGACAACTGCTGGTGAGTAGTGTAGTATGGAGTAATGACCAATGTCTTAGAGTCACCAACGTTAGCCAAGTTAGAAGCAATCTGCAAGTTGTCAACAACTTGTGGACCAGATTTGAGGAAAACATCCTCTGGAGTTTCATCCAATGCCTTGACACCAAAGGACAAGACAGCACCGAAACCGTTGCTCAAGTACTTCTTAGCGTTCTCGTGGTATGGGTGGGATTCCAAACCTGGGTAAGACACCCAGGAAACGTATGGGGACTTCTCCAAGTACTTAGCCAAAGCCAAAGCGTTTTGACCTTGTCTCTCAACACGGAGGGACAAAGTCTCAAGACCTTGCAATAACAAGAAAGATCCGAATGGGTTCAAAGTAGCACCCAAGTCTCTCAAGATCTCAATTCTGGCATGACCAATAAAGGCCAAGTTACCCAAGGCATCGTTAAGCACCAACCCGTGGTAACCTTCAGATGGCTTAGAGAATTGTGGGTACTTCTCTGGGTAGTCCTTCCATGGGAATCTACCAGAGTCGATAACGACACCCGCAATGGTAGTACCGTGACCACCGATCCACTTAGTAGCAGAGTGTGTCACGATATCAGCACCGTGGTCCAATGGCTTGACAAAGACACCACCAGCACCAAAGGTGTTGTCAACAACCACTGGAACACCGTGCTTGTGGGCAACTTCGGCAATCTTCTCAAAGTCTGGGATGTTGTACTTTGGGTTACCGATGGACTCAATATAGACAGCCTTGGTCTTTTCGTCAATAAGCTTCTCGAAATCGGCTGGGTCGTCACCTTCGACGAAACGAGTCTCAATACCGAATCTCTTGAAGGCAACCTTGAACTGGTTGTAAGTACCACCGTAAAGGAAGGAAGTAGAGACAATGTTGTCACCAGAGTGAGCCAAGGCGGCAATGGCAGTGAACTGCGCAGCTTGACCAGAAGAAACTGCAAGAGCAGCAGCACCGTTCTCCAATGCAGCAATTCTCTTCTCAAAGATATCAGTGGTTGGGTTCATGATTCTGGAGTAGATGTTACCTGGCTTCTCCAAGCCGAAAAGTTGGGCACCTTCTCTGGAATCGTCAAAGACATAAGATGTAGTAGCGTAAATTGGTGGAGCACGAGCCTTAGTAGCTGAATCAACTTCTTGACCAGCATGCAATTGAAGAGTTTCGAAGTGCAATGGCATTGTGGTAATTGCTTATGGGGTTTTTTAGGTTATTACTTCCTGAGAAGGTTCTGTACTACAAGAATGCTGTTGAAATACAAAATGTCGAACAATGGGAAAGATCAGTTTTATATAGAAGCGTCCTCGACACGCTATGTCTCCATGTTTCGTATGCCCAAACAACTTGACGAAATGTGGTAATTGCACGTGACATGTGGCACCTCTTGTTAAAATTCATATGCAAAATCTTGGTGTGGGACGTGGTTTTCCCCTTTGTTTGAAAAGTGTGTGCGCAGTGTAGAACTCTGGAGAAAAGAGCCGGTCTCTGGAGCTGTGAATGGGTTGTTGTAACCACAGTTCTTTGGTATTTTGATAGCTGTCAGATTTACCGAACTCAGGCATTGTCTGTTGTAAATTAACTATGTCGAAAATAGTCAGCTACGACTCTGGTGATGTCTGCTTAGATTTCCCAATTGAGATAACACGTTCTCTACGCCATATGCAAATTTCCAATTGGCCGTGTCAGGTGTGGATTTCTGAAATATCCCACCCAAATTGTCTGTTCTGTTACCAGCAGCCTCCAGATCGATCGGCTTTAATGATAGACAGGCCGTGTGTAGTTTTAGGACATTTTAGCTTTGAAAGCAAGACTACACAACACGAAGCGAATCTCATCTAACATCTATACAGTATAGAAGATACGTATCAATCAGAAACAAGAACAAGCTTGGCCTCGTAAGGTGCCAGCTTACCTTCAAAACCTTGCATGTTGGACAGGATCACCTCCCCATCGTAATCAACGTCCTGTTCTTCGTTTGAAAAGTTGAGGATGACATCAATCTTCTTGGTACCCTTTGACTTTGTGAATCTGAAAACCTTGTCGTTGTGGTAATCGACAATTTCAAAGTCACCATCCACCATCAAGTCTCTGTATTGCTTTCTGACACCTATGGCTCTCTTGTAGAAGGAGAGAACGGAGTCCGGGTCATTCTTTTGAGATTCAACGTTGATGTCAGGATAGTTATCGTTGACCTTCATCCAGGGCTTACCAGTGGTGAACCCACCGTTTGCTGACGAGTCCCACTGAACTGGTGTTCTGGCGTTGTCACGCGCCAAAAGATTGATAATATCCAAGAGCTTTGTCTTTTCTTCTTCAGTGTGGTCCTTTTCGTTAAAGGCCGCCCAGTAGTTGATGGTGTTGATGTCGAGGTACTCCCTAATGTCCCAACTTCTTGGAACATTGGTCATTCCAATCTCTTGGCCTTGGTAGATGAAGAGTGTACCAGTTAGAGACACTTGAAGCAAGGCCAACATCTTTGCAGAACGATTCCGTAACTCCTCAGTAGAGGTGTTACCGAAACGGGTCACGCAACGTGGTTGATCATGGTTCTCAATAAAAACCGTTGACCAAGCATCATTACGCTCACCAGTTTCATCGTCAATGATAAATGAGCACTGATTTTGAATGGCATCTTTGAAATCCTTCAAAGTCCAGCCGTCATAACGGAATCTGTCACCCTTGTTTGAGCCCACATCAACAGTGTCAAAAAGGAACATCATATTCATTTCTTTTTCCTTTGCACTGACGTATTTGAGAGCATCTTCCTTGGAACAATGACCAACTTCACCGACTGTCATTGCATCATATTTGGATGTAACTTTCTCGTACATTTCCTTGTGGAATTCATGGATACGAGGACCAGAGTTTGAAAGAGCCCCAGCAGGCTGCCATTTTGAATCTGGAAACACAATTGGTGCATCTGGGAATGATTGTACTTTTGAATACATTCCAGCTGTATCAATTCTGAACCCATTGACTCCCTTCTTGAACCAGTAATCCAAAGCAGAATCATAGATGGCTTGACGAGTCTCTGGATTCTCCCAGTTCAAATCAGGTTGGGTTCTTGCGAACTGGCGTAGGTAATATTGACCAGTTGTCTCGTCATATTCCCAGGCGGAGCCAGAGAAGTGGGACATCCAATTATTGCGCTCATCCTTCCAAATGTACCAATCTCTCTTGGAGTTATCCTTCGAAGAACGCGACTCTTTGAACCAAGCATGCTCGGAAGAAGTATGGTTGATGACCAAATCGAGAATCAACTTCATATCACGTTTATGGATCTCCTCAATCAGCTTATCCATGTCATCCATCGTACCAAACTTTTCATATATGGCATTGTAATTTGAGATGTCATACCCCATATCGTCCATGGGAGATTCATAATGAGGAGAAAGCCAAACCACATCAGCACCAATTTCTTTGATGTGATCCAGCTTTGAAATCAACCCCGGAATATCACCTATACCGTCACCATTTGAGTCTTTGAATGAAGCAGGCCAAACCTGGTAAACGACTGAATCTTTCCACCAACTTTCTTTAGGAATTGTCATTGAGCGAGAACTTGTTCTTGTTTTTGATTCACTTTGGAGGGTTAGAAAATACTATTGTGATCTAATTGCAATATATACGCTGAGTTTACAACACAATCGGAAGAATTATCGCTGGAATTCAACGATCACATGGCATCAATTCTTGGGGCAGCAACATTCATGAATGATCGAAGATTTACATGACAATCTCTATGAGGTTGTCACACACCCGTTCAGGATGGAGGCTTGGGGAAATCGGCACTATGTCATGAACGGCTGGACACCAAGTTGAACCTTGTTTGAAATTTTATGCAAACGGAATAATGGAGGTGCAGCTTGGTACATAGCACCTTGTTTCCAAGCCCCGAGATGGTCCTCTGTCTAAAACTAGGAGACAGAAAATAAGTCCAAATTTGTCAATCCAAAAGGGGTTGTGCTAGGCTCCTTACTCGACGTATTCGTCGCAACTGATAGCTGTTGCAGTTCTTTTCAACAATTATTATCCCTGTTGTATAAACAGTTTCGGTGGGTTAATATTTTAGCGCTTAGGATTAATTGTTGGAAAATTTAACCGCCCCATGTGCATGGGGTTGAAAATATCCTTTCGCATCCAAAATCTCTCCCTACTTCTCCTCATTAGTGGACGTAAATTTAAAGTACGATGCCTAGTCGGGTGATTTTATGGAAGTGCAGCACACAAACATAGCAATGTTTTCTACTGGAGTGTCTACGCCTTGATCATTGAATTTAATCCTTGATTCATGCACATAAACGTCATTTCCTTACAATCTATTCCGTTCAAGTTCTACAAATAAAGGCTCGGGGTGGAATAATATGAACATCTGCATAAATATATGCAGCAAATATGTAACATGAAAAACAGTCATGAGTTTTCCGAAACAACGTGTTAGTTGTCAGACTATTTCAACAGTTCAAGTGTTAAATGCCAAGTGTCGAAAAGGCTTCAAACTGATGGCCCGTTCTAAGAGTGAGAAGCCAGTTCTACAGTGCAACTTATCCCATATCCCTAAATAAGAACATATCTAATTGCCAATGGGATCAATTCAAACGGGAGTTTACAATTGATAATTTCCCCCCCCCCCCCAATTTGCATTATCTTATGCTGATCGATATCTTACGAGGGGGTAGTGTGAATTCCAAATTCCAGTGGGCATAAACTTCCCATGTATAAGGATAACTTCATATAGACCGACGCAAATGGCTGCAGAAGACGGAGAATTGATTTGGGAGTGTCGGAGAAACAATTGAAAGTCAATTGCTCTTGGGAACAAATGCTGAACAGTTTTTTGAGAAAACATCATCCAAATGTGATCTCCTCTACATACACCCCGCAATTGTACATCTCTAATGCTCATTAAAAACCATCCCAGTTGGAAGGACTCGATTCTCCCTTTAAAGATTCAAAAAACAAAAACAGTCAATACAAGGACAATTAGACACCTCCTTAAAACCTACCTTCATACTTAAATTCTCTAAATGGGAACATTCACTAGCTCCTTGGTACGTGTTTTAAAATATCAGCTTGGTATAACATGTGGAGTGCTGCATTTTGAGAAATTCTCCCCGCAGTGGCATGGGCTTTGAAGGAGGTCCAATTTTATATGCCATGATGTAATGGTAATTTCTCCGTATTAACCAATATAGAATCAGTGCAGGCGGTTTAATTTTGCGGAAGGTTTAAGAGAGCGGCGCCTTTCGAAAGTATGCACTATGCAGCATACCCCAGGAAGGACATACATGAAGTTGGCGACCTGGTTGGGTGAACATCGGAAAAAAGGACTGTTGAGACTCGACAGCCCACATTCCCTGAAACTTTGAAGTATAATGCCCGATATTGCACAGCTACAACTGTTAAATCAGAGGTTTATATTCATAGTTTTGATGAGCGTACTATGTCTTTGGACCCTTCTTATCAAACCTTGTAAAAGAGTAAGGTTTCCTAATATCGGTTTGACGTGGTTTCAATAGATAGGGTGGCTTTTTTCTGTTTGAATGACTCGATGCTAAGCTCATTTTAATCAGGACGAATTTCATGTTATACACAAATGGGGTGTTCACCAAGTCTCGAAATGTAGCTTTCTCGTGCTCAACAGTGTTGAGCATGCAGCAGCTTACAGAAATATTGATCTGCAGCAGTGTGTTTTAGGCGCTTTCAGTGACGGCTAATTAACAGTTTGTACTTTCCCATATGATCATACTTGTTGGATGTTTTCCACAGAGTTAATAGACTCTCGTGACCTTATTTGTATCATGGTGGGGACTTTTTCCATCTCCTGGGTATTTAAGTAACGTCGTTTCTTCTTTGTAAGGTTTCCTCTCCCCACTGTTCTTGGTCCATTGCTCTTCTTTTGAGGAATTAAACAAGTAACTATGGCTGAGCACATAGAAGATATTAAGAACCCTGCAACTACAGAAGTTGTAGGCTCTAAAGCTTCCAAAATTGACTCAATTGTCAACAATTACTCTGGAAAAGATGTTGAAGACTTTGTTGCAAAGTTCGTTGAGATGTCTAATGACGCTCAAGCTAACGATGCCCATGAAAAGAGTATGACCTTGAAGGAAGGTATTGCCACATTCCCAAAGGCAGCCTTCTGGTCAGTTGTTCTCTCGACTGCCATTATCATGGAAGGTTTTGATACTAATCTGCTTGCTTCTTTATACAACCAGACAAGTTTCCAAATACACTACGGTAGATACTATCCTGATCTTGGTGAATATCAAATTCCGGCAAAATGGCAAACTTCTTTATCCATGGCTGTGAACGTTGGTGAAATTATTGGTTTATGGCTTGCAGGAATTACTGCAGAACGTTATGGTTATAGACCAACTTTGATTGTTTCTATGATGCTTGTTATCGGTTTCATCTTTATCATCTTCTATTCCGTTAGCATCGAAATGCTTCTGGTTGGTGAACTCCTCTGCGGAGTAGTGTGGGGTGCGTTCCAGACGTTGACTGTTTCATATGCATCTGAAGTCTGTCCAGTTGTCCTGCGTGTGTACCTTACTACATATGTCAACGCCTGTTGGGTCATTGGTCAGCTGATTTCATCTTGTGTATTGAAGGGTACTTTATCAATGGACACTCAATGGGCTTATAAGATTCCTTGGGCTCTTCAATGGATTTGGCCGATTCCAATTATCACCGGTGTCTACTTTGCACCAGAATCTCCTTGGTGGCTTTGTAAAAAGGGCAGGCTTCATGAAGCTAGAACAAGCATCAGACGACTACTTAGTAAGAACAAGAATCTTCCAGATGTGGATGTGCTAGCAGATGCAATGTTGAGTAAGATGCAATTGACCATTACGCACGAAAAACAACAAATGACAGGTTCATCCTATTGGGACTGTTTCCGTGGTGTGAATTTGAGAAGAACCAGAATCGCATCGATGATTTGGGTCTTGCAAAACATCACAGGCTCAGCCTTAATGGGATACTCCACTTACTTTTACACTCAAGCTGGATTGGATCAAGGAATGTCTTTCACATTTAGTATCATTCAGTACGCTCTTGGTTTGATCGGCACTCTTCTTTCTTGGATTTTGTCGCAGAAATATGGGCGGTTTACCATCTTCTTTGGTGGAATGCTCATTAACTTTATAATTTTAATCATTGTGGGCTCTCTAGGATGTGCAAATTCGTCTGGTGCTTCCTGGGGTATTGGTTCACTTCTTCTCGTCTTCACATTCGTCTACGATTCCACTGTTGGTCCAATCACATATTGTGTTGTTGCGGAAATTCCATCGGCTCAGGTTAGATCTAAGACAGTGGCTGTTGCCAGAAACTTCTACAACCTTGCGGGTATCCCGGTGGCAGTCATTACACCATACATGTTGAATCCAACTGCATGGAATTGGAAGGCTAAGACTGGGTTCTTTTGGGCTGGCTTTTCATTATTTGGTCTTATTTGGACTTGGTTCGAGTTCCCAGAAACGAAAGGTAGGACTTATGCTGAACTTGATGTCCTTTTCAAGAACGGTGTGAAGGCCAGAGAGTTCAAAACTACTGAAGTTGAAACTTTCAACACTGAAGAGATGCTCGCTAATATGGATGACAACCATCTGAAGCAAGTTGTCTTAGAGAAGGAGGAAGAAGAAAAGGTGGAGATGATGGAAGATGCCAGATTCAAAACTTGAAACTTTTTCGGTGGTTTCTAATACCTATAAAAATGTCCAACCATTTGTATAACCAGTTGTTCAAATCTAGTCTCTGGGATATATTATATGAAAGTTATGATTACAGTCTGTTTGTGTCATTGATTGACAAGGACTGCTTGGTTTCTTATCGAATTTATAAATTGTTGCTGTTGATATTGGCTGCCACTGTAGTGTATAACAAGTTAACGTTTCCATTTAATTTCTACCTCTATAAATCGTAAAGAAGTGACGCTTTATTCTTGTAAGTTGAGCTAGCTTTTGGGCATCACGTCGTTTTCAAGTCTATGGTAGACAAAGATAACTAGATATCGTGGTTAATTTTCCCAGGATGTAAAGTATTTGGTTATTCTATATCTTACTATGATGTATAAGATTTATATGGTCTAATCTTCACGGGGTTTATTAAACACTCTTGTTCTTAGTTTTTACATGATTAATCTGTAACCACAGTCAATAGTGGTATCATCCGGAAAATTTATACTTCTGTGCTCGTGGGCTCTTTCATTGCGATTATTAGTACATATGTAATTCATGAAGTGTGTAAAAGCAGACAATCTGATGGTCCTAAGGTTTGGGGAGGAGCCAAGGAAGTCCAGCAAAGTGTGTCTTAAAAAAAGTTGATGGCCCGCTCTGCTCAATACGTTGCTCTAGTATTTTGAAATATGTGAGGATCATATTGGGCTCTTTGAAATACTACTGTTCAAACTAGTTAGGATGTACTAGAAGAGTATGTCACTTTCATGCATATGGTTATTGGTAACTCCCAACACGCTACGGTAGCTAGATATAAATGAATATCTCAAATGAAGACAACAAAGATGAGACGGGGATATACCAGTCAAAAGTGTTATACAACTACGAAAGGAAACACTACATACATCTAGAGAAACCAACAGCAAGGATGGAACAGCCAAAGCTACCCGGTCTCAGACCTCAGGATTTACCTCGAACAACATGGGAAAATTGCAACCGTCCCAGATCCTGGATATTGGTACAAAGTTCAATGCCCGTGGTTATACCAGTTATATAACAGGATATAGAGGCTCAGTTCAATCACAACGTGCATCATTAACCAAAAGTTGGTGTATATGAAAAGACCCTGCAGAGGCTCTGAGTTGTTTTTAAAGCCATCATGCATACCGAATACAGCTGCCTGCAACTCCCTCATCATTCACTCTCAGCCGTGACAACCTTGGCTGTAGTGTTCGGGTGTTTTTGATCACCCCCCTCTCCAGCCAGTATGTATAGAACTAATACTTCATAATCATAATTATAAGCATCAATCTTGAAAATCAAATGGTCAGGTGTTTCAAATGTTTTTAGTTAACTTGTAACACTTTTTCAATTGCTACATTGACGTTTTCTAGTGGCTTTTTGTTATCTGTTATTTTACATAGTATTTTGTACATTTCTTCTTTTTCACTAAAACTGGGTTTAATTTTTCCCAAATTTTATTCCATACGAGAATTTTCATTTATATAAAACAAAACTACGTCGTATATTCATTGAATTTACATCTCTTCAATTAATTTGTAGTCAATTAACAAATGATTTGTAGTCAAGTCAGTTAACAAATTATTTGTGGCACCATCATACTAAAGTAGGCCATTAGCACATAGAACTAGGATTGATAACTCTTACGGAAAGCCTCCCGAAGGTGTTTGGATGTTTTCATGATACGGCGTTTGCGTTACGTTGCATGATCTTGGACCTGTCGGATTAATAATTTGCATGATGAGTTTAGCTAGTGAAAGATGAACAGTAGCTTATTGTAATCTGTAATCAAACCAGTAATACCATGGCAAGCCAGATTGAATATAAAGCATTCTCAACATTCTTTTGGAATGGGAATGCCCCATTGGCTGTAAAGACTTGTGCCAATTGGGCACATTCTTCTGAAACCGTTGTAGATGCAGTAGTGGTCACAGTTGCCTCTATTGTTCTGGTAAGAGCAGTGGCGGATAGCTTTTCAGTAACAGAAACCATTATGAACGAGACTGTGGTCCTGGTCGATGTAGATATTATAGAAGTTTGGATAACAGTGGTTACTGGTTGAGAGAATGTATATGTGACCGTTGTGAACGGGTATATCTGTTCATCATTCAGGAGGTATGAGGTGACATAAGAAGTTACAGTTCTTGTGAGTGTAGTAGTAACAGTTGTCTTTGGAATAAGCTTTGTGACTGTTGAATACACTGTGTATGGACTGTTTTCAATAAACTGATATACCGGTGTAATAGTTCGAGTAATCGGCTTAGCAACGCTTGTGTCGTCCGAACTGATAGTCACCAATGTTGGCTTCCACACGTCTGCTGAAAGAGTCAAAGTAGCAAGTTGAACACTCGTTGATGTTAAGCAGTTGTACAAGAGTTCAGTTTCCACATACTCCACGGTCTCATACCAAACCGACGTTGACTCCTTTGGGATCCATGTTGTTATGGTCCCATTCCAATTGGTACAAAATGATGGCTCGTACCAAGTTGTCGTTGTTTCTGATTTAACACTTGAAAACACAGTGGCAAGCTTGGTACTTGTTGAAGCTAAGAATGTTGAATAGGTGGTTATATGTACTGTTACCGTTGATGCAACAGTCGTCCTGAGCCACTCCGTTATTGTTGTATGTCCGTGGGACGTAGCTGTAGTACCTGGTATAGTCAAGGTACTTGTACTGACAGACGTTCTGTGACTTGTACTCGTACCTTTGCCCACGGCAATGGTCTCGAAAGCCGTAACTGTAGCACGAAGGGTAGTTGGAACCTGTATCGTTTTTGTAGAAGTGACTGTACTGTAAATAGTCTTTGGAGCGTAGTGCGTAGCGTAGAAGGTGGCGGTTGCCAAATCGAGAGTGTTTGGTAACTGTGTGCTCGTTGTCCTTGCATACCCTGTACTTGGTGTACCCACGGTACTACCCACTAATGTTGTATAGGGAATGGTTGTATCGATCTTAACTGTTGTTGAAACTCTGGAGTGCACAGTGGTGGTGATCTTACCCGTCGTTTCTAATGCCATTGTCCTGGTCTGTGGCGTGGTAACAGTAGTAGATGTAGTGGCAGTAGGAGCGATATTTGTGGGTGTTTGTGCGGTTGTAACAGAGATCGGAGATTGAGTCGTACTTGGTGTAACTCTTGTATCAGTAACTAATGTTCCTTGAAGACTAGCGGCTGTGGTGATAACACCGCCGCCAGGGAAGTTCACATTGGTTCTCTGAACAAACACCGGTGTAGTGGTGGCCTGGGCGGACGAGGCAATTACAACGAAAGATAAAAGGAACAACGACCTCATAGATTCTTTAATGGTGATGATGATCTCTAAACGGGACACGAATTTCTATAACTCGTTCATATGGGTTCTTTTATGATGTTTATATACAGATCTGTCCCATGTAACTAAACCCGTAATTTGAATACAGTGCAAAGAGGAGTCCACAGCTTCTTCCAATAAACCAATAGGGCGGTTAGGTCATAAAGGGGGAGAAACCATCGGGACGTATCGTATTGTAGGCCATGTTCTAAACTCGAACCTTTTTCAACGTTGAGAACACCGTAAACGTTGTGTTCAAAGTGTATGATAATTGGTTTCAAGCTACATGCGCTGCAGTTTACCCACACCACCTCCGCCCATTATGTGCGCGTTTATATGTATATATCCAACACCTATGGGATTCGAAACAGCTTAGTTGAGGTATACATAGAATAGAATACACAGTAAATGCAACGTATATTGTAAACCCCGCCCAAAATTAAATAGACTTAAAGATCAATCTTGAATACCCTTCCATTCCCCTTCTTCAACGTTTCCCTCCTCCTCATCTTCTTGTTCGTTAGTCTCCTCTTCCTTTGCAACTTCACCGCCCTCACGGCTCTTCTTACGTGGTCTTTCTTCATCCTCTGGTGGTGGAACAAACCATGGGATCTTTCCTCTGTTGAAGTCATTGATCACCAGCTTGGATATACCTTGCTCATCCGGTTCACCACCTTTCAGGAGTCTACCATGCTTCTTAGCAAGGAGCTCGATGAACTCAGTAGCGTTATTCCATCCAGAGATCTCGTATGTTCTCTCCAAATGCTGTCTCTTACATCTTTTAAGCACTCCAGGAATGTACTGCTCGGCATGTGTAACATGCTCAACTCTGACAACACCTCTGAACAGGATATCTTCCTCAGAATCCTTTGAAGAAGGCGGTACAATACCAGGACAGTCAATTAAAAAGATCTTTTTCATCAAAGTAATGTATTGCCACACTTTGGTCTCTCCTGGGATTGGTGCCACTTGACAAACTTTCTTTCTTCTCAAAGTGTTGATGATACTGGATTTACCAGTGTTTGGATACCCAATGAATCCCACAGAGATCTGCTTTCTATCAGGATGAAGCACTGAAAATTGACGAAGAAGTTGAATCAAGGAACCCTTACCAAAGGAGTTCGTTATAGAGGCATGGAATGCAATTGTTGGATGGAATTTTGACAAATGCTTTACCCAGGCAGCCTATAATCTAACTGTTAGTAATGCTTCAACTCGGAGTGACCAACAACGGCAGAAATAATAAGAGAGTGCGAGATGAGTCAGTTACTCAAGACTGATCAAGAAAGGCTATATAATTGGTATTGTGATGAGAGTGTGAGGGTCTTTACTACGAGCATCTCAATGGGTAAATGACACAAAGGTCTGAGAGCTCAACTCATAAGTCCCTCTCATGATTCTAAGCAGGAGTCAAAACGACTATATCTGCGTTACAGAAACCCAGAACGGGAGTTGTAGAGGCGAATCATATCTCGCTCTTCCAAAGTTGTAACAGGCATACTTTGTAGATAAAAGTTGAAATGCGTATTTCAAGAAAGACACCCTGACAAAGAACTTTGGTATAAGTGTTGTTTTACAATATCTCTTTCTTCTCTTATTATATCCTGTGTCCTGGTTAGTCAATCAAAAAAATTGGTTAATTACTCACGGCAACCCAAGTTGGTACCAAATCACACTTGTTCAAAACAAAGATCAAATGTTTGTGTGCTGCTTCTTTTTTAATATATTGCTCAACAGATTCACATCTTGTTCCTAGGGGATCTCTGGCATCGAGAACATGTATCACCACATCCGAAGAATCGATGACTTTATACAGTTCGTTCCAAATACGTTTGGATTGACCCTTGTGGAAAATGGCCTCCTTGGCCTCTGCAGTCCAACCGTCCGTATCAACATTACCCATGAGGCCCATAGTTGTGGCCAACTCATTCTTTTCCTGGTAATCTTGAGCATCCTTGTCAGTTGCACCAGCAAGCTCTTCAAGACTTGATATGGCAACCCTTGGTCTCTTTCGTTGTGACTTTGGACCGAACGTGTGTTCAAAACTTTCAGTTTCCAAGATTCTGTTGGTTGGTGATTCAGTAGTATCCTTCTCCTCTAAGAGAGACATCGGAAGCTTATTTCTTCTTAACAGAACTTGATATGAGTCCTGTTTTGTTTCACCAAGAGCCTCTCTGAAATGCGAAAGAGCATCCTGGGATATGACTCTGGTGTTACCAAACCAACGGCGGTTTGGATCAACTCTTGCAGTAGGTGCGGCAGTATCTTGTAAGTAAGCAGCTTTGATAATCTCACCAGCTTTATTACGCTGAGCACGACCTTGCTTGTACATGTTAAGCTTCTTCACCTTTTTAGCATCCCTGTAGAAATTTTCACCCTTCACGCGAAGGTTACCATCCCTCACATCACCTTCACGTACACGTCTTTGCTTTTCCTTCTTTCCTGTACCCATTGCCCCTTTAGATCTTTTGAATTAAACAAGTTGTTGCGGTAAACCACAGACTGAGAAGAGGGAAACTCAAGTGTGAAAAATTTTTTAGGGCATCGGCCAAGCAGAAAAATGCAAAAAATACAACTCCGGCTCATCGCATGGTCGGAATTCATTGGTGCTACCGAAAACTTGGGGCAATTTCGATACTGTTTATAGATCTCTTTTATATACGATTTATACACGGGTAAGTTCTTTAAAACACGTTCGACAGTATCCTACTTGTCTTTTCTTCTTTCTTTTTGAACTCTTCTGGTGCATTGGCCCTTGTTGTCGTGACTTTTCTCTGTTCGAAGGTTCTTCTCAGAGTCTCATCGTCCTGAACATGATCGTCATTATGCCCATCTTTTCCGTGTTTCTTGCGCTTGATATTCTCAATCATCTTGGATCTTTCCACGTTGCGGATAAATGTCTTGTTCAGCTTATGAGCTTGTGAAATCTCCATTTGTAATTTACTCTGTCTGGCTTCGTTTTCCTTAGAGATCTGTTCGGTCAAATCAGCCCATTTGAACCCAGAGAGGTACTTGACGTTCAGGATATCATCATAGTAGAAAGAGGACTTCTTTCCTCCAATAATATTACAGTTCAATGTCTCAGCTGCCAGTTTGGCATCTTTCTTTCTTATAAATTCGGCCCATCCTTCTTCGTACATAATCTTCTTGTTACCACCTTGTTTCACCCTCTGCTGATACTTTTGCGTTGTTTCCCTCTTCAAGAACAGTCTATCAACGTCACCAAATCTTGAAAGAATTTGTCTCAATTTTGTGGGTTTCATGTACGGTGGAATCTTGGAAATGTATACAACACCGGTCTTACCCTTTGGTTTCTTGTTTTTGACCTTTTGGATTTTAGCCTTTCTGTACAATTCACTTAGATTATCAATCTCCTCCTTATCCTTGGAGGATTCTGTTCCTTTGAGTTTGAGACCCTGGGGTTTATCGTGGTCGCTTTCATCATCATCGTCATCGTCACTCCCTTTAAACGCATCAAATACCTTCTTCTTACTCTTTTGAACTTTATCGATCATTTCATCCTCCGAGTCAGAAGCGGCAGCACCCCCAAAAAATTCCTCATCGCTACCTAAATCCATGCGATCTTCATTATCGTTATCTCTATCACTATCACTGTGAGTTAAGAACTTATCCATTCTGGGTATCTCCAAAACCGTTTATTCGAACAAAATGGCTTAAAAGAAATAGAGGAAGAAGAAAGAAGAAAAAAAATTACTAAAGACGCTTTGATTGGTAAGAGACACACAGTAAGAGAAGACATATAGGAACTCTGCCCTTCTATACAAACGAATCGTGTACCTTTTTCAAAACCTCATCAGGAAATTTGATTAGAGTCCCATTCTCAGCCTCGTAGTTCATTATAGAAGTTCCACAGCGGAGATGGGTTTGCATTTCAAACAGTATTTTGGTGTTGTTCCTTGAGTTTCTATCGATTCGATTCAGCAACCTGTACAACAGTCTTGCGTATAGGCATGTGTTCAGTATGGCGAGTGCACTCGTAATAACGCATATACCCAAGATCAGAGATGTGGACACAATGCTAAACAACCGAAGGTCAACAGTCTGTTCTAGAGCTCCGTTCTTGTAGACAGATAGGTAGAAATGGTCGCTCTTAACAACACAAACCGTGGCTACGAGCATCATCATCGTGGTGAAGCACTGGAACAGAGTTATTGTTAAGTGGGCAAAATACGCAGAAGCCTGAGGCAAAGTCGAGTTACCCAATGGTGATAAGAACATCGAGAGGATCAGCTGTCAGATGGTATTAGTCACCAGGTCTATACAACGTGTGAACATACTTACAGTAATCAAGACACAAAAATCAGCCACGATACAGATCCCTGGACGGTTTGAAATGTCTTCGAAAGTTAACGTGAAGAAGAAGGATATGTATTGCAACAAGAGGAACCCCAAGAAACAATTGAACACCAACTGAACTTTCCTCTCGGAATAAACCGCATGTGGAGAGTACACGACAACGTTTGGTGCAACGACAATCTTAGGGTTCTCGTGATGGTTATCTAGGTTCATGTGGTTCAATCTTTCCATGATCGCTGTACCAGGCCCTTTGGTGAAGGAACAAGATGAGAGGGCCAAATATTTTGTGTATTCTACTTTAAAATGGATGGCTTTCCAAATCGACAAGATCACAAAACGCACAACAACAACAACAACAACAACAGCACAGAACCACTCAACTTGCGAGGCTCACGATGGCGGCGTGAAGTTCCAGGAGATGAGACGGTCGTAAACGAATCTTTCAATCTTACAGATCAAACTTTCAGAACGGATAACGCCGTCTCTGACCCAAACACCGTACGATCCCATCATATTGGCCATAAGCATATCCGTAAAGAGACGATCACCCACAATTGCAACTTCTTTCGGAGAAGAAACCACACCCTTGCCTATGAAGTACTCCATTATCTCACCATGGCATCCTGGCTTCTTCGTAGAGTGTCGTAACACCGGCACGCCTGTTCTCTCTTCCAACAGTTTGGCCTGTCCATGGCCAATGTCATCGTTTGTCCCAGCTGAGTTGCTCACGATGAGCAACTGAGCGTCGGGGAACTGTAATCTTAGCTTCTCCCAATACGGTTCATAAGCCGGCCATACCTTATCATCATGTGCTTTGGCGAAGCAGTTGTCCTTATCCAGCACCACTGCTTTCACCTTGTTATTTGGAAGAGGCAGTGGAACTCGATCGAACGATGACACAGTAAGATGTGGCAAGCACAATTGTGGTTGGATGAAAAGACGGAACACGTTGAGAGTAGCGGATACGTTCATCCTTCTTAGATATTCCCTCTTCTTCTTCTTGTTCAACGCTCCAAACCCGATGACTGTGTGAACTCCGCGATCAAAGCAGTCTCCGACGTTGAATGGACGTGCAAAAAAATCTTTGGGCAACTTCTTCACATCCAACATGGACTGGCGAGTCACAAATCAAAAACCAGGACACTTCAGTTGGAGCAACAGCATACAGAAATGAGCAAAGTCCAAGGAAGAACACATCACAAACATCATAATCGTCACAATCACCACAACAGCACTAGGGACCAGCGGAAGCCCGCGTCGGAGAAACAACACGGGTCGAGCTCGAACCAAGAGGAGGATATACAGGAACATGAACAATGTGTGATTTGTGCAGAACGCATGACGATTGCTGCTATTTCCCCTTGTACACACACCACTTGTCATCGTTGTACTTTCAGACAGAGGGCGTTGTACGAGAAGAAGAGTTGTTTGGTCTGTAGAAGCGAAAATGAGAAGCTCATATTTACAGAGCAATTGGATGCCATCTACAATGAGGTGAATCCCGCACATATTGTTGTTGAAGATGATAAATACGGTATAGCATTCACCTCACAGCATGTGTTTGATGACACCATGGAGCTTTTGACGTTTAGATGTCAGATTTGTCAAACAGTGACAAGTGATATGAAGGCACTCTCCGATCATATAAGACAAGAGCATGAAAAGACCATTTGCACCATATGTTCCTGTTTCAAAAAGGCCTTCCCCTCTGAGCTGAAAATTTACACTCAGAAGCAGCTACAGAACCACCAGATGCGTGGTGATGAGAAGGGATTCAAAGGCCACCCGTTGTGTAAATTCTGCAAAGGGAAAAGATTCTACTCTGATGATGAATTGAGAGTTCACCTGAGAGAGAGCCATGAAAAGTGTCATGTTTGTGACCAATTAGACCCTTCAAATCCACAGTATTTCAAGAATTATGAAGTTTTAGAGGAACACTTTAAGCGTGATCATTATAGCTGTCGTGTTCAATCGTGCCTCGATAAGAAGTTTGTTGTTTTTGCCGATGAACTCGATTTACAAGCCCATATGATCACAGAGCACAGGGAACTCTCGTGGAAGGGACAAGTTGTTGGTACTACTCCACAGGGTAACAACGTAAATGGTCGTTATCAACTCTCAACATTCCGTTCGTCCCAGGGATCTTCCTCGTCCCATAATGGTCCAACCACAACGCAAGAGGCCGGCGACTCCATGCAAACCAAACGCATGAGATTCGAAGAAAGGGCAAAGCATTACCTCAATAACTCTGTGGATAAATTTGAAGAATTTACAAGCTTGAACAACAAGTTTCGTAATGGCCAGCTGACTGTTGACGGGTTGAAGGAAGCATATCTGGTGCTCTTCAACAAAAACTCTGAACATGAGGTTTACCTCTTACTTTTTGGTTTCTCGAAGTTATTTCCAGATGGTTCAACAAATCAGTTAAAACTTGCAAGCTTTGTTGAAGAGCACGAAAAGAGAGCAGCACAGGAACACGATTTCCCAGCTTTGCCAGGTTCATCGACCTCGTTATCGTCGTACGGAGGTTCTAATTGGGGGAACAAACAACCTTCAAAGAAGAACAAGAACTCACGCCAGAACGCTCAAGAATTGTTCCCTGCTTTGCCTACAGCAACTTCGTACACACCGGTAAAGACAACTGTCAAATATTCAGCCATGACCAACCAATCGAAGCCACCTGTTGTTAAGGTTAACAAAGGTTCAAATGCAAACTTCACGCCTACTTATCTGTCCAAGCCAACATCATCTGCTTCGTCGTCGTCGTCTTCTCTAGCATCGCAGAGATCAAGATTGGATGATAACAGCTTTCCTGAATTACCAAAGGCGCCGCCAAAGAAAACTTTTGAGGCAAGGAATCCTGCCAATAAGTCACAAGTCAGAACTGAAACCACTATTTGGGGAACGTCAATCAAAGCCCAACCTGCAAGAGACTTATGGGGCAACGTTGTTAACAGCAGTGGTAACAGTAGTAATGGATTCAACTTGGATTCTTTGGATAATGCACTACCAACCAAGGGAAAAGGCAAGAAGAAAAAGGCACAGGTGTTATTTACAATGGGTGGTAGATAAGTTAGGTGATTTTAGATAAGTTATATATATATACGTACATCCGTGTCTTTTTGCCATAGAAAAGGTATTATCGTAGGGGTAATATGCTCTGTTCTGTCAGTGCCTGTCTGCAGAGAGGGCATTCTGGATGGTCTCTACTCCAATCAGATATACAATTCCAACAGAATAAGTGACCACATGGGGCACAGCTTGGATTTGTCATTGGACTCAGACATAGCATACAGTTTCTTGAGAAATCAGGTATGAACTTCAACAACTTTGGGTTTGAAAGATCAATGTCATTTGAGGGAACAGATGGTGGTACCCCGGTGATATTATCTGATACTTCAGTGTTTGACTTTCTGGTACGATCATTCTGGAAAGATTCTGAGAAGTGCTTTATTGCTTTGAAAGCAATTTGTGTGAAGATCAATCCTCCAAGGAGTTCATACCCACCTCTTGAAAGTTGCTCTTCTTTATCAACTCTATGACCAAAAGCGTAGCGCAACCCAAATATACGCTTAGCTAGGTCATAGTATGCGCCGTTGAAGTAGAACAAAGCCAAATGAACATTCAAAAGAGTATCTAAAATCTTTGAATAGCTTAAAGATTGGAACCAATTCTTCTTGCTGGAGGCACCTTCTCCCTCATCAACCGGCAATAGCCTTCTTAAAATTCTGGTAATCACATAGGGAATGATTGAATACGACGCCAAAAATCCCAATCTTCTCAACAACTTGGGAATCCTTTTACCATCCCTGGTCACATACATCAAATCCGTGTACTCCTCTCCTAGGGTCCTTGACCCAAGAACTGTTGTCAATCCAACGTATAGCGCCTTTGCAGCCACTGTGATCTCGTCAGGATGTGTATGGATGAATCTCTGACCTGTCAGAACTTGTACAGCCCCTTGAACTTTATCACGGAGTACGGATTCAAAATACGAATCCTTTTGATGTGCACGCACTGGGTAGTATTAGTACAACTGTGCTCAGAAGTTGCAATGTTGGTGCGGTCCACTTACCTATACTGGGAGCATCTGCAAATGGCAAAACATGGTCCTGAACTGGAACAAGTGCCTGCTGGTCTCTCTTTAGGCCATCACTCTCCAGGCCTTCACTCATTGTGGCCTTGAATCGGTTGTCTATCCGTGCCAGCTGGAAACAGTCCCAGTCAACGTGCTGTGCCGGTTGTTTTTTTATCTACGAACTGTTTGTGGAGAAGGATCACCGACAAAATGGACCGAGGAGAAGTCGCACATACAAACACCTCTACACCCATACACCGGAGCATTATATTATAGATTACATTATAGATCAAGAAGAACGTTAATGATTGGAACTTTGTTGTCGGTCAGTATTACCATTATCAAGAACATTGTATAGCAAATCGTCGAGAAATTGGCCATTGCTGTTGCTGTTAGTCATTCCAGCAATGTCCTTGAGGAAATCGTCTGCGTTACTAGAGTCATAACCCGAGGTGGATGTACTCACACTGGAAGGGTTCGGCAATGATTCAACCTTTGGGAATAGCCAATCCTGGAACCGTAGGATATTTTCAAAGTTCTCGTGGTTATTTTCCGGTTCGCTATTGTCTCCTGATGGTTTCTTAACTTCTGTAGCATTCAGCATGCTTTGTAATATGACAGAGTATCTCTTAGATTGCGGATCCAACTTACCACAATGGTCTAATACTTTGATAATGGATGACATTGCGTTTAATATCATCGCGTCTTTATCAACAACGATACTAGGGTCATCTGCAAACATCTCATCGTCAATGCCACGAAGTTTCAACAGCAATAGGAGGCCCAAAACCAAGCCTGCATGGAATGTGCAGGACACAAGACTCATGGGTTTGAAAGGATGAATGTTTTGATAGTAACAGTATTCCACTGTCTTAATGACAAGCAACGATGCCTTAATACAGCTTTGATAAAAGCTTTTCAGGTGTGAGATCCGTGTTGGATCTGGAGTATAGTTTACAAGGCCAAGTTTGTTTAGAATGACAAAGTGGAAAAATGGCCTTGACAAAAGCACAATACTGTGGAGATAAATAACATATGGCAACAAGAATTTATGATCAACAGGTGCCGATGATACTTCCAAAGACATTGGTTTCACAGGATTTCGTAATGCATATAGCTTCAACTGAACAGCTAATTTGAGGGCACTCTTTATGGTCACCGAGGGATTAAAGTAGATGTTTCTCAACACTTCACTATTGAGAAGACAGACTTGTAGTAGCTTTTGAGAGAAGTCATCAATCGACTGTAAAGATTGCATGTCATCCCACTCATTTTCTCTTAGAGTCATCGAACGTCCCAAATGAACTGCTGAAAGAGTATCCATGATGAAAAGACTTATAAATAAACGTCTTCTGTGAAGAACAACAGCTGAGCTTTTGAAGGATTCGTTTACATATTTTCTTTGAAGCCCTAAGCCCTGAGCATGTCTGATTGCATTCCCTAGTTTGACCCATGCCAAATGTTTAAACCCAGCAAAATGGTAATAGAAAAATATCAACAAATGAGTTTCCACAAGCCATAAATCTCCATCTTCCAAGACACTATTCAGAATGGTGTTAGCCGACTGGAAAAACTCAACGTGTTCAATGTATTGACTCTTGGGGAAGGGGAAAACGTTCGTCAGGAGTTCAGCTTTGGCAAAGATGGAACCTATAGCCAATATTAGCATAAGGATACACTTGTCATGTTCCTTATTGCGTGAGCGGTAAATGTCATCAACGAATTTCGGAATTGCAGAGTAATCAACTATGTATAGGACATTGTTCAAATTGTTCATAAAAGTTCGTACAAGGTAATCTGTATATTCCCTTGATGGTAGTGGGACCTTGGTACCGTTAAGCACAATGGCAGTACGGTCGTTGTACCTCAGTCTCTCAGGATCATCGGAGAATGATTGATGACCCAGGACTTTACTAAACAGTTTTCTGCATTGTAAGAGGTAGGATATTCCACAACTTTCACCTAAGAATCTTAAATTTCCACCATCGTCAAACAACAGTCTCCAATTTTGGTCAGATCCCAATGAAACAATTGCATCATCATGTCCCTCTGTGATATTCAAGGGGAAGCTCAAAAGAGGCTGTAAAGACGAAGGGATCCGTGCAGCATCTTTTGTGTTGATAAAAGGATTTGAGTCTATAGTAGACAAGTGATCTCGTTGCTGCTGTTGTCCTGGTTCTTGTCTATCTTCGGACACAGTACCAGGTGTTTCTGACAACACACTCGAGTTATCGATTGGCGTGCCTCCAGATGATTCAGTGAATGACTCAGGACCCAAACTGTTCTTCTTTGAAGATTTTAAAATTCGTTTATCGATAGCGGTATATTCGCATGTAAACCCTTTTGCATGACACACGTTACACGGTTGTAATCCATTACACTTCTGCTTCCTTCTTTTACACTTATCACACGCTTGCGCAACCTTTTTCCTCTTATCTGGGGGTATTATTCTCGACTTCTTTTTCCTTCCACTAGCGTCTACTCCTGTCTTCCCTTTGTACTCAACCAACACTTTCGGTTGAGACATCCCGTGTTATCGAAGTGGTGCTTTAATACCCGTTCTTTTCCTTTGGTTAAAATGTGTCCGTGACTCGTCTCCAAGGCGGAAACGTTAACAGTCGTCTATGTAACTCCAACAGTACTAATGCAACAATACGGGGGAAAGGAGTGGTCAAACGTTGTTGTTGACAGTTAGGTTGATGAAAGACAAAGGAAAAACACACTTCAGCATACAATGCAGGCGATGAAATCCAACCATACTACAATTATCCCGACTTGAATTTGCCTGTTCGGAGGAAGAGCGCAAAAAAAGCGACACTCCATTGGAAAAGTTATTGTGGGCAGGGAATTTACGTTCGACGTCCTTAGCATTCGAGTTTTTATTTATACCCTACTTTTCTCCCTTCTTATTTTGGCCATTGGTGTGAGTACTTATCAAGTCAAGTTAAACACCGATGAATCGACGATCTCTCAATTATTAACGGTGTCTCAATCCAGCTTACCGGATATCTGCTTGTACGGACTTATGATATTTTTCCTTAATATATACGTATCGTATTTTTTACAAAGAGATGAGTGCTCTGGGTAGGCGGGCCCCGGACGTAAAACTATGCCAATTGGCGGATAGGATATTTTCTACAGTCTTCCAAGCCCTCGGTATACCGATCCTTGACGCATTTTGGTCACCAGCGGTGTTATAGAACCAATAGAAAGGGTTTTAAAACAGAAACACCGACATGGTGTTGACCCTCGGTGGGTATGCTGAGTGTAAATTTACGAGTGTTGCGGAAAATTACATGCGATGGTTCTGTAGAGGCGCAAAGCTGAGGTACGTCAATTAGAGAATGCTGTGAGTTTTCGACCAGTGTGAGGATCATGGTACTAGAGCATGGGAGTTCTCGGTCGATCACCAGAGTGGCTTGTATCCAGCGTATTAACCACGTGCATAGGTTACAGGCTGTTTAATCACTGTCTATTCCATGATTGAATATCAATGATAGATGGCGAAACTTGCACAGACCAGTAAAATATTCCACTGAACATAGCCTTCGGGTGGATTTATAGAAACAGTTCAAGCTCCATGGGGACGAGAATGTCAAGAAGTGCCCCTGAGGTTAGAACTGAGTGATCATAGCCAACCATCTAAACCACCGGTTCTAATCTGCATGTGACGAAAATACGACTCAGTACAGGCAACGTTTCAGTTCCCCAGAGCGCACCTTTACTTAACAGCCATGATAGCATAGGCCAAACCGATTCATTTGGCTTTTGTCGGCAACCAACATCCGGGTGAACATAAAATGGGTGATGCTAAACTTATTTTAACCCACCAACGTGTTTCCACCTATGTGAAACCATTCACTTATAGCTCCTTCAAGCACACCCAAGAGCCAATAAGAAAGTTTCTTTTTTGGAAGATGCGTGAACATTTCTTTAGAGGCCTTAAATTCTTGAACTCAGATTTGCACCCAATTCAAGGTGCCCCATGGGTTAAAACTATGCTTAGGCATCAAGTACTCACTAAACCAAATGCTTCATACTATTCTTTTCTTGATTGTGGCATTAGGTCCTGGAGTACATACATTCAAGGGGGCAATACATAGAAGAGGTATCCCTTATAATGTGTATTTCAGAAGCAAACTGCGGCTGAATAGTCCTGAAATTTGTTCCGAATAAGGGTGGTGTATTTCATGACGATTCAAAAGGAAGAGGCCAAAGAAGAAAAACAAAAACAAAGCCAGAAAAAGAAAACCGGATCCCACAAGGTACACCTTGCATTATGTGCTCATATACAGAGTCCAGAGTACATGCTACAAGCTATAAATTTCTGATTGGTTGACGTGAAAAGTGGAAACTTGGAATAGAAAATTTGGAAATAACGCCCGTGGGATGCCTTAGTGAACTTAGAAGGTCTAGAGCTTTCTGAGAGTAAAAACTCAACTGTAAAAGCACGGAGTCCCGTGGTTACCAGAAACGGAAAGTTCAGAAGGCTTGTCTCCAGACATCGTCCTGACCGGATAACACAGGTTTTCGAAGCAACCCGGAGAAACTTTTCTTTTGAAAAAAATTGTAGTGGATCAATAATATGCACCTCGAACTCTTTTGGGCCAATCCTCGGAAAATTATTCCGTGAAACTTTAATTGTAAACAAAATAACACACAGTGTCGGGTAAACTAACATTGCCTTGTTCACCTTTCTGACCTCTCGGCTGGATGAATTCCAAGACTTCACCTTCCAAGGGACCATTTTTTTAGTAACACATCAGTTGTTCATGCTTTGTTGGAGAAAGGAATCGCTAAGCCGTCCAACAAGGCGCAATCTCCAGAATGTAGGTGGCAGACACCCCAACTTACGGATACACATGCATTGGGGGGGGGGGTTTCATCAGCCAGCCTATAAACTTTTAGTATTCCAACTCAATCTGTTCGGTTATATTAATAATTGTTCCTTTTGGAATGCTGGTCCGATAATTTACGAGTTAAGATTTGATTACTGAACCGATCTTCGCATCTTCGTCTACCCAATGGATTCAACAATAACCATTTTTATTGCATCCTGGAACCATTTGGCCCTTTCTATTTGATATTCATTTATAGTAAAAGATAACACATGATGATGTGTTAAAGAACTAAGTGTAATTGTTCTGATTGTAATACATATTCCAGAACAGATGAACATGGATTACCCATAATCTTAGGCAAACTATTGTAGGAGCTCAGTAACAGTAAACAAAACACCAACAAGCACTGGTTATCAAAATCCCCGCTGCTAAGTAAAGTAGTATGTGCGTTGGAGGCTCTGATTCGTATACTAAAGGGCTGTAACAATCAGGCAACGGCAAATGGTTAAACTCAAGGTGTTGACTCCGATATTGATGAATAATATCGCCAATGAACTTTCATAACATGATTTTTGAGAGATGGACATCCTCAAGACCTTTACCAGATGCCATCGTCATATGGGCAGATTCAAAGTCGTACGGTTAAAACTTAACCTGTGAAATCAGTAAATTAACCATCGTCTAACCTTTTGAAAGTCAACAGGAGGTGACCAAGATCTACAGCAAGCGGTAAAGACAGAGATACATCTGTACAAGTTTTTCCGGATACATACTCTACAGCGATCATGCACCTTGAAACATGTATAACTTGTAGTTGTGCACAACCAATACAACCTGCTGACAGCAGTTTCATACTCTAGATTTTGATTCCCTCACAAAATATTAGGTTCAACGGAAAATTGGCCACATGAACCCACCTTTTAATCGGGTGGAAATTATTCCGGTTTTTTTTTTATTTGCAGGCAGAGGCGCCGACTTGTAGCCACCAGCCCCAAGGCTCAGGTTTTCCAAAAATCCCAATTTCCTATTACACCCGCCTTGGGACTTTTCTACAACATTAATCGGTGGTATTCTGCTATTTCTTGCGAGGAAAAATGCCAGGATTATGAGTATGTATGTAAAGTTATGGAACCTGGCTTTTGTAGTTTTTTAATCTCAGTGGCAAATGGTATAACTGTTGCTACGGAAGCTCTACATATTGTTCAGTTTTATTGGAACTCTCAAGAGATGTAACATAGCGGACAAAACCTGGTGAGAATATGCATGCAAATGCGAAAGTCACCAGAGTGAAAAGAAAAGTTTTTCCGGAGTGTCTATACCATTTAAGTTCAACTAGCCGCAGGAAAAAGAAAAAAATACACACAAACGGGGAGCACTTCAAATGATTGATACTCTAGAGTGGATACTAGAAAATTAACACTTTCAGTGAGTAAGTACCTTGATAATGATGACTAGAAGCAAATGTGTCGTATGGGTGACTCAAGCCCATCTAGCTCAAAATTCAAATACTTTAAGCCCTTGATCACGAGTTTGCCAATTTTCAAATCCTGTCAGTGGGGGTGTTAATTTAACCTTCACAGCCTTGCGTGGCATCGGCATCCAGTATGTAGGATCATATGATTACATTGTACATTTCTTTACAGCTGTTAAACCGGACGCTGTCCCATGGGGGATATACTCCGGGGGAGAAGTAAGGTCATGGGGAACCTTCCCTGAAAACCTATAAAAGGAAACAACTTCCTCTCATATTTTTGCCTCAGTCTCCTTCTTTTTAATCATCATCGCTACACGCATTCAAATTATTACAACTCCAAATAATGTCTGCTGTTGAACAACAAGAAAATCAACTGCAGTCTCAAGAAATTGACTCTGGTGTCATGACACCAGCATCTTATGATGAAACCCAGTCCAAGGCCGATGATTCTTCTGTCGACAACCATGTACCAGTCGATATCCCTGCAAAGCCAGCCTCTGCATACATTACTGTGTGTCTTTTATGTCTTATGGTTGCCTTTGGTGGTTTCGTCTTTGGTTGGGATACCGGTACGATTTCCGGTTTCGTTAACATGCCAGATTTCATCAAGAGATTTGGTCAGGTTAAGAGTAATGGTGATCATTACTTGTCCAATGTTAGAACTGGTTTGATTGTTTCCATCTTTAACATTGGTTGTGCTTTCGGTTCCGTCTTCCTTTCTAAAGCTGCTGATATGTACGGTCGTCGTATCGGTTTGATGATTATGATGGTTATCTACATTGTTGGTATTTTGATTCAAATCACCGCTGTGAGCAAATGGTACCAGTACTTCATCGGAAGAATTATTTCTGGTCTTGCTGTTGGTGGTATCGGTGTTATTTCTCCATTGTTCATCTCCGAATCTGCACCAAAGCACATTCGTCCGGCACTTGTTTCCTCTTACCAATTGATGATTACATTTGGTATCTTCTTGGGTTACTGTACTAACTACGGTACCAAGACCTACGACAACACCGCACAATGGAGAATCGCTCTTGGTTTGTGTTTCTTCTGGGCTCTTTTGATGATTACAGGTATGGTGTTCATGCCAGAATCTCCAAGATACTTGATTAAGAAGGGTCGTCTGGATGATGCCAGAAAGTCCCTTGCTTACTCCAACAGAGTCCCAGCTGATGACCCAGCCATTTTCGCCGAAGTTGAGGAGATCAACGCTGCTCTTTTGAAGGAGGATGCTGCTGGTAAGGCCTCATGGATGGAACTTATCAAGGGTAAGCCAAAGATTGGTTACCGTGTCCTTTGTGGTATTCTGTTGATGTCTTTGCAACAACTTACTGGTAACAACTACTTCTTCTACTATGGTACTACCATTTTCCAAGCTGTTGGTTTGAATGACTCTTTCCAAACATCTATTGTCTTGGGTATCGTGAACTTTGCATCTACCATCATTGCTATTTACTCCGTCAACAAGCTTGGTGGTCGTAAGTCTCTTTTGATCGGATGTGTTGGTATGATTGTCTGTTTCGTTATTTTCGCATCTCTTGGTGTCACCAAATTGTATCCACATGGTAGAGATGAAGCATCTGACAAGGGTACCGGTAATGCTATGATTTTCTTCGCATGTATCTACATCTTCTTCTTCGCCACCACATGGGGTCCATGTTGTTTCGTTGTCGTTTCTGAGATCTACCCAATCAGAATTAAGTCCAAAGCCATGGGTATTGCCACTGCATCCAACTGGCTTTGGGGTTTCCTTATCGCTTTCTTCACTCCATTTATCACATCTGCCATTAACTTCTACTACGGTTATGTCTTTTTGGGATGTTTGGTCTTCGCCTTCTTCTTTGTCTACTTCACCATTCCAACCACTACTGGTTTGACCTTGGAAGAGGTTGATGAGATGTACGCCACCGGTGTTAAGGCATGGAAGTCTGCTTCCTTTGTCCCATCCAGAGACTTCACCCAGGAAAAGGCTTTCCTCAAGGCTAAGTCCGAGGAGGTGGAAAACGTTAATGCTGAAAACACACCTCTACCAAACTACAGCTAATAAGGTTCGCAATGAGGACGTTTTAACGACTGTTACGAAAATTGCTTCTATACCATAATCATGTTTTTTTATAGAGTCATGGCCATAGTGGCAAGGTCTTCTGAGGCCCAATGATAATAGACTACAAATATAATATTTTGTTCAAAAAAAAAACAACTGTAGATTTGTTAATCTCAAGCTCCAATACACACAGAACATTGAAGTATGAATGGCTGTGATTTGTTGATGTTGGGAGTGCTTTCTCAGTATGTGCGCCCAGCGTAAGAGCCGTCGGTACGCCCACAGCTTCTCCCGTGTCCGACGACAAAATCTGGCGATGAGTCGAAGTTTGCAAAGCGGCCAAAAAAAAAAAAAAAAACAGGCACACACAAAACTGGTCAAAAGTTTTTAGAGCAGTTGTAGAAATTTGTTTTCTTTCCTTTTGTTTGTTGTTTGTGCATGTTCAAGAGGCTTTTAAGTAGAACAGTCACATTTGCATCTCCATTGATACACATACCGTCTGTGAATAAGTCAAGCATTAGCTACTGCTACCGTACCATGTCCTCTGAGTCAGTTATTGCATCCCAGTTGGAGAAGCTGTCCATCGCTTCTCCAAAGACGTTTGAGGGTTCCTACCCTGATTACAACACCGTTGACCTTTTGAGAAACTACATCACAGAGGAACTTGTTAAGATCTCTGGTGTTGATGCCAACTTGATCTTCCCGGCTCTTGAGTGGACCAACACCTTGGACCGTGGTGACTTGTTGATTCCGGTTCCAAGACTGCGTATCAAAGGTTCGGACCCAAAGCAGCTCGCCGCAGAATGGGCCGAGAAGTTCCCACTGGGAGAGTACCTGTCCAAAGTTGAAGGAAATGGTCCATTTATCCAGTTCTTCTTCTCCCCAAAGTTCCTCTTCAATGTGGTCATCAAGGATATCCTTGCCAGAAAGACGTCCTACGGTTCCACACCAGTTGGCAAGGGCAAGAAGATGATTGTCGAGTTCTCATCTCCTAACATTGCCAAACCGTTCCATGCCGGACATTTGCGTTCCACAATCATTGGTGGTTTCCTCTCAAACTTGTACGAGCAGTTGGGCTGGGACGTTACCCGTATCAACTACTTGGGTGATTGGGGTAAGCAGTTTGGTCTTTTAGCGGTTGGTTTCGACAAGTATGGATCAGAGGAGGCTTTGAAAAAAGATCCTATCAACCACTTGTTCGAAGTCTATGTTAAGGTCAACAAGGACATTGAGGAAGAGGGTGATTCTCTTCCTGAGGAGGAGTCAACTAACGGTAAGGCTCGTGCTTATTTCAAGAGAATGGAAGAAGGCGATGAAGAGGCCCTGAAATACTGGAAGAGATTCCGTGAACTCTCCATTGTTAAGTACATTGATACTTACAAGCGGTTGAACATCAAGTTTGACAACTACTCCGGTGAATCTCAGGTTTCCCAGGATCTTATGAACAAGGCCTTGGAGATTTTCAAGGAGAAGGGTTTGACTCACGAGGATAAAGGTGCTGTGTTGATTGATTTGAAGAAGTTCAACAAGAAGCTCGGTAAATGTATTGTTCAAAAATCTGATGGTACTACCCTTTACCTTACAAGAGACGTTGGTGAGGCTATTCAACGTTACGAAAAGTACCACTTTGATAAAATGATCTATGTTATTGCTTGTCAGCAAGATTTGCACACTGCTCAGTTCTTTGAGATCTTGAAGCAGATGGGTTTCGAGTGGGCTAACAGATTGCAACACATCAACTTTGGTATGGTTCAAGGTATGTCGACCAGAAAGGGTACAGTTGTTTTCTTGGATAACATCTTGGAAGAGACCAAGGAGAAGATGCACGAGGTTATGAAGAAGAACGAGGCAAAGTACGCTCAAATTGAAAACCCAGAGGAAGTTGCTGATTTGGTTGGTATTTCAGCTGTTATGATTCAAGATATGCAATCTAAGCGTATTAACAATTATGAGTTCAAATGGGAACGTATGCTTTCATTTGAAGGTGATACTGGTCCATATTTGCAATATGCCCACTCTCGTTTGAGATCGATGGAAAGAAACTCTGATATCACCGCAGAAGAGCTTCTCACAGCTGATTATTCACTCCTGACAGAGCAACAAGCTGAGCTTTTGATCCGTCTCTTAGCCCAGTATCCAGATGTTTTGAGAAATGCATCTAAGACTAACGAGCCAGCCACTATTGTCACGTACTTGTTCCGTCTTACCCACCAAGTCTCCTCCTGTTACGATGTGTTGTGGGTTGCTGGTCAAACTAAGGAGTTGGCTACTGCTCGTTTGGCTCTTTACTCCGCTGCTCGCCAGGTCTTGTACAACGGTATGACCTTGTTGGGCTTGACACCTGTTGATAGAATGTAAAACGTGAACCACACGTGAGGTTGTATATTTAATTTCTATGGATAAAGATTTGTCTTCTTATGTTGTAAGACGGATTTTAACGCCATAGGGCTATGCGTTGATTACCAACAACGAGCGTCATTTGTGTATAGTATAAATAGCACATTTTCCTTAAGCTGAGTACTGTTGTTTTCGCTTGTAATAAGTAGATCATATCATAGCTCGTTGTCCAAGGGACGAACCATTACCCTTGGTGTGTTATGATTATATTGACCAGTATCAATCATAGTTAAAACAGATGGCTCAATTAGGAGTGTGTTATGTCACTGGTGACAAAGAAGTCTGTCTCAAAAGACTGATAATTACACGGTCTAGTAGTGTAGTGGTTATCACGTCTGTTTCACTCACAGAATGTCTCGAGTTCAAATCTCGACTGGACCTTTTTTTTTTCCACCCAAAAAATTGTGTTCAAAAACTACATGTGATCTCCATTCAAAGTTTGATTGGCTTAGACTTACGTGCTGGTGAAGTACACTTCTTTGAATCTTGTTATATTTATATCTCTACAAAGAGACCTTATACATCCAACTCTCATATAACTGCACTACAGACCCATATCAACTGGTGTTGAAAGAAATGAACGTTGTGCTGGGCAAACCAGGTTCAGTTGGTGGTTGAATTTCCAAAACTTAACGCATGTGGTGTTGCAGCTAATTCCCAGGACACGCCTCAAAAGTTGGTGGAAGTGTTCATACCTTCTACTGTGGTGCCGGCGGTTGAAGCATTATCTTGGTTTTTAACCATTTAAAAGCATCCCAGCGTTGTATTCCGATAAGTCTCGTTCACTGTGGTTTGTCTCGTCTTGGTGACTAGCTTGTATACGCATTCAATGGGATTGTACTCAGCAGTGGTGTCGACGGTGAACGAACGTGTTTTCCGCTGGAAGGGTTCAGTTCTGGTATACCCACCGGTACTACTTGTCGGTCTTATCGTCCGGTTCACCTTATCTGAAAAGGTCATTGATAACATAAGAACGAACATCTTTCCTGAGGATAACACGTTCAACATTATATTTGCAAACCATTCGTTTCAAATATTTACCATATTGTGGTTAATGATATTCTTTATGCATGTTTTGAAGGATTTCACCAGATCCAAGTTTCAATCCTTGTTACCAACTGCTATTCAGCATACTCATGATACTGTGCCGTTTAAATCAAAATCTATTAGGGCATGGCAGCTGATACTGTGCTTCTTTCTGAAGTACTCACTCACTTTGGCAAGTATTGTGGGAATCTTAACACTACGGCATTACATCCAGGAGACTTATGGAATGAACATATCTGGTCATTACATTAGTATTGTGACTTTAAGCATAACGATCATTTGGGAAACTAGAAGCTCTATAAGCGATGCTGATATTTTAGAATTAGAGAATAGCGACGGTTTAGATAAACGTACCCTCCTCATATACGCGTTCCTGAGCGGGGTTCTGTTGTTGTGTGCTTCAATTTTAGCCATCTGGTTATTGGTTCTCTTTGTCACAGCTGTGTTTTATCACACAGCTGTTGAGAAGTTAATTGGACTCATATGGGGCTATGTAACACCCTTGTTGATTTTTCACGGACTTTCGTATCTTAATATTGACCCTTAATTTGATAAACTAGTGTATTCGATAGTGAAACACCTATTGGTGTTCAGGTGTAGATATGTACACATCGGGCTGTAAATTCAATAACGGGATACGTGTGAACTTACAACGAAGATGACAAAGTAACGATATCAAATGGGTTTACCAGTGCATTTGCCCGTTGATAAGAAGAAGTTTTTACTAATATACCCAGCTGTCTTAACGATCGGCACACTTTTCAATCTCTTGATCCCACATGGATGGATTGTCTATGGTAGATCTCTGTATTGGTTCTCATCGAGGAATTCCATCAATAGGATCTTTGCATACAATGGGAACCTTATATTCCTCATACTGTTTCCTTGCATAGCCTTATCAAGATTAAGGGAGCAGAACTATCGCTGGAAGAAGAACACACTGGTAGAGTACGTCGTTAAGTTCTTCACAAAACAGATCAGTTTGTACATCTTGTTCTTTATCATCGACCGTCTCTTCCTGTATACTGGTGGTACATGCCACGTCCAACCTTCGCATGTGAAGTCAGCTGCCGAGAGGGCAATGGATGCAAAGAGTTGTAATACGATTTACGGTATTTGGCAAGAGGGGACATGTGTGTTAACAGCAACGCGACTGTCGAGGATGATCACAGATTCTCAAGTTTGTAGACGTTTTGGCAAGTGGCACGGTGGATTTGATATATCTGGACATTTTTGTTTCATAGTTACGCTCAGCACCGTATTTTGGTTCGAACTGATAAACTTCACCACCTCCTGTGATTTGGAGAGTCTCAGGGACTCAAAGTTGAAGAAGTCAACAGTTATTTTACAATGGGTGCTGTTGATAGTGTTGGCAATTTGGATCCAGATGCTTTTTATCACTGCAGTTTTTTACCATTCATTCATAGAGAAGGTATTGGGGCTTCTGTTTGGGTACATTACACCATTCATGATGTACTACCTCATACCGAAATATATACCTACAGTGTATATTCAAAATTAATAATACAATGTCATAGATTCATAAAGATTATTCAGTGAGTACCTCAACTGCCTCGCCAAATCGGTCCATTAGAGTGTGTATGTCCCCTTTTAATAAGTTACAAGCTCTTCTCTTCTGAAAATCGGTAAAACCATTCTCGATGAAAACACTTTCCACGCTATCCAACCCACAGCGCATCGTAACACCTGTTTCAGCCTCTTTAATGGAAAGCTGGAACTTAATAGTGGTCATAGAAATATCCTTCTGCAAGCTGGATACATACTTCTTGTACCGAAACTTTAAGCGATCAATGATTTGATGCTTCAAAGATGTTAACTGTAATATATGACGAACATGACAGACAAAATTAAACAGTTTCTGGCTCGATAGGTCATCATAGGAAGCTGCCAAAGTTCTTAGCTGCACGAAAGCAGGTACAGTATGGTTCAATATGCACCATTTCATAGTTTTGGGATTCTGCTCAAGTATAATGTAGTGTGGAGTTTCAAATCTAAACTCCAACTCGTTAAATATCTCAATCCTCACGCCCAACTGTGTATCTGGGCAAGATGGATCCTTGACCGGAAAGGCCGTTATTCCAAACATACGATACACGTTTTCTATAAGAACATTTTTGGTCTTCTCCTGAACAGTATCATCACCTTCCAATGATTTAGGAGTAGTCCGTGGCGTCTTGAAGTATTTGGATATACTTTCGTCGAAAAATTCGTGCTTCACAGGTTCTGGTGGAACGTACTCTTCTTCGAATTGCCTTTCTCGCTTCGATTTTTTCCGTCTCTTGGGCGTGGGGTTCTCTGGACTTATATCACTAGCTATATGGTTCGTTTTTGAGTTCTCTTGCAATGATTTGTTCAGCATTTTGAGTGCATCTAGAGGCGACTTTCTCTTCTGTGTCTTTTCAATCTCTTTCAAGAGATCTGCTTTCCTCTTTTCAAGCTGCGCAACTTCACATGTGTTAGTGGCTCAAACTGATCACATGATATAAACATACATACTCTCATGCTCCAACGAAGCATTGTCCTGGTGGAGGTCTTCTAAACGAGTCATCTGCGGTTATTCCAAATCCTTTGTTTACTTTAAAGAGCTTTCCGACGCGTTGCTGTAGTTTTCTTCCTAGGATGGAATCTACAACGTACGTGTCCCTACCAGATAATGATAAGCTCAATAACTCATTTGAATTTTCCTTACGGGAAGATGTATTACATAAATAGGATGTACTTAAACCGAGTAAATCATAATCCCGGATAGCTGGTTTCAGTCAATTCAGACATAAACTTCCCCTTCTCTCCACCAATTTCATTCCGGTAACCTTGGATGATCTTTTTGACGTCGCCGATAGGTCTATTTTGATTCATCTTCACCTTGTACTCAAGTTTTGTAAGTTTGATCTCAACACCAACGATGCCCTTCATCATGATATCAATATAAGGCTTTGGTGCATCGCTCACTTTCCAGACGTCTTCTACCAGAGTGTCCTTTGGTCTGTTGGATTCGTGGTCATCCACAACATCCTCAAGCAGTTTCAAAGTGAAATCTTTATCATCTCTGACTATTCTTACTTCCCCGTGTGCATGCACCGTTGCGTAGTCCCAGGTAGGCACTATCTTATGGTTGACTTTCTTTTGCTCATACCAAGAAGCAGATACGTATGAGTCATATTTACTGTTGAAAACAACAATGCATTTCTTCGCACTTTCCAATTGCGGAACTTGATCATTCCCCTTGGCCATATGTGTAATCAGAACAATATCCGAACCATCTTCCGAGACGGAACGAATTGTGAAAGGCAAATGGGTCAATTCAATTTGAGATTCCTTTGACAGGAAGGAAGATTCAGCAGATATTAACAACCCCAACGGATTGGCCTTTATAAGCTCTAGGGCCTCCTTGGTATCGTTACTCTTATTGAACTCCTTTGGATTGTAGAGCACCATGGTCTGTAGTTTGATCACTCTTCATGGGAACATTTCGTTTGTCGAATGGCAAAACCGTCTCTATTTATTCATTTCAAAATTTGAACCTCTCGTTACACAATGGTTTATGCAACTTTAGATAAATCAATGCAATACGGGTAAGAAATGCCTTTTTTGGAATTACAGGTTTAGATTGTATTGCACTGTCCGCCATAGGAGGAGAGCCAATGCGCAAGGACGAATTAATCAGCGCAAATAGCACATGCAGTCATAGTCCAAAAAAGAAAAACAGTCATCAAGCATTCTTGATAACGTACGCAAACTACGGATCAGGTTACTACTAACTATTTTTTTAGAAAGAAGATTTTCAACCTTCTACATAATATAATCCGCCGCCCACGGAAGGCACGCTAAGTTTTGTTGCCTTTCCCTCCATTCCTGCAGGGAAAAATGTAAAGATATGACACAAAAGCAGTTAGTTTGAAACGAGGTGACTCAAAAGGCGTTCATGGCAAATGTAGTAACCGTAAGTCGTCACGCAAGATGAAAGAACTAAAGATGCCATCATCTACTTCTGAAACTCTACATGTGCTTGTTATTGGGGGATCGGGACTAGTTGGATCCCATTTTATTCACGAGGCCCAAAATTCTATAATGGTGAGCAAGATAACTGTGATTTCCCGGAGAGACGCACTGTTCTTCAAGCAGTTCGACAAAGTTAATCTTATTATTGAGACCGAGCCATTACTCTGGTGTAAGTGGATCCAAGGCTTGGGCCAAATCGATGTATTGTTCTCGGCGTTGGGTGCAACACGAGGAGACGCTGGTACTATATCAGCACAGCGGGCGGTTGACTATGATTTGAACATGATGGTGGCTCAGCAGGCAAAGTTGAAGGGAGCAAAGGTGTGTGTACTCGTTTCTTGCTTCAACAATCCGATAATCAGTAGAATCTTCAAATACTTTGCGTTGAAAAAACAGGTTGAAGAGGGAATATGCTCGCTCAAGTTTGATTCGACGGTGATCCTCCGACCTGGGCCCCTAGTTGGACACAGGGAGCACACAACACCCAATCACACAATGAGAAGTATATTGTCGACACTAATAGCAGAATACACATACAAGACTCCTTTCAGTTGTCTCGTTGGTGGATCCATCAACGCCACAGAGGTTGCAGCTGTGGGTATGTTCATGATCGAGACGAGTAAATATCTGAAGCTGCAGAGAATCATTTCGAGTTCAGAAATGATACAGCTATGTGATGCATTGGACTCTATATAGAGGCTCCACTGATCAAAGTTTGCTCTTTATGCCGTTTAATCTGTATTTCATGTCCTTTAGTTGTTTGGTTTCTGGTTTCCACGCTTCGAACTCACTCAATAACTCATCAATTTCTTTCTCAGCACCAGGTAAGTTTGTACGGGCCTCGTGGAGAAGACCACGCATACACCATGGTAAATGGTAAGGGTTTGTTCCCAGTTGCTCAATGATATATGGCTTGAAATGCAACGGTATATCATACTTCAAATCATTAGTGTATAGGGAAAAGTTCAATGCTAAGTCGTATACTTGCGGGTCGTTATAGATGGTAGAATGTCCACCTCCAGTCAACGGACCAGCCAATACGTTAGATATCTCCTTTACTACACCATGATCAGAAAGACCTATGTTGTGTAGGTGGTTGGACATGGACACCGAGCGAGACACAAATGATGGTGTTTTTGATGAACCATCGATATAAGTTGCTCGGAAAATATTAGGGTGACGAACATGGAGACAAGTCGAAGAGTATAATGGGACAAGCTGATCGTTTATAGATCCAACAAATGTAAGTTTGATATTTCGTTTAATCACAATCTTCAGGGCGTTCAAGAATTCTTTCGAATGTACTGAATCGAAATTCTGAAACTGGAAAAGCTCCATCAAGGAATCATTCTCAATTGTTGAATATGCCCTGACAAACAATTTTTGGTCAACACCATAGAAAGGACCATTGTTGATACCAGCCATCAACAACATCGATATTTTCTTATCCTTCGTGGTTATGATACCATCTTCAACCAGACGGCCAAGAAGGATGATGCTGACTGGGCAACCTTGTGAATGAGCTGCAAAGTATATGTAATCAGCAGACTCTACATCCTTCTGCCACTTCTTTAATACTTCATAAAAGAATTCCACACGGTCAAATATCTTTCCCTCTCTTTCCAAAGCAATCTTTTGAACTGTTATAGATAAATTTTCACGTTTTGCCCACCTCCAAACAGCCTTTTCAGCTTCAGTAGAAAACTTGATGGATGTTCCAGTAGGCTCACCAATTAAGGGACGTATAACTTTTGTGGGGAAGAAACCATGAACCCCAATGATTAATACCTTTTTAATCGACCTTGGTGGATGCGATACTCTATATAAATGTTTGGGATCTGGAACATCAAACCCTAAAGTATATCGCAGCCTGTTGAAGTTATTGATCACAGTTGTGCTTGTTGAATAGTAAGGTAGGGAACTCTCGAATGCAGGGACAACAATGTTTGGTGTTATCGGTTTCTGTGTTGACGTTGACACCTGTTTCGGTTTATCGGTCTCTTCGAAAAGAACAGCCTCACCACCGGATAACAATACATTTGACAGAGCAGGGTCATTAGCGTGCGATGAGTTTGTAGAGCTATTCCAAAAAGACCAGGATTGCTGTCTATCCTTTTTCAAAACCCTCTCTTCTCCGGCAACGGACTTGAGGTTATCATGGTTTTGCAACACTGCTTCATCCATTGTTTTCTTTAGAGATGTCGACGAGGATTTTCGAGACCATCCCATCCAAGAATCCTTTCTATCGTCTTTACTCCTTGTAGACTCGGTGTCCACCGTATCTGTAATAACCTCATCAATATTGTTGCTATTTGAGGATTTGACCGAAGCCGCGGATGTAGTATGCGATTTTGTAGATGATTCACCGTTTTCCGAATCCAGAGGTTTCTGATCCAATTGTGACGTCCTTCTAGTCCAGATGGACCATATGCTATCTTTCTTCCCATTGGCTTCATTACTCACCAGCTCTGGAATCTCAACCGGAGGTTGTGTGCCATCCGGTACATTTGCCATTGAGCCGTTCTTGTCCAGTTCATCCGTGACACTCTGTGGGGAGCTATCTCGAGAACTTTCTTGATCAACTCCATACTTTGAACGCAACGACACGTTCGATGTCTTTCCAAGCACTCGAGATGGACGATGCTTTAAAGCTTTAATTGAATTATCACCACTAGGCGAGTTTGAGTTGTTGTTGTTGTTGTTCTGTGACATTCTTCTGATCAAAAGCGTATATCGTCTTCTAACACAGATAAGCATGCACTAACCCTGACAGTCTGGATCTCTCACCAAGCTTTGAGACAAATGAAACGTCCTTTTTAACACCCCTTGTGCTTTTTTTGTTCTCTCAACGAACGTACACTACCAGATGATCTTCTTTCTGCCTGCTACGTATTGCCAGTTTATGAATTTGGCTTCCAGACGAAACATAGCAAAGTTGACGTTTCTTTTGTCTCCCCTCCATAAACGGGAGCTTCTCGTACAAAATGGTGCGAACTTCCACTTGTTTGAGACCGCGAAATTTTCGTTCTTCGCCTCACTGTTTTTGGTTTCCTTGTCCGTGTTCTTTTAAAGGCTACAACTGTTGCCCAAAAAGGAGCCCTTTTGGTAGACTTTTGCGCCAAATGCGAAACTGCTGTCAGGGCATGAAAAGGCGCAGCAAAATGCCAGCAAAATTGATTTGTGGCAGGAAAAGTGTCCGATATGGGCAATTCAAGCCTAAAAATTCAAGCCATTCCCACAGGGAAGATTTTACGAAGCATACAACGGACATTTGACAAGCTCCTTATGTCGCTCGTATTGTCTATGATTTAGTCCGGAAGGAACCAGACGCTCTCCTCATCATGAGCCCAGTGTAGACCATCCACTCACCACGCGTCGTTTACGCAGCTGGAAGGCGTGTGTCTTTACCACCTTGCCCGGGCACGCATGTAGCCGCGAAACACATCGCTGAGTTCATCGACATCTACCCAAAACACACTCGTAAATTGTCGCATCTTGTGCTCCAGCTCATTTTGTTTCTCCCTAATCCACACTTTCTAACTTGCACCTCTAACACTGTTCGTTGATTATCAATCAACGACAATGAAGTACATAGGTTCATCCCAATCAGGGAGACAAAGGCCGCTCTCGGACTTGGATACAAAGCGTTTCGCAAGTACGCTCATTAAGGTCGTGTCCAGACTTACAAAGACTCCGCAAGAACTGAATGTTTTCTAAACAGGGCTGCTCTGTACTTGCTGGCGTCCGTCCTTCTCCTCCATCGCAGCCCAGCCAAATTGACATATACTGTCGAGTCAGTTCCAAAATGCAGTCAGACGACCTCGCAGCAAAGTATCCTTCCTAAACTGTTATTTCAGATAGCGGTTCGGGAATTAACTTTAAGAGGAACAGTCTTGAAACAATTTTAGGCGCTTAAGTTTTCTCGCTTTTCTTCTTGTGTCATAACAACAACAACAACAACAACAACAGCAAGGGAATCTCCGTTAACTGACGTATAAAGATGGTGGAACTTGGTAGAATTATCCGATTAGGCACTTTCTTAACTGTCCTGATTGTCCATACTGCAACCGCCGTGGGTGGCGATGACGGTGACTGTGATGATGACGATTACTATGTGGACTCAGAGCTTTGTGACAGCTACTATGAAATATCACCACGCATCGACATGAGTTCATGTGTATGAAGATACCTTTTGAAACAAAATGATATCCTCATATTTGATGCCACTGGACGACTATGATACTAACACGTTTGCAACAGAAACAGCAATTCTACACATGTTTTGCTCGTGGTTATAACGATGCATACCTATGCGAAGGGTGTTCCTTCGTAGCTAGTTGTGTTGAAGACGAACCGAGTGACATGTTTGACGCTGATTGCGGATGCACTTGCTGCTGGTATCAATATCTCTTCAACTACTGTTTCAAAAACTTGTGCACTGATATGGATGAATATGTTCGTATTAAGACCTATCTTGATGAGGTTTGTGAAGCTGCGCCACTGAAAGAGAAGTTACAGCCATATATCGAATCCTACGAAAATTTCAGTCCGACAGATAGAATTACAATGTTCTACTCTGATGAGGGAGCTCTCTACCGCTCTTTGGAAGCTGACGAAAAGGAGGCCTTGTTTGGTTATATCTCCGACATCTTTGATTTTGATACGCTCAGCTTTGCACCAGAGGCTTTAAAGAAGAGGTCTTTAGACTATAACCACGGAAGGTCGAAGAGACAGAAGATTCTGAAAGGAGAGAAGCTCATTATATGGGGAAACCAAGATGAGAGGATCAATTTCGCATCTCTCAATCCCGAGGAGTTTGAAGATGTAGAGGAAACAGATTTCAAAAGCAAATACGATGTTAGCGTTGAGGAGATGAGTCATGAACTGTTTGGTATGAAGAAGCGTTCTGGTGAGTTTAATACCAGAGACTTGAAGTCCATAATCACAACTGCTGTTTCTGCATTTCTCACGGGGAAGAAGCCGGTCACATCAGACCTTATCCAAGAGGTCCATCTTTATTCACGTGGTGATATAAACGTGTTACTTAGTCTTCTAAAGGACTGTATTCCAGGTGAGAAGTTGACGGTTTTTACAGACATACTTTCAAAAGCTGCACATAACTTTGAGTTACCAGTTATCCCTGAAACGGATTTAATGACTCAGGTCGACCTGGAACCTATGGGCCTTGAGTTGACAGAGTTTTTTGATACAAATGATCTTCCTTATTTGCGTTTTGAAGCTTGCCGCATAGGGTTAAGTTGGAAAAAAATATCTGACTATCCTGAATGCAATATTGCTGGCTCTACAAAGTGTGGATGCATGTCCATTCTTATCGAAGAAAAGTGCTTTGAAGAGTATTTGAAAGATCAGGGAGCTCCAATATCTCAAGTCCAGGAGTATTTCCAAAATAGAATCCAGCATTTTTGTGGGAGTCATGAGAATGGTGAAAATCAAGGGACATTTCCTCATCATCTCTTGGATGATGAAGAACAGATCGCATGGGCTTTTTCCTTACTCAACCATTTAAAAACAGTCGCATCTAAGCTAAGAATTTCTGAAGATTTAGATGAATTTGAGGCCCAGTACTTATTTGACAGTTCTGTTAATCAGCTAAGTAGCAGTGACCATGCAAATGCGGCTGTTACCATTGATAAGTGTGAATTATCCCAAAAAGATCTCATAGATTACATGCTTCCTCAAATGGATGACTGTGATATCCGCGGATTATACAAGTGCAAGAACAAAAATAAGAAGACAACATGCATTGGAACAGCAGTTGATAAGAACCAGTGTAATAATGCATGTTGCTTGGAAATAGAAATGGCTAGATGTGCAGAATCATTTTGTGACACCAAATGGCCAGTGATTCATTTCATGAGGGCTGCCAATCTTATCTGTTTTGAGTACGCTGATAAATCTTTCATGAATGGTCAATTACCATTTCCGTCTATTGGGCTTCCAAATGAAGAGTCAACTGTAAGAGACGAATGCCCGGAAGATTCCAACAATGATGATGATGCTGATGATGACGATAATGATGATCACTTCAATGATGACTCCAAGGAGAAAGATGAAGATAACTATAATGATATTGATGATTGTATTGAACCAGAATGCGATGAACATCATTTTTTAGATGGATTTGATGACGAAACAAATGATGAAAATAGCAAAACAGAGTTAACATGGTCGTCTATAAACAATATTTTGAAAAGAGCAACAGACTCTGAAGATGACTACTACGACGTGAAATCTCGCGTCGGAGAGCCTGTTTGTGAAATTGAGCCGTTTGATCCAGGATTTGATAATACCTCTTGCGATAAAAAGCAAGTGAAAACTTGCATCAAAGATGGAATTCAAATGTTGAAGGATGATCCAAGACACTTTTGCCCTTATTGTCAAAATGACAATGCATATGACGAATGCCGTTGTGCATGCTGTTTTGGAAAGTACTTCAGTAAGGTCTGTTACGATCCAAATTGCGAGGATGTGAGCGAAAGATTGAGATATAAGCGTTATGTCAGAGAAATTTGCAAAGTCAGACCAGTAAAAGTCAAAGAATAAAACTCATACAAAATTGCTTTGCTGATGCTCTTTAATACATTATATTTTAGCTTATAATTAACTCATAGTCAAAGAATCTCAACCTCACCAGCCAACTCTAATCTTCTACTACTTGACCCGACGTACAATTTGTACGTCCCCGGAATAATTACCCAACTTTGATCTTCTGTATCCCAGACACTAATATCCCTTCTCAAAATCTCAAACTCAAGTTTACCACTCTCTCCAGGTTTCAAGTGAACCTTGTCAAAGCCTCTCAACTGTCTTGGTGTTTTAATACCGTCATACCCAGAAGGGTAATCAATGTATAACTCACCGACGTAAGCTCCTTCAACATCACCGATATTGGTAACCTCAGCGTGGACGCTATAAAGAGTATTCCACAATGCATCATTTCCACCTAAACCACCGCCAGAGATTGGTTCTTGATAGCACTCCTCCTCTGTGTACCCTTCTGGATACTCATATTCATCAACACTGTATATTTTCTCATTGAATAGATATGGGTAGACGAATCCAGGAACAGGTGAAAATTCCTTAAAAGGGAAAAGAGCATCTTCGACATCTCTCAACTTTTCCTCAGCAAAAACATACTCATCTAAATACGGTGGTGGATAAGGTAAATCGGTAGTTGGTGGTAAGATTTCCTTTATCGATAAGTCAGAAAGAGAGAATTTTGTATAGGAAAGTCCATAACCAAATTCAAATCGTGGTCTTATCCCATTTTCATCGAAGAAACGGTAATCAAGAAGTCTGTTTAAATCATCTGTCGGTTTTCCCTTGATAGGAATTTTGTCAATTATTGGAACATATTGATCCCATTTTCTTGCAATTGTGAATGGTAACCGTCCACTTGGGTTTACCTCACCGAATAAAACTTCAGCAATAGCCTTCCCAAAGTACTGTCCCAAAGGAGCAGAGAGGAGAACGGCAACAACATTTTCATTATCAATGAAAGGTTCAAGATCTACTGGACCGGTTGCTGTGATTACAACAACAGTTTTATGACATCTGCTTGCAATATGATCGATCAACTCCTCTGAATTTTGCCACAATGACAAGTTCTTTCGATCACCAAAGTTACCATCAACTTCGATATAACCTTCGCCAGATGATGCCACAGCAAATACAACAGCCATATCCGCGTACTCCGCAATATCATCCACGTGATCAAGATCATATTGATCAGATGTGAAGTCTATAACCATGTCGCGTTCTCTAGCCTTTTGCACGATGGCTTCATATGGAGTGATACCATACGGTGCATTAACACTTGCAGAGCCCCATCCTTGGAATAAGGCACCACCAACACTCTTTTGATCCTTTGAATTAAAACCCTTAGAGTCCGGACCTGCCGCTGCACCTGCAATCAATAACCTTCTAATACCATCCTTTTCAGATATTGGAAGATTGTGTCCGTCATTTTTAAGTAGCACAATCGCTTCACGTGCAACCTCTAAGGCTGTCCATTCTGTGCTATCATCTCTCAGGTCGACGTGATAGTTTGTTTGTTTAATGGGACCATAGCTTTGGAAGGGGAATTCTTGGTCATATGTGTGGAAAGTCCACGAACTAAAGTTTGGCAAGTCTTCTTCATAATCAGAGTTTGGTAGTTTGGAATCGATGGAGAAGAAGGATGCCAAAATTCTACTAACCATGTCGTTGAGTCTGGATTGTGGAATCGTTTCATTGTAAACAGCTCTTGTCAAGAGCGGACCCCAATACGACTTACCACTGCACCAATCTCCAAATATTTCCCCCGGCATTGTCATATCCAAACCAGACAATGCTGAATCAACACCAGTATGTTGAGCACCCCAATCACTGACAACGAAGCCTTGAAATCCTAACTCCTCCTTCAAAAGATAATTCAAGAGGTACGAGTTTTCACAAGCATAAGTCCCATTGACTCTATTATATGAGCACATAACACCACCAACCCCTGCATGAACAACATCTGCCCAAGGCCATAAATAGATCTCATGCATAACACGATCTTTGATCACTGAATTGATAGATTCGCTCAAACGATCCCAATCACCACCGGTCCACTCATTAACCTGTCTAAATCTCTCTTGCTCGTTACCGATAAACTGGCGAGCGGCAGCAACAACACCTTGACTTTGAATGCCTTGGACTGTACAGGCACCTGCTATACCTTGAAGGTATGGATCAAACCCAAAACTCTCCCAGTTTCTACCGCCTTGAGCTTTATATCCAATAGGACCAATTGTTGGACCTAAGAGAATATCGACTCCTTTCAGCTTTGCTTCCAATCCAATGGCTCTACCTCTTGTATACATCAAATGTTTATTGAAAGTTGAACCAGTAGCCAAACCTGAGGGAAAGTTTGTGATGAAATCAGTAAATCTGATCCCGTTAGGCCCATCCTGGAGACAAAGCGAGGGAATGTTAAGTCTTGGGACACTTCCAGTATTACCAACACAAGGCCCAGAACCCCAACCAGTACCAGTAGTCAAGTTAACCTTTTCCAATATTGTCATCTCACTAACCACGTCTCTTGCCTTCGCATATGCTGCTTGCCACACCTTTTGGAGTCTTCCACCAGCGGCTATATGACGGTGTTAGTTATGCGTGGTCATGTTGCTCACCTGTGAGGGTTAACAAGATATAATCAGTCAAAGTGCTTGGTATAAACAAACGAGAAGGGTAGTACCGTAGACTGTAGAAATCAATATCATCAACATCTCGGTCGGTGTTTGTGTCATCGTCTATAGGATCTGGGTTCACGTATAAGGGCTTCTTTTCAAACTCCCTTGTTTCCAAAGACTGCACATACTGAGCAGAATAAAGCACAAGCATCATGAAAGTGCCTATCTTCACGAGTTTAGATTTCATCTTCAAGTGTTGGCTGTCTGGTTGAGTCGAAAAGGTGTATATGAGTAAGGAACATCAACAAATTTGAGCTGCTGATAACGAACTTATAAAACAAGATGACACAAAACCGAAAAGGAGAAAGAGTAAGGCTCACGTCAGCGGCTATAAATACATCGATAATTTGGCACCCAAACAATTTTTCACAGTTCAAAACAGGGTGTTCACACAAACCAAACGAGAAAGCCATGTTTTCCTACTTGGATACTTCAGAGGATTCATCGTTGTGCTGGGTCATGTTGGGTACAGATACTGGTGACATGACTGTGTTGAAAGTGTGATTACTCGAATTGTTCGTAGTGTAGAGATGGCTGCTCATACTCAGCTGTCTGTTCACATGGTCTCTTCTATCCATGATACTAGCAGGCGGAATGCCCGTAGTACTGGCGTTTGTGAAAAGCGTTGGGTGATCAGACTGCACTGTGTTTGAAGTCTGGTGGGAATGATCTGAAAACGTAGATGACCTTGCAGATATGGTGGATATTGATATCATAGGGCGTGTGCTGGCGTTGTCAAAACGTGTAGTGACACTTGTATCAGCGATTGATGGAGACTTGGAATAAGCCTTACGTGAATCATTCTCAAAATTTACACTCTGTGCCCCCGCATTTGTAGACGAATCATCATCCTCCTGTTTACCTTGGAACCGAGCAGTTTTCCTTGAGTTTCCAGCACCATTATCCTCGCTCTTTGAAGAACGATGATTCAACGCTATGTGGTCTCTTTTAAAATGTTCCTTTTGTGGTGGCATGCTCTTTGATTGTATAAACCTCTTAACCCACGAAAAACGACCTTGTTTGGTCCTCTTGATTGATTCGCCTTTGGTGAGGTTAGTAATTCGAAAACATTAGAAGTGGCATACAACATCACGAACCAGAATCGCTACCGGGATCTCTAATGTTATTTGTCATTTGTATTTGTCCTTTATGGTACAACCTCAGATACACAGAAGTTGTAAGGCTAGGTAAATGCACGCCAGAATTGTTTTCGCAAGTCGAGAACTCGCGTTTTTTTTGCTCTCATTATTTCTCACCACGCTTGCTACTAGATATACTGATTTCAACGCATGTCTTACATTTAAATTGGTAGGCGAGATCACAACACAGGCTAAGTACGCTGAAAAGTATACAAATTGAAATCGCATGTATTTAATAATGAACATACATCACCAATACCCATACCTTATTGACCACTTAACCCATAAAAATAGTAAAACACCCGTTGTGGATGAACAAAAGGTTATCAACATAAACGCACACTGACTCATGTGGTTTGCACACCGAGGCTCCTTAGAAGTAACCTAAGAGGACAACTGCACTTTATTATCAGTTGCACGGTGAATATCCGATGGCGTATAAGATGGCGGCTGTTCTTCTATTATCACACTTGTACCAGTGATCGCCTGATCAGAGTATACTGGACCTGTCTGTGTAGATGTATCTGTTTGGTCATTACCTTCTGGAAGTCTCTCATAATCTGGATATGCCACACGTCTTGCTTGATCACCCGTGACCGGACTTGTTACGTAAATGATGTAGATAGAGTGTAGAGTCCCTGGAAGACCAAACATCATGGTCAATAAAACATTTAATAAAACTTGCTTGGTCCAAAACCCTGATCTTATAGCCACTGGCAATGGAGGGAAGAAGAAGGCGATCAAATAAAGGAAAACATCCTCCGGGTCCACGGATCTTCTAGGTGTCTGCAAATGGTGCTCCTGGTAATCAGTCATATATACTTCTATTATTAGAGAAGATAACCCAATCTAAGTGAATGTTGTTAATCTAATGTTCCTGGGTGGCACATTAACACACACACACAACAACAAGGCTTGTTTTTTTTCCACTGTTACCCCTGAGAATTTTTAGTGTTCGGTTTTCGGGATTTCAAAGTCCAGACGTCAAGCCCACTTTTATTATGACAAGTTAGGCCTTGTTTCTATTTTCTGGATGCTGAACAGTTTTAGGGTAGATCTAGCGACATTCAGACTGGGTTAGTTGGTAGATGTGCAACTTTGAGAATTGGTTTGCTAACTTGGGATTCATTAGGATATCTATTTGAATACCGATGTTCTTTTCTCAATCACCGGCCACCGGGAAACAATCACGCAAAATTTTATAAACCGGTGACCAAAAATAAAGTTCGACAACTCATTTTTGATGAAATGAAACAAATACCGCCAGTGTACCGGGTGAATGAACTTAAAAGATGATTCGAGGAGCGCAACCGAAAAAAGGCGCAGATTCTCAAGATTTCGCCTCATCATACACCAGCAAAATACATTAGTTCCACATTGGTGCGTTGCTTCTTTAACATTTGTAACCTAATAGACATTTATTACGTGATTTCCGTACCGCATGTCTCCTCATTGCAGAGACCTCGTATCTGTGGCATGTCCGACTTTGTACAAGTTAATTCATACGAGTTGAATTACGATCCTCGCATCTCCTGAGACTTTCTGAGATCCCTGTATTCATCCCTAATAGAATATTTCGCCCTTGAAGGACAATATTGTTAATCGACCTCCATATTATCCATGTTGTTGTCGGGATTTCTACTGTACCGCAGATTTTAGAAAAAATTTTTTCTTGGGGTTTCAGCAGTCATGCAGAGTACAAAATTTGATGAAATCCTTTATGGGTCGCCCAATGATCAGTCTTCAAACACCCAACGAATTTTACCCCTTTGCGTCCATTCTGCACACTGCCACAATTTACTTTTTGCCAGAAGGAATGCGTTTTGACTGGGCTTATGAAATGTTATCTCTGTGAATCCTCGTGTACCTACGTTCAGATGCCCCTTGATGCGGATGTGATCCATGATGAATTTGAACATTGCATTTCAGTGTTGTGTTGCCAAGCCTTTGGCTCCGCGTGCGTTGTGGTTACTACAGAATTAACTATTGGTTCCGGCAACCCAATTCGGTAATCTAAGTAACTTGGGGCTAGAATTCTTACCAGTTTTCGGTGAGCTATGCAAGATTGGGGCTGTGGTTGCAATGTACTACAACTCACGATGCCGGGAGCTGCACACCTTTCCCGACAATATAAAGAAGCGATTCCCACTTTTTTTTTCAAAACATGGTCCAAGACTAACGTTGAATGCTACTACTCAAAGGAGCTTGATTATTTCTCTAAGCAATTCCAACTTCAGATACCCAGCTCGAATGACTTCTCTCTACAACCAACCTTCATCATTCACCTCCTTTTCACATACACAGATGGCTGATCACGTTGACACAAACCACCTATCACAAGGGGGAGATACATATTATTATTACACTCAACTTGGGAATCCAAATTTGAACGACGAGAGAGCAAGAACAATAGCTTTACAGTCACATATGTTCTCTCAGTCGTATACAACTCCACCAATGGACATGCAACTTTCAAACCCGCAATATGGACTGATAGATACTCAACAGGTTCCAATGCCAATGTCTAGCCCCACTGTGGCCTTAAACAATGGACAGTACGACAATGGCATCACAAGCACTTATTACTATGGAGCTCGACAAGAACTCCCGTTTAACTATAACAGTGCAGTTTCTAACCCATGGTTACAGCATCCAGCTAGTAATATTAACATGGTAGACTCAGCGTCTTCGTTGCAATCGCAGATTAGCCAACACTCACTTATTATACCAGAATCATCACAGTTATCGTACAGTAATATGGAATTTTCTGTCACGTCAAATACCACATCCACAAGTAGAAGCTCTATAGATCGAGTTTCTAAACCAGAGGGGACACGAAAGAAGCGAGTATCGAAGGACGGGAAAGCTTGTAAAAAAGCCGAAGAGATATACAAATGTGAGTTTTGTCAGAAAACGTTCACAAAGAAGTATAGTTTGAATTCGCACAGAAAGACCCATAGCACTGCAAAGCCGTTCCAATGTTCGCATTGTGAACGTTCATTTGCACGTAACCATGACCGAAGAAGACACGAATTTCTTCACCAGGGGATAAAGAGATTCCAATGTGGAGGGGTGCTGAAAGATGGTGTTACCCAATGGGGATGTGGAAAAAGATTCACAAGAGCCGATGGACTTGGGCGTCATTTCAGAACAGATGTCGGATGTCAGTGTATTAGGCCACTAATGGCTGAAGCTCGCGACGCGGAAGAAACCCCTCTGCTCTATGTCGGGGCCAGACCTCTTGCGGTAAGCCGGTCCACAGAAGATGAAGTTGTTGAGAAGATATTAAAGAAGCTAACTCAGAAATAAATACGTTAGTAAAATACTACGATTAAACTGAGAAGCTCCCCTGTACACTCACAGTGTTGTAAAATGTCCTCTCGGTCCAATAGTGTAGTTTTTGAAGCTACGATCTTACATCCAGACACCTAAGGGTTGACGAGGTGAAGAAAGAAAACAAAGAATCCCCTGAATCGACAGTCTACAACATAACCTACAGACACCACGTTGAGGGCATGATTTTTTCAATTAGGTAAAGATTTCACTCTGTAATAGTAGGTCATTAGTGTATATTATTAGATTATGTGACTTTTGTAGCAAAACCACCAGGTTTCACAATGATGAACACATGAGGTATGAAAATTGAGTGTTCCTCTTTGGGTTATGAGTTTAATGGTCAGCGTCTTGGCCTGGGTTAGCAGTCTCGTAGTCCAAGAAGTGCAAGAATTGCCAGATACCAAAGGAAATAAAGGATCCCAACATTGGACCAACCCAGTAAATCCAGTGGTAGTTAGGGAAAGAACGTGCAGCGATACATGGACCAAAAGATCTAGCTGGGTTCAAACCGGCACCAGTGTAGTACACACAAACCAAGTGTCCAATGAACAAGGAGATACCAATAGCCAATGGGGCCATAAATGTAGCCTTGTGCTTCTCAACAGCCATGAACAAGACAGTGGTACACAAAAGACAGGTACCGAAAGCTTCAAGGAAGAGACCTCTGGATCTAGAACAGCCACCACCAAGGCCGTTGGCAAAGGCGATTGGACCCGGAGTCATAGCGGATGCAGCACCGGCAGCAGCCATACCTGCAACCATTTGGGAAATCATCATCAAAATACCTCTCACTGGTGGGATGGCTCTTGCAAGCATAAGAGTCAAGGTTACAGCAGGGTTCAAGTTACCACCAGAAACTCTGAAGAAAATGAAGACAGAAAACAGAACAGAGAAACCGAAACCGAAGGAAATCATAAGCAATTGAGGTGGGTGTGAACCAGGCTCACTAACAGATGTATCTTGGTTGGCAATTTGAGCGATAACGAAAGCAGACCAAAGGAACATGAATGTACCTACAAATTCACCAGTAACAGCAACGAAGTGGTTTCTAACACCGTCATCGCCGAAAGTGAATTTGCTCTTTGGTACGTATGGTGGAATATACTCTTCAGCTGGTTGTGCAGCTTGAGCCTCAACGTCAGTTGGAGCAGATATTCTTGTTGTATGTAATAGTTGTTAACGAGGGAGTAACAAGATACCTGATTCTTGTTCGCAGAAAAGTGAAGGTTAAGGAGGGTGGGTTTCCACTCTTTTATATTGTTTCTTTTCCTTCGATGCCATCCTCATTTTCTGGTGAATGTAATGCTAGGCATCAAGGGCATGGTTCCGTTCGTGTCCGTGCTAAATGTTTTTTCTACTGCATTTCTACAGGAAGTTCTGAAATATCTGCAGACATCTGCACAATTTCACAAGGTGCTTTTTTATGCACAGGGTTGTATTTAAAAATGTAGAGCTGTGCGTATGATCATGTGGAATTGCCATCTTAAAATAGCAACTCTTCGACTTCACGCAGACCACCTTAGTACGGGATGGGGGGTTGAGTTCCTGTTATAGTCGATCATAACATACGAAAAGAAAAATATTTCGCTATTGATGATTGCTAAGTCTCCATTATGTCATAAGCTGATTGACAAATCTCAGTGGTCTTAATTGACTGAACCAATTGTCATAATTGTATGCACCTAGCACCTAAATCGGGATTTACAGAGAGTTGTGTGGGCCTGGGTGTTTGGACAATTGAAAATATTATGTATATGCTCTAGAATCGAGTGGCACGTACGTAGAAGAACTTTTTCTCCCTGTGTTGCTTATGCAGTGCACTTGCTGACAGGGTAATGGACTATTTGCTCGCCTGTTACTACGGTAGCTGGTACGAAATCCATAGCACGACGGGTGGTACACGGCGTAACACTTTATGATAAACTAGGTTTTAATGCAATGAAAAAGAATAAATATGGTCAAGCCTTGAAATGAGAGAAAATCATAAGACATACATGTGGCAAAGCCCAAAATAACAGAAAATTCATTTATGGTCATTGAAGCCAGCATAAGATCGACATCGTATCATGCCCAAATTTGTGTCCTGTAATTTGTATGAAGAGTCCAAGGACATTGTCTTGCAGGGAGATGTTGTGAAGTGTGAAAAAATGCATATGTAAGTTGTAGCCAGCTTGAATTTTTGGATCTATGTATGTGAACATAAAAAAGATCTCTGGACATGAAAATTTTGTTCCATTGCATGATGGTCAGCTTTTCATTCTAGGGATATCAATCCATGAAAATAGCACATGATGTAATAATAATTAAGAGACAGTTCCTGATGTTGATCAACTACAGGTCATAAAGTGCCACCTCTTTGTGTTCAATGTCAGACCTGTAATGAACAATTCTAGAGGCTTACTTTGAGCGAGGTCTCCGGACGCCTGTGTAAACCGTTATAACCATTTAAAACTTTCCCATTTCATCTTTATACGTATGGACTCAAAATGATGCCTTTTTCTGTACGTCTGTAAGTTATGCTACACATATGCTATAAGCGTTAACTTTTAACCGAACTTGGGTTAATATCCTGGTTACTATCCTTCTACGTGACCGAATGAGACTACTAGTTCGAATCCCATGCTCCGTTAAGAACACCAAGTAGTCTTTGGGTTGTACCAAAGTTGGTGTGTCCTTCAGCGGTAAAATAAGAGTAGATATTAATTTGCGGCGTCCAAATCGACCGTCAATTTACCTTGGAGAAAATGGACTGCATGTTTTCAATGTTTTGAGTGTGACCAAATTAGGCAATTTCATTTACATATGTACTTGCGGGTGTGTTCATTATCCAATGGCAGGGCCAATCAAAGTGTTTGATGTGCAGCTTCTGCTAGAAATAGACAGGTACGTTCTTTCTTTTTACCAAGAAAGTTTTTTTTCTGCAGTATGCAAGGACTGCATATATAGCGTAAACAATTTTTTGAAAGAGGTAAAAAGTTACCCTTGTGGACCAAAAGCTGTGTTTTGAGGGCTAGCACTTGAAAAAAAAAACACAGAAACCTCAAGCCCGTTATGCCGCACAGGACCACAACTGACCAATTTCACAACATAACCTACACAAGCGTCGCAAATCACATTTAAAAAGCAATTATTCTTGATGATGAGATAACGACTCATCGACTCCACGTTAACGGCCGGATTATAGCGTGTGTATCGAGCCTCAACTACAGCATAATTAAATTCAGGTACAAGAACTCTGCCGAGGTTCTTTTGGGTGTGCAGCAAGCGCAGGGCGAGCTGCCTAATCCCTTGACATTATCAATAGTTGAGTTAACTTCGTATTTTGGAAACCTTTAAAAGATCAGGTCATGACAACATTCCAAACATAATGAAAGTTATCTTCCTTATCGTCAACGCCAACGTTTTTTTTTGTATCTGTTGTGACTCAATGCGTATAAACACTGAAGTTACATGGAATATAGATGGGGATACTATTAGGTTTAAACTATGCGTCCGATCGGATTTTATATCATGAGATTAAAGTATTTTTTGACTACCGTGCTTTGACAGTGACTCGAAGAGTTTTTGGATATACTTTAGCTTAAATATGACCACGTCACTAAAACCAGGATGGGGTTCCTCATTTACGAAACCAAAAAAAAAAAACACGCATTGTTTCGTAAGTACACTTTAACTTTCTTTGCCCTTATTGAGAAGGGCGATGCGCATCGAGTAGCCTCCATTCACAGGAGGTTCGGAACAACGTGGAATATGGAGATCACAATATTTCTGATCATCTATCAGGAAAGTATGATTTATTTTTTATTATCCCAACATTAATAGGTTAGTTTATCCGCACTCTAACTCGAAAAGTTCTATGCCCCAATGCCGTTGATCATGTTCTCGAGAAATATATGTACTGCACATTCTGCTGGCTAACTGTCTAGGCTTCTGATCAACTACATGACACAGAATTATCAACAGTCAGAAGGATGGAAAAACCAAAAAAAGATAACAACCTAAATGTGTATGAATATTTTATAGAACCCTAGAGCCTCTTGATAAGTTCTAGGTTGTTCCGTGATTATCAATGACTGTATTAAGACCATCGCATAAGATCCATGGATCTCAAATTGAATTTCTAAACGTTGCTTATTCACTCAAACTCAAGATACAAATCAGATCTATATCGCTTAATATCATACTTAGAAAGCTTTCAAAAATTTCACCTCCTCAAACAGTATCATGAAAGCTCATGTTCTAGGTGAAGTTAGAATTCTCATATGTGTCGGTTAGTCCTAACCTGTCCAGTTAGCTTGAGAGTACATTACACATGGGTCACGATCGAAGAACCACTACACGCCAACAAATAATATTCCTAAACCGGTATGCATTGACCTCTTCAGTTTTTCCATTGCTTACATGGCCAATATAAGGATACATCTGGGTTGACAAAATATAGACGCTCGGTGTCTTCAAGAGTTTAAGATTGGCTTCCAAGAATGGCAGGGGTAATATATCGAGCTGATGATGACCGATCCTTATTGACTCCAAACTACGATTTTGAGCTTCTAGAACCCATGGAAGATGCTCTTGGGGCATATATATACATAATAGGCTGAGATGGGTAAAATTAATGGCCCCATGGCGGCATGGATCCATGATGAATCACATTCTCTACTTCCAAATGCTTATTCGCCCATGACTGTAAAGAGAATGTGCTTAAGCATACGGCCAAGATCTTAGGTTAAGAGGATTTTTATTGTCTCCATTTTTGTACGATGAGAGCTAATGTCTGGTTTTGAACCATTAGAATATGGGAAATGTGCTGTTCATGTGTACTCTACATTCATGTTTGATACACTTGATTTTTCATGATAGGCATTCGAAACACAACATAACAGATAAAATTCCGAATTAGCATCTAAAGACCGGATAAAGGATTCAATCTAGATTGACTGTGGATCTTTTTGTGTAGAATCTTCCTTTAAAGAGACTTAGCATACCCTGGAATTTCCACGAATAGAGTGGGAATACGAGTGGAAAATTTTGACCGCCTCCACCAGCTGTAAAATAGATGGATGTTGCAAAAATGTTCCATGCTTAAAGCTGCAGATCACAGAGAATTGGCGATTCCTCATAGATACGAACTCCAGAAACATCACATTACCCCTTCAGAAAATTGCTGTTTACTAAACTTCAGTGCTCATCAAAGTGCTGATCTTTTAAAACTAGAAGTTAGTATGTAGTTTATCCTCATTGAAGGTTAATTCACCTGTGTGACACATGATGGACAAAGGAAAATGGTACAATACAAAACAAGTGTTACTGGTAGATATTTAACTCACAGGTAGATGTTACAGATCAATAATATTCAAAAGGGTAAGTCATCTACTACATTAGGCTTGATACTTCGTTCATCATCTGCACTTTTTCAACCAAGGCATTCAGGCGTCAAAGTTTATATTAAAAGTTATGAATTTCAAAAATCTATCAGTTGCAAGAAGTTTCGTCTTTAGTATGAAGTTATAAAGTTTTGATGCACATATCAAATTAACTTTGAAAATGTTCAACAGCTTCTTCCAAGATCACAAGGTCCCAGTCTGTTCTCCTGCCAGTTTTGATGATCTTCTAATCTTGACAGAAAACATTTCAATTACACGAAGTGTATCATCTCATATGGACCCAAATGATCTAGACGTTATCTGCTTTTCCTGTGAAGATAATAAATTTCGGCGAGTCTTGTTATAAGATATATAAAGGCTGTGATAAAGATCAAAAGCTTGAAGATTAAAAAAGTCCCAAGAAGTCTAGGCAAATGTTGCACACAGAAGTTTACAATTTATAATGGGCATTTTGCAGCCTGACCATTTTAGTCTACTTATGAATCTTCCTTGAAGACAACAGAATTGAATAACAAGAGTTTCAGACTTTGAAAATGAAAGCACAGAAAATCAACAAAAGGGAAGGAGTTGAACCTGGAAACAACGGTAACTTCTCCACAAGGACAAATAATTTCAACCTCAGCTAAGGAAAAGGAAGGAAGTGGTTACTTATTTGTGCTTAAAAAAGTCACAGCAGGTATCATGCAGGGAAAGTTGTGCATTCTGAAGGTTTGTATTTCATTTCTGTCTCTTGGAAGTAATTACCATCCATAAAGTACAACAGCTCAACATATAGAAGTTGGTCTAGTGGAACAGTAGTAGGCTACCAACAGACCGTTTTATCCCGGGGAGCGTTTCGATCAGGAACTGTACAGATGGGTTATGTAAATCAGCAAACATCAACTTCACTTTGCACATTGCAAGCTTTAAAGCTGTTGCTATTGAATTCCATGTACACATAACAACTTTTAACTTTGTAGACTGGGGGATTTATCACACACGCGAGAAATTTTGAACTTCAAATTGTCCGTATACCAACAACACACATACCTATCATCTCATTGGAATATACACTCTCTGGGTCAAAGCGTACGAAGTTATAGTATGTTGCTCCAGCCGTTCGCACCCCCAGAGAAAATCAAAAAAAAATGGCGTCACAGACAGGATTCGAACCTGCGCAGGCAGAACCCAATGCCTAACAGCTTCTTAGAAGATAGCAGGGCATCGCCTTAACCACTCGGCCACTGTAACCACTTTGCGAAAGAATTCGATTTTCCAGCGAACCAATTGTGTCTGAAAGCTGTATCCGATGCCTCATAATAGACACTTGGCTCCGACATAAGTATACATACTACAAAACAGAGCCCATTTCTAGCTGATGATCAGCTTCAAATAAACTATACCAAGATTAGATCAAGCCTTACATACCAAGTAACTCTCTGCTTTCTGGAATTGTAAATTCTACAATTACGTTCTCATCGGATTGTAGGCGGGCTTTGATATTGAGATCTTGGTGGTTTCTGATATCGATTGAAACCAACTCTTGTCCCCAAGGCCCTTTGTAAAGACTAAAAATGCACTTAACCTCTCTAACTGCAACTGCTGGGATGGTGTCTATGAGTGTACCATTCTTCAATAAGAAATTTAATGTTGGATTTATGCTTGTACTTATAGCCTGGTCCATACAGTTGAGTTCTCTCTCAAGTGATCTATGAACGAACTGCGAAATCAGAACCACATCATCAACAAACATAGTGTTTGTATGGAACATTTCTTCTCCGGCTGCAAAGTTGGATACACGCTTGATGGAACTCCAGAGATCATTGGCTAGTGTAATCATATCTCTTGCTTCGAGAAGAAGATAGAATTTCAATGACTTAACCTCGAATCTCAAAATCGGTTTGACAAGAAATTTCCAAAGGTCTTTGACACCAAGAGAGCTCATTGACGTAGGAAGCGTTACGACAATCCGATCATATAATGCAGGTCTATTGTAACCTCTTGTACACCCGTGATATAGAAGGTGTGGTAATGTCGCATATGTAATGTTTTGACTGTCAATCGAAACCAATGTATTGAAATCACTCAGACTGCGTTCTACATCTAAAAGCTCAAATGAATCTGTTGGATAACATCGACAAACACTTATTCTGAAGAACGAAACAATGAGAAGAATCAAACAAGTCATCATGCTGAGCATATATTTGTCATAGATCTTCAGTATTGAACCCTAAGAAAACTATCAGTATATCAATCAATGCAGCCAGGAACCGTCAGGCCACAAAGAGATTACGATGAGTAATATCAAATGTCGATAGACCACAAACATCATTAATTATTTCAATTCACCAGGCAATTCATTATCGTGCACAGAAGCTTCGTGCATACTGTTTCTTTTCGATAGATTATCAGATGGTCTCAATAGGTTTGAATTTATGCTGATTCTCTTTTGGCCTGAAAGGTGAGAATTTGAACGTGACCGATTCCGGTTCGGTGAGTTCAAAGGTGATTGATTAGGGCTCTTGGTTCTGAATGGACGGAGCCCATCAGCATCTAAATCCTGTCTTGGAGAAGAAAGATGATTTGCTGGCACTGTTGTGATCACAGGTGCTTTGGCCCTGTCCGCTTTGACAGATGCGATTGATTTTTGCTCATGGATTTGGATTCTTTCGTCATAGTTTCGTTCTAATTCTTCCAGTTTTAGATATAGAATCTCTCTAAATCTTGCGTCATATAGGTCTTCGACTAGATGCGATAAAACCGGGAAGTCATCAACATTTGCGGTGTTTGTTCTTGGAGAATGCCTCAAAATTAAATGATGGAAGGGGAAATCCTTGAAGTTTTGCAAATCTTCAAACGTGACATACGTAACGATATGATTCATGATGGCGAGTAACGTGGCCAAGTTTTGCCTTGGAATTGTACCTAAGATAGTTGCGGCCTGTTCCTTATCCTCCTTAGCTCTTGAGTAGTGTCTGAGTAGGGAATCATAGCAAGTAAATGGTACCACACTGTCTGGGAGTTCCAATAACCAGAGTTTGAAAAAATTCACAATGGAATTTGAAGTTTCCCCTGAGCAGAGTTCTTTGGTGAGTGCTTTCACAGCAGAAGCCTGATCTTCTAAGCCTTCTATTTGAGAGAATTTAACCACCTCGGACAGCAGAACATTCTTTAGTCTGTTAGATGATGTCAAGTCCAAGGGTGCTGTCCAAGATTTATCGACCCCTTCAGCAGCATCCAAATATTCAATAGTTGATTTAATCAGAACTGGAAGTGACCTCCACTTGGAATTCTTCTCGTTATAATCCAATGCTAAGTTCACCAGGTCAACACCTATTAGTTCTAGGTGGCAATTATGACTTTGTTCCATATGGTTGATATATCTCAATTCATTGGTTGGCCAAAACCAGCCACCTTTAGAATTCGTCATTGATTGTAAAAGATCGTACTGCACCGTGTCCTCTGATAGTTTTGTACCTTTGAGTTCTTGAAGTGATTGGAGTGCTGCTTGGTGGTGTGAGATTAATTTGTCAACCAACTGTTCATTGAGCAATATTAACAAATGGTCTCTATTGGTCTCGTAAGTTTGTGCTTTAACACACGTTGATGTAATGAGTTGTTCTAGAGTTGCCTTTTCCAGGTTGAGACATTTCAATTCGTTGATGTACTTTTCGTTAAGTTCAGCAACTTCTTTCTTGAGGAATTCAGGATCTGCCGGTGTGCCCGTGAATGGGTTCTTGATAGAGCTCCAAATACTAGAGGAAGCTGCCGATGGTGCTATTTCTGAGGTTTCAGCAGAGTCTTCCGCATTATTGGTAACCACATCTTCTTCGTTCTCTTCATCATGGTTGTTAAACTTTGCAATGAATCTTGTCAAATCAGTAAACTCATAATAACCTGAATCAGATGCGAATATCCTTCTTCCAACAGAGATTTTATTCCACGGTGTTATCAAGTTCAGGTCCAACAGATCTTGACCAAATTTCTCCAACTTCAAGAGAGTATTTTCATCTGGTAATGAATTTCTAACCCATTTAACCAGCTCTTCACTAGCAAAGTACTCGTTATTAACACCTGGAAGTGGGATTAACCTTCTTTTCACCTTGATTTCATCAATCATTGTGTACAGTAAGTCACTAAGGTTATCTAGTGTCTGTAATACAGTGGAACCTATCGTCAATGGGAATTTGAAAGTGTCATCCTCATCTCGGTCTTCGGATTTGACTTCAGTTTGAGGTTTAGGTATCACGCTCGTCTCTGAAGCTGTTGATGATGGTAATTGCGACTGATTGATATCTGTCTGTGAGGTTTCAGCAAGTCCACTATTGGACTGGGCGTTCTCCAGAGTGGTTACTCTTGAAATGAGCTTCTTCTCGATTGTTGTACAACTCTGAATGAGACGGATATACTGGTTGTATTGGAACTGTAACGAGTTTCTAGATGATTTAATAAAGTCCTTGTAATCATCAAGGAACTCATGTAATCTTATGACAACGTTATCCTTCAAATCTACCGCCAACAGCTCTAGTGAATTGGCAATGTGTTCGTAGTTGTTCTCCAATGACTCGTTGAAATGGTTGAAAGTAACGACATCTTTACCATCCAGAAACGTTTCACAGGTCTTAGAGTCCAACGACAGCACAGTATCCCTTGTTCCCTTGAAATGCTTCCGCTTTTTGTTCCACCCACTACTTACAGTGACCATGGTGGTATATGTCTGGTACGTATCCAGGGAGTGCTGAATATCGAGAGATCGACATTCCAAAGTATCGAACAAAGCCTTGATTCCGGTGATATAGTCACTCGTCCAAAAGGTATCCTTGAATTGAATCGTCATGGTCTAATCGTGGCTCTAGGGTTGTTATTCCTACTGTGTTGTTGAAAGTGTCCTTGCTCTCACTTACAGAAAGGGTTGGAAAAGCGTTCACCAATTTCTTCGCGGTGATGACGACCCCAGACAGTATGACGACACCGTGTTACAAGGTGGGCACAGAGGCCCATCGTTGCTAATTAGCTATTATTAGTGTATATACATTGTCAGTAGATTATATATCATATTATTCTTCCATGATTTGGATCCAGTTCATATCCCATTGAGCGTGAAACTTTGTATATCCAGTCCCTCACTGTTCCAATGATCACCTTAGCAAGCCCTTGGTTTCTGCCACTTGAATGAACGTCATCGTTCTTCTTGTAATGAGTGGTGCTTGGAAGCACGTTGTCACCTGCGCTGAGACTGACAAACAGTGCAAACGGTATGAACCATACACACACACCAAAGAAGGAAGCAACCTCAGCAAATGTTGTCTGGTTTTGAGAAAAGTGCTTGAACCACAGGAAATGGTTCATCACGACTAGTACGCACGACGCGAGGAACGACAAACTGGTGAACTCAATCATAGGGAACCGTTTCAAGTTTTGATAGTAGACCCACTGTGTGAAGATGGAGAACGAGACCAGCTTCCATGGGAAGGAGTCAAATACCAAAAGCAGTACGTATATACCGACAATGACGTAGATGCTCATCGTAAGGAACTTCTTAGTGGACACGGTATGCTCTTCAACCAGTTCAGAAACATAGTACAGTCCAGATGCAATGGAAAGTGTGAGGAACAGAAATCCAAGCACTATTCCAACATAAGAGAGTAAGGATAGAATCATTTTCTCCAGCTATTCGTGTTGCTGAGTTTGCTTCAAAAGAAGACAAAGAAAGGAAAGAATAAAAGAGGAAGAAAAAATACACCGTTCACCACGTAGAAAGGAAGGATGGTGCGCGTGAACAGAGCCAAAAAAAAATAGGCAGAGCTGCTAGTTACGCGTCCACGTTAGCTTTCCGCGTTAGCGCTACAGCAGAGGTTATTGCTTAGTGGGAGCATTGGGAACGATTATGAAGAGAACATCAACCAGTCCAGTGTGTGCTGCTAAGAGGACAAAGATCACGGACTTCTTCCACAAGAAAGTTGTTGTTAGAAGTGTATCCAATGACACTCCAGTTTTGTCTGTTAATACAGGTAAGAAGACCAATTTCAAGGAACAGTTTGCACAGAAGTTGAATGATGAGCAGAAAGAACTGTTACAACTTGAGATCAACACACTCGAAGACTCATGGTTCGAGGCCCTGCACAAGGAATTGACCAAACCGTACTTCCTGAACTTGAAGAGATTCTTGAAGCAGCAGAGATCAGCCAACAAGATCTTCCCGCCTATGGAGGATGTCTACTCATGGTCAAGATTGACTCCATTGTCAAAGGTTAAGGTCATAATACTTGGACAGGACCCATACCATAACGATAACCAAGCCCATGGTCTGGCGTTCTCAGTCAAACCACCAACAGTTCCCCCACCGAGCTTGAAAAATATCTACAAGGCTTTGAAGATGGACTATCCACAGTTTGAAGTGCCGTTGAAAAGTGGTGATTTAACGCTATGGGCCGAACAAGGTGTTCTACTATTAAATGCATGTCTTACAGTGCGTGCACATGAGGCCAATAGCCATTCAGGTAAAGGCTGGGAGCAGTTCACAGAGGAGGTCTTGAAAGTTGCACTAAATACAGGCGAGTCAAAAGTTTTGATGCTATGGGGAACTCCAGCACAGAATAGGGTTAAAACGATGAATTTGAAGAATCATTATGCATTGAGATCTGTGCATCCAAGTCCTCTTAGTGCTCGACGTGGGTTCTTTGATGGTCACCATTTCAAAAAGTGTAACGATTGGCTAATAGAGCAGGGAAGAAGTCCAGTACGTTGGGAGCTGATGAAAGGAAACGTTATAAACTACAAAAATCAATCGTAAAGTAATATTTAGTGTGTCATCTCAAATCTATACTTTTCAACATCCATGAGTCTTTGTCTCAGTTTGATATTTGTATCTTGTCTCTCGTGTAATTGGTCCATCAGATCTGCCAGCTGTTCTTTGTAGTTCTCAAGCTCAACTGCATGCTTCTTATCCATTTGTCGTTGATGTTTAGACCAATTACTCTTATCCAAGTTCTTCATTAGTGCAATTTCTCTCTTCAACTGTGATATGAGTTGAACGCTTTCGTCGTATTGCAATCTTAGGTTGTCCAACTCTACTTTGATATTTTGGATCTCATTATCTTTCCCTTGGATATAATCAGACATCGACTGCATTGACGTAGCCTGTGATAGTGCTGTGGAGCCACTATCCGAGAACAAACTCGAATTCAAAGAGTTTATGCTCTCACTGTGTTTGAAGGAATTCTCCTGTTTACCCCTTCTCAACTGCTCATTCTCCAATTTCAGCTGTTCGTTGGCCTTTGTCACTTCATTGACCATATCCAACGCCTTTGCAGCTTGGTAGCTGAGCATTTGAACCTGTTCTTCCAGTATATGGTTTCTCTCTCGCTCGCCATCCAATCCACTCTGTATGCACATCATATTCTTAGACTTTTTAGACTTAAGTCCCCATTGTTTGGCATTTGTCACTGACGATGTAGAGCGGAAACTCATAGGGGAGCTGGGAACGTTGTGAAGGTTCAGCTCTGGTGGGTCAAGTATCGTAAGGTTGGAATCCACATCATCACGATTTGATGTACTGTTCTTAAAGAAATCGAGCATGCTTGGTGTTTATCAGAATGACCCACTTGTGCAACTGTATATCTCGATGAAGAGAGGAAACGAAAGGAAGAAAGAAAAGAAGAACAATCACTTTTTCTTCCTCAACAGCACTTTCCAACGATCACCGTGTAAGCTGGAAGGCTCCACAGGTTCATTATCCATCGATTAAATTGTTTCATTTGCATATTATTCCTTTAACCGAAGGTCCATACATGCACGACGCGGTGGCATCGAAGGCTGGAAAAAACAAAGGGCCGAAACGCGAAAAAACGCTAACAAAAACACACACAAAATGACGCGCTGCCAGGTCTTCTGCCTATGAAGAGTCGGAGCAAAAGAGAGAAACACACAGCAAGCATGTACATGAGACCGGGCTATTTCGTTCAATTACACGCGTTGTTCCACCTTTACTCCTGCCGTGACTCTTCCTCAATAAGTGGTCCATGACATCGTACCCTTCCAGCTGATCCCGGCGTGTCTTGTGATCTTTCAATGTCCGCTGCAAAAGGCTGTTATTTCCTAATCAGGAAATCTACCCTTGCTCGCCTGACTAAGCAAATTGCTGGGAGGAGGGGTGGGAGGAAGCTTCACCAAAGCTATCCCGTTGGTGTATATGGTTTAAGGGTGTCACTTTGACCAATTGTAGCTCTAAAGTGGGTTGTGTTCAATCTGAAGCGTAGTTAACCTGGATTGGCCATTGATTCACACTGTTCATCAGCCAATTTTATCACTTTGCTGAAGCATTCTGAGCCCTTCCTAAAAGGAAACAAACGCCCGACGGAACAACAGAAAAAAACAAAAGCCAAAAATCTTCAGTGTTGAAACCGTTCTAATTTGGGGATTGTTCAACTAGAAAGAAAGAATACGAAGGATTAAGAGTAGACCATAGCACTTAACCATGAGTATGTGTTGTGAATTTCAAGAATGGACCCTTCAATGGCCATATACTAACCCTTGTGTAGCTACAAAACAGAAGATGTCCCTTAAGGAATTCATCGATGATACGAGTAAGTTTTGATACCTTGTGACGCACCACCATTTTCCCACGACGACGTACTAACGATGGGCCAAATGAAATAGGATTCGGTGAGAGCTGGGCAGACGACGACTTTGATCCAAGCTCAATCTCAGTTCCAACGTTCCATCCAAGGCATAACGATGGCTTTAACCAATCGCACATGTCACCGTTTAACTCTGGTGGATTCAACCAGAATTTCCAACATTCACAGTTTAGAGGTAGCTCCTACCCAGAAGATGAACGTTTACGTCAGTTCTTCATCAAGTTTCTAGACGTGCCTTCTTTTTTTGGGGTAGAGGACATGGAGGATTTGTTCCATTCGAGATTTACTAAATTTGTGAAATTGAAGCTCTTTTGGGAGATTGATTTCCAAGGGTTGCGGTATGCTTCCGACCCCATTGAGGCCATTGATATGACTAGGAAAGTATGTTATGTGGAAGTGGAATCATTGGATATTTTCACCAAGGTGTTGAAGTGGCATGATTTATACGTCAACAGAGGTAAGATTATTCCAGAGAGAGGATCATTTGACGACTTACGAACATATCACGAGCTGAACAGGTTATTACCGGAGGAAGACGACCCAAATCTTTCAGGATCAGCAAGACGCTCAATTAAGCAAACTCATCACCATAGTCAAGATCAACATCGTCAAGATCATCAGCATCAGGATCAATCTTCCCAACAACAGTATGCTCATCATGATTTCCCACCACATCATCAACCAGAACCGGTATATGCTGGCCATCTACACCAACATCGTGATGCACCACGAGAACTACCACCTCTACATGTTCCGTCGCCTGCTCCAACCCCGCGTAGAGTGAATCCATTTGGAAGTGCTAAACCTGTCGATACATTATCAAGGGAGCGTGAATTGCAAAAGAAGATGCAAGGGTTGGAGATCAATAAGACTACTTTTAGAACTTTGGGTAGCTTGGAACGTGAAAAGAGACACAGTGAATCACATCAGGGGTATCAAAATCCAAAGGATCACCAGTCCGAGACATCTGAAGTTAAACACTCCAAACATAGTACAGAGGACAAGACATCGTTGAACAATAATGCAAATGTGCTAAAACCTGCTCCACAACCTACAAGCGTATGGGGTTCTCCACAGAGCTATGCCCAAGTGACTTCACCACCTAAGTCTTCATTTACAGTGGATCTCTCTAAGAACAGCTCCAAGAAAGACGAAAAAGATAAGGTGAAAGGAAAAGTTATCTTGAAGAGAAAAATAAAGAAGGAGTTCACCAAACCTTCATCAGAGAATAAAGCCGTGGAAGAACCGACTAAACAGCAGATCGTTGCACCATCATCGTTTGATGAAGGGCAACCAAAGACTGAAGGGGCACCGGATGATGCTACCGTCATAAATGATCCCAAAATTGTGAAGGCTCGTGGTGTTACAGACAATGTAAAGAAGCAGATCCAAAGGGAGTTGAAGAAAACCGATGTTGAACCAAATTCAAAGGTTTCACCAGCGGATTCAAAACCATCTCCAGTGAAGTTTGTAGAGAACGGTGATGTGTCTGAGTCATTACCTGTTGTTCACAACGGGTACAATACCAGAGGAAGATTGTCTGGAAAGACCCATGCCAGAGGCCGTGGACGAGGCCGCGGAAGAGGAGGACTAAGACGTGGTAGCGATACTGCTGAACAACATTTAAACAAGGTACCAGAACCAGTCAAAGACAAGGAAGCTGTGAATGAGATCAAAAAGGAACATAAGAAGGGGAAAGATTCAAAATCTGAGTATGTTGGGGCGGAGTTGGAGCCAAAGAAAGAGGTCAAAAAAGAAGCCAGGAAGGAGGCCAAGAAGGAAACCAAGAAGAATGTAATAAAACTACAGAACGACGAGAAGCAGATGCCTAAAGTGGAGCTAAAAGAGGAAACCACCGAACAGTCTAATACCTTCACACAGAGTTCCAGCGAGTCCAAACAGACTGCTGAACCGAGTGACTCCATCGACAACGCCAACCAAAGTCGAGAAGCGTTTGCACATGGCATAGATGGATCCCGTGGACGCGGACGTGGACGCGGACGTGGATACCATGGCGGTCGTGGGCGTGGGCGTGGACGCGGCTCTCGCGGTAGCGTGAGAGGCCATTTTAGAAATCAGAGTAAGACTTTCCACAAGGAGGACGCTCATGGTGGTGATGTTTAACTGCACGACGCAATGCGCCCCAACGGTGAGCTGAAACAACAAGAGAAAAAACCGTGTATACATCTACAGGGAGCATCAGAAGGATGGAGAGCAAAAACAAACAAGAATTCTTGATAAAAGGCCTAAACGATTTGTAGACGCTAATAATCTGCGCTGTAGGTGTACGCTCCCCTGGGTTACCCTTTTACAGCTTGTAATTTCGTCACGGTGCTGATTTGGCGCGCGGTTAAAACGAAATCAAATGCAAATTTTACGCAACTTGGCACGGTTTGAGACGGCCTGGTGCCCTTTTCCACTGTAATGTTTTTTTTTCTGTGGTTTTTTCTCTTCCCTTGGGGAGATTTTTCAGGGCGACAACGTTAACAAAAACAAAGACAACAAAAACAACAACGTCAACAGCAACAACAACGTCAACAGATTTCCACTGAGAATTCTACGCGTTATTTAATTAGTTTGTGACCTGGTTTTTATCCTTTATCCACTGGGGGTAGGCTGATCTGTGTGGGTGTTGCTGTGGAACCAGTGTTGAACAAGGCAAAAAGAGGAAGAATATCGATATGACTAGGGCGTTGCGGTCTGGGCGATTGATCCCCACAAGCCCTGACGGGGAGTTGAACTCGAGTTCTGATAACCATAGCGAGACCGCCAATGAAGGTTCGATAGAACCAAACACGCCAGATGATTATAACCCACCAAGGAAGAAGCAGAAGAAGAGCAGAGAGCTGGAAAGGTTGACCGAATGGCACGACTGGATGATAGAGCAAGCGGAGTTAAAAGCGCGTCAAGATCGGGCTAATAACTTGAAACGTCGCATGGAGGAAGAAGCTGAAAGGGAATTGAAGGAGCGTCAGAGGAAAAGAGCGTTGAGAGAAGAGGAGTTACGACGTGCTAGGGAATTGGCTAGAGAACGAGCTGAAGCCGAGAAGAAAAGACGCGAGGAGGAGAGATTACAGAAGAAGCTTGAACGTGAACGGTTGAGGTTGAAAAGGGACAAAGAAAGGGCAAAAGCCGCAAAGGATGCACACAAGTCAAGAAATAAGAAGAAAGAAACATCTCCTCCAAAGGTTGAAGATGACCAGGATGATATTGAAGAGAATATTCTGGAAACGAGAACTGCACAGAGCACCACATCCAATCTGGTTGATGGTTATCGGCCATTTTTAACCCTATGGAGATCCGATGTCGAGATTCCAATAAGGCCCAACTTCTTTACCCGTGATGTTTTGGAATCAAAGTCTTCTGAAGTGGTTAGTCTAAACTTCAAATCAGCTGCCCAGGTGGCAATGCAAAAATCCAAGCGGTATAGAGATTATAAAGGATTGGAACCACGTACTATCCAGATTCATACCCCAGTTTATCCAGAGATTACAGAGGATTATTTTCTAAAGGAATCTCAAGACTTTTATCTCGATCCCCTAGAGGAAATTGGACGTATGATGGAGGCATTGGCGCTAACATACATTCCGGAAGATCAGAAGAACAAATTCTATAACCCATATGCTCCTTACGATTCAATGGCTGGTCAGTACTCGACAGCATTATACTCCCAGGATTACGAAAAAATGTTTGAAATCATTCAAGAGTTTAATAGTACTCTTCATGAATTACAAAAAAGTGGTGCTATTGAGAAGCATCTTCAACAAAAGCAAACTTTCTCCCGAATGGTGCTACACGAGTTGCTAAATCAGATATATTCAAGAAGTGTTTCCCCAGATGTCCATTCCTTGAAAGTTTACCGTGCTTTCAGTAATAACGTTTATGGGGAACTTTTACCAAAATTTTGTTCAATGGTGTTTGATCAGTGTGACTTGGATTCAAAATCGTGCTTTATAGACTTAGGGTCAGGTGTTGGTAATGTCACTATTCAAGCTGCGTTGGAATATGGATGTGAAAGTTATGGCTGTGAAATAATGGAGAATTGCTCAAGGTTAGCTGAACTGCAGGAAGTTGCGTTCCATGAGAGATGCGCTCTGTTTGGTATCCAACCTGGTAAAGTTGGATTCTTCCACAGACAAAGCTTTGTTGGCAATGTTAAAGTTAAAAGTGTCATCGACAGGTGTAATGTGATTTTGGTTAACAACTTCCTCTTTACGCCTGATTTGAACAAGGAAACCCTAATGCTCTTCTTGGACGTCAAAGTTGGAACAAAGATTATTAGTTTGAAGAAAGTCATCCCAGAAGCTGCCTATCACGACTTTGACGATGCATTTTTGTCAATGTTTTTAGTTGAGAAGCACACATTTGGTCCAGGGTGTGTCAGTTGGACTGATGCACCAGGGGTTTACTACATCACCACATTTACCGGTGAGGTTAGCGAAGAGAGAAGGGAACAATTGAATAAGATCCACAACACCAGAAAACGTGAGCGTGAGTTTATGGATAGAAGTGCATCTGCTCGTTTGAGTAACACACCAGAAGCGACAGAAACCGTTACTAAAGAATGTGCTGAAAATATTCACACTGATTCTGAAGTGAAGAAAGAGTATGACGACGCTGAAACTACAAATGTTAAAACTTCAAATGTTGAAACGTGCGCTAGTGAGGCAGCTAAAAATCTTGAACCCTCTCAGGCAAAAGAAGAGCAACATATACACGGATAGAAACAACCATCAGCTTTATCCATTGACAATACCACAATTTAGGTATTCCCTTCAAGAAAACAACTAAATCCTGTTAAAAACGACTTGTATAGTATAACTTCCTCTGAGAGGTTTGTTGATACCTGTACTTTTTTGTTAGGGGACACGTGGATGGCCACACGAGGTAAAAAATTTACCGATGAGAAGCCGATGGGAATCCTTCTCATCTCTTTCAAGCTTCTGTATACTCTCTTGTCCATTACCCGAGTCCATCGTTTTCGAGACCTACCTTTCTAGCTTCTTCAGTTTACCATGCCAGAAATTCAACAGATTGCAACAGAGCTCAAGGGAGCACTTCACCAGTATCCGAACTTCCCAACAGAAGGTATCTTGTTTGAAGATTTCCTTCCAATCTTCAGATCACCAGTGCTGTTTGAAAAATTGGTGCGTGCTTTCAAATTACACTTGGAGCAGAAGTTCCCAGATAAGAAGGTTGATTTTGTTGTTGGTCTTGAATCCCGTGGATTTCTCTTTGGACCATCTTTGGCTCTTGCCATTGGTGCAGGTTTTGTTCCTGTGAGAAAGCAGGGTAAACTCCCTGGTAAGACCTACAAAGCTGAATACGTCAAGGAATACGGTAAAGACGTATTTGAGATCCAAGTTGAAGCAATTCCAGAAGGCTCCACTGTCATAGTTGTTGACGATATCATCGCTACAGGTGGCTCTGCTAAAGCTGCAGAGGACTTGATCACCAAAGCTGGTGGATGTCTCTTGGAGTTTGAATTCGTCATGGAGTTGGACTTTTTGAAAGGAACTGAAAAGCTTAAAGCACCATCTTTCACTTTGCTGTCTGGACAACCAGAAAAACTTAGAGATTAGTTGTCAATTGGGTCATCCATGTACTATTTAATACTACGTTTACACTGCTTTGTATGTAGAATCATCAATCAAAAGAATTGTGCCTGTCGAAATCTTGACGCGTACTGTTTTTTTTTTCTCTCTCCCTCTTCTGTGCAAATTCTCGGTTACGCGCGCGCGCCTGGAGCTGTGGTTACAAGTAATTCGTCTCATGCCACCAGCTCATCTCAATATGTTTTGCAATCGGCTGAGCTTTCAATTGACATGAAATGAATAAGAGTACGGATGAATTGCTGGAGTCTTACATCTCCGTGCAACAGTGGGATATGTTACTCACGAAGTTGGAGACTGAGTCTTTCTTCTGTCCTTCTGCGTTTGTCTTAGACGTTCTGTTCACGTTGGCGACGATATCGACATACAACAATGAGACGTTTATAGCGCAAAAGTTTGGCATACAAACGTCGGACAGACCAATTAACCAACGAGCACTATGGATTCTTGAATCCATTGTACATGCTGTCATACAATCCAGTGTGGCCACTAATCATGGTGATGGCGAGAATAACCTATTCTCATTCACGTTGGACAGTCCAACGTTAGTTTACTCAAGAAAGCAGCTCATCCAATCACTGGACTTCATTAGAAACCGTGGCTTACACAATCTACGCTCTAAAGCAATGAAAAAGGCTCTGTATAGTGAGAATAATGATCTATTTGACGAGATAACAACGAGTCCTGTGAGAAAAAAGCTCAAAAGTGAAGAGTTTGGTAAGAATGATTCTCCACAGAAAAGAGCGTTAAAATTGGCCTTACAACCTGAAGATTCTCCTATGGATGATGTTGATCTACAAGATGAAGCAGAGAATAGAACTTTAGCAGTGTTGAATAGAGAGAGAATTGACGTTGCATTGGCTGAAGGTCGCATATGGTCTGCAATTTCCTGGTGTTTGTTCAATGCCCATGACGTTGAGGATCCCTTGAAACAGGCTATTGCAAACATGTGGACTCCGATATTGTCCTTGTTTATCAAGATAATGGAATTAGAGATGGACGAATACAGTCACGAGATTGCACCAAATGATGAATATCGGTCAGAGTTTACTGAGCTAGTAACTACAAAATTCTTTGGCCAAGTTGGTCATTACAGTTGGTCTACCAAGCTAATAGAGGCAATCTTTCCAGTTACAGATGACAAGCAAAGGCATAGGGTTGAAAAGATCTTCGCCAATGAAACACGTATTGCAAAGGGTCAATACTTGGTACCTTCACCCCATGGCACCTTTACCTTAGCCCCCAAACTTGTATCGCCTGATAGTGTCTCCTTAAGAAAGTCAATCTTGAAGCTCGCAAATAACTGGCTTAATCAAGGAGGTGAAGGTAAATTCAGCAAATGCTCAGTTGATGACTTGATCTCATCCTGTTCCATTTATCTTTTCAACGGTAACATTGATGATTATCTTCTCTTTTTCAGACTCGATCCAGATGGTGAATCAGAAGAAAATGTTTCACTATTAGGTCAAATATTGATATGCTCGTTGGTTCAAATATCAACACATACCTTTGATCAACCGGAATCTGATTGGTTCACTTCAAAGGGCTCTATTACATTTATTCAGGAATTACTTGAACTAACCACATACAAGAAGAAATATTACAATTTCGAAACATCAGAAGGGTTCGAGAGGATGGTTACCGACTTTTCACGTATAAATATCATCCTCTTTACCCTCTTCTCCATTTGGTACAAATTCTCCAAACTAGAAATGACAGAGACGCAGAAAGATAAGCTGCTACACTTGGCGCAAACTGGAGAATCAAACAGGTTAGCAGCATTGGAAGGATGTAAAAGAGAATTCAAAGAAGAACAGTTGATATACATCTCTGATTTATTAAAATCGGTATTACATGGGATTTAAAGTCCACCATAACCATTCACTATATTGCCGTAATGATGCCATAGGTCAGCCAACTTGCTTGTTGTCAATCTCATGGCGGACATGTAGTAGGCATTTCATCACTTTATTCACTGCAGCTATATGCCACGGGACAATGGTTTCAACAGGGTTACCAACGGTGGAATAGATTTCACCCATCTTTGCCAAATTACGATATTGGTGTAATAGCTGATACATCAGTTCTCCACTGGAAAGGTTGCTTGGTGAACTCAATATTCCAACTTCGAAACACTTGAGCTTGTTGTTGCTATTCTCAATTGGTTTCACTAGAAATCCAAGTTTAACAGCACGTCCAGGTGAATGGGATAACGACATTGGTGAATCAATTACCAAACCATATACTAGATCACTTATGTCTTGAAGAACAGTATTGTCATCTGTAAACTTCTCTGAAGGAGACTCATGTGCAGCTGCCCTGCTTATGCTGAATATGTCCGGTGAATTCATCTGTTGAGGTGTGAAGATGGATGGTGTTAATCCAGTTGACGAGCCAGCGGTCGGACAAGATTCGAATTTAGTCATAGACGAGTTTGAATCAAACCCATTTTCCTGGCTAAACAGTTTATTCAATGGAAACGATGATTGGTCAAGTTTTAACAACAGTCTTGAGTTGGTATTTACAGAGACGATAACCAAGGTTAAAAACAAGGCTTTCGAAGCTAGTCTCTTCCATTGTAGAAGCTCATCATCTGCTATACCACCATTGAGTCTAGTCAGAACCAAATATTTCTTTCCTTTCACGTTCTTGCTGAGCTCTAGAGTAGTATCCCACAGCTGGTTCATAACATTTTCGAGAGATGATTTCTCCTTGACATCCAGAGGCCAAGCTTTAACTTCGTGAAAAGTTGACTTATCATCAGTCCAAGAAGCGACACACCAGTTCTTGTCAATTGATCTTTCATATGCCAAATGTATGAAAGACTCCTCAGATAATATCCGGCCAGCCACTGGTTCCTGTGTCAATTGGAATTTTATTTTCTTTGGGAAAGCATTAGAAAGATCAGCAAATGTCCTATTTGTCTGATTAAGTCTATTATAAACAGAAAGAGCCAGTCTCGTATTTCTGCTTATTGAGAGAACGGAAAAGACACCATTGTTAACAACGAATGATGTAGGTATAACCTTCAGGGAAACCTTTATCGGCAATAGCGTCCCATTGGAAGATCCGGTACACCATTCTTTAATCTTCTCAAAGAGTGTCACTTTCTTAACAATTGATTTTAAGTTCTCTTCCGAATCAGTCATGAAGACTAAGATCTCTCTATATTCTTTCTGCTGCACTAAATGTTCATGAAGCTTGGTGAAAACCACCTTTAGGTCTGAATTGGCATTTACAATACCTTTCTCGACAAAACCATCGAGAACGATCTTTTCAACAGACCCAAGATTGCTCTTATGGTAGCTTTCAATAAAAGCCTGTACAAAGAACTCGCAAAGTTCAAAGGGCTCATTTTCAGCCACCATGATGATTCCAAAGTCCTTTGTCCCATGTAGGGACTCGAAACTCATAAGGTTCCATAAATTGAGAGCTGTTGAGTTGACAATGATTTCTTCATTCAGCCTTTTCACTTTCACTTTTGGCTCTGGAATTGGGAATATCAGTTTATTATCATCAGTGCTTTCCTTCTTTGGTGATGTTGAAAAGTCAGATTGTGAGTTCTTAGGCAAGTAATCGTTGGCTTTGAAGCTTGCAAACGGGGAATTTACTTCCTTTGGAGTAACATCAGAAAACTCTGCCAGAGATATCCCACGGAATTCTGGGAATATTTGAGCAATTGCCCTTTTTAAATTGTCGGACGAAACGTTCTCATATTCAGATTCTTTTGGGAAGGTGTCTTCAAGACAAGCATCATCCCATACAATCTGCTGAATTAGTTGGTCGAGTGTGTTCATATCACTGACTGTCGGATTCTCTTTATAGAAATGTTCTGGCATCGTTGATACTGGGAGGCACCGTACTAAGAAAGGTAATGGGTTTGGTTCACCTGTACCATTGGTCGATGGTGAAGATGGCCTCGAATTTTCGCTAATAGTTCCATCCAATTGTACACCTGGAGTAATAAACCTTTTGTTCTTTGATTCAGGTTCGAGCGAAATCCCTCTTTCGGTGACTTCATTTTGAGAAGAGATGTTCAGATTCGCAGAATCTAATGAGCTCTCCCTAGAATTGATTCTTGTTGGTGGAACAATTATATCATCTGTCTCACATTCTGTTCCTGAATCCTCGATATAGTCTGAACTATCAGACTCTCCACTATCACCTTCATCTTGGCCTATTCCAAAACCCTCAGCTAAGGGAACATTCGGGATTCCAAAGTCTCCTACTGGTGTATCAACGGTTGAAACATGAAACTTACCACCATTTGCGTATTTGTTATCAACATTAGATTTGATAATGGGATTAAACGTCAAAGGAGAGAAAATGCTTCGTTTCCTCTGTCCTCTTGGCGATAGCACCGGTAGTGGTGCACCCGGGTCTTCGTACGGAGGAGTATTTGGAATTGTTATTTCATGAATAGGTATGTCATAAGGATTCTTTGTAGTTTCCCTTGTATTGTTCTTCCCATCTGATTTCAAGTCGTCTGATTTCTCTCTGTCGGTTTCATCATGCTCAAATGAAATATGGTTAAGATCCTCACCCATCAAAGCATCATTTAATGCCTCTTCGAGTTCGGCATCAACATCGTCGTCATTATCGTCCTGTCCATCTCTTTTAGTTGCAGTGTCTGGTTCATCAAATAGATCAAAATCTGCATCCGTGATCTCATCACCGCCAAATAGTTCAGCATCTAGATCATCCCAATCATCATGCACCGATTCATCCATATTCACACTTTCTTCCGGCAATGCGTTTGCAGTTATTGTTGTTGCCGTTGTTAGAGGCGCAGATGTGTTTGTAGGAGTTGGCTTAGACGTCGGTGGACCATTTGAAGGTTGAACGTTTCCGATATCTGCTGGTGTATTGTTGGTTGTTGGTACATTTGAAGGTGTCTTGGTCGCAGCAGAAGCCTTCAGTTGAACGAAATCGTCAATCAATGACATAGGGTCAAAGTCATCAAGTGCATTAGGATCATCACTTTTCTCAATGTGTTCACAACGCTGCACCAGGCACAACTCCGCTGGCCATGATATGTACTTGGTATTGGATACCGGTTTGAGGTAATCAGCAACTTGCGTAGTAATTCCGTTCAGGTGTTGCAAATTGGGGATCACTTTGACCCATCGTGAAGACGTAGAGTCTATACTTATTCCATGATGAGCCTGTAGGATATCTATGATCTTTTGAGCATTTTGGGGCTTCGAAGTCCATGCCTCTTGCAGAGTGTTCCCTGATACGTAGCAGCGTATTCCCGACGGTATGAGGTAGAGTGCATGTGTGGAATTGACGTCAATTGAGTCGTCTAACGTTCCAAGGTGATGTAGATTGTGAGGCTGCGACGTCAACGAGAGCAGAATATCACCAGTGTCTAACAATTTGGGCTCAATCCGAATGAGATCATTCGACTCTGGCAACAGGCCACATGTACCAAACATGGTCAATTCCTTCCTTATTGAGAGCGACGTCATCAGCATCTTCTTCAGCGCTTTCACCAAAGTGGCACCCACCAGTGACGAGATGTTAGACGGGCCATTGTTCTTGTGCAGGTCTCTGGGATCCATCGTCTGTATAGACGACTGTTTCAGCTTGTACTGCGCATTTGGTACTGGCGGGTCTGACCCATCGAGACTGAAACTCCACAGCTCCTTCGGATACAGAGTAGCCAGCACTTTGGGATTCTCCTTACGCAGCTGGATCTCCACGTCGAGTAGTGACTGGTCCTCGGAGGTGGCCCGACACACTAGGTATTTTATCTCTTGAACCTTGGCCTATACAGAACTACGTTAGTACCGCTGTTCACCTCTTACACGGTTCACAACAACCACACGCAAGGACTCACCAGTTGGTAGAAGTTCGTATTCGCACTCAGTATATCAGTCAGCGACATCTCCTTCGAATTGGCACAGTCCACGTCCCCAATCTTCGTTACTCTTCAGGCCCTCTGGCTTTGTCTGATCCACTAAGCATAGTATTGTTCCTTCTCCACCACAACCTCCTCAGCGGGTTTTCCTACAAGGCCTCCAGTGCGCCGCCGCGGTGTGCCAACCAGCCCAGCGGAGCCGGAAGGAGCCCAAGACGAAAATACGCTAGGCCGGGCGTTGTCCTCTTGGTGTGCATAAGGCACACACCTTTACGCACTGTTATTTTACGTACAGGGAAGGACGTAAGATCAAGCCCAACAACGGGAGTGGAGGGACAAATATTCTGTTAGCTCAATGGACGTTCGACTGAAACTATCGTCTCTATCGTTTGATAAGAGCTCTTCCCAGAGCTCGTCGCCCATATTGCAGAGCTGTTTGTTCTTTGAAGAGAGTCAGCTGGGCATTGGTGAAGTGGAGCGGTTCGAAGTGAAGTTTCTTCACGAAGAAGAGCAGGACCATCTACTACAGAGGGATTCTGATGGCACTCCGTACATATGGCTCCGGGTTAGAAACCATGAGAATAACCTGTTCAGGCCTATCTACATCACAGGGCCATTTTCTCTGTACATAGATGTGACACCGCACAACTATTCTCATCTGGCGGACTTCAAAGAGGTGATACAGTACGACGACGACGTTAAGCCGGGTCAATCATTCAAGGCAAAGCTTTACCTCTCGGAGAGTAGTAGGATAGATTGCACAAACTGGTACGGTTGGACCGTTGATGTTGTCTCCCAGCTCACCCTTGCCACTGCTTTCCACATTGCGTTCCGTTTTGGGCTTGCCTATGATTATGACACGTTGCGAAGATACAAGGGAACGGAGGTTGCATCGCATCAGACATCACTGAACAAATGCCAAGTGACTAAATTCAATACGCATGACTTGTGGAACGCTGCACCGTCAGTACCTGAGAATCCATCACACTTGGTGATGATAACTCATGGCATTTTCTCAAACATTGGCGCTGATATGCTCTATCTACGAGATCAAATCCTCAAGACGTCATCTCCGGAAAGCAATGTCATAGTGAGAGGGTTTGATGGAAATGTCGGTAAATCAGATCACGGAATACGATATCTGGGTAAAAGAGTTGCGGAATATACTATGCAAGTATGCAAAGAATCACGGTACGAGATTGACAGGATTTCCTTTGTTGGCCACTCATTAGGTGGTCCAGTACAAGCATACGCAATCACGTACATCGTCAACAAGGACCCCAAGTTCTTTGATAAGATCAAACCCCAGAATTTTATAATCATGGCAAGTCCGATGTTGGGGATTACAGAATTCCCCAAGTTTGTCTCAATGGCGCTGGATGTTGGTCTGCTGGGGAGAACAGGGAGGGATCTCATGCTAAGGCATAAATTTCCATCTCTTATCAACAAATCGGAAGATGCAGAAAGCCATAGATCATTAACGTCGAAACCTGTGATGGAACAAATTATGACAAGCAAGAGTGCTCATAAGGTCTTTGCACAGTTCAGCAATAGAACCCTATACGCAAATGCTATTAACGATGGAATTGTGCCCTTGAGAACATCTGCACTCTTGTATCTGGATTGGAAGAGCCTTGGTAATATAAAGGAACAGAAAGAGAAGTACGAACACAGAACACAAGATGTTATACAGCATGACGAAAACTCCGCTGACAAGTCATCATCTAACAGCAATAATAACGTTGGGAATCTACATGTCAAGGGGAGCACAATCGCTGAGAACCCTCATAGAGAAATGAACAGCTCTGACGGTAAACCGACATTGAAGTTGAGAACAACATCCACTTCGATATTCCAAGAAGCATCGCAAAAGCAGAGACGAAAGAAACTGAGGAAATACATTCGAACTCAAACCACTGGATCTCCCATAATCAATGATGCAAAAGGTGATGACCCCTTTGCAAGGACTGAAATTGCCACACCTGATTCAGATGCATCGAAACTAGAGCAAAGTGAAAATAGTCAAGATTCCAATGACGATCTCTCAATGAATATCCCACCGGTGGCATCCACCATCTTGGCTGCTGCCAACGTTCTGATATCACCGGAACCAAACCAAGAGTTCTTATCAACACCTTCTTCAAGGTTCCCAGCAATTTTTCACGATAGAATGTACTCGTATAAGGATTTACCTCCACAACACTACACCAGCGTTGAAAAGGTTGCAAATCCAATAAAGAAAATGCTGTTCAAAAAGAAAAGGGCACTACAGGAATCAATTGCAAGGTCATGGCATAGAGACATGGATTGGAGAAAGGTTCTCGTCACTTTAAGACCAGACGCACACAACAACATCGCTGTAAGACGGAAATATGTCAATGCATGGGGTTGGGAAGTTGTTGATCATATGGTTAACAACCATTTTGCCTAGTTTAATCGTGGCTTACACCTATGTATCACTCAGTATAGGAAGTGTTGATTGTATATTCCGATGCCAATTCCGGTATTTTCCGAAACAAATTCCGCTTCGTGTTGGACGTATCAACACTTTTGTGTTTTTCATGATTTTTTACCCTTAATGAACGCTCAACCGCTCAACGAATTGGGCTACTCGTTGAAGGTCTTCTCCATAATCATCAGAATAAGCAATGGCTGGTAAGTACATTCCATTTGGGTGCATGACAAGGAACAGAGCGTATTGAGATATACGCCGAGAATTCATTTGTACCGACAACATTTGCCCAAGCTGATTGGCTAACGTTTTACTGTAGCTCCTGCTAAAGGTAAAGGTAAAGTTGTGGTTTCACTCATATCGTCAGCTGCTACTGGATATAGAAAGCACATTTTGGTGAATCGTGGTGCACCAATGGTTACACAGATCCGCTATGATCCTCTTGGTAAGTTATTGCTAATTTGTAGGTGTTGATATTGGAAGTATGACTAACAACCAGCCAACAGTAAAACAAAGAGTGCTATTCACAGAAGCAAAGAAGAGAAAAGTTACAGAGACTCAACCTTTGAACTTTTCAAGAAAGCCAAAGCGACTCTAAACCAGATGACCAAGTGGCTACTCATTGAGTTTTAGACACCAAGCTTGTACATATGCGAATCAAATTATAGCGTCTGATATCTTTTTATCTATTCATGTAACAGAAGCAAACTCACTGGTGTCTATCATTTCTGTCTTGAGGCTATCGGATTCGCATGGATGGTTACGTCCCTGATATATATAGGCACCTTTGGCCTGCTCTTCTTGTCGACTGAAACGTTTTCAATTCTAGACAATGTAGCACCAGGTTCATTCTCGGCTCCCATGAGCACCTTACCAAACACCGTATATTTCCCATCTAAGGAGGAATGTTTACCATAGGTCTGGTTCCGCCGTTAGTATGAGTAAGTTAAGAACATTGAAAGCTGTACTCACAATGTAAAACTGTGAACCATTTGTGTTAGGCCCAGTATTGGCCATAGCCACAGTTCCCTATCACCAAGTCAGTATATGCACCATAGTTGTATATCATGAGTAGACACTCACTCTTGAATCATGTTTGAGATCTTGTCGTATTTCATCCTCAAACTTTCCTCCCCATATTGATTCACCACCTTTGCCGGTATTTGTTGGATCGCCGAATTGTACCATAAAGCCCTTGATATTTCGTACAACCTTAGTTCCAGTATAAGTTCCCATAGCACAATGTGCTAAGAAGTTCTATTCTAGATTAGTACCGTCAGTTAAAGGAAATATCTAATATTGGACTTACCTCTGCCGTTCTTGGACATTTCTCACAGAATACTTCAATCTTGATATCACCAGAGTCTGTATGTAGCTAAATCTGTTAGCTGGAATGATCCACAATCAATAGAACAACTGCAACTTACAGTAACTGACATTGAAGCTTCCTTTGGTCAAATTAGCTACAAGTTGTTCTTGTCTTACAAGGCAAATTCTTGAAAAAAATATACGAAAAAAAGCCGTCAACGCAGGCAACGCGAGACACATACAACCTACAAAACGATACAGATAATAAATTACATTGTACTATTTTTACTGTCTTCTTCTGCCCTTCAAGATTCAGATAGTTTGGAAAATGACCATCACTCCTCATCATCGTCATCATGGTATGCACCGGGCGTCTGTGCTGTTTGTCCATAGCCAGGAGTTGGGGCACCTTCATATGGTGTTTGTGCAGATTCGTAAGGTGTTTCATAAGCACCTGGGGTCTGTGCTACCTTATAAGCTCCCGGTGTAGAGGCACTCCATGTACTACTCTGCCCATAAGAGGATCTTCCACCCCATGAAGAATGACCACCATTTCCTCCCCATGCACTCTGACCACCTGTAGCTCCCCATGAACTTCCACTCCCAGGACGGCCAGAAGCAGATGCACCGCTACCACGGTTCGAATTTCCCCATGAACTTGAGTTACCTCCACTGGCACTGTTACCCCATGATGAGTTTCTTCCACCCCAGGCAGTTCCACTTCCAGTGGCAGCTCCAGATCCACCCCAAGCAGTACCAGAACCACCCCAAGATGTACCAGATCCACCCCAGGCAGTTCCAGATCCACCGTATGAAGTGCTACCACCAGCAGTTCCAGATCCCCAAGCTGGCGTCTTACCACCATTTGAAACTGATCCTTGTGACGAATGAGATGGCCCAGATGCACTGGAAAAGCTTGGTGCAGCAGCGTTGAATCTTGGTCTCTCATTGATGAATTCTTCGTATGGAACAAGTCTCCCACTTTTATCCACGAATGCCAATTTGTGTTTCGAAATGGACAAGATCTTGTTCTTTGTATGTAGCTCAACTCTGGCAATGTCATCATTGGTATCTTTGACAATACCACGATAACCCTTGTACTCTCCAAGTCTGACAGAAACATTTTGGTTTAAGCAACGGTCACGACCAGTTTGTCTTGCAACTGGTAAACGTGGTGGAGCCATTTGTCCACCTGTTCTGAATTTTGGATTCATCTTAGTCAAGTCAATAGTTTGCTTTTTCTCTGTGATGTTTATCTTGGAGGCAACATTGGACACACTCATGTTATCTGTAACGAAAACACCGGAGTTCTCTGCAGTTTCCTTTGAGTAAACAAAAACATACGATCTGTAAATGTGCAAAACAACACCTTGTCTTTTGAATCCAGAATTTTCTCTGACAACGTCGTCAACTTTGATGGATTCACCATTGGAGTCTGTTGCAAACTGGTTCGCTCTTGAAATCTGAACCTTGGATGTGATCGAAGTTGGTGGAAGCGACATCACTCGACCATCTTGGGCTAATACAGTGAATACATCCTTGTCTGCTCTGATGATGGTACCAACTGTCGATGCGTTGATCTGAACCAGATCGTGGAGGCCATATTTTCCATCCACAAGGGTGGAAGAATCATCAGATTTTGTCAAGTGGTTGGCGAAAACGGTAACATCCTTATGTGATTGATCGGAGATAAATGTCACCTGGTCTTCGTTGATGGAGACAACAATACCTGTATGACCAGCATGTTTACCTTTAAGAACACTGACATGATCACCCTCTGCAAAGATCTTTCTCAAGTTACCCAATGGGAATTCCAATACTGTTCCTGTCATACCTTGTGGCTTCACAGTGGCAATATCATTGTTCGCAGAAACGACATCACCCTGAAGGCCTTGCTGTTCACCTGTGAGAACCTGTACCCTATCACCACTGTTGAACACAATTGCATTGGACTGTTTCAAAGACTGTGCAATTGATGTCAAATCTAAATCTTCAGAGTCACCAGTATTGAATTTTGAAACTTCTTCAAGAGATGGTTGTACATTCTGAGTCTCCAAATGTTGTAACTTAAACAATTTGAACAAGAAACCATCAATGTACTCCTCTCCTCTGAAATTGAAGTTATTGCTCGATCTAGCAATTAAACCTTGGGGATCGAATTCCAATGCATCTTTCTTACTAAACAGTCTCTGTGGTGGTCTGAACTTTGAAGTTGCCCTTTTACGCTTACCATTTTCATCAACTTCTGAACCTTTGTAGTCGATTCTTGGAACAATTTGAAGTGTGACTTCCAAGCCATTCTCCTCAATCGCATCAACCATGGCCAAATCACCTTTATACTTACCTCTTTTGATTCTGACATATGAGCCTGGTGTCAATTTGATTTCTGTTGATTTGCTTGGTCTTAACAAATCTGGAAACTCTTCGACAGGAACAAGCACTTTGTTGTTTGCGTAGATATCAGGGACACCTCTGATAGCGACATCTACAGCAGCAAGCTTCTCTGCCTCGATATAGATATATCCTGTGAAGTTATCTCTTTGGAATACAGAGAGAATCTTCAGTGCGTTTGGTTTCCCCTCCAACGTTAGCTTCTTCTTTAACAGTTTCTTAACGATATCACGTTCTTGACCAGGTCTACATCTCACAGCCCAGATACTAGGATCTTCAATGGATGGCAACAAAAATCTTTGCGACACTTGACCAGAGTTGTCGCCTCTGTATTTGGTTCTTCCGTATCTTTCCTTGAACTCTTCCGCCAATCTCTGAGCATCCTCTTCGGTGTTCTTTTCACGGGAACGATCAATTTGTCTGTGCAATCTGTCATCTCTCGATTGGGGTTCGTTATCATGTTCGTGATCTGCAGCGATGAAACCTTCCTTTGTGAGGTCATCCTCGTCCTCTTCCTCATCATCATCATCATCTGAAACCTCAGCCTCCACATCCAAGAACTGGTTTCTATCACGACGGGATCTCTTACGAGATCTAACCTTATCCTCCTCCTCGTCTTCTTCGTCTTCGTCTTCATCTTCATCATCGTCGTCGTCATTGTCGTCGTTGTTGTTGTTGATTTCATCTCTTTCGTCATCTTGATTATCCTTGTTGATGTCTTCGTCCTCGTCTTGTTCAAAGACACCGTCTTCATCGCTAATCACATCCTTCCCCTGGTCTTCAGCGTCATCCTGATCATCCACAGTGGCGCTCTCCAGGTTTTGGAGATCCTCGTTGGCCTGATCATGTTCATATTCAAGCTCCTCGCTCATTGTGATTTGTTCCTGCTGCTGTGTTGATTTCCCCCTGTTGGGTTTTATGCTGAGCTGAACTGAATCTGATTGCAAAGGTGAGCTCTTCGCCGTTGTTGTTGTTTTCTCGGACGGCGGACAACGTTCGCTCTGAAAACAAAAAACCACAAAAACCTACAAAAAAATTCGCGGTATTCACTGTGAGTTTCGAGGGTCGTTCCCCCGAATTTGGGGCGTTGGTGCATTAATACCCAGAGGTCGAGGGTATATTACTTCAGTGATGCTTTTATAACTAGAGTGAATTATTGGAAGAATGGTTAGTGATACGTTCGATTAACTCATTGAGAGCTACGTACTGATATGAGAAAAACAGGCTAAGAAATACATAACGAAAAAGTCGATTGGCGAGTTCACGCAATTCAGTAATGTACCTGAAGAATACGAGGAAGAGATACTGGAGACATACGCATCAATAACAGAAGGGGGAACAGATCTGTGTGTCGGCGATTTACCAAAGTTCTTTCATAGTCTACGTATACCTAGAGAGTTTGTAATTGGGAACGCAAGACTTGTACCCAAGGAATTGGCCGTGGAAGGAACAACTCACGTTGATTTCACAAAGCTGATGACTGTATCATGCCAGTTGCTTTCATTTAGAGATAATAGGCGGATTATAGAGGAGACCTGGAATCAATTGGCCAACTCAGTTGGTCATGGACATGTATCTACATTGAACCTTGATGATCTGAAAGTCTTAAACAAGGATTTGAAAACTGGAATGTCAGATACGCTCTTGTTAGATATGCTCGTTGTTGCTACTGAAGGGAAGGGAGTTTCGGTGTCAATGGTGGATTTTGCCTACATCCTAGGTAAATTGGGCCAACTTACAATACCCAAATGAGAACTGGCCTCTTTGATTCCTAATTGGTTTCCCTGTCCTTGTTTGAAATGTTTTTTTTTTCTCTCTCTTTTATTGCAAGATGATATTAACTGATGAACAAGAAAATGAACGTAAGAGGGAATAATTAAATGATGTGTTTGGCCTTGAAGTAGTTACGCAAGTAAGTAAGCTGCCATGCACCGAGCGCAATCAATGCAATGATTATTGCCACGGAGAAGTTTCTCACCCTTCTGTTCGTAGACTCGTTTGTGTCTCTCAATCTCTCCTCTCTGGCCTTCAAGTACTCCAGCTCGCCAACGATCTCATCGGTAAGCTCTTCAATTTTTCTCAACTCCAACTCAACAGGTTTAAGCTTCTCAGCAGCCTGGATGGCATTCCAGTCTCTAGCAGCAGAACCGGCCTCAATGTCCAATTCAATCTCTCTGGATAGCGATTTGCCTTTTCTAACAAGAACGTTTTGGAAACAAACGTCAAATGCTGCAGAAGCGTGTGCTGTGAATGCCACCCTGAGGTCACCTGCAAAGTCCTTCTTGTTTCTGTACTCATTTCCAACACTATCTCTGATAAACATATTCAACTTTTGACCATCGCCGGAAGAACCAGACGAGTGCACACTAACAACAACCAATTGACCCTCGGTGACAAAATCACGTATACACGTTGGTGCTCTTGTGGCCTCGACAGCTTCGACCTCAAAGTGCAATGCCCTAACAGACAGCACAAATGAAACCAAACAAACAATGACGGAGTAGAATCTCATGGCTCGTGAAAGTTTCCTTTTCTCTCAAGTCACTTCTTGAACCGTAAAACAGTAGGATGAAACCAAAAAAACAAAGCTTCAACAGTGTGCGATCAAGTTGTTCTTGACGTGTTCTTCGCAGTCTTTTTTTTTCCCTCGCTCTGGGATCAAGAATAATGGTATGCGCAACATTGCGTCCTTAGCACGCATCGCGCTCGCGTCGAGGAGCTCTAAAAAAAACTGACGCGTGTCTCGGAAATCTCGCTAGTGAATCCCATACATCGTTGTATACAGCAGGGGCGTAATTGGAGATCTATGATGGCTTTTTTTTCATTTTTATATAGCAACACTCTAAATAAAACACTATGTACATATGTAAGGGAAGTATTCAAGGTGTAAACGGATTAAACACCCAGATCGACAACTTTCCAGTCCTCTGCGACACTCTCGGAGTTGCCAACTACGGCAGTGCTGTATTCTTGGCCAATGAGATACTTCTCCGCAGCCTCCTTAACGTCGTAGACATCAACGTCAAGTAATTGCTCTCTTCTCTTCTGTCTCATCTCCTCTGTGATTCCTTCTCTGAATAAGGTATTTCCTTCAGACTTGACACTAATTGGGGCATCAAGGCCTTGGAAAATGGTGAGTTTTGCCTCTTCGAGGTCTCTGTCGGACCATTTGTTCTCAACGGCAAACTCGCCAGCCTTTTGGAACGTGTCCAAACTCTTCAAAGAGTTAGGATCACGGTAAGAGTAATAACTGAATAACCCATCTGCACCGTTGTAGGTGGCACCGCCTCCATATGCACCTCCTTTCTCACGAACTTCACGGTGTAAGAACTTGAAGGTTAACAAGTTCGACAGCACCTGTAGCTTAGCACCATCTTCGTGTGTGTAAGGAACACCACGGAAGACACTGGATGCGTAGCCCACTTGGAACGGTAGTTTGATAAAAGATTTCTTACTCTCATTCAATGGATGGTTCTTCACCAATGGCGCATTTGGCGTGGCACTGGATGGAAGCTTACCCACAAAGGACGAGATCAGCTTCTCGTTGTTTGAAATGGACTCCTCATCAGAGATCAACGAGAAGCGTAATCTGTTCGTGTTCACCAAATATTGTTGTAATTCAACAAGTTTGTCGATAATTTCAGATTGGAATGTAGCATCGTCTTGCATCCAAGTATTCAACTTGTTTAAGAACTGGAGTTGTTCAATACCGCTAATGGACTCAGAGATGGCTTTTGTAGTCGAAATCGCTGCTCCAGCATAGTTTCTAGCATAACTGTGACCGCTATCAGCAACACTGCCGATGTTGTTCGAAGACAAGATTCTGATCAGAGTTGCCAATTTCTCCTTGTTATTGAAATTAGTATTCAACAACAAGTTCTCCCATAATTCATAGATGTGAGATGCGTTTTGGTTAAGGGAGACACCACTAAAATTGAAGGACACCCTTGGAGAAAGATCGATTGGAGATGAATGAACACTAACAGATGACGACAACCCACCGGTGTAAAGTTTGATCTTATCCTCAATGTCGGCCATGGATTGTGTTTCAGTGCCCAAGTTTGTCAACGCGTCAGTGAATAATGATAGGTATGGGTATAATTCATAAGGAATCTGAATATCCCTTGAAGCCCTCAAATATGTTAACCCGTTGGTATCCGTGATTCTTCTTTGCACAGAAGATCCATCAATGTCGCTGAATGAAACCTGTTTAAATGTTGCTTGTCTATCAATATCTGCAACCTTCAATGTAGGTAAAACACTTAGATCTTCAACCTCTGCTTGCTTAGCGGCAAGATGTTTACCTCTTTCAAAGATGACGTCTTTATCTTCTGGGGTTAGTACATCAACGTGTGACTTCAACCTCTGGTCCTCTTCAGCCTTTACATCAGCCTCGTAGGTCTCACTAGGTTCCATAACAAACTTGAAGGTAGGTTTGTCGATGAAGTACTTCTTGATGAGGTTTTGGAAGAGATCACCCTTCTTGTACTCAGATCTGAACTGTGAGATAATATCATCCCAGGCTAAAATATCGAAGGTGTCAACTTTGTTAACCCATCCTGGTAAAAGGCCATAAAGCAGTGTCATTCCAAAGTCCGACTTTTGATCTTTCTTACCCAGTTCTATCTGTTGAATTATAGCCTCAATCTTCTTGTCTTCAAAGGGTAATTCTGCGTAGTCTGTAAATACTTTCTTGACAGCTTGTTCAAGGGCCTCAACAGATGTCAGTCCTTGTAATCCCACTGTAAACATATTGACAGCAGTTGTTGATTCCATACCAGTATTCACGGTAAAATCGTCGCCAAGTTCTGACTCTATGAGCGCTTGGTACAACGGAGAACTATGGCCATCCATCAACAGGTTAGATAGTAACTTCAAGCAGAAGGTCTCATAGACGTTGGAAGGCTCACCACATTTCCAAGTAAGAGACGCCTTTAGCTGCTTCTCTGGAGGTGCCATTGGATCAACAGGCCCTTTAAAAACAACCGTCTTATCCTCAATAAGCGGAATTGGTTCCTTGACAATGTTCTTGATCGCTCTCTTGCCGAATCCCACAAACTCCTTATCAAGTTGATTCAGTGTATCAGTCAACGGGAAAGACCCATATGTAAATGTCTTAGCATTTGATGGATGGTAATTTTTAGAGTGGAAGTCGATCAGGTCTTCGTAACTAAGCGACGTCATCTTTGTAGGGTCACCACCAGAATTGTTCAACGATGGATAAAACGCCTCTTGGAATTTGATCCAGTAAAGGTATGACGAATTGGACACTTGGCCTTTCATTTCGTTATAAACGACACCTTTGAACGTCAACTCAGAGGCTTTGTCCTCCACGTTCTCGTTCTCCAGTCTCCAACCCTCTTGAAAGAAATCCTCCTCCTTCAGCAGTGGGTTGAATGTGGCATCGAGATAAACGCTTCTCAAGTTCTCGAAATCCTTGAAGTTCGTGGTGGAGAATGGGAAGAACGTATAGTCATGTCCTGTCATTGCATTCATGAAGTTTGAGAGAGATCTGTTGAGCATCTTGAAGAAAGGATCTCTCACTGGGTACTTCACTGAACCACAAAGCGTTGTATGCTCCAATATATGTGGCACTCCAGTAGCATTAGGCGGGTTTGTCTTGAATCCAATGGAGAATACATTGTTCGGATCATCACGGTCAATATGCAGATGGTTGGAACCTGTTCTCAAGTGGGTAAGGTCAACAGCAGTGAGCGATAGTTCCGGAACTGGTAACACTCTTGTTATCTCGTACCCATGGATGTTCTGTCCAATCGGGTATTTCCTCAACACCTTTGCCTGGTTATAAGAAGAGGCTCTTCTGATAAACTGTGTGGAAGCTTTAATCATCTCACAGCAAGCACTTGTCTTGATCAACGTCCACGAGTCTATCTTGCAAGTTTCCAAATGGTGAGACTCAGCAAAAGCTGGTTACTATTTCGTTTGCCTCTTCGAATGACGGGCCAAACCTGCAGCTCGACATGGAATGGTGTTCGGGTGTAACAGAAGAGACAACGACGGCCCTCTTAGGCTGAAGGAATTAGTCATGTTCATGTCTTGTCCGTGATTAATTAGAAGGCTGTACTACGCTATATATTGGCTTTTATAATCCATGGATATATTCAAATGTGACTAAGTCTGGTCTGACTGGACCATTGTCGATGTACTCACCACTAGTGTGAAGATACAAGTCTGCATGGTGAATAGTGTCAGTACCATACCTTCAAGGTCAAGGGGTTGATGAATTGGTGTACTTACGGCAAAGACAAGAAATACCAGTAGAGAAATACTTCCTCGTGCTGGGGCAAATCGATCGTGCTTCATGAGCTCTTGTGTTCTGAAAAACCTGAATACACCCATCACCACACATAGGATGCCAATCAGAATGAAGATTGCTAGATCGATGTCAGTACCAATGTCTTTCCTTGTAAGGCCTAGTGTGTAGACTTACATCCAATTGCGTCACCAAACTTCGCTATAGATACGTTTTTATCCGTCTCTCTTGCTAGCTTGAATAGTTGTGTAACTCCTACCCCTGCAGAAACCAAAGCGAGAGACGTTCTAATCCACGACAAAAAGGTTCTTTCACTTGCCATCTAGTACTCAGTCATTAGTTAGTCGCCATAGCCTGATACCAAATGTCTCGAGAGTACTCACATGATCTCTCGCAACGGAACCATTGTTCTCCAGGAGCTCACTTCCATATTCACTGACCCCCCAAAGATTCCACCATCCATTTCTCTGCAATGCCCTCGCTTCAAAGCCCTGTGTTTGCTTTAACGATGCTATAGACTGTGGTGGTATTATCGAAATGTTGTCATCTATGTCAGGCACATCCTCGAATCGTTGTCGTATCAATGCAGAGTCATGAATCTCCTCTTCATATTCACGGTCCGCTTCGTTCACCTCTAGAAATGGATCAGGTCTGCTTGTTGGAGATGCCATGAGATTTCGACTAGGTGTTGTAGTAAATGCACTAGACTAAATACCGTTGTGGTATGGGAGAACAGTGTACTGGGAGTATATCCCTGAACTTGGGAACATGTCAGAATTGTATTTGGAGTATAATGGATTATATACAGTCTCCCCTGACTGGTGATACAAGCCACACTTTACTAGGAATACAGCGCCACAATTCACTGTTTTCGTAACAAACAAAAAAGCATCCACACATCTACAATGTTAGCACTTCAAGTAGCAATAACAATTTATTAAAAAATGCAGCAGTATACACACACTAAACAGGTATAGAAACCACATCAGGTGCATAGTAACAAACGTTTTAAGGGTGAATCAGAGTATAGAAAGATTCATAACCTCTCATGATTTTTGTATATATCTTGAAGGAAAAACAATGGTCTATGGAATGCTTGTTTCTCAATCAGAGTTCATCGTGGAAGTAGTCATCATCATCCTCATCTTCATCCTCATCATTACCGAATTCGTCTGCACCGGCAGCTCCGTACAATTTAGAGGTGATTGGTTGAGCAATCTTACTTAAACTTTCATACTTCTCGTCAAATTCTTCAGCAGAAGCTTCGTCATTGTCATCCAACCATTCCAAGACATCGCTAACGGCATCTGACAAAGTTTCCTTGTCATCCTCATCAAGCTTACCACCGAGACTGCTCTCGTCGTTAAGCTGGTTCTTCAATGCAGAAGCGTAATTCTCTAGTTTAACCTTAGCTTCAATCTTGTTCTTGAAAGCGGCATCTTGAGCAGCATACTTCTCGGCATCTTCAACCATACGGTCAATCTCATCCTGAGACAATCTACCACGTTCGTTCTTGATGGTGATGGACTCAGCCTTACCAGTACCCTTATCAACAGCTGATACAGTGATCAAACCGTTGGCATCGAGACCAAAAGTAACTTCAATTTGTGGAACACCTCTTGGAGCAGCTGGAATGTTGGTCAATTCGAACTTACCCAATAAGTTGTTATCCTTAGCCATAGCTCTTTCACCCTCGTAGACTTGAATCAAGACAGTTGGTTGGTTGTCAACAGCTGTTGAGAAGATCTGAGACTTCTTTGTTGGAATTGGAGTGTTTCTCTTGATCAAAGCCGTCATGACACCGCCAGAGGTCTCAATACCCAAGGTCAATGGGTTGACATCCAAAAGAACAATGTCATCGACACCCTCTTCACCGGATAAGACACCAGCTTGGACAGCAGCACCGTATGCAACAGCCTCATCTGGGTTAATAGACTTGGAAACCTTCTTTCCGTCAAAGTAAGACTCTAACAACTCTTGGATCTTTGGAATACGGGTTGAACCACCGACAAGGACAACATCGTCAACCTCAGATTTCTTAACACCGGCATCCTTCAAAACCTGTTCAACAGGCTTCAAGGTCTTCTTGAACAAGTTGATGTTAAGTTCTTCGAATTTAGCTCTGGTCAAAGTTTCAGAGAAGTCAATACCATCAACGAAAGAGTCAATCTCAACTCTGGTGGAGATTTGAGAGGACAATGTTCTCTTTGCCTTTTCAACTTCACGTTTCAACTTTGCAGTGGCCTTTGTGTTTTCACTGATGTCGATGTTGTGCTTCTTCTTGAACACCTTTTGCAAGTGACGAACAACTCTAAAGTCGAAATCCTCACCACCCAAGTGGGTGTCACCAGAAGTTGCGAGAACTTCAAAGACACCATTTTCAATAGACAAGAGGGAGACATCGAAGGTACCACCACCCAAGTCGTAAACGATGATTTGATGTTCACCGTCATCCTTGTCCAAACCGTAAGCAATAGCTGCAGCGGTTGGTTCGTTGACAATTCTCAGAACGTTCAAACCAGCAATTGCACCGGCATCCTTAGTCGCTTGTTTTTGAGCGTCGTTGAAGTAAGCTGGGACTGTAACAACTGCGTGGGTGACTGGCTTACCCAAGTAATCTTCAGCGATTTGCTTCATCTTACCCAAGATCATGGCGGAAATTTCCTCTGGTGTGAACACCTTGTCCTCGCCTCCAAACTCAACTTCGACGGCAGGTTGGCCGTTTCTGTCGACAACTTTGTATGGCAAGTGCTTGAGTTCCTTTTGAACTGTAGAGTCAGAGTACTTCAAACCAATCAATCTCTTGATGTCAAAGACTGTGTTTCTAGGGTTGGCGGCGGCCTGGTTCTTAGCGGCGTCACCGATCAATCTCTCCTCGTTGGTGAACGCAACGTACGAAGGTGTGATTCTGTTACCTTGCTCGTTCGCAAGGATCTCCGTCTTACCGTTTCTCATAACAGCAACACATGAATACGTGGTACCCAAATCGATACCAATCACGGTGCCGTAGTTCTCCGTGTCATTTTCTGGGGCGGCAACTGCAAATGAGCTCGACTGGAACAATGGCCCCAATACCAGCACAAGTGCATAGAAGAGCACAGCAGGGAATATAACTCTGTTCTTCAACATCCTTATTATTTGTTTATCTTTCGTCTTCTCTTCCCTCTGAGTTAGAACGTGTATAAAAGAAAACAAGTTGGACAAAAATGTAGTGTTTTTTTTTGTTTGGGAATCTCGGTAGTAAATGACACGCTTTCAAATTTCTTCGCTTTTATATAATTTCCTCGCCTCGGCGGCTCAGATATACGTGGAGGTTTTTAGAATCTGTGTTGTTTTTCTGTGGTTTTCGGGCCTTTTGGCCCACAGAAAAAAATTAGCGACGTGTTACATAGCGGCTTTTGCGTTGAAGATGCCAGCGTGTAATTAAATTTTCGTAGCGACGCGCGAATTTGGAACCCTGAGGAAAACCATGGAAATTTTGGTTTTGCCACCGTGTTTGGTTACCGCCTTGAAAATCGAGGTTTTGTGTTCTAAGCTTCGGCCTCCAAATTCCGGGATTTGGGAGATGGATCGGAAAACGTTTCTTCTGCTCTCCGGTTATGGCCACCACTTTAAAGGCAGAACCGTTGCAGCGTTTTCTCGGTTGTTTTTTCTGCGGTGTGTCTTGGAGAGGATGAGATGAGATGAGATGGTGTGGGATTTACTAGTTGAGATACGGTGTGAACAACAATGGATGAACACAAAGAGTTAATGCGCAAGGCCTTGAGGCTTGCGAACCACGCCTTACACACAGGTGAGACTCCCGTGGCGTGTATTTTCGTATATAGGGGAAATGTCATCAGTTACGGGATGAACAATACCAACGACTCTTTGTCTGGTATAACCCATGCAGAGTTTAGAGGCATAAACGCAATCCTTGAAAAGGTTGAGGCCACTGACAACTGGAGCACGTTTTACTCTCACCCTTGGGATATCTTCAGAGAGATTGACCTCTACGTCACGGTGGAGCCGTGTGTCATGTGTGCTTCTGCTCTGAAGCATATTGGCATCAGAACGGTATACTTTGGTTGCGGTAACGAGAGGTTCGGTGGTAACGGCTCGGTGCTGAAGATCAACACAGATGATACGTCACCGAATAGGTATGTCTCGTACCCTGGAATCTATAGAAGAGAAGCCATTTTGCTTCTGAGGGATTTCTATACCCATGAAAATATCAAGGCACCAGTCCCAAGGAATAAGAAGAACAGAGAACTCAAGCTGGATTCGTTTCCCGAATTGACCTGGTCAAATTACCTCTCCAAGAGTGAGTTCTGTGATTTCTTCGGTAAGGACAAGGAGCAGTGTTATGACCTCAACGCCGATGTACAGCAGGATATCGATCTTTCGGTGCTGGACTCGGACAATATTGACATATCAGACATCGAACAGAGTGCCCAAGAGCCCTTACAACTTAGGAAGAGGAAACTGTGTGATACTGCATAAACAAAGGACAAAACAAAACATTAATACTAAATACTAAAATCAGAAACTGAATGTGCCAATCACTTCTTAAGTTCTTCTTCGATCTTGGTCCATTTGTCGATTAAATCTTGGTAAAACTTGATGTTATTGTCTGCTAGGTCTCCCAAGGTACTCTTCAATTCCACAGATTTGATACTTTCAAAGTACTGAATATCATGAAGAGTCTGTTTCTCAAACTGTTCACAAACATCCTTCGCATTAGCCACTTCTTTGGTTAGATTCTCAATCTTGTTCTCCAGTTTGTTCAGCCTGTCGCGTCTTGCAAGGTCATGATTAACACCTCGTAACTCTTCAAACTTATTGGTGAAGAAGTTGGAGCCGCCACCCGACAAGATGAGGTTCTTTTCTGCAACGCTCTTGTCCAAATAGTCAGTCAGCGCTTCATAATCAATCTGTTTTTGATCCTTTAATCTGAGCAAATTTTTAATTGCTGTGATGTAATGCTCCAAATCTTTTAAGGAAATGATGTACTCATTGTCCAAAAAGGTCTTCAAGTTCTGGAATCCAAGACTCAAATCGTTTAACCCATCGCTGAATTTGATGAATGGGACTTCAAGATCCGGTTCCAACTCTGCCAGTTTTCTAATCTGTATGCTGAAATCAAAGTAGTCTTGTTCCAAATCGGTGTACCTCTTCAAGATCTTATTGAAGATTCTATCAATCCTGCTAATGTTCTCGTCAAGTTTATCGGATCTCTCCTTAATCTCAACAAACTCTGGGTTTTGAACACTTGCAGTCTTGAACGCATTGATAAGCGCATCTGCAACGCCATCGGAGCTTGACTCGGCTGTGCCTTTCAACTTCAAATGTTGTTTGTAAGAGTTCCAATCATGGGTCTCCAAAAAGATGTGATAAATCTTAGCCTTCTTTAGAACTGGATGCAATGAGAGTCTCTTCAGAAATCTTGAGAGAGAGGATGCACGCTTCATCGTGAAGTCTAACCCAAAACGATCACCTTTCAGGTATTCCAACCTTTGTTTGTCTGGGAGTGGTGGGATAGCACATGCTGGAAAATCGTTGAGTAGGACCTGATATAGGAAGTAGAAATCGGAGAAACGACGTCTAACGACAAACTTGGTACTCTGAAACACAGGGTTATTGGACTATATATAGTTAGTAAGCGCTCTTTGCAGTTGATTCCAAAGTAATCACAAGATGGGTGCTATCGGTGATTAGCAAAATAGCAATACTAACCTCAGTCTCAACGAGATAGGATATGTATGCGTTTTGACCATCATTATCCTTCTGCGGTTGTGTCACGCTCGAGTTTATGAAGTACATATCGTTATCCTGTACTTCGCCCTGCTCTGAATGTGACTGTTGTTCTGTTATGGCCTGCTGGCCGCCAAAGGCATCCCCCTCAGTCTCAGCGTCCGGTAGAACAGCGCCATTGTTCGCTTCAATGGCTGATGGTGTGACATCATCAATTGGCTCATCGGTCAGCCCGTCCTCGTCTAACATTGCGTTCCTGGTAGCTTGTATACTCCTACAGTTGCCTTTGCGGTTATGTGTTGGGTGTCCAAGTCAAGTTGTGATATAAAAGCGGCTTCTGTCTCTCTCTCTCTGCCTTTATAGACTGCCACCCTTCAAAAGGTATGGGGGCTACTTCAGAAATTGCGGCGCAAACCAAATTTGCTTAGGCTAGCAATTTCGCTCTACGCTGTGCATCGATGTCTCTCATCTCAAATAGAAAACAATTGTCTTATTGCAGTATAAATTCTAGGCTCCATTGTTGTAGGTGAGGTGATCACAACTGTCAACGCTCATGCTGAATATACTTTGTATCACCCAGTCCCACTCTGCGATTTTACCCTTTAGTCCATTTTCCTGGCATAAATCTTTAAATCTCTTGTTCATACTTTCTTCGTTTGAGATGAACATGGTTATGCCATTGGCCGAGGTTTTTAGAACTTTAGCTGTCTTCATCTCTTTCACCGTCTTGATTGCTTTAACCTCTTTACAGCCATGTGCCTTCAATATCTTTTGGACTGTAGAAACACCACCTGGAAGCTTTGAGGACAAGTTAAAAGAGATGTCATGGAAAAGACCGCCAGCTTTGGATATCTCTCGACAACGACTTGTTAGAGCATTTAGGGTCAGCCCTGTAAGGTCAGAAACAGACTCTTTGTTCATTAGATCAATAGAGAATTCCAATGGGTCAGGAAGCTTGGAATCTTCTACCCCGGCCTGATGTTGTTTTAACACTTCCTTTAAAAAGTCCGGTGAAATGATCATCTGCAGTGGATAACTCAGTCCGATGAGGAACTTCTCTGTTCTCATGAGCTTAGGCGCAATAATAGCATTGATGTCATTCTTGAAGTCCTTGTGGATAGAGATTCCAAGGGAGTGGAGTGCTTGCATTTCAACTCTGTTGAATGAAACCTCCCAACCAGTAGCAATTGCAACGATATCGTAATGAGGTTTCTGTTCAATAGACTCTCCTTTCCTGGACTTTTTAACAGGAGTTTCCACCTCTACGGACCTCTCTTTTTTTGCGCTCACAGCTTCATCCCTTTTTCTCTTACGTTCCTCAATTTCTTCAGGCAAGAGGATTGTTGTGTTATGCAACTGCTTTTGGAAAAGATTCATGTCCTCAATATCAGCATGCAGCTTTGCAGCAGCTTTGTCTTTTGCCTTACGTGTTGACGAGCGAATCACTGGTGATAAGGCATCAACAAGTCCCCTCAATCCAATTGGGTCCTTCACTCTCCTTGGTGTTCCAGATTTTGATGTCAGGATAGCGTTTTCCACATTGGCAGATATAGGTTTCAAAGTAGAATCAGCAGAGTCTTCGCGTATTGGGGTCTGGGGTTCATGTAAATTAGTATGGGTTTCTTTTTTATCAGGCACGCTCATAGTTTCTTGAACTTGAAGGACAGGTTTCGGTAGTTTTTTATCCATTGAAAGCAAAATTTCATCTTCTGAATCTTCGACAATATTTGTGGTATTTGGTGTGTAACCGTCTTCGTAGAAATGTTTCAACACTTCAACATCAAGCGGTGTTTCCCCAACAAGATCCTCTAACTTAACCTTCCCTCCAATATTGACCGAATACCTTGGGTGGGTGGCAGGTTCCAATCTCCAGTTTGCATACGACTCTTCCAACCAAAGGTGGTTCACTATAGTCATGTTCCAATTATGTGCAGCTTGAAACTTTTTACCAATGCCTTTCGAAGTGATCAAGTGTGTGTTTTTCGAAGTCATATTTGACGTAAATTTTGCACCTAGAGCCTCTATTAACTTCTTGATATAGTAACGACTGTCACCTGAATAGTTTGATGCAGCGATGGTGAAGTCCTGCATGGCTGGCAGCCCACCACGAACATACGGATAGTGTAGAAGCTTGAGGTAGGGAGAGATCCATTTCTGATGTTCAACCATCCAATATATCCAATTAAGATTTCCAACATACAACTTCTCTCTGCTAGCAGTGAGATACTCCTCTCCTTCTCTATACTGGCCCAGATAGTATTGAGCTTCGCCCAAAGAATGTACAACAAATCCTCCCGAATTAGTGATCATGGAGGACACTAATGCACGAGATCTGTTGGTGAGCTCTAAGTCATCACCAAAGTAAAACTTCATGCCATCTAGGAATGTAGCCTTTGGTGTATCCTTCGAAAGGATGACTTCTCTCACAGCATCCGATTCCATGATCATATCAGTCGGGTCACCAGCCTGATCGGGGTGTAACAAATAGGGCGTCTCGTCCAGTTTTTTTCTTAATTTCAAGCAATGATCTATCCACAACGGCACTACAGCTTTGATCTTGAACTGCTTCAGAGATTCCACGGCGATTACAATATCCTCATCTGGGTTGACGGAAATCACATGAGTGGCATACTTGTTTAATAACTCTGAAAACGTTCCACCGAGTGCTCTAACAGCGCCAAAGATTGCCTCTTTATCAGAAACTGGAAGATTGCCACAGCATATGTGAACATCTTTCAAAACATGTTTTGGATCAGGAGAATAGGGTCTAATAGGTTGTTGCTTGCCCTTCTCCAAAGTGACATGGATCAATTCAGAGGTAGCCACTGGAATCAGTTTCTCCTGTGTGAATGGGTAAAGGTCAAACTTGACACTATTAGAAATGATATGGGAATATCCAAGTTCAATGAATTCTTCCTTGTCTATCGGATCACTAATCTTCTGAACCTTGTAAGGAACTGAATATCTACCAAACACGGCTTCGAGTTTGGATACCTCCGGCGATGGCAGATCAGCAGACTCTAGCACAAGTGGATGGAAGTTCTCAAACAGAGATCTTGACATCTTCGTATACCCTGGTACTGTTATCGGTTTCCTCCCTGATCACAGGTATATTTCGACGATATTGGTATGCCACTTTCTGCTTTGTTTATGTTTACATCTTCGCGTATTTGTTTTCGTGACGCGGATCGCGGTGTCCCTAACAGAAAAAAGCGCCGACGCGAAAATGGCTTGGTGTCCAGGTGTATATTGCACTCAGCCAATGGTGTACAGGAATTGTAGTACAAGTAAACTCCACTGTAATTGGATATTCAGTATGTCTAGGAGCGTGTATAGTTTATGATTGTAACACTGGGTAATTTTTGTATGAAACATTACTGATTACCATCCTGAATTTGGGGTTTGTATTCATTCACAGTTTATTTTACTGGCTCGCTAAATATTTCTAAAGAGAAGTAGATACAGTTGGATTTTTTGATAATGAACACCATATGAAAGACAATTACCAGTAGAAAGCACCTTTGGCATACCGTTTTACTAAAAAAGTGTTATATCTAACATTATATATCAGTTCCCCATTTGTATCAACAGTATCCTATGTTTAATTATAACTTGCAATGTTGGCCATGAGTTCGTAATACTGCACATTTGGCTTGGTGTGTAATTTGATGTCCGGGTGTTATATAGACTTTTAGATTGCACAATTAGCCAGCACGTAGCAGACCATCAACTACTCCATGGTTCGCTGTACAGATATAACTTCAATGAACTACAGTGGACAACAAACGAAGCTCAGGTATGGCCGAGAGCACTATGAGCTGCGTAACCAACAGCTCGATAAATCTACTAATCAGGTGGTTGTCAAAGAGAAGCCAAATTTCAAACCTACCGGTCTATTGGCAAAAGAATCAAACAATATTGGCGGAATACAGCTGAAGTATACAGAACCTCAGGATGGATGTGGACCTCCAAAGAACCAGGAATACATACTATACATCTTCCACCCCAACACAGACACAACCAACCGTTACAATCTTAACACAAAACATTTTCACCTTATTGGAAGAGATGAGAAGGTTGTAGACTTGAAGACTGATGATGATACCTGTTCTAAGCAACATGCTGTGATTCAATTTAGAGAGCGACCAGAGAAAGATCCGAATACTCTTAAAACAATCAAAGTTGTAAAACCTTACATTATTGATCTCGAGTCTAGCAACGGTACTTTTCTCAATGGCGAAGAGATACCAACATCACGTTTTATTGAGCTTAGACCAGAAGATGTTGTAAAATTTGGCGATTCGGAAACCGATTACGTTCTAATGACTTTATAATGATAGTTACATATATTAACAATGGATTCCAACCTGTAGAGTTTTCAATCTTGGATCAATCTGGCCGTCAAAGCCTCAAGATCCTCAAGAGTTTCTGGTTCTTCTATCTCCAACACGCCATCGTCCTTAGAAGTCTTACCACCAACTTTATCATTCTGGAACCATTTAGGCTTCTTTGTGGGTCTTTCATCTTCACTGTTATCATCACTTTTAGCGTCAAGGTCTTCCAGAAGCTTAGCAGCAAGGTTATGGTCTACTGCATAGTCATCATCTTCACCTCTTTCAGAAGGATCGTCATTGTAACCTTCCTTGGCAAGTCTTTCAGCCTCTTTACGCTTTCTCTTCTTCTCAAGCTTCTTCTCCTTCGCAAGCTTCTTATCACTCTCATCATCTACTTGCATAACCTCACTCTCCTTTCCGATAAAGTCATCCTTCTGGAGCTTGGCATCACCGGCAGCTTTGAAGTCATCCTCATCTTGGAATTCGTAGATTTGGTGAGCATTACCTTCATCATCAAACACCAACTTCTTTGCATTTCCCTTATCGTTGAGTGAAGCCTTTTTGGAAAGAGCCCTCTTAGCTGCACGCTTGGAAGTTGGGGCAGTTAAATCTGGAAGGTCTTCATTTACGAGATCATGATCCGTACGTTTGACTGACATAAATTCACCGTCAGAATCCGACTCATCATCATTCTCATCCTTCAATGCATCATTCTGAATCTTAAGATAGTGACTAGAAAGAACGTTTTGATTTTGACGTTCAAACATTCTATCATATTTGGTGCGGACCTTTTTATCCTCTTCCTTAAATTCACCATCATCATTTGCCTTAGACAATGCAAGTAACTGACGAGACACATTCTTCAATTCTCGAGCCTTTGATTCACCTTTAATCTTCACTTGTGGTGCACTAGGAAGACCAAGAGCCTTGGCAAATGCTTCTTTATCAACATCTTCAATCTTGAAGACGTCCTTGTCCTTGTTGATAATTATGGATCTCAAGTACGAAATGAAAGCCTTCTGACCCAAGTATTTCAATTCTGCATCCTTGAAACAAAGTGCTTGCAGTTGCTGCTTGATTGATTTCTTCTTATTCTGCTTGATGTTTAGCTTTTTTGGTTCAATCTTCTTAGATTGCAGTCTTTTGAGAAATCCTTCTTCCTCACTAGGAGTCAACATCAACAATGCTTTACCTGACTTACCAGCTCTTGCCGATCTCCCAACTCTGTGAACGTAAGTATCGGCATCCTCTGGTGCATCGACTTGAACAACCCAGTCAACTGTTGGGAAATCCAAACCACGGGCAACAACGTCAGTTGCAAATAAACAAACGTGTTGTGCTTTTGTAAATTTATACACGGTTTCTGTTCTTGCAGTTTGTTTTTGACGACCATGCAATTTCATCAATGACATACCAGGTTGAAGCTTTCTAAAAGTTTCATAGACGAAGTGCACCTGTTTCGAGGTGGACAAGAAAACGATGATCTTTGTCTTGAGATGTGTCTTGATGAATGAATAAAGTGTATCGAGCTTGTCCTCTAGCTTGACTGTAATGTATGACTGGGAAAGAGAATCAGGCGTTGCAGTTTCATCTTCGGCTTGTTTCACTCCAATGTACTGCGGATTGGTTAGCGATAATCTCGCAAGATCAGACACTGATTTGGATTGTGTTGCAGAGAAGAGTAAAGTTTGTCTCTCCGGAGGGAGGTTTGCAACTATATTGTCGAGGGTTTTCTTGAAACCAAGGTCCAGGATTCTGTCAGCCTCATCCAACACAAGCATCTGTAGATTGGAAACATCAAATCCCAAACTTTGGTCCATATGTTGCAAGATTCTACCCGGCGTTCCAATAAGAATGTTAATCTTTTGGATTCTCTCCATCTCGAATTTGACATCTTTACCACCGATGACAAGACCTACCGACAATTGGAAATGCTTACCAATCTTTAACAACACTTCATAGATCTGCATCGCCAATTCTCTGGTTGGGGATATGATCAATGCACCAAGACCATCAAAGTCTGTCCATTTAGCCCTGTTCAACTTCTCAATGACTGGGATCAGAAATGCCAACGTCTTACCAGAACCTGTCTTCGCTGCACCAAGAATATCATTTCCCTTAAGAGCATAAGGTATAGCCTCTCTCTGGATGTCAGTCAGCAGTGAATAACTGGCCTCCTTAAGCCCCTGGATTAAATTCTGCGATATTGGTAGCTCTTGGAATTGAGATGGCTTTTGCGTCTTCGGATCGTACTCCTCTATAAGTTGCTCCAGCTTTTGCAACGCAGCTTCCTCCTTAGCACGGTTCTCCTTACGCTTAGCCTGCTTGTTGTTCTTCACACCTTTCTTAGCCATCTTGCAAAACACTTAGACAGAGAGAGATACTCAACTCATCTCTCGAAGCAGAGCAGTTCACTGGTGTGCCATAAATTTTTTTCGAGGCCTCTTCGCATGTGCTGGCCATAACCAATATCTGTCCGAAAAGGGAAACATGCGATGAGCACTCGTAACCTTACCGGAATAGGAAATGATCGCGAGAATAGAATTGTATTTGTGTGGGTGTTTGGATGTTTGTCTGTGTGTGCTTTTTTCTTGTTTGGACTCTCGGGAACACTTCTCTCAGTCCATTGTGGAAGTTATACAAAGCAGAAGAGGAGACTTCTTTGGAGAGCTATATCATGTCCAGATCACAAGACACTGCATCACCAATCACACCTTGTTCTCCGAAGAAGGGTGAAATGATATCATCGATACAGCTCTCGAGGCCCTTCCTGACGAGGCTACAGATTGAGTATGCACAAAGCAAAACCATCGACAACATTGTTGTTTACAAGCAGAGACGAAACCAAGTCTTTTCCTTTCTCATGAAGGTGTGTAATACGTTGAAGTTTCCCATGCGCACTCTTGAAACCGCGATGATCTACTACCAACGGTTTTATCTTCATAACAGCTTCAACACGTCGACGTACCACGATGTTGCAACTGTATGTCTGTTTGTAGCAACGAAGAACGAGGAAACGATCAAGAAACTAAGGGACATCATAGCGGTTGTGTCACAAGTAAGGAACATGCAGCTGAACTCGGAGCAGGCTGAGAACTACAGGAGAAGAATCATAGGATTGGAAATCAAACTCATGGAGACCATTGCATTTGACTTTAGAATTGGACATGTTGAGGAATACCTGGTGAAGTTCTCAAAGACTTTAAGCATTCCAAAGGAAATCACGTACACAGCATGGCTCTTTAGCTACGATACGTATCAACTGGATATCGCATTAAAGGCACCAGCATCAAGTATCGCTGTTGCTCTGTTGGAGCTTGCATGCAAATTGGAAAAATTCCATGTGAACATCAACTACAGAGAGCTGTTTGTCAACATGGAGGCCGTGAATGAGACAAAAGTGGACCTTTTGGACTTTTACATTAGCAATTATAACTACAGCTTTTTTGCTAGCATTAGGCCAGAACTTCATGATACTTTCATGGATTTGAAGATAGCACTTGGGAACGTTAAACAACTTGTGGAACGTGAAAAGAGATACATTGAAGAAGATGCATACTTTGATGAAAGGTCGTACACTACTGGGGAACGGAGATTTATGCTTGGTAACCAAAGGAAAAGACTCTATAATGAGATGTAATAATAAACTAACTAGTCGTTCCAAGAGACCACTGTTTGGAAAGAAGTGTAGACTAGCATAATAACACCAAAGATTACAATGGTTAGGTCTAACCTCTTTCCCATAGGAGTTGTGGTCTTTAACTTGAGATGAATCATGGGTGGGTATATGTAAATCAACGGAATACATGCCACACTTCCAATAACTGAAACGAACTTGTCCAGGTTTGATGCTCCAAGCCATCCAGAAAGTGCGGTAAATAGAACTAAGAAAGTTCTAAAGTAATTCTTTCTCCACTTCACCTTCGTATTATGCTTTCCAGATCTTTTAAATATACCATTCTCCAAAATTCTGATAGCCGGAAAGAGTTGTAATGGCGTCGAGAGGAGTATAGCCATGGCGTACAAGAACTGAACAACAGAGACGTATACACTATCCGAAGGGAAATTCAACAGTATCACTGTGTCAGTTTCCTCACCAAAGGCCAAATATCCCACAAGACCGGCAGAGATGAAAACAACCGTGACACTGGCCAGAACCCACCCAAGGATCATTGGGAACTGTGAAGGTTTCTTCATAGATTCTTCAATTGGAATCAAAAGACCAATACCTTCATATGTGAAGATTGCAGTTCCAATAAACACAGTCCAGTCATTGTTAAAGCTCTTTACGGCAGCAATTCCTTTGGTTATTGAAACGAAAGAACAGTAGTAGTAGACGTAGATCAATCCTAGCAGGATGAATAAATCGGCAACCAGCGCAGTTCCTGATAATTTTGCAATTTTTCTTGTCAATGATAATGGAATGAAGACAATCAATTGAACAAAGATGTATGTTTCAATAGAGTATTCTCTATCAAACATAGAAGCAACAAATGCCTGCAGATTTGTAGCAGTGAATACGATATACGCTGCTGCAAATCCTATTTGTGAAAGCACAATTGATGTGAGGATGGATATTCTCATCTTTTCACCAAATACTGCACCTCCAATATCACCATAACTATTTAAACCCAGATTCGTTTTCGTATTGATAAGTAGCATAAAACACCAATATGATAATATCGAGAAGAATAAAAGTGCTATAGAAGAGAACAACCATCCTGCATTCTTGAAACCTCTTGGTAAGAAGAGCACACCTGTTCCAATGAACGCTTTCAATAGCAGCATCACAGCCTTCGTGGTTGTAGCCTTGTGTGTTTCTTCATGTTTTCTACGTGGGACACTTGCCAACAGTAGACTCTCCTCATCAACCGATTCCTCCTCCTCTTCTTCATCTTCATTTTCATCTTCTTCATCGCTCAACTCTTCACCTGCAAAATGCCCATAAAGAGTTAGAAACTCGATGAAGTTTCTGGTAAAGAAAGTTGGCTGTTTGATATCTGGCCCATCGCCAACGAGATTGTGTCTGGAAGCCTTTTGAAGGAGGAAACTTCTTCTGAACCCACCAGGGACTCTGATATCATGCACGTTGAAGTCCGGATCCAGGTTATTACTGTTGATCGATGCACTGAACGAGTGAGATCTTCTTCTCTGCGATACTGTTGGTGAGTGGGACCGACGCCAGTTGTAGAGATCCCTGCTGATATCACCACCTTGGAGCTGCAAAGAATCAAACTCGTCAGATGGAGCAACCGAGCCAGTATCTGTAACCAGATGACGACCAATGACATCTACCGTGGCCTTATCTGGATTCTTGATATCGACCTGAGGATTACCATGTGTGTTTGAAGTAGCTGAAACCTTAGGGGAAATCTCATCTGTGTGTAGCGACATCCTAGAATCTGGCCGAGAGGGCACTTTAGCCTGATTCATTAGCGGTGAATCCTCTCTGACACTTGCCAACACGTGGGATAGCGCACTTGTAGACGCTCCTCTTTCTCTGTGCTCGGGTATGGAGCTCGACGACAGCTTCCCCTCGAACCCACCTTCTATCCTCTCAACCTCGCCAGAATCAGCGTTGAAGTTGCCTGCCTCGGCGCCGTCCTGCGTTGCCGCTGTGGCAACAGAGGCCTTCCTAGTGAAGTGCTTCGAGGAGAAATCCCCAATACGGAAGCTCTCATCCATGTCTTCCTTCATGGAGTGCGATAGTGAGTGGAACCTGTTGTGTCTTGATCCATACGAATTTTCTGAAGACGGCATAACTGTGGCTTATTTGTGCAGTGTAGCAGGAGTATTCTCAGCACCAAACTATGTGAACACGCTCAAGGAGAACAGGCCGGCGAGTAAAGCAAGGATTCAAAGCTCAGCCAACGTTTTAACTGAGAAACAACTAAGTAAACCAGCTCTAGCCAGAGGTAAAAGGATAAAAGGAGCCCCAGCCTAGAAAATCTTACACAGGAGAAATTGTCTCGAGGCCTGGACGTTGCGCCCTGTCAAGCGGGAGAATTCCGGTGCTCATCGCATCGCATCGCTTTGTTCTGGTTTTTTCTCTGGAGGAAATCCGGTGTTTGGGGGAGGGGAGGGGGAGCTAAATCCGAGGGGGAGATGAGGTGCTGAAATTTTTTTTTTCTTTTCACATAGAACAAGACATATCTCTTTCTCTCTTTGGTCATCTACACGGTAGTAGAACCAGTAATCATGTCGAAGAGGTGGGATAAGAATGCGACTACTTTCAGGGTGGTCTATAGAGGCCACGATGATCCACGGTATCACGACTCGGAGGCATCTGAACATGTGCTTGTGCCCGTTGAGAACCCGAATAACAGGAAGGTGAAGAACAAGAGCACACTGGAGAAGGAGCTAGGGGAGCAGATGCATGAGATCAGAAACAACGAAGGTGAGGCTGCGCTGTATGGTATCACCTTTGATGATTCCAAGTATGATTACATGCAGCATTTGAAGCCCATGGGTCAAGGTGACGGTGTGTTCATCCCGAGTAAAACTGTGAAGGAGAAGAGCAAGAAGAAAGATATCCTGTTCAAAGAAGACTTGAAAGATGTTTTACCGCCTGAAAAGACTGTGCAATTGACATACCAAGATCAACAAGCCATCCCGGACGATATTGCTGGATTTCAGCCAGATATGAATCCAGCTTTGAGAGAAGTGCTGGAGGCACTGGAGGACGAGGCATATGTCGATGACGATGATAACATCTTTGACAATTTATTGAAGGATGGTGAGTTAGTGGATGAGGATGAATTCGAGGACCAAATCGATGAATGGGATCTCGATAACTATGAAGATGAATTTGCTCAATACGACGATAGCCATTACCAGAGAGAAGGAGATGAAGGCTGGGAGGCAGATTTTAGAAAATTCAAAGCTACAAACAAGAAGAAGGCCAATGACTGGGACTCTGATGATGAGTTTGAAGAAGAGGAGGAAGATAATGACGTGGTTCCTGAACTTCCGTCATTGGAAGGCAGTAAAGCAGCATCGTCTACGCAAAAGTCCAAAAAGGGGGCCAAACAGAAAGCTCGTAGAAAAATGGGTGCTATGACGGATCTTTCAAGTTTCTCTCTCTCAAGCTCCTCCGTCTATAGAACTGAAGGCTTGAGACTTCTCGATGATAAGTTTGAAGTAATGAGGGAGAAATACGAAAACAATAGAAAGGAACAAGAAGAGGAAGACGATAACAAGAAACCTTTCGATATGAGTACCGAAAGAGCAGATTTGGAGGATCTTTTGGATGACTTCCTTGATAACTATGAAATTGAAGGTGGTAGAAGATTGGTTAAGAAGAACCCAGAACTCGATAAATTGAAGAAGGCAGCTGATAGTGTTTCAAGGGGTAAGCTTGCCCAAAAGAGAAAGAAACAGTCTGGATTGAAAGGCCTGGAGAGCAGCCTAAGCAATATGAAGATCTAGGAATTGCAGCACCGGTGTTATGAGGTTAATGATACACAGTTTGTCTATACATGCATGTACGGATATTGAATTGTTTCATTTAATCAAGTAGTTAGTCAACTGTTAACTGTTCCAAGTTGTCAGTGAGACCCTTCTCTGATTGCTCCACGATTTCGTCAATCTTCTTCGAAGCCCAAGGGAATCTTGGGTTGATCAAGAATGGTCTGAGGTCAAATCTGTTGTCATCCGGAGAATAGTTCTCGGCGTGATAGGCAGGTGTCATGACAGTCATCTTATGTCTGTTGATTGAATAGAAAAAGAAGAATCTCTTCACCTTTTCAGCAATTTGACGAGGTGTAAGCCTTGGTGTCCACTCATGGTACAACTTCAAGAACATAGAATAAGGACCACACTTTTGGATCTTTCTCAAACGGCCAAAAATGCTGAGCTCCTCGTAGGTCATTCCCATATCAATCTCATCTGATTGAACATAGTTCTCAGTGATAGGCTCCAACTCAGCAGTTGGTGTTGCCTCCAAGAACTCCTTGAGAATAGGCAACTTGAACTCAGTCTCTGCGTATGCGATGAACTTCTTTAGATCCGTCTTAGAAATGCTTCCAATAGGATTGATATCAGCAGAGGAACAGTCATATTTTGTCAAGTAACCTCTTAGACATTCATCAACGTTGGCACTACCCAAGACAAGCAATCCACCTGTTTGTCTACCACGGACCCATGGTAGAAGCTGAGCAAACAGGTAGGCAAGAACCATACGCAATCTTGCTTGAATATTTTGTAGTGCTAAGTTCTCCGTCTGAGAGCCACCAAAGATCTTGAAAATAGGCCTCTTTCCTGTAGCAACCTCAAATACCGACACTACTGCAGCAACCAAAGTGTCCATGTTCAAATCAACGTGGTATGACCCAATCTTTTCACTAAGCTCCTTGGCTCTTGCCCTGGTTTCAGCTGAGGAGTTTTCAGTTCCCATGTAACAAGTATGGAAGATCTTCGAGGCAAATTCAACAGGGTCAGTAGGCTTCCAAGCGTCATCTTGAACGTTTGCAATTCTTCTAGCATCCTTGATCACTTGTTCGTTACCCTCTACAGCAGCTTTGACAACAAGTCGACACATGGAATGGACGATAGTTGCAGTCGCACATGAATCAATACCACCAGATAGAGGAAGGAAGAAACCTGCACCGTTACAACGTCTAACGTAATCCCACATCCAACAAGCAGGACCTAGAGCAATCTCTTCTTCTGGGCGATGATATCTAATCTCTCTAGGTCTGGATGGAACGATTCTGGCGTCGAATGTGATTGACGATGGTGAGAGCTCAATTGGGACATGAACACGTTCATAGGTTGGGGTTTGAGTACACTGTAAACCGTAAGAGATTTGGCTTCTGTAAGCTCTAACGTCTTCCAAGTCAATGGTTGCAGTAACAACCTCAACATCATTCAATGAAAACTGAGACCCTTGAGCAACCACTTCACCGTTAACCACAATCAGTGCACAGCCATCGTAGTATAGTCTATCACCATCACAACCCCTCTGATTAGCGTAGAGGTATATACCTCCACATTTGGTTGTTGCCTCCGTGATGAGATTCAATCTCGTGTTCAATTTCCTCAATTCGTGGTGAGAGCCCGAGGAGTTTGTTATGATCTCAACACCATCAAGTGACATACCGATGTGTGGCGAATCAGGAGTGAACAACTCTTCACATGTCTCTGCACCAATCACCGTGTCCAATGTAGAGATAACAGCGTCCCCAAAATCCACACTGACCTGACCAGTCAACTTTTGTATCATTCTTGGAAGAACATACTTCTCAACGTATCTTGGTCTTTGCCATGGGGTGAAATACCTCATCTCCCTGTAATTACCATCGTTCGCCAACCACAGCTTCGGTCTAATGAGAAGAATCTTTCCATCATATGACAGGATACGACAATTGTACTTGACATTCTTGTGTAGAATTGGAATTCCAATGTCCAGCAAGATACCATGTGTCTCCTTGTTGGCCAATAACGATGCATACATCTCCCAGGAATGCAGATAGGTGTCGTTCTCAATGAAATGGTCCAAACACCCGTATCCTGGAATCTCCAACTCTGGACCAACACGAAGAGAGGCACCTCTGCTTTTCGCTTCCACGATAGATTGTAGGATACGGTCTCTGTTGCCTTCAAAGTCTAGAGCCCATTGGTTCAGATTGCACGTCGCAACAGTGATTAGGTGTCCCATTGTGTACGAATGGACCTCTAGATCTTCTCATTGAGCATCCCCTGATAACCATCATGTCGAAGGTATAAGAAGGCTTGAGGCCCATCCCTCAGCCGTCGGGTCCAGCTTGTGGTGTATGGATGTTTGGGTGTCCGGGTGAAGAGGTGTCCGGTTGTATCGATGTCCAGGTGATGAGGTGTCCGGGTGTATTGACTACTCAATAGATGAAAATCCCATACGTGAAACCTCGAGACGTCAAACTGGCGATGGAGTCAATCAGCTGAACAGAGCACATAGGCTTACCATGGGGAAAGGATCTACCATTGTCATCAAACTTGGTACTTCATCACTTGTTGATGAGGTGACCAAGGAACCAAGACTTGCTACTATGTCGCTCATAGTGGAGACAGTGGTAAAGCTTCGCAGAGCCGGCCATAGGGTGGTGATTGTCTCATCTGGTGGTATTGCAGTTGGGTTGAAAACCATGGGCCTTGACAGGCGCCCTAAGAAGTTAGCACAGGTTCAAGCACTTGCAGCAATTGGCCAGTCAAAACTTATAGGCAGATGGGACTCGCTGTTTGCCCAATTGGGACAGAGAATCGCCCAAATCCTCATCACGAGAAATGACATCTCAGATTGGACACAGTATAAGAACGCACAAAACACCATGCAGGAACTTTTAGATATGGGTGTTGTTCCAATTGTGAATGAAAACGACACGTTGAGTGTTGCAGAGATCAAGTTTGGAGATAACGACACTCTTAGTGCGATCACGTCCGCACTGATCAAAGCCGACTACCTTTTCCTCATGACTGACGTTGATTGTCTGTACACTGCCAATCCAAGAACTGACCCACTTGCCAAACCTATTCTGATAGTGGATGATATGAGTGCTTTGAATGTGGACACGAGCTCATCGGGCAGTGATGTTGGTACTGGAGGCATGACAACAAAGCTCATCGCTGCTGACCTGGCCACTGAGGCTGGTACCACCATGATTATTATGAAGTCAGAGAGACCAGAGAACCTTTGGAAAATCGTGGAATACATTTCAAACAGCGATGATGATGTCCTTAATGGACTGACCATCGAGGACCGTCAGGTGAAGGAATTGGAAAAGCTGAAAGCAAACGACGTTCCTTTACACACCAGGTTCATCGGATATAAACAGCACGTGAAGAACCGTGAATTCTGGATGCTTCATGGATTGCATTCACATGGTGCACTCATCATTGATCAAGGTGCACACCAGGCCTTGACCCGTACGAATAAAGCCGGCCTTCTACCAGTGGGTATCATTGGTGTGGTTGGTCATTTCCACGAGCATGAATGCGTTGCTCTTAAGGCTGGGTTCCGTAGTCCAGATGGGTCTTGGGACTCCACAAGACCTGTTACTGAAATAGGAAGGGCAAGAGTCAACTACGGCTCTGTTGACATTGAGAAGATCAAGGGACGTCAAAGTCATGAGATTGAAGACATATTGGGATACCATGATTCTGAATACATTGCACATAGAGATAATTTGGCGTTCCCACCAAGTGTACTGGAGAAGAGCCAATCCAGTCTCAACCTTGTTCATAACGATATATGATTAGAATGAGCATCAATTACTTTATAAACAGAACCAATTTCCTCTCTGTAGCAACAAAGAAAGATTTAATCTCTGGAGTCTGGAAGATGTCTGGTAAGGCAAGTTCCAGGTCCTTTGATTCATAGTTCCTGTTCTCATTTTGAAGCACTATAGCATTCCTCGATCTATCAAGACTCAACGTATAGTCCAAGGATGAGGAGTTCTGAGACTTGATCTCGATACGGAGTTTATATCCATTTGCAAGGTTAATCTTGGACATTGAGGTTTCATATTTGAGCCTTTCCTTTTTGGCCTCTTCAGGGCGTACTTTAGGTGCCTGCTCTGGCTTTGTATCGTTGATCTCGAGTTCCTTGATCTCCTGAATCAGTGGTTTGCGATTAGGCTTTGGTAGAGGCTCGTTGATATCCAAGTTGATGTCGAGATCTTCATCATCATCAACCAGCCTTTTCAGCTGTATCACATCATCAGGGCCATCTAGCGTCGAGCCAGCTGTACCATGAAGCTCCGATTTCAACAGCTTAATCTCCTGAGGAGCTCCTTTGCTCACCATCTTCGGCACGCTTATCTGTTCCCGGTCCAGAGTCAGCTCGCTTCGGACCTCAACGCTCTCCATACACCACTCCATCACTATTTCTCGAAGTTGTGGATCCCTATGGATCCACGACATCGCCTCGTCGTTGATAACACAGTCATACACGTAGGACAGTTGGCCCTTCTTATCCGTCGAGTCCCTCTCTTCAGAGGCAACAATCGGTATTTCCCACTCGTTCGACATGATCAACTGATACGTCTCTGGAGGGTTATAGCTCTTCTCAGGCAGTGGGATCAGCGGTGAAGTACACACGTTGATGAACACTTTGGTGTTGGCCGCTCTGTATTTCGGAGTAGTCGTGCCGACTTGGAGCCTTGTCTTGATGACAAAGGAGCCAATCGGCGTGATCGTAACGAGCTCATCCGCTGTGTTCATGGACCCAGTGGTTGTTGAGGTGTTTCTCTCCACGGGTTCATCGTTTTAGACGGAGTGTGATAAAATTGATGCGCCGGAGATGGGATCCCTCGCTGGGCCTGCAAGGCTCGCTAGGCTCGCTGGGCGGACAGGGCCTGGGAACAAAAACCCACACCGGGCCGGGAGAATGACACATTCACGAGCATTAAATACACAGCTGTTGCACTCCAAAGAGGACAGAATTGAAAGCAGAGCACTCTATCGCCATCCACGTACTTGCCATGAGCCTACAGAAGTCATTGTTTCATAAGAAGTTTGGCTCTTTGGGCCCAGCTGAATTGCGTGCTGGTTCCAATAGGGCGTCACAGAATGGCATTGGCGATGAAGCTGAAGAGAACAATGAAAGCCAGGACTCTCTAGCACCTCTGTGCCAGCCTCTTCAGAGACACAGACGGCTACGGAGCTGTGCTGAGGCCTCAGCGACTGACTTCTTCGAAACGTCGGAGAAACTTGCTCGAGGCTCTTCGTCATTTCAAGTGTACTACACGAGACCAGTTGACGATGCGGCACCACTGTTTATCTTCCATCATGGAGCCGGTTCTTCAGGGATGTCATTTGCCCCATTGGTGAAGGAGTTACAGCGCGTGTTCAAGAGTGATAAGGAGGAAAGCGACGTCTGTGGCGTGATATCGTTCGATTCAAGGGGACATGGCCAAACGACAATAGTTGAGGATGCAGATGACTATTCAATGGATAAACTAGTGGCAGATGGGGTCTTTGTAATCATGGAGATGGTGAACAAGGTGGGCTGGGGACAGCTTAAGAACCCGATATTCCTGGTTGGCCACTCACTAGGTGGGTCCGTGCTCACAAACGTTTGCTCTGTTCTGAAATCCAAGGGTGTTCACGTCCAAGGATTAGTGATGTTAGATATAGTGGAAGAAACGGCATTGAGATCACTGAATTCCATGCCAACATATATTGCACACTTACCCAAGTCATTCCCGTCACTGGAGAGCGCCATTGACTGGAATGTGAGTGCAGGCTCTCCAAGAAACAAAGCATCAGCGATGGTTACAGTACCACCGTTACTAATAAACATAGGGAATAATAGATACGTCTGGAAGATGGATCTATCCAAAACAGAGCCATTTTGGACTACGTGGTTTGAAGGACTATCCCAGAGGTTTGTTAAGGCGCATGCTGCAAAGCTTTTGATCCTTGCTGGAACCGATTCCTTGGATAAAGAGCTCATGATTGGACAGATGCAAGGGAAATACCAGCTCGTTGTGTATCAGGACTCTGGTCATTTCATCCAGGAAGACGTTCCATTGAAGACTGCACTCACATTACTGGACTTTTGGAAGAGAAATAGTAAGCAGAACGTTGTTATAAAGTCAACATGGGGTGGTAAAATTGCACATCAAGCAGTAGATGATTAGGCCTGTATGAACATGTATGGATGAAAATGGTGATTAAGCATTAGAGATTCTGAATAAATATGATAGCAAATACATAGGAGTTACACATATTATTGATAAGTTGGTTGAGAAAACAGTAAAGTAATCATAGTACAGTGGAGTTGGATCAAATGTTGATATGCTTGATGTTCTCCTGTTTCAATTGATATGTTCCCTCAAGTTCTGGAATAACAACCTCATAGTTGGCAGTTTCACTTTGAATATCGCCATGGTTCTTCTCAACATGAATACGGGCAATCAGTGAATCCCTTGTGATCTTATAAGCTAGATCTTTCCCCTCTCTAGGCTCGAATCCTTTTGGAAGTCCGGTGTCTTGAGATGGTATCTTTGAAGTGCCAATTTCATAGCCAGCTTTGTCCCCAGTTGGATTGAAGTTCTTTATGTGAATCAAGTCAGCCCAGTTTCTCTTGTTTAAGAACTGCTCATTTGAACGATTCTCCCCATCAACATCCTTCGTGAAGATTGGCACCATATCCTCATCTGTCATACGGGAGAAGTGATGGACTTTAGAACGTTTGTTCAGAAGTGAAGCCATTGCATCGGGAGGTGGGGCATTGCAAATAGCAGATGAAATGATGTTGAACATCAAACGAGGATCCTTCTCAGGTTCGTTCATCACCTTAGAGTTCCCTTCTTCATACTTCTCCTGACCAATCCAATGATGATGGAGTTTGGTTCTGAATCTTCCAAGGGCCGCAAGGTGGACATCACCAGAGAGAATGGTGATTCTAATACCATTAGAAGCACCAAATTTTTGTAACTTGGCAACAACTTCGTTACGTTCCTTTTTATGGTCCCCTGAGCACCAATGGTCGTTCAAATCATCCAGGACTTCTACTGAGCCATCGAATTCGTTCACAAGCCCTTTGGCTATCACTCCCTTTTCAGACAGCTTTCTGAATGGAGAGAGAATTCTCGAACTTAGCAGCCATTCAAGCCAAACCAATCTTGGATAAGCAATAGGAACACCCAAAAGAACCAAGATGTGCTTTATAGAAGGGTCGTTCTTCACCTCCTTCTCCAAACGATGGAAAACGATGTCCAGAGTTTCCCGTGTGACAATTCTCTTTAGGGTTCTCTCAGTTCTACAATCCAAGCCTAGAAACCCAATACCTTTACCAAGCTTTGCAAAGACTGAGTGGGATCTCTGTTCCATATATGGGCCTGGTGTCTTACCCAAGATCCAACTTGGTTCATTTTGAAAGGTTGGATCATCTTCAACAGAGGTCTGGTGTTGGAAAAGCATGTAGTACTTGAAGGCAATTCTACCAAGCCCCTTGAACACTTTAGTGGACATAGTACCGTTATGATACGAGCCATAACCATCAATGATATCATGATCATCATAAATGTTCATGGAAGGGATTGAAGCCATTGCAAAGGGGAAAAGAGGTTGTAATGTTGAACCGTTCTTACCTACCCAGAATCCCTTTCCAAACCATGAGAGATATTGATTCAAGTAAAAGTCTTCAAAGGAGCTAGCCATCTTATCAGTAAGCTGTTGATTGTGCTTCTTGATTACATTCTTCTCGCCAAGCCACTTTTCGAATTCATCTGATGAAATCTTTATCGCATCGCAGTAAACTTGGTCACCACCACCAAGCATAACATGATAACGGTTTTCCTTGTAATGAGTTCTAGTCACATCAAACCACAGCGAACCCTTAAAGTCCTTCGTCTCAGTGGCCAAAGAGAACCCGTTGCAGGAGTGTGAAATAACGTTCATCGGTTGTTCATCACTTGGCAGGAAGAACTCATACGACACGGTATCAAGAATGGTATAGCGAACCTTTTGCTCGAATTCCTTGAGCTCTAGCTCGACAGAGAACCTCCAAAACGTGTAACCGGCCTCCTTATGGATTGTAACACGCGGGAATTCACCTTGTAGGAACTCATTGGACGTCCCCTGTGGGATAGTTGGTCCTTGAATAAAAGTTATCTTGGGCTCAGTGGTGGACGATTCGTCCTTGGACACTATGAGGATGGACGCTCTGTAGTTCGACGTGCCATTCTCGTGGGTACCGAGCAATCTCAAAATTGGCCCACAGCGTATGTCAACACCGCCAACGGGCTCACTGGTTGGAACCTCCTTGGGGATTGTTTGCGCAGACTTTAGCTCGTCAAATAACTTCTCCAGAGGTGTCGCATCTTGCAACCAATCACCTGGCACTTGTACTGATGCACTCATGATGAATCCGTGGTCGTATCACTAGCAACTGTGTATGGTAATATGGAACTGGCAAACAACACTACAAACACACACAATAAACCCCGAGTCTGAGAAAAGGGCCTTCATTTGCTGTCGAGATATGCGGTTCTTATACAAATTATATAATGTAGGCTAAGCACACTGCGGGACGTATCGCTTGGCTACACAGGGAATTCTCGAGCTGTGCCCGCAAGGTTTCAGCCCTCACATGAAATTCGTATGAGGGCCCTCTGCAGGCAGACAGACAGCGAGGCAGAGGCAGCGTGAAGGATGTTGCTCTAATTTTCGAATTCCCACAAGGTTTATGCACGCTCGAGACGCTGATTGCTATTAGCGTGTGGGTCATTGGCCCGGCAACGCGACGGTAGGGTAAGCCTCTAATGTGTTACGTAATAAATGTTGCACAAAGTTCCTAAAAAGGAAAATATACCAATGCGGCATCTGAGTGTGAAGCCTGCCGAGGGAAAAAGCGCGTGTTTCCGATGGGTATTGAGAACAACAGTGGATGGACAACAACAACAAGAACCACGATTGGGGTATAAGGACGGCACAGAGGTGTGACACGTATACATAGACGACGAGTATCGACTTGTTTACGCTCTTCCCTCTTGTTAATCCCTCTCTCTCAAGATATAAACACACACAATGGGTGAGTCAATTGTGGGAACCTGTTTCTTCTCAGAAGCCCTAGTACTAACGAAAGACAAATAGGCATTTCACTATGGCTATGTCCTAAGCCCTCTAGTCAGATCCACGAGACGCTGTCTTCCCTATCGACAGGGCTGGTCTCTATCTGCTCGGAATCCTCACGCGTTGAACCTCATATCACCATAACGTCTGGATTGGCGATAAATTCGCATGCAGATGTCCGCACCGTTCTGGAGAGTGCCATTGCAGCACTTGGACACGAGATACGGTTACACGTCAAGCTCACCTCTTTAGAGTTGCAGGCCAAGAATCACTACTTCAAGAAGTTGTTTTTAAGGGTGGAGAAATCGAGGAATCTCGTCAGTTTCAGCACGATACTGCGTGAATTATACGTTGAGTTACCAACTCTGAAGAACGAGGCAGAGGCAAAGTACTCTGCACAAGATTGGGCAAGGGACGAATTTGACCCCCATGTTTCACTTCTATACACAAACATGTCACACTTTGACAATGCACTGCAGAGAACAATAGTGACAAGAGTTGAAGATTACCTCGGGATCGGTGATATAGAGCCAAACACTCCAAATGAACTGGATATTTACGAATTGGGTTGGACTGGAGGCGTATTGAAAATTGTCAATTGCGAAGGACCAGTGTCAGAATGGCAAATTCTTGGTACAGCAGATATACACTGAATCTTATACTAATACTTTGAAGCGTTCACTGGAACACCTTCAATGGCAGCATCGTTGACGAACCAATCCACTGGAACGGAAAGTTCATTCACAAGTTCACATGGTAATCCACTCTTTGAAGATGCAAAAATCTGTTTCAAGACTGGTGCCTTACCAGAACCTTCAGCAACAAAAGCAATTTGCTTAGCATTTCTCAACACTGGGAAGGTGAATGTGATACGTCTTGGTGGTGGCTTAGGAGAGTCTGAAATTGCAGCGACAGTGACGGATTCCTCCTTTAGAAGCTCATGCTCTGGGAAAAGAGAACATGTGTGCCCATCAGGACCTGCACCCAAAAGGATCAAATCTAGAGACTCAGGCAAAAATGATGCATATTCTTTCGCAATCTGAGAATCTGTAGTAGTATCTGTCTCGTGCAATAAAGATTCGTTTATCGTGAAAACGGTCGGACCAGCAAGACCCTGGTGGGCAAGTTCCTTCAACACCATCTCGTTGAACAACCCGTAATTTGAGTCCTCGTGTTCCAATGGTACCAATCTCTCGTCCGAGAAGAAAACTCGCCATTTGTCCCATTTGACCTTTTGAAGGATAGAGGAATCTTCAATGAGCCCCTTCTTCAAAACTTTCCCCAATGATCCTCCAGAGATGGCCACATCGAAATGGGACTTTGTACTCAACGTAGCATCTTGTACTTTCACGATGTAACGGGCAACCGCATTGGCAACGTCGCCAGAATCAGCATAAGAATAGACTTCCACCATTGTTAAGTACGTGTAATCAAAGATCTACTTTTAATGTGAGCGATGTGAGCACAAGAGAAGAAGAGAAGAACATGGTGGGAAAATGTAGATGACGCCGTTGAAAACCTCCCTCATACACAGGTTCAGTCTCTTCCGAAGGTTGCTGTGGAAAAGGTGTCAAAACAGAACAAATCCCTCGATGTCGCGAAATTTACCCTTTTTATCATGTCTGCTTAGTAAGATATTAGTCATGGGTGTATTCTAGTGGTTTCCTGTAATGAAGCCATAAGCCAAGTACATCACTTAAAGTATGCGAATTTCAATTAGAGAGTATCTATGTAATAACGCTTTCGAATAGCTCACTAGCCTGACTGATTGTAGCGATGTTTTTCTTCTTTGTCATTTCAATTTCCACAACCCTTTCTAAACCCAGCCAGGAAGGCGGCTCGAGATCAGGTAGGTTATTGATCCAATCTTCATAACTCTCGAGACTCTTCTCCTGCGGTTGTAACAACCGCAATCCTGATGGTGAGGTTATATCATTTTCAATCATGTTGAAGCTGTCTTCAAAGGCACCCATAGTTAATAACTTCTCTCCCAAACATTTTAGATAATGGAGATCAGTGGTAGAAGTGACTTTACCACCGTAGATAATGTCAGTTACAAGAGTCTGAATGGCCAGCCAATCAATCTTTTCCGGTGAAACACTAGTCCTACCAGGGTACACTGTTTCAAACCATCTGTCTATCACAAACAATGCACCTTCAAAATCGGAATCATCGAAGTGATAGTTTTTAGATAACGTGGCAGGCACGAATCTTGAAGCCTCTTGGATTAAGGTGTGGTACCAAGACAGTAGGAAAAACACATACGACTTCTCTTGAGGGACTGAGAGTCCATCTCTAGCTGAGAATAGAGCAAAATACTCTTTCATAACCGTCTTTACACCCGGTGGGTTCTCAAAGACAAGGATTTGAGAGGATCTCAACAAAGTTGAAGGCATATCTGAATCACAATCACACGTCAAAAATAGCCTGAAGTCATCACTTAAAACAAGATTCTCCAATCTCTTTTCTAAGTATTGCAACCAATGTTGGGAGGTTTGAACATTCTGGATCAATAGCCATGTTCCAGTTTTACAATAGGACACGAGCTCACGCGTAGCAAGTTCTGCTGATTCTTTTGATCCCATTGATATAATCTTTAGATTCTTTCCAGATTCCGTAGCAAGAGCCCGCACCTTAGAGGAAGCATCAAAACCAGAGGTCGAGCCCATAATTATTGGTTTTCCTGAATTGGAATACACAATATCACCAAATGTGTATTTCGATGTGAATGGAGAGCCTCCATTATGCATGTTAGAACTCAATGCTGCTATTGCATCTTCAAAACTTTCATCTTTACTGAATAATATCCGAATAAAAGGCTTGAATTCTTCCAAGGACGCATCGATATCTGACATTTGTGCCCTTTCAAATAGATCGTCCACTGTGGATTGATCTACTTTAATGGATAATAGATCAAAGGCCTCACGGATAACATCATGGTCAACTGATGTAACACCAATCAACAGTTTGGCAGAAAATCTTGCAAAAAGAACTCCATCAGTCTCACTGAGGTACAAGAGTGATAAAGATAATCCAAATACCAAGATATCCTTGTTCTTCAATGAAACAGAGACACAGGAGAATGTTTCTCTATACAGTTCATCCACAAGTTGAAGAGTTCTTGTCTTTTGAGAAGACCCCCGTGGAACTGCGAGAACTTTACCAATGCATGAAATGAACGATGAGAGAGATATCTGATAAAACTGATCCAGCGATGTTAACTGGCAAAGAATTCCATAAACAAGAACAACATTTCTAACAAACATGTCGTACTGGACTGCTATGTCATTAACCTTTTCCATAACTTCATCAGTCTCCTGGATTTTGGTCTCTATAACAAATGCTTCCTTTTTCAGAGTTTCCAACGTCTCGATCAGAGATGTATTGGAGAGCAAGTCATCCTTTGATTCACTCAAGGACGTAAGTAAGCTCTCCTCTAATTCTTTAAGTCTCACTTTGTACTCTCCTTCAAGCTTGATGATTTCCACTCGTTTCTCTTCCACCTCAGGCGCCTCAGAAGATAATGTCATATTTAGAGAACGGCTGATCAGACTGCTGTCTGTAATTGTGAAATCAATGATAGACGTTCTAGTGGAAACAAACGGAACAGGTTTAATCGTTGTGTTTCTGGTATGTAAGAATAGTTCGAACGTTTTTGAGCAGTCAATATCCTTATCACCAAATGTGACGATTGTTCTACCTCCCACTTTGTGAAAGTCACCGTTCAGTAATGGTGCAATGATAGGGTCAAAGTACTCTGCGTCTTGAATTACAAGGCAACCCCCAAATCTCAAAGAGTTCTCAAGTGTTCTTGTGAATCCATCATCCAGGAAACTTGTGGTAGTCATCTTCTTTGGTGCCATCTTAGAAGAAAGACATTCCAAGATATTACCATATGGGTCGATTATGAAAGGTGTCTTTGATGTTGTCTCCAAAATCGTAATGTTCTCCATGAAAATATCATCATTTGGCAGCCCATTTTCTTGCCAATGTAGTAGATTGGAAGGTGTATTTAAGAACGAAGTGAGCTTGAAATCTTTATCAAATGTAACCCCAGCGCAGGACAAGTATTCTTTGCAACTCTTAACAAACGACAAGCGAGACTTTTGATCCAATGCACCACTATGTGTTACACAGGCAGCAGCTAGCAGCGCGCTGCCACAAAGGTTTAAATACTTGATGTCAAAGTCCTTGATACTTTTTACCCAACGTTCTCTTTCAGAAGAAAGACTTTCAACGAGTTCAACAGAACGTTTCATACTGAGTTCCACAGAGGTCATATTGGCTTTGATATTCTCAGTTTCTCTTATAAGCACTGAGTAGTCAACTTTGTATTTGTTAATGCTTTCGCTGAGTTCTCGTATCATATCGTCGGCAGCCATTAATCTAGCCTCGGTCTTATTGGACTCCTGCTCTAAAAGTTCAACCTCTTGACGTAATGGACCAATCTTGCCTAAAACAACAGCGTATTTGATCTGGGCTTCAACCCACTGAAGTAGGGGCCCACATGCTTTACTTGCTCTCTCCGCAGCAGCGTAATTGTAATCAGGACGTGACAAATACTGTTCTGACATGAACTGGCGAACGTCCTCCGAGACTTGTCTCTCACAATCAAAGGTAACAATGCTGGCAATAAAGTCATCTTTACGAATCACAGATTGAACGTCTCTCCAAGTTTGAACCTGATAGCCGAGTAGCACACATACAGACTCAAGCACGAGTTGAACCATTGCGGGAGGTGTTGACATGGATCTTAGTTCAGTCAAATGCTGTTTTTTGATATTCTGCACTCCTCTTCTGGCTTCAAGAACTGCAGGCTCTGCAAGTGCGAGATCTTCCATCACAATCTTTCTTCTCTCCTCAATATATGCGTCTTGTTTCTCAAGGATGGCCTGGATTTCAATTGATGCCTCCTGCTTTCTTTCAGCTTCATTTTGCTCTGAAAGAATTTTGTCAAGCGTGGCCCTTGCTTCAGCTTCTTTAGACAGCAGACTCTTTTCTTTCTGAGTAAGGTCGTCCTTCAGCGACTTAACACGTATCATAGTTTCCTTAAGCTTCACCAAACCGCTATTGATATGTGCCTGATGGGACGAAAGGTCAGTTCCCTTGGTGTCATATATTTTCACAAAATTCTTAACTAACTCAATCAACTTTCCTGGTGATTTTGTTGATGACTGCTTATGAATGTACAAGATACAGTCCAAGACAGCATCCCTATAAGTGTCAACTCTGACTAATGAGTTGGCGTTGTAGTTCAGTGGTTTTTCATAAGTGGAATTATCAATAGCAACAGTACGAAGTAATTCTTTTATCACATCAATGATACTTTCTTCTGACCACTGTCCCATCCAATTCAGAACACATCTATTAAACAATGCAGGAGAAGCAATGATTGAAGATGCACGTGCATTGTCTGGTTCACTAATGGTGAAAACCACATGGAGGTTTGCCGAAATCTGTTCAGTAAACCAACTGTATACTTCATCATCCGTGTCAAGAAGTAGCCCACGAGAGTTAATTTGCTCTCTACAAGCATTCAGTAGCATGGTATACTCATCCTGCTCAAAAATTTCTTGGATCTGAGAATTTGCAAGCAACGAATTCATGCGTTCAAGGAACGAGCTCTCCAAGATTGTGGATTCATCAACAATAAGACAAATTTTTTCCGCTTGTATACCTGCTTTCTTCAATAGGACTTTTAACGTGTTATCAAAGTCAGAGAGAGTGTAATTACGACGTACACTCAACTGATGTATTTTCAAGCCATTGATCCATGCAACAAACTTTGTTAATGTGGTTTTGCCGCTACTACTTGGACCAACCAATATGAGGTGACCTTGCGGCTGTTTCAAAACACGGTCAATCCGAAGAATGTGATCCACAGCATTGGTGTAAAGTATGAGCTCTGTATCCAATACCTCATCGGAGAATACGTTCAGCCTCTCTCGGATGAAATTGGTAATATCAATCGGAGAGACAGGATCATATGTCAACGACAACCAGTCGCTGTATAGAATTGGTCTTTTGAGAGTTTCGTTCAGATCAGACATGGGAAAGAACTCTGCTGCAACGTCATGGAGTAATTTCCAAGTCCATGACTTTTCGTCTTCTTCAACTAAACGGTCACTGAACAATCGTAATCCCTCGTGTGCCCACAGCCGAACAAGATCAGCTAGCTGAATGTTTTCATTAGGCCTTAGGGCAGAGTATATTCCTCGTATCCATCTGGTTAGTTCACGAGGACTGTAAATATAGTGACTCCTTTTGAAACCCATGTGGCTTATAGTCCTATTGTACACAGCAAGCATAGCACCAGTTAAGTCTTTCGAATACCCTGATAGCTGTGGAACAATCTTCAAGATCGAAGTGTTGAAGGTTGTATATATCTGAACCAAAGAAATAGGACCAGGGTGATCAACCATTATCACTGGTAAGTGCCATAGGAATCTTGGAGATAACTCCACTCTTCCGATATCTGTTGGTGGGTTGCAGGCACCGACAAATTGTATGTCCACAAGACGGACCCACTGCATATGCTTTGTTCTCCAGAAACCATTTTTCTCAACAAGACTTCTGAGGAAACTAATCACCGGCTGTGTGCCATAATCATCTTTACGAGGCAAGTTAATTTCGTCAGCAAACAATACAACTGATTTACCACGAATCTTTGGTCTGAAAATAATTCCCTCGGGTGTCTGTTTGTACTCACAAAACTGTTCAAGTGATCTAAGAACAGATGTAGGTGTAGTGTCCTTTGAAAAATTCATATTACACAGGTCGATATCTGGAGCCTCTCTCAGTGCCGAATACAGTGTCATTGTCTTACCAGAACCCGGTGGGCCACACAAGATCAAAGACATCTTCTGTTGCAGAACTGAATAAACAATATGTCTATGTCTCAATGTATCAACAGTCTCAATCACTGTATTTGGATTGGATATTGCGTTTGCATCGAGAGGCTCTTCGACAACCTTTGAAATGAGACTTTCCCAGGACCCATCGATATTAAGTTCGTAGTCAAGCACATTTTTATCGGTCTCTGTTGGGAAATCAAACTTAAACTCTTGGGAAGAAGCCAACCAGTTGATGAATTTCATTTTGTATGTCGATGAGGCATTCCCAACAAGGGCCCACGTAAGAGCAAGAATAAGAGACCTCTTGAAATATTCTGTGGTCAGCACAGGGGGGTCAATTTCCTCCGAAATCACTTGATAGATGAGAGAACGAATGAATATGAACAAGCTATGGACCATCATCAATTTGGAGGTCCACATAACACCCGGAATTTCAGTCAAACAGAAGTTCAATATATCCTCCAAATTCACCAGAGAAGTGCGAAGGTATGAAGCGTAAGAATTTAAGAATTCATCGATTTCATGACCCATAATATTCAACTTTTCAATAGGTTTGCTCAAAAAGTTGCACAGCTCATAGTTCACCACACCATCAGTAGAGACTAAGCCTGACTCCATCCAGACCATTCCACATCTGCTGATTGTTGCTGGAGTTGCATGTTCCAGGTTTGAAACTTCAAATAAGAATCTAACTTCTGGCGGAATTGGTAAACGCTCTCCGTTTGGTAAAGTCAACACCTTATTGTCATCCAGTACTGAATTAAGAGTCTCAACCCAAATTGGGTCTATATCACCGTCAAAAACTATCCAGCAATTAGTCTGCTCTTGTCCCCGAAGGTTATCGTTTAACTTCCTGATAATCGATGTGAATATACCGTCTGTCCATTCCCTAGTGATAGGATCGAGCCACCCGAATAGCTCCGTTTTATTAACAACCTTTGGATCAATACAATAATGTGTGTAATGTGACTTCAAAGATAATGCCTTCAGTAACGTCTTCCAAAGAACCGTCTTTCCACAACCAGCTTCTCCAACTAAAATGACACCTTGTTTCGATTGTTGGATTTTATACAGTTGCAAAGACTTTTTTAGCCATTGGTCATTACAGAAAAGATTCTGCGAAGTAGCAACACTCTTGACTGCATTTTTGAAGTCATCATCAATCAGCAAATCATTGAAATCTTCAAATATCTTTGATTTAATAGACTCATATACCTCAACATCTTCTGGAACAAGACGAGGTAATATCATTTCGTTCATTGCCTTGACAACAATGTTAATAATTGAAGCATCTGCAGTCAAAGTTTTAATTGTTGCACAGTGTTCAAGACAACTTTTTAGTGCTCTGAGACCAAAGTCGTAGTGTTTCTGCTGAGAACTATTTTGAGAAAGTTCTCTGAAGAGCTGTACAACACTGGCTGCAACTTTATCAGCATCAACAAATCCACGGGCACGTAACAAAACAGACGATATAATTTCACTGTCTGGTCTTTGGACAGAGAATTGACGGAATAGCTTCTTTAAATTATCAGGAAGCTCCGTTCTACCAGAATATTCTGGATTCATGGTAACGAATATTCCTGTACCTTCTGCTAAAGTTGTTTCCTTGTTGAGTAGATTCACTGTTTTGGAGCCTCCCTTAATACTAAGCTCAATGTTTTGCAATTGCGATGATACAGCACTCAGAATGTTTTTTTCCAATCTATTGAACTCATCAAAACAACCAAACCCACCGATTTGACAGATACCAGAAAGAAGCCTAGATATGGCTTGGAAATCAAAAGACTCATCACAGTTAAAAACAAAAACCATCTTTCCAAGATTGTGGCCTAAGCACTTTATTGATTCAGTCTTTCCTGTTCCTGCTGGACCAAATAATGCACCTCCAAGACCCTGATCAACAGCACTCGTCATGGAAATAAAGCAGTTGTTTAACAATGGCGTATATACCAGTTTATCTATTTCTCCGAGATATTCGAATCCATATATAATGGATTTGGAGTTCTGAACGACGCATAAAGATCTCAAAGGATCAGAAGATGAATCAAAATAAAACCGTTGCTGCTTTAACCACTGAAATGACTTTGCTGTCAAATGCTTTGTCTCCAAAAGTGCTTCCACAACATCTTTTTGATGAACAAGTTCAATGATCAGTGACGCCTTTTTCGTCGATGGTTCACATTCTTGAGTTATTGTGTTAAGCAACTCTATTAAAACCTTGTGAACTGAAGGAAGAGAGTCGTTGGAAATAGCCAGCTCGACGTTGCGGGACCACCACACCTGTAAGGTTAATATCATGATTTGCACAGGATAAGAGCTATACCATGACATGACTTCTTCAGGATTGAAATATGAGAGCGATTTATTGAGGAGTGCTGAAAGAGTTAATTTAATCTCCAGTTCAAGTCTGTTCAACCACTCATCTAGTCTGGGATACTGATGTAGTGAAATGGGATCTTGAAGATTGAGAACTTCGCCATTGGAAGCAGTCACAGCTTCAATAATATCGCCACTCTCATTATAAGTGATATTTGAAACGCCGGCAAACATTTTCTTTAAATGGTTACCAACATTCTGTTTGTTGGCAATCATATCAATCAGGTCATCATTACCAACAAAATACAACCTCGCACATAACTCCCTTTGCTTCTCCAAGAAATCTGACAGAGCTTTGGAAACTCTCACAAGGGCCTCAGAGAGTCTTTCGAAAGTTCCGAGAATATCTTCCATTGATGAGGTATCAATAGCCAGAGGAGCTCGATGTATCTTTTTAAGCACAATCTGGTATTCAGATGACACTGCATGGAAACGATTGTATTCAAGAGGAAGTAGTTTGCGAATTCCAGATTCAATATCGAAAACCCCCTCAAGGTCAATCCATTGTCGTTGCACAAGAATCCATATGTCAACAATCTGGTAAAATGTATTCAACGTAGTCTCCCAGTGAAGAATGTCATTCTCAAATGTCTTGAAAACTGGTGAGTTTCTCATAGATGTCAAGCTAGATATATGCTCAGATGACAATTGTAACAAAACTGGAAAGTTCTTAATCAGGGAATGTCCCTTTTTCTCAAAGTAGTCGAATGTCTGTGCTTCCCAAACGTCTTTAATTTTTTGCAGCTCTTCTTCAATTGCTCGTTCAGAGTTAGCCAAATCAATAGTTGATTTTACAACAGACTCATGCAAGGTTAAATTCAATGACCATATATCACCCAACGTTAATTCCAATGGGGGTGGAACACCAAGTTGTTTGAAAATGGACTTGATATGTCTTTCTTTCACAAAATCCTCTTTCAAGGAGATCAAAATCTTTTGTGAATGTAATAACTCTGTAATAGTTGATAAAAACTTTTGGAACGGCTTGTGTTGACGAATACGAACTGGCATTGACTTTGCTGAAGTAAGGAGATCATCTAACAGCTTCTTCAATGATCTGGGTTTCAGACTAGACCACGCCATATTCTTCAAATCACTAAGAGAGGACCATAAGCTTCTTAAGGAGCCCCATACAGACTTCAAGTCTGCCAACTCTTCTAATACACCTGAGAGATCATGTGTGATGATCACAGGGAGACCCAAAAGATTACATGCCTCCACAAGCTTTGACCGTTTCGAGTCTAAAGCGATCAATGATTTCTCAATCATATCAAGTTGATTCAAAGCAACCTCTGGAGACTCCACATCATCTGATGGTTTAATCTTTAACCAGGAATCATTGGTCTCCATTATAGTTTTCTGAAGTCTACCACATTCGTTCTCTATTGCTTTGTTAATAGCGCCGGAGTTCGAGATGAGTGCACTTGAAAGGTTATCAATGAGTTGTTCAAGAACGTCAACATTTGTCTGTACCTGATCGACGAAAACAAAATCGTCGGGCAGTTTAGTAAGACTCTTGTGAAGAATACCCTCTGCGAATGTCAACTTTGCAATACTAGCCTTTAACTCATCATATGATTGTTTTTTATCTTGAACAGTGGTGACTGTGTGAATGAGATCAGTCACTGATGACAAATTCAGGTCGCAGCCTTCCAGTGACGTTATAGACTTTCTAGTCTCTGTAACTAACAGATGATTGTAACCACCAACAAATCTGCCAAAGGCTTCTAACAATTCTTTATTCCAGAGATTGAACTTGGAAAGCACATGTGATCTCGCGTCTGCGAAGTTAATGCGAATTTCTCCAAAAGTTTTAAATGTATCAACAGAATCAAAAAAGGTCTTGGATGATCTTAGTTCATCTAGCAAATTAAGCCATTCATCAAGTGAGATATCAGAGACAATCGCCTCGATATTTGCGTCACGCAAAATCTCAAATTGATACCACTGTGTGACAAACTGGGATGCAGAATATATATCATCATCCAATTGACCAAGCAGTAAATCAACGTGGGCAGTCAAATCTGGCAAGCAGTCACTAAAGTCTAGACAAGGCAACGTTCCGTTTCTGTCGAGACTGGTTATGTACAGGGCAGTCTGCTGCAAAGTAGATCTCAAACAGGAATATACCGTGTCAACCATACGGAGCCTATGGTTTTCAAGCGGTGGGACAACATCCAGCGAATCAACAATGTTGATGGAATGTTCAGATGTGAAAGTGTCTAGTTTGAAAAGCTTAAAGCGATTAACAAGGACTGCAACAAGTCTTTTGTTAAGCAAAAAGACCAATTTCTCTAAATTTTGGAAACCATCATTTGAAAGACTGTCAATAATACTTTGTAATGAAGACACATGTGAAGAGACCATAGTGGTAGTAAGATCAGACATTGAAATATGTTGAATGCAAGTTTCAATTTCGTCATGGTAACGGCTAAGAATCTCGGACTTATTAAAGAGTGAACTAATAGATGATTCAACACTAAGCACGATTTCAAGGTCGTCATCATCATCAGATGCTGCATCAATCTCATGGAGATCTTGTGCCTGAGAAAGACCCTCCCACGTTACATTTGAGCAAGCTTGAATCAATGCGTACACCTTTGCTTTATCCTCATCAACCAAAACTTGGACGTCATTCAGTGATTCAAGTGTCTTTAAAATACTTGGCAACAATTCAAATGACTCCTTTAATATAACAGCATGTGGATAAAGCTTCCTCAGTCTTTTGGCATTAACCATTACAGGATGAGGGATGGCGAACTTCTGGAGTGCCAATGCTCTGACTTCTTTGTAAAACACCATCAAAGACTGGTCAAAGTTAACCGAGATTTCTTCCACATCAGTACCAGAATTTGATAATATAACACCTTCAAGATTGTATTCAGAAGCGGTTTTTATCCAATTTTCAAAAATGTTTTCAAAATTTAGCTTCTTTTTGAACACCATAGTTTCGGTATAGATTTTTTTACCTTCCGCGTATGAGCTCCAATCCTTACCTAAGACGAGCTCAATCTTGTCAGTTAGGTAATTCAACTTGTTTTCCATACATTTGGCCCATAAGAGTATATAGGAGATATATGGAAAGTCTCTGCAGGATGCAAGAGCTTCAGGATTGTGTCTAGATGTGAAGTTTCTTTGAAGGTGGCTAATCTCATCGCTCACTGATTCCAAAAGCTGAGATTGGTATTCTTGAACTGCACCTCTAATCCTTGGTCGATTTAGAAGGTCTTGGTACTTCTGAAATACCTCAAACATGAGATCACTGTTGGACAACTTTTCAAGCTCTGAGCGAAGCTCATCAGTGATGGTGTACTCAATCAGTTGAATCTTCTTTTCATAACCTTGTTTAGCAATGTCCCAACTCTTGTCATTGGTAAAAACATTAACATGTTTCATTTTCATATAGGCGTCATCCAGTTCTGATTCCAAAAGATTTAAATGACCCAAAGAATAGGAGAAATTCTGATGTGCTTTCCTGAATGTGACAACCTCATCTAGCCGATCTTTAAGAAACGTGGTTTTTGAATTTACCTTAACAAAGATAAATTTCTCCTCCCTTTTCCTGAGCAGTTCACGGGCTAGATTTGTGAATTCTTTTGTGCATCTATCCCATGTCTCAAATACCGAATATATTTCCTTGGTCTCGGCAGTAAATGCTTCGTAGTCCAGTTCCATAAGGTGAGATAATAGGGGTTGAAGTTTGTGAACAAGATCCGATGATATTGCTTCTACAAATGGAAGAGCACGCCGAATCGGATAGGACGTACCTCTCAGTTTCTTCAAGTGATTGAAAATCAATATCAGTGCTTCTTGGATCCGAGAGGGCGACTCAGCTATAACGAGCTCTTGAAGGGGGATATCTTTCATCAGTTTGTTATAATCAGCAGTTGTAGAAATTGCGTCCTTGATTCCAACGTCTGACATGAAGCTCACAGTTGCATGGTACCTCTTTGCATATTTCAGCACTTCCAAAGTGAGAAGCACACCAGTGGAATTAAGCTGAGAGTTTATAGAAGCAAGAGACGACTCCATCGTTAGCCAAAAATTTGCCTCGTCTAATGCAGAGCCATCAGAAACATCTCTCTCCATCCGAGTTACAGCTTGGATAGATTTCACCCAGTCATTAACGATTGCTTGTATACTATTCAGGAAAGATGAATCTGTCAGGACTGCCTCTGGTATGAATTCGGTATAGTTATCAACACTTGCACCATTAGCCACAGCCTCCTTTATAATCGGGTGCATAGTAAGATTCAGGTCCAAGACACCGACCATATGATTCAAGCTCTGGAAAGATAGTGCCAGTTCGTTTATCTTCTTCTTGGTGGTGGCTACCATATCTGTGGTGTTATTCAAAGTCACACCGGTAAAAAACGACCCCACACCAACGCTAATGAGAGAGTTCAGTGTTTCAAAAGATGAGCCTGTGGATGGCAGATTGAGCACCTGTACTTGACTCTGAAGTGGTTTTGATTCCACAATAGCACCCTTTTCCTTAACCACCACCAATGTGGAGACTGGCCTACCGTGGACAGCTTCCAAAGTGGCACCAACGCACCATGAGCCATCGTCTAACTTGGAAATGAACAGAGAAGCCGCTAATGATTGATTCACAAATTCAGTAACCGTTTCTGTCACGTCTTCCGTATGAAAATTGCCGATATCTTCGCTCTGAGCACCCTGCAACGCTTTGCAGAGGTTGAAGAGATAGCTAACAAACGACGTGGTTGGTATAACCTTTGATGGCGGCGTTTCCTCCATTCTTCGCGTAATGTGTTAGCACGTCAGATCAGAAGATTTCCAGTCATTCAGGTTCACTTACATTAACGACAATCCAGAAAGCAACCCAATGGTCTAATACACAAGGGATCAAACGCGGGTTTTTATTGCTGTTATTCTTGCTCTGGTTATTGCTGATATTGTTTACGCGTTAAATGCTCTAACAAAAATAACGACAGAGCTTTCTTTGTTTACATTTTACTATTCAACCGTAATGCCTTTTGGCAGTGCGGCGCATAACAAAACTGAAGCCGATGAGCTCTTGAAAAATTTTTGATTCATAAAGTAGCTCTACAATCTTATAAAGAGAGAGATTTGCGAAAGGCATTGTCGAGGCATACAGTAAACGATCAAAGGCAATGGCTAAGAAGACATTGGCTCAGCAGATTGAGGAACTTTCAAAGCCAGAAATTCCAGACTTTGATATTGAAGATTCTGAAAGAGGCGTCTTCGACCATCATTCGGGTTCAGACTCTGAAGATAATGATGGAGCAGATGACGATGCCCTTAGAAGCGAGCACTACGTGAATGTTGGTAAGAGCAAACTGAGACAGAATGGCATTCACTTGGTTGACTCCAAATATAAAGGAAAAACCAGCTCTAGAAAGGACATTTTTGAGGAATCCGAGGTAGAAGACGATAGTTCTGATGGAGGAGAGGAGGAAGATGATGATGATGATGGTGATGACGATGAAGTATCCGAGGAGTCAGAATTATTGAACCAGTCTGATTCAGAAAATGGTGGTAATGAATCAGTTGAAGGTTCCGATGACGGATCTGATGAAGACGTCGAGCAGGAGTCTGAGGACAGCTTTGATGAGTCGGACCATGAAGAAAGCACAGCTGATTCCAAGAGATTGAAATTGAAAGAAATGATGGCCAATGAACGCAAACAGATCATTAACAGACTATCATCTTCTAATCAAACGGAAGCACTGAAAGGTTATGCTGTTATCTCTCAACAAAAAACATTTGATAAAATCATCGATTCAAGAATCAAGATACAGAAGGCTTTGTCCAATGCAAACTCACTGCCTCTAACGAACGAAGCTTTCGAGGAATTTGCTGATGAAGAAACATCATCTCTTGTTGAAGATGCTGAAAACTCTCTCTCTTCACTTCTGAATACACTGCTGTCTTTCAGAGCTGCAAACTATAACAAAGTGAAAGCTACAAAGGAAAATGTCAGTTTCAAACCAAAGAAGAGATCATTCAGTGATTTTGTTTCGGAGACAGAAAGACTCGATAAAGTACTCGAGATATATAGAAACAATACGCTTGTCAAATGGTCTCATAAAGTTCAGTCTGCATCAGGTGCTCAGGCCCTCAATACATCAAAGTTCAAAGCACTCAATCAAAGTGCTGCACAACAGGTGGAAGTGAACCTCGTTGATATGGATAGGCTGATAAAGAGAACCAGATTAAACAGACGTAATGTGACCCCACTTGGTCGCATTGCTGAAGAAGCGGAAGAAGATCAAACACAGATAGATAGATCACTTAAGGAAGATGCCGACGTGTTTGATGATGAGGATTTCTATAGGGTTTTGCTTAACGACCTGGTTGATAAGAAGATCTCAGAATCAAATCCTACTTCTGGTCTCGTTATAACAAAGACTAAAGTGAAAAGAAACGTGGATACGAAGGCCTCAAAGGGAAGAAAGCTCAAATTTACCGTACAAGAGCCTATTCAAAACTACGAAGTTCCAAAGGGAAACTTTGCTTGGGATAACAACCAGATTGATGAATTCTTTGCAGGTTTGTTAGGGCAACGAGTAGATTTTGCTGAACACAGTGACCAGAGCGAGTCTGAAGACGAAGATGAAGAGTTGAAGAATGATGACTTGAAAGTGTTTGGCTAAAGTTTTTAAATTCAATAGGTTGATATTAATGAAGGTGTTTATTAGGTAATGTGCACATCTATAACCTTTATTCTTCTTCAAAAGATCTGAGAGAACTACATGCTGTACTGCTATCATCCTCGATGATGAGTTCTTCTTCCTCCTGTGTATCCTGTGCTGCCCTAATGATTTGCGGCCATTTACTGTGCACAACCATCAACACTTCACCAATGGCAAGAACTGTGATACCAACACCAAGACCTATCCACAATCCACTGATTTCAAATCCATACCTAAAAGCCAAGATATAAGAAAGTGGTAATGCGATAACGTAGTATGATATGACGTTGAGTATAGATCCACCCTTTTGTCTTCCTTGAGCCCTTAGAACAGCAGCAGCTATGATATTAAACGTATCTGTAAGTTGATTCACAGCCAAAATAGGCATATTTTGAATAGATTTTTCAATCACTTCTTCATCACTGCTGAATAGTCTTGTTAGAGGTCCTCTGAATATTATAATCACCATGCAAGTGAAGAGCCCAACAGCAGCAGCAACAAAGAACGAGATTCTAACTGAAACTTTCGAGGAGCTCATGGACCCTGATCCAATGTATATGGCAACACGTGTGGATATCGCACATCCAACTGCAAATGGCAATTGATAAGTAAGAGATCCCACATTAGAAATAATACTCTGTGCTGCTAAAGATTCCGTACCAAAGTAAGATGCCATAACTGTAAGAATTTCAAAAGAAAGGTATTCCGATTCTATCATCACAAACCCTGGGACAGCCAGATGCAGCATACGCTTCCAATGTTTGAAAGCACGAATCGTGAAACCATTCCAACAAGCCATTCCATCCACGAAGATGATGTAGAGAATCAGAAAAGAGGCCATAAACCAATACGTCACAATCACTGCAATTGGGGCACCAATGAACCCAATGTTGTTAATGAGGAAGTAATTGAGGAATAAGTTCATTGGTAGGCAGAAGAACAAAACGTAAGTAGAAGCATGGAAAATCTCCTGTGCTTGGAGATATCTCTTTGTAGTTTCAAATATGATGAGGCCAGGAGCTCCAGCGCAGAGAATTCTCATGTAATCCTGAGTATACTGGAGGAGTTCCCTCTCTGGAACTATAAAAGAGAGCAAATATCCTGAATGCCACCAGCACAATAATACTGGTATGGATAGCGTCATAATCATTACTGTGCATCTCTGAGCGTATATTCCAACTTTGAAGAACTTTTTGGCACCATACGCCTGAGAGCAGAAGGTATCCAAGCAGCTCGACATTCCTTCAAACATTGCCATACCTGTGATATTGAAAGTCATCACCGCGAGGGATGCTGAAGCAAGTTCAGCTGAGCCCAGATGCCCAATAAAGAACAGCGAGTTCATAGCCAGCAGATATTCGAAGAAAAACGTCACTGAAAGTGGTAATGATGCCTTTGCAATTTCTTGCACTTCCGTTGTAACTGAGACTTCTGGCTCTTCCCATGTGGTGTCGACAGAGGCATCGTATCCTTCTAAATCTAATCGATCCTCATCGTCTACATTGTCTTCATCGGTTATTGCTGACAAGAAGGGACGTCTCACTTTCTTCTTTGACCTTATAGATCCATAGTATCCTCCATTGTCAGGCAACAGTGGTTGATTTATGGCACTGAACTTGATAGAAGATGACGAGCTTCGGCGCGCGGTACTTGCTCTCATAATAAGGTACCCTTTCTATCACTCCCAAGCCCTTTGAAGATGAGCTCAACCCCCTTGTAAACAGATTCGGTAATCTAAGCAGTACTGCATCAACCGATCAACATATTTTTTGAGGTGTATGGGTTTTTAGTCGATAACAGAGGATTACGTAATCAGACCCTTAGCTTGAATCCGATAAGCACTAACGAACTCTTCTTTATGAGATGTTAATCAATGCAGATTGTTCTGTTGTTATTATTGTACCTATTTACGGTTACGGCCTCTGATCTTCTGCTTCTTAGTTTCTGGAGTGTGTGATGATAGCTGGAGGTTATCTTTTCTCTTCTTACTCTCAGCCTTATCTGTAGTTTCTTCCGTGACTGGGGCCTTTGGTGGGAACTTTTCAAACTCTTCTTCCTTTATGGCAAAATTCCAATCGTGTCTCTTTCTCATGTAGAGTTCCATCTTCCAGTTCTTCCAGACAAGACGACCATATATACTCTCTTTCACTTTCTCCTTTTGATCCACGAGTTCTTTGGCGATTCTCTCCTTGTACATGTTCAGTTTCAATGTGAAACTCCAAAGTCTATCCACAATGTGAGATGCATAAGAGTTACACGCCATGTTGACAATCTCTCCCTGGAACTGGTTCAATAGGCGACGTCTGTATATAATATCTAGTTCGGGTTTGAGAACGTTTTCGACAACATGGGAGAACACACCGTGAAAGCACATTTGGATCAATCTCTCCTTTGGCAATGACAGGAGATTGTCAACAGTCAGTTTCAGGAATCGTGGATCGAAGTCGATGAGCTTCTCCAAGAACAGTGATCTTCTTCTCTCCTCTGCTGTTGGCCAATCATCACGTGTGTTTCCCAAAGTTGAACCACTTAATTGAAGAACAGACTCCAATATGTCACTTTCATTCTCCTTCGGTGTGTACTTCTTTGCCAATTCTTCAATGATTTGTGCTCTTTTGTAGTCATGATGAAGCGCAGAAGCATCAATTATGGACTGCCCCATCTCTAAGTTTGAGTTCATCAACATACTCATCTCAGGGATCAGTTCATTGAGCATTTGTCTGGCTTCGTTCTGTTTCAACTTCTTCAAAAGTGATTGGATAACGTAACTTCCTGTGGTGTCTCTCTTGGCCAACTTCAAGACCCTATTGGAGATGTAGAGCTTGTACAACCTTTCAACATATTTTACTCTTTGGTTCTTAATGGCATTTTCGAAGAAATGTGAACCAACGGCATCGGAAAGAACGTACTCCATGAACCCCTCTTCTTGTGGATCCTTCTCTTCGTTGTCCTTCAAGAATACCAAGTGCCAAAAAGGTCTATCTCTGTCCACCAAACCTTCAACTTGAATTAACAATTGCAGCACCGGTGAGGCAATCTTATGGATCGCAAATTCCCTTGCAGCTCTTCTATCCATCGAAGCCTTCAAAGTATCAATCAAATGTTTCAGCTCACTTTTGAACGATGAAGGTATTTGGAATGATCTGTTAAAATCCTCGTTATCGACAATCACAATCATTTTTCTTGCAATCTTACTCTTTTTAGAACGGAGTGTTGAGTTAGCCATTGTTGTTGAAGGCAACTCACTACCAGCAAGGATCAAGATTATCAGTCTCAAGGTGTGAGAGGCGTACTGATGTACAATCATTTCCTTCACAAATGGTCTAACTTCACTTAGGAAGAACAGAAAGAGATTTTCCATGGAGATGTAGTCATCACCCATATCTGCCTGTGGGAATGGGTTTAGAAGTTCCTTCTCCACCAAGGCAGCAGTACGAACAAGCAATGTCTCAACACAGTGTGATGAGTACTTCTGGTGGATCAGAGACACAAAATGACCATCAAATGACTTAAATATCTGCTTCAATTGCTCATCAGTGGCATTCAAAATGAGTCTCTCCATCAACTTGGAGCAAATCTGATTAGTGACAAGCTTCAGCTCCTTACCTTTCGCTTCCTCCAACACACTCGTGACGAAACCAGCCCTATCGTCATCATTCTCAAACGCATTGGCATTCAGAGTAGATTCAGCCTGCTTGAAATAGTCCAGCTCTGAAGAGTCTACCAAACCAAAGAACGTGTTTGGCTCACTATGAGATGCGTTTTCGCCAGCGGCTTGTTGAACTGGTTCATCAAAGACCTTCAACTCGGGCTCAAAACCGCCCTCGTGCTTGTCCTGGCTCTTCTGAGCTCTTCTGCCTCTCACTTTTCCCATTGGATAACAATGAGCTCTCTAATACCAGTGGTATATATATAAAAAAGAGAAAAGACAGCTAAAGTGTATGCAAATAAGAGAAAAGAAAAAAAAATTTCAGAGGTGCAGGGCATCACCTGTTACGGGACACACAGCTATACACTGCGCTCCTACTGCTAGCTCTCTACACAGTGTGTGCTACTAATTATGAGAAAGAAATGTACTAGGACACGTGTGTATTTTCTCTTACAACCTCCCAACTAGTCAGCTTGATCCCAATTGCCCGGTCTTGGTTGCTTTGGAACTTGAGGTCCACCAGCTCTCTTTGCCATGATGATTTGGTCTACAGACAAGACAGTGTTTGCAGCTTCTGTAGCAGCAGCGATAGCGAACTTCTTTGAAGCGAGCAGGTCATAGATACCCTCGGCAGTGATGTCTTTGACACCATTGGAAGATTCGCCGTCGATATCTACACCGAATGAGAGGCCCTCTGGTGTGCTATGCTTAGCGTATAGCCTTGGTAAGACCTCAGCTGAGTCCAAGCCTGCTGTTTCCGCAAGCACTCTAGGTATAACCTCGAAGGCGTTGGCGTATTGCTTGATAGCTAATTGAAGAAGCCCGGGAGTCTTTTCACCGTACTGGGTGATTCTGTTCACCAATTCGGCTTCAATAGCACCTGCACCTGGAAGCAATCTGTTGTCCTGTGTGAGTCCCTTGATGGCAGCCACACCATCATCAATAGCTCTTTCTATATCATCCAAATTATTCTTTGTTGCGCCCCTGATAACAATCGTTGAAGTTCTGGTAACTTCATTCTCTTGTCTAAAGATGGTGACTCTGTCGCCACCGATTTCCTTTGTTTCGATAATGTCAACGGTACCAACTTCTTCTGGTGTTGGGGCACCGAGACGTGGCAGTGGGGTGGCACCACATACTCTACAAACTCTTCTGAGATCGAACTTGGATGGGACTTTCAAAGTCAAAATCCCATAACGATCCAAGTAATGTTGCGCAAGCTCGCCAACTCCGGAGCCAGCAACAACAACTTTAACACCGGCATCAGCAATCTCTTTGACTATTTGATCAACTTGAGCCTCTTCGCCTTTAGAGAAATCCAACATCTCACTAGCGTTGTGCAATAGGACTGTACCTTTAGTCTCGGTCTGTGAGATATCAACTGGACAAGTAAAAACGACAACTTTACTAGGTTCCTTCAAGTTCTTCAAATGGCCTTCAGGCTCTCTTGGGAATACCATACCTTTGATAACCTCACTGTTATAGAGAGAACCACCCATGATCTTCACCACTCTGACACCATCCACGTTAAACGCCTTTGGATTCTTTGGCATAACGTTCAAGATAGCTTCGGAAACCAGACCAGAGATGAAGTCTTCTGAGCCATACTGCTTGGAACCAATGACAGGTTTGATCACCTTCTGGATGTCCTGTTTGGTTTCAACAGTACTGGAACTCACGGACAGCTTCTCCAAAGTTTCCAGCGCAAACTTGCTAGCCAATTGATATCCCTGGATGATCTCGGTTGGCTTCAGCCCAAGTGTCAACAACTTCTCAGCAACGTTGAGGAACTCACCAGCAAGGACGAGCACCAAGTTGGTACCATCTCCCATCTCCATCTCCTGCTGCTGTGAGGCCATGATAAGCAGCTTCACAGCCGGATGAACAACGTCAAGTTCACGCAGCATAGTAGCAGCATCATTTGTAATGAACACCTTCTGCAAATGGTTCACAATGATCTTATTTCTTCCACATGGTCCAATAGAGGTGAGGACCAACTTTGTGATCTCTCTACAAGCCTGGATGTTCTTCTGTACGGCACCGTCCGCGTTAGAATAGGTCTGGTACCCCTGCTTGAACAGGCCAGCGTTAGGAGCTTGTGGTAGACGAAGTGACATCCTGAACCCTCAACAACAAACTGAAAGACACGTCCCAAAGTCGAATTTGATCCAGCCAGCGCTTTCGCCTTCGAGAAGAGCTTTGTTTGTTGTTGTTTGTGCTTTTTTTTTCCACCGCTCGTCACCAACGAGACCCGGTAGGTACATCACGTGCACTGCTCCTCGGAATTGGGCGACATATTGCTTATGTAATTCATCTGGACACCACAAATGTGAAATGTGCCAACCGGGCCAGTTGCTTCAACAACAACGGGAAGAAGCGTACAACTTCACCCGTCACAGGGCAGAGCTGCTTGGAGTGAGTGACAACAGGCACGTTTAAAGGAGAAAGAACGGCCCAATGTCTGAGAGATTGAGTCTCGCTGACTACGATGTCAAGGAAGATCTCAGGAATTTGCTTAATGAGCCGGTATCGGTGGAGTCGTTAAGCACACAGATCAACTACGTCAACGGTTATAAACTGCACCTTGATTCACAGCTCGCCGTCAATGAGGCGGAATACGAGGAATATTTGAAGTCCGATGGCCAATTCCAATCCAGTGAGGCGAAGAAGGACCTGGAGCTGATCATCAGTGAGATTTCGGAAAACAGGAAGCTATCAGCGAACACACAAGCGGTGATCACTAGCATGACCTCGGGTATTAAGAAGTTGGATGATGCTAAGAAGAACCTCGTTCTGAGCATGACTGTTTTGAAGAGATTGCAGATGATGATCATCGCAGATGAGCAACTCGGGTCTTTGATCGATGAGAAGCGATATACGGAGGCTGAGCCTCTTCTCGGTGCTGTCGGAGAATTGGTTGACCACTTCAAGAGCTACAAAAGTATCGACAGTGTTGCAAAATTGACAAAGAGTGTCAATGCATTAGAGGTGAGGCTAGCAGATCAGGTGCTGAAGGATTTTGAGCTGACATTGACGAACAAAGACCCCGTTGCAGAATCTGAGTTACGTAGTGCTTGTCGGATAATGGACACGTTGGGACAAGAGTACCATGACAAATTGCTCAACTGGTTTTGTAATCATCAATTGAGAGAAATCAAGACAATATTCGTTAGTACTGATGAAGCTGGCTCGCTGGATAACTTACAGAGAAGATTCCTGTTCTTCAAGAGGGTTCTCAAGAACTATGAAGAATTGTTTGCGCCATTATTCCCTGAAAGCTGGAAAGTTGAAGAAGAACTTTCAAACAGATTCTGTGAGCATACCCGTGATGGTATCAAGCAGATCTTGTCACAGAACGGTAAGACCACTGATGTTGATATGTTGCTCAACTCACTACAGCAGGCTCTTGATTTTGAAAAGTTCTTGAACAACAAATTTAGAAGATCTAATGATGATTCAGCCAACTCGTCAGTTGCAAATTTCAACACTCCAATCCCAACAGATGGTGTCTTTACACACAAAGTTTCCGCAGCATTTGAACCGTTCTTGAATCTGTGGGTTGATCATCAAAACTCCTTCCTCAGCTCGAAGTTTATGGAGTTTCTCTCACAACCTAAGCTGCCACCCGATTCTCAAAACCATGCAAACGTCATCCCTTCATCTGCGGATCTATTCAGGGCCTATAGACACTTGTTGACTCAGTGCTCGAACCTTTCCACCGGCGGGCCATTGTACGATCTGTCAAAGCTTTTCCAGAAATGGTCCTTAGAGTACGCCAACAAAGTGCTTAGACCAACTCTTCCAGCAAGTCAAATAACTGATGATGCCATCCCATATATCACGTTGGTGATCAACACAGCAGACTATTGTCATACCACGATGAATCAATTACAAGAAAAGCTTACAGAACTCGTCGACAATGAGTATAAGCAACGTATAAACTTTGATGCTGCCAACGATTCATTCATGAGGCTAATCAACAGATCGTTGAACATCCTGGTACAGAAAATCGAAACTGAAAGCGCATTCTCTTGGAGGGAGATGGCCAATACAAACTGGGCCCACATGGAAGATGTCGGTGACCAAAGTCGATACATTGCCAGTTTGCGGGATGTGCTGCTGAACAACTGTGAAAAGATACTACCAACTCTTTCCAGGGACCTCTACGTTAGAAACCTTTGCGATAAGATTGTTGAATCCACTGTGAACCAATTCCTGCTGAACATTGTCAAGACGAAGCCCATCCCAGTTATCGCTGCTGAGCAGATGCTGCTGGATCTCAGTGTATTGAAGGAAACTTTCTTGAAATTGACCACATGTGCAGGTCCGGATTATAAGCCTTCCTCACAATATCAAAAGCACGCTGAGAAGATAACTGGTAAGCTGGAAATCATATTAAAAGTACTTTTAACCCAGGACGCACCTCAAGAGGGACTTGTAACGAACTATTTCTATTTGATTGGGGATCGTTCGGTTGCAAACTTTATAAAGGTGTTGGAATTGAAAGGAATATCTGATAAAGACCGGCAAACAAGATACATTGACTTGTTCAAGATCCATATGAAGGCACATGACAATCTAATAGATTCCTCGCCTGTTCTTGCCAAACTTGTTGTTGAATCCGGGACAACAGTCGTTCCATCTTCCACTGGGTTATTGAACACGAAGATCATGTCTATCTCACCTGATTTACCAAGCTCACCAAAGCTCGAAAACTTGTTAAAGACGAAAGATGGTTTCAAAGAGTTTGCAAGTAACGGTGAAGCCAGTGTCAACAAATTGGGGGAAAACCTACACAAGTTTGGCCGTTTCTTCAACAGACAACATAACAATAATTAGACAACACTATCTTCTTTTACTTCTACAGAACTGTTGTAAACCACCGATGGCTTTAGAGCGTATCACACAGCATCAAATTGAGGTTAAAGTCATTAGAAATTAGACAAACAATACATCATGCATATACAAGACATTACCAGGCATCCTCGCCTCTTCTAAAGGTCAATCCCAAGAATCTTGATAGTTTGTCATAGGCGTCAATGAGGTCCTCGGAGGAGAAGTCAGAAGGCTTCACTTCAACAGTCTCAACTTCAGCAGCGTTTTCAGTCTCGACAAACTCCTCAAACTTTGCTCTCTCAGCAGCAGTTGGTGGGAGCAGTTCATAGAATCTAGCAAGCTTCACGAGATCCTCATCGCTCAGGTCCTTGAACTCTGCCAATGTGCCTGGGAACAGCTCCACTGGCGGCTCCTCACCATCCTGGTTCAACAGTGGAGCCAACAACTCGTTCCCAGTCTTCTTAGAGTTGATCAATCTTCTGATGCTACGCTCCTCCAGGACATCCAGCTGGCCTTGCAACTCGCCAACCAATTGCACCAAGTCTTCGTTAGTGGCGAAATCGCTCGTGTCGATTGAAGGAGACCGTTTGGCACTAGGCTTGGAGCCAAAATGGCCAACCCTGGTCTTGGTGTTCTCAACCTGTAAAGTTAACACCTGTTCTCCGGTCTTGCTGATAACCTCATTTTGCTTCTTCACAAGGAGTGCGAGCTCCTTAAGCTGCTCTGTGAGTGATTCAACAGTCTCTGGCATTGTCACTAGCTGTTTACCTAAATATCTGGCTTCGATACGGTCGAAAACAGGGGAAACAGGGGGAAAGTTCGCAATTGATCCGAAACAATGTCGGCAACTCAGGGGGGACGTTGTTCGCCTTTATATAAACAGCCCGCAACGCTACGCCATGTGTCACGTCACAAATTACACCCATACAAAAAGCCAGGGAAGCGACAGCACAGCCTGAGGGCGAATGATGTAATTTTACGACGAGTTGCGTATGTCGTATAAACAAGGGCACTTTGAGGGTTAGGAGAAGGCATTGATAGCAAGTCTTAAGCTGTGTAATTTAAGAGCATGTGTGGAATGTGTGAGGAATGTGTATGGAATGTGTATTGAATGTATATAGTGTACGTCCTTGACTCTGCCTGGCTCTCTGCCTGGCCCTTTGCCCGGCTCTCTCGCTCCAGCTTTATATTTTAAACAACATCACACTTAGAACTTGAACACCTCCTCCTTGGTGAAGCCCAACTCCTTCAAGGCACCTGTGACCTCACCTTGGTCGGATGGAGACACCTTGTTACCGGAGATGGCCTCGTACAAAGGTGGTGGACCACACACGTAAACGTGGTGGTCGGCACTTGGGCCTGGGATGTTCTTTGCCAACCACTCCTTTGTGATGTAGCCAACCTGTGCGTTTGGAGCGCTTGGAGAGGCCTCGTCGAGGAAGTAGGTCACGTTGACACGGTCTGGGAACTTTGCGGCGATCTCGTCGATCTCCTTCTTCAACAAGGTGTCCTCAGCGGTCTTGGAGCCGTAAACCAAATTCACCTTTGTCTTCTCCTGTGGGTCCTTGGTGATTTGGTGCAAGAGCTGGTACAATGGGGTGATACCGGAACCACCGCCAATCAAAGTGACGCTCTTGAATTGGTTTGGAGTCCACTTCCACTTGATAATTGGGCCCTTGAAGGAGACTGTGTCGTTCTCCTTCAAGCCAAAGATGTGGTTACCAAACTTACCAGTTGGGTACTTCTTGATGACAAACTCAATGGTGCCGGTCTGTTCTGGGTCAGAAACAGGGGTGTATGGTCTCACAACGTTGCTGCCCTTTGGCGTAACGTACTTGGCAAGGAGAATAGACGCCGTCACCAAACCAGACTTGACATCCTCCGATGGGAGCGCAAAGGTGAACTTTCTGCTGTCATGAGAAAGGTCCTCGTACTTGATGAGCTAAGGAACAGCGGACGAGTCCCAGTTAGTACAAAGCTCAATTGGTACGCAAGCAGCAAATGCTGAACGGGGGGAAACTCACCTTCAAGTCAATCCACTGGTCGTCGCCTTTGAAAGCGGCCGCTGGCTCGTTGGCAAGCGGTCTCAACGTGGAGAACGCCAATGTTGCGGCAACAGCGGCGGTGCCAACGGCAACTGGAACAATAAACTTGCTAGAGGTCAATCTGGAGATAAGAGACATGGTGTATTCTTCTCGAGGTGAATCAATTGGAAAGAGAGAAGCGAAAAAGGGTGAGTTTAAGAAGAAACAAAGCACAGCACTCATAATTTCAATCTTCGATTCGTCAGCTTACCAAGCACATGCGGCCCACGCCTGGTTGGAGCACGGCGAGAAAAACTGTGGATCCGAAAGGGGAGCAGTGGACCTGAGCTCGCTTCTCTGGGCCGAGCAGCAGACACAATCTCTGCCCGCTCCCGCTTCTCCTTCCCCTTTGCCTCTCCCCGGCACAGAAACTCACAGGCTAAGACGTCTTGGTTCGTAGCCATCGGGAACAACTCCACAGCGAGACAGAGAGAGAGAGTAAGAGATGAATAAAAGCGCAAACGAACTGCTCCAATTGGTGAGGAAGTTGGTTCCGCCGCTTTCCCCGGGCTTCTACAAGGGCCAAGGTGAGTTTACCCCATACCTGTGTTTTGTTGCTGGTGAGCGTGTGTGTGTGTGTCATTAGTACTGACGCCTTCTGTATCAAAGCCGGTAGAATTGCCGTTATAGGTGGCTGTGAGGACTACACCGGTGCCCCCTACTTCTCTGCACACGCTGCAGCTGTGTTTGGAGCTGACTTGTCACATGTGGTGTGCGAGAAGCAGGCTGCCGCTGTGATCAAGTCGTACTCTCCCAACCTCATGGTCCATCCCTACCTGTACGAGTCGGATAACGTCCCTGTAGGTGAGGATGCAAACAACTGGGTGGATACGAAAGTGCTGCCAAAGGTGCACGGACTGCTGGACCGCATCCATGTTGTTGTTCTGGGCCCCGGCTTGGGGAGAGACGAGTTGATGTTATCGACTGTGGAGAAGATCATTGCGTACCTGAGGGAGAAGAACACCGCAGTTGTGCTCGATGCCGACGCTCTGTTTCTCATATGTCAAAAGCCAGAGATCATACAGGGCTATGACCGCGCTGTTCTAACCCCCAACATCGTGGAGTTTAAGAGATTGGCAAAGGCCTTGGGTGTCGAGCACGATGACCTGGAAGAGGAAACAAGGCTCGTGGCCAAAAAGCTGGGTGTCACAGTCATGAGAAAGGGGAGTGAGGATGTCATCGTTAACGGGGACATTTTGATCAAGAGTTCGTTGCAGGGCTCAAACCGTCGTGCAGGTGGTCAAGGTGATACTCTAACAGGTAACATTGCCACCTTACTGGCATGGGGTGACGCTTATTCTCAAGGGCTTTGGAGCCATCCTCAGGGGGAAATAACAAAGAATCAGATACCCGTGTTGGCATGCTTTGGAGCAAGTTGTGTGACAAGATACGCTGCGAGATTGGCATTTAACCAAGTTGGAAGGGCAATGCAAGCTACTGATCTCCATGCAAAGGTTGGAGAAGCGTATAAAGCCGTGATTGAAGACCAGTCGTTCTCCATACCGGACAAATCATCGACCAAAATCTGATATCTACAAACAGATCCATCTCCCTTTTTCCGTATATACGTGTTTTCAGTTGATTATAAACATATCAACAAGAGAAATACCATTGCTGTTTCACAACTAGACGGTAGAACAAGCGTCTCCATCAGAAGAAATATTGAAACACATAAAAAAAGTAAAAACAAATAATCCAATTAACAAAATGCATGATGAGAACCCCCTAATGATTCTTTTCCTCCCACTTCTCCAAGCTCCGCTTCAATCCTCCAGTATGTGTAAGTAGATATAGATTGACTGAAACATTAACCTACTTCAATAAGCTCTGACAGCTGGTGGAACAGACTTACACTCATTCTCATCAAGGGTATGGCTGATGACTGCTCTGTAGTTCAACTCGACGTCAGCACCGTTCTCCTTTTGCCATGAAAGAGAGTGCTTCATCCAGTTAACATCATCTCTCTCTGGATAATCCTCTCTGGCGTGAGCACCACGAGACTCCTTTCTGGCAACAGCAGATTCAGCAGTTTGAACAGCACAGGTCAAAAGGTTTTGCAATTCCAAAGTCTCAACCAAGTCAGAGTTCCAAATCATAGAACGGTCTGATGTACCAACCTCTGGGAAGGTCTTATCAACAGCTGTGATACCTCTAACACCATCCTCCAAAGATTCTTGAGTTCTGAAGACAGAAACATCCTTTTGCATGGTCTTTTGCATAGCAAGACGAATGTCAGCAGTTGGTCTTGGACCGCTAGCGTTTCTAAGCTTGTCCAAGTTAGCAATACTCTCCTTACCCAAATCGGCTGGAAGTGGCTTGTGTGGCAAACCTGGTTGCAAAGTGTCAGCAATAGTCAAGGCAACAGCACGACCAAAGACAACCAAATCCAAAAGGGAGTTAGCACCCAATCTGTTGGCACCGTGAACGGAAACACAGGCAGCTTCACCACAGGCCAACAAACCTGGAACAACCTTGTCCTTTCCTTCCTCGTCAAGGGTCAAAACTTCACCATTCCACTTAGTTGGGATACCACCCATGTTGTAGTGAACAGTTGGCAAAATTGGAATTGGCTCCTTTGTAATATCAACACCAGCAAAGATAGCAGCGGTCTCAGAGATACCTGGAAGACGCTCCTTCAACACTTCAGCTGGAAGATGGGACAATTGCAATGACATGTGATCCTTCTCTGGACCAACACCACGGCCAGCTCTGATCTCCATGGTAATAGCTCTGGAAACAACATCTCTACAAGCCAAATCCTTCGCATGTGGAGCGTAACGTTCCATGAAACGTTCACCCTCAGAGTTGATCAAGAAACCACCTTCACCACGAGCACCTTCTGTGATCAAACAACCGGAACCGTAGATACCAGATGGGTGGAATTGAATGAACTCCAAATCTTGCAATGGCAAACCAGCACGGGACACCATGGCGAAACCATCACCAGTACATGTGTGGGCAGAAGTACAAGAGAAGTAGGCACGACCGTAACCACCAGTAGCAATAACAGTCTTGTGAGCTCTGAATCTGTGCAAAGTACCATCTTCTTGGTTGTAAGCCATAACACCGACACACTCGCCGTTGTCCATCAACAAGTCCAAAGCGAAGAACTCGATGAAGAAGTGTGTGTTGTGTCTCAAGGCTTGACCGTAAAGAGAATGCAACAAGGCGTGACCGGTTCTGTCAGCAACAGCACATGTTCTGTAGGCTTGACCACCCTTACCGTACTCCTTAGATTGACCACCGAAGGCTCTTTGGTAGATTCTTCCCTCCTCGGTTCTTGAGAATGGGACACCGTAGTGCTCCAACTCAATGATGGATTGTGGAGCCTCTCTGGTCATGTAGTGGATAGCATCTTGGTCACCGAGCCAGTCAGAACCCTTGACGGTGTCATACATGTGCCAGTGCCAGTCATCCTTGTGCATGTTACCAAGAGCGGCGTTGATACCACCTTGAGCAGCAACAGTGTGCGATCTGGTTGGGAAAAGCTTGGAGATACAAGCAGTCTTGTAACCAGCATTGGCCAAACCAAACGCAGCACGCAAACCAGCACCACCAGCACCAATCACCAAACAGTCGTACTCGTGGTCGATGATGTGGTAGTTGTCCGCCACACCACGAGCCGCGTTCTCACCTTTGATGTCACCACCGACACTGTGGGCGAGCTTAGCAACAGCTGATGTGGAGAAAGAAAGCTGTGTTCTCTTGTTCGTGGCAGCAGCAGCACGAAGAGCACGCTTAGATGAATGACGCAGAGAGAGCATTGTCAATTAACCTCTGAATCGAGTATCCGTTATGTAAAAGTCGATGAGGACGTTGGACTGACAACAGAAGAGAGTAACAAGTGAAGGAGAAGGAATCAACAGTACAATGAAAAACTCTCAACCTCTAACTGGCGCCTGGGGAGAAAGAAAAAAGAGCCTCTTTTCCGGTACACGCAACACCTTCGGGCGCCATCTCGGTCATGTCCCCCCGGGCGTTCACGGCGCATGGATACGCTCCCTTCAGCCAATAGCGTCGTGAGAATTGCTAATGTTGGTGTCCGGGTTTCCTTGCGGTGCTCACCCCCGGGCACTGGACGAGCGCGTATAACGGACACTCAAACGCCTTCAGAGACGTGAGGGTAGAGTTCTAATTCATGTCTACAACTGATGTACGTAGTGGCAGAGAGCGTGCGTCGTTGTGATGGGCGTTTCTTGCAGTTTTACATAAACCTCTTGATGAACTGGGACGTCTGCTCGGCCGGGTTTGCCAGAGTTGGTTCAAAGTTATCCCACACGGTTAAGTCGTGTTTCAGCTTGAAGCCTGCGTTGTTGATCTCTTTGGACAGTTGTTCCAGGACACTCGGTTTCGAGAGCTGATCCATTTGCATGGACCGGTAGCCCTGCGTCTTCTTGAAGCGCTCGAACCAGTGGGTGATTTGTAGAAATTCGTTGTCGTAGTACAGCTTATCTGATTCTGAGGAGATGTGGTTGTTTGTTACTGGGACATCCACGATTTGGAAGAAGGGATGGTTTGGTAGCGGTTTGGACAATGCGAGGAAATTCGTCTGCGAGAACCCCTTTGCGTAGAGCTTGTCTTCGCTCGTTGTGGTTTCCAAGTCTTCATCTGCAACTTCCGATACGACCTCTTTGTCGTTTAACTGATCGTCAAGTCCTAAATCTATCTCATCCTGGTTCTGAGGCTGCTGGTCAAGCTCTAAGTCGATTTCATCTTCATTTTTTGGTTGCTCATCTCCAAGGTCCAAGTCAATCTCGTCCTGGTTCATTGCTTGGAGACCAATCCCATTTCCATTGCTAGTATGCACCCTCTTAACCTCTCTGGCATCACTACTGAGTTTCCTCTTGGTTTCGTGTTTAACGAGTGCTTCGAACTTGACGTGTAAATGGGCACTAAACCACCAATTCGGCATCAGTCGCTTTAAAAGTACCATGTAGTAAGGGTTTCCCAACTCGCCCTTCTCTATATCTCCTTTTAAAAAGGGTTTCCTCCTCAGCAGTCTGTCAAGATCCCCATAATGGGCTATGCCCTCGGGCCAATCATGCGTTATAAAACAGTTCATGTTCAAATCACGCAGCAGAAACATCTTGAAGATATCTTCGAATCTTGTATGATAGAAGCTTCGCACAGATTTTCCATCAAGAGGAGCTGTTTCGTATCTTTTCTTGTAAAAATCAAACGCTTTGAATATTCCAGAAACACCACCAATTCGAAGCCCTTTATACCAAACAACACCATTGGTTCCCATGTACCAGATCTTTGGTGCAACCCACCCTCCATGAGGCAGCTGGGCAAGCAAATCACCACATTCATGGTTCCCTCCAATAAATATCGTAAGTACAGGTGTGACCTCTGTACCTTCGTAATAGCGATGGAAATCACCGAGTCTCTTATACTTCTCGGGCATAGATATGGATGTGAAATCAGCCTTAGATCTCAAGGCTTGGAAATCACCACAAATAATTAATAGTTCTGGTCTCATATCATCTGGTAAGGTGTTTATCCTTGTGTATATCGCATCAAGCTCACCATGTGCACATCCAACCACAGCTACTTTAACAGACATTTTTGATTACCCTTCTGTGCCAGTCTTTTCACAAACGAGATGATGAGATGGGTCTATTCAAACGGCAGTAAAGATGAAAACAATTGAAGAGCTAGTGAAAACAGTTGGTTTGTTTCTATTGTACACTATCAACAAGCATGTGTACCCTCTTGATGACCTAATGACCTCCTTCCCCTTTAACAAAACCTGCTGAGAAGGCATGGAGAGCTCATCTTCAGCATTTCGAGAGCCTGGGTTGGTCGGTAGGAGCAACACTGAAAACTTGTAACATGAACTTCATCTCATCGAACAACACAAGCCATAAAACTTTTTCTTGTCTTCTCAAGCTCGATAACCTGTGTCTGGGCTCTGAAACCATTTGTAACGATGTTTGTGCTATCACGTCTTTCCGATCTTATACGAATTCCACCAGATCAGTTCCACAGAAAGGCTAAGAAGGCTATCATATCCGAGCTTAACAGAAAGTACTCCAACAAAGTTGTGAACAATTTGGGACTTGTCATAGCGGTGTGGGATCTTGTCAAAGTTGATGATGGCTTGTTGAAACCAGGTGATGGTGCCAGCTTCATCAAATGTGAGGTCCGTGTCGTTGTCTTCAGACCTTTTGTAGGTGAAATCCTTACTGGTTGGATAGAGAAATGTACACCTGAAGGAATCAAGGTTAAAATGGAGTTCTTTAATGACGTCTTCATACCGAAGTCCCTACTGTTTGAAGGCTCAGAATACTCATTAAACGACAATGCATGGATTTGGGATGCAGATGGTACAAAGTTATATCTTGATATTAACGAAATGATACGATTCCGTGTTGAAGAGGAGATCTTTGTTAACGTGAAGCCAAAGGGACCAAATCTTGAAGACGATGAACAACAAGAACAGGAAGAAAGGGGTCCAAGTTACGCAATCTTGGGGAGTTGTCAAACAGATGGTATGGGCTGTGTTAGCTGGTGGGATTAAAACGCTACGTATAAAGTGTGTGATCATAACAAAAACAAGGGGACAAATTGACAGTTTCATTTTCTTTAATTGTATTGCATGTAACGACTTGTGGAACTGAACTTCAAGTTACCCTTGATGACCTTCTCAACGGCCTTGAGGAAATCCTTTTCTGTAGCAACTTTTCTTCTCTCTCTGATAGCGAACATACCTGCTTCAGTACACACAGATCTCAACTCTGCACCCGTGGCGTTTGGACACAATCTGGCAATCAATTCCCATCTAATATCTCTCTCGACAGACATAGCCTTTGAATGAATTCTAAAGATGTTGGCACGTCCTTCAAGGTCCGGCAACGAGAATTCAACTTTTCTGTCAATTCTTCCAGGTCTTAACAATGCAGGGTCCAATGTGTTTGGTCTATTTGTAGCAAACATAACTTTGATGTTACCTCTAGGATCGAAACCATCTAATTGCGTGATCAATTCCAACATGGTTCTCTGCACTTCGTTGTCGCCACCTGCACCATCATCGACACGGGCACCTCCAATGGCGTCCACTTCGTCAAAAAAGATAATACAAGCCTTTTTCGTTCTCGCCATTTCAAATAACTCACGAACCATACGAGCACCTTCACCGACGTATTTCTGTACAAGCTCTGACCCGATAACTCTGATGAAAGTCGCGTCTGTTCTGTTAGCAACGGCACGAGCACATAACGTCTTACCGGTACCTGGTGGGCCGTACAACAATATACCCTTTGGAGGGTCAATACCCAACTTGACAAATCTTTCTGGTGACAGTAGAGGAAGTTCAACAACTTCTCTCAGTTTTTCAATTTGATCTTTGCACCCACCGATGTCGCTGTACGTCACGTCTGGTTTCTCCTCCACTGTCATCATCGTCACACTTGGATCAATCTTTGGTGGTAATGGCAATTGGATTTCATACTTTGTACGATCAACACCAACCCTCATCGCTTCTTCAATATCTGTTGGTGACACGTTTTGACCCAATGCCACGACAAACTTCGCAATCTGTTTAATGTTGATCACATATTTGGATTTGTCTTCACCTTCATCACTTTTGATGATCTTCGTACATCTGGCCACCTGCAAAGGCTGTGACTCCATGTTTTGCTTATCTGCCATCACATCCCACAAGTGTGGTGGAGCAAGACCTGTGTTACTCTCCTTAACACCAACTTTCTCCTTGATCTTTGCCTCAATGGTTTTGATATCCTGTTCAACTTCTTTAATCTTCTTCGCGTATGGTGCAACTCCCTATGTAAAAGGATACGTTAGTATTCGTACAGTTGTGAGAGTATTACTCGGGGGGTCCAGTAGATGTAGCATCTCTCTATGGGCTCTCCTGGTGATAATACTGAACAATGGCTATCACTTACATATGTACGCAACACCTGGATATCGCCTTCACTCAGCGGCACAATCTTCTCTTCTGGTTTGCTTTCATCCTCTAACGGAGCAACATACTTATCCCAATCGGCTTTTGGAGGCATCTTTTCTTCGGTTTCAAACAAGCACAGTGAAAACTTCGGAACCGCTCTGTGTGTTTATTGTATGTTTACGATGGTGATGTTTTGTTCAACTTTTCCGGTGTGTGGCAAAATCGTGGAAACAACAACAGCAGAATGCAAATTCGCGAAAAAAGGAAGAACGAAGGGGAAGGCAAATCACACAGTCTTGCGACAACTACAAAAGACTCAACAGGGTGTAAATATTTGGCAATTAAACCCAAGAAGTATGCTTTCTTTCATTACAATTCATTAAACAACGCAATCAAGCTCAGTTCTTGACGTACTTGTCCTCTCTGTGCTTCTTGATCTCCTTCTTCAAGTGATCCACGTCGGCCTTGGTGGAGTTGTAGTTGATGTTTGTAGCCTGGTTGAAAGGATTCTCTGGTGATTTCTCAAACTCCTTGAAGACGAGCTGCTTCACTTGTTGCAGTCTGAGACCTGGGTTCTCCTTTCTCATCTCTGGGACTCTTCTCTCCTCGTAGGCGGCCAATGCGGCTTTGAATCTTCTCTCTGGGTGTCTATCAATGTCCTTGTCACTCACAGCACCACCCTTATGGGTCAAGGTCAATGCCTCCAACGCACTGTCAATACCAGAAGCGGAGATTTCAGAAGACGTTGGCAAATCGTTGAGGAAGTCATCAATCTTGCCAGCTCTCTTAGCGGCAACTTTAGCAGCACCTCTACCTTTACCTGATGCCTTCGAAGGCAGGGAGTCCTCCTCCTCTTTCAAAAGCGCCTCTCTTTCTGCCTTCTTTCTGGCGTCCTCAGCCTTCTTAGCTGCAGCTTCCTCTTTCTTCTTGTTGCCCTTCTTAGCACCCTCCGCCCATTGGGAGTCTTCAGCTGCGTCCAGCTTGGCTTGTTCCTCTGCTCTCTTCTTGTTTGCAGCCTCCGCCTTTCTGGCATTACCAGCTGCTTTCTTGGAATTCTCTCCTCCCTTCTTAGCCATTGTCTCTTTCACAGCGTGTGTCCTCGTATACAACTCTCGATGGTGAAAGCGAAAGGAAAGAAATCACAGAATTCTACCACACCCATAAAAGATGCATTGGAACGTCCACAAGATGCATGAAAAAACACAATATCGGATGACTAAGCGCTGACTAAGCATTTCTTCCTGCCAACAAGTGTTTTTTGGCGGGTTTTCGTTTTCGCTCTGCGTTTCTGTGGTTTTTGTGTATGTTTTTTGGTTTTTCTGGTAAAGTTACCCGTCATTTGATTAGCGATTACAGAGGAGGCAGACATATTCTTCTGAAACATCACTTGACAACTCCAAGATAAACAACATTGTACCGAATATATCTTCAACTTGAACTCTACGAGCCTCGTTCTTAGACGTTGTTCTCATTCTTTTTGTTTCCAACCTTTTGATCTTTAGATTTTTCTCGGCTTTTTTTGGGGGGGAAATCCTGTGTGTGTTCATTTCCATTGCTAAGGCCTGGGAATAGATAGCTACTACTCGTTTTGAAAGATCCACATTGTGTTACACTGCGGAGGTGGAAGTCATCCCATCGCTTGATTTATCGGTAAGGACCCCAGCAGATGCATAAACAGCCAAAGTACATCTCTCCTTCCAAGAACCAGAACATGAAGCCTGGGACTTCCCCTCAGGTGCCCAGCATCAACACCTCTTCCAGGGACGCAACGAGAAGAATCTGGGTCAAACGCCCAGATGGTGTTGCCACCTCTCTGTACGTCAAACAGGACACCCTTGTTGATGACCTGAAGACCATGATTATTGGGAAATATCCGATGTCCTTGGCCAAATGGGTTGATCCGTCTGATATTGTCATCAAACTTGAACCGGCACTCGTTTCCTCAGTGTACAACCCAATGCCAGTATCTGCGACTCAACGGAAACCACCAGGCCCATCGATCAGTGCACCGTACATGTCAACTTCTCCTTCGTCGTTCAACTCGCCACTATCGCCCATACCTATTTCAGCGAGCAAGTCGTCGCTCATACCACCAAGGGTACCTTCTTCTGAATACAATGCAAGATCGGTATCACCTGCCGCATCTCTGACCGCAATGCCTCCGTTAGAGCCTGATCGTTCAGTCTGGAGCATTGTTGATACATATTACCCAACAGGGATGGGTATTGAAAACGCATTCATTGTTGAGACACCCGTCATCCAACCACCAGAGGCTGGACAATCGGCTCAAACAACACCTACAACGTCACAATTTCAGCAGGGACAGCAACCCACTATGGGCTCCGTTCCTTATCCAGGAAACTCCCATAGGAAAAGTCTGTCAAATGAAACTATTCAGGAGGGGAAAGAGGAGGATTTCTCAAACACACAGTTTCAAAGACGTATGAAATCAGTATCGTCAGGCCAGCCACTCAGATCCACAACACCATCATCGCTACACAGGAGATCAATGTCTAACCCTGCAGAACATGCTTCAGCTGTCCTATTGATGCCATCAAATGCAAAGACTAATAGATCGAACAGCTCAGCAGGACTGATGACTGGTGGTGCTCAAAACCGTGGCTTATCTGTCTCGCCAGACACGTCATCGTCGCCGACAGATGGGATTCATGAGAGATTCAACATTCACAAAACAGCTCCCTCAGGAGCTGTACAAAGGACAGCCTCACCAAGCTCGAAGATTGGCAATGGAACTAGCACAATGGCAAAGGTGTTGCCTAGTGTTAATGTTCTCATAGTGGAGGATAATTTGATTAACCTCAGGATCTTATCTGCACATTTACGGAGACATAGAATACATTATGATGTTGCGAAGAATGGCCAAGAAGCTATAGATAAATGGAGAAACGGTGGCTTTCACTTGGTGCTCATGGATATCCAACTTCCTGTCATGTCCGGTATTGATGCCACGAAAGAGATTCGAAGATTGGAAAAGATGAATCACATCGGTGTGTTTTCAACTTCTGATATACTAAACCTACCTCCAAAGAAGCCTGAAGATAACTTGGATCTCAATGTCTTTAGATCACCTGTGATTATTGTCGCTCTCACGGCAAGTAACTTAAAACAAGATAAACAAGAGGCATTGGCTGCAGGTTGCAACGATTATCTGACAAAGCCAGTGAACCTGGACTGGCTTCTCAACAAGATCACTGAATGGGGGTGCATGCAAGCTTTGATTGATTTCGATGGCTGGAAATCTGGTGAGAGAATGACCAACATCAGTGCTGCTTTACCTACGTTGACAAGAAACGCATCGGCCAGGAAAGTCTTAACCAGCAAAGCCATACCACAGTTCTGATTATTTAACGAATCCACTCTCTTAATACTGTCATTTTTCATCTCTTGATCATCTTTGATCCAGCAATACGTAGATCGTCACTCTGAAGTATATAGGCTTAAAATCCGGTGATGTTTGGCCCTCGGAGATTGTATAGATTTGCGCTTTTCAAACTTTGCATTCAACTTAAAGTAACAACAACTGGCTTCCATTGAAAGGGGATAAAAGAGTATCTTCATTGTGCATCATGTCCATACAATACTCTGTGAGCTCATTGGGATCTTTCATGAGAGCGATGGAAACAGTGCGTGAGGCACTGGAATCGCTGGATCAGGAACCTCTGCAGTTACCAGTTCCGAAAGTTGATCAAGATAACACACGGATTGACCTAAGTGTGTTGACGAGATTTGGGGATATTGAATATGAAGAAGACTTTTCCGATGACTCTGATATGGTGGACTATGGTCTGTACGATCAGTTAACGAAAGAATGTGAGCGTATTGCCTCCAAAAGAAACGATATGACAGCTCAAGAACTGCTGGACTCTATTGTCTCGATCCTCTCTAGTGAATCGTCGGATGACAATTTACAGTCATTGCTCTTTGATATGCTTGGTTTCGATGAATTCGATCTCATATCAAGGCTTGTGACTGAGAAGGAACTCTTCCTCATTGATATGTCGAAACAAAAACAGGAGAAACCACGCAGACAGTTCTTCACTGAGGAAGAGATACGACAACAGGTGAATAAACCAAAAGTCAAAACCAATGACACCTCTGAACCATACTATTCTCAACCAAAGTACCCGAACGTGTTCAAAGCTTTTGATGGGGGAAATATGTTGGCTTTCAATGGACAGAAGTTTGCTCTGCCAATGGGAACAGAGAGAAGACAGACTGAGCTCTACGATGAAATTCTTATACCGATCCAACAGAAGAAAAGACTCAGAAATCTGAATGAAGTTCCAGTTATGATATCTGACCTCGATGCACTCTGTCAGGGGACTTTTAAGGGTTATTCTTCGTTGAATAGAATGCAATCCTTGGTTTACCCTGTTGCCTACAACACTAACGAAAATATGCTGGTCTGTGCTCCAACAGGTGCTGGTAAAACAGATGTGGCACTTCTGGCCATTCTTCATACCATTTCCCAGTTTACAACAGAGACAGAAGACACTATAGACATCGACTATGGTGAATTTAAGATCGTGTACGTTGCACCATTGAAGGCCCTCGCTGCTGAGATTGTCGAGAAGTTTCAAAAAAAGTTACAATGGCTCGGTATACAAGTCAGAGAGCTTACTGGTGATATGCAACTTACTAAAGCAGAGATCCTTGCAACCCAGATTATTGTGACGACACCAGAGAAGTGGGATGTTGTTACTCGTAAAGGTAACGGTGATAACGAGTTGGTCAATAAGGTCCAACTATTGATCATTGACGAGGTCCATTTGCTTCATGAAGAGCGTGGTTCAGTTATCGAGACCCTTGTGGCTCGTACCCTTCGTCAAGTTGAAAGTACTCAGTCAATGATTAGGGTTGTTGGTCTATCTGCAACTTTACCAAATTTCGTCGACGTGGCTGATTTCTTAGGTGTTAATAGGCAAATTGGTATGTTCTTCTTTGACCAATCGTTCAGACCAATCCCACTGAAGCAAGAACTTCTTGGTGTTGTTGGTAAGAGTGGCTCGAAACAAGCAAGAGAAAATATCGATAAGGTTGCCTACGAAAAGCTTGTTGAGGAGCTCAGAAATGGAGCACAGGTCATGGTATTTGTCCATTCAAGAAAGGACACTGTGAAAACTGCACAGACATTTGCCCGCATGGCACGGGACTTCAATGAGACATCATTATTTGACTGTTCTGAGAGTGATCAATTCGAGAGATTCAAACGTGAGATGTCTAAGAATCACAATAAAGACCTTCGGGAGACTTTTGAAACCGGTTTCGGATGTCATCATGCCGGTATGTTGAGAGCTGATCGTAATCTAACGGAAAAGATGTTTGCAGCTGGTGCTATTAAGGTGTTGTGCTGTACTGCAACATTAGCTTGGGGTGTTAATTTGCCCGCAGCTGTTGTGATTGTGAAAGGAACCCAGGTGTATGATTCTAAGAAAGGTGGCTTTACTGATCTTGGTATATCTGACGTGATTCAAATCTTTGGTCGTGCTGGTAGACCACAATATGAAAAATATGGTACTGGTATCTTATGCACAACCAAAGACAGATTGGACGAATATGTCAGATTACTAACGTCTCAACACCCTATTGAATCCAAGTTAAGTGATAAGCTCGTTGACAATTTGAATGCTGAAATATCGTTAGGAACTGTCACAAATGTTGATGAAGGAGTCAAGTGGCTGGGTTATACATATATGTTTGTGCGTATGAAACAAAACCCTTTTGCATATGGAATTGACTGGAAAGAGTTGAATGACGATCCTCAGCTGTTTGGAAGAAGAACCAAAATGATCACAACAGCAGCTCGCCGTCTTCATTCTTTACAGATGATTATATTTGATGAGAGATCTTTACACTTCATTCCGAAAGACCTCGGAAGAATTGCATCTGACTTTTATTTGTTGAATGACAGTATTGAGATATTCAATCAAATATGTAACCCAAGAGCAACTGAGGCAGATGTTCTATCTATGATATCCATGTGCAGTGAATTCGACGCCATCAAATTCAGACAAGAAGAGGCTACTGAACTTGCAAAGCTCCTTGAAGAAAAGTCGCCATGTCAAATTGGAGCAGAAATTGAATCAGCTCCTGGTAAAACAAATGTTTTACTTCAATCGTACATCTCACGAGCTCATGTTAAGGATTCTGCTCTATTTTCAGATACCAATTACGTCGCACAGAATTCGATCAGAATTTGTCGAGCACTGTTTCTCATTGGTCTTCACAGACGTTGGGGAACATACGCCAAAGTTATGCTTTCTATCTGCAAGGCTATCGAAAGACGACTTTGGCCTTATGAGCATCCTTTGAAACAGTTTGACTTACCTCAGCAAATTATGAGAGTAATTGAATCAAAGAATCCCTCGATAGATGATCTGCGTGAGCTGGAACCAAAAGAGTTGGGGGATCTGGTCCATAACACCAAAATGGGTTCTACTCTTTACAATCTGATAGGAAGGCTACCAACCATCTTGGTGGATGCTGAAGTATTCCCAATTACGAAGAATGTGATGAGAGTACATGTGAATTTACAACCTGACTTCGCTTGGTCGGAGAAATTCCACGGAAATGCTGAATTCTTTTGGGTATTGGTTGAGGAATCTAACAAATCAGAAATTCTACACTTTGAGAAGTTCATTTTAGGTCGCAGGCAGATGAAATCGCCACATGAAATGGACTTTATGATTCCTTTGGCTGATCCTTTGCCTCCTCAAATTGTAATTCGTGTGATATCTGATACTTGGTTGGGTTCTGAAACAATCCACAGCATCTCTTTCCAACATCTGATCAGACCTCATAACGAGACACTTCAAACAAAATTACTCAGATTGAACCCATTACCAATAACTGCGCTTCACAACGCAGAAACTGAGGGAATTTACTCGCCAAAGTTCCGCTACTTCAATGCGATGCAAACCATGACATTCCACACGTTGTATAATACGAATGACTCTGTGTTTGTTGGATCGCCAACTGGTTCTGGTAAGACGGTGGTTGCAGAGCTTGCTATCTGGCACGCATTTAATGAATTCCCTGGTTCAAAAATTGTATACATTGCTCCAATGAAAGCGCTTGTTCGTGAAAGAGTGGATGACTGGAGGGAAAGACTGACTCCGAAAACGGGTCATAGAGTCGTGGAGTTGACTGGTGATAATATACCTGCTGCTAATGAAGTTCGTGATGCTTCCATTATTATCACAACACCAGAGAAATTTGATGGTATCTCCCGTAATTGGCAAACCAGAAAATTTGTTCAAAAAGTGTCGCTCGTTATTATGGATGAAATCCATTTGTTGGCATCTGACCGTGGTCCTATCTTAGAGATGATTGTCAGTCGTATGCGTTACATTGAATCTCAAACTAAGAAGCCTATTAGACTCCTTGGTCTTTCCACTGCTGTTTCAAATGCATTCGATATGGCAGGATGGCTTGGTGTGAAACAAGGTCTGTTTAATTTCCCACAGTCTGTTCGTCCTGTTCCCTTGGAGATGTACATTGATGGCTTCCAGGATAATCTGGCATTCTGCCCCTTGATGAAAACTATGAATAAGCCGGCATTCATGGCTATCAAGGCACATTCGCCTGATAAACCTGTCCTGATATTTGTCGCTTCGAGAAGACAAACAAGACTGACAGCTTTGGATCTAATTCATCTATGTGGTATGGAAGAGAATCCTCGTCGCTTCCTCAAGATGGGTGAGGATGAGCTAAACGGCTACCTCGAGAATGTGAAAGATGAAACGTTGCGTCTTGCACTTCAGTTTGGTATAGGCTTGCATCATGCTGGTCTTGTAGATAGTGACAGAAAGATATCTCATAAGCTGTTTCAAGAGAATAAGATTCAGATACTTGTGGCTACAAGTACCTTAGCTTGGGGTGTTAACTTACCAGCTCATCTTGTGATTATCAAGGGTACACAATTTTTCGATGCAAAGATTGAAGCCTACAGAGATATGGATTTGACTGACATCCTCCAAATGATGGGTCGTGCTGGTCGTCCAGCTTATGATACTAGTGGTATCGCTATCGTGTACACGAAGGAGTCCAAAAAGATGTTTTACAAGCATTTCCTCAATGTTGGCTTTCCTGTGGAATCCAGTTTGCACAAGGTTTTAGATGACCACGTTGGTGCTGAAATTGCTGCTGGTACTATCAAGTCAAGGCAAGAAGCTCTAGACTTTTTGACGTGGACTTTCTTGTTTAGAAGGGCACATAACAATCCAACGTACTACGGGATTGAAGATACAACCACTGCAGGTGTCAGCTTGTATCTCTCAAAAATCATTGATACTGCTATTAACAACTTGGTTGAATCTAGCTGTGTTATTGCTGGTGAAAACTCCTTAGAAGCTACACCTTACTTGATCATCTCATCATACTATTATATGTCTCACAAGACGATCCGTAATCTTGTGGCCCAGGTGTCGAAGGACAGCACATTCCGTGAATGTCTACGTTTCATGTCTGAAGCCACGGAGTACAATGAATTGCCTACACGTCACGGAGAAGAAATAATGAATATGGAAATGTCACAACAACTGAGATATCCGGCCGATGATCTTGTTGACAGACCTATCTGGGATCCTCATATCAAGACTTATTTGCTGTTACAGGCATATATGTCACGCGCAGATTTACCTATTGCCGATTATTCCCAAGACACGGTCACTGTTTTGGATCAAGCACTTCGTATTCTTCAGGCATATATCGACGTTGCGAGCGAGATGGGATACTTGGACACTGTTTTGATGTTCATTAAATTGATGCAATGTGTTAAGCAAGGTTGTTGGTTTGATGATGATACAGTTACGGCCCTTCCTGGTGCTCAGTTGAAGAGAAAAGAAGAATACAATCCTGATGGTATCAGCACTGAACTCTCTTCTCTGGGAGAGAAGAGCTCGAAGAAACAAACAACTCTGAATGAACTTGGCTCATATCAAGGAAAGAAACTTGAGAACTTCTCCCATAAAGTAGGAGTGGATGATGAAAATCGCAAAGAGTTCATTCGTACAGTGTCCAAACTTCCAATTTGTTCGTTCACAATTGAGCAAAAGAACCCAGATCGCTTAAATGTTTATTTGAAACACCTAAACTCTCCTGTGAATAAGGACTTCAAGATGCTTCTTCACCGCTTCCCAAAGGCACAAAAGGAATCGTGGTTTATCATACTGTTTGAAAGATCGACACGTGAGCTTCTGACTCTTAAAAGAGCAATGCCTATGATGTCAAAGGGTGATCGTAACGGTTGCATCAATGCTGAATTATCCATCGCGAAAGAACTACAGGGCAAAGCTGTCTGTATATTGGCTGTGAATGATGCCTTTGATATACAGTATCAACAGGATATCCAGTTAATGTGAGACTGTGGTGGTCATATCACGGACTGTCTGTACCCTCTATCTACAGTTATAGTATGACAATTATTACGCACCATCTAATGATTGGTCGACTCTAATAAATGAAGAATCTTACTGCGGATGAAACGAAGCTTTAGAGTAACTTACTGTAAGCTTCTAGTATCACAACCCGTCCTATCATTATCAGCCAGAGCTTCGATCACAGCTAGAGGAAGCCATGCTCACGTGAGCTGAACAAGAAGTTTAAAAAAAAATCTCTCGGGGGCGATTCGAACGCCCGATGTTCAGATGACTTTCTAACATTACAGTCTGACGCCTTAAACCAACTTGGCCACCGAGAGGCAATTGTTGTTCGGAAGCTGCGGTTGTTGCAGTAGTTGCATACCTTTGGTTGGCGCACACTTCTATTATTGAAAAAAAGCTTGATTGCACTCTAACGTATCAACGAAATCATTTATGTCTCACTATTCGATTCAATCAGCATAATCATCTATTGAAAAGACAATGTCTGATAGACTGGTCTCTTTATTGAAATGGGTTTCTGACAACGGTGCCAAGATCTCTCCTTCACTTGAATTCAGAGATACAGCAGATGGTATTTCCTGCTTTGCTACCTCATCGCCTGAAGGTGATGAGCTCTTCACTGTCCCACAAGTGCTTGCCATCACGCCTGTTTTGGCTTCTGATGCGCTTGGAATTCAATTGAAAGGAAACAGAAATTCCCTCACGCAACTCCTTCTCGCAAAGCTTCGTTTCCATGATGAAGAGACTTCTGTTAATGGTCGGGATCTAAAGAGCTTCTTCAAACCATATCTCGACATTCTTCCAACCTCTGAAGAAACTAGAAGCCCATATTTTTGGGGAGTTGAGAGAGAGCTGCTCAAAGGAACTGACGCTGATGTTGCCGTGGATAAGGCCATTATGAACCATTTAGAGGAATGGTATTCTGTGGTTCAAAAACTCGACACCAAGTTAAGACCTTCGACTTATTCCGAAGAGATTGAATTTTATTCAACTTTGAAGACTTCAAAGCCAAAACATTTTGCGGCTTATTTCAACAATCCTACAAGTTGGATGTCATTTCCTGCTTATCTATGGTCGTGTGCCATCTTCAACTCCCGTGCTTTTCCTTTTATTCTGAATTCCTCGAAGGCACAGGATCTCAATGAGGCATTCTTGTTGCCTGTCTTTGATCTTCTTAACCATAACAATCAAAAGGCTGAAGTGAAATGGGAATTTGAGAATAACCAGTACATCTTCAAGACAAAGCAGGTGTTGGAGCAAGGATCCGAGGTCTTCAACAGTTACGGACCAAAGACCCACGAGGAGTTATTGTTAAACTACGGTTTTGTCCTTGAGGATAATCCTGATGATAAGGCTAATATCTCATTGCGAATTCCAGAAGATGAGGTTGAAAATGCAATAAAATTTGGGGTTGACATTCAAGGACATGAAGTCTCGTTCGAAATAACTAAGCAGAACCCATTGCCGGAGTCCCTTGTTGTTTTGTTCTGTTTCCTCCTGAAGAATTCATCTGAAAGTGTGATAACTTTGAGAAATAAGCTTGAAGGTTTGAAGTATCTCTCTAGTATCCTACAACAGAAACTTGATGGGTTGAAGCCTGTTAAAGTTGATGGTTCTATTGATTCAAGGGTTGTTAAGAATACAAAGATCTACAGAAACGCTCATAAGCAATTTTTCCAATTATGTTACGAGAAATGTACTTCTCTGGAGAAGCAAATGTTGAAAGAGTACAAGCCGTTATCGTTCAAAACTATCTTCAAAACTGACAAAGCATTTGCAAACGCATTGCTCCTGATCTTTGGGATCACATCATATGAGCAGTTGAGCAAGACTGACGATTTGGACAGAGTCATTATCCTATGGCTCATCAGATGTGGTAACAAAAAGGCGTATAATGAGAAGAACCTTTTCCCAGATTTTATTCTTGACACTTATCAAGAAGTTTCAAAGACTGTTACTGTTACCAGAAAGGACATCCAAGATAACATACCTATATATAAGGCGCTTTTCCCAACTATTGCTGATAAAGTCCCAGAAGTTTTCGGTAAAGGTGATTGGAGCATCAAACAGTTCGTCATCGCAGAAGAAGTTCGTGACAAACTCTGCTTCGAAAGAAAAACAAGCCGTGAAGTCCTATTTCTACAGAATATCAGAGTCTAAAGCTAATCACAGTAATATAGACATACACCTGTTTATTTAGGTATCTTACTCAAAAAGTTCATCCTCCTCTTCCTCTTGTTCTTCCTTTGTCAGTTCCTGTACTCTTGTAGTTTCGAAGTTTGAGGCCAATGGAGTTTTATCAACAACAGAGCCCTCCACCACCTCTTCTAATGAAATTGGTAGTGTATTCGTCTTATTCATTTGCTCAATCTCCTTCTTCAATGCGTTTCTGATTTCGCTCGTCTGCTGAGCACCTCTCTTCTTGTTATCGTCAAGCTCCCCTTCATCACCATCTTCATTAGGAAACAGAGCAACGTATTTAACATCTCTTGGGAAGTTGACCACGTACAAGAGATCTGTCTCTGCGTGTGTCAACTTCTTTCTCGATTTTTTGATCTCTTTCTTTTCAGCATCGCTACTCACCAACTCGTCGTATTCCTTCTTAGTCTTCTTGTATCTTCTCAAGGCCTTCTTCTTTTCAAAGAATCTGATCATGTGATACTTCTTAGACAGTTTTTTGACCCTCTGTACGTTCTCGGCATTCTTCAACTCCACTTTGAGCGTCTCGAGAGCCCTTTCATTCTCCAACAGAACATCAGCTGGAAGAGAATCTCTCTTCTTTGTAATGAATCTTTCAATATCACGTATCTTCTTCTTCAGCTTGGAAGTGCCAGCACCTAAGACATTGGCGACTTCGATAGATGTGCCATTAGATCTCTTCTTCCCTCTTATTGGAGCCATTATTAAGCCTTTTTTCTATGCAATCAATGGCGTATATTCGTCTCAAGTTATGTCCATAGAAAACTTCTCTCGAAGCGATGAGCAGGGTAAAAAATTATAGTGAACTCTATCGCGAAAACGTTTTTTAAATACGATGAGATGAGATGAGCTCTACAGAGGAAACGTATAGTTAAGGAGCGTTAATTACTGTATAAAACTAAAGACCACCTAATCAGAGGATTGATTTGCACGATTTGACACGATAATACGTTTGAAGGTTTCAAGCAGTGTATCTCTTTTCAGCCTCAGCCCAGTTAATCACGTGCCAGATGGCCTTGAAATAATCAGCCTTGACGTTTTGGTATTGTAAGTAGTAGGCGTGTTCCCAGGCATCAATTGCAATCAATGGTATGAGCTCTGGACCCACAGTATCCTGGTTGGCAGTAGTTACAACTTCAATTGAGCCATTGTCCTTGTTCTTGACAATCCACGCCCATCCAGAGCCTTGGATACTGGCTAGTTTGGAGTTTGTCAGGCTGATTAATTGGTCAAACGTTCCGTACTCCTTCTCAACTGCATCTGCTAATGGCCCAGTAGGGAACTTACCACCACCTTGAGACACAGGTGCCAAACTTTTCCAAAAGATGTTGTGGTTTCTATAGCCACCCCCGTGGAATTTAATGGCTTGTTGTAACTCAATGACCTTCAGCACGTCACCAGCAGCCTCAGCATCAGTCAAACTGGCAATGGCAGCGTTATATCCATTGACATAGGTCTGATGGTGTTTTTTGTGGTGTATCTCGTTGATCTGTCCAGAGATATAGGGCTCAAGTGCGTTATAAGCGTAATCCAAGTCAGGTAAAGTAACACTAACCATTATAGCTATGGAGTTGGAATTGAGGTAGCGTAATGAAGAGGAGGTCCTTCTACAGCTTTAAAACATATTTTCCAAGACAAAGGATGTGGCACTTTCCATTGTGAAGATCGCAAGGGAATAAACCAAATGGGGTAAATTTTGCTCTTGTAATTTGCTCAAATATTGGTAACTATGTGTAATGTACATGAGTCCCGGCTTGATTGACCTGAATAGTCCTCCGTCTGACCTCTTGCCGAGACTTACTGTGGACACTACGTACGAATCTGTGCGTTCAGACTTTACCAAGTTACACACGAAAGCTGACGTCTCACTGGAGATGTGCAATTCCTCTTCTTCTATCACTTAGGATTAAAACAGAATAGCATATAATGACCAAAGATTGCATGAACCACTAGTGCAAGCCACAACGGTAGTGCTCCGACCATACTTTGTAATATACGAACTGAAGGCTCCGGGTAATGAGTGCTAAGCTCAACAAAGGTTGATGTAAGATCATATAGAGAGTTTTGATCTGTATATAGGCAATGCATCTGTTTTATTGTAGTAATTTTATCACTGGTGAGCTTCAAGATCCGTTAAGGTTCCCTTTTCGAAGCCCACCTCTGATTAGGCTGTATATCTTCGGTTTTCAACAAAATCCGGCATGGTGTAGTGGCTAACATCGGTCGCTCTCACCGACCAGCCCGGGGTTCGATTCCCCGTACCGGAATTTTTTTTTAAATTAGAGACTGGATAGCGTTGCCATCGTTGATCAGACATTTTCCATGAACCATACATGGAATACTTGTATTATTGTGTGAGATTAGATGTTCCTACAACTAGCTGATTATGAGAAATCATTGTTCATTAAAATTGGGTTATTTTCATGACTTGCTAATGTACATTCAAACTGGTACTGTAGTCACATTCATTGGAAAGACTCATCTTCAACTTCCTCAAGTGAAACTTTTCTCTTGAGTTTTGGAAGCTGTTTGAGGACTGGCTCTGACTTTGTAACTTCTGATTCAGTGTCGGAGACAGTTGATTCTGTCTCAGATGCAGACTCTGCTTCGGAAGTAACAGGCTCTTCATCTTCCAAGTCTGTTTGAGAAACAGTTTTGGATGGCGCAGCTTGTGTTCTCTCAGGAACTGGCTCATCCTGCAAAACTGATTTGGCACGTTCGAAAACATCAGAAGTTTCAGTTGTGTATAATCCACGAGTGATTGGCACAGATATAACCTTTTTCTTGTGATGTTCAGATCTCTTCTTGTTCTGAGTCTTGGAAACATTACAATTCTTTGGACTTATAGTTCTGACCTGCACAACTGTTTGGAGCTTCTTCTTTGGAATGTTCACAAGTAAAACGTTATCGATGATTCTCCATTCTGCATCATCCAAATCAATGGTAGCAGTCTTGAAGGAGAAAGTCTTGTCAAATGAGTCACTTCTAGATCCAATACTTATCAAGGTATTACCTGCATTGGTGAATCTATATTGGATCTGATAATCGTCAAACGAGTTTGAAGGGTCATTCTTCTTCATCACTTGGATTTGATAAGAATTACCAGTCTGCAATGCACGACTGAAGACCTCAACTCTTGGTGGGGCAACGTAGGCATCCCGCATTCGGAAAACACAGTCAAATGGATCAGCGGAGTGAGAACATGGATGAGAGCAGTAGATATTGTTACGTCTCGATGGTGTTGCAACTCTTCTTGTTCTCTGTGGGGTAAGCAAGTTGTCTTCAAAGAAGAAACTTGGTGCAGCGGCAAATGAAAGCATTGTTATTGTGTTTGTAATACTGATTGACAGTTGGTAGCGAATAGTGATGATCTCAACAAAGAGACATTTCAAGCTTCTCCGTGATCATCACTGCGTTTTATAGTTGTATTTGCCATTTGTCATCGGTTTCATAGAATTTGCTAGAAAGGTTGGCGCAGAGTTGATGGAATTTTCCAGAACTTTAACTCCGCCCGCAGCGGAATGTTCCAGAAATTTTTCCGGGGTTAAGTCCGATCGGAAAATTGTATGGCACATTCCACTTAGCATATCAACGAGGATGATCCCCATCGATAAACGCTTTTTATAGCTGAATAATTGTATCCGTGGCGTGTACTCGTATGTAATTAGTTTTGAGGTGTAATTGCTCCTTTGTGACTTGTTATTAAAACCATAGAACTCAGGTATCATGTTTCCCATTAGAATGATACTAATAAAAATAGCAAACTGGCCTTCAAATTTCTCCAAGGTGTACCAGACTGTGGCAAATACTTTAACTAAGAGATCTACAAATCATGAGCAAGCAAACATCAACAATTCCTGAGATCTAATAAACCATAGATTTGTAAGGTATGATCAAAAAAACGCATAAATTCGGTTATATCTCAACGACGAAATAATAATAGAACATATTACAAAGTCCTGTGTCAATTAGCTACTGTTATCAAAGATAAGTTGGAGAGTTAACCAGTGAGTAGTCGATCTTAAATGAATGGGCGTTCTGTTGTAATCGTACGCCATGTTACTGAGCTCTTAAACGTCTGGTGGGAGAACCCGGATCAATATGAGATTCTGAAAACAATTTTAGCCAATCTAGTAGGAATTTTCCATTAGAATAGAACGTTGTCATTTTGGTTTCTTCAAGAGCGAACAGATCTAAACATTGGTTTTGAGTGGTGGTACGGACAAGCGCAGCAATAGTATCAGTAAAAGTTTACAAATCAACTTAAAAGCCAGATGAGATCATTAAAGGACAGAAGTCTGTCCTCTCTCTCTCGCCCATCACAAACTATCTCCCTGGTATGAGAAACAGGACAGAGCTCTAATGTGCCTACTCAATTGAATCCTGTGAGGACTTCCCATAACCTTGAGAGTCACTGATGGATTCTAAGTGACTCGTGTTTAGACCAATATCTCAGCCACATGTGGTGAAGGCATCATTATTTGAAGATTTTTTTATAATGAAAGGCAATGGCGTGAATAACCTCTAGCCTTCTTGTGTCTTTAAAGGCTCACATGAGGAAATAGTGTTGCCATGTTGAACCCACGTACAGACTCTTTCCATAAATCTTCGCCTTCAGTGTTCAAGAGTGCCTCCGCTAAAGCAAATCTCTCACTACAGTGCTTCAGTATTGAAATCAGTGGCAACATAATAAACAGATAAGCTGCGATAATAAACCACATCTACACGTCCAATTGTATGGATTCGAAGACGGTGTTAATGAAACTCCTACAGTGTCGTATGAAATGACTATAAAGGATGCTGATTTGCGAAAACAAGTCTGCAATAGGAATCTGCAACGAAACTTCACGACACAAAATTTCGTTGCTTCTATTCTTTCCTAATATGGATATTTTCGCTGCCAAAAAAAAATTTCTACAGAGGGCATCGCATTCAAAACTTTTCGTTCTCTCTTCTTAAAGAGACTTTAGAACGAATACCAAATCTCTGTTATCGGTCTTCCACTATTAGGACAAATGGCAAAGACTTTACACAAGAAAGGATCCAAGCCTAAGGGCTCACACAAGTCCTCCCATTCTGAGTTGAAGAAGGGCAAGAAGAGAGTCCATGAGGAATCTGAGCAAGAAGAGGATGATACTGACAAACTTGTTGATGAGTTAGATGAACAGTTTGACGATATTGCTGACTTGTTGGATGTGAATTACAAGGGTAAGAAAGCTCTCAAGCGTGAAAAGCAACAAGAAGAGGAAGATGACGAAGTAGATGATGGAGAAGAAGAAGAAGGAGAAGAAGAAGAAGAAGAAGAAGACGAAGACGAAGAGCCATCTCAACCAAATGCGTACAACGAGTCTGACCCTGTTAGTGATAAGTTTGTTGACCATAACCTCTCTGAACGTACGTTGAAGGCGATCAGTGATCTGGGATTTACAAAAATGACTCCAGTTCAGGCAAGAACCATCCCTCCGTTGCTTGCTGGTCGTGATGTCTTGGGTGCTGCAAAGACAGGCTCTGGTAAGACTTTGGCCTTCTTGATTCCTGCTATTGAATTATTGCATTCTTTGAAATTCAAACCAAGAAATGGTACTGGTGTCATTGTGGTGTCTCCAACAAGAGAATTGGCACTCCAAATCTTCCAAGTTGCGAGGGAGTTGATGGCTCATCATACTCAAACTGTGGGTATTGTTATTGGTGGTGCTAATAGACGTGCTGAGGCTGAGAAGTTGGTTAAGGGTGTTAACTTGTTGATTGCTACCCCAGGTAGATTGTTGGATCACTTGCAGAATACCCAAGGTTTTGTCTTTAACAGATTGAAAGCCCTGGTGATCGATGAAGCTGATAGAATCTTGGAAATCGGTTTCGAAGAGGAAATGAGACAGATCATCAAAATCCTTCCAAGTGAAAACAGACAAAGTATGTTGTTCTCTGCCACTCAGACAACTAAGGTTGAAGATCTCGCTAGAATCTCCCTCAGACCAGGTCCACTCTTTATCAATGTTGTGAACAAAGATGAGGCTTCCACAGCTGATAGATTGGAGCAAGGTTACGTTGTATGTGACTCTGATAAGCGTTTCCTTCTCTTGTTCTCCTTCTTGAAGCGTAACGCTAAGAAGAAAATCATTGTTTTCTTATCATCATGTAACTCTGTCAAGTACTACGCTGAGCTTCTAAACTACATCGACCTACCAGTGCTTGATCTTCACGGTAAACAAAAACAGCAGAAACGTACCAACACTTTCTTCGAGTTCTGTAATGCCAAACAGGGTATCTTGATCTGTACAGATGTTGCTGCCCGTGGATTGGATATTCCATCTGTTGATTGGATTATTCAATTCGATCCACCTGATGACCCAAGAGACTATATTCATCGTGTCGGTCGTACCGCAAGAGGTACAAAGGCACAAGGTAAGTCGCTGATGTTTTTGACACCAAATGAGCTAGGGTTCTTGAGATACTTGAAGGCTGCCAAGGTTCCATTGAACGAGTACGAATTCCCAACGAATAAGATCGCCAATGTCCAATCCCAATTGGAGAAGTTGATTTCATCCAACTACTGGCTACACCAAAGTGCCAAAGATGGTTATAGATCTTATCTTCAGGCTTATGCCTCCCATCATCTGAAGACAGTTTACCAAATTGACAAGTTAGATCTTGTCAAAGTTGCTAAAGGTTTCGGATTCACAACACCACCAAAGGTCAACATCACCATTGGTGCTAGTGGGAAAACACCAAAGACGCAGAACAAGCACAAGAAGATCAAGGCCTGAGTGGTATCAACCCGAGCATGAAGAACAGAAATAAAAGTGTACATTAACTATCACATCCATGAAATTGGTCTAATATACAATGTTTAAGTAAGATTAGTTCTTGATTAATATACATAGATGTTGAAATCCTCTTCACGCATTTGAGTAAGTCGTAAGTGATATATAAGAAAAGGGCAATAGGTGCCCCCATAGGCTTCAGCCAAACCAGTTGAAGTCGTAACTTAGATGCAAAACAAAAGTGACAAATGTAATAGACAAAGATAAAGGGAGTAAAGATGTTGAACAGTTTATAGAAGAGTTGTCGTTGTTGAAGTATCATTGAGAGGTTGGTTTATAGTGGTTTCGTTTCAGTTCGTTTCAATGGTAAAGGGAGAGACATCAGGAGTGGGTTGAATCGTTTCCTTCGTTATCTTATGCGAGTTCGCTCGGTCTTTCATCTTTTACCCAAGAGACCCAAGAACTCCTCCCTAGTCTTCTGGGCTTCACGGAAACATCCAAGCATACAGCTCGTCACCGTTGATGACCCCGATTTCTGAACACCACGAGAAACCATACACATGTGAGTTGCCTCTATGACAACCGCAACACCTTGTGGTTTCAGGATCTCTTTCAGGGCCATTGCGATCTGCTTCGTCAATCTTTCCTGCACTTGGAATCTTCTAGCGTACATCTCAGCCAATCTGGCCAGCTTGGATAATCCCAACACTTTCTTATTTGGGATGTAGCCTATGTGAACCTTACCGAAGAAGGGCACCAGATGGTGCTCACACAGGGAGAAGATCTCAATATCACGAACAATCACCATCTCATCGTGGTCTTCCTCGAACACTGCTCTCTTGATGACATCGCGGATGTTATCCTCGTAACCCTTGGTGAAGAACAGCATTGCACGGGCATATCTCTCAGGCGTCTCCAGCAGGCCCTCTCTTGTCACATCTTCTCCTAGCTCTGTGAGAATGACCTTGACGGCATCGCTGATTCTCTGCTCACGTGCAGCCAGCTGGGTCTCATCCTCCTCGATACGGGAGCGAGCTCCAAGACTAGGCCATGATAACCCGTCAGAGTCAATTGGAGGGTTTAGCGTGTACGGAGATGCAGGTCTCGTCTGTAGTGGAGAGTCCGTGACTCTCTTTGGACGCTGCGCTGACGGATGGTGGTGATGCCCATGAGAGTGCGTAATCGATGACTGCGCAGTGGCTGAGTAGCCGGCACCGTTAACATAGTTCTGTGGAGATGACATGTTCGCTGTCCCTGATATATCCAAATCAGACACGTCTGCAAGAGATGACGATAATTTATCAGACATTTCCTATCCTTCACAGGTGAGTTGTAACCTCAATTATGGCCTCTTCGCCCTAGGAGGGGGAGTAATTGTTCCTGTCTGGCTTGGTAAATTTTTCGCATCGGCCTCTCGCTACGAAAATTTTCCTTTCTCTGTGGGCTGCCCACCACTTGCGTAAATTTTACCACCAAAGCTACCAATCACATGTGTCATTTTCAGTGTATTTCGCCTATCTTTCAGTCCAATCTACTGTTTCTTTGTCATTTGATGCCAAACAATGAACAGAGGTTCCTGTCTTATGCTATCAAAGGCTCTTTGGACTAAGAACTGGTGAGGCAGGGTCGAGCACCGCGTCGCAGTGGGTCCCATTGTAAACGGGTCTCTGACTCTGGACCCTCTCTCTGTTTGTCGCTCTCTCTGGCGTAATCATCGACGCTTCCCTGCTCCACCAGGGCTACGTTGCGCTGGAGGCTCCTTTACATCCAATTGAGTGTTCTGGGATGCACACGGCTATAAGGAGGGCATCACAGCAGCGTGTGCGAGACTGGAAACACACTGTGTATGGGGTTTCTCATCTCCACCTGGTGCTCGCTCTGTATGTGTGGGCCGTTGCCGCATAGGTCGAAGGCTCTTTCCACACCCGGACACCACTTACACCTGGACACCGCGAACATCCGAACATTCGACGCGATGGTCTTTCGACCCAAACGGGGAATCGCTCGCTAATTAATCCTTCAGGCCCATTGCTTCCTCTCTTTTCCCAGATCAAAACAACCAGTACCTAATAAGGAATCACGCCGAGACCGCCCACAGGATTGTAGCAGAAAACAATGGTTTGGTTGTCTGAAGTGCAAAAATATGGTGTTGGGTTCACAGCAGGGGGTGTTTTCTTTTTCCTCTTGGGAATCTTAACCTTCTTTGACTCTGCTCTTCTTGCCTTGGGCAATGTACGTGATTATAGCCAACCCTCATCGCCCAATTGAAGCTTTATGTGTGTACTAACGTCTGCCCTCCGCTCACCAGTTGTTATTCGTCATCGGTGTTGTACTGATCATTGGTCCGCAAAAGACCGTTGTGTTCTTTACACGATCAACAAAGATTCGGGGAACAATCTTCTTTGTACTGGGGATTGTCCTCATTTTGATGAAATGGTCGTTTGTGGGATTCATCGTTGAAGCCATCGGAATACTGCAACTCTTTGGAGACTTCTTCGCAGTTATTATCACGTTCCTCAGAAGTATGCCAATCATCGGACCGATACTATCAAACCCATACATCGCACCAGTAAGTTTTGTCATTTGGTTTTACAATTTTGATTTATTGACGTGTACTAACGAAACCCTTCTCACGCACAATAGACGATCGATAGACTCTCTGGAGCAAGAGTGCTTCCAGTTTAATTAACGTTTCATCAAATCTATATACCTATTCCTTCTCAAAGGATCAACATCGACTAACAACTTCAAGCACTGTGTAATCTCTTCACTCTTATCCTCGCCTGTTTGGCCTTGGATCAACTGATTTATCGTAACTACAGTTTGTAGGCACCAACTGTTTTCCTTGCCGTCGTCCTTCTCCAACTGGTTCAACTCCTTGACCGTTTCCAACTCTTGCTGTAAGAATTCGATGTACTGTTCCTCTGGAATGTTTTGTACAAATATATCAGATGTCAATAGCCAACGCAGATAGATGAACACACTTTGGTCATCGGGATCCGTATACATGGCGTTGTGCAGGTATTCCAACTCTTTGGTTAGGAACTGTGCGTGTGTCGTGTTGATCAGCAGCCCTCTCTCAAAGAGCTTTGGAATCAGCTTCGTTCTATTGTGCAAGGCAGAGAAGTTGGAGAAATTCGCATTGATCATCTTTGTAGTGTACTCAAACTCTTGTAATGTCAGGTCCTTATCCTTTTCCATGTGGCTTATGATGTATCGTCTATACGTCCATCCGTGGAAGTTTCGAGGATCCAGCTTATGGATCTTCTCAACAAGCAACAACTCATTTTCCCAGTTTACCCTCGGATGGTTCTCCAGCAGCCACGTTCGATGGTTCCATATCCAATACACTTTGGGAAACTCACGGAACTTTGCCATGTTATACAGCAGCTCCTTATCAAACAAATCAACAAGACCCTCCTCGCCCAAGGATTGCATATAATGATTCACAATGATATCACGTCTATAGTTCCAAACCGTGTAGAACTCAGGATTCACATCCAAGATGTCGGTGGTCTTCTTAAAGGCACTATCGTTGAACACGCCCTGGGCTTTGAGCGTCAACACATTCTCTGTCAGTGCTCTGTAGTTCTTAATGGTATGCTCCTCTTTGGCCAGCTTTTGCCGTCTCGCCTCCTCTGAAAGGTGGAACCTCTTTATGCCGTGCTGTCTGTGGTGTTAGTCTGGTCCATTGTTGATAGGAATTGTGACATGGAACTAACCATTGCGAGGGTTTGTCGATTTGTGTGTCGTTGTTCAGTCTCGTTGTTGATGGCGGAGTGGTTTGTTGATGTTTTGGGAAAGGTCCACGGTGAAAATTAGTTTTGAGAAAGGTAAACAAAGACAAACAACACAACGAATATTGGGCCCTTACAAGCAATTCACCACGCTTCGATGCCTCCAACACGCTCTCAGCTATCACTACGTGGATCTGCACAGCTCATCGCGGAGTTCTTCGAGTACTCGATCCATTCAATTCTCTACCAAAGAGGAATATACCCTGTTGAAGATTTCCAGACTGTTCGAAAGTATGGCCTGAACCTTCTGGTGAACGTTGACGACGACGTTAAACAGTACATCAAGAACATCATCAAACAAATCTACCGCTGGATCTCGCACGACAAGATCACGAAGCTGGTGCTGGTCATTATAAACAAGGACGATGGAGAGACCGTTGAGAGGTGGCAATTCAACATCAACATCGAGGACAGTGCGGAGACCACGAGCGGTGGCGACACTCAAACTGAAACAGACACCGCCGCTGTCCAGAAGGATATCCAGGCGATTATAAGGCAAATCACAGCGTCCGTGACTTTCCTACCCTGCTTGAACTCCAGTGATTACACGTTTAACGTCCTGGTCTACACCGACTCAGACGCACCTGTGTCGAAAGACTGGGTAGACTCGGATGCAAGGGAGATTGAAAACGGAGAATCAGTGAGATTCAAGAGCTTTAATACAAACTGTCACAAGGTTGACACCTTGGTGAGCTACAAGTTGGACCAGAACTGACACTTGGCTGTTCAATCTCATCAGCATTCGATACAAACATGGGAAGCAACGGCCTCGGGGAAACGATCCCGTATAGTTTCCGGTATTTAGTGCATACACCAGCCTGCGAAAGAGAGCAGTGTGCAGCAGGTGAACGGGTTTCGCTTGATGAGAACCCCGTATATATACAGTTTGTTCAAATAATTTATCCGCAAGCTTTGCATATGTAAAGGAGGGAAACAGGGGAAACAACGTGCATCGTCTTTGGAGCTATATAACGGTTGGCTTCCCCTTTCTCCTGGTTGTTTTCCATGGCCATACCTTTTTCTCCACTAGAATGGTGAAATAACGGTGAATGATGTTATTCCTTTACTTTGTACCACTAGTTCACGCGATAACCTTGCAATGCGAGCCTATTCGGGTAAACTCAACCCTTGCACACCTTGGAGGTGGTGATTTCATCGCTGCAAGGTTGATTGATCTGATTCACGGTAGCCTGGATATGGAACTGCAACTGTTGGATATATTCGACGAGGTTGGGTTCGAAAGAACGTTGGGGATCACGGAAGAGGACCTGGATGAGAAATGGTTACACCAGGCGCCGTATACCGTTGATTCCTCCTCTACGTGGTGCCACACCAAGGACGTTGAGATCCACGGCTCCTCGAAGAGATTAGGGCTAAATGAGTTCGAATGGAGTGTTCGCCAATTCCTCTCTTGGAACATTATAGTATCGTCTATCCTGAGTCTGCTATGTGCTCATCAGTGGAGGACCATGCGTGACTACAAGCTTTGGACATACCTAATGAGCTTCGCTCTACTACAACCAGTTTCACAGGCGTTGAGATACTTCACCATTGGCTCCAAACTCTACACCTTTGCCGCATGGCTTGCCTCGTTGTCGTTCTACTTCCCGTGGTGGTTAGTGTACACGTATACCCGGAAGCCCATGAGACAGCCATTCATAGGGCTGACGTATCTCACTATCGCCACAATGAACGGGATCATGTTCTCACACTCAACACTATTATTCCAGTGGATACTATGGGTTCTCTTGGAGAAACTGGAGGTGCTACAGCCGCCATCGTTGAAAGTGGTAAACCACAGCATGTGGTATGAAGTGTTGCCGAAGTTTACTCGCAATTCTGTTAAATGGCTTGTCTTTATAACAATAATATTTGACATTTCATCTGTCCTGACGAGTGTCGCAGAGGACAAGGTCATACTCGGCTTGCCATCCGAGCAGCTCGTCATTTCTCATTGGTTGGACGTTCGACTCACATTTTTGGAAACTGGGATGGGTATAACCCATGTTTTCTTGGGCGAACTCATACCAAACATGGTCACGCTCATCACTGCAATCATCGTGCTACCATAACAATAGTAGTATTTATGCTACACGATATAGAGAAAATAGAATAAGAGTGTACTGGTTGCAACGGGAAAGGCTTAACTCTGAGAAGTGCTAAACGTTGAAGTGCATTGTGCGCACAGCGTAGTAGCAGATACAGGGCAAATCAGCGTAGCCACACCTGTCTTTCAGCCTCGACGGAGGCCTCGTTTGCGCAAGCGAGGGAAGTGTCAATTGTTAGACGGGCTCGGACACAGTCTCCGTGCCAAAAGCTGAACTTGGGACGATCCATAGCATTATCACCAGAGAAGGCTGACTGAGTAGCCTTAGCACAGACGATCAATTCAGTGGTACGGCAACTTGGTATTCCCTCATAGGCAGGTTGTTTGTTCCAAGGCATCAATTCCCTCCCCGGTACCGGAGACGCAGATCTATCAGCAATGAACGGTGAATTCCATAATCTGGACAATATGGTTGTTACGGGTTCTAGGAAAGGAGTCCTCACTGCAACGGTGAATAGTGAGGAATGGGCTTTATAAGGTCATTGAGTATATCTGAAGCACAAGACAGTACAGAAGGCATCCTCATCCTCTGTAGACTATATTATACATCCAGACACCTCAGGCAACTTGAGGCCCAAAGTCTATATGATGAGCAGTTCAAGAGAAGTGGTATTGGCATTTGAAATATTATATGATTGTCGTGGCTTGGGAGATAACTCTGATTGAAATTGTTCAAGTTCGACTGTGCTATGGAAATAGCAACGCCAGTATTTCGTCTTGGATTAGGAAGTTTCTACAATTTTAATAAAAGGGTTTTTAAAGGAAAATGAGGGATAAATAATTTATTTATAATATTTCACGAACTAAAACAAAAAAAGGGTAGTATTTATAAACACATTTTAAAACTGATAGCTCTATATTATTCATTTAGTATCTGTGAAGCAGTTTTGAAAGGTCCTTTGCGAATTGTGTCTAGGGTAAAATCAATCTACCATCACCTCACTCTTATCATTGTATCCTTATGGCGCATGAAATAATGCACATTATATAATTATAATCCGAGCACCAGTGAGCTTTCGACCCAAACGAAACTTTTGTCGATAGTAGTAGTGTACATGAATGTACCAAATAGCCAAAGGCTCTTATCGAACTGGCGAATGAACTGGTCCCTGTGAGCATAATGAAACCGTCACTTAAACCTACTGGTCTTACCATGTCCAATTTAAACCCACTCAAACGGTGTCAGTATGTAACATCCAGTACACCTTTGGTAACATCAAAGTCTGAGATCCGTGGTGTATACGCTGTGGCACAACAATTCTACTTCAAGATGGCACTGAGAAGGTCCATCGTGACTTCTAACGAGTTCTTTAAGTGCGAGTTTTATCCACCTTCTCACCTTTTGGGACTCTTCAGAAAATCACGGCCTGCGCTTCGAGTAAAGTGTGAACAGGACCAAGTGCTGTTTAACGACCCATCTCTTGATTTTGGATCAACGAATAAAAGATTACAAGGTTCGGTGAAGAACATGGATATGATGTCATACAGTTTCAAACGTATTGAAGTAAGGAGACTCATGCGTGAAAAGTTCTGGGACTCTTATCAACGTGGGAAAGGATGTGATGGACTATACGTTTTCAACGTTAGACTCTTACCGAAAACTGCCAGCGAATGGATCCAGTTTAACCAACATATATTACAGGCCATAGAGAAAGTTACCAGTACAGACTTCAACAAGAAGATTCAAAATGACAATTCACGTGTCGATTGGAGGAAGCTACTGAAGGTGTTGGAGAAGAACGACATGGTCAAGCCCGAATGGTTTGACCAAGTTGCTGCTCTATACTCCAAGAAGAGTATAAAAAGAAAATCTTCAACGAGCAAAGCGACACAGATGATTCAATTACCAAAGAGGAAACCAACGTGGTGAAAGAAGAAGACAACAGTTCATAGATAGTCACACCAGCTTGGTGTTCTTGTAATAAATTCCTTATCTTTGAATTTATACCTGAACGCATGGAGCCAGATCACCATTGACTCAGGATTTGAGTCTGCAAATAACAACTCTCCGCACTCAACGCATCGACCAGTCACACTCAACCTCTCGATCTTATCCCTATCTTCTTTTAACAAAGTGTCAAATTGCTCCTTGGTCATTGGCGCTTCTGAAATGAGTAATTGTCTCCTGAGCGGTGATGACGCTGGACCGTATAGAGGGTCATTAACGATTGGGAACCCTAGCATATTTAGATGGATTCGAATTTGATGAGTTCTTCCAGTTGTTGGCTGGCATAGAACGACTGATTGGTTCAGCTCAGGGCAATACGAAATCCTCGTGAATCTTGTAGATGCCTCCTTCTTCTCCTTCATTGCATGTTGGAACCCTAACTTGGTATCAATATTAGCCACTGGTCTATTGCACACGATCCCATTTTCATCACCAGGGAACTCACCCTGAACCCTTGCCAAGTAGAACTTTTCAACTTGTTTTGAACGGATCTCACGTTGTAAAGAGGCCGCCATTTGTGGGTTCCGTGCCAATATCACAATTCCAGACGTGAGCTTATCCAAACGATGGCATAGGTATAACTCACCGTATTTGGGCTTCAACATCTCTGTCAGCGAGTTGTAGTAATAACGACCCGTTGGGTGTACTGGAATCGACGGCGGCTTGTTAACAACAACCAACTCTTCCGATTCATAAACTGTGTCCACCGGCAAGGCCAGCACTGGCGGCTCATGCTTGTGTACCGTCAAGTGCAAGATATCCTTGTTCTGTAGGCGCAATGACAACAACTCATCTCCCGCTATGATCTTGTTATCCCTTTCTATCTTCAAGCGCTGTAGAGCAATCTGCCTCAAGTGAAAGTCTCGATCTCGGGTTTTGAACTCATCGACAACAACATCCAGGATGGTTCTGTTCAACCACCTGCCCTTGACGAATAGCGTATTTGTATGGTGATAAGGAACCACCTTCTGGAGACTCATCATCCGGCACAGCCCTGGTTGAATGCACTAGTTTTAGCCAATCGATGAACTTCCCCGTAGCTTCAACTTCAACTCCAGCTCTCACTCACTATATGAAAGTTCGGAGGTACACTGGCGCAGGTCAAATCCCACCTACACACGTATAAACTACATTACAATCAGGGCCAATTGCTACACAAACCCTTATAATAGAGCGCTACGATGAAGCTTCACGTCATTTCAACGTGAGTTGTCAGCTAATACTTTCTCTCTGCTCAAATTGTCTGATCAGCCATTTTTAGCCCTTTGGGTATGTGACGACGCCCCAAACCGCTCTCCCCATTTTCAAGCACGGAGCTCCCAAATTACCCAATCATCACGCGGATAAATTGGTTAGCAATCTCGTGACTTTTTCTGCCTCTGCAGTCGGGGAGCTGACCAGCAGCCAAATTTGAAACTGGAACAGCTGGTTAACGCGTGTTACATAAACAGCTTCCCTCAATTGGTTGGCACACGTAATGGAACCACTTGGAAATAACAATCATGTACAGAGAGCATTCGATTGTGCGCCCATCCACGCATAGAATCTTTCCATGCCCACCCTCATTCTTACTGATCTGCCAGACAAAGTGTAGCCCAGAAATTAGCTGGAGAAATCGGAGTCCCGAAACCAAAAAGAACAAGTCAAAAAGAGAACCAGAAACACGCATTAAGCTCACATTAGTGGGTCAACTCAAGGTCCTTTTATACTTGAAACCACGCCATTGAACATTCGATCCCCTTGTGCAACTCGTGGGCTGAATTATGGCGCTGATTGTATAGTTGTACTGGTAGTGGCCGTTATCAAAGTTTAAAAATCAGATCATTATGCGTCTCACAAATTATCACCAGATTTTTTTTGGTCTTAGGCGTTTGATGGTTCGCCTTTTGATTTGCAGAGGCCGCTAAAATGAACTGATTTTACGTTGTGCACCGAAGTTCATTCGGCACACCTCTGTAAGTTTTTGGACCACATGTAGAAAAATGCTTTCTTCAGGGGGGGTTCTTGGACTCTTTGTGTCTGTGTATAAATACTGAGACGCATCCCACATATCCCTTCCTCCTCCTCTGCTGTTGTAGTCTCTTCATCATTTCATTGATACACAACACAACACACTAAACTATACCAAACAAAAATGTTCGCCTCTGCCATTCTCAGATCCGCCGCTGCTGTTAATGCCCAAGTTGCCGCTAAGCAAGTTAGAGTCACCCTTAAGCCAAACGGTGTTGCTTATATGCTTGGACTCTACGCTAAGAAGGTTCCAGTTATCTTCATGTGGGCCGGTGCTGTCGGCACCGCTTTGTTCTGGCCATTGGGTGCTGAAGGCGTTGTCAAGAAGCTCGGCTGTGGTACCTTCGGTGCGCAAAAAGTTGCCAACTCTCTCTGAGTCATCATGATATCTATCTTGGTATGATGATACACTGTCGAGCTGGGACGTGTACCTGATGCATTGTTTCGAATGAACAAACATCGAGTCACTCAAATATATGCTGCTGGACACTGCAAATATTAGCCAGTATCATCTGCTGCTACTAATGAAGTCTTATGAATTTATAAATATTCGTATAGTTTGGTGTTAATTTGAATTTTACTATATTCCTTTGAGTTTTGATTTCATTTGTAGTTCACAGATTAGATGGTGTAATCTTTACATCATGCATTTTATCACTCTAATTGGAATGTGAAGTGGGTTTTGAATGGTACCTTGCAACCGTGAGAGTCGTGAGGTGTAAAGATGCATGTTGATTGAATACCCACAACGCTACCTTTGCTCTTGATATGTAGAGAGGGAGATATACACAAACCATGTATGCTGGACCAATTTGGTTTGAGACCTTGAGAAAAACAATCACTCATAGATTCTCTTAACCCTGGAGTACTTGGTTGGTGATTTCACCAAGGTTCAGTAATAACGACCAGCAGAAGCACCTAGCGCAACGAACACAGCGTACTTGCAGTTGAGGAGCTCCTTTTGGAAAAACAAACATCAAAAGAGTTGATTCAACCAATGCGGATTCTGAAAGTCAGTATGACGCTGGTATCAGAAACAACACTATGCTTTATAGATTGTTTTAAATGTGCTGGATAATCTTCAATTGGGCCATTATTGTCCGGTGAAAGCAAGCGTCGTTGTAAACTGGAGAGATTGAGAAATCGACAGGTACAAAGCAAAAGCAAACACAGATCAAAGAGCAAGCAAACAGCAACAATATTTGAGCAGTAGGCTCTAGTAAAGCAATCGATGTCCATGCTCTGTGCTGGTATCGGGTCTCTTCAGCTTTGACGACTCCATATATACACAGATTGGTGTATATCCACCTGTGTAGGAAATGGCTCCGGTTCCAGATCGCCATGTTTCAGCTATTGACAGTGCAGTGAAACTTCAAGTCAAAATAGTAGCTCGGCTGAATAAGGCCTTTTCAACCTGAGAATTGACCCAGACTTCCAATCAAGGAAGCTCACGCTTGGTCCAACCGGTAACTCCACATTTCCTCCTGTTCAGGAATCACACTTGTATCGGCGTTTCTACACCAAGGCGTCCACCTTCCCTGCTGAGATCCCACCATCTCTGTTTGCTCAATAAACCAAGTTCTCCTTAAACAGTTCCAAGGTGCTATACCTATTACCAACCACGGCACAATAATACAATTCTACAGGGTAAGAGCCATGCAATGTTGACACAACCAAGCACCAGAACTCCACCGCTTCCTCCAAAATTTATCTGCTGTTTCAAATATACACCGTCCAAGCCACCAGTTTTCGCATACACAGAGCTATTCCCACACAAATCTATTCCTACACCATCAGTGCAAATTAGCGCTCTGTTCAGCTAACAACCATGTGTAATGGGTTAATAAACTCTCCCGCCGCCATTCCACTCATCACCGTGTTTGTTTACTTTTCCCAAGCGCACGACATCTCGCACGCCAGCGTCCGCCAACTGAAACTTTCCCATCTGCGGCGCGTATCAACCCAGCCTACGCATCTGATTACATAATACAACACCCGGACACCCTCTCTGCACGTCCCCATCGACATCAAACCTTTTTTTCTTCTGCTCTTTGTGGCCCTTCTGTGGGTTTCGAGGACAACGGGTACTATTGGCTATTCAGTACTGATCTCACTTTCAATGAAGATGATTCGAACATCGGTGAGACTGATACACACGTCGAGAAGGCTACTACAGTCAGCTCCAGAAGGCACCTCGACGGCCTTGCCTCAGAAGGTGTTGGGAAAGGGCAAGAAGAAGGCGCCGGAGAAGCAGAACTTGGTGATATTGAACGCCAAACAGTCCAAGCTGTATAAGAGGAAGGGTCACCGTTCACAGGAGAACACAGTCAAGAAATTGGACGATTTGGATCTCTCACAGATCCAAGAGACAACGTCGAAGCTGCTGAACATCTTTGATAAATCTCAAGTGTTTGTCACAGACCAAGAGCTCTGCGACACGGTCAATGCACACAAGCCTGTGAATCTACAAATGTCCAAGCAGAGATATATACAAATCACCAATGAGTTATCCAGTGCGTTCACACTGAAGCAGATACGGAGATACATCTTCAAGGAGCTCTCCAGCCTGTACGCGCCGAAGAAGTGGAATAAGGCTCAGCTCATCGACGCCATTGTCCAAAAAGGTTGGAATTGTAAGATTTCAAAAGTCATCAACCCTTCAGATGACCTTATACAGACAAGATCTTTCTTCTTGACGAAGAAGAAAATGTTCCTGTTGATGTCGCACAGCTCTATCGTACAGAATTGGATGAGGGCGAACGTGAGAATCGTGTTGTTCCCAACATCTCTACAGTTAGTCATAAGTGCCAACGAAGCACACCTTCAGTACATAGAGCTGGCCCTGGATAGCTTATTCAACAATGCGAAGGAACAGGACGTTGACTTGGAAAGTGTTGAGCAGCTATTTGCAATAACGGGTGAAACACTACCATTAGAGGATATCCAAAGGTTATCTAGCGTCTACTTTGAGAAGAAAAACGGAGATGAACCCCATTTGTATACGATGTCATCTTTAGGTGATAGGAAATTCACAGAGGCTAAAAGATTGATTCTTTGGTCTTTGGATTATAACCCTTTCATGAAGGCTCATTCACACATCGATACAATTTCGCCGAATGTCAAGTATTTCAAAACCTTTGCAGACCAGTCATTCCCATGGATTCATAGAAAGAAGAACTGGTATAGGCTGAAGGAACCAAAAACGATCAACAGTAAAACTGACGAGATTAAGATCGACTCGAATGAAATCTACAAAGAGTTGAATAGTGAACCAAGCAAACAAGTTTCTTTCAAGCTTGAGGATCCACAGGATGTTGTTGCCGTGGCCTTTGGTCAATTGCTACAGTCCTCGAATAAGGGAGATGATCCAAAGAACAAAACGATTTTCAACACAGAGATACCGTTCATCCATGAGAAAGTGCTGAAACTACCATTATACGACTCCGAAGGCGAACAGATCGATACTACGGTAGATAATCATACCTACTATGCACAAATCAAGCTGTTGCCTTCGCCTTTCAACAAGTCAAACAGTTACTTGGAATATCCACCTATTGAATTCTGGTTTGATATAGACGAGAGAGAATCAGTGAAGAAGGATACCTTACAGGTACTATGCATTACAAACGATCAGATCTCAAACGTTTCTGTTCCACAGTCAATAACTGATTTGAAGTTTGTCAAATCTCAAATGACGAACCTGATTGATGGTTATAGAACAGATGACAATTGGCTAAAAGACCAACCTGGAATAAGGGAGTTCTTAATGAATGCCAAACTCAACTTCAATGGACAAGAAAAGATCTTTGTTCCAGATTACGTGGACATTAAACTACCGGGATCAAAAGAACCTGTGAGATACGACTACATCACAATGTGCCATAGAAAACAGTTGGATCTGAGATATCACGGAAGATTAGTAACGTATGCCGTTATTGAAGGAGGTTCACTTGGTGGGTCAACCTCTGAGGTGATAATGGTAGGAAACGCAGATGAACTGAATGAAGAGGGATTCAACAGCTTGGTCAGTGATGCCATAAGTTTTGCAAAAGACCTCGGTGAATGAGGCTCACTACTTAAAGAAGGCACACGCATAATAAAAGTTCCATTGTATATAGAGATAGTGAACACGCAAAACAAAACACACACAAAAGAATCAAATGTTTGACCTGTAGAGAATACATAACAATATAAGCATGGCTACCAAGATACAAAGTCCCTTCCAACAACCCTGAATACTTTCATCTTACCACTTTTCATATCGGTTGGTTTATAACTGGAGTGTCTTACCTTACCGTTAGCGTCAACCTCAACAACACGGAATTTACGTTTCTCTTGATCAAATTCAGTGATGACAGCAGCAAATGGAGATCCACCAAAGCCAACTTCATATGTAATCTTTTGATGAAGTTTACCGTGTCCTTGGAATTTCGCCTTGTTAATGGCTAGAATATCACCGGGTTTAAAATCAGCATACTGTTTGACATCAGTGTTGTTGTTGTTAGAGTAGATCGTTGCACCATAGCTTCTCAAACCCACGGCTGGCAATGCTCCTGGAATCTGTGAGATGATATATGGAACAAGCGGATCAGTCAATGTCGAGTTAACAAGCTTTGTAGCAAACTGGAAGACTTTGACACCATAGCTTTCAGCATAGGATTCCAATCTCAATGGATCCAAAGATGGCGCATCTTGCTCCTTTGTTGTGACGTGAAGGGTACCTTGTGGATCTTGTGCTTCAAAGCTAACACTTATCAGAGTTTGAGAGTTATTTTGATGAAGTATATAATAATCACGAAGAATCAACTCTCTTCCACCTCTTTTCAGAACCTTGTGCTCGTCGACCTCGAAAATCAAGTCTCTACCGACACGGGCTTGCAAAGATGGAGGCAATTCACGTTGTCTCAACCACCACTGAGTACCAAGCTCAAGACCCTCTTCACCTCTGGACAATACTGATGCTCCAGTTTCACTTGCGAACGTTGAAGCTTTTCTCAACGTATGAACAGGAACAGGTGGTGCTTGACCAATAGGAGAATGAGAAGAAGGTATGGATGAAGTTGCTGTCTCAATAGGTGGTGGTGGTGGTGCTCGAGGGAGTGTTGGTGATGATGGGAGTGATCTATCAGAGCTCTGTTCAGCTTCAACCAAGGAGTCATATACTTGGGGAACTGGAATTGGTGGTGGTGGTGGCATCTTAGGTCTAGCTTGAGATGAGGTGGCCAATGGTGGTGGTGGAGGAGCTTGCCCAATTGATGGAGGAGGAGGAGGAGCTTGCCCAATGGATGGAGGAGGAGGAGGAGCTTGTCTGCCAGATGGAGATGGTGTATATTGAGCTTGCTCAGTGGTTGGAGCAGGAGGTGGAGGGGGCGGAGCGTGGCCAGCTGAAGGTAGAGGAGGTGGAGCCGATGTCAGCTGTGGTGCTTGAGCAGTAGGAATTGGAGGTGCACTTCTTGGTACTTGGCCAAGTGCTGTACCCGGAGCTGGGGCATTTGGAATCGGAGGAGCAGCTGGTACAACTGGAGCACTTGGAACTGGTGGTACTGGAGCCGTGACAGGAATTGGAGGAGGAGGAACATTCTTAGGATCCAATGTTTTTGCTTGTGGTGGATTTTGTGTGGATTCTTCATCCGACTCATAACCTGTGTTATATTCGGAACCGAAGTCCGAGTGAAGAACAGGATCAGGAATTTTTGGGAGAGTTGTTTGTTTCTTTTCCGCATCTCTGTCATAGAGAACAACATCATCGTCTGAACTGTATCTACCTTGCTCGTCATCTCCTTCAATAGCAGACTCTGATAGCGTTTTTGGGGCCTCAGAGAGATCCATGTTGGCTAGTTTATCAGCCAATGAGTTACCTGTATGTTTAGCCTCTGATATGGGTGAAGCTGTATTGGATGGAACAGAAGGAATTGGAGGAGCAGCACGTGTAGATGGTGATTGGGGAACCACAGGAATTGGAGGTGCCTGATCTATCGAGCTTTGAGTTTGTACCGATGCGATTGAAGGTTTGACTGGGGATGGTGCTTCAGAACTGTCAGCACTTTGTTCCTGTTTCTGCTCACCAGAAATATCATCAGTAGCAGCATCAGGTGTACTTAGTTCAACATCTTTCTCAGAGGACTTCTGGAGAGCCTCAGGAAGTTGGGGTGCGGAACCTGTTGCAAATGGCATGATTGGAATTGCAGCTGGCATATCGTAGGTTTCCTCTTTCTCTTCCTTGACCTTCTTAGAATGTGTAGCAGACTTACGAGGCCCACTTGGAACACCACCAAATGGGTTAAACCCTGCACCGTACATACCACCTGCACCTGCAAGACGGGCCATTCTGTCCCTAAGAGCAGCTCTTCTGGCCTCCTCACTATCCTCTTCCTCCTCCTCCTCTTCTTCTTCTTCGTCTTTTGCTTCTTCCTCTTCTTCTTCCTCTTCTTGTTCACGCTCACCTCCTGTGATACTGACTGGCTGAGCATCAGTTATCTCTTGAGCAGGATTTATCTCTGCAACATGAGATGCTCCTTCTGTCGAAATGTCCCTCTCATCCTCCTCAAAATCTTCCTGTGCCTCATGGAATTCATCAGAATCAACATCTTCGGCTTCAATTGCGCGTGCATGTGAAACACCAGAACCAAGGGAACGTACTTCAGACGTTGCGGAGGCAATAGATGCCTTTCTTGCAAGTTCAGACTTCTTTGACTCTTCAGCTCTTTCAGCTTTCTTTCTCAAAGCAGCAGCTTGTCTCTCAGCCTCCTCAGCCTGTTGCTTTTGTAGCAGTGCAATTCTCTCCTTGAGACTGAGTTTTGGGCCTTGCTCTTCCTCGGGTTCATCCTGTGAGGAAACAACGGGAGGCGGTGCCGGAACATCAAATGTTTCAGTCTTTGGCTTATTCAAGCCCAATGGTGGAGGAACATACGACGAATGGTGCAGATCACTCGTGAATGTTCTTGTCTCCTTCTTGTTGAGGGGCGGTGGAACATAGGAAGATGGAACACCTTGGTAGGACTTCTTAGCGTAAGTCTGCTCTGCGATCTTTGCCGTTGGCAGAGGAATACCGGAGTCAGAGCTAAAGGTTGTAGCCTTTGATTGCAGTTTCTTTGGTTCAGACTCTTCAGTATGATGAACTGATTCGGATTCTCCTCTGGAAACAGCGGCTAGCCCCTGTTGAGGCGCTGCCTTCTCCTCTGGTTCCTCCTCCTCATTCTCCTGATCAGCTTCAACCTCTAGAGCACTGGAAGCAGCAGGGCTTTTTGACGTAGTCTCCTCAATCGGCTCACCCACAAAGTTCTTTGGGAACATACCCTGACGCACCTGTCCGTTATCATCGGTATACTCACCACTGAACCACTCATCATCCTCGATACCGGTAACCTTCACCAATTGGCCAGCCTCGAAGTTCAGATCATCTTCATAATCAGACTTATAAGCGTATAGCGCCTTTGTCAGAAAGGGAAGCGCCTGTGAAGACATGTCGGCAACGCACCCCCTTATTGTGATTTGTATGGAGGGTTTCCTTACTGGGGGTTCAAAATCTCGATCTAGACGGGTGAAATCAAGCACAAAGTTCTCTCCTGTTTGCTTCAATTGGACTAACTGACGGCGCTAGGATATTTCTCTATATCTCAGAAACGATCTGATCAACCTGGTTAACGACTTCTTCCGACAACAATCCTGATTGCTGGGTCTATATGGGAACGATTGAAGCAGTGAGCTTCCCTATTTGGGGGACTTTTTCCCGCGTACTTAACAACCCGTTTCCTAATTCGCGAGGGCTCTAAATCCTTATAGGTGTTACCCTGTCGATGATGAACCGATCCAAGTTGGTGTTCAGGTGTTTTGTGACACATTTATACAATGACACACACATACAAAGCCTACAAAATAATTTCGTTATAATATTGATTTCGTGATACGTTTATAGAACGTGGAGGGATTCACCTCTGCAGGTCGCAAATGCACGATTTACCGGTCTTTGGACAATGAATTACAACCCACTTGGTGCCCTTTGAGGCTTCTTTTGATAGTGCATTGTACATGTTGGAGACAAACGACCTTGGGGTTGAACTGGACACTCCGCCAACTTTTCTCATCCATTCCTGCTCCTGGGAAATTGAAGTTATGGAAATCATATCAAGAACTTCGTCCTTCACGTTGTCAAATGCATAAACTGGTGCTGACGATAGATCCTCGATGATGTCCATACTTGCCTTCTTGGAACTCGACTCAATAGAGTACTTATCCTTCTTAATCGAGCTCTTTGCACTTCTCGAAGCATTGTTTGGAATGAATATGATCTTCTGCTCGTTTAAGGTCAAGGAATGCGTCATACTGTTTGATAAGCTGTCCTCTGAATTGTTATCAGCAGTGAAAAAGTCTTGTCCAGGGTTGTTTTGCAAAATGCCAGAATCTCTTTCTCTGATCTCGACACGCAATAAGTTCAGCAATTCAGTTTCAGTAACATCAACGTCGAGCTCCTTTTCAATGTTCTTAACACGGAAGGCCTTATAATTTTTTTTGTGAGAATGAGTGGCAGTGTTTTGTTGTTTGATCAAGACAACCCAATTGGCTCCATCACGAGAAGCACGGGTAAGTATATCATCGACACCGTGACATTTACTCAAGAGATCTGCTGATATGTTGTGCAACCATAAGTTTTTCAACATTTCGATCCCCAGAGACCTCCAGACTTCAACGTTACTCAGACTTGTAACAAGAACATCACACCTCTTAGGCTTCCACTCCGATATATTCACATCTTTGAAATACTTTAGACGATTCTTAGCCTTCTTCACGTTTCCATCCATCTTCATATACGTTCTCATTAGCGTGAATATTTGTTCACAAGCCAAGTTAAAGCCAACAGCATGTTGAACATGGTTACGCCCCCCTGAAGGACGAGTCAAGTACTGTATCAGACTATCGTAACGTCCACCAGCAGCAATCATGGAACGTGGGGCATCCTCCTTAACCGCCTGGAACATTATACCACCGGAGTAAAACGCAGCATTGAAACTTCCCAATGGAGATACATAAACTGGAGTCTCAACACCCAGTTTTTTCAGGAAGTCAAATACCTTTGCGAGATATTTCCAGTACAGTTCTAACTTTGAGAGATATACACTATCAATCATGAGCTTATTGACCCTTTTTCTGGCCTGATCAAGTGGAAGTTTAAAATCAAACTGTTCAAGATCATGAAGAACAGTTATAGGGATTTTCAACTGACTCCTCAATTCTGTCTTGGCTGCATTCATGGTCTTGGTGAATCCAACCTGACTCATGATTCCAATGACAATCTGAGTCTGCGCCTTGTCAATACCACAGAAGTCAAAAATTGCATCAAGAATCCCACAATGGTTCACAAGGATGGATGTAGAGTTAGGCTGAAAGATTGGGAACAGTGTAATGATTTCATCAATTACTTTGATAACTTCAGCGTCATTGTAGGCTAGATCCACGGCGTCATCGGTGATAATGTCAAAATCAACTTCAATAAATTTAGCAGGCTCAGAACTGGCAGTGCTACTGTCAGGTCTATAAACATATTCAACCCTGAAGACCTTTTCGAGGTTCATTACATTTTTGGAGAGATATCTCGCCATAGGAAGTGTCAAGTCATAAGCGAGCTGAAGAACCGAGCCAGTACTGTCTAACAGTTCGTAAACGTTTTGCATAGAGTATAACGGCGATTTTGGGAAGAGGAGAGGTTGATCTCGAGTTTCAACTGAACCATGTCTCTTAAAGATTGCAATTACTTCATCAAGCATCAGAGAATTGAGTAAATGACTCGAATAAGGAATATCTTTTCTTGTTCTATCAAACAAAATATCATTTGGTAAATTGTAGGGTTGAGAGAACAATGTCTTTCTCACCTGCGCTTGCCATGGTGATGAAGGATCGGCCAGACTTTTCAGGGCCTCTTTCACAATCTGGTCCTGTTCTTTGACTGGCAGTAAGCCGGATTCCAATAAAGCCTCGGCAGAAGGCCTGGACTCAGCATTATGAGATAAAAGCTTCTTGATCAACTTCTTTTCGAGGCCTCTATCAGCAGGGAACTCTGATGGAAACTCGACTGTTGACTTTCGCAGAGCGAGAAGTACCTGGACCCTTTCCATACCAGTGGAGAGTTTGTAAATCATTTCGAAAAAGATAATACCAAGAGAATACATGTCCACCTTCTCATCATACGTACCATTCCCGTTCAAAACCTCATTCGCAACGTACAATGTTGTCCCAACCTCCGAAGTTAAGTCACCTGAAATTAAAGATGCCTCTTCAGATTTCGTAAACTTTTCAATGATAGCATGACGGACATTCTTGGCGAGTCCAAAGTCACCAACTTTGATATTCTTTGACTGGTCAATATAAATGTTTTGAGGCTTTAAGTCTCTGTGAATGATACCTTGAGAGTGAATGTGTTTCAAAGCCTCTAAAATTTCTCTAAAGAGACGAAAGTATTCATTGCGATTAGCTTGAATTCCACCTTCTTTAATCAAGTCGAATAGTGATCGGTTTTCACAATATTCCATCTGGATGAACAAAGTACACATAATCTTGTTCTTTCTTCCATATTTGGGATTAGGATCGTCTTCAGAGAACTCAAAGTCATCATCTTCATCACCATCAAGTTCTTCATCGGAGTTATAGCCAAATTCAATCTCAGGTCCGTCTTGAAATGAGTTGGAAATAAAATCGAGGGTATGACCTCTTGTGATGCTGGGGCGATTGAGATTCAGATTGGAGCCTGATATCGAATGAGGTTCAGACATCTCAAAACTGTCGTCCTCTGAATCTGTAAACTCGTCGTCTTCAGAGTCCGTAACTATAGCGTTATCATTTTTGTAATCGTAGTTTTCCACCCAAGTATTGTAGTACCTCACAACGTATTGATGATTCAGCTTCGCCAACAGAAGAACTTCGGTCAGAATGCTGGCAAGACGATCTTCTGAGTGACGAATCTTCTTGATTGCATAGAAACGTCCATCCAATCTGTTTCTAGCTTTAACAACTTCTCCAAATGCACCCTTACCGAGAAACTCACTTTCTTCAAAATCCGTTGCATATCTAGACAGCATCCCAGATGATCCTCCCAAAAAAGACATTCTTGAGTTATTTGTAAAACTCCGTCTTATCTTAGACGAATGATTAGATCCAGCAGACGTGGTTGGTACCAGAGCTGTACCAAACTCATCACCGAATGCAAACGTCCTTGAAAGGTTCGGATTGACTTGTTCGATATTTGTTCTTAAGAACTTTGTAGCGTTCAGCTGAAGAGAATCGAGTCTCTTTCGAGATTTCTCAGCAAGCATGGACTCTATAAATTCTTCGACGGAATCTTCAAGAGGGGTGGTACTGATGAATTCAGCCGGTGTTGAGAATTCAGAAACAACGTTTACTCCAGCTATAAGTTCGACAAACAAAACACCTAAATCCCATATATCGGTTTTGGCTTGCGGCTGAGCGTTTGACTTGATTTCTGGTGCTGGCCAAGGAGAGACGACTGGTGAAACATCGGTCATATTTCTAACGTTTTGATGCTTTGTCAACATGTTGATCAGTCTATAACCATATGTTGGATGTTCAAGTTTAACTCTCATGTTATCATCGTGGTTTCTGACAAAGGAAACCGTAGATAGATTGATAGCTTTATGAGTCAATCCGGAACCATGAAGATAATCTAGTGCACTAATCAGTTCCAGCATCCATGCTCTTGCTGCAGACAGGTTGACATAGTTAACCGCATCTAACAAATCTTCTATGGTCCCACTAGATGTGTAATCGGTCAATATAGTAACTCTGTATTGCAACGTTTTCTTGTCGACCGGGTCAATATTGTATGCGTAAAGAGTGGATAAATTATCGTGGTGCATGTTCGAGAGGCTCTCAAGTTCCCTTTCGAGGTATTGAATCTCCTGTCTTCCTGCATGGGTAGAGAAGAATTGGTTCTCTAAATCAATCTCAGTGAGTAGGAACAGAGCATGATCATCAATAGAGGAAATATCCTTTTCGTAAATAGAGGCCAGCGGCGAATCTGATTCCAGGTACGGTTTGACAATTGTCTGCTTTGCAAATTTGAGAAGACCCCTAGGCTTTGCAGGCATGCAATTCACAACAGCTCTAAATTTCAACACTTGATTGTTAGGTAATCTAGCGGTGATCAAATTATCAAAGACAAAAGCCTGATGAGAGTCTACCAATGCCTTGGATGGCAACAGATGTTCATCGTCTATATCCATGGATGGAGAAGGCGAGTTCGAATCGTTCTGAGTCTGCGTGCTTCTCTTCTCTATTTCAGTCTTGATCAGATTCTTCTGATGTTCGAGGCTTTCAAGCCTTTTAGTTTCATCCAGTGCTTCTCTATTGCGGTCCCTCTTCTCCTGTTCTGCTATTTCAGCCTCAATTCTTAACAGGCGCTCTTCTTCAAGAGAGTTGGTGTTAACAGTGCTCTGGAATTCGTTCAATTTCTCCTTGATGTGATCTGTGATGTCAAAGATCATTTCGCAGCCGCTCAATTCCTTAACCTTGTCCTTGATGAACAGCTCCAAGACACGAACTTGGCTTGTAAGCACGTTAGAAACATCCTTGATCTTAATAATTGGTGGTGTTCTTGGATATGTCGGGGTCATCTCTACTCTCACAGTCAGTGAGGCACAGGGCTCATCTCCTTCAACGTCAGACTTCAGCTTAAGCTCAAACTTGGGCGAAGGCTTCTTGTGCCATGCAGAGGTGGCATCCGTCTTGTCTTCGAAATCATCCATGTAAATGGATTGGAGCACATCAGCCTCATTCTTCTGTATCTCGTAGTATTCTTCCAATGTACCACCGGCGTCGACCATTGTTCTAGTCCAAAATCTTGTGTCTCGGTATACGGGGAACCAAGATCTATCTCTTGCTTCGTCTTCTTATGCTGTGTAGCCTTAGAAGTATTTCTCTAATGGACTTCAAATAAACGGCTCTTCAAGTTATAACAACCAGACTCTTACGCGTTCTGCTTATATATCCTCAAAAAAGTAACAGTTCCCTACGTCCTATGTCAGTATATGTCCTGTGTTGATGTAGATCTCCAACAATTACAACTCACTTCTTGCTCTGAGCAGCTTAGAAGGCCATGTTAAGCTTATTGTATGATGGTATGTCCTTGTTGTATGTAATCAATATTCAAATGTACAAAGTTTCAGCCTATGAGGGAGGGAAGGAAGTGAGCTGATGCTGTTGTTGTTGATTGTTGTGATGTGTGTATGATGCCCTTTTTGTACTGCCAGCGGCCAGCTTTTCATACACAGCGGGCCAGGCCGCGAAAGACACATCACAGAGCACACAACCATCGCTCTGTACGATAGCAACACGACAGCTATTGAGACACAGCGGGGACTCCAATACAGCGAGATATGATAAATAGGGTTACTTATACAGTACAGTACCGTTCTATGTACTCTCTAAAGTGGCGTAGTTCATTCTCTTCTCTTCTCCGAACGTCATGACCATCCATATAACTATCCCTGAACTAACGTTTTGGTCATCGATATGATTCATAGGAGTACTCAAGGACAGACTATATTGCAGAGGTTTAGACGTTGTTGTTGGACAACAGATGGCTGTTGTAGTCTTCTCCAGTATCTGCTCTTATGATGGCGTTTTCGACAGCCTTAACATCACTATCGTCCAAATATGGCTTGAAGGAGGCATTGCTTGACAGCTCAGGGAAGTTTCTTCTATATGACCAGTAGGCAACAGTGAAGCCCAACATGCTTCCCAGGATCACATCAACAAAGTGGTGTCTGTAATCCTCAGTTCTTGAGATTGCAATCAACGCAGCGCCCAAAAGTGGGACAGCAGCAACAACTTTTCTCCAGGAACCCGTCAATGGGTGTTCGGTTAATAACTGGCCCATTAGCCACAGGGAGAGATATCCTAAGCCTGAGAATGCAGAACTCGAATGTCCAGAAGGTGTGGTTCTAAATCCATCAGCAAGTCTGAGCAAGTCCTTCGTGGTGCACACATCCTTTGCAAACACCAAAACGTCCCTTGGTGCATCGGCCTTAGGGATACATCTGGCAATGAAATCAGGTCTATGTCTTCCAATCCAATTCTTCAAGGCATCTGTGAATAGCTCATTCACAAAGAAAGATACAAACAGACCCAGAATAGAAATATAACCCAAGTACAACTTGTGTCTTGGATCACCTAACAGCGAAGTGACAATGACAATTATGACCACAGGGATCGCCAAAGAGTAGATCATATTTACCTCGTTTGGAACTCGTTCATGCTCAGTAAATGGATGGTTAATCGTGACGTCGTTAATAACAAATTGTCTCTCAAAGGGATAACTGATATAAAACACATAACTGTTGATTAGGAACACGATTGGAATCAAAATAACATCGCCAATTCTCCACTTCACAAACACCGGATAGACACTGAAGTTGTCTAGGCCTAAAGTGATACGATCCACGGCCATACTGACTCCCACCGGTCTCTGTTCTATATACTAAGCTCGTCTTGTCGAAACAGCTAAGTCTCTCTTCAACACGTCATACGCAGCAGGGAACAGCAACAGTTTTTTCCCCTACAGCACGTTTCTGGCTGTACAAGGCACTTTTCCTTTGGTAAAGGGACACACAAATATAAATCAACAACTCTCTACTAAAAGCTCGTTTTAAAGCAAGCCGAACAAACTGTTCGGAACGTATAATAGACAAGATAATGTAACACTATGTATATAAAAATAGGAGAGCAAATCGTGAGCTCAAACACAAAATACAGATCTAATGATTGAACGGTATGTCCTCGAATAAAACAGAAACGCACAAGAACACAAGATCATTCGTCATCGTCATCAGAAATCTCTGCCGTTTCAGCTAAAACGATCAACTTCTCAATTGACGCAAGGTGTTTACCGTAGTTTGGCTTAGAGATCTGCTTGAGATACTGCTTGATCTTCTTGATGAGAATTCTCTTCTTCTTGCCCTTAGACACCTCAACGAGCTTTTGAACAACGTAATTAGCAAATTGATCCTTCATCATCAAACCCAACGGAGAACGGTCATCCACTACGGAATCATCATCCTTATCGTTATTGACAAGGACTTTGTCCAAGATAAGAGCAACTTGTTCCTCGTTACCAAACATGACACATTTTTCAACAACGTTCGAGGCAAACTTGTGTTTTGAGAGATCAACCACAGAATCAGACACAACTTGAACAATTGCTGTTTTGTCTTCAGGTTTACCATGCTCGATGATGTGTTGAATCACATAGTTACCATATTGATCTTGGATGAGGAAGTAGGTGAATTTGTTCAACTCGTTCAAGATATAGATTTGATCCTCTTCATTGGAAAACTCCAAGAGTCTCTGAATAACACGGCATCCGTATGGATGAGTGGATAAATGGTAAATGTGCTCCTTTAAAGAATCAAAGATAAAGCTAACCTCAACAATTGGAATCTTTTCAATCGCCTTCTGAATAACATGGTTACCATTTTGATCCTTGATACAAGGTAACACATAATCTTTCAATTCATTGATGATGGCGATTTGATCATTCAATGCCACGAATTCAATCGCCCTTTGGACAACTCTGCAACCGTACATCTGTAAGGATAAATCTTTGATTTTGCCTCTCATCTCATCGAGTAAAACTTTCTTTTGAGTTTCGGAACCGTGTTCGAAATACTTCTGGATGACATAATTACCAAAGACATCAGTCATAAGGTCAACTGCAACGTCACGGATTTCGTTAAAGAAAACCTCTTTCTCCTCCTCCGTCGATTCTGCCAATGCTTGTTGAATAAATCTAGAACCATGCTGATCTTTAGAGAATTCGACTGCGTTACCAAAGATATCCTTAAGCTTATGGTTCTTGTTGCCTGAATTACGGAACTCCTCCAAAGCTGCACTTCTATAGAATTGCATCTTTGGTTTACCAGGCTGACGGCCATTACCGTTGAAATGGCCACCACGACCAGCATTCTGCCCACTCACCTGGCCTGAAGGTTTTGGAGAGCGTGGTTTTCTACCTTGCTGTTGCTGCTGTTGTTGCTGCTGTTGCGGACCACCCATTGGAGACATTATCTGGGGAACTGTCAAAGGTGGTGACATGAATGGGAAAGGAGAAAAGGCCTGAGGATACATAAATGGAGAACCATTGTTGTTAAAGCCTGGTTGTGCGTGTTGTGACTGAGGATGAACTGCTCCATTGGATTCACCACTAGGCTTATCTTTTGAATCAGAACTTCCGTCGGAGTTGGTAATCTCCTGAGCTGGAGTATCACCTTGCTGTTGAGCGTACTGTTGACCTTGAACACCGTTATCTCCAAATTGTGGAGGCATCATTGGCATAAATGGGAAAGGAGGGAAGCCAAATGGGTACATCTGGGGAGGATAACCCTGAGCTGGATAACCTTGAGGGGATCCCATCCCTGGTGGAAGCATCTGTTGCTGCTGCTGCTGAACCGATGCTTGACCATACATCGGCATGAAAGTCGCTGCCGATGCTGCAGATTGTGTATTCCAGATATTGGTACTGTTCACGTTGTTATCGCTAACATGATCTGAAATGACAGAGTTATGTTCAGATCTCACGTCAGATGAAATGGACATGGCTCTGCTAACTGCACCTGTAGTGGATGCTGCCGCGGGTGTCTTGAAAGCCTGAGTTGGCGAGCCATTATTTGACAAGTAGTTGTCAATTCTTTCAGAGACGGATTGTCTCGAAGAAGGAACATTCAGTCCTTCATCAATAGAGCCGTTTGTACTGTCCAAAAATGGTTTGTTTGGCATTGTACCCTCTGGCGTTAAGAATGACGTTCTTCTTGAAGATGAAGGAACACGACCACTGGTGGTTCCAATGGACAAGGAACCTAATCCACCGCCCAAAAGTTCCACTTCCCTAGTGGCCTCAGCAACAGCAGAAAACTTCTCCAAGAATCTTCCAGAGCCACCTCCAGTTGATGCTACTGAGGAGTGAGATGGGATTCCGCCAGATATCGACGCAGATGCAAACATGTTGCTTTGAAGTCTCGAAGCACCACCGTTGCCACCAGCACCAGATTGACTGAGTCCTCCAAGAGAAAGAGTGCCTCTTTTAAATCCAAATGCGCCGTTGTAGTCGGTGCTATCAACATCAGAGCCCGCGTATGACGCACTGGTGTGGAACTTGCCGATATTCTCGGTGTTCAGGGCATTGCTGTTGTTGTTGTTGTTCAGGTTCGAGTTAGCACTAAGACTTGATATGATAGAGCCCAAGTCGGGGTCTATCTGGTCAAGCGCAGAATGCCTTGCTTCAGTTGTCTCCCATCTGTGGGTGTTGGAGTCTGTTCAATTTCATCGTCAGTAAAACAGGCGTCCACATAAAAAAAGAAACAAAAACGTAGGCCAAAGGCCAAAGTACTAAAAGTACACACAACTCACCAGTCATCATACGAGGAAGATGTGTTTCCGATCTCAGTCTTTATATATACAAGTAGCCAGAAACCAAGGAACAAAAAAAAGTCAAACAACAGAACGGGAATAATTCTTTTCCAGTGTTATAGTCTTTGTTGTTGTTGAGTGTGTAATGTGGTGAAAGTGGTGTGAAGAGACTCAGACTGTGTGGAATATGTAAAATCCTTTATGACTAAGGAGGTATGGAGTGTAAGTTTATGTACAAGGGATGAAGGAGAGAGAACAACACAGAGATAGTGAGGCTATAAGGGAGAAGTTGGATGGCGCGTTGATTGTTAAGAAGAAGTTAGTAAAGAAGGGAAAAAACGCTGGTGATGTTTTTGGAGAGAGAAAAAAACAAGACACAAAAGGAAAGGCGGGCGCTCGCACCAGCGAGAAACTTTTTTTGGTAGGCCGGGGAGCCACAACCAACCAGTGGGCAGAAACAACCAATGTACGTTCTCATCAACGGAGAAATTCCACAGGCAAAGGACAGGACAGAGAGACGTTGGCGCCCCGGAGCTTGTAACGAAAACTGGGATCATCGCACTAAACGAAAAACTGTAGATGGCAGGGCGAGGGTGAGAGGGAAAACGTGTAGAGATGGTGCCATTTGTCTAGGCCTTAGAACTACAGTACATTGTAGAACAATTGTATTGAAAAGAATCACCAAGTGTCATGGCTATTTCTGAGCTCTTTACAACGTTCATGAAAATGTGCCATTTTGTGCCTCCTAGAAAGTCCAGGAGACAGCAAAACGGTAGTGATTTCCTTAGAGGAGCATGAACGCACTCCTTGTGTGTGTGTGCTTTACTGAGATGCGGCAAGACACTTGATGAGGATGTTGCGCACGCCGTTGATGTTGCGCTCTTCGGGTTCAGTTTATAATCCTCCAGTTATATTGACGTTACAATATATCTTTCACTAACAGTAGGATGCATAGTGTTCCTTCTGCACGGTGTGGCTAGTAGAATAGTTGATATGATAATGACAATAAGAATAATCTTGATAACAATATAATTCAGAAATATACGAGATGAAGGTTAAGTTCTAGGAACTTTATAAAGAGGAAATATAATGGTTCAAGGAGTGCCTTTTGAGCCATTGTAGAGAAACACTCGAATCTTGAGGAGTCGTGCTTCATGTTGCTTTCACACCCAAAAAGGCGTGTGACAACTGTTAAATGTTCTAGTAAATCACAGCTGATATAATTCAGTGATAAAAACGGGGAAATCGAGTCCGAAGGTCGAATATCACAAGCAAAGTGGTAAAGACACACGCCTTCCAGCTGTGTGAAACCACGCGTGGTGAGTGGATGGTCTACACTGGGCTCATGATGAGCACAACGTCTGGTCCCCTCCGGACTAAATCGAAATCAATACGGGCGAGATAAGGAGTTTGTCAAATGTCCGTTGTCTGCTTCGTAACACTTTCCCAGCGGGAAGGCCTTGAATTTTTAGGCTTGAATTGCTCATATCGGACACTTTTCCCACCACAGATCAGTTTTGCTGTCATTTTGCTGTGCCTTTTCGTGCCCTAACCGCAGTTTCGCATTTGGCGCAAAAGTCTACCAAAAGGGCATCTCTTTGGGCAACAGCTGGAACCTTTGCAGTGTTTTATGGGCCTGGCGGTTGAAAGGGTAGTTGGATATACAAGCATGTCTAAAGGGGCTGGTCTTGAGGAGGTGAAACAGCTACTGAGGGCATTACAACCTCCTATTTCAAAGAGAACTTCACAGACTCTACACAGTTTACGGACTGGCGGTGGTGACACCAGTGCAAATGATGACGGTCATATATCACTACCTTCGAGAAGGGTGATTGCGAGCTCAAATTTGCTGTATTTTAGAACTAGAAATCAACTGCTACACTCCTCAGACTTCAAGAAGCTGTCTGATGAGTTGCCATTCGAGGTATTACAAGCAAGAGATTCACAACTCTTAACTCCCAAAGGCGGCTATTATCTGTTGTTTGGATCGTTCGACCATGCTGCCAAATATATGTACAATACCATTGGGAAGACCTTGAACGGTGTGAATTTCTACACTGAGATGTGTACACCGCAAGCTCACGTACCCTATTTGAAGTCGAGGCACTTGGATGAGTCTTTCCAGGTTGTTGAAGGCGACAAGTTTACCCTATTGAACTACTCCTCTCAAGTCCCAAGGAGCCATTACGCCGTGGTACGAGGCTTTCCAACTTTTATCACCAGGTCAACCTTGGAGAATATGCTCTGGCAATACGATTTGAGTCCAACAGATCCGATTAGATGTCTAAGCAGCGATAAAGTTGGTAAAGTATCCTCATGGCTTATAAAATTCAATAACCATCTGGATCCACAGAGATTTGTACGCCGGTACAATGGCAAGCCTTTCGATAACGATGCCAACCTACCATTGGTATTTGCATCTCAAATGGATTAGAATTAGAACATATATATCATTATTAAAACTACTGTTATTACTCTCTTTGCTAGAACATTCTAAAGACTTCTCCATCCATCTTTAACAATCTCGTACTTCTTAGCTTCGGATTCACCGTTATGATGGGGCTGATTTGGCGATTCTTGAATGACATACTTCTCCCATTTGAAGCTCAGCTTCCAAATGATAATTATCGAATCATCGCCTGACCAGCCAAGGACTCCCGAATCAACCTCATCCCCCTTGCTTAGACTCTCATCCGGTTTCAAATGAATCGAACAGAAACTCCACGTGGAGTTGAAGTAGTCAGGTTTAGGGAAAACTGGTAAGTTCTTCAGCATGTGGTGCTTGTTGACTTGTTGGTGTGAACCTGAAATGTTATACACATGAAGCGTCTGCTTATCGGAAAGCACAGCTAGTTTGGTGCCATTTGGCGAGAACTCCATGGCATATACAACTGCCCTATCTAGTCCTCTTCTGAACTCGTAGAGAAGAGAGCACGTTTGGGTTGAAAACACACGAATGATGGTACCTGTTTCAGACGCAGATGCGATCATTGTACCAGACTTGTTCACTGCAAGACATCTAATTGGTGATTTGTGTGCTTTGATGATGGAAACCAAGTTCCGTTCCTTACCGTTCGAGGATATATCCACAACTTGTATTTGTCCTTGCACCCGTGCAGGGAATGCCAGCACTTGGGAATTCGGCAGTTGAGAACCAGCTTGATAACTACCAGGGGATAACACTGAAATCCCATGACCATTATCAAAAGTTTCAAAAACTGATAAGTTCTTTGGGGGAGACGCAAACGTATGGACGTAGATCTTGTTGCTTAGGACAACAACTATCCGCGTTCTCGACAGCAGCACGTTCAGCACAGGACTGAAGAAGTTCAGATTCAATGCGTCCTTCACCTTCAAATCGTTCCATATGATAACTTTGTTCAGCGGGAACTTGGGGTTCTTCCCACCGCCAACAAGCGCAAGGTAATTCGTCCTATAGAGCATCTTGGCAATCCCTATACCCTGCCCATTACCATCACCATCAACGGTGAAATCACGTTCCACTTTCAGGTCCATAGGATCAGCATTGTACACTTTGAAACCATCCTCATAGCCCACAGCAAAGCAGGAGAAGTCTTGATTAAAGGACGCCGTTAGCATCCTAGGCGGCCGTGAGATCTCTGTTATCGGCCTACGCGTATCCATCGGTCTGGTGCCTAAGAAGCTGCGCTAGCTCTTCTGCTCTCTCAGTGTTGTTTCCTCGTTTAGGGTTTTTTGTTTACTGCTCTGGGGAGCTTTGTCCCACCGGAAATAAGCGCACTTAAGCGTAACCTCGTCTTGCTTCTGTGTACGTCAAAAGCTGGCGCGAGCCATCAACAGACACTTCGAGAAAGACCAGCGAAGGTAGGAAGGACGAGACAGGGCTAAGTAATTGGAAGGCAGACGATGAGTTTTCACGAGTTCAATGCTGGGGAATGGTCCTCCCAGCAGGGTGAACGGATGAAGCAAACGCTGAGCGATCTTATCCCGAAAGAGCAGGTGCTGTACAACATTGGCCATTCAAGAGCACTTCCTAAAGACCACTATACGGTGGGCGTTGAGGGCGATGTGATTGCTCTGGGGACCCAGTTTGACAGACAGGCCGCTCTGGGGTACTTTGATATGGCGGGGATCGACGGTAATGACGAGCTGTCTCAGTTCTCAGATGAAGTTAAGCTGTTCTGTCACCAGCTGCAACACATGATGGACAAGAGAGAACAGTATCTGAGGGTATCAAAACAGAGGGCAAGGGACAACCCGCTGAACTGGCCGGACTGGATCAGTTATCCACCTCCGCAGCCAAGAGGGTGGCACTATGAGGATGAGTATGGCGCATTGGACTATTACTACGATGAGAATGCCAAACCGCATTACTTTGGAGAGAACTTCCATATTGAGGACTACACGGAAAAGATCTTGATGCCCTACCTCGAGAAGTATCCAAGGAGCGGTGAGATCATAAGATCAGCATCCGGAATGTTGTGCGTCAAGGGGTTTGAACCCTGTGATGAAGTACCAACTTTCAGGGATTTCGTCGAGGACATCACGCAACTCATCGAGATGAGCTCGAACAAGATTGGTCAGTTGCTCTCTGTTAGAAGGCTACAGTACCTCAGAAACAAGTTTGAGTCTTATGAACTGTTGAACCAGAACAGGGAGATCTATTTGACAAAAATCAATCCCCACCGTGATTTTTACAATGTGAGGAAGATTGATAACAACATAGATTTGACGATGTGTATGTCGAAGAAACACTTACTCAACGTCATCAACAAAAAGCTGAATGACGAACCAAATAGGGTCGTGTACAATGAAAATGGGAAAGATTGGACCCTTAAGGAGTTATTTGAACCGTATTTTGCAGATAACAAAGATGAAAGGCTAAACATTGATGATTTGTTCGAATTTGGACTCATAGATAGAACCTTAGCTGACAAATCGCTTTACATCGATGATAAAAATACAGAGTATGATGACATCATCAAAAGAGAAGTACTTCTAAGAATCGACAGCACATTTTTAAGACATGACAATTACATCGAGGGTGAATACCTAAGTATGGTGCTGAAACAGGTCCTTAGCGACTATGAAAAGAGTAAATATCAATTTGGAGAGTTAGGTGTGACTTTACAACTTGCAACGGCAAAGTCTGATTTAAACCCCTGGAGCTCAATTGCAAACTGGATAGTGAATAACCAGTTGGTGAGTCATAACGTGAAATGGTTGGTAAGAATAGCAAGAAACTATCCGACCCTGAAGGCACAAGGGAAGGTATCCAACTTCCAGGGATTCATTGACCTCATATTTGCACCACTGTTTGAAGTCTCTATAGATCCATTGAAGGATATAAACTTGCACTTTTTCCTAACAAAGACAAGTGGAGTGACCTTGCTTTCAAACTCTTTGACCATTTCAGCAGAAGAAGAAGTTGGCGACTTTACACAATTGCCGACACCATCAGACTGGAACTCTACAGATAACCCTCCATATGGCTATTATTTGTTCTACATATTTCAAAATCTTACAAATTTGAACACTTTCCGTCAATCCAAAAAGTTATCTATTTTGAGCTTACGGCCTATGGTGGCATCTGTTACAGAAGCGCATTCGTTTGACTCTCTTGCCACGGCCTTCTTATTTTCACAAAGCATTATAAATGGAGAAAGATTGAGACATCATCCCGTGTTACAGTACCTCTACTATTTGAAACAGGTTGGTATCACAGTAAGTCCTTTATGTTGGAACAAGAGTGTGCAGTATATGAACGATGATGGTCGTATGGTTGCTGGGGACAAGGTGGCATACGAAACACATCCAGGAATTGATTTCTTCAAGACAGGGATGATGGTGAGTCTTTCCACAAACAAGCCGTTGTTCTCGTCACTCACAAGGGATCCTTTGATCGAGGAATACAGCGTTGCTGGTAGTATCCACAAACTGTCTAACATCGATCTATGTGAATTGTGTCGTACAAGTGTCTTGATATCGGGATTCAATTCACAGTTTAAGCAGCACTGGATCGGTATCAAGCTTACAGATGACCCTGAACATCCTCATGAAAATGTTGATGATTTTGCTATACAGAGAAACAATGTTCCAGATATGAGGTTGAACTACAGGAATGACTGCGTTGCTGTCGAGAAGCAATTTATTCGTAATCTGGATGAAATCAGTAATGGTTCTACAGAGTAAATTGGTATAATCAGCTGATAATATAATAAAAAGGTATAGAAAATCAGACCCTCAGAATGTTGATGATCTGTAAACGTAAAACGAACATAAAGGCCATCGATTTTAGATTAACCACCGTAGCTTGTTGCGAAGACCTCTCTGATTTGATCAATACTGTAACCAGAGTACAAACACAATTGCAACAAGATACGTGCCTTCTGTGGGTTCAAGTAACCTGAAGCAATACCGTAAGATGGGACATCGTCAGTTGGAACAGAACCGTCTGGGGTTCTTCTACTGTAGACGATTGGCAAGTCGTACTTGTCGATCAACTCTTCGTTGGTGATTTCACCACTATTAGTCCAGGAACCAGCACCAGAGCCGGCAAGAACCAAACCCTTTGCACCCAACTCCTTGACAGCTTGAACGGCCAATTCTGGGTTAAGCCCTTGGTAAGAGTACAAAATGATAACCTCTGGAATTTCAGAAGCATCGGTGACATTTGAGATATCGAAATACTGGTAACCATAAGCTCTGGCTGGTGGGTAGTAAAACTCAATGTTGTCGTTGAAGAAGTGACCCAAGTAACCTTGCTCGTCAGCCTTGAAGGTGTCCACAGAGTTGGCGTTCATCTTGGTAGTGTACATAGCAGAGGCGATACGATCATTCATTGTGATCATTGTACCACGACCCTCAGATTTGCTGGAACCAGCAATGGAGACAGCTTGGTACAAGTTCATTGGACCATCAGCAGAGGTGGCTGTAGATGGACGCATGGCACCAACCATACAAATTGGCTTTTCAGACTTGATAGTCATGTCAAGGAAGAAGGCAGTCTCTTCCAAGGTATCAGTACCATGGGTAACAACGGCACCATCGATCAAGCCATTCTCGAAATCCTGGGAAATGTTATGATGCAATGGGATCAAGTGAGTGTAATTCAAGGAGTTAGAACCAATGTTCGAGATTTGGAGGTACTCCAAGTTTGCAACATCACTCAAAGATGGAACAGCGTCGATCAAGTCATCGACAGTCAAACCAACTTGGTAACCAGCAGTGGTAGCAGCAGTGGAACCCTTTGAAGCAATGGTACCACCGGTACCGTAAATCTTGACGGTTGGCAGAGTTGCATTTGTTTCATCACGGGCCTCGATGATTGGCAGAGCAGATGTCAATGCGACAAAGATAGAAAGAAGAACGCTGGTAGAGAATCTCATTGTGCGGAGACTGAATGGAGAGTAGTGGTTTATCGATGCTGTATAAACCTCATGAACTGGTGACCATTTGAGATGGATTCAAGCTTGTATTTATAGGGCATTGTGTGTATCAAAACTGAAGATAATGATTTATTGTTGAAGCCTCAATGCTCTGATATCAGTCAGAATAAAGATAACCTCTTGGTATCAGAGAGAGTAAAGATAACATCTGAGCATCAACCAATCACCTTGGTGCTAGCTCCTACATACAGATGCTAAAAGAGAGACGGTCCATTCTCGCTCAATATGGTTGTATTGAAACACATCTGGGACCAAGTTCGAGCTCAAACGCTCGATGCTGTTTTGTTCTGTCCTGCATAATCATGCGTTCTATAATCTCCTCGTTGGGTGAAAAAAAGGAGGTGGGGGATCAGAATCTGCCTAGTCCCTTGGTGCCGCACACTGCCCATTGAACTTTTCAACTTGTCCCCTACAAAGAGTGGAAGTTTGTGAGTGTGGTGGTAGTTAGCATCCGCACTCTTCAGGACGTACTTCCTGGACTCTAAAGGATTTAAGATACTTAACTACATTCAGGGCCCGAGCACTGACGCCCCAGTTCTGGACAGTAAACTGTGTCGTACGTCTCAACCTTCAGTTGTCTGTATACTATAGGGCTTCGGAAAACATGGAACATGCCATAAAATCGTAGCTGATCAACTGATAAACAAGTGCACTAAGAGCATGACGCTTTGGGACGCTTTTTGAGACCTTTGAGCTGATTGGTTGGAAGATAATTGTAGAGGTAAACGGCTTTCATGATGTATCTCACGTGTACATGTGCAGTGGACTTACTATATCGAAGGATCATTTTTTGCTCGTAGTGAGACGCTCATTTGTAGCCGTATTGAGTGATAAATTTTGGCACTCCCTGGGGTCTTGGTTCTGCAAATATTATGCACAATCGTCCGGTGGGTTTTCCAGCTAGTGTGCGGTCTAGACCAGTGACGAAACCATATAACCTGGAGTTACTGCTTCCCAAATGTTCAAACAACGGTAAGCTCAATGAATGTTGGCCCCTTCTGTTAGTGGCCTATCCATTGATACCAAACTAGCCCATCTTAGCTACAGGCTTCTGGACTCGAACGCTGTAGACTAATAAAGGGGTACCAAGTTCCAAGGCCCAAAGCTGCATGCATATCTCGACCCTAGTCTTCCGTGTGCTGCATACTTGTCCCGAACAGGACTTGGGTCTATGGTCGTAGGGTTGGGGACTGGGGAGCCTACGCCTAGGGCTCTGGCTTTACTTACTTGACCAATTTACAATGAGGAGGTATTCTAAACGTCATAGAGCTTTGAATATACACATCTAAGCACCATTCAATGGTTCCTCAGGGAAGGAGTGCACTGTCCGAAGTTGAGTGTCGAGTGTGACTCCAATGCTCCATGCCATAGATATCTCGAAGAGTCAGTCTGCCAGGACTTCAAACTAGTAATGCCTGCAACCTAACTTAGATTATCATAATTTGAATGCGCTCGTATACGCTACCATTAAAGTACAAGTCCCACTTTGTCGATATCTGACCACACCGCATTCCGATGTTGAGAAGCAGGCCAATCATTAACTTTCGAGCCATCAGGAACCCCCAAGTTTGTTGGTTATCTCTTCAACGTGATGATTCATGTGCCAATTAAATTTCGCATGCATCACACAGAGTCATAACATCCCTGGTGGGCACAACATCCAGAGATAGGCAGCAGGTTCTTGGTGGCGGATGTGTGGTCCCGGTTTGTATGTGGATCGTGGTATGATTCGTCAGTTGTAAGGTGGCGATGTCGTTTTGCGGATGAGCCGTTTAGCGGACATCGAGAAAATGCACGAGCGTTGGAAGTCAAAGACCAAATTAATCATGCTCGTCTCTTTTAGGTTGAAATCTAGAGAAATTCGTCATAGAGCCTAGGTTTAGTGTACCGTCTGTCGGTTTCATGTGATCACCTTCTAAAGGGAAACTTGTTTTTAACCAACCACACCGAAGATCGCATCACTCCGGCATAATCTTATAATTGCTCTCTGCAGGCGAGTGGTGGTATCATTTGGGTCATATTCTTTCTGAATATTCGCAAAGATCTACCGTTCACCACTGGCTGCTATTTCGTATAGCAAAGGTGCGATAGACGCAACTCGGGCCAAACTGCACTTTTCTCCGTAAACCTATTTACCCGCAGCATAAAGAAGAAAGTCTATGTCTGCATCGAGGTACTGATTTTCACTTTCGAACGTCGTCTCGGTTTCGAAAATGGCTGAGCTTGAGTGCTGTATTTGGAAGGTCACTGATAAACAATCTGGGTTCATGTTCTCTGACCAATCAGTTCTCTTGTTGTAATCATGGAGGTAGATTGACGGTCTCTCGACATCATATCTCTTGTCTACGATACGTTGTCTGATCGCAGCTTGGACACGATGTGTATACGGTGGATCAATGTGACCCGTTGGCTTTTCAATTGACAGTGGTGTGAACAGAACACACTGGATTGTCTTTGTTTCCTATGTAGAGACAGCGAAAGAAGTGGAATTGAGGCACGGTAAGGAGTATTATTGTGGTTATGGATTTTTTTGGGGTAGGTTCGTTATAGAGATGAGTTTCCATTCCAAAACATATGATTGTGTAGACTAAAGCTCAAAACATCCTTCTGCTGGTTTAATTTCACTTAGCTAAGGAGAGTGTCTCAATTCAGGTCAAATGATTGCCAGTAAACCCTCTTTCAGGTTCTGACCCTGGGCTAGACGCATTCTCAAAGCAACAATCCCAGGCACTGCAACACTGTACAATATACTGGCGACATATACAATAGAACGCATGGATCCAGGCATTGTTGTGTCCTGCTCCTATCAAGCCACCGGCATTTTTGCTACATCTGCATCATCATTGTCTTTTTTTACTGATAACTATAACTTCTGTTTTGAAAGTCAACGCTGTTGATGACAAGAAAAAGCCATCACTTATTAATCATCAATGAGCACACATCCTTGACACGTTGCATATGAATCTGTTTCAACAAGCAAGTTGAGATCATCTCTATTGATAATCGTAGGAGAAATCGAGCTGCTTCTCTTCAACGATTGATTGGATGCTACGACAATGCCTAACACAGGTTAACTTCATCAAGGACATTAACGTGAGTTGTATGGAGTACCTGCAAAATCTATGCAGGTTGCGTAAACAGCCACTTTTCGGAATATTCCGAAAACAGGTGTTGGTTCAGGAACGCCCTCGTTAGCGTAAACTGGTTGGGGCCACATACTATATAGCTTTCGCAAGTCGATGAATCAAGACTTGGCCCTGTACTACTTCAACAGAGGGCTTGAGCTGTACAGCATCCAGAAGTCTGGCCAACCATGAGTGAGCCTTCAGATAAAGATGATAAGAGAGAACCCTTCAGTACTGCAGCGTTCGTCCACTCCAGAGACTTAGAAGGCGAAATCACGACATCGTTCATTTTCAACTGGTTTATTGGATGGCCATTACTGGTGATCCTCTTCACTTTCCTAACATATACTCTTTCGACGCATTACGTCACACATAAGTTCATTGATGAGATATTCCATGTCTCAATGGTTGAGCAGTACTACGGTGGTGATCTGCGTACTTGGGATCCCAAAATCACCACGCCACCGGGGTTATACTACTTAGGATTGGTTTGGAGTAAAATCGTTTCAATATTACCCATCAAGTGTAACCCTGTTGGGTTGACTTCTTTGAGGTTATTGAACACATTTGGAGGCACAGTCGCTCTACCAATAGCTTTGAACCCACTGTTCTTACTCAACCCGGTTGGATGGTGGCCAACGTCGATAATGCTTTTTCCTGTACTGTCAACGTATTACTACCTCTTCTACACCGATGTATGGAGCACCGTCTTCATCGTTGCATCGCTCAGCGTTGCTATCGGAACACCTTGGAATGAAAAGCTCAGCATCAGAGTTAGTGCCTTCTTAGGGTTTTGCAGTGTTTGGATGAGACAGACAAACATTGTGTGGAATTTGCTGATCCTCGTACTCGTCATCGAAAGAAGGGCCATGATTCAAAAGAACTTCACAGATAGTTTCCTTAATAACTGTATCAAGTTTGTGATACAACTGGTTGATGACTTCTATGATTTCACTCTACCGTATTTAATCAATTTTGGTCTCTTTACCTTTTTCCTTATATACAACAGAGGCATCACCTTGGGAGACAAAGAGAACCATGTCGCTGGTCTTCACATCATGCAGTTCTTCTACTGTCTTACATTCATCACAATCTTCACGTGGCCTGTGTGGCTGAACTACAGCTACATCAAGAGCAGCATCAGAAGATACTACTATCAACCATTCCAGATGTTCTTGGAGCTCTCGGCCATCATGCTTGTGATTCGCTTCTTCACAGTGGCCCATCCATTCCTGTTAGCAGATAACAGACACATTACATTTTACATCTGGAGGAAGATTATCAACTTTAGATGGTACACCAAATACCTCATGGCCCCTATTTATCACTTCTCCGTCGTGACTGTATTCGGGGCTCTCATTGATGACTCCTTCTACTTTAACTCGGTGGATGAATTACCTTTCAAACACGCAAGAGATCTTCCTTTGAAACTGACAGGGATCTCCATCATCACGTTGACACTATGCATCTTTTTTACAGTGGTTCCATCTCCACTGTTTGAGCCACGCTACTACATTCTCCCGTACATCTTCTTCAGAATCTTTGTATCTGTGATCTATGAGCCGTTCCTTCCAGGCGAGCCATTAAGTGGTATTGTATTGAGAAGGTTGAGCACCGAAGTTGCCTGGTTATTGGTGGCTAACGTTGCAACGATAGGCTTATTCATCTTCAAGACATTCACGTGGGAAGGTGAAGAGTCACTACAGCGTATTATTTGGTGAATTCATGGCGTGTGTCTAGATTAAAGAAAAGTTGTGTGTTATAGAGAAAATTTCACGGTGATTAATCAACCTTCATATCGTTCAGACCAAGAGATTCATTCTCCTCGAATGTTCTATCGTAGTCTTCAATGGTCATGTTTGGATCATCATCTGGGGCGTAAACGTTTTGAATGTATGAACTTGCCAATGGATCTTCCATGTGGACGGTGAATTTGATCTTTCCGTCAATAGCGTCTTGCAACTTGGTGAAGAAGGAGTTCCACTGCTCCTTGGCTGCTGCATCCATGGAATCAGATGTCTGTGAGAACACCTTGGAATGCAATTCATCGTACACTTGTCTCAAAAGACCCTCGATAGTAGTGAAACGGCCACCTAGCGTACCTGGAGTAAGATCCAAATGCAATTCTGGAACTGTCAGACCACAAGTTTCCGATTTCAATATATCTCTAGCCAAATCTTCTGGATCGTCAACCTTAAGAGAGATACGACGACCCTTTTCAGGGATTGCACCTCCCGTTTTAACTTCATTGGACTTGTATCCACATTTATCGCACGTGGTACTCATTAGAATAACATCCTTGAAATGTGGGATATTCACCTGTTTCATATGTGTGACACATGGTGAATAACATGTTGGACAGGTAGCCGCAAAGTTTTGAACCTCATTCTCGAAGTTCTCTATGTCGGTTGCATCAGAGATGAACCCAGAGGCAGTTGGGTTTCTAGTCTTGTCAGCTAGTTCTGCAGCTCTCTTTTGACGAATTTGAGCCAATTGGTCCTCAGTAATGATACCAACCTGAACGTTCTGCTCATCCGTTCTCGTGTACTCAACATGCGACCACTTGTGTGCCGGCTCATTTGGAATAAATTCAATCCAGGAGTTTCCAGCAGGGTCATCGAGTTCAAACGTTAGGGGAAGTGTTCCTTCCTCAGCATTCAAAGTGCTTTGAACCTTCTTAATGAATTGTTCAATCTTATCATGGATCTCTTTGTTCTGTTCCAATCTCGAAGGTTGGTCTGCTTTCAAGTCATCAATCATCTCAACCAGTAATCCTTCAACGTTTGTCAATTGACCTCTCTTTGGTGGAATTTCAATGTCTAGTTCCACAAATTTACAGGTGGCAGTCTCCTGCTTGATAACCTGTCTGTTGAAATCATTCTTCTCTTCGATCTTAAGAACATATTTAGCGCCCTTTGGTTGAATAGCACCTGCTGGTTGCAACTCCGAATTCTTGAACCCACAATGAGGACACTCGAATGACATCAGAATCACCTCCTGGAAATATGGAATCTTCGTCAAAAGCATTCTGGTGACACCATCCTTATGACAGTTCATACAAAGAGACTTGATCTCTTGCACTGGGTGACCTTCAGCATCCTCAGCACCGGTTTGACGAATGCCTTCTTCATTGAAATCCGTCTCTTTGGAAACTTCCTCAGCAGCTTGTCCCACTGGTTGGAAGAATTCTTCCTGTTTAGCAGCGGTGTCGGTAGTTTGTTCTGTGCTCATATCTAGTTTTGGCTTCTTATTGATAAATTCGTCCATCAATGGGCTGATAAGAGCAGATTCCTATCTTTATAAGCTCCCTCCGTGAGAAAGATTGGATCCCAAAGCTTCCAGAACAGCAGAGAAAAATTTCGATCGATGGCGATGAGGTGGAAAAGTTGGCTAAAGGTACTAAATAGGAAATATTCCTATTGTATGAGTTCCGAGGGATTATATCACGTGAAATGCTTTTCAATCATTAACCGGATGTGATACTCACGGTATATGCAGCTACTTTCTTCTAATGGTATAACCCATAATACCTTCTACAAATGAATCAAGCCATAAGGGAATAGCTTCTTTCTTGAGTGATGAACCTGACAGCTGCCGACGGATCTGGCAATTCAGCAAGGCAGCGAATAGCTTTAAGGTCCCAAAGAGATGTCAGTGCTAACGTCACCATAGATCAAGTTAGTACCCGAGGTGTTAGCCTATCAAGTGTAATCTTTGAGGAGTATGGATATACCTCTGATGCATTAGTACAACTGTACACGTTGTTAGATTCTGGGATACACTCTGTTGTTGCTGATTTATACTGGAATGAGGGACTGAGGCGGTTCCAACTATGCCCCGTTCCCTTCGACAACATTTTATGGCAGTTTGAAAACAGTACAGTGAGGTACTTTGAGGAAGGTACAAGTTCTTACCAATGTGAGGTTGGATTAGGACTTGAAGATTTGATTTATGCAGTCTCGGAGTATTTGGATGAATCCAACACCAATCTGAAAGCGGACATAATGGTTATGATATTCAACATCATTTCCATTGGCAGCGGCCGACAATATGATGCCTCACTACAAGGAAGCCCCAACAACACCATTGCAAATACTGCTTCTTACTTCTTCGGATCGAAGTTGTTTACCCCGTCATTATTGGAAAACCAGGATACGTTAGATTCCACCAGCAACAATCCAAATGGGTACCCTACTCTTCAAGATTTCCTCTTCAACCAACTGCACAGAGTACTCACAGTTACCTGGAAGAGGTCACTCCCAACGAATACCACATACAATTTATCTTCAGACAATGGTGTGGTGTTCAACTCGTCATATTTCGATTCCTTTACGCCTTTACAAAGCGTCTACATGGATAATGTTACAGAGAGAGCCACTGTGCCTTGGAGGTTTTCATTTGATTCCGACGAGGACGAGTTCACGGCTTCATCTATGAATAGCGTTGTTCTCGAGGGTTACTCGCCTATTTTAGACCATGACAGTGGAAATGTGAATCAAACCATAGCGCTTTTTAACCAATCTTTATGGTCATGGGATGTGAATGAGCCTAAATCTCCAAGTGTTGCTAAAGCAACAGATGATTCTAGTGATAACTCCTTTTCAAAAGATGCGTATAGGTGTGCAGTAATTGGTTCAGACGGTCTATGGAGAGTTGCAAACTGTTATAGCGATCATCGTGGCGCCTGTAGAGGATCCAACGAATTCGATTGGCGCACAACACGCAATGTCGGTTCATATTTTAACATGGATGATATGTGCAATAATATTGAAGGTGACTACACGTTCTCAGTTCCAGAGACGAGTTTACAGCAAAAGTACCTAGCCAATTACATCAGTTCACAGAACATCAGCGCAACAGTATGGATCAACATGAATTCCATCGCAGTTGAAGATTGCTGGATCACTGGAGGCCCTTATGCCAATTGCCCCTATCAGAGAGTCCAGTCAAAGAGAAACTTTGCAAGAATGATTGTGCCTGCGTCCGTTGCAGCAGCTTTCGTGATAGCAATGATGCTACTGATGAGATTCCGTAAAGTTCCAATACAGAAAAATCGGAAACGTTGGCGTCACATTGAACGTGAGAAGACAGAAGGTGAATACGATGGTGTTCCTTCATGAAGGCCCGCTATATGTGTGGGGTTTCACTAATGATTTTAACGACCTTTTCTTTCTAATACTGAGATAGACAAATAATACCAAGATGGATAGATATTACTTAAGCAGTCAGAAAACACTACAATCTTTGTTGTCAATCAATATATACAAATACACATGTATTCATTTGCATCATCAGTTGGGGACAATGGAAAAATGCTATATACAGTAAAATCTGTGCCCACCCTCCGTACTTAGACTCACTTCTTCTTCTTCTTACCGGAATCATCAGCCTTTGATCTCTTCTTTGCTGGTGCACCCTTACCTCTTCTCTTTCTGGAGCCCAGGACCTCTAATCTGTACTCCTCCTCAGGATCTATGAACTTGTACAATGGGAATCTGGCATTCAACTGCTTCGTGGTGATGAACTCCTTTGGGCCATAGTATGAAGAAACTACCGGCCCCTTTAGTTGTTTCTGCAAGATCTTGGAGCCAGTACGTTGCGGTATCCCGGTGGGCGTGATATTGTGGAATATCTTCGCTTGTAGCTTTGCAACCTCTAAGAGGCGAGCTTTGGTAGGAGCAGACATCCTTAACTACTTTCTGATGCCCTTGTGCTGTTGATGGAAAAGAGCCGCCAACGTGAACAGTTTTTCAAAAGCTCAACACCGCTTTGTGGTTGGAATATTTCGCGAATTTTCTCCCACAACAAAGAGCTGGAACACTAAACACAACTGATGAATATCAACCTGTGTATAAGCTTAGATCTTAGTGAGTTCATATGAGCTTGATGTTGTGAGCCTATCTGCCAACTGACGTTAATCACCGTCAATAGGTTTATTCATCTGTTAAAGCGCTGTGTACTACCAAATGATATCAACTGCTGACTACGATGAGACTGCGGTACCATCATGGGCTCGACCAGCAAATCACTACAGCACACTCTCCAAGTCCAAACAAAGATCATTTTACATTAGATATATGAAGATTTTTGCAACCGTTAATACACAAATCACCAAGCAGCTTGAGCTGGAGCCTCAGTGGCCTCAGCGGTCCAGTCAGCTGGAGCCTCAGTAGCTTCAGCGGTCCAGTCAGCCTCAGCTGGAGCAGACCAATCTTGCTCCTCAACTTGCTCCTCAGTCTCCTCCTCGGCTTGCTCCTCAGCAGTTGGCTCAGCCTCTTCTGGGTCTCTGTAGAAGTACAAATCTGGCATGATGTTCCATGGCTCCTCACGGGATGGGAGGGAACCTCTAAGACGCAAAACCTCACGGGCCAACAAGTACCAGATCAAACCGATGGAGTGCTTACCCTTGTTGTTGGTTGGGATAGCGACATCAACGTACTCGGATGGAGAGTCCAAGTCAGACAAAGCAATGACTGGGATGTTAACGTAAGAGGACTCCTTGATGGCTTGAGCATCGGTTCTTGGGTCAGTGACGATGATCAAACGTGGCTCCTTGAAGGAACGGGTGATGTAGTTGGTGAAGTTACCTGGGGTGAAACGACCAGCAATGGCAGTGGCACCGGTGTGGGCGGCAAACTTAAGAACAGCACGTTGACCGAAAGTACGGGAAGAGACAGCAACAACGTCAGCTGGGTTTGGAATAGCAGCGATGACACGGGCAGCAAGGACAATCTTCTCCCAAGTCTTACCAACGTTGATCACGTTGACACCATCTGGACGGGTCTTGTAAACGTATGGCTCGTTGTGAACCTAGAGTATTATGGTTAGTATCTTCTGTGAGGATAAATTTCAGATCTGTTCATGGTAAAGTTTGCCTCCGGTTGTGAATGGATACGATGCATCTGTGGAAGCACCTTATAAGGGCCAAATGTCTGCGTAAAGTAACCCATTTTTGATGATTCAGTCAAAACTATCATGTATCTCATTCTCTACGATTAAATTGCACCTTGGGTAAAGAGCTCCATATGTAGAGGATGATTTCTGAATCCTCATCCTCTTGTCATCGTAACTTTTCACGCCTACTTCATTCACTAACGGAATCGACAAACTCTCTCAAACATCTCTTCTGGACAAATGACATACTTGAACGTTCTTGGAACCCAAGTGAACGTTAGCAGCCAAAAGCAACTTGGCATCCTCTGGGGTAAGGTCGAAACTAGCTGGCAAAGACATTGTGTATGTTCCTAGTTGGTGTGGTTGTGCTTACCTATTGGTGATGTTTGAAGTGAAGATAAATTCAAATATTTCAGCGTTGTCGCGCAAAATGGGACTGCGGAAAAAATCTTTGAGTTAGCGTGTGTGGTGCGTACCATACATGTAGGCAGAAGAATCTCTTGTGTGTGTACCTATCAAATCTCTGCCTAGCCATCAGAGTCTTGGGCAGGGCTGTAACCAGCTTCCTCGCGATTCCCACCTAACAGAGCTTCCTAGACAGGGGCCGAGGATTGAAAAACAACAGCCCTGGCTCTTCGAAAAAGTCCATGCTACTCATCTCGCACTTCTGTTTTCTTGAAAAAAACGGAACTCTGGTGCAAGGATGTTAGAAGACATGTGGCGTTTTCCAAAAATATAGCCCTAATAGATGGCACGTGATGAAGTGTCCCTATATTTTGAGTAGCCCTACTGATGGAAAAGATAAGTGGCGAGAAAAGTCAAAGGACGAAAACCCGATCTTCCAAGCATTTCGAGTTTCAGAGTGTTGATTATCGGCGTTTTACCCTTGAATCACTGAAGATATCTGCTCGTCGTTACTGGGAATCATAATACAGTTTTTGACCCCCTTTCACATAAATTCAGGTGAAGAGTCTTGCTGATCCCTTCCCATGTCCAATCACAAGTTGGCAGACCCATCCTATAACAAACAGGAAGTATCACAAATGTGGGAGACAATATTATCATGTCTTCCACACTGGTTTGATAACATCACAAAAGATGAGAAGAAGATGAGAAAAAAGGTCACACAGCGATATGCGAACATGACCCTTGTGGGATCGATATTGTTGATACTGTTGATACCTGTGTGGCGCCGACTTGCACAAAGGCTTCACCTAAGGATGGAAATTAAAACCAACATTATTTGTATCATCACCTTGTGGACCGCCATTACTGTTGGCGCTACAACTCTACAGTCTCAGAATGATCTCCTGGTAATCGCAAAGAGATTGGGTAGGATTCCTGTGGCCCTTATGCCAGCACTTCTTTTGTTAACATCAAGGCCTTCACCTTTACCAACAGTGCTGTACCTTACGCTATTGCCAATTCATAAGTGGCTCTCACGTATTGTTGTTATCCAAGGTCTCTTACACACAATTCTGTACCTTTTTTACTTCAATCATAAGGGGACCATGTCGAAAGTCCTCAAATTGGAGAATATCTATGGGATTATCGCTATGGTTGCATTTATATTGATTGCCATCACAAGTCTTCCAAGAATACGAAGAATCGCTTTCAAAGTTTTTTATTTTACTCACTATTTAATGACATGGGTCTCAGTTCTCGCATTATACTTTCATGCACGTCCTGGGATCCCAGTGTTCACTTCTATCAATATCTTGATATTAGTTTCACAAATCGCATATCGTGTGCACTACACGACACTGACAAAACTCACGGTTACACCAATGTCTCCAACTTTAGCACTTGTTGAGTTTCCCATCAATTCTATTGCAAGAAGTATGGAACTGCCGGTAGGTCATGTTCGCATAAACAATAAGCATAGAGGTCTCAAGGCACTTTGGTATCATTTGGTGCCATTTCAACATCCATTTACAGTTTCAAGTTTACCCACGGATGAAACCGTCAAGCTCATTGTTCGTCGTGGAACGTTTCCATTGATCTCTAACCATCATTATTATATCACAGGAGCTTTTGAACCAGAGCTTGCATTCATTCATTCAAAAGCTAAAAAGAATAAAAGTGTTCGCCAGCCTCTACTTGGGGGACAATTCGGGGGCCCGATGGACTATAATATCACAGCAGAGCGTGTGTTGATCATCGTTGGTGGATCTGGAATTTCCTTTGGATTACCATTATACCGTTTATTAAACTATAACGGTATTTCTGTGAGGTTGATCTGGGTTTGTAAAGATATAAGGGACCTCAACATATTGAACTGGTTTCGTGGTATACAAGGTATCGAGTGTTACATTACTGGTGAAAATGATATAGAAGTTGACTACTATGATGATCAGAAGCATGGCTTAGATGCACCAACTATCGAGTATTATGGCTCACTCGATGACGATGCAAGTGAAATAGACTTCACCACTTTGGGCCGTGAGTACAAGGAAGCACATAATATAGGACCATCATCGCCGCTATCGTTATCATCGCCACATACGGTCTTGACACCTATGCCGTCGCTATCACCTTTGAAGCGTGTACCAAAGTACGACTCTGCACCAGTTAAAAAGGTTCCTTCGTTCAAACGTCTTGCCCAGGCCAAATCCGTCCCTGTTTTACACCCTGATAGACTGTTAGATAAGCCATCTACAAAATCGCTCAATTTCCATGAGAACATCCACATTGCAACTTCAGGTCAGTGTTCCTTCACCACAACTCCGCCACACTTAGCCCATCTACCAAGAAGTGAGCTTCCAGAGTTCGAGAAGTTAAAACTACCTGCGTCCGTGAGAGTATTTTCCGGCAGACCGAACTTGGGAGCAGAAGACTACGACTGGTGTACTCAAACATCATGTATTGGTCCTCGTATCGAGCATGGAAAAAGCGTCTGCTGTCGTGATGTCCAAGATGATGGCGCACACAAAAGAGTCAACAAAGAAAACGTATGGGTTATAGGCGCAGGACCACAAGGCCTTGTTGATGAAGCCGGTGATTGGGCAAAGGAAGGTGGCTTGAGATGGCATGGCGAATCCTTTTCTGTATAGTGATGTTTATTTTAGCATTTCGTAATCAATTTGAATGACCTATTTATGACTGCAACAGTTGGTTACCTCGTACGCTCTAATATCAGTTCATGTCCCCCCCCCCCAAGTCTGTCCAAGCTCTGGTGGTGTTTGGGTGTATCATGACACAAATCCTATGCACTCGGCTACCGGAGAAAACGAGAAACGAAACTGTGTGGGGGAAGCGCCCGGTTACATTTAATCAACATTCCAACGGCTTTGTACTTCGAGGCCACTAAGTAACAAACATGGGAGTCCTTTCGTTTAGATCCACAAATCTCTTAAATAAAAGTAAATTATCATCCTCTCATTAACTCCCCACCAGTATATAGTGCCGCAAGCTAGTTGTAGCACCAAAACTTACTCCTTTGCTACCAAATACTGCTCCATTGCTTTCTATACAAGGCTAATAAATTTTGCACCAATCACTATTGAAGGCTGCTGGGTAGAGGTTTTCCACTTCACTGCTTAGTGATAATCTCTGACCTATAACCAAAGACCAAATTCATCAGAGCCAGATATAAAATATTGTCTCCTTGAAAATTTAGACATGTTCAGGTACTTCAATGACTCAGAACAGTACAAAGCACAGCTTGCACCGACAGAGCAGAAGATAATGGATCGTTTCATTCCAAGGGTGCTGTCATCACACTCATACAGATCACGCCTGGAGGAACCAGTCGTTGTTGACGAAGCGCTCTTGAATTTGGGCTCCACCTCGATCAACGAGGGATCGAGGATGCTAGACATCACAGCCGCTAGGCGCTCACTAAGTGACGAACGCTCAGCCTTGGAAGATGTCCATAGCAAGGCGATTCGAGACCTGTTGGAGTTTATCCCAGATCGCAGAGTGTTCAGCTTTGTACCCCAGACACCACAGAGACGGTCATTTACATCTGGGTTGGCCGTCAGCTCCTCTGGCGGTAAGACTGCTAGTGAGTCTTCTGCAAACAGTGGAAGTGGCGGTATCTCAGCAAGAAGTAGCGATATATTTTCAAGGGTTATTGGTACTTATTCTTCCTCCAGAACGTCTTTTGAATCAGATATCTCTTCAATGGCTTCACCATCGAAAAAGCGCAAGGTTCCCATCAAATCAAACATACCATTAAGGGTCCTAGACGCGCCAAGTTTGACTAACGACTTCTATACCAATGTTGTCTCGTGGAGTCGACAGTCCAATCGAATCGCTGTGGGGCTAGCTTCAGAGGTTTATCTTTGGCGTGAGGATGAAGTTGCTTGTCTCTTAGACCTCCCTGAAGGCCGCAGTGTTTCTTGCGTGAGCTTCTCAGACGGCGAGTATATAATTGTGGGTACCAAGGAGGGAAATGTATATTTGTTCTCGCAGCTCAGGTCCACAATGTTGGACCATTACTTCAATCAATCCAATGGTGTTTGCTGCATAGAATGGTTCCCCAATAAACCTAATACTTTTCTCGCTGGAGATGACAATGGCTTAGTGTTATGTATAGAGATCCTTCCTCCCGGAAAGCTCAACTTGATTACCAAGTTTAAATGCCACCAGCAACAGGTATGTGGTATAGCCATTTGCTGTGATGGTAATCAAGCTGCAATTGGTGGAAATGACAATTGTTGTGCAATATGGGACATGAAAACTGTCACGCAGCCTAAACTCTTGTTTCAGCTTCCACATCAAGCAGCTGTAAAGGCAGTGGCTTATTGTCCTTGGTCAAAATCGCTTTTAGCTACTGGTGGTGGGTCTAAAGATCGAACTATTCGTTTTTGGCATTCCAATTCTGGCACTCTTTTAAACACGATTGAAGCCAGAGGACAGGTCACTTCGTTGAACTGGTCAAACAGGAAAAAACAGATTACGCTGACGTTTGGATTTGGTGATACAAAGAAATCGAAATTAATCATCGTGTATTCATACCCACAAATGGAGGAGTTGATCCAGGTTGATGCTGCTCCTAATCTCAGAATTCTTTCATCTGCACTTTCACCAGACTGCAGTACACTTTGTGTTGCCTCAAACGATGAGACTGTCAGGTTTTACCAATTCTGGAACCCAGATGATAGCGTGATAATGGAAAGCCCAGAAGGTGGTGTTTTTGGTAGCGATTTGATCGATCTCAGTGAAGGTATGACCGAAAGAGGTGATTCCATCCGTTAATCAAAATGACCACTCCTGTTTTGTAGCCTTTTCGGGAGATCTTGAGTTCCTTATTTCCTGTAGAAGCATCTTTGTAGGCATGTGATCTGAAGGTAAAGTGGAGTACAACAGCTTGTAAAACTTGTTTCTCTGAACGTAAACTGGACGGCCAACCAATAGTCCTGTAATAACAGGAGCACTCAAATACGACTCTTGAAGTTTTTGTAAGACATTTCGGAATGGAGCAAACATATCTGTGAGTGCGATGGGTTTGATACGTAAGTGTATATACCCATTTAAAGACGAGCATGCCACTCCACCAGGAACCCTCTTGTAGTCTTTGACTCTTGACAGGAGTATAAACAGTGGAAAGTGATTCAGCAATGACATGGTCATCTCCAATAACCCAGTGATTAGAAGAATAACAACTGCTGTGATGGTGAAAGTCAAGTAGAATATCAGCACTGTTGGCAACAAAAACGATAAGACCGTGAATATAAGGGTTCCCAGTAGTTGTTGGTCAAGTGTGTAGTCGTTCGAGTCCACTCTATGACGTAAAACGTTCTTCTTTTGCCCACAGAACAATCTGAACAACGAGCGAATTGCACTGAGCTGTCCATGATAGATCTTTGCGCTGGCCAGATAGAAGTAGTAAATATGGAAAGTCAATATTGATAGCATATCAGAAAACACTGCGATTCCAAACGTGGCACCAAACAAGGATGACACACTGATAATACGTATCACTGTACTGTAGTTTGGCCTTAAGCGGTCAATGAGCGCCATTTTCCAGAATTCTATTATCCATCTGAAGAAATCACTCAGAAATGCAGACAATTCGTTGTTGAGTTTGATGCCACCAGGTGCATCCATAAGCCACATGAGAATGCTGTTCAAATCAGAGTAGAGCACCTTTGAGACCACGTACTTATCAAAAACGTTGACTATTTGATTTTTGTTTTCATTCAGGAAAGAGCTCACGACATACCCCAACGTTACGTCGTTGATCACAAGCCAGAGAGTATTGTAGAGCCTTATATACTCTGCAAACTGGTCCTTTGGTAGCAGCTTGGTCTTATGAGATTCCATCTGCCGTGAAGTGTGTAAGTATTGAATGGGCAAGTAAGAAAACTGTTGTAATCTCAGATCGATCTGTTGTGCTGTTGCAGAAATGTCAATCAAGCGTGGTAAGTTTGATGGCATCTTCATGTTCATGATATAGATAAGCCATAAACTGATGTGCCGTGCAGCAATCAGCGTGTATAGGTAAGTTATCGATAATGGTTTGAGCATCTTGGCCATGATCCTGAATATCATATATGGTATTTGGGAGATCTTCTGTCGCAACTGCCTGCAAATGGAATCATCCAGCCAAGTCTGTTGCATTTGCGGAATCTGGGTCAAAAGCAAAGTTCTTTTAATCCAGCACCTGTTGAGAGTCTCCACTGACTGTGTGAAGTGCAAGTCCTGTGGTGTGAACGCACGCTTGTGGCCATGTGTCCTCACCATGTCAACATACGGACTCGTCTTTTCATTAAGACTTTGGGAAAGGTAGAGCTCAATCGGTGATGCTGTGTATAACTGCATGGACCTCGGTAGAGGTGGCTCGAAGCTTACAATCATCGAATCTCGACATGCGATGAGGCCCTTGTCATCCAGAAAGAACTCTTTCCAGTGCTGTGAACCGTTCTTTGCAGGAGCATCGCCAAAGTATCCAACTATCGATACATCTGTCTCCCTACAATTCAACGACACCGAGCCATTGGCCTCAAGCCTCAGCACACGCGTGTCCACAAGCTCAACAACCTTGTTGTAAGTGATCACATTCACAACAACCACGCTGCTGTGGTTCACCTGCAGCCCCAGCACCAGACCATTGAGCGCCCCAGCTCTTTCAAGAGAGCTCAACAGATCGACTGGCCAATACACTTGAAACATTCAACCCCTGTGATATGGCAATGTTGCCCACTTTATCGACCAAAGCGTCCTGTCTGTGCCAAAGCTCAAGATGACGTAGACGGCTTGAGAAACACTGCGACACCACATCTTCGTTACGGGACACATACATATACCTGTAAATCCCAGATGTTGTACGGTAACCAACCTAAAAGGGCAATCCCTTGTTTGGAGAAAAGGGCAAAAAAGGCAGCTTTCACATACACACAGGATCCTGTGTATTGAAGAAGTGTTCGTCCTCCAGTCTGCGAAGGGAAGTGTGAGGCGGTTTGCTTTTGTTCGACACGCTTTGGCCCGCTCTCTCTTATAAGAACCTTCCATTTTGATCTTTCAAGCGTGTGGCCCGCAAGCACACAGCCACCAAGGGAGACCCGATAAATAGAAGAACGTGGGGACTCTGCGGTGAAAACGAAGCGTAGACAGGTCACTGCGCCGTATATAGCCATACATCTACTTGCTAGCGTCTGTGGTTGATACATAGGCGCACACGTTATTGAGGAGCCATACAAAGATGGACAGACCTGGGACAAGAAGGCCGTCAGATAGTGAGTTGAGGTACATTCCACAGTTCCAGATCAGTGATGGCTCTGCGCTTGAAGATGATGCCAATGACGAAGATCGGCTTCCCGTTGTTGCTAATGACTTCCTGACACCAGGGGATAACAGACAGAGTTACTTGTCTGTGCGTTCACCAGGATCCTACACGAGGTCAGGTGCACGCTCACGGTCCTACTCACATTCACAGTCGCATTCGAGAGACACATCCAGGTCCAACAGCCCAACAAGGAGGTCTCTGTCTATTTTCCGCTCACAGTCCCCTCTGTCCTTATTGCCTTCAATATCAAGAAACTCTGACGTTTCAGATGACCGGCTTGAAAACATGTCCTTCATGGATGATCTCGTCGGTGCCGATGACATATCGGAGCTGAAGGCGGATATCAAGAGTGCACTCGGTGACGGTGAAGACAATTCAGGGGCATGGCTTGCACCTGCACAGTCCAGGTCGAAGAATAACTCCAAGGCGAGTCTCTTGTCTCACGATAGCGGCATAGAACTGGATGTTATCAAATCCAGAGATGGTGAATACCAAGACAATGAGCCGGATTCATTGGCCGATGCTTCACATGCTCACCAGCAACAAAGAGGCCTCCAGAATACGAAAACGCTGACCGTGGGTGACCTGTTCAAACAGATCTATGATAAGTTCGTGAACAACGATGGAGGAAGGTTTGGCTATAAGCGTGGGCTTCCAAAGCTCGATGAAGAGCAAAACATTGGTGATTCGTTTGAATCTCGACCTCAACTGCCCATTAGGCTCTATGGTAATTCGTTGAAACTGTTTTCTCCACAGAGTAAGTTAAGGCATAGACTGGCCAAGATTCTCTTGAATCCTTGGGCAGATAGAGTATGTGGTTTGATATTGCTGCTCCAGGTTGCACTCTTAGCATATCGCCAGTGGAATCCAGAGACGCCAGTGGGTGTCGTCACGTTTGGGGTTAAATGGTCTGATTGGTTCATACTCGCCATCAACGTACTCTTCACAGTGGAAATCGTCATCAAGTGCATCGCTTGGGGTATGTGGGACGACTCCCAGGCCTATAAGGCGTTCAGCTTACAATACTTGGGCATTCGGGAAATTTTGCGGTTACACAGGGTGAAGGAGTTCTTTCTCCCTAAGGGAACGGACTATACACTGTCTGCAAAGAGAGAGGATTATACAAGACCATTGATGTTCAGTACTGGACAAGAAGGGAATTTACCGGTACCTAGGGCTTATCTCAGAGGAAGCTGGAACAGAGTGGATTTCGTATCAACGATTTGTTTCTGGTTGAATTTCTTCCTCAGTGTTGATCAATTCAACTCCAGGCATCACATATCCTTATTCAGGGCACTGGAGTGTCTGAGAGTTCTCCGTATAACAACACTTACTGAACGGATCGGACTACTCATGAAAAGTATCAAACTGGGATTACCCCAGATCATCGACGTCCTCATCTTCTTTGCCTACTTTTGGACATTGTTTTCGATTATAGGTGTTCAAAGCTTCAAATCTTCCTTGAGGCGTTACTGTGTTTGGACAAACCCCGATGATCCATCTGACACTTACCAAACAGAACAATATTGCGGTGGCTCCTACTATCGTAAAGCCGATGGCACGTTGGGAAGGAGGCCATATGTGTTACTCAGTGGAGAAAGAGGGCCCCGGGCAAAAGGTTTCCTGTGTCCTGTGAACTCGGAGTGTATTGAACTCGAGAATGCTAATCAGAACACTTTTAGCTATGACAATATCCTGAACTCGTTTCAAATGACCTTCGTCATCATGAGTGCGAATACTTTCACAGACATTATGTACGATCTGATGTACTCGGAAAGCTTGGCTGCCAGTATCTACTTTGTCTGTGGTACGTGTATCTTGTTTCTATGGATGGTTAACCTACTTATTGCCGTGATCAACTCTTCGTTCTCTATTGCCCGTGAGACGGATGAGAAATTCAAAAAGAAGGGAACAAGAAACGGTGATGTAGACCTGGAATTCGACTTTGTTCTTGGTTGGCCTTCCCGGATCTACACTAAAGTCAGAAAGCTATTTGACCTACTCACAGTGTTGGGACTCATCTTTTCTTCCAGCAGCACAGATGGTGATGATCTGCTATTTAGAGTGCAGTGCTCGTTGAGTTTCATCTTTGTTCTTGAAATAATCTGGAGATTCTTCTGCTACTATCCAGAAGGTTCGAGGTTCTTTAAGGTCAAGCGTAATATCTTTGATCTCTTGCTTACACTGGTCACTTTGATAATGGCAATACCGAATGTTGCACAGAACATGGGTAGGGTCTACGCTTGGCTAACAGTCTTTCAGATTGCCAGGTTCTACAGATGTGTTCTTCTTTTACCCTTTGTTAGAAGATTATGGGTTCAAGTTTGGGGAAGTGTCAATCTGATATTGGATCTATCACTGTTCTATTTCCTTCTCACTTTCGCTTGCAGTATCATCTTTGCGAGATACTTTGAAGGGTATGCAACCTTCGATGATGATATTTTGTTTCCATTGAGCACTCTTCCAAATGTGTTTTTGGCTTTATACGTTATCACATCTACTGAAAACTGGACTGAGATACTGTATGAAATGCAAACGGTTGCCCCGAATAAGGCATCCATTTTCTTTCTGACTGCCTTGACCATCATTTGGTTCATTCTATCCAATACTATTGTGTTTAATCTTTTCATTGGTATCATTGGAGACAGTTTGAAAGCCTCTGAACCAACCAAGAGAAGAGAACAAGTGAAGAAGTTTGTATTTGTTGACTTTCCAAGAAGGCTAAAAGCAATGACCAAGACCAGTGTTCTTCAAGATCTTCGCTTAAGAGTGTTCCACGGACGTCAAGATCGAGACATGAATTTAGAAGTGGAGAAGCTGCTGCTCAATGGTGCTGCTGTACAACAGTTTTTGCAGGATGAGCTCAATGAGAGTGAGAAACTGACGGAAGATGATGTGAAGTTTTATCATGAATCAGATTCCAAATTCATGAGGTTCATTCAGAGAAACTATGTCACATTTCTCAACCTTGAACCAGTGAAGAAGCTCTGGAGATCGTTCTTTTGGGACACTCCAGACAGCAAGAATCCCTTTTTTACAGACCTGAAGATCAAAATTGCAGGAACAGACTACACGACACTGCATACCAATTATCAAACAGAAACGCAGAAAGCTGATGAGGAAAAATTGAAGTTTCTTCGAGATAATCCAAACTTCAACAGAACCCTATACCTTTTCACACCAAGACAACCTCTGAGAAAGATCTGTCAGTATATCTGCAAACCAAGTGTTGGAGTCAGATACTTTGGAGTTGAGCCTAATCGTTACGCAAACACTGTCTTTAGCATAGTGGTGGTTGCAGGTACTGTAAGTGTTGTTGTCAGTGCCTGTATTACGACACCTCTGTACAGGAACATTACATTACAAGGAGTCTGGAACTGGCCTTTCGAAGTGGAGCTTGCATTCAGCATCCTGTTCATGCTCGAATTCTTGATTAAGGTTGTTGCAGATGGTCTCATCTTCACACCTAATGCGTATTTTCTCAATTCTTGGAACTGGATTGATTTTATCGTCTTGGTGTCTCTATGGATAGATGTGGTTGCCAACCTGTATGGGGACCAGGTTCTAGGACGAGCAGTTAGTGGAATCAAAGCACTCAGAGCACTGAGATTTCTGTCAATCAGTGAAACGTCTAGGGACATCTTTCACAAAGTCATTATTGCAGGTTTCGGAAAGATCATCAGTGCTAGTCTTTTGTCTATTACTTTGATTGTTCCATTTGCAGCATGGGGTGTGAACTTATTCAAGGATAGACTGAGTTCGTGTAATGACGGGAGTGGTCTAGACGGGTGTATCGCTGAGTATTCAACCGAGGTGTTGAATTGGAACATTCTCATGCCGAAAGTCTACTCAGCACCTATTCTTGAAATGGATGATTTTGGATCTTCTTTATTAACGCTTTTTGAAATCATATCTTTGGAAGGTTGGGTTGATTTGCTAGAGAACATGGTGAACAGCACAGGGGTCGGTACACCAATGAGACTATTTGCTTCGCCAGAGAACGCAATCTTCGTGGTCATTTTCATTTTCATTGGCATAGTGTTTACGCTAACGCTTTTCATTTCTGTGATTATCACTAATTACGCAAGGCTATCAGGAAGTGCCTTTTTGACCCTTCAACAAACTTCTTGGAATGAGGTGAGAAAACTTCTATCACAAGCACAACCTAGAAAGAGACCTGTGAGAGCAAACCTCGGGCCGTTCCGTCAGTTTTGCTTCCAATTTGCTGTTGAAAAATCACAGGCTATCATTGCTCTGCTCCAATTCTTTACATGGATTCATATATTAGCAATCTTACTCGAAATGTATCCATCTCCAGATGCACTTGATGACTTCAGATACTCGATCTACATTACTTCATCGACCATTCTTTTGCTGTTCACGTTGATGAAGCTAGTTGCTCTTGGACCGAAAACTTTCTTCAAAGTGAGGTGGAATGCCTATGAATTCATAGTTTACATGGGAGCCTTCATAACATCCTTCATCTCCTTCTTCGTGTCAAGAAACACGATTTTCGCTAATATCAACAAACTTTTCTTGGTGGGTATTTTCACAATGTTGATCCATAGCAGTAACAGACTGAGCCATCTCTTGAAAATTGCCTCCGCAAGTCTTCCTTCATTATTGTCTCTAGTCCTGACGTGGGGTGTCCTGTTTCTGGTGTTTGCAATTGCTTTGAACCAATTCTTTGGTTTGACCAAAGTGGGACCAAACACATCATCCAATTTGAATTTGAGAACGGTTCCCAAAGCTCTCATACTTCTTTTTAGAAACAGCTTTGGTGAAGCCTGGAACTATACTATGCGTGATTTCGCCATAGAGAGCCCCTTCTGTACCAACTCGGGTGTTTTTAACACTACCGACTGTGGTGATCGTCAGTATGCTTATATCATCTTTATTCTCTGGAACATCATTTCCATGTACATCTTTGTCAATATGTTCATATCCCTTATTTTTGAGAACTTCAGTTATATTTATAAAGATAAGAGTGGTACCAGGATGCTGACGAGAGAGGAGATCAGGCATTTCAAGACCGTATGGTCTGAGTTTGACCCCATGGGGACGGGATACATACCTCTATCTGACTTGTCTGCATTTTTAGGTGAGCTCCAGGGATATTTCTCCTTTAAAGTATATGAAGGAAGATGGACTATCCCTGAGCTGAAGAAGGCATTCATCGTTCGAAGAACATTTTCCACCAATTTGTATGACGTTGATGTTGATATTGATGGGTTGAATAGACGGCTTAGACAGCTAGATGTCGATAATGCTAGAAGCCGAATCAAGAGTCACCAGAAGTTTCTTGAGGAGGTGAGGTTCAATATGGAACGCTATGATGAGCCAGGTGTGTCTTTTCATAGGGTGATATTAATGATTCCGTTGTACTCGAGATTTGATGAGAATAACTGCTTACAGTTAACAGAATTCCTCGACCGTCTTGTTGTTTCTAGGAAAATCTTGGAACGTTCCAAGTTGAAACGCCGTTTGGAAGTATTACAAATGGTCTTACCCCGTTTGTCATATTTACGACTTAAAGGTGGTTTAAAGGCTGGTGCAGCTGCCTCAGCTGGGAGACCCACTTTGGTCTTGAGCCGTTTCAAAGATCTCCGAGACGATAGCTCTCTTTTCGAATCACCATTCTCTCCACAGGTTCCACGTGCTCCTCGTATGGCTACACCTCGAAACAGCTTTGATAAAAGTGTTGATAACTCCTACTGGTCACCACCTTCAAGAGCTGCGAGAGGTTCTCGTTCAGAAGATGATCTTATGGATGAGTTGAGTGGAATCGCTGGAGACTTGAAAAATTCTCTTTGGAGAAATGAACTCAAGGATGTTGGTGATGATTTGAATGCTGCTTTGAACAGACGGTCCCGATTGTTAGGTCACAATGCTGAGGATGCTAGTGATGAGGATGTTACCGTGGAAAGGTTCAGTTTTGACGAGAGTAAAAATGGTGTAGGTTCAAATGCTGATCGAAAAATTACCTGATCCATACAATTAGAGGATAGAACTAGGCTGTTAATAATGATTAGTACAAATTTTATGATTATATAACAACTATAATAGAATCATAAAACATGTATAAGAATAAAAAAGTATAGTGTTCTTTAACGATCATTGGTATCATACTTTGAGCTTGAATGTAGGAATTATATGTGAGCAAAGAGATGACATATTCAGGGTGCTAGACGCACAAAGCAACAATACTAAAAGGACAAAACACACAACATCATCGTCGCAATCATTATCATAGTTAGATCTTAATCTCGTTGAATCCATCGACAGTTTCATCTTCGTTATCTTTAGTCTCCTTTATTTGAACTTCTTCTGCGTCTTTCGAATCTTTATCTTCACTTTTACCCAATTCTTCCTCGGTATTCTGAGTTTCGATGACTTCAACTTCTTCCTTATCCTCCTTAACTGGTTCTGCATCCAGCTCATTCTCCTTGTTCTTATCTGTAATGTCACGAGAGATTACCCTCTCCTTGGCCGGTTCAGCAACTAAAGGCTTCTCCAGGTGTGGTTTTTGGTGCTGCTGTTGTTGTTGTTGTTTACTCTGTGGTGGCATTTGTGATCTGTACTTCGCAATAGCTCTGTCAGTTAATACTCTGAGATAGGCTGCTTCACGACCAGTTTTCTTATCCTTGAAGGACAACTCTCCATCACCACCCAAGACGTCATCAATAACGTTGATAAACTCGTAGTTACCTGCCTCCAAATCGTTGGCAAACATGAGCAAGAAGTCACCCCAGTGATTTGCCAGTACAAATTTCACGTCAAAGTCTCTTCCAAAAACAATAACTTGCCCAACTTTACCATTTGGCCCAGGGGCCAAATCAACACCAATGTTGTTACCTGCCAAGTCGGTAACCAATGGAATCCACATAGGGTGAGCATAAACCGGTTCAACCGCACCTGGTGGGAATGATTTCTGCTGCGGCAAGTCCTTCTTAAACTTACTACCATTTGCGCTTGAAGAGATTCTCTTCTCCAATTCGGGATCTGGGGATGCACCAACGGTGTCAACTTTCTTGTAACCAGGTTGGGTTTCCACCAACGTAGCGGTCTTATCAAGTTCACCAGATGATCCGGTTGGGGAGATCAACTGCTGTCTGGCAGCAATGTTTTGCTTCACTTTCAAGTCCAATTCCATTCTTTCCGCAACTGTTCTCCATGTCTTTGTCATGGCGACAATTTCGTCAATAGCCATGAGTTGCATTCCATAGAACAATCCACCAGTACCTGGCATGCTATCCAAATCAACCTGACCATCGTGTAAACGAAGAGACGCTCTGACAGGTGCTGGGAACTGGATTCCCAAGTCATTCTCAGCGGCAGCAATGTCAGCTTTCGTGCAAGGCTCCGCAAGCGTTGCATCCAAATCAACGTGGTGTTCCGAGGTCCACGTCTCTATGATTCTCCACGCCAGAATCGTTTCACTGAGCCCCTCCGCGTTGGTGCTCTGTGGGTTCTCCTCGTCGCCGAAGCCTGAGGCGTCACCAAGCTGAATCCCATTTCTCGACACGGTACGTGTATGAGTACGTGGTTCTGCTCGGTTATTGTTAGAGCGGCTAGCATCATACTCCGCGTACCTGTCCTCGGTTGAGAATGCGTACAAGATCTGGTTTAATTTGTCCTTGAATCCCATTTCTAATCCCTTGAGTTGGTGTTCTTCTTTTGTTTTGTGGAACCCGCCCCTTTCGTTGCTTTGTTTATTTGTTGTTGTTTGTTGATGATTTTCTCTCTGGACGAAATTCGACGGCGGGCGGTTGCCAGGCTTTTTGCTCTCCTGGGAGTTTTGGTTTTTCCTCCCAGGCGCGAATTTCTCCGCGGAGGGAAAATTGTACCAGGGAGGAATTTCAACATGGCAAATATCAACAAGTCACTAGGACAACGGTGATGAACTGTATGTTGTTTGTTGTATGGAAGGACATCATTGGCTGGTTTTGACACCGATTGTAGAAGATTCTGGATTGCTCTCCAAGGTGGATGGTAAGAAGTTCAGGTAGACGTTTATCTAGCGATGTGTTTATACGAACTGCTTGAACTACTTTGGCGTCTGCATTGGTGTGTGCCAATTAGGTTTCCTAATTGGGTAAAAGATAAACATGTCCGTGATGAGGGTTGGTAGTAAAACTTTTGCCTCCATCACCATTAAATCCTTTATATCTGTGAGGAAAGAGGCTCCTGCTATAGGTATCCCTGCTTTCGACAGAGCCATCGACGATACTTTCAAGATTCAAATGTCAGATATCCATCAACAACAACAGCAGCAGCAACAGCCAAACATCCACCAAAAGATGTTGCAACGTTCTCTTGGTGCGCACCCACAGTTGCAACACAACTTCGCATCTCCTACAGATAACATGATGTCTCCGTGCTCAAAGAAGCTGAACGACCATAAGAACAGGTTCATTGCCCAGTATGTACAATTTGTGTATATGGCCCTAATGGGCTCTTCCAAAGTGGTTTCCTACTAACACATACAACAGCTCCAAGGCCACGAAGCTGAACTTTGCCGATTTGAAGTGAAGTTATAACCCTTCTCTACCAATGACGCCATCTGCGTCCTACTTTTATGATACCAGTACTTATACCAAATTTGAATGTGTATAAATATAATAAAATTGAGATTTTCCATCCCCTGTATTGAAATGAAACCCCTCGTCACTATGTGCAAGATATATATATATACCTCTTTTAATGTATATATTTTTTGTGTGTATAGATTCTGAAGCTTTTCAAATCATTTCTTCAAACGAGCATCTGCAACGGTGTTTAACAACAACGCCTCGTTATCCAAGATGATTCTGTTTGGAGAGTTGGAGAGAATCTGAGCAATCTCCCTAGCGGTGTCCAATCTCTTCAATTCAACATAGTCTTTTGACTTCTTGATGGCCTCACCAATCAATTCAGCGGACTTTGCCTCACCTTGAGCCTTAACAATTGTACCTTGCTTCTCCTGTCTGGCTTTATCCACAATAAAGGCAGCTCTTTGTGCCTCTTGTTGTGCAATCTGCTTGGCTTCAACAGCCATGGTAAACTCTGGAGAGAATGTCATATATGTGATGGAAACGTCATCCAACAAAATGTTGAACTTTGATGCTCTTCTAACAAGGTTCTCTCTGATGAGTCTCGAGACCCTTTCTCTTTGTGTGATAAGTTGGGAAGCGTTAAACTGTGCAACAACAGATTTCAAAACTTCATTCACGATAGATGGCAACACTCTTTCATCATAATCGGTACCCAATGTTCTATAGATGACTGGTAATGCACCAACTTCTGGTCTAGAAAGTACTCTACACGTAATGTTGACCATTTGCAAGTCCTTTGTACCTGTCAACGAAGCAACGTTACGTGGCTTGGCCCTAACGTCATAGACAACTGGGGTCTGAAACCATGGAATGGCAAAATGAGTTCCTTCGTTGTAGATTTGAGGTTGAACACCACCAATACGTGAGTACATAATGGCTCTATGACCACCATCAACGTTAAATAGAGAAGAGTTCAACAAGAGCGCACCTCCTCCCAATAGAATCAATCCAACTCCACCAGTGAATAGTCCAGCTGGTCCACCTTTTGGACCACCCTTTGGGCCACTGTACGTAACTTTACTAGCACGGTTACGGACTTGACGTGCAAACTCTTGCCAATCCTGGTTGTTATTCATCTTTAATTCCACGCTTGTCCAGGTAATTGAGCCTAGAGAACCGCCAGTTGTTGTTGCTTCGAAGGGCTCTCTCCCCTTATTCCTTCGTGTAAGTGGCGAAAAAAAAATCGCGGGTTTTGAAAATGTACGTGGAATTCCGGTGAACCTGCCGTCGTATCTCACTGGATGGTGTATGGATGTTGGTCCCTCTTCGAGACTTGTGTGTCTTTGGAGTTCAAAAGAGGGCTCGGGTGCTGGAGCTCATCCACGGTGCTGTATTACTATTAATACACAAAACATTCCATCATGGTTGATTATCCATTGCACGATGCTGCCAGAGATGGCAAATCGCTCATAGTTCAAGGTCTGTTGAAGCAAGACGCTAAGCAAGCGCTTCAGAAGGATGACGATGGACGTATCCCATTACACTGGGCAGTGGCGTTTTCACAGTTGGAAGCTGCCTCGTTGTTATTAAACCCAGGTAAACCCAGTGGCAAATCCATAGAATTCGACATCGATGACTATGTCGATGCATCTGGCTGGACAGCCCTACACATCGCTGCTTCTGTGGGGAACTTGGAGATGATTAGCCTATTACTTACACACGAGCCAAAACCTGATGTCAATCTCCAAACAACTACAGGCTTGACCGCAGTGCACTTGGCCACCGGCAAAAAGCACATTGACGCCGTCAAGGTTCTTGTTGAAAACGGTGCATCTCTGCGTATAAAGGACAAGAGGAGCCAATACCCTATCCACAGAGCAGCCGCTGTTGGAAGTATCGCACTGGTTCAGTTTCTTGGGGAGGATTCCAAGTCTCCTCTCAACTCCAAGGACATTCAAGGCTGGACCCCGTTACACCACGCGTTGGCAGAAGGGTTTGCAGACGTTGCGCTTGTCCTTGTGAAATTGGGCGCCGATGCGAAGATTGAAGATGACGAGGGAAACACACCTCTAAAAGTGTCCGTCGATGACACAGTTGCAAAGTACTTCAAAGTCGAGTGTGAGAAGTTAGGTGTCGACTTATAACACGGCCCCAACAACCGCTTAATACATCTTCCTTAATAACATAATTTCGTAATCATAAACATTGTACCGTCACCAACAACAACAATGAGCCACAGCGCTCCTAATGGGCCCGCAAGGTGGGGTGGAGCAATCGTTGCTTTTGTGTCATTTACATCCGTACACCCCTCTCAAAATGGGCTGAGCGAGACGACGTTTTTTGGTGGGAAGGGGAGCCTCAGCGGCGCGCACCATTCGAGGTTTTTCCCTGTGGTAAAAAGAAAAATGACCAGAAACCAGCAGCAGATTTGGCAGAAACCAAAAAAATGGGTTAGTCGAGGAGCTCAGGGAAAAAAACACACAACGCACAAAGGCCCTCTCTGTGTTCCTTTCTCTCTGTTGATTTTGATAGGAATCAAACCTTCTTATTGGTCCATTTGATTGGCTTAATTCACCTTTTCATATACAAAAGAGCAACTGAATAAACAGATCTGGAGCAGGTGGGATTCAACGACATCCTTGAGTACATCATAGTACACACTTACTTTGGTAAAGATCAATATTTCTTCTGACGTTTGTTTTACACTCAGACAGCCATGGGGAGGTGGTTCCGTAACGTGTTTGTTGATCCCAATAGCAAGGTGCTGGTCCCCGGTGCACAGCGACAGTCCACTACTGTGCCCGTGCTTGTTGGTTTGTTTGCTGCTGTTGGAGGGTTCATCTACGGCTATGACACCGGTATTATCAATAGTATCTCTGAAATGGAGTACGTCAGAAGAACCTTTGCAGGTAATGGTGAAAGCTTCACAGCGAGTGAGATGAGTATACTCACAGCGATCTTGTCCCTTGGTACGTTCTTCGGTGCTTTGACTGCACCTTTGATTAGTGACACATTTGGAAGAAAAGTCGCCATCATATTTGCAACATTTGTTGTGTTTATTGCGGGAAACTTGTGTCAGGTTGCTGCCAGTACCATTCTACTTCTGTGCATTGGAAGGTTCATCACTGGCTTATCTGTGGGGATCATATCTGCGGTGGTACCCCTTTATCAAGCTGAAGCTTCACCAAAGTACTTGAGAGGTGCCATCATCTCCACATATCAGTGGGCGATCACTTGGGGGTTGTTGGTTTCAAGTGCAATCTCACAGGCCACGCATTCGATAGATAACTCTGCCTCTTATAGGGTTCCAATTGGTTTACAGTTCCTGTGGTCTTTGATATTGGGGTTTGGTATGTTGGCGTTACCTGAATCACCTAGATTTTACGTTAGAAAGGATGATATACAAGCAGCAGCAAAGGCACTCTCGAGGCTACGACGTGTTCCTGCTAATGATCCCGGATTGATTGAGGAATTGGTTGAAATAAAGGCATCGCACGACTATGAACTTTCATACGGCTCGTACTCAACTTGGGATTGTTTCAAATCAGACGCCGCAAGACCACATCAATTAAAGAGATTACTCACTTCAATTTGCCTACAAGCCCTACAACAATGCTCCGGGATCAACTTCATATTTTATTACGGAGTCAATTTCTTCACGAAAACAGGTGTTTCCAACTCTTACCTGATATCTCTGATAACATATCTTGTTAACGTGGCGTTGACAGTTCCTGGCTTGTTCCTCGTTGAAACTATTGGTCGTCGTAAAATCTTGCTATTTGGTGCAATAGTGATGACCATTGCAAATCTTTTGATAGGTATAGTGGGCGTGACCACTGATTCTGTTATTGCAAATAAAGTCATGATCGCTCTTGTGTGCTTGTTCATTGCCGCATTCGCAGCAACATGGGGCCCAGTGGTTTGGGTCGTTACAGGTGAGATATTCTCCCTTGGTGTTAGAGGCAAAGCTGTAGCACTGAGTGCTGCAACAAACTGGATTGTCAATTTCGTATTTGCATATATTACACCCTACCTGGTTGATACAGGTAATCATACTGCTGCCTTGGGAACAAAGATCTTCTTCTTGTGGGGTGGTTTCAACCTTGTGAGCATAGCATTTGTGTATTTTATGGTGTATGAGATGAGGGGGCTCAGTTTAGAAGAGATTGACGAATTGTACCGCTCTTGTCCTAGTGCATTGGTGTCGTCAAACTTTGTTGTTAAGCTGACCTTCGACCACGGGGACGGGGACGGCACAGAGTTGGAAGAGTATCTACCTTCACCTGAGAAGAGGGAGGATTCATCCAGTGGCCCAAACACAACTATGTTGGAACAGTGTGGTTCAAGGCCATCGAGTGAAGACAACCGTCGCGGTGACAACAGCACGGGTGTTGCTATTGATAAGCACTATTCTACAACCACAGATTACAGTGGACAAGATCATAGCATCACAGTCAACCCAGGATACACGGTTGATTTAGGATACAGTTTGGGCGCAGGTCGTCGTGGACCGCCTTCTCTAAACACCATGTCCAGTGATGAAGAATCAATCCCTGAACGTGACCATATTGTGTATGAGTCACTTTCTGGCTATGTTGCAAGTCTAAGTTCTCGCAGTGAACAACCTGGAGGAGACCGGTCTTATCGTGGCTCCTTCTCCACGCAGGCGCCCTCAACGTTTGACAGTGGTGCACCGTTTGGACATATATCAAGTGCAGCTTCCACAACAACATCCTCACAGGCAGATAAAACGAAAGTGGCGGCAACTACGAGTAATGATCCAATTTCTGGTCAGAATGGTAATCAAAACAATGTCAGCACCGATAATAACAACAACGGCAATAACAACAACATCAATGATATCACCAGCACTAATAGCAACAGTGGTAGCGATACCAACCACGGTGTAGCTGATGGTACAGCTCAGAGTTCTAGATGGGCTCTGAAAAATAATGATCATAACGACAATAATGATAACGACAGTGGTTCATCAAGCGGTGCAAGTTCCTTATTCGACAATTGATTTTCACTGTATAGCATGATTCCACATTCAATTCGATTTATAATGTTTACGTTTCTCCTACTCCCCCTATTGTGTATTGGTTCTATTCGTACAATACCCATGCTATAATTCTTCACTGCTGTGTTTCCCTTACCGATGACGAGAGCTCTCGCAGACATTCAGCTTTTTTTGGAACCGCCAAAGCAACTTGTTAAAGGCCTGTGAACAACGTGTCATTCCCTTCAACTTCATAAGAGCGCTTGTCAACTGGTAACACAAATGATAGAGAAGAAAGACCAATCATCTTCGAATGAGATGGAGTCCGTCCACAAGGACTTTGAGGCTGTTAAAAAGAGTGTTATTTCCAAGGACCGAGAGTTCAAAGGCCTCAACGACGACCATTCTATAAGAGGTCGGATAGTATTTTATGCTTTCCATTTGACATTACTCGTTGTTTATTTCTTTTATTCGATATATAGAGGATTCGAATACGCTCGCAATAAGATTCGGATAAAGTTGTTGAACCTCGCTTATAACCCTGCTCAAACTCCACAAATCATCAGAGTTGACGTCAATAAGCTCTCCAAGATCCCTAAGCGTATCAGCGCGGTTGTCAATTTGAAGAGCGAGGAGGAAGAAGGCGGTGGCTTTTATGGGCTATTGAACGACTGTTCTGAGATTGTTGCATGGACCGTCGCCAGTGGGATTCCTACGTTGTCCCTTTACGAACGCAGTGGAATCTTGAAGCAGAGCGTTGAAGAGTTGAGAGTGGCTATTCATAAGAAACTCGATGACTACTTCGGTTGTGATTGTGTTCCAGTGTTCACCATCTCCATTCCACACTTGAACCAGACATTTTGGGGACTTGATCATGATGACGACGACGAATACAAGTCGCTTGAGCCAGATATCGAAGTGAGTCTATTGTCCTCGAACGATGGTAAACCCACCATTGTGGAATTGACAAAAACAATGGCTGATCTAGCGTACAAGAAGGAAATGTCTCCTAAGGATGTCACCGTTCAATTGATCGATAACGAACTTACCGAATTGATTGGCGCAGAACCAGACTTGATCATCTTATTCACCCCAGTTCTTGATCTTCAAGGCTACCCACCTTGGCATATCAGATTGAGCGAGTTCTACTGGGAACCTGACAATGAAGATGTCACCTATGCAATCTTCCTTAGAGCTTTGCAGAAGTATTCTACGTGCAAGATCAACGTTGGTAAATGAATAATTGCCAACTTCGATAAGCTAACAATAGCAAAAGCAGGCGCCGCCTTCTAGTTGTGTTTTCTTTGCATAAAAGTGATATATCACAAAGATCAATACGATCTCATCAGCTAATGAACTCATATATAATATAATCGCATGAACTACCTTTAATGAACCCCAAGAGCAGAGTAAACTTGACGAACCAGTGGAGAACAAGTGTGTGTCCACCATCCGAGGGAAATATCCGAGGGCAATACCCTCGAGTCTCACCATTCGCGTTGTTGTTCTTTTCTTGTTTTCGTGGTTTGGAAAACTTCCGCCGCCACCCCCTCCTGAGAAATCTGAAGGGGAGAGCGAGAAAAAAAGTGAGCAAAAAAGGCCAACGAAATCAAAATTGAAAACCATCTCTCAAACAATCTTAACAACAAAAACATCTACAAACAAACAGTCAACATAATTTAAAAAACGTAAGTATATCTACACAGTGATGAGTTATATATGATGGTGTTCTCTATGAGTTTGTTGTGTCTCGCCCCTTTGAAGTGGTTGTGTTTTCCATGGAATTGCCATACTCGTATCTTTGTTCTTTTTGTGTGTTGTCTGGAATGTTTTGATTGGAGGATATGCCCTTTTCGCTGCTGTGACTTGATCCAGCGATTACACTTAGCAATCTGAGAAGAGGGCCTTGGATGAACTGTCCATCTTGGACGAATCAATTGATATTGGCCGGGAGACACTCCCTGTTGATTTCCATTCTCCGATATCGTTTCTTTTGTTTACCGCGTGTCTACGGATCTTGGGTCCCACCTTTTTCGCTGGTGTCGCTCTCTGAGTACGCTGTGCTGATCGCTCCATTTCGGATGGCTCGCTACATTACCATCTGTGCTCTGCTGGATTTGTGCTACATTGTTTCTAAGCGTGCGTGTCGATAGACCGAAGTGTCCATTATCCCACGCTAGGCGATTTCTGCTCCGTGTGTGTGTTTTTTAAGGGGCGGAAGACCACACTACAGCGAAAACAAGAACAAACCCATTTTCGGAATCTCTCTGCAAAGGGAGGAAAAACCGAAGGAGAGCAGGAAAACCCCAAGCACACACAGAGGCTACGAAAGAGAAAAGGATCAAGCGCCAAACTCCTCGGAAGGTAGATCGAACCAGAATGTTGGGAATTGGAAGGAGAATTGGACTTAACGGTATTTGCTGTGATGATTCCAGCCCGTCATCTGCAGTATGTGTCCCTTTGTACTTGAATTTTCATTCTCAGCATTTGGTGTGTGGTCTCTGGAAAATCAAAACACCCTGTTTTTTCCTCTGGTTGTTCCGACCTTTCAGTGCGCGCTGGGCTGCGCTGCACTGGAATGGGCTGAGCCTACCGTCGGCGGCTTTTCACAGGTAGAGGGGGGTTATGGAGAAGTGAAAATAATACACACAGCGACGAAAACTATTGCAAAGAACGTGAAGGTGGGCGTTATCAATCGGTTCCTTTCATCGATGTATGTTTCCCCCTTCCTTTGAGTTCAAACAATCTCAAATCACGAATCATATCAAGCTCCAAAAAGAACAGCTCATCGTTACATTTACATACGAATCAAGTACTAACAGTTGGTGGATAGCATGGGTTTGTCAATTTCTAAATTGTTGTCTGGCCTTTTCGGTCGCAAAGAGATGAGAATCTTGATGGTTGGTCTTGATGCCGCCGGTAAGACCACCATCTTGTATAAGTTGAAGCTTGGTGAAATTGTCACCACCATCCCAACCATCGGTTTCAACGTCGAGACCGTGGAGTACAAGAACATCTCCTTCACCGTCTGGGATGTCGGTGGACAAGACAAGATCCGTCCATTGTGGAGACACTACTTCCAAAACACCCAAGGTATCATCTTTGTCGTTGATTCTAACGATAGAGACCGTATTGCTGAGGCCCGTGACGAATTGCAAAGAATGCTTAACGAGGATGAATTGCGTGATGCCCTTCTCTTGGTGTTTGCCAACAAGCAAGATTTGCCAAACGCTATGAACGCTGCTGAGATCACTGAAAAGCTCGGATTGCACTCCATTCGTCAACGTCCATGGTACATCCAGGCTACATGTGCCACCTCTGGTGACGGTTTGTACGAAGGTTTGGAATGGTTGAGTACAAACTTGAAGAGCACTGCTTGAAGCAGACAGAACCAAGTCTTTTAGATTCAATTGTTTTTTCTTCTTTTCATTCGAACAGACGCTAGGAGAGAGGAGAGAAAGGATAGGTGTGTTTCATTCAGTGTGTGGTCTTTATTATTTTCGTTAACGATGTGTGAACCGATCTTTATGTGTTGATTGCAACTAGGGAAGAAACGCACTCTGATCCCTGTTGTTTTGTACTAAGTAGGTTTGTTTCGATCAAAAAAGAGAAATATATAAACCAAAGCATCACATAGAGAGATTACATTGTAAATTTGATAGTATGTAACTGCGAACTTGGCATCGTAGACGGTCTTGACTGTCAATCGAGGTCTGACGGTCATCTACGACTACTCATCTATTGATTATCCGGTATTGTAAGTTGAATGGATACATGTTTATAAAGGTCAGGATTTCTGATTCGCTGATCTAGAAGCCCTGATACCTTTATCACGTGATGTGCTGAAGCCCTAATTTCTCAAACAGTAGTATTGATTGGGACACTATCGCTATTTCTCAATTTTGTGCCAACGGAGCATTAGAAATTTTCAGACAAACATCCGAACACACATACAAAATTTCCTCTTCGTGACTGTTAGTTTTCTGTTCAGTGTTTTTTTTTCGCGCTACGCAGTTCGAGGGCTCCACACTGCTGGGAAAAAAAGTGAAAATAACCAAGCACATCATCGACATCACCAACCGAGTGAAGTTTTAGCTACACAACACAAGACGAAATGGTATGTTTGAAAGAGACATGGGAGGAGAAGACGTTTCTGTGATAAGATGTGATCATGAAGAACTGGAATCACCAAAGAAATGTGTTATAGATTCGTTAACGGACCATGGGTTTTATCAATGAGAGGAAAGGTCATATGAGGTGAGGTGGAAATTTGTATACACAGTAAAAAGCGGACCATGAAGTGCTACAGTTCCTTGATTATTGCACTGTGCTCAGTAAATGATTCATTTTGCAAACTTTACTATGTGTTTATGTTCATTAGGGGTCATTTGGATATACATCTAAGTATTATGAACTGAACGTTTCACCTACAAGACCTTATACACATTCATTAGACACCATGTGCAGTGTCCATTTCGATCCAAAGTAACAGTTCCCAGTCCATGATTATCCTTGTCGTCGTATGCGTAATATATCCACAAAGGCACGATACTAACATTTCACTTACAGGCCGGTTTGAGAGCTTACGAATTGCGTACCAAGTCCAAGGAACAATTGGAGGAGCAACTTGTCTCCTTGAAGCAAGAGCTTGCCAACTTGAAGGTTCAAAAGCTCACCAGACCATCTTTGCCAAAGATTGGTACTGTTAGAAAGGACATTGCCCGTGTCTTGACTGTCATCAACTTGAACCAAAGAGAGGCTGTCAGAGCTTTCTACGCTGGTAAGAAGTACCAACCAAAGGACCTTAGAGCTAAGAAGACCAGAGCTTTGAGAAGAAAGCTCACCAAGTTCGAGGCTTCCCAAGTCACTGAGAAGCAAAAGAAGAAGCAACTTGCTTTCCCACAAAGAAAGTACGCTATCAAGGCTTAAATTGACTGAGATATGTACTACTGTTTAATACAAAGGAATGATAGGGGTTTTGTACTTTTTGAAAATATCCTGTAATTGAAGTATTTGATTTATGCATCTGTCATGTTAACATCTGTGGACTTGTTGGCTTTCTTTCCTCTCTTCCAGTCTAAAATCTCTTGTTTGAGGTCATCGTTGGGAATAACATCCTCATATTTCAACGGCATTCTGTTGAATGGATCAGTAGAATCACTTAGTAGATGGGACCGAATAGTTGCCCTGTCAATGTTGACTTTGGAACCTGGTAAAATGACAGGATCCTCCATTAAAGTGTACATCAATGGGTCCAAATACTCATCTGGGATCTCACCGAGGTCCTGTTCCTCCGCCTCATCAGCAATTCTAGTCTCTTCCGCTTTGTCAGCAAATGTGACAAGGCACTTTATGAAATCTTCATTGGAAAGTCCCCATCTTCTGATAATATCCTCAGCACGATTGAACAGCGCCCTTTTGAACGATCTTGAATCGTTAGCCACTGCCTTGGTGAAGTCACTCTCAGAGCTCAAATTCACGAAAACTTTGCAAATCTTCAACAAAAGATCCTTTGGATTGAATTTGTACTTCTCTGGTTCTCTCACCTTAAGCTCTGTACACTTTGGTCCTACAAGTGCCTCCAAGTTATAATCCAGCATACTAGCCAAACGACCCACAATCTCTGGTTTGATAAATGCTTTTGGTACCTCACCTGTGAACATGTCAAAGAGATCAAGCGTTCTGTTGGCTAGTTGAATGTCTGCACGCGCTTGGTTCTCAGCGGAGGATAAACGAGACTCGAGGTCCTCATTGGTTCCATCCATGTTCGATCCACCTTGTTTACGAAGCTCCAATTCATTCTGTACAGCGTGAACATCCTGCAATTGACGAAGAGACTCGTCAAGCAAAAAGGTCAAGTCGTTAAGCATTCTAGCCACGAATCTGATGAAGAACTCTTCATTGTGTTCACTTTGATGAATCAGCTGTCTCTTGTAAACACTATTCTTCCAAATCTGTTCCAAGATGCAGGAGATATGAAATCTAGAGTTGAATTTATCGTAGAATTGACTGGAACTGCCAGTCTTTTCAACAACGACATAGAAGTCCAACAATGCATAAAGCAAGTTATCTGTCAACAATGGATCAGTGTCAATGATGTCTTGCATGAAACCTGGTGTTCCATCTGTCATGGGATATGTACCAATACTCAACACTTCCACTAATCTCCCCTTTAAATGTGGATTCCCAATAAGTTCAGGACAACGTAAGAACACAAGCATGAACTCCATAAGACTTGGCAATCTTGAATTGCGTATCATAGGATTGGCAACAAACTTACAGCTTGATAAGACAAAGTTGATCACACCTTCAACACAAAACTCTGGGAAGTATTTGTATGGCACTGGTGCCTGTTCACGGAAGTGTTCTGAGTTGTCCACATTTTCAACACCTATAACATCGGGGACGAATGGCAATCTCAATTTGGTCTTTGGGTATAGATGAGTAGGTTCCACTGTTCTAACCAAGAACGCACTTGACCCAGCAATGAAATCAAAGATCTCCAGTTGGAGATTTCTGTGTATGAAGAAAGAAGTAAGGGCATTCTTTTCAGATTTGGCCTGTTCCAACTTCTTTTGAAGAGCAGGTAACTGCATCCGTTGAATCATTTGTAGCCTGTTGCTTGGATCTGAAATTGGTCTGTTCAAATTTTCGACTGTAGATTTCAAATGTTTTATCAGCTTGTCCAATTTTGACTCAGAAATGTATAAGCCACCAAGACCGTATTGTAGGTATGTCAGCGTCAAGTAAAAACAATCAGAGATAAAATTTGGTTTCTTATCTATCTTATGTGCCTCGAAATACTCGTTTGCCTCTGCATTTGTTGCATTAGCTCTGGTTTCCTCAGAAATGTCGATTAAACAATGAGTGTTTTGGAAATAATTTGGATCAATTTTGTCCAATTTAGTCAAGGATGAGTCTAAGAATGGAAGTGATAATCTTATGAGCACCATGGATATGTTTGTCATAAAAGCGTTGGACGCCAATTTGCTGAAATCTGCGTGGTCTCCACGTCTCAAATGGTTCTTATTAACTATTGTTGCAAAGTATTTGAGTAGATCATTTCTCGACTGTTCTGAACCTCTGATAATCTTATCAGTGATGAAGAAAAGTCTCTCCAATAGAACCTTGTGTTCTGCCTGGAGAGATTCTCCAACGCTTTTGACCTTTCTGCTAGAACTGTTGGTATTCTCATCGAACAATGCAATGGATACGGTACTTTGTAAGGGTGACAATCTGAACAAAGGGCCTAAAAGAGTAGTTGTCTCTATGCGATGGGGCTTAACTTCTTCCTTTGCGTGAAAGTTGTCAATCTGTGTGAATACAGCGGCCACTGGCTTTTGACTCAGGATCAATTGGAAAACATTCAACACCAACTGGTAGTGCGAATCTCTAAAATCAATCTTAGATACCTCTTTGGCGAGCTCCACAACAAACACGTTTAGGAACTCCAACAATGTTCCCTCTTCATGTGCATGGTATAATATTTGAATGATGAAGTCAGAGTATAAAGAGTCATTGGCAATCACATCCTTTAGGTAAGTATCAATGTTACCGTTGATGAACATATCCTCAATCTGAAATGCAACCAATCCATAGTTTGAAGTCAGCCTGTCAATCTCCTCCAGCACCTGTAACTTTTCATCCCTCAACGGGTCCTTCGCCTTTAGCGTTCTCTTGTACTGCTGCACTTTGACCCAGCAATCTCTGAGCCATTTGAAAGGGTTCGTGTTTCCAACCTCAGTCAAGTACTCTATGATGATCCTATCTGCATGAGACTCTTCGAACTGAGGGTCCAACCCTTCTTCAACGAGCTCTGTAAACGTAGATTCCAAGAACCGCTTTGAGGTGTCATCGACGTTGAGCGTCACCCCAAACACATCACCAAAGAGCGAAGTACACCACGGCGACAGCTGCGACTGGGGCGTGGAGTGCTTGGATTGCACAGGCAAGGGCTCCTCGCGCTTAGTCGTCTCATCCATCGTATAATGGCTTCGTATTGGTCAATATTTACCTTTGCAGCGATGAGTGAATGCTCGTGTGTATCTAGCCAAAGAACGCTAGCCGCTTAACAATACGTATTGTTTCCTCTGAACGAAGGATCCTAAAGGCCAACAGCTGTATCACTCGCTTGTACAACAATCAACCGCTGTGTAACACGCTTGTTCAACAATTAACTGCTGTAGAACTTATTCCTCCCCCCGTTTGTGATTTGTTTTGATTTGTGACTTCCTCGCCCTATCCCGCCGCCACCTCTGGCCCTATCAGCAAAATCTCGCTCTCTCTGTCGTCCCTCTGTGGGCATTTGCGGTGTGTCCTTTGGCATAGAAAGCGAAAACTTCCGCTTTCGGTTAATTTGTGGTTTTTTCGTTTTTTCCACCCTTCCAACGCCCGAAAAAGTTTCATGAAAAACGTCCCAGGACAAAACCCTTTGGGCCAGACACACGAACAGTGTACGTTAGGTTTGACGCGATAGGAAGATCATCTGAGGGACAATGGCTGGTACAAGTGTACGTAATTTGAGCTATGAGTGATGAGTTGTTTCCAGTGTACTAATATCTGAATTATAGGAGGAAGAGGTGGTTGAGACACCGTCAGTGGTGGAACAGAAACAGCAGCAGCAGCAGCAGCAAGAACAAGGAGAGGCCAGTGAGAAGAGGGAACCCAAATCACAACCAGAAGAGAAGGGCAATGATACAAAGAACCAGACGTTACCACATAAACCAGTGCCACACATTACAGATGCGCTCAGGAGGGCATTGAGCATTCCAAGGGACCGCACATTCATTGTGAAGCTCGAGAAGGACTTACAGAGCTTCATTATGTCCAACACTGATTCTTATCTTTTGGCACCTATGAATTCGTATTACAGGCTGATCACTCATCAAACTGCAGAATACTATTGCCTTGGACATACGTTAAACGAAGGTACTAATTCGATATTGGTTTTCAAGCACATTGGTGTCGAGTTGACAACACCGACACCACTTTCAACGCTGCCTATCGGCGTCCCCTACACTGGGGTCATACCTGTTCAATACTGTTATCCACAGAATATGTACCAACAATTCCCTCTGCCTGTCGTTCCACAGGTGGGACAAGTACCACAACAACAACATCAACATCAGCAGCAGTATCCTCAGACCACTCCGTCAGACCAGAATATCACCACCACACATCCAAGCCAACATATCAAGATCATGAAGAGAGACGATTCAAAGAACAAAGCAGAAGACAGTGAAGGTGATAAGAACGAAGAAACCACGAAAGAAGGAGAAGAAGTTGAGACAGATGATACAAAAGAAAACACACCACAATCTTTAATATCGGATTTGGCATCTAGAGAACTTGAATATCAAAAGGCACGTGAACGTATCTTTGCCGATGATCAAGGTTCAAGTACAGAATCATCGCCTGAAACTTCGCCTGTCGTTACAAATGCACAACCTTTTGCGTACGGTGCTACTATGAATGGATATTACATGCCTGATATGAACCAACTTGCAGCCGGGATGGGTGCAATGGGGATGTACTATCCACAGCAGCAACAGCAACAACCTCTGGGATCTCAGTCTGACCCACTATTACCCTCACAGATAAATTCTGGAGGACAACCTCTGATTTCCCCCGGATGGCAACAATTCGTGCCTGTACAGTATTATCAAGGACAGCAGCTTTACTATCCAGGATATGCTCCAGGATACCCTCAAAGAGGTGGTTATAATCAAAGAGGCGGTTATTATAAGAGAAGGGGCCACCATAAGAAGAAAAGAAATGCCAATGGGTATACAAGTTCCAGTGCGAATTCGAATAGTAATTTGAATAGCAACAATAACAGTCCATAGAAAGGGGGGTATACAACCTATTTAATAGGCATCTCGCTGAACTACACATAATGCCAATCTAAACCTCTTCTTTTTGTTCTTTTCTTTGTTTCAATAATTCGTTCCAAAGACGAGAGGAGAGACTTGGTTTCATTTCTTGACGATCTCTACACCCCAATCCAGCACCAAGTATGTGTTTTTATCGTCATCGACGAATTTTGACTGTGCGCTGTAGCTTCCTCTTGCGAGTAAACCACTTGGAGCCTCTGTCTCCGGAAGTGTAACCTCATAGAACGGCTTTTCCTTTGTGTTTGGGGCGTAAGATCCCAGTGGGTCTTGGATCTTATCGACCGTGAATCCAGCCTTCTTGATGCCCTGAAGATACTTGATACCGGTGACAATCTCATGTTGAACCTTGAACTTGATCTTTAGCTTGTAGATGGACTTCTCTTTGATCTTGAAGTGCTTCTTTGGTAACTCCTTCACGGTCTTCGCATCCGTAAGGTCAACCACAACTGGAGCCTCATTGTCAACGAGCAGAGTCATCTCGAGAATAACAACACGACGGTCATCGCCAGCGGCTACAGGCAAAGGCTCACCGCCCAACAGCCCGAGAGACTTCTTCCACTTTTGAAGAGACTCATCTTCCGCATCGAGCTTGGCGTACTCGTCAAGCGTCTTCTTAGCGCCCGGCTTGTAGTTATCATCATCAACTACCAAATCGTCGTTGGAATTGCTCATCTTTCCGGGGAGATCAAACACTCGCAAATTGGCCCTGTTTGTGTCTGTGTTTGTGTGCCTTTCTGTTTGTGTTTGATTTTTGCCCTTGCTCGCCAGGCACCGGAATTTCTGTCCCACTGGGCTCTCTTGCAAATTTCAGAATTAGGCCGTGGGCACGCTCGTGTAAAACAGAGAAAAATGAAAAGGCGCTCCCGCATACGCTGGTGGGGGCCGCCACGATCTCCATGGGCTCATCTTAACAGCGTACGCGTCCGTTACGAAGGTGATGGTTGTGCACCGTAGTAAATCAATTGGAAACACTGCTCATAATGGCACATCCAATTACGTAATGATTGCACACCAGAGGTGCTGTATATGTAATCACTCAACACGTGTGATTATGTAATCGCTGTGCCCTTTTTCTACGTTGAGTGGGAGACAGAGGTGGATGGGGGATTTCTTTATCAGCTTCGGCATACACCGAGGGTTGGAAGTTTCAGACTTGCCAACAGTATATAAAGAGGCGATGTGCATCCGCCATTCAGGCGGGGATAATCTCTGTGTAAACTAGTGTATATACATCTTGGTCTAAATGGGGGATATGGGTTATAGACTTCCAAGCATTTCGACCATTGGAACGCTCTCTGAGGAGGCAAAGGGTGAGGTTCTAAACAACTTGTTTGAACCTCACGATTCGATCGTGCGTTATCTCAAGCCGCTGTTTGAACAGAGCTATAAAGACTACGACCAGTTCATAGACAGTGCGTTGAAAAGATTCCAGGAGCTGGACCCACATTCTGAGTTGGCAAAGGACATCATCAGCTCACACCCTCGTCTTGGAGTCCCAAGGGGCACAGAGCTGAGTGAACACAGTGCTAAAGAACAGGAAAACTTACAAGGAGATGATGGCGTTGTTGTAGAATTCTCCCGGCTGAACAAACTATATGAAAGCACTTATCCAGGCTTGAGATTCGTACTGTTTGTAAACGGCAGGGACAAAGAATCTGTAAAAAGCGTCTTCAAGCAGAGAATTGAAAGGAACAATTACGAACTGGAAGTGAGAGATGCCATTGAAGCAATGTGTGACATCGCCAAGGACAGGGCACACAAACTACTGAGTAAGCTATAGGCCATTTGTTGCTTCCCAATGTTGGTGATAGTAAGAGCGTTACGGTGTTGACAATAGTAATAGTATGATGTGATAATGAAAACAGTACGTAGATCGAATGAATTAGTGCATTACATTGGGAACAAACAGCATAAAGGAATACCCGTTGTTGCTGTAGCGATTCATGAAACCAAAAGATAAACCAAGGGGGAGAAAGAAAACATCGTAATCTCGTTCAACACGCACCACACACACACACACAATCAGGCACAGCCTTTGATTGACATGGGACAACATTCCTTTTATTTAGTTTTACTCTCTTTCTGGTGTTCTCCGTCATCTCACAAAAAGTAATCAGGCGTCTTTCTCGTAACTGTTGGCTCACCAGGTCTCACACTCGGGTCGTATTGCAAGAACTGTCTGCTGTGTTGCTCGTCAACTTCCATGATGGCAGCTTGGTTGCCGCATCTGTAACAATAGTTTGGTGCACTGAAGATGGTGACAACGGCCTCCTCGTGGGACCACGAGTAACCTTCCATCACCAGTTGATGTGCTCTGGCGATTAACGAAAGGCCGTTTGTATGGTTGAATTGTTCACTAATATCTTGTCCAAAGGTGAACCCGGCACCACGAGGACTGATTCCCCATCCACCTCTGTCATCTGGATCGGACCACAACAAGTCACACATTGGACCTTCATGTGGAACCTCTTGGATTCTGTTCAATTCACGAACTTGGTCAATTGTCTCAATCATTGGGGATAATCCACCATGAAGACAGAATATTTTGTTATCAACTAATGCGGTGATTGGGAAGTAGTCAAACAAATCGGTGAATAGCTTCCAAACGTTTGCGCTTCCGTATTTACGCAGACATTCGTCGTAAAATCCATAAACTTGTGTGATCTGTCTTGACTCGTGGTTTCCTCTTAAGATGGTGATTCTACTTGGGTATCTAACCTTCATGGCAACGAGATAACTGACAGTCTCCACAGAGTAGTAACCTCTATCGACGTAATCACCCATGAACAGGTAGTTTGTGTCTGGACATGGACCGCCAATCTTGAAGAGTTCCATCAGGTCGTGGAACTGGCCGTGCACATCACCACATATCGTCACAGGCACCTGGACAGGCTGGACATTCTCTTCAAATTGCAGAACGTCGATCGCCATCTGACACAGCTTCTTCACGTTCTCCTCACTCAGCGGCTGGCATTTGCCCAAATGTTCAATCCACTCGTCAAGTTGCCCGATCGACGAGGTCGAAAGCTCAGGCGCGTGCCCATCCTTAGGGGTGAACCTGTTGCTGAAGGAATACTCCTGTGAGGTGTTTCCCTCCTCCTCTTCTTCAAGCGTGGTATCTAATCCCACAGCATCCTCCATTTGAACATCGGTATCTAAATCCATGGTTTATAATCTTGTCGCCTTATTTGAATAGTTGGGCGCGTTGGCGTTCTTTCTCTGTTTGTTTGTGCTGTGTTGTTAGTTGGAACGTCCTCCCATAAAAAACTGTGTCGATGGCTTGTTGTTTTTTTATCACGAATTTGTTTCCCTTTTCGTCCCTCCGTGGTTGTTTGAGCTGAAATTTCTCTCTCTGACTTTTTGTCCGTCTGCTGCCGAATTTTCTCTCTGTGTGTGATTTTTCGTCTCGTTGCCCCCCTCCGGCGCACTGATTGGCACGGGTTTTTTGGGCGGGATCGCTCGTCAGAGGGTCAACAATTACGTCATTTTATTGGTACAGGCACTGGTTATTTGACCGAAGTAGGACAGTGATTATGTAATACTGGAGTTATTTGATGCTTTGAGTGGTTGTGCTAGGGATAAGTTACTGGAGTGTTACTGGAGTGTTATACGCGTCTATATGGGATTTATGACTGTAGAGGAGTTGGCGTTTAGAGATGCGTTGTGTATAGGGGGTTGTATGGTGTAACGAAGGACAGAAGTAATTGGGAAGTGGAATTATCAACTACCCATGATGATCTTCGAGTCTTTACATGGATGGTAGTGCTCACCGTCCCCCTCCCCTCCACAGCGTGGAAATGGCTCAAACCATTCGACTGACTCTAATAGATTCGATTAGTGGTTTATAACAACAACGACACTGTCTTAGAACAAGCCCTAACTATAGCTGCAGGCACAGTTGCTACTCTCAACTTCAAATATTGAAGTGTGTCTGGCCAGAGGCGATACCTCAGTACAGCAATACATCTGCTCACAAGTACACTCGTAGCACCAGGCAACATTACAACTGTGAGATCCATATGTGGTAGCCACCTCTATAAACTTCGGATGACTGCTATGTCATGTTGGTGTTCGGGTTTAATATGGCATAACCTGCAGGGTAGGAAGTGTCAGTCACGTATGGATGTTCTTTTTAATATAATAACACCATGAAAATCCATGGAGAATCACAAACTATCATTAGATCTGTTTTATTTTACCAGAATTCTCTATAATTTGGCTTTAATGCTCATAAATCCATAATTATCTATTAATTATTCTACAATTAGTAAGTGCCTGCAAAATCCAAGATTATAGAAGAAGCTCCCCATTTTTAAAAGCTGTGATATAAAATCGACTTAATTAATTCATTTCATGAAACAATAATTACAATTCTCTTTTATACAAATAATTATCATTAATGTACTAAATTGATAGATGTAGTAAGATCGTCATAGTTATTGCTTTCACAATTGGTTATTGTAGTTTCAACTAGGTTGAATTACTGATACATAGATACAAAGCACTGCACCTGTAGCAAGATCAGTATCGTCTCAAGATGACAGACCAATACTCTCATATGATACAGGAAATAAGAACCTGTCAAATTGGTGAACCATTCCAGTCAGTCGTTTACATAAACAAAATCTCAATAATCTCAAGCCATAAACTCTTCCAAACAGCCTCAAACTGCTCAGTGCAAATTACGCATCAAAGTTGGATTGTCATATAGATGTTTGTCATGCTTCTATGCCCTGTACCGTCTTCTACCCCGGTCTTCTCTGACTGGACGTGAAAGTCTCCATTCATCCTGATTCTTAGAGAACCTGTTGAACAGTGGAACAATACGCTCTTCTTTACGTTTGGCTTTTGTCTTGGATCCATTGGCTTCGAAAAATTCTGGCGCAACTTCAACAAGCCACTGGGGTTCCACAACAGTAACGTGGTTCATGTACTCCTTTGTGGTACTTCTGATAGTATCAAATAGTACGTACTGTGGTTGACTTCGAACACCACTGGCAGGATGGATGTACACCTGAGTACCTTCTTCTAACGTCTTGTAACCTTCTTGTCTATCCCTTTTCGCAACGTTACGGAAAAACCCTGAGCACAAGGCCCTTCTAACACTGTTGGTATTACCCTCACATGAAACAATCGGATATCTATTTCTCTTGAAGATATCAACAAGTTGTCTTCTAATGTCTCTTGCTCTTTTCAAAGATCTCTCCTGAATGAAGTTCTCTTGACACCACTCACGTGAATAATCAGAGTTGACCCAGTGATTGTATACATTCAGAAGAGTGAGGTGATCTCCATGAGGATGGTGAAACCTAGCCTTTTTCTTGTCAGCCATCTCTTCTTTATCCTTTGGCCGGAAAAATATATTAGGTGTTGTAATCATAGAGAAGATTGTTATCATTTCATCGGAACATCTATAATGGATAGATTCGATAAGAGTTTTAGAGATCTTTGGCTCTGCTGGGATGTTCACAAGATTTCGACCGATTGCAGTGATTCGAGATTCGTCATCAATAGCACGAAGATAATACAAGTCGTTGAGCGATAACATGATGGATTCTGTAGATGGAGGATCCATGAAATCGAAATGAATCAAATCATTAATACCAATAGCCTTCAACATCAAAAGGGTATTACTCAAGTTTTGTCTTTGAATTTCAGGTATCGTGTTAGGCAACATCTCATTCTTATAGGCCAGCTCTGTGTACAATCTATAGCACTTTCCCGGACCTGTTCTACCAGCTCTTCCTGCTCTTTGGTTTGCCTGCGCCTGTGAAATTGGCTTCACAGTCAACATATCAATACCTAGTTTAGGATCATACATGTTGACCTTGGCAAAACCTGGATCAACCACGTAAAAGATACCATCAATGGTCAAAGAAGTTTCAGCAATATTAGTAGCCAGGATAACTTTTCTCGCTCCTGGTGGCGTAGGTTCAAATATTCTTGACTGCATTTCTGTAGGAAGGGCACTGTAAACAGGTAGAACGATTAGTTCACCAACATCTGACCCCAAAGACTTCATCTTCTCATTCAACACATCAGCACTTGTTTCAATCTCATCAGCACCAGTTAAGAACACCAAAATATCACCAGGGGCTTCAGAAACGTGTATGTGAATAACAGAATCCAAAGCAGCAGCCAAGTAATCTGGCTCTGGCTGTTTAGTATACAGAATTTCCACAGGGAATGTTCTACCTGGAATTTCAACAATCGGACAATCATTGAAGAATCTTGAGAACTTTTCAGAGTCCAACGTTGCAGATGTTACAATAACCTTCAAGTCAGGTCTTCTTCGTGCGGCCTTCTTTAGCAATGCAAATAGTATATCAGTTGCAATAGTTCTCTCATGGGCTTCATCCAACATCACTACCGAGTAGTTTGACATGTCTGGATCCATGAGAGCTTCACGCTGTAGCATACCGTCGGTGAGATACTTAATCTTTGTAGCAGAGGATGTGTTTTCATCGAATCTCACGTTATAACCAACCTCTTGTCCCAACATTACCCCCATCTCTTCCGCAACTCTTTTAGCCACACTTGTAGCTGCAACACGACGTGGTTGTGTACAGCCAATGATACCGTTTTGAGCAAATCCATCTTCGTACAAGTACTGAGTCAATTGTGTTGTCTTTCCGGAACCCGTTTCACCAACAATGACAATGAATTGGCTGTCATGTACAGCTCTGAGCAGTTGATTACGCATCTGGAAAACTGGAAGAGATTCACGTTGCTCTTTCATTGAAAGGTTTGTACGTTTACCAAATGACATGTTCTTGTTATTCCTTCTTTGAAATTCAATGACATTATCGCCCTCTGAAATGTTTGTTTCATTAGCAAGTGGATCACTAGTACTCGTAGTACTAGAAACCTTTCCTTTCAACTTGCGCTCACGTTCTTCCTTCATCTCTGCTATTTTCTTTTCTCGTCTTTTCTTTGCCAAAGCAGAACCTGTCATGGCAGCTCTGTTCAAAGACCCCTCTGGTAATTTCACAACCTTGGTGGGTTCTAACTTCTTCGGTTCAATGTTCAAACCTGCAAGGAATGGAGGAATTGACTGTTTAACTTCAACGTCAATCTCCTCCTCCTCTTCATCCTGATGTGATTCTTCTCCGGTTTGCGCTTTGTCGTTGGTTTCATCCAATTCTGGGTAGTCCTTTGCAGATATTGCGCCTGATGCAATCAACTGTCGCAGCTCCCAACGTTCAGGAGATGTTAATCTCTTCTTTGTCTCTGTGAAAGTGTGCAGTTTTCGCCCTCTTCCATGTTCATGGTGATAATCTGGTATTAGATCACCTGTAATTTGATCAACATCCTTCATAGAGAGCCCAATTTTGGTGCCTCTTATACTATCAACGCGCACATAAACCTGTTGTGACCTTTTCAAGACATCTGATGGGTGTTCCACTCTTGTTTGCGAGATACAGGAGATATGAACCAGTCCATCAACCTTACCAGATACCCCATCCAATCTAACAAATGCACCGAAATTTGTCATATTCACCACATGTCCAGTATACACCTTGTTCAAAATGGGCTCTTTATCAAGATGGTTGTCTCGAGACCTGAATTTATCCTCAGATTCAAACCTTCTAGGTGATTTCTCCCGTTTGAGTGTATCCTCGTGCTTGAAATCATCCCAGAGAGAGTCCATGGGCTCTGTCTTGACGTCAACATTGGGCAGAGACAAAAAGTCGAATTTTGCACCCACGGGCTCGCTCTTTACCTCCTTCTTAACAACACCTGCATCCTCTTCTTCTTTCACTTTCACTTCCTGCTTGAACGCTCGTCTGAGCTGGTAGAAGAGCCTCATCACAAACTCCCTTGGGAACCCAGCACCCATCTCATCAAGGGACTCACTGAAGGCCTTGAGAGACCCACTTTCCTTGAACAAGTGAACAACAAAGTTAGCAACTTCTTCATCGTCAACACCAGCACTGCGTAGAATCTCCTTCTTGATATCCTCAAGATCCATCTCTCTATCCTTGCCTCTCCCGCCGTCGCTACTGGCTTTGTTATCTGGTGCTGTGCAGTGGTAATGAGCCCGCAAAGAGCGCAAAGCGGCGAGCGCCCAGAAAAATATTCAGCCTGCGCTCACTGGCCCCCTCCGCCTAGAAAAACAAAGCCATCTCATCTCTCTCTGCCTAATGGAAGAGACACTAGGTAACTTTGCTTAGCAGCGGCTAACGGGAGATGGTGGCCAATGCACTGTCCAAAGCTCTACAGCAGCTACACCCGAATCTAAGGACAAACGGGTTTGGTATTGGTAACTCACATAGGAAGTTATCGCTCACATTCATCCCACCGAGCACCAAGTCACCGTTGTTTGTGTACTCAAAGACCGGAGCCAGGAGCTTTCTCTCTCTGGGAACAGATTATGATGAGATTCCCGAGGAGGATGAAGACGAGTATGGTGGCGACTTGAGTAGAACTGTTTCGCTGCCATCACAGATCACTGAAAGGTCACAAGAGCCCGAGCTCGATTGGCTGTTGGAGGAGCACACGAGGAGGTACTCCAGTGTGCAGAACTCGGATGATGAGGATGATGAGGACGGCGACGATGCACTGGGTGTGGATACAGATCAGACGTATCATGGGTATCAGGACGAATCTGACGACTTTGCACACTTCATGTCCAGAATACGGCACAACAGGGCAACAGCGAACGTTACGCAGAGGCGTAATTCATTCCAGTCCATTGGTTCTGTCAGTGTGGTACAGCAAACAGACGAGGACTTTGTCCATGAGAAAGTTACGCTAAGGTCAGAAGCATCAATGCTCTTGCAGTACTCAATACCTCTGATAACGACGTTCTTCTTGGAACAGGTGTTCGCCATTGTGAGTGTCTTGGTGGTGGGCCATATTGGTAAGAATGAACTTGCTGCGGTTTCCTTAGCCACTATGACATCAAACATCATATTTGCCATTTTTGAAGGTATTTCAACGGCATTGGATACGCTCTGTCCACAGGCGTTTGGGGCTGGTGATCTATATGGGGTTGGAATACACTTCCAAAGATGTACGTTGATGTCATTGACTCTATTCATCCCATTTGGAATTGCGTGGTGGTATTCAGAGGCACTGCTTAACCTGCTGGTTCCAGATGAACAAGTTGTACATTTAGCATCCGTCTTCCTAAGGATTATGCTACCAGGTGCTCCAGCATATATCATATTTGAGAATTTCAAAAGATATCTTCAGGCCCAAGGTATCTTTGAAGCTGGCACATATGTCTTACTCATATGCGCACCTTTGAATGTACTCTGCAGTTACTTGCTTGTATGGAACAAGTACATTGGACTGGGGTTCATCGGTGCTCCAATAGCAGTCACTTTGAACTTTTGGTTGATGCTCGTGCTGCTAACTCTGTACTGCGTGTTCATCGATGGTGATAAATGCTGGGGAGGCTGGTCTAAGAGAAGTCTGGACCACTGGAAAGACCTCATGCATTTGGCAGTCCCTGGGATGATTATGCTTGAAGCTGAGGGTTTATCCTATGAAATCATGACGTTGTTTGCCTCATATTTTGGAACAACTTACTTAGCAACCCAGAGTGCCATTTCTACACTTGCATCTTTGTTATACATGGTTCCCTTTTCCGTGGGGATTGCATCATCTACAAGAATAGCCAATTTCGTTGGTGCTGAAAGAATCAATTGTGCAAAACTCAGCGCAGAGATTGGCATTTACTCAGGTGTGGTAGTTGGGGTGTTCAACTGCCTGATGATTATCATCTTTAGAAGACCATTGGCGAACATGTTCTCCAAAGATGATCAAGTGGTCGATATGATTGTCGACATATTCCCTCTCATTGCCGTTGTTGAGATCTTTGATGCGATGAACGCCGTCGCTGGAAGCTGTCTTAGAGGCCAGGGTATGCAAAGAATCGGTAGTTACATCAACCTGGTGGTTTATTATGTGATTGGAGTGCCATTAGCGTGGCTCTTTGGCTATTACTGGGACTTCAAGCTGGAAGGATTGTGGATTAGTATTGGGTTTGGGCTCTTCTTAATCGGGGTAAGTGAGAGTTGGTGTGTCATAAAGGCTGATTGGAAGAAGGTGTTGGAAGAAGCACAATTGAGGAAGATTAATGAACTGGAGAACGCAGAGATGAGCGATTGATCGGCTGTTTACTTTCGTGTTCTTTGTACCGAGGAAAAGAAAAAGTTTATATCATATAAATTAAAGCCCATAAGTATCATCATAAAACATCGTATAAATTATATCAGAAGAGTGAAGGCGAGCTCAAAGGCTTATCGATCACCAAAATTGCACCGTTGTCGACATTAGTCACCTTTTGAACTTTCAACCATTCGTTACTCTCACCAGACGAGACGTAGTAATCACCTTCGTCGTTCACCAACTTGATCACCTTACCATTTTCACTCATCAACTTAGCACCCAAATTAGATCTTTCAGAGTTCAAAACCTCGAATGGAACTTCACCATCAACCAAATGGCTCTTGATGAAATCATCCACATTTGATTGTATAATGGCATTTATCTCCTCCTCCGATTTGGATTCATCCACAGTAGTTGGGAACTGCCATGGCTTTAGTGGAAGGGTTTCAATCCCACTATCAGTTGGGGCAAATACAACTGTCTGCTTTTTGGCATCGTTGAAGCGAGAAGCAACGTCGATGTCGTCCCTCACATACCCTGCGAAAACAGAAATCTCTGTATTAACATTAATGCCCGAAACTAGGAGCGTAGGGCCCTTCTGAGGCTCTTCACCTTTTGGAATATAGATACCATCAACACTTGAAGGATCCTCAAACAGAGGCTCCTGTCCTTCTCTCTTGGAGAGATCTATTTGCAGTTGGCTCAAATCGACAACATTCTTGGCCTGTGAGAGTGCAATAAGGGACACAAGTGTGAGCTTCGAGAATAGCATGTTGAGACTGTGTGTGTAGAATGTCGTGGAAGTTATCCGAAGACGTGATTGGCTAAGAGGGAGGCAATGGCGTAGATGAGGAATCCCGCAGGGAAAAATTCCCGTTTATGTGTCACAACACTTTTCGGCTGGACATCCAGACACCAAAAAAGATTGCACAATCACCGGGCGTCGAGTTCCGACCAAGGGCACCCTCGGACTTCCCTTCCGGGACAGGTTCCGATCCCGTGGGAAGAGCCGGGGAGCCGGTAACCTCAGCTCTTCTTCCATTGTTTACAGATGCGATCTTTACCTTCAATTACACCAATCTGTCGATAGTTACAGCGATCTCTTGGTCACCATGAACGAGCACAAGGTCTTCACAAAAGTATGATTCGTCCATTCTTCGTTTGAGTAGCTCATTGTGACGTCTTACTAACAACCTGGGGTCCGGCAGTTACGGGCTAATGATATACTCCTGGAGTTGCAACAGGTGGACAAGAAGAAGAGTGCTTCTTCCAAGAAGAAACTGGTGATGAAGAAGGTGATCGCAAACGTTACAATGGGTAACCTGGATATGATAAATTTATTTCCAGAAGTTGTGAAGCTTTTCGAGACAGATGACGTTGAGATGAAGAGAATGTGCTACCACTACCTCCATGCGTATGCGCTGGCTAAACCTGACATTGCCCTACAGGCCTTGCCGTTTATTCTGGCCGATCTTCGATCCAACTATTCGATTGTGCTGGCATTGGCATTACGAAACATATCCTCAATCCCAGTGAAGGAGTTTCTGAGAGAAGCGGTGAGACCGATTAGAGCTGCTTTGAACAGTAAGGATGCATTCATACGCAAAACCGCTCTGTTTGCCGTTGCGAGACTCTACGAGAAGGACCCAAACCTGGTGTTGAACGAAGGTCTCATAGATGACGTGCGTCACTTCATCGATGACGGTAATAGCTCCGTGGTTGCAGCTGCCCTGCAAACATTATACGACATTTCAGAGAAGGGAAATGACTTCACATTGAAATTATCAACATCACAGGCTATAAGCATCGCTGACCACTTACCCAGAACAGACGAGTGGTCACAAGTATTTATACTGAACTCTCTTATGTCATTTGTACCTGAAACGCATGAGGATTCAATGATTCTGATTGATAAGGTGATTGCGATGCTTCAGCATTCGAACTCCGCAGTGGTTATGAATGCACTGAAAGTGTTGATCTACCTTATAAACTTTGTCGAGATTATTGAGGAATACCTAACAAAGAAGATCGCAACATCACTGACATCGCTTCTCTCAAGACCTCCAGAGATCCAGTTCCTTGCTTTGAGAAACGTTATCCTTCTAACTTTGAGTAAACCCAAACTTATTCCATTCGAGGTTTCCCATTTCTTTTGTGAATATAACGATCCTATATATGTCAAGGATACCAAATTGGAGATTATTTATCTGTTGGCCAACGAATCAAACCTGGAAGCTGTGCTCCATGAGCTAGAGGAGTACGCAACTGACGTTGATGTGCAAATGTCAAGAAAGGCTATCAGAGCATTGGGAAACCTTGCCGTTAAGATGGAAGTTGCTGCTAAGCCATGTGTTGATGTGATGCTGGAATTGTCAAGTAGTGGGATTGATTATGTCGTTCAAGAGACAATCATAACGTTTAAAAACGTATTGAGAAAATATGACACATTTGACTCCCTCATACAAGACATTTTGCAGTATTCTGATAAAGTGGAGGAGCCTGAGGCAAGATCTGCGTTGATTTGGATTGTAGGGCAATATTCAAATGACATTCAGAATGCAAGCAAAGTATTGGAGGAACTTGTTTCAACTTTTGTCGAAGACCCATATGATGTCCAATTAGCGTCGCTTACAGCATGTGTCAAACTCTTCATAAAACAACCAGAAAAGGGTGAAAAGTTGGTGATTGACATCTTGAGATGTGCAACTGAAGAGGTTGACCATCCAGACGTCAGATATCGTGGGTTCTTTTACTGGAGGTTATTATCGGCACAGGACAAGTATCCAGGAACCGCAAAGGAGATCGTTGATGGTGATATCCCACACATATCTGGCGAGAATGAGCAGTTAGACCCTGTTATTCTAGAGGAACTTGAACTGAATATCGGTACATTATCATCAATTTATCTAAAACCTGTCGGTCAAGTATTTCGTCTCGCTAAACGCAGACTACTACCGAAGAGTCAGGCAAGAACCATTGTCACTGCAGCATCACCGATATCGCCTAGTTCATCATCCTTTGCAAGAGCTCGTGCAGGCAGTACAGCAGCAAGCTCGAATAGTGACCACTCTACACCACCACCTCGTCATATTGATGATTATGATGTCCCAGCTGTCAATGTGAAATCCATGAAGAAGCAAGGTCTTTCTCGTCGTTTGACTCTTTCCAAGCCCAATCTTTCTAAATCAAATCTCTCAAGGAAGTTCTCTGTGAGAGGTTTTGGCAACTAATGTACATTGACGTGTTATTACTTTCTGTCTATTCAGTATCATCTTCTTTAGGTATCGTACTCAATGGAGCTGTAGCCTTCCTGACATCGATAATTTGAACATCTGATGAAAACTTCACAGGCAGGCCAGCCGGAACGATAGTTTCAACTTTGATTTCAGGCATATTCGGCTCAGGCCCATCAGGTATGCTATCCATGTCGAATTCGACACCAAGAATCACTTTCAGAATCACTTCAGCAGCAGGTTTGGATAGAACCAATGAATTCTCCTTACAAAATGCCGCAGCAACACAATCAGGACAACCCCATTCACATTCACACTCCTCAATACATTTCAAGGCATCCTGTAAGAGTTCTTGAATGTGATCAAATGCTTTGATTGATAGACCAGACCCATACTGACCACCTTTAGCATCGTGAAAGATCAGTCTCGCTGGCCTTTTACGACTGGTCTGTCTCTCAGCAAATTCCTTCTCAGGGGCTTTACATTCAGTGTGGATCTCATCAGTGCCACTGGTGATAATCAATGGCATCATACCCATTATTGCGTGCTGAGCTGCGTGTATACCTCCCGCAGCATTCAATGACTTATACGTTAGTATATCCAGTGCCTTGGTGGGTATATCTACCCACAAACCTTTAGATCTGATAACAACTGGTGGATTATGGACTTCAACGGCATCAAGGATTCTCTTTTGCCTGTCAACTTTGTAGAAGCCAAAAACAGTGATTGTTGTGACAATTTTCCCAAAGTAGATAGGCACATCGCTATTCTCTATAGACCTCACCCTTTCAATTTCCTTTGGATCAACATCAGTAAAATCTCTTTGACTTGTTACCCAATCAACATCAACCCTTTCCACTTTGGCGTAATGTTCATCAACATTTAATTCCCTCACAAGGTATGGATAACCCTGATGAATAAAGATTCCCCCTTCATAGAGGGTAAAGCTAGTTCGTGAGGCCTCCACTTCTTCAATGACTATGTTGCGGTTGTTTGTTATATCAACAACGGCATATTGGTCTTCTTCAATGCCTCGAATGGATACATATTTAGAAGGCCAAGGAAGATATCTGTTTGCTGTGTGGTAGCCGTCTCTATCGTGTTCGAGTTTTGGAAGTGCTTTATCCATGTTTGGAAAGAACTGTGCATCACTGTCTGTTATAGGTAGCTCAAATGCAGCACATTGCAAGTGCCCTTCTAAGACCAGCATGTTCTCAAAGTCCAATACCAAGTCTTGAAACTCCCTCTTGGTCAACAAATCGGGATGCTTGATATAATGTTGGTCCACAGGGGAATCACTTCCAACGACCAGGGTTAACGAGTCCTTATTACGTCTACCTGCTCTTCCGGATTGTTGATGAAAGTTTGACAAGGATAAGGGAAATCCGCACATCAGCACCGCATCCAGACCACCGATATCTATACCCAGTTCTAAGGCATTGGTAGATATCACAGCCGACAAATTCCCATGGAACATCTCCTGCTCAATCTTACGACGGTCAGAAGCAGAGTAACCACCTCTGTAACTCATTATTTGAGCCACCAGGTCAGGCTGGTTCATTTCATGAAGTAGGTTCCTCACTTCTTTCATGAGCAATTCACACACACGGCGAACATAACAAAATGCTATGGTACGTACGTTATTCAACACCAACTTCACCAATATCTTTGCCGACTCTGCGATGAAGTTCTCCCTTCCTGCTGCTAAGTCCTTCGAGTTGATGAGAGGCGGGTTCCAGACAACTAGGTGCTTCTGACCAGTTGGAGATCCATCCTTTTCAACATGAATGATATTTTCAACACCAAAGATCGCATTCATATGCTTTACTGGATCTTTCAATGTTGCAGAACAAGAGATGAATTGAAGATTGTGATTTCCTAAGAATTCACAAACCCTTCTCAATCTTCTCATGACCAATGCAACGTGTGATCCAAAGAGTCCCTTATAGATGTGTAACTCGTCAATGACGACAAATCTGAGATTCAAGAGGAAATGCCTCCATGACTGGTGGTTTGGCAATATACTCGTGTGTAACATATCAGGATTCGTAAAGATAACCCTTGCGTTGTTCTTGATATCAGCTCTTCTTGAAGCTTCTGTATCACCGTCAAACGTATCAACGAGCGAGGTGAGTCTCATCTTATTCATCAAGTATTGAAATGATCTCTTTTGATCCTGAGCTAAAGCCTTTGTCGGGAAGATATACATTGAACTTGTCTGTGGGACGTTTTCCAGCAAGTCAAGAACAGGCACCTGGTAGATAAGCGACTTACCTGATGAAGTTGAGGTAGAGATGATCACATTACTTCCCTGGTGGATTGCATTCAGAGCCTCTGCTTGGTGTGAATAAAACCCCGAAGGAATATCCAACGCTTCCTTCAAGTTCTCTGTGATTTCGAAGTCCAACACTTCATAACAGGCTTCTCGTTCTGGAATAACAAACTCACCAGCTATTTGATTTCTATAGTTGGTAGTCTTCAGACTTTCAATCAGCGCTGGAATCGGTGGTCTCTCTTCTCCTGGTTCTAACCTTCTGTTGTTCACCATTTGCTCAATAGGATCAACGTAATTACGTCTTCTTGGGATCAAAGGTCCCGCAAGCTCCCTCAGATGCTGTTCAGAGTTCTCTATACCTTTCTCAGAGCATGATTCCAAGTACTCATTTGCAGCTTGTATAAATTTGTTTGTTCTCTTCTGTATCAGCTTCTTCATAGACTCCGGGGTATAACTCGGCACCTTCATTTCAGTGTAGAATGCCGACTTCGTCCTGGTCTTTGATAAGTTGCCATCTATGAACTCAAACACGAGGACCTGTTCAGTGAGCTCCATGTCTCTCAGCTTGAACAGATCCAGATCCTTTTGAATATGGCCCTTTTGCCATTGAAACTCCTTCTTCTCAGTCAAGAACTGGTTCTCATCAACATATTTGAACAGCACATCGTCTGGCAGCAGCACAGCAAGCATGGCGCCGTCTTCCAATGTCAGCTCCCTACCAATAGCCTTCTCCACGGGTTGTTTCAACGTTTCAAACTTTGGTATTATCTGTCTTCTTGAGGAGATGAAGGTAAAGTACGAATTCAGCCTGAAGTGGATCTTCTCCAACTCTTTCAACCATTCCGGCCAGTGATCCTTGGACAAGTTATCCACCTTCCTTTTCTTGGCCCTATGATCATTCACATCATCGTCTTCTCGTTTATTTATCTTTGTCTCAGCCATAGCTCACTAGCATTGGTTGCTGTTCTCCAATGATGTTGAGCCTGGTACTTCTCTCTACAGTTTTTCCGGCTTTTAGTTCCATCGAAGCAACTTCAACAAAGTACAATTATCACTACTTATACATAGTAGACGGAAAGCATTTTTCTTTTATTCGTTAAATGATAATGATAATGTAAAGTAAACAATTGGTTTATGGTACGGAATGTTCACACCTGAGCATGGGACTGTTCTTCCTTCTCAGCTAATATACGGTTTCTCAAGATCAGACGGCCACTCAGCACATCGCTAACCTCGTTTATCTCCTCCCAGTGCACGTTCAAGGACTTTCTCAGCTTGACGTCGGCTTCGTGCTCCCAAAGCTCTTCAATGGATGTGAACTTGAGCTCGGATCCCTTCACACCGATGACAGCAGCGGACGGCGTGTTGTCACCAACAGTGGAGACCTTACGTCCATCCACGTACTTAAATCTGAGGTACTTGTCAGATCCTTCCAAGTCAACACTGTTGATACGCTCGTTCCACTCTTCGATGAATTTACAACACTTGATGGCGAATCTTGAGGCGTTGACTCTGTCTTGAGAAGATGGTGCACCACCTTGTTGGACGTGACCAGGAACTGCGGTTCTGGTTTCGAACTTCTTGGATGATTCACCAATGATATCGGCAATCAAGCTGGTTGTGAAGATATCTGAAGCTGTTTCGTTACGAATCAACAGCTTACCAGTACGGTTCAGGCCTTGATCAACGGTGAAGTTCTCCTTCAAAAGTGAAATGTCCTCTTGGATGGTTCTCAACGTGATCTTCTTCTCTGGCAAGTACACTGCAACAGCACCTGTAACCAGTCCAATGTAGGATGCAATGTAACCAGAATGACCACCTTGGACTTCCACAACAAACACACGTCTTCTAGACGAAGACGCAGATTGCTTCACGGCATCACAGTATCCAACCAAAGAGTTCAGACAGGTATCACAACCAAGTGAATATTCAGTACCTGGAACGTTGTTTGAAACGGTAGCTGGAATCAGGGTCATAGGGATGTTAAAGACTGGGAATTCCTTTCTGGCTTCGGACAATTCGTGCAAGGAAGTGAAACCTTCAAAGCCACCAATGATGATCAACCCATCAAAGTGATACTTCTGGAAGTAGAATGCAACGGCACCAATATCCATAGATGGTAAAGTACGGTTCGTACCGATATCGGATGCACCAGTGTTGTGCCAGTGAGCAACATCTCCCCAGCTCAGCTTTTCAACAGAGCCATGGCGAATCAATCCACTGAAACCGTTTTGAATGGCATATGGTGTGTGTCCACGAGATAAACAGTACAGAGTGGCAGCCCTTGTCGCAGCATTCAAACCCGCAGAAGATGCACCAACATGGACAATAGCAATGTTCAAACGCTTGTCCTCAGGTAGGATTTGCTTACCATCATCACCCTGGGACAAAGACAAGAAGTTTGAATATGACTCCAAAAAGTCGTTTGAACGAAGATTGATAGCGGTGTCGAAATCTCTAGCTTCAATGGCAGAAGCAACTTTCTTTGTTTGTTTAACTGCCTCAACCAAGGGAGTACGGATGATCTTGTTCTCCAAGATACCGATGAGAGGAGATGGGTCTGAAGGCGTAAGATCCAACACAGCCTTCACTGCTTCGACACCTTGCATCGTTGCGAGCAATCTATCATATGCAACGGCCGTACCACCACGCTGGACGTGTCCCAAAGTGGTGATTCTGGTGTCAAGTCCCAGATCGACAAGAACGTCTTTAACGTCTTCTGGCGTGACTGGATTCAGCTCTGAGTCCAACGCACCTTCAGCGACAATGACTGTAGTGGTACGTCTTCCTTTCGCTCTATGACGAGCACAAACTTCCTTCAGCTCCTCTCTCCAGGTCTTTGAGTCTGCAGCTCTTTCAGGAACAAAGATATAATCAGCACCGGTGGTGATACCAGCGTTCAAAGCCAACCAACCGCAGTGTCTACCCATAACCTCCACGACGAAAGCACGGGAATGGGAAGTGGCAGTGGCATCGATGTAATCCACCATTTCGGTGATACGTTCCAAAGAAGACGCAGCACCGATGGTCGTGTCGGTTCCCGACATGTCGTTGTCAATTGAACCCACCAGTCCAACAATGGTTAAATGTCTGTGCAAGTCAGCCTTTTCCTTCGTGATCTGTTTGGTTTCAACCAGCTCATCCAACAGAGATGGCCATTCAGCTCTGAACAAGTCCGCACCTGTTAATGAACCATCACCACCGCACACGATGAGAGAATCGATACCATTGTCAATCATGTTCTTTGCACCGGCAACACGACCCCATCTTTCACGGAATTCCGCACAACGAGCAGTACCGATCAGCGTACCACCGAGAGCCAGCCAGCCACGAACGTCGTCCCACTCCATCTTCTTCAACAGATCACCACCTTTCACCAAGCCGGTGTAGCCCTCATAAACTGCAAACACGTCGCAACCGTAAAAGATACCAGCACGCACCACAGCACGCACCACGGCGTTCATACCCTGGGAATCACCACCGGACGTCATCACGGCGATCTTCTTCTTCTTCTTCTGCGTTGGAGCCGCCAGGTCCTCGATATCAACGCTCTTAGGCAGAGGCTGCTCATGGAAGTAATCTCCCGTGATCGTACCGGTAAGCGGGTTCGGGAACGTCACAAAGGTCAGGCTATTGCCCAGGGGATCGTGGGAGACTACCTGACCATCCTCAATCGCAGCTCCCAGCACACTGGACACCTTCTCCAAATTTGTTGTGAAGAACCCCAGGTGCACCGACGCGCCGTCACCTGTTGCAACGACAACGTCAGCAGTTGTCAGCCTGATCTTCACGACAACACCCTCACTCTGAATGCTGTTGCTCTCTTGCAAGGGCACCCTGTTCACACCTTGGAACTGGCCCAGCTTGAAGGACTCCAGCCATGTCTCCTTCAGCGAGTCGTGCGCAACACCTTTCGACGAACTCAGCTGCGAAATGTTTCTGTCAAAGCTTCTGATAAGCGTGAACCCTAGCTTGCGGTAGTACTGTACCGTCTCTGTGTACTTGCTGCTGTCTCCAGTAGCAAGCGACGTGTAGGCAACTCCTGTGACTGTCATTGTGCCAATGTAATCTACTTGTATGCCTTTCTTTCTTCAATTGATTGTACAACACCCTGGAAAAGGCCTGGGAAACGCTTCAGGGGAAAACAGGTTAGCTGCTCAAGGCCAAAATTTATATTCCATGATGCCATCGAGCCATCCCATTCCCTCCCCTGGTGCGCAGCAGCGGGAAAAATGTACCGCTGCATCACACGGTGTCAACAACATCCCGACACCACATGTGTTGAGCCACTTTACTGCGAGCTGTGCTACGGTCTACAGAGAAGTACATGTTATTGGGCATGGGCGGTAAGCATTAGTTTGAGGGTATACGCGGTCAGTGGGTTTGGAACACGAGACTGACACCTTCGTCACCTGCGGTGATGAGCTTGTTGGCGTGGTCGACGACGGCAAAGTCGAGGATGCCCATGTTGTGTCCGACGCCGACAAACAGCTCCTCCCCTGTACGGGCGTCCCACTTGTAGATCTTGCCATTCATGGAGGAGCCGACGAGGAACGGGGTGTGTGGTATGAAGTACACCTTGGTGATGGCGTCGTCGAGCTGGATGCTGTGTCTTTCTCTCCACGTCTTTGTGTCGAAGAGGATGAGCGAGCCGGACACCAGTCCGATGGCCATGAGAGGCAGGGTGTCGCTCCAGGTGATGGACTCGACGGACCCGTCCAGCTCGTCCTGGTCTTCCTTGAGTTCGATGACTCTGAAAGCACTGAGGAGCGTGCCGCTGGCGACGTTTACAACGGCGAGCGTGCCTTCGTTGGAGCCAACAGCAAGGATGTGTGAACGGGGTTGTAGAGATGCCGTGATCCAGGGTAATTTCTGTCCCTTGAAGTCGGTTTCGCTCAGCTTGAAGTAAGGAGTGGACGTGTATGCGTTCCAACCGACTATGGATCCATCTGTTGAAGCGGTGACAAGCGTCAGGGAGTCGAGGTCATCGGTGTTGACAAACACACCAGCAGTACACTCTGCTTGATGCGAGAACCCACTCATGATTTGCTCCAAAGTTGGGGTCAATTGATAGACCCAGACGGATCCATCTGCAGCACCAAATGCAAATATAGGCTGCGATGGATGCACTGTGATCCAAACAACCTCTTCAACCTCGTCCAGCTCGCCATACAGCTTCCAAACTTGACCACCCTTTGTGGACTGATGGATGAGAATCTTCCCCGCCATATCACCCGTGATAAGGAATTCTCCATCACCTGTGAATCCACCAGTGATGACAGACTCCTTGTGGCCTTTAATCTGCTGTGCAAACTTTGGCGGCTGTGAATGAGAAGTCCACATGTAAACAGTGTTATCACCACCACCTGTAGCAACAAGCGGCAATTTTGGGTGTGTTAAAACAGTGAAAACAGAGTCCTCGTGCTTGTCAAAGTACGTCCATGAGTTATTAGCCATATCAATCTCGATCTTGTCCTCATCATCCCCATCTTCTTCCATTGGCTCGGCCTGTTGATCTCCAAGTTGTTCCTCATCATCATCACTGATTGGTTCAGGCTCAGCAGTCTCTTCCAGAACCTCTTGTACCTCGTTCACTTGAACGAACTCTTGCTCTTGATCTTCTGGTACTTCAGCCATCTTGAAACACGTGTTCAAATGATGCAAAAGGCCTGCCAATGTAGTAGTTGGCCAGTTATGAAAGCTTTACAGCCTCTTTAGAACCACACGTAGAAAGCAACAAGGTAGGGAAAATTTTTTAAAATCCGAGGGCGATGAGATGTGGCTCCAAATTCCGAGGCCGCCGTAGCGCCAGGAGAAAAAAACATCCCTACACCACCTCGGCAATCGGGATCGCCTACCCGTCGCTCTGCGCCTACAAACGACCGACCCTTAGTTAATACTCTCACGATAAGGAGAGTGGTTCCAAAGCCATTGATCCCCAGTTAAAATAGGCGAGTGGAACTTCTTCGGTTCGTCACAATCGCTACAAACACACTGTACTCCATCAAAATGGTGGCCTCACTATCGATAAGGGGAGCTGATTTCATCGATGAGCAAGGAAGAACAGTGCAACTGAAGGGTATTAATGTGGATGGAGGGAGCAAGTATCCCAAATCACCCAATATGACGTCTCACATCCCAGCGGATGGCCCTGATGCGCTGTTCTTCGAAGGAGATTCGGTCTCCTTTGTCGGAAGACCGTTCCCACTAGAGGATGCGCTAGGACATCTACGCAGGATCAAGAGACTTGGTTATAACGTTATCCGTTATCTGTTTACGTGGGAAGCTCTGGAGCATGAAGGTCCGGGAAAGTACGACGACGAATTCGTAGACTACACCATCCAGCTCTTGAAGATCATAGCCCAGGAAGGAGGACTATACGTGTATTTGGATCCTCATCAAGATGTTTGGAACAGATTCTGTGGGGGCGATGGTGCTCCAATGTGGACTCTATACGCTGCAGGATTAGACCCCAAGTGCTTTGAGAAGACAGAGGCCGCTGTGGTGCAGAACTTCTTCCCTCATGATCCTGATGCTTATCCAAAGATGCTGTGGACTACAAACTACCACAGGCTGGCCACATCGACAATGTTCACGCTTTTCTTTGCAGGACGGACGTTTGCACCGAGATGTGTGCTGAATGGTGTCAATATTCAGGATTACCTCCAGTCACACTTCATCAACGCCGTCTCATATCTGCTTACACAGATCAGAAAACAGGCACCAGAGGTTCTGGAAACCACTCTCATCGGTGTTGAGACGATGAATGAACCCAATGCTGGCTTCATGGGGATCACAGATATCAATGAACTCCCAGAATCACAGAATTTGAAGATCAGTACTACGCCGACTGTAATGCAGATGCTCAAGCTGGGCATGGGCATACCTACCGAAGTTGATGAGTATAAGATATCTGTGTTCGGGCCAAAGAAGACAGGGTCCCGGTTCATCGATCCAGAGGGGGTAACTGCTTGGTTACAGCCTTCTGAATCTCGTGATTCCCACTACGGGTTTGAAAGGGATCCGAGTTGGATATTGGGCAAGTGTATTTGGGAATGGCATGGTGTTTGGGACTCCAACGAAGAGAAGCCTCTTATTAACGACTACTTTGCCATACACCCATTGTCGGGTGCTACTGTGGATGAGGAGTATTTCATTAACAACTTCTTTGTTGATCACTTTGCCCAATACAGAGAGGCTGTGAGAGCTGTTATGCCAAATGCCTTCATATTTCTGGAGCCACCTGTGTTGCAACTACCTCCAAGGCTCATTGGCACTGATCTAATAGACGACAAGACAGTGTACTGTCCTCATTACTACGATGGAATGTCGCTCATGTTCAAGTCATGGAACACCAAGTATAACGTCGATACCCACGGCATCATGAGAAAGAAATACTCTAACCCTGTCTTTGGAATCGTTTTTGGTGAGAAGAACATAAGAAACAGTTTCAGGAAACAATTGGCAACCATGAAGGAAGAAGGTGAAGAGTACCTGGGAACGATCCCTGTTCTTTTCTCAGAAATTGGAATGCCTTTTGACATGGATAACAAGCGTGCATACGACGATGACGATTTTTCTTCACAGACTTCAGCATTGGATGCTCTGGGCTATGCACTCGAAGGCTCTAACCTCTCTCATACCTGGTGGTGTTATGCCTCTGAGAATTGTCATAAATGGGGTGATCGTTTCAACTGTGAGGATTTCTCCTTTTGGTCTATCGATGATGACCTGGATGACTCAACTCTCCCTGGATCAAGAGGGTGGGACTCTGCCTTGACCAAGCGACAATACTCTCAGAAGTCAATTGGACTAGACAGCAGTGATACGGAGACTGTCATAGAATCGTCTAGCACGTCGAACAGACAGAGATGCAAGACTGACACACCTTCGAGGACAACAGATGATAAGGCTCATCTGGGTCTTCGTGCAATAGACTCAATCATTAGACCTTACCCATTGGGGATAAACGGTGATTTCATTGAAGCAGTATTCGATTTGAAGAACTTGACATATCGCATCAAGCTGGCTGGTAGCGAAGACATGTCGGTGCCAACAAAGATATTCTTCCCGGACTGGCATTTCGGTGTAGACTCATCTGTTGAAATCAGTTCAGGATCATACGAATTTTCCGATGACGGGCTTGTCCTCGAGTGGCTTCATGAGCCGGGTGAACAGACCCTGGTTGTGAAGGCATTTGGATCACAACAGCAGCAGCAGCCGACTAACTTCTTCACATCATTCTTCTCATCTATATGTTCCTGAGGCGTGCGAAATAACATGACATTGGTTAAATTTTCTACAATTTTGTCTGTTTTCTGGTTTATAGTAATAGTACACACAGTTTAAAACTCAAGATCTGGTTCTTGCTCATCACGTTCACGCTTACCAGTAACTTCTGAAGCCAATAACCTTTTAACAAATGCTGTGAAAAGATCAGTGTAAGGCTTAAGACTTGTCTTGTCCCAATTAGCAACCTTCTTGTCGTCACCACGGTGTTCCTCATCATACTTCAAAAGCTCACCTTGTATCTGACGAAGATTTGGAGATGTCATTGGATTAAATTCTTTATTGGCATCAAATGGAACACATACGTTACCTGTTCCAGGGTGGATACAGAACGGCGACTTTAGCAAGTGGATCATCTGACGGGAGACTTCAACATCCAAACGTGGGTATACAACTTCCAAAATGATATCTTCTTCAGCCTCGATAACCATTTTTTTGTCATTGGCCTTAGGGAGACGTTGTGCCATTGACGAGATGTCTTGGAACTTGTCAAGACTCGATCTGTGTGGCTTTGTTGTCCACTCCTTCTTCAAAGCATCAGTGATTGAGCTGTTTGGGATCTTTGAGAGAAGATCTTGAATTGCCACTTCGTCGTCACGCCATGGATCCTGTTCCTGGATGATTGTTAGGAAATCAGGCTTCAAAATGTCCAAGGAACGTTGAATATGTGGATGCAAAGGACGACGCAAGTTCAATCTCTTCGTGCCTTTGTTTTTCAAAATATCTAGGTATTCCACGATAGCTCTTCTTTTCGATTCGTCTAATGATCTGGCTCTCTTGTCACTGACCCAGCAATGAGCACCACGTCTTCCGGAGAAGACCCAGATCATGTGCTCGAAGCCAAAGTCCTCTCTCAAGGCAACATCCAACACCTTTGTAGCAGCAGTAATAAACTTCCAGCATTTGGTACAGATCTGAGTCTTGGAGCAACATGTACGGATTTCATCATAATCGGTCAAGTCGATATCGAAAACCAGCTCCTTTTCCAAAGGCTTCATTGCACTCTTTGGCAATGTCTTTCTTTCACTTGGATTGACTGCATAAACGGCACCAACTTCAAATCTGGTAGGATTCACCCTGACAACAGAAGACTTGAAATCTTCCGGACTTTCAAAAGAGTTATAACGTTGATAGGCACCAGACCTGTGTTCATACGCAAATTCCCTCATTGTAAAATCCTTTTGGGGTTTTGGGGAGTGATTCAACCACTGGAAGACGTACCTGAAGGGTAGTAGTCTTTCGTAATAGAATGCCATATCATCTGCAGAGATCTTCTTGTTGCTGGAGTCTAGGGAGTCAGAAGCAGGACCCAAAGAGTCTGATGGAATCTGTTTCAAAGGCGATGAAGGCGGCCTGTTTCTCGATGATACGTTTGGGTTAACAGGCGAAGAGGCCATCGACGACGATTCAAGGTTATCCGTCGTCATTTCAGAAGCAATGGTTGGCATTTTTCTATGTGTGCAATGATCGTGTCAAATCACCTTCTCTGGACTTAGAAACAAGAGCTTTCACTCCCACAAGGACCGTAGAACCAACAAAAACACGAAGAATCGTTAGAAACAGAAAGCGACGCGACGCGTCGCGTACGTTTAGACTTTCAGAGCACTCAAGATAAACATCCAGACACCCAAACATCCATACACCCAAACACCCAGACATCGCATTCACCGCGAAGGCTTCCCTGGAGGCAAAAGTCGAAGACAGCGAAGAAGCTTGCAACAAATGTCAAAACAACAATAGTAAAGGAGGATCTGATTGTGTTAAAGAGCACTACAATTGGCCAATTACAGGGTTCCGTTACGAGGTTTTAACAAGCACAAGTTTTAAATATTACGAAACATGGATATTGTTCTTGGGATTAAAGTGAAAGATGCCGTCATCATTGCCACCTCCAAGGCCGCCACTAGAGGTATCTCGATCATTGGTGAGAAGGACGACAAGACTAGAAAATTGAGCGATCACTCTCTCATTGCTTTTACAGGTGAAGCTGGTGACACGGGTATGTTGGTTGTTCCTCTCCATAGGATGAACCTTTTCCTATTTGGAATGTTAGGGCTGTTTACTAACGCATTGTTTACTCTAGTTCAATTTGCTGAATATATCCAAGCAAATGTACAACTCTATGGAATTAGGGAGAACTTTGAACTTAGCCCAAAGGCAGTGGCAAGCTTCACAAGAAACGAGCTTGCAAAATCACTCAGATCAAGAGTAAGTGGACTAGTTGCCAATCAGCTTTATTCTTTATGATGGAGGTATATGTTCTGAACTAACACTGCAAACTAGAAACCATACCAGGTGAATGTGCTCATTGCCGGTTACGATGAGAAGACACAAGAACCATCACTGAACTGGATAGATTATTTGGGAACCAATGTTGAACTTCCTTATGCTGCCCATGGATACGCAGCATTCTACACATTTTCATTGCTTGATCATCACTATAGACCTGATTTTACAACAGAACAAGGGTTACACTTGTTAAAGCTGTGTATCGAAGAATTGCAAAAGAGATTACCAATCGATTTCAAGGGAGTATTTGTCAAGATTGTGAATAAGGATGGAGTGAAGGAAGTGGAGATTTAAAGTGTACCTCATACCTTTCTCTCCTACTGTAATAAACAAAGAAATCTGTGGATGAATGTATGAGTACAGAGACGAAGAGAATTGTACGAAAAAAAATGTAGCCAAGAAGAAAAGAAGACCACGTCATAGTTCATCCAAGGTGGAGATCATCACACGCACCGACTCTCCAGAAGTACTCCGCGTGGTCTTTTGCATGTAGCACCTGTCTCCAGTTGAAAGAAAACAAGTCGCTAAAATGGAAGTCAATGCTATGTGTTTGTTCGTGTGCTAGTCCATTATAAAGAACCGAACTCAATGGCTGTGGGAGGCCTTCTTTGTTGATGACAAACTCCAATCCAACAGGTATGAACTTGTTTCCTGGAGGCAACAATGGTACGTAATCACCTACGTGGATTAGCCTGAAACACCCTTCATCTATGGACCCATCGTCAGCTTCTAAAGCCTTGTAAACGTCCTTCGATCGGAAAACCTCATCCATATATCGTGCTAATTCCATATTTGCAACTTTTGGTGACCCATAAGATATAATCAAAGGATGGTATCCCAAGAGGGCAAGCTCAAGACCTGTGAGTAGGGCGAGAGACCCGCCCAGCGAATGCCCTACAACCACCAACTTGTAACCAGGGAATGCATCCAGTAGCTTATGTACCGAGGGGAAAATGTCATCGTGTACCTCCTTGTACCTTCTATAGAAGCCTTTGTGAACCTTACAATTGACACACGAATCACCAAAGCTTTCCCTTGCCTTTTCATCCAATGGCTCATAATCCACAGTCATTATATCAATATCAGTGAGGTAGTCTCTTGTGTTGACGGTACCTCGAAAGGCCAATATGATTGAGCCATTGCCACTGTGGTCCACTGCAAAGAAGCCCTCTGCGTGTGTTAGTGGCGGCAACTCTTCGCTTTCTTCATTGGTTAGATTCCGTATGGAGTAAAGGTACTTGGCAATGTGAAGCTCGATACCGTCAACATCACACCCATAGTACTCCTCATCTGAATACCCACTCTGCTGGAACTGCTGTTCTGGCCTCAATGTAACAGGCTGTGCAAGGTCATTATCTCTGCTCATTCTGGAAGCGCAGTAGCTGGCCTTACACACATACGCATACCTTGTGAAGGTGTCGTAGACAGATGTACTAAGCTCTAAGCTGGCGTTTGTCACGCATAATACCGCTGTACACCAGAAGTTCACCATCAAAATCAGCTGTATTCGGAGATTTGAGACCATGGCTCAGTTCATGAAAACCTGCTTAACTACGGTATGTGAATAGTAAACTGATGTGATCCATATCAACAGCTTCTAATGGAGTTTTGTTTGACTGTGGTTATGACGCTTCGAGACGTAAACAGTACGAGTTAAGGTTTGACACAAAACCCGGAAAAGGAAATATTCGTGATCGCAGTAATCCTTACAGGTGCTCATAACCATTGAAGTTGTGCATGCGGCGACGGAGGGTTGTTACCACAACAACCGCATGGTGAGACACATCTCCCCATATATATATAGAACGCAGTAGTGCTTTTCCATGAAATTCTTCATAGTTCTTCTTCCCTTTCCATAACATCGTGTTATACTTTGAACAGTTTCTGCTGATCACGAGAAAGATTGATCGATTCCAAAGAGTAAAGACATGACGGTGAGAAGTGCAACACACGCTGGTTCCTGGTATTCAGGCAACCCGGCTAGATTAGACAAGCAAATGGATGCGTTTATACAGAGGTCTCCTCATGGTTCCGTTGATGGCGCAAGGCTCTTGATTGGACCTCATGCCGGTTATACCTACGCTGGTGAAGTTCTTGCGCAGACGTACAGTGCTTGGGATACGTCAAAGGTGTAAGTGTCTTTCCTTCACTCCGTGGTTCTAGTCCCTACAAATGAAGCTTACTAACAGCTGCTTACAGTAAGCGGGTATTTATCCTGGGTCCTTCACACCACGTTTATTTCAAAAACGTTGCGTACATGAGCTCATGTGACGAGTACGAGACGCCATTGGGGAACTTACCTGTAGACACCGAACTGATTGATACACTGTGTAAGAGTCATAAGGTGTTTAAGAAGATGAGGTTGGACGTTGACGAGGATGAGCACAGTTTCGAGATGCACTCTCCATTTATATACAAGCAAACTCAACACTTACCACAAGGTGTTCCAAAGATAATTCCAATTATGATTTCACATGGCGACTCGACATTTAACGATCAAGTGGCGCAGGCTTTGGCACCTTACCTCAAGGATGAGGAGAATACGTTTGCCATTAGCAGCGACTTTTGCCATTGGGGAAGACGGTTCGGGTACACCGTGTACACGCCTGATGAGTCACTTAAAGGGTTGAAGACTATCAGTCACACTCCACAGGGGGAACAGGCAGGAGAGCTTTTGATCTACCAGTCTATTGAATTTTTGGATAAATTGGGCATGAAAGTTGCATCCACTGGGTCATCAGAGAATTGGGATGAGTATATTGACACCACAGGAAACACCATTTGTGGACAGCATCCGATCTCTCTGCTGCTTAAGACTGTTGAGTTGGTTCGTGAGAAGTACGATAAGCCTCAAGATTGGGGGTTGTTTAACTGGATAGGATATGCGCAAAGTAGCCAAGTCACCACATACAACGACTCCAGTGTTAGTTATGCAAGTGGGTACGCAGTTACGGTGTGAAATAAATGATATCTGGATCTGAATAATTTACCATGAGATTCGTTAAATTAATGAGAGGGGGCCTTAGACTCCCATACAACAGCACATCACCTCACTATCCTGCCTACTGGCGTTTTATAATTCTGTGAATTTGCCTTCTTAGATTCCCTTTTTCTCATAAGTATCGGTGTCGTTAGCTCCGGTATAGGACTCTTCATATGTGAACTTCCAACTCCGAAGTCGTGTTCTCCAACTTTCTCCATGGTGTGAGGAATCGTAAAAGCTGTTGAGGTCGAAGCGGACAGATCTCTATTCATCTCTAGACTTTTCAACAAAGTATCATCTTTCATCCCATCCCACCACTGTTTGTCATCACTTAGAAACATATCGGCATGTGTATCCTTCCATTTGGGGTCCTTTGGCTTCTTGTTCTTTGTAGAACCAAAGGATAAGGATGATATTGACTGTAAGAACGAACTGAAATCCTGATTCACCGGGAGAGTATCAATATCTTCATCCTCAAGCTCATCACGATACCACTGCTCCATATGGAGAACATGATGTGATCTTCTCATATGCGTGTAGTTAAACGAACTATCTGACATAGTCGCTATCCTAATACTGTCATATGTTGTTGCTTAGTGGTTTCTTTGTGTGGGTGACGAACTGCTGTTAACGCTCACAGTGAATTTATGCAGATCCGAGGGGTAAACAAAACCGGATTTATACGTTAGCTTTATATACAATGTCGTACAAGCGAGTGCAACCACATCAACCAGCTGATGGCCAAATTCCCTTGAATGGGTATATGTGCATTTGTATATGAGTTGTATCAGCTGTATAATCAATCTCTTACGATGAAATGGCCATTTCACTAAAGTCCTTGTCCAAAGTTTCACTGAAAGCGTTGGCTTTTTCGTTATTACCTTCATCCGATTCTTCAATACTTTCTTTTGAGCTTGATTCATTAGATATGGATTCCACCGACTCTTCTCTCACAATGTCATAGTCAATGTTTATTCTCACCATTTTCACAACGTTTGAGATAAACATTTCTCTGCAAATGGTAGACAGCTTTAGAGCCACTTGTTGAAGTTTTTCCTCTTTATCATCAGAACTTCTCATGAATGCTTCAGGAACAACGAGGTATTTTGTCTTGTTAACAGCTTGGATGCTGTAGAGCATATCAGATTCGCCAAACAATGGTCTAACAACATCGTCAACCATGTCTCTCGTAGTACCTTCAATACAGTCCTGGATCAAGATCGCATTGAGATTCTTTTTCGTGGATTCAACCTTCAACGGGATCTTTGTCGTTGCCCTCTTATGAGCTTGGAACCTTCTTATACCTTGTGCCAAGGACATCTCTGGTGACGCTGAATTTGGTTTCTTGGAGACAAAGACGCTTCTCTTAGGTTCAGGGTCTTGTGATTCAGAAAATAGCCCAAAACATTCGGCCAGCTCATGCACAAATGCCCTTTGTTCACGCCTCATAGGTTTGAAAGACATCGAGCGACGTTCATTAGACATGAACTCTCTCATTATACCCTCCACTTGTAAACACCATTTCTCTTGAACACTTGCAATCTTCAGAACTTCATCAGAATACGGCACATTGGCCATATCAGATTCTGCAGAGTTACTTGTAATGTTGAATGCACTTTTCAGTCGTTCATCTCTTTCTTTCAACACACATGAGACATCACAGCTTATAGGCGTACCTGCAACAGACTCCTTATCCACTGATGCCCCACATGGAACCGTTTTAGTCATTCTCCCACATCTACACTTGACTTGAGTTGGTTCAGCGCAGACATCTTCCAACTTACACGGCTCTGGGTAATGGCATGGTGTCCTGTCAACATGAGAACAGTATTTCTTCTTTCTACCACAGAAGGACTTACAGACACATGGTCCCTTGTGGCATAGCATGAGACAGGTGTGTCCGCAAGGTAACTTGTGATCACACTTGTTACCACAGAATACATCCTTTTGGTGGCACATTGCGCTTCTCTTTATCTTCCTGGAACAGTTGCACTCCTTCATGACTGTATACGTACATTTTGGACACTCCACAGAGTCCGGATGACAGTTATGAGGCATTGGTGGATGACCACACGGAGTTGGCCTAATGCATGGATGGTCACATGGTGGTAAAGTAGTACCACACCGCACTGGTGCCATCACCACTGTTTTACCACAGTTACAAACAAGATCATCGTTTGTAGATTCCAAGCATGGACGACAAGGTCCTGCATGGCATGTATCGTGGCATACGTGGTCAGGATTTCCACAAGACAGTTTCTTGTTGCAAGTTCTTAAACAGATATGACCTGCTTCGACGTTGAAAGCCGAGTTTGCATTTCTCGATGTGACTTGATTATTCCGTAGACTTTTCTTTCTTTGCCTTTCCCTTGCCAATCCTGAAGATTCATCTGGACAACAAATCTTTTCACATCTATGACGACGGCACGATAACAGGACAGTGCATTGTCTTGTGCAAGTTGCCTCGAATCCCTGAGAAATAAATTTACAGGGAACATTAAATGAGTTGAACCCACAACGACACTTTTGCTTGAGGATTTCTAAACACGGTGAGCATTCGCCGTCATGGCATTTCCATTTACAACGGTGACCACACGGTAAAGTCTTGTTGCACAATTTATCACAGGTTGGAATTGGATCTGTACAGCACTGTCTATTCACACCATTGTTCAACTCCAAGATTGAAGTTTGACCACATGGACAAGTCTTCAAGATATCAGGGCTTTGAGGACAATGTAGCTTTCTTTTTGGAACTGGCTGACATGCTATTGATGTTGAATGAAGACCACAATCATAGGTCACATCTTTAGTCAGTTTACATTGGAAGTCACCGACCCAATTGTCCTCTCTCCTCTCTCCGAAACTCAACTTGGGCATCCTCAAGTGGCACTTCAACATATCTGTTGATTGGCCGCAGTAGCATCTCGATGAAACAAAAGTTTCACATTTACCACACAACCCGGCATGGCATTTCTTACCACATTTATGCAATTCACAGGGCAAGAACTCCTGGCATATCTCGTCACACTGCCATCCTTCGATATACGGCGTAATGACACACGGCCATTGGTTTTCATGTTTACCACATTTACATTTCAACAATGGGCCCAGCGCATTACATTGTGCATGAGGTCCCGGATGGCAAGCCAACGGACACTTATGAGGACAGCCAGGCAACTGCGCACCACAAGTTTGACCACAACTACCCGGATGCAGTTGATTTGGCTGTGGATTTATAGTCTTTGAACACCAGCATTTGTCTTGGAATTTGGTTCTAGCATGCGTTGAATGACAAGCAGGGCATTTCCAATTACCCTCCTCATCGGTCGAAGAGCCCTTTGTTGACCAGCTCGAGATGCAAGAGATGTGATATACCCTATAACAGTCGCCGCATGACCAGAACTCCTCCGTGTAGTCTATCTCACCAGTACACACCAAGCACACGTATGTCTCCTCTCTTATCTCCTTTTCGATAGTTGTTCTGAGATCAGAGTCTTCAACTTCCAGTTCTTCGGCATCATCAGAGGAATAGTCCGAATCTAACTCCGGGATCACTGCTTCCTCCTTTATATCTTTATCCGAGGCCATCACCAGTTTTGCCTAATGCTTCCCGTTCGCTCGATCTCCTTCTTCGTTCTATCTAAACCTCTCAGTACACCCACAGTACCGCTCCAACGGAGACTCAACAAACGTTGTATAGGGTCATCAGCTCTTACATAAACTGTACGAACACTACTCGCCTAATAAATTTTCACTCCATGGAGCGTGCACATCCGTACACCACAAATGAGGAAAGTGATCCTGGTATGGGGCACATTGTATTGTTTTCCCGCGAATTGGTTTTTGGTGAAAAACGAACGCCAGAAAGTTTTCTCCTCCTTCAAGGTACTAATAGCTCTAAAAGTCCATACAATCACAACATAATGAGATCCACCTTGGTTAGAAGACTGGCTGATCCTTGGGCCAAGAGGTGAGTACTCATATGGTCGCAGATATCACCCGCCATTGGTTGTCTTTCTACTTTTTTTACTCCATGCTCTGCTCCACTCCGCCTGGCCCCCTTTGTCACATATAGCAAGGGGGAGGCCCCATAATCGTCAAAGAACTCATCCGAGAAGAAGAATCTCGAGATGCATGGTATCCGAAGACACTGCATTGTATTGCTGTTCGGAGGAGAGAAAGGAAAGGGCCAGTATAGAGCTCTGTGCTGTGGTCATAGCAATGGTGGCCATAATGGTGGCCATAATGGTGGTGGCTAATGCAGTGCCGCAACATATACTAACCATCTACCGCAGAGAGGCTTGGAGATACGAAGGTCATTTTACAAAGGCTAACATGTACAGAAACCTCTGGCCAGGATTTACATACGGTGTCGGTGCCTTCGTTCTCTACTGTATTGGTGAGAAGGCGCTCGGTGGTAAATCACATAGCGAACATGGTGCAGAACACAGCGAACACTGATAACTTCCTCCTATGAGATTGTATTTATTTCTATTCTCCTATTTATTACTCCATCTCACTCTATTTATTGATATCATATACTATTAAGACCTCTGTGCGTAGGGAGAACACCAGCCAATGGCTCATTGTTAGCCTTCTTAAAACCCTTTGCATTTCCAGACCCATAGTCTCTCCAAGAAAACTGACCTCTGGTTGGACGTGGTGCAACGCGGATGTCCCGTGGGTCTGAGTGGACATTTAACTTAAAAAAAAGGCCTAGTCCATTCCACCCGTTTTGGGAAGAAAAGTCCAGCGGATGAAAGCTCAAAACACAGCTGTCGAACGATGTGAAAATTTAGGCCGTGCATTCACGGAGGTTGAAAAGTTGTCCTAGAAGTCTCTCTCATGAAACGAAGGCCTAAAAACCTGCACACAGCCTTTTCCAACGAATTTACAAACAAGGAGTTTGTCCAGTAATAAAAGGCAAAGAGAGCGTTACAGATTGAGATGGATGAGCTGTTGCTGAACTCGTTCGAAGAACTCGTTCCGAGTAGACCAGTGGAGCATTTGGGAGAGGCCGATCTTACGTTCGATGGACGGTTATCAGAGCCTTTGAAGATCTGGGAAGATGGTGGTGCTGTTGGCTGTGGTGGTAAGATCTGGATAGCTGGCGAGCTGCTATCCAGGTATCTACTGGATAAGAAGATCTGCCAGCGTGGGAAGATTATCGAGGTTGGCAGTGGGACTGGACTAGTCGGTCTGTGTCTTGGTCTATCATTACGCAAGAGGACAGATGCTGAGATTTGGATCACCGATATTGAGGACCTTGTACCGTTGATGCAGAAGAACATTGAGCTGAACGAGTTGGAAGACGTGGTACATAGTGCAACTTTGGCATGGGGTGAGCCACTCCCAAGCTATGCGAAGGACGGTGTCGATGTTATCTTAGCAGCTGATTGTGTATACCTAGAAAAGGCGTTCCCTCTGTTGGAGAAGACCTTGTTGGACATGACCAACAAGGATACGCTGGTGTTGATGAGCTACAGAAAGAGAAGAAAAGCCGATTCCAAATTCTTCAGAAAGATCAGGAAGAACTTTGACATTGTACCAATAACCGATTTCGAAGATTACAATCACTACTTGAAACAAAGAACCCATCTGTTCCAACTAGTGAGACGTACTGCACCTCAGAAGGCCTCTGAAGAGGCTAAGGACCATCTAGACCAGTGAACTACAGCTTGTAAATATACGATTATAAACAATGTATTCTTTGCTTCTCTATGTACAAAAGAAATAACACAAGATCCGGTTAGATCGCGTTGTCCTGTTTCTTACTAGCCTCTGCGATTCTGGAGAGTTCTTCAGCTTCAACTCTCCATTTATCAATGACAACCTGTTCTCTTTCAACACCGTATTCCAAAGGACCAGCGTTGAACACTGAACCAAACATTTCGTTCTCTTCTCTGCTCACTTGATCTTGTATCTCCTCTTGGATTCTCAATCTGTAAAACTCAAATCTTGCCTGGTCATATGCGTCTGCAAGAGTTTTAGACTCATTCTTAACGAGGTAGAGGGTTCTCTGTACAACTGATTCACCATCCAATGGCTTATTTAGCTGTTTTATCGAGGACCAGTCCTGGGACTTGATATCGTCACCTGTGTTTTCCAAGACAATTTTTGGTCTTGCGAGCTCCCATGGGTGTTGTTCAAAGAACAAACTTCTCAACTCGTCCTCGACATAACGAAGTTTATTTGGTTTATAAGGGCTCTTGCCCGGCTTTTGAGATTGTCTTGTCTTGTACAATGGTGCATTCTTCGACGCATACTGCGTCTTGTTCAAAGAAATCGACTGTTCATTGACTTGCTCCTTCACCTCGTGGAGAAAGTTCTTGTTTGGTGGATACTTTCCCAACGCATCGAACCACAAAGGCTTCTTGGTAAGAACTCCCGCTTGAAGATAGTGTGATGTTCTCTCTAACACATTCACGGCTTTGGTTTGTAACTTCATTGTACCTAATTCACCAGCGCTATACCGCCCCTCTGTGTTGTTTTGATTATGGGAAAGTGCTCGGAAGCGTTGAAAAGTGTTGAAAAAAAAAACCTGCTGAGAATCATTGATGATTACGTAATACACCTGGACACCAGCCAATGAGTATATGAATCTACTTCAACGTACTTTACCTTGTTCTCTCATCCTTTCTTGGGTAAACAAACCGCCGCTTGGAGGACTTCTGGATGACACTTGGTGGGTTTGTTCTACAGTGGCTATCACAGCCGGTGCGCTATAAGAGCTTCAAGGATCTTTTAAAGAAGCACAACGCTGAGGTACCGAAATTTGTCAACTCACAACCGATCAACAGGCAACATGAGTCTGTACGGAAGTTGCGGTTGATGGTCCCAAGAAAACACTGTGTGGCCCATATATACTATCCGTTCTTAAGAGAGCTCTATCCGCTGGATGGTGTGATTAGACACAACACCTTATACGGTGCCTACTCGAAACTACCCACACCACAACCTCTTTACGTCCAGCCCCACCATTGGGAACGATTGATGAGTTCGTTTACCAGTGCTCAAGGTGTGAATCGTTCACAAATTGGTGATCTATTCCAAAGAATCGTGAACGGAATGAATAAGTGTGACTTGGAGCTCAGCACTAAGGAGCTCAACTCCTTGATCTTTTTAACGAATTACGATGAGCATGGTTTGACGAAGTTACGAAAGAGATGGGCATCGTTCAAAGATAAAGAGCTGGATATATCGACGACGAATATCTTTCTAAGGTATGCATCTTCACACTGTGATTATGACTTTTGCAAGGAGATCTTGGACAGAATCTCTGGTGATGGAGTTAAAATGGATAGAATGTCCTATGACATTGTCCTAGGAATATTGGGCAAAACTGGATTATTGAACGATACTACGTCTCTATTAAAGGAGGCGCTATCAAAAGGGATGGTGTTTGATATCTCCATGATGAACACCGTTGTCAGTGTACTGGTATCTAATGAAAGATTGGACGATGCAGAACGCATAGTTGAGATATTGATGCAGAGAGCATCGTTAACGACACCTCAGTACGATCAGCATAAAAGAAGATGGTATACCCATCAAGTTCAATATTTGGACTCTCTTCATTTACAAAAGATGGATGCACCTCTTTACATTCCTTCACCTACTGTCGAGACTTTTAGTCCGTTGTTGAGATACTATGCCTCCATAAGACATCTGACACCTACAAAAGTTGTTCAATATCTCCAATTCATGGATACATGTGGCTGTTCGATCCCTTTGAACCTATCCAAGGACATTGTTACTTCACTGGCCAACCACTTGACAGTGTTAGCACCAGATGACCTTAGACGGATATTGGAACTGATTCAAAGGAAAACCTCGACATTTGATAACGCATTAATGACATCTATGCTTTCTTTGATCCAGCATCCAATGTTTGACTCTAAAACAGTACAGGATTTAGAGACGAATTGGAAATTGGCAATGAGCCATTCAGTAAAACCAAACGTTGATGTTGAGCTTCTAACGCAGCATAGTGTTAGAAGAATGACAGGTGCTTTGTAGATATTTATTATTCAACACCTTTTGGTTGGGATTTATATATATACCCCATATTCAAGAGCAAGTTATTTATTATTCGTCCCTTGTAAGTGTTGTTATGGTTTGATTCATGAGAAGCCGATGATGATACACCCAGCACATATCTTCGAGATTCATCTTCGAACAACAGATTAAGCCTTCACATACGGTGAAAGGAAAGAGAATAGATCTCCAATTAAATTGTCCAAAGCGTCTTCTACATAAGCATTTGAGGATGCTCTTGGAAATGGGGATTGTCTCTTTCAGTGGGATGGTTCAGCAAGATTGCATAGAATTCAACCCTAGCACAGGGTTCCTGAGGATGACATTGGGGAACTGTAATGAGTCTGGCAGAACTGTGGACGTTAAGATACATCGACAGTTGGATGTAATCCATGGATATACCATACTGGACGTTGATATATATGTGAATCAGATATTCTGGCAAAGGAAGTTCTGGGAGAGGAATGCATGGGAGACCATTTAACCGAGATGTACCCCGATTTCTACAAGCACTGTCCAAATATGGCTTATTTCCTACACATGAGCCCTCAGTACCAATCAGCCTACAGTACAAGCACAGACAGACTAGCAACAGCAACAGAAACAGCAACAGACAGAGGACCTCAGAGCACCATCTCTCCTTACACCAATTCCAACGCATAGAACCTTTCACCAGTATCGCACCCTGTCAACACATACAGCCCACAGCTGTACATGCACTGTGGGAAGAGGCCCTTGACAGTTGAAGCAATGGCACCGCATCAAGAGGCCTCATAGATCAGCACAACAGTGTCAGCCTTGCACAGGACATTGAAGCTGTCAACTTCTGCTAGGATTACAGCATATTTGAACATGTGTTGATGGAGTTGAAGATGGGACTGCTACTGATGTCCTAGCGATGTCTATATATGATTTCTGCTCGTTGCTGTGGCAACAACAAAGATAACTTTTCTACTTTTGTGTTTTTTTTGTTGTAACCAACACACATATGCTGGCACATACTGTTTGTATATAAGTAGGCACTGTCTGAAGTCCCTGTGGATAGCATTGGACAGATCTTATGGAACTGTGACTTGGGTTGGTGTGCTCCTTAAACAGTGATACTTGGAATGATGGCGAATGTTAGATGCACTGGTGCGGAGTTGGAGCCTGAAGCAGACGTGCCAGCTGGGAAGACCAGGCTGTATTCGAACTTCAACGTCAAATGGAGCATCCGGCTGAATTTATACCATGTGAAGTGCCTGGTGAAGCTGATGAGGTTGCGTAACTCGTGCAGGATTATTACTAGTGACCATACTGTGATTGAGAGAAAACTGAGGAAGAGATACCCAGACGTCCGTCTTACTGCTGTGAGTGTTCGGGAGAATTGGGCAGTCTTGAAACGTCAGGTATCGGTGTTGGTTGCAATGAAATTGGCTTATGGAATCACTGTGGACCCACATACTGGACTGCTGAACTGTACGGATGAACAGTGGCGAATTGTCAGGGGAAAATTCTATACTTTTAGCTCAGACAGGAAGAGATACAGAAACTTTATGGATATCCAGGAATTGCAGTGGGCAATGGTGGAGATGCCAAACTTCCGACTGGACACCATTTTTTTCCGTGACCAGAAGCTTGTCCTGACAATAGAGAGTATGCTAAATGGGACTGAGGTGAATGGCGTGGAGCTCTGTAAACAGCGATTACGGCTCAGGAATGTCTACATAGCGATGCCTTTGGTTCGTCCAGAGATATTACCTGAATTGGAAAGTAATGAGTCGAATCAAATTGTACTGTACAAGCCTAAGAAACAGGAGAGAAAAACCAAGAGGTGAAACAAGACCTTAACGCTATCTTTAACGAGAGAAAGGGGAGCTGGATCCACGATTTCTCAAGATGATGAGAAGGTGAAAGAAAAGCCCACTGCTACTTCAAAGAGTAATCTTAAGACCATGACCAGTTCGTATGAAACATTTGACAAAGAGACGAACCAGAGTTTCTTCGAGAGCAGTAATACGACATGAGGAACTTGACATTGTATTGAAAATGGTTTAAAACTTATATTCTACTGGTGATGACACAAGTGATGAACATAGAATCGAAACAATCGTTATATCAAGTAAAACACTGACAAATGGGTAGAATGGAAATGACATACATGATGACAGTAACAAGCATCACCAAGATCATCAGAAGAACTACGAGAAGTATAAACCAGTCGTTGATACCCTCACCGTAATGTCCAAGCGAGGCTCATCGGACATTTTGGCCTCTCTGGACTGCTGTCAAGACCTTCCTACGCGCAACTTCACTCAAGATCAGAATTCATATCAGCATGTGACTCATAACGTAATCTCAGTAGTTATCCTGAAACTTTCACCGCCCAGATATGACCAATAGTCATGTAATAAATGATGAATTTATTGATAACTCACTACAGTGTTGTGTGTTCTGGTTGGTGACACACAGCCATAGCTCGTGAACAAGTTTTTGCGTTGTGATCAAAAGTGAATTTCAGTGCGTTGCTTCCATTTCGAATAAACAGATCAAAAGCATAAATCTACACGAAATATCAATGGTTAGTTACAATTCTCCTTCTGGGCCAGCTATCTGATAACAATCTAACACATATAGTTTAGTCTGCTCTTTTCAACTTCACATCGCTACTTCAAGTGATACTTCTTCTCATATGTTCGTGTACTTATATACATCTCAATTGGCCAAGTCTGCTTGATAGAAACCATCATGGGTAAGTGCTCTCGTTTTATCTGGTTACTTATGGCTCGCTAACTCAATATCAGTGTACTAGGTGTATTTTGGAAGTTTGCAAGGGTTGGTGAACGTGCAAGTCCATATGTCTCCCTCGCGTTGGTGTTCATGGCTGTTGAACAACTTAGATCTTGAACCCTATGTTTTTAGCGCGTTACTTCTATTCATGGAGCTACAAGCTGATTTTAATAATACATAGTTCAACGATATGTGTAAACTTTTTTCTGTTTAATTGATATCATTTAAATACCTTTCGTTGAGCTTCTTCAATACACCATACTGAGCACACAGAAAACCCAAAATGCAAATAAAACCCAAGTATATACAGAACTGATAATTGAACGAACTCATCATGTTGCAATGGATTCACACAAATCTTCGAATAGCGTTGGTTTCAAGACAAGATCTGATTCGTTAACAGCTGTTTGTTTAACAAGTTTGAAAGAGCCGGTACCGATAGACATTGTTTGGCCCAAGATGATACATTCAGAGACACCTTCGACCTTATCCGTCTTCATGTAGAAAGAGGCATCGAATAAATGATCTGTGGTCTTTTCAAAGGATGCCAGTTGTAAAACAGAATCTCTCATCTTACTCAGACCAAATCTTGTGATACCTAGAACTTCTCCCTTGTAGGACATGACATCACCAAGTAATTGAATGTGACGTGGATCGACACTCATACCGTGCTTAGACATGGTGTAATCAATCTCACCGATAATGGACGCACGTGCAGCCTCGATTCCGAGTACTGAAACAACTTCCAGAACATGGTTAGTTCTGGTCTTCGAACCGATGACACCATCGGTACACATAACGTCACGAAGACCATAACCTTCAACCAATAACTCTTTCTTTCCATCATCACGGATATTTATCACGGCTCTGGAAATATCAGAGAGACCCTTGACAACAACGTTCGGAAGAACACGACGTAAGTGCTGCATTCTAAAGAACAGCTCATTTTCGTGGGGTTCTTTCAATGATGTCGATACAGATTTCAGTTTTGATTCACCCGTGTAAACGTTTATGTTGATCTTGTTTCTGCTTACAACAGATACATCACCAGCAGCAATCTTCAACTTTGGTGCTCTGCTAATCGCAACAGCAATATCGTCGATCGTTAATTCCAATTGGAGTCTCTCAATGGTCTTTAAGTCGATCTTAACTTGTATAAAAGATAAATCGTCCTTATAGACATCCTGGATGTAATATGCGACATCTGATAGCAATGTTTTTTCTATTCTTCCCTTAACAACTCTGGCAGCTCTTTCATCCTCGTCATTAACCAGTACTGCATTAATGATAGGAGTAGAAATGACCTTTGATGCATTGATAATCTCTTTAATACGAGGAACACCCAACGTAACATTCATGGAAGCAACACCAGCAAAATGGAAAGTCTTCAAAGTCATTTGTGTACCTGGTTCACCAATTGATTGGGCACCAATGGCACCCACAGCAGTACCAGGTTCAACCTTAGCACGACTATACTTCAGGATGGCAATCTCCAAGAATTTTCTCACACATGTGTTACTGATCTTAGCCAGCTGATTCACAGCTGACAAAGCAGCATTGGATGCTCTTTCATCAAGATCCATAAGGGCAAGTTCATCCGCAGGTTTGTCTAAAAGTCCTTGCAATCCTTTGCGCTCTCTAACTGCAGCCATGAATGAAGCCTTCTTCTTGATGAAATCACGAATAGATTGATAAAAGTCTCTTTCAGCGTCATGTTGATCAACGTATTCAATTTTGTCTGCATTTTTCCCTGTTACAAGGTTTCCCACGTTGTCATATCTCAAAAGCTTTGCCTCTAATGGTTTCAGTACTGTCTCAGTTACCTCAATAACCTGGTATGGTAACAATGAACTGTCTTCGTTACTGAAAGTGATATTGTAGGAATGGTCCCAAGTTCTGTTGAAGTTAACAGGTTTTGCATCACCCTCCATGTCGAACGGATCGAGACCGTCACCACCATATGTGAATTGCACAATACCATTACTCGAAGTTCTCACAGTATTATCGTACTGACAACTCAAGTCTTCTAAAGATTTCATCAATCTTCTCGACATATAACCGGTTTCGGCAGTTTTGACCGCAGTATCCACCAAACCTTCACGACCAGAAATAGCATGGAAAAGAAATTCTGGTGGATTCAGACCTGAGTAGAAAGAGTTTCTAACAAAACCCTTGGATTGCGGAGTCTTGGAATTCTTTGGAAAGTGAGGTAAAGAACGATCTTGGAAACCATCAGGAACACGATTACCAGAGATAATTTGTTGACCGACAACAGCAACCATCTGAGAAACGTTCAACGTCGAACCCTTAGAACCACATGTGGCCATGATCAGAGGAGCGTTGGAGCTGTCAAGTTCGTTGATACACACTTCACCAACTTCTTCTCTCACCTTAGATAGAAGACCACCAATTTTGGCTTCTAGGGTCTGCTCTTCGTTACAACCTGGTTGGGTTTCCAGCTTACCTTTGTTGTATAACTGAATTAACTCATCACACTTGGCGTAAGCAGTTTCAACCATTTCTTCCTTTGTGTTTTTCAAATCATGTCCTGGTGTAACATCATTGATTCCAATGGAGAAACCTCTATTACCCAAGTATCTGGCGCACAGCTTGGCCATTCTATTCATAGCTGCTGCTGCTTCTTTTGGACCATAATCTCTCAGAATAGTGTAGAACACAGAGTGCTTCTTACCGTCACCTAAAGTGGATTTATCCATGACACCACTCAGGATATTGGACCCTCTGATAACGACAAACCCGTCATTTGGAGACATCTCATTTGGAAATCCTTTCTTTGGGGGTACAAATGTCTTGTTCTTAGCATCCAAATTGATAACAACTGGTGATGTTTTGTTTGGTTTGATCAACAGACTGAAAACTTGTTTACCTGTCCATAAAAAGTGGGGCTTTTGGATTGCAGGTGGTGGGATATCAAATTGTAATCCAGCATCAGACATCATTGAAAGCAGCTGTACGAGAGTAGCTCTGTCAAAGAAAGAATCCTTATGGGAGATCAAATAAGAGCCGGTGATGAAATCTTGTGTAGCAGCAATAATAGGTTCACCGGATTTTGGAGTCAGCAGGTTGTTCTTTACTCCCATCAAGTTGATTGCCTCTGCTCTTGCCTCTTCCGTCTGAGGAACGTGTAAATTCATTTCATCACCATCGAAATCGGCATTATATGGTGTACAGACACACTCATTCAATCTGAATGTTCTCCATGGTCTGATCTTAGCATAATGCGATAGAATAGACAATCTATGCAATGACGGCTGTCTGTTAAACAAGACGATATCACCGTCCTCGATATGTCTCTCAACGACATCACCATACTGGAGTTGTCTGGCCAACTTTTGTCTATCACCATATCTCAAGTTACGACGAGCATCTTCATTCTTCTTGAGTAAATAATTGGCACCAGGATGGACTGTTGGACCATTCAAAATGAGTTTTTGCAATTTTTCCTTATTATATCTTGTACACTTCTCCGGGTATGTAAGCACTTTGGCAACCCTGTCTGGGACAGCAACTTCATCGATCGACAAGTTTGGATCCGGGGAGATGACTGTACGGCCAGAGAAATCGACACGTTTACCAGATAAATTACCTCTGAAACGACCTTGTTTACCTTTCAATCTTTGACAAAAACCTCTGATCGGTTTTGACGATTTGGAGGCACCACTTGCACCTGGCAGTGCAGATGGTGATGCGGCATCTGAATTGATGTACATTGCAACAGACAACTGCAAATAATCCCACTGTTCCATCAAATTATTGACAGATATACCTTTCTCGATACCAGCTCTGATGAGTGAGCTTACCCAGACAATCTCTGTGAGCTTCACTGTCAGGTCATCTTCATTAGAGGTTGGTGAATCTTGCATTGTCACAGAAGGACGGATACAGACTGGAGGGGCGGGCAAGTAAATCCAGATATAGGTTTCTGGTCTACCTCCTCTTCCCGAATCGATACCCAAAAGTTCGCAATCTTCGTTCTTCACTTGCTTGAAAAGGTTCAGCACTTTCAAAGGGTTCAAATCATCCATTGATCTTCTAATGAACTTCTCAATATCTGGGTTGTCTATCAATGCTTGTTCAATGTCCTTATCCCACTCTGCCTTTTCTAATGTTGGCTTCTTACCAATAAACCTGAAGGTATCATGGACAATCTTCAAGGATGCAGTACCAGAACCTGCTGCTGCTTTCTTCACAACACCATTAACCGCACCACAGTCGAAACAACGTCTCTGCTTCTTACACTGCTCGAGTATTTTCTTGATGATGCCCATACGTCTCAAGTTATCGATCCCGGGTCTTCTCAGCTCTTCTCTAAATTTACGCTTGGCCTCTTCATCTATCAGCATAGCGCCACAGCATTTACAAATGGACTGTAGTACCTGTATAGTGGCCTTGAAGTATCCCACATGGAAGACAGGAAGGGCCAGCTTCAGATGCCCAAAATGTCCATGACATGTAGCCAAGTTCCCGTGGCACACAGCACACTCTGCAGAGTTCGAAGAGATACCCATCCTTGTATCGAGCGCACCATTGGACTTAGGAGTACGTCCTTTCTCCAGGTCAAATAGGTCTCTTGTAGCAACCTCCACTTCAGACTGTGCGAGGATGTCCTCCTCAGACATGGCTCCAAACTCGATGCCGCTGATTCTCTTTGGGGCAACATCGACAACTGTTTCCTTCATCCTGTTCTAATTCGTCCGTTACTCTCGCCGTGTATTAGTAAGAACTCCTTTTCTCTCAAGAATTTGGTAAGCCAGAAGGTAACAGATGTCCGTCTCTATTTCGTTTTACGGAAATGTCCAACAAGTTTACCGCTGTGTCCAATTGAAACCGCTGAATCGATGAGCTGTTTTGAAGGGACAAATACAAAAAAAATTTGTCCTCGCGATGAAGAGGAAAAAAAGTGCCTTTCTGCCAAATCCATCACGTGCAAATAAAAACGTCCTGTGGCGAAAACCACGCCAAAGGTAAACAGAACGTTCTCTCTTTGCTTCTCCGTGCTTTGGACAAAGAAACCATTCCCCCATAGAACCCCATCTTATACCATGAGTGAACCGACCAAAGAGACTATTGAAGCTGAGAAGCAAAAGGTTATCCGCTCTTTGGAAGAGGATGATGAGTTTGAAGACTTCCAAGCTGAGGATTGGCAAGATGCTCAAGCAATGGGCGCCGAATCAGAACACGCTCTCTGGGTAGAGGACTGGGATGACAACGATGTGGATGATAACTTCAGCAAAGAGTTGAAGTATGTATGATACTGTGTATCTCCAGTACTAGGGTTTATGTGCGTACTAACAGATTTTCAAGACAAGAATTGGCCAAAGTGGCGGCTTCAAAGTAATGACTGGATAAACGATAATAAAACATGTACACTAATAAATTTCTTCTACTCTTGATTAAAGCATAAACCGTACAAATCTCTATTTCTCACATAATAATAATCCCATATACATATTTATATTCCATGTTCGTTGTTCACCAGTTCAGATCTGACCTCAACCTCAACTCTTAACGATAGATTCAATCGCATTGAGAAGAGGTTTGTCATAGTTGGCACCAGAACTAAACCTTTTAACTATACCCAAATACTCTATACCAATCCCACTCAAAAATGTGCGGCACTGCTCCGGTTCTTTCAATGGATCATCAACATTTGTCTGCGATTCACATATAGCAGTTGCGATTCTGTTGAAGAGATTGATCAACTCAGTTGTTATTGGTGCGGCTGTAGTATAATGCGACAATATTTCCGTGCACAATTTCAACTCCATCTTGATCTCTGAAAAGTCCACAGCAGAGGAACAGATGCAATAAACCATCGTGGAGCAATGCGAAACCAGCTTTGATATCATTGGCCACGTCATTGGTAAGGGGAATGCTGCGTGTAAGTTGTACAGATAGGTGATGTATTGTCCAGCAGTCTTGCCCAATAATTGAAGCGTATCTTTGTTCAGGTCGCTCATGAGGAACGATGGTTTGTAGAGCAAAAGCAGAAGATGATAATAAGCTGAGTAGTACCACGCTGTGGCAGCAGGATTGGAAATGAGCTTTTTATCACTATAAGCCAGTAAGCTGGTAGTGTTGTACCAGCTTTCAATCTCCATTCTTAAAGTCTTTATAACATTCAATTTCTCCTCCTCTGTCTTGTAAACCTTACAAGCGTTCACACAATGAACGTGCTTGATAATGCGTCCTTCAATTGCCCTAAGCTTTACCAAGGCCGTGGTTAACTCGACAGACTCCTTATCGTCACTAATCTGGGCTTCTGGAAAAGCCACATCCACATTATCATCATCAAGAGCAAAAGGTCTTCCCAATGCACCGGCCACTGTTCGATCATATGTGTAAATACTCCAAAACAATCTATTTCTCCATTCTGATTCACCAGATGACTCTTGTAAACTGTTATCCAACCCCAAACTGAGGGCAAGACGGGTTAAAACACCATCTAAATACCAAGAAACTTGAGGATCCTTATCCAATAGAGCAAGTAGTCCAAACAACAAAATCTTGTAGACACTGTCTAAAGTTTCAAACTGTTTGATATTTTCAATTGTGGATTGCACCTTTAGTCGAATTGTATCAGACAGCTCCACATCTGGTGCAATGTCTCCGTTCAAGGTTAACGACGTATAACCTAACAAAATAGCCATTATCAATTCAAACCCATCTGAATCATCCTCCGACATTGCCTTGTGAAACTTCTCCGACAACGGTGAGTGACGTTGTTTGAACTTTGAATTGTCAAAACATGGATAGTTCCTTGCAAACACTTCAAAGAATGTCTTGAGAGATTTATCCAACACTTCGGCGGACAAGTTCACACTAGCATATCTCTGCGAAAGCGAAAAATCGCGCGCTTGTGAATCAGTTGCTATGTTGATCACCTTTGATAGGTATGCTTGGTGCAACTCATTAGGGGTCATTGGGGAAATGGACTTTTCCGATCTGGCATGAGGCTGTGATGCTTGTGGAGGTGAACGATATGGAGCCTGAGATGTCACTTGAGCCTGAGCATGCTGCTGGAACGCTTGCTGTTGGTACTGTTGACTTTCTTGTTGATGTTGCGGTTGCGCCTGTGGTTGCGGCTGTGGTTGTTTTTGCTGTTGTGGTGGTGGTACCTGTGAGAGCTGTGGTGGATGTGGAGTCGGCGCTTGTTGGAAAAACGCCGGTTGATATCCTGTTAAAGATCTTATTGGCGGTAAAGATGGCTTAGCCCCTAACTTGAATAGTCTTTGAGATTGGCTATCGGCGTATTGACCAGGTAATGGTTGTGGTAATGGAAGGGTTGATTCCCTGGCAATAAAAGGCAGAGCCGAGTGCTGTGGCAAGTTCTGTCCCAAAGGCGGTTGTGATTGTTGTTTTTGCTGCTGTAGTTGTTGTTGACGTTGGGAATCAAACCCTTGATCATATCGGTAGATCCCATTTCTTTGTAGTTTTTCATCGTTCGTGACAAGTGCAGGTAGACCTATGGCGGTTTGTTGTTGTACTTGAGCCTGGCTTTGCGCTCTAGCTGCTGCTGCCGCTGCTGTGGCAGCTTCGTGTTCAGCATTGGCAGCTAAACTCTTGAGGATCTCGGATTTCTTTCTTCTCGGTGCCCTTGGAACGTACTCACAAGATTCTCCAGCCTTTGCGCAGTTATGGCACTCCGGCTTTGTTCGGGAACACTTCTTCTTCAACCTTCTACAGCGCTTACAAGAGTAAGAATGGCGTTCACCGTTGAACCCCTGATTACTCCCCTGTGAGACACCAGTATATGAAGAGCTTGCAGTTTCTGGCGAAGACGATGGTGATACCACTCCGCGCGGGTTCCCGTTGGGCATCATAGGAAACGATAGCGACGTTGAATGTGAGGTGAGAACTTGTGTACTGTCCATCTGATGTGGCATAATCTCCGGTAGGTATACACTTAGAATGGACTCCAGGTGTCTATAGCCAGATGATTATATCAACAAGGAGAAAGAACCCTCAAAAATTTCCGTATGCCCTGTTTTTTGGTCTAGAGTGGGAAACGAGTTGCTCTTGGAGAAACTTCCTCTTGAAACCGTACGGTGCTGCTGGTATTAATTTCGTTTCGTGGTATGGAACGCGGGACGGCAATAAGCAAACGTTTGTCGGACTTCCAGTCGGGAATTTTTTTTCCTCAGATGCTCGACGACGTTATAAAGGGAAAGAACAAAAATAGCCCCTATACAAGCGGGAAAAGGCTAAGAGACTAGGATAAGCCTGTATCTGTTTAACCCGAGAAAATGACACCCATTTGATGTGCTGGACTTGTTCATGGTTACATATTCCACATGTCCCGTCTTGTAAACAACAAACTCTGGCGTGAATCGGCGTATAAACAGGAAGTGTACTCCCATGGGCGGAGTTTGAACCCCTCCCTCCTATCACGTTTCGGCAGTGCTAAACTTACTTATATCCATTTAGGTTGGATAAACAGAAGTTTCTACACACACTTTCGGGTTTGGTGGAGCAGCATCAACGATGTGTTCACAATACATCCATGTTGCTTTGTCCTTTCCTCTACGAGCCGACAACCCAAACATGGCGAGTCGACCTTTCCCCGTGCAAAGTTCATCCAATAAAAACTGCTATATGTAGGGTTCGTCATTTTGCTTTCATGTGCACCTCCTGCAGAGTGCTAAAGTAGGCTGTACCCACACAATGTCAAAAAGCGGTATAATTTTTGATCGCCGACAGCTGTCCGAAGAGCCGACGCTCCCGGTCAGACCGCTTAGTTTTTCTGCCCAGGCCGTTCAAATTTCTATCACATCGCAAATGCATCTTTCAACCGCGGGCGGAGCGTCGCGGAAGTGATCGTTAGGTTGGTGCAACCGATGACAAGAGCCCTGGCTAGAACATTGAACTGTTTAAAAGTGGTAGCTCTGTTAACCCCTATACTCGAAAGGCGAAATATAAGTGTGAGCCGTGAGTCCGCAATTGTCCGGCTCTTGAAAACCTATCGCCAAATACCCCTGGTTTGGGTATGAAGAGAGGTGTTACTGTTGGACTGTGAGTAGAGGTGAGATCACTTGAGAACGATCGCGGGTTAAAACCCCTTCCCACCACAGCGGACAAGGGTTTGGAAAAGGACTTTTTTGCCTCAATATCATGTCATAAAAGAAGAACCAGTTAACATATATACAAGTGCAAATCGAGTAAAAGTTGGGTAAAAAATAATATGTGTATCCCGCTCACTCTAGTCGTGGCTAGAAAGTGAAGTGTCATATCCTGTACAAAAAGCTTCTGCTAATCGGCTATATTTACTAGGATGATGTGAATAAAACATTTTCTGATTTTACCGAAAACCATAACCGTCATCCCGGCAGTGATACAGAACAAGTGTATCCCCTAATAAGAAGCTAACTGTAAAGGGGCTTCAGCACGCATAGGATTTACCCAATACTTATCATAGCATCGATGCCATGAATAATAAAAATCTCTAACATTAGTTCTTGTTGGCGAAGGTCCTGGCTAGTCATATCATGGGTTAAGGACTAATCAGTCCTCATTAATGCATGCACTCAAAATTTTACAAAGTTACGTGGGTTAACCCACATCATTGAGTGAATCATATTTTGTAGAGTTCCCCAAATATTACTGAGGACCTGTTTGAGTGGAGGCTAGATTCACCCGGCCCCATAGCCTGTGGAGAGTCAAGTTGCTTTAAAATGCTGTAGTTAGGTGTATTTGCTGCGCTGCAATGGATATTGGGACATTGAAGTACGTGATAGTACGGTAGCCTGCCTGTTGAACTAGCAGCTTCAATATCTCCACAGATACTAATTAGCAAGAGGTCTCAATTGGCTCCAGTGTATACATGAGACACATTTCGCCTTCGACTTTTCATACGTACAACAGCATCCAGCATTGGTACAAGGCCATAATTACAAAGGGTTCCAACTATTGCCCAAAAAAGTGCTCTTTTGTAGACTTTTGCGCCAAATGTGAAACTGTTGTCATGGCACGAAAAGGCACAGCAAAATGACAGCAAACCTGATTTGCGGCAGGAAAAGTGTCCGGTATGGACAATTCAAGCTGTGATATTTGACCTTCTGATTCGATTTTCGAAGATATCACTGAATTATATCAGCTGTGATTTACTTGTAACACTTTACAGTGATCACATTCTTTTTGGAATACGATAACATGAAACATGGATCCTCAATATCCCAGTGCCTCTCTACAATGGTTTTAAAGGTACTCCTTGAACCATTATAGTTCTTCTTCATAAAGTTCCTAGAACTTAACCTTCATCTCTTATATTTCTGAATTCTATTGTTATTAAGATTATTCTAATTGTCATTATCGTATCAACTATTCTGCTAACCATACCGTGCGAAAGGAACAATATACATCCTACTGTTAGTGAAAGAAATAATGTGGTGTCGATATAACTGGAAACATTAAGCTGAATCCGAAGAGCACATCATCAAGTGTCTTGTCGTATCTCAGTAAGACACACACAAGGAGTGTGTTGATGCTCCTCTAATGAACTCACTATCTTTTTGCCGTCTCTAAAGAGCACAAAATGGCACATTTTCATGAATGTATGTTTAATACGCTACATAGTTACGACTAGTTCAAGTAACATTTATACTTATAGTCGGTCGCCCTGTTGTGCGTGCCTTTTAATACTGCATATATATAAGCTTCTAGAATAATAAGCCTAATTTGATACACAAGCTATTTTGGTTCCATTTTCTGTAAATTATATGTCCCATGTCTATTGGATCTCCCTATAACCTTCATGATTCATTGATTATCGTAAATGCCTCCAACAATCTTCTGTTTCCAAGATTAAGACCTTTCTGTGTAACACCAATATGACACATAACCTAACAGTTAGCTCCAGCTCAGAATTTGGAGCCCTGTATCAATATTAAGGTAAGCACCATTTGTTCCAGAACCCAGTCCATATATTATTCAAGTTGTCATCCTACTAGCCCAGGGTACAATGGCAATGTATGAGATGCATGATCAGCCAATCAACTAAGTAAATTGATCGTTTTCCGTGATAGAGAGACTTTAACCAGCATTCATATAAACGCACCACTGTGTATAGGATAAAAGTAGCAACTCCAACTCAGTAATAATTCATTGTGCCCATTTATTTTTTCCACATTCAATCTCTTGAATTACAGTAACATTATTAGGTGGAGACTACATGGGATGCAGAAAACTTAATTTCGTCTCACGATTAGGAAATCACCCAATGAATAATTTATCAAAACAGAAACAGAAACAGTTAGCTAAGTGCACATTTATCAAAGCAGAAAGCACATGCTGTGAATGAACTTCTGTATGCGAATGTTAAGATATAAATGAGGTATTTCTCTAATTTACACTGATAAAAGTGAAAACTCACAATTTACAGCTGCATTGTAACATAACGAGCAACGGGAGTCACGGGTATGCAAGAAAGAATTTCAATCAACACATGTAGATTGTATATAGCAACATGCACCTGGTTTAAAATTGATACATCTCAAGACATGTTCATTGCCGAGTCTCTGGTGGAGGACTCTCAACCAAGAGCATCGGTTGAATCTTCGCCCGGTTAAGGATTCAGTAAACACTACACATCGCGGTAAATACATCTTTCTGAGAACTCAAACTGTAATGCGGTATAGAATATAACCATGCATCACATCGAATTGGTCCTTAGAAAGGCAATTTTAAGGTATTTGGATCCATATGCACCTGGTAGAGAGAAAGTAATAGGGATCTGTGGGTATTTCCATGAAAAGGCTAAAGTATAATAAACTCTTTAGTTTGTCAAGGTCATTCGTGTTGTTATCTGTTTCAATAGGTACACATATAACGTTTGAGTGCTCTTAACTCCCAAGTTGAAGAATTGTGTAGTTTGGACGGTAACAGCGTTCCGGTTTTGAGCCATAACCAACCAAGAAGAGGATTAAGAACAGAATGGACTGTAATATCTAACATCCTACGACAATATTGGCGGGCACTTCTACACCTATATATGCCATCAATGGGGAAATTAGATATTCAAAATGAAACAAAAACATATAAACAATCACCAATTGAACCGAGCTGAACCCGAGAATGCAGTAGAAGTCAAGTTCATTGTAGTTTTGGCGATCAGCTGTCAACATGTTTTATAAACCGCGTTGTAAGACTGGGTATCAACTTTTCCTGCACGGTAGCTTTTGTAATTTATATTGTACCACGTACATATCCCCCAGCCCCGTGACACTGGAGCACAAGATTTTGATATCGAGTTCATAAACGATGGTGACTGGAAGGTGTGAGGCGGCAATTAGCAAAAAGTGCACCGGCTGAGTTCCACTCTGTGATAAATCATGATTATTGCAGGTGGAGATCTTAGTGATTATTGATATCAAAAATTAGTTCACGGCAAGACTAAATATCATACCACGCACTACACATGAGAATTAACAACTCACATGAAAGAACATGATTCAGGTGGCCACTACATTTACCTCCCGTTTGCCGAAGTGAACCTACAAGTAATTGTGGACGTTGCAGAAATTCGAGCAACTAGATGCGGTCGGTGAGCAGCCACTGAAATAGGACATTAGTCATAGGGGGCGCGGACTTCAATTTGACACGTTGCACGTCGCACTACACACAATATACTTCATATGTGGAATTAGAAGCAAGAATGACGATCAATCACTCTATTTTCGTACTTCATTTTGAGTTGTCAAAATAACACATGTAGCGTCTCCACTATCGGTTTGTCATGATTACCAATTTTGCCAACTAACTTAACTTTACAGTTGTGGACAAATAAAAAGACAATACTGTATCGAGATAGAATACATCAGGGCCACTGGGGCTAAGCGGATATGCAATATTATGCCGTTGACCTGTTTCACATCTACCTAAAGATCTAGATTAAAGCTTCTCTGTAGTAACAGTGAAACCCCGGCTCAATTTTCAGCAGAGTTGTCACCGGACGCTAGCTAGAGGACCTAATTAGTATTGGACGACTCTGGAAAATTGAACATTAGGTATGGGCAGTGGCATTCTGGATATGCTGTTTCAATTGTCACTTTTTCTTTTTGACTTTGGCTAATATTCCCTAAAGGCGGACAGTTGTCCTTAATCAATAAAAGAAAGTTGCCACTAGCAGAGACACCTTGATCGTTCTTGTACATAGTACATATGTAGTGAAGAATCTAGATATGGAATTTGGAAGTCCAGTGGATACCGCAATATTAATTATATACCAGTCGGATATAGTATTAACTGTCAAAAACATGAGCACAAGCTTGGAGGGAATGAAATAATCCACCAGTGCTTTCTTCTTGGGAACCCAAACTATACATCCACATCTAATGCTATAGATACGTAAAGTTATGTCCTGTTTGCTATTATGAAATATATCCTTGGGGACAATACAGTTGAGCTTCATGTGCATTGTGCATATTTCTCCGACGATATCTCTGAACGACATATGCCATGGTCGTGTCGATCAAGTTGTGTGATATGTACCATAGACGTTGTTTTTTCTTTTTTTAAAGAGTAAGTACGGCATATGCATACATGTGTATATGTATAATACATACATACCTCTACATGCTACATACCACAGATATATTCTCGAACTCTGATATTTCTGTGGGTGGAGGAATATACAGCAGCTAGCCATTGGCTATACATTCATAAGCCTTGCTGTGAGGCTTCTCGCAGCTGATTTGTCCTCCCATCCCAATCGTGCCATAATCTAATTATTTTCTTGCAAATTACCTCACGTTCATGATTGAATGGTACATGACGCCTTTCTTAAGACAGGTATCTCTATGGACGAGGCTCTCTTTCCTGGCTCATTTCCCTGCCGCCTTCCTGAATGCAGTTTGACTCGTCATGCAAATGCTACCCAGTTTTATCTAGTACTAGATTTTTCTGGAGCTCAATGCTCAATTCTTACAGTTAACTGTTCAGGGGCTTGGGTATACTCCGAAACACTCGGTCCAAACCTCAAACTCTTGGAGGCGTCTTCACTACTTTAAATTTAACAGACAAAAGGGCTTCATTCCAGAAAAATGATCCCGTTATAGAGTGCAAGAGCCTCATAGCAGTACATGTACCTCGAACAGCATGCACACCCATTAAACCAAGTTATTGTTGGAATTTATAGCTAGGAGACAAAATATAATAGGTCAGCGTTACCCCTCCTTTCAAGTTCTCCATGCAAAGTTGTATCAGGTCAAATGAAGTCTACGACATTGAAAATCATGCCTTTGAGGGAACTTAAAATTGAAGATGGATAATTAACCCTAACTATTGACTACATATGTACGGATAATGTTTGCTGTGATAGGCGCTTTGGACCGAGTATCGAGATTTTGAGTGGTGGACCGAGGTATGTATGATTTGTGCATCATGAACACCGTACATATGTCAGCTACGCAGATCCCATTTCGAATACTGACCATAACTTACTCAGTCCTATACCCAATGTTCGTAAATGTGCTAGACGTCGACTTCACTCTATAAGGTTTTAACCATCCACAAATACCTGTATAATACCTGTATAATACCTTCAACTGCGGAATCTCGCCCCAAAATAATCTTTTAAGCCGTATCGGAATGTCCTGGGTCGTTGTGTGATAGGTCTATAACATCATACTACCCTCATTCCGTTGAAAGTTTTGAAACTCAGGTGCATGTAGCCTGTGGTTGCAAAAAAAAAAAGAAAAAAAAGAAAGAAAAAGATCTGCACAATAAGACACTGCATTGACGTGAGAAACCTGACAAAAACCTGAAGTGCAGATTAAATAATTTGACTGAACAGGCCTATGTAAAATAGAAACCAAATAGAGAATTTCAAAACAAAGTTGGAAATAATTTATACCATGGTAGTCATGTATCACTAGTCTATGTATTGTTCACTATTCCTCTAAGGTCCCTAGTTCTCTCTAAGGCTGTTCAAGATCATTTCTATTCACAGGAGTTCAACTCAGTGACTGTATAGTGGGTAAGCATTGTGAAATTCGAATTGGGAGTGAAGGACCAAATTCTTCAAGCAAATGCAGTAGGGTATATGAGAAGTAAACTTGATCACCTGCCCACTGAACAGCCGGGTGAAACGATAATGAACATGTCCCCATCCCTCTTTGTCTTCAAGGCTTCAGGACACACTTTCAGTGAGCAGAACTTCAAGTATCAGTATTGATGTATCTAAGATTGCCAATTTTTTTGTACTAACTTAGGGAGAATTATCAGGACTCACACAAGACCAGTCCAGGTACCTTGAAGTGTAAGGGATCAGAAATATTAATCTGTGTAACTTATAACTTATTATTCGTAACTTGCAACTGGTAACTTGTGGATTTATGACAGGATACAACACACCGCAGATAGAAGTGATTAGATGTATACATATACGTAGTACATGACTAGTAGCCAGAAAGGCCGGAACCGGTGCTGTTTGGAATAACTGTACGTCAATCTGTTACATTCAGAGATTCAAAAGATACAACTGAGTGGGCATGTACATATAAACTTGCAACAGCTTTACATGATGTACAAGTTAAAACTCCTGCAAATCTCTCAACCTTAAAACAAACTCCAAAAAACGAAAAAAGAAAAAGAAAAGAAAGAAAATCTTGTTTGCCGAAATTTTGCGGATCTTTCCACTTCAGGAAAGTCATAACATCTGGCGAAAAAATAAAAGGTTTGGTCTAACTTTTGTATGCAGTAGTTCCTACATGAAAAAGGTCTTGGGGAACATCTAAGCCAGTAGTGAAGTGCGGCAAATCAAATCATATAAAACTCTTGAGGCATCCCACTCTCTCCTGTCCCTCATTGGTTTTTACTACTTCAGCGTTTTTCATTGTCATCTCCTACTTGAGGTATTATCCTGTCTGTATAGATTAGGACAGGGGAGGTAAAAGTTCTAGAATTACAAAAGTCATGATTCAACAGATGTTACAGCCAGGACAAAATCAAAAGCACATCATGCTACCGGATCCTGTTGCCAGCTCATTGACGACGCCCATTCCTTCCAGATCCACCACACCAGCACAAAAGTTTTCTCTGCCTCCAATTAGAGAGCTCTTGAAGGATACACAAAGCAGATACAATAACGAACCGCAACCGTCACACCGTCAGTTGCACCCATATCCCCAACCGCAACCGCAACCGCAACCTCAGCCTTTTTTACACCCAATTCAACAGACTCAGGTCCAGTCTCAGTACATTACACATCCACCATTTCCACCAGTGGCTTCTCAATATTATCAGCAAACACCACAACATGCACCATCTCAGTATGCAGTCAACCCTTCATCTCCTCTGGTTGTTAGTGCGCCTGGTTCCCAAGTCCACTCTCCAATAGGATACGATGCTTCCATGGGACCCGCATCAAGGCCCCATATGAGTCAACAGCAGCATATCCAGCACCAACAACAAATCTCTGCCTTTGAGCAACATCGTTATCATCAAATAGAGTTCGATAACCGTGTACGGGTCCACGATGCTGAAATAATGAGCAAAAATATGGGATCACACACAGCTGTGAATGGTGGTCGTAAGAAACGCCAAAATTTACCACGACAAACAACGTTGATTCTATTAAGTTGGCTTTCTGACCATTTGGATCGTCCATATCCAAATTCTAGAGAGAAATACGATCTACTTATGAAGACACGTTTGACCATCCAGCAATTGGATAACTGGTTTATTAACGCAAGAAGAAGAAAGATAGCCATTCTACGAAAGTTAAAAGAGAACGATCAAAGTATAGCACTTTCATTATAAGGTCAATGACTGCTTTTTACGAGAAGTGCAAGATGATTCGAACCAAGTAGAGACTAGACTGGATTCTAGCTACTGAGATGGCGTCTGACATTCCCGTTGCATACATACATTCAAATGAACAGATAAAATAGAAACACTAAGCTTTCATCTGATTTGATGTACCAGTGTATTCTGGGAAATACCGTAGATGTGAAATCGCCAGCTCTGCGACAAGAATGGTGGAAGAACAACGACAGGTTTAAAGTGAAGCTTATACAGTTGGCTTGCTTTTTACAAATATGGGTTTATGGACCGTGGTTCTTTTCCATTAATTTGCGGAAGATTTATCTATGTGTCTGAGCTGTATATTACATAGAGTACATATATCACAGTTTGACAAGCTTACAGGATGTCGATGTAATTGTTTCGAGTTGCAACTGTAAACTAAGAATATTGGGTCATTAACGAACCTTGATAGACAAAACTACCCGTGCATTTTTACAGCATTTCCAACTTCTACGATATACCGCGCCATCTGCTGTGCTATTGTGTCTTGGGTTTTTATAGGACAGAAACAGGGAGTCAAGGAACTGCACACAACTATACTGTAGGTATCAGTTAGCCATCACATGTATTCATAGTAAGTGGACAAGCTGGCACACTAGCGTTCGCCAAAGAATACAAATGATGCACTATTGTGAGTTAAACCTTACTGGAAAAAGAGTTCAAATTCTAATTTTGAGTGTTTAGATCGTTGTATTGTGTGATATGTCAACTTAGAATCATACAAACTACCGGTAATCTCGTGTGTTTCATGTCCAGAATTTTAATAGACATCTTTACTTATAATGTGTAGGCAATTCATGTTAACTTGCGACAAGGATTTTCCAGCAACAGGTCCAAGGCTTTTTTTTTTGTCTGTGGCAAACTGCCATAGTCTCTGCCCGGGCAGGTATTCTAACGGCCGAAGACGCTTATCTCCCAGGTAGTCAACTTTCAAGGTTCAGCTTTACACTACAATCTGAGTTTGAAGCGCATGAAATGTCATAAGATAGAAGTTAGGTACAGCACACACAGCTCTGTAGCTTTACGAGAATTTATTCTACCGTTAAAAAATCGCAACTCAATGAGCGGCTAATAGTACCACCATATTTGTATGCCCAATGTTTCCCGATAAACAAAGTTTGACCGCAAACATAGCCCAGGTCATTGTCTGCAGTGTGCACAATACTGAAATGGGAACGTTGGTTTTTCAAGTTGCTAAGCCATTTTACTTCGAAATGCCACGAGTTTCCTTACTAGTACCAATGTCGTTGTAATTTAGGAATCTAGGTCTGTAGAGTATTAAAGCACTTGTGTCACATGAGGTGTATTAAAACACGCCCTTGCTCAAATGGCCAAAAAACAACTGAAACTGGATGCATCAAACAAAGTCCTAGTAATGACCCATTGAATAAGAGCCGTTTCTCCTTGGTCCAATTACATCAGGTTTCAGCTCATGTGAGATTATTATCAGGCTTATCGTTGACAACCTCCCGACTCTGGATCCAAGTTAGATAATTGGGGAAAATGTTTCACTGTGTATGACGTCTGTAGAACTGGTATTGGAACGTACGTATGTACGACCGTAGGGTGCATATGTATCAAAATCCTTTGAGATTTCATAAATGTTAGAAGATTGCATATTCCAAGCGGGATATAGATTTGATCCTATTTTTGTTTTTCAAGTCCTAACTGACCCCCACCTGACTCCTGTCTGTTCTCACATCTCTCTATAGTTAACAGAGATACTTTGACGTGCAGATCGGCGCAATGCGTCTGAAACGTTAAACAACGACCACATTTCTGAAAAAAAAAACGCCTCAATTGTTGACGCCTTTTTCAGGATTTACGTCAGCCTTTGAGGCTTTAGACCATGGGCCCATAAGCAGTGAAAAGCGAAGTTCAAACAGCCAACTACTGTTTCTGCTCTTAACTCCTTGGGAAGTACATACATATCAGTACATACATATATGAGGCATACGTAATTAATATCACCCTGGTGACCATAACTGAGTCATTGGACAGTCTCTGGATCAGAAACCACATATCTGTCACCCCATAGCTTCAAAGAATCCAGTATAGTGTATTGCCCGCGGGTGCGATGATAACGAGATATCAGGATTTGTAGGGCCGTAAGAAATTCATCTGAAATAAGACAATTCACACGATGTATGCTTCATTCATTTGACATCTACAATTTGGATTCGGAATAAGCATCAAACTTTTCTCTATTGAAGTAGTGTGCTTTTTTCAATCCCCGTATTAGACACATGTAGATTGATATTGTTGTGATTTTAGTTTGTAATTTGTCAATTTTGAAGACTGCTTCCTGGGCTGTGGCTACTCTGAAATCCGAATTCGAATTCTGAAGCATCGTCTGCGATAACATCGTAGGCTTATGCTGTGCGTCTAATGTGGGCATATCATTACCGGTAAGCAAAGCAGGGAACACTCCAATAAGTTTCCTGTCCACATGAACTCCCAGCAATTCATTGATACCAAGGGAAATCACTTGACCTCAACACCTATAAACATGTTCATTGGTAATGACCTAGTTTAACCGTTTCTATTCTTACTTGGTTATGAATGTTTTCGTCTGATATTCGCACGTTCTAATCGCTGAGTATTATTACATAATGAGGCAATTGATAGACACGCTGGAGAGCCCAGGATACTCTAATGATATAACTGCATGGAGTTGTTCACACATGTGCTAAGGTTTGTTCTGTTAAATTCATATCGATGAATACTGGTGAACTGAGGTCTGTTCTGTAAACTGGTTATCTGCCTCCTGAAATTATTCTTCGTAATTGCACACAGGTCACAGTAATTGACGATACAATGTTGGTACTTTTCTCTATTTGTTCTGTTTTTGCATGTGCCTCGTCGTAAAAGCAGTCAGTATCTATAAGTCACCTCCTACCAGATTTGAGACTATCTGCCTCACATTTCAATTATATTGAGTGATCTCAAAAAGTGCTATATATGGACATTGGAATTCAGGTATGTGTAGATAACTCGACGAAGCAAGTTGAAAGTATGTGAGGGTTGCAATAATAAAAAACTAATCCAACATACATATGTATGATGCATTTCCGTAGCATTTACCTATCTGAATCCCCAAATGGGCAATCTTTTAGCGGCTATACATCGCAACAGTTCTCTTGATAGATCTCAGCTTAAGCGCCCATAAATGACTTTTTTTTGATGCTGCGCTTTTCATGCACGCCCTGGGAATTAAACTACGATGATCTTTGTTGTATTGATTATGTTCATAAAAGGGAGGCTTCAACGGTGATGCGTGTTTCTGTCGGTGAGTTTCGAGTCACTTCTAGTATTGTGCTATTTTTTCTTGTAGACATCCTTATCGTAATATGTCCCACTATAGCAGCCATCAGAGTCCTGATCATCAAGGTGTCGTTTCCAGTTCCCAATTCCAGTTCCTGTAGCCCACAACCTCCCTTAGAGTTTGCAAAAACAAAATGAAACAAAGTGAAAAAAGTCTCGATTGTACAACTTGGTATAATCCCCCCTATATCTAGGTTACATATTGCATACGTCAGGCTGAACTTTAGCCTTTGTCACCAATTTCTGAATCGTACCACCGGCAATACGCACGTCTTTTGGACTCTGAAGTAATTTGAGCCGTCGCGTCACACAGGAGTAGGGTTGTACAAGGGACTAACTTTACCCTCCATGAAGTATGATGGTGCTGAAGTTTGATAAAATAATCTGAGACGCTCAGCCACTTGCATATTGTATCATATGACCCTAACCCTAAAAAATGAAGCATACATAATTCAGAGGTTGGGCGTACGAGGTCCATTAACTAAAACATCCACCTCACTAAAGCTTGATAGACTAATAGATGGTAGTTTTCCCTACTATCTTCTAGAATTATCTTTATATGTGACACGTGGTATGATACCCTCTTTTACTGATTAAATATAGAACTTTCCAGTTTCAACCAGTTTGTAATTCCAGACTCTTGTTTATTCGATAAAGTAACATGTGTCTTTTTCCTCCTTTTTTTGTCCTCCCACTGCCCCCTAACTTCAGAAACATTCTACTCGGCGGCAAACACTTTGTAGATCACGAACGTAATGTAAACATATGTAAGTACGAAGTTTGAACCTGTACATAACTATACTCTTAAGACTTGTAAAGAGTAGTATGTGGTATGTATGTGCAACAGATCACAAGCTTAAGCATGCAGTAACATAACATACGGATATCTCCAACCCTGCACTGCGCACGCTGCACTGTGACCGTTAAAAACTTCCTTGGATGTCAAGTCGAATTATGGATGCCTCTTTCATGACCTGTCCCGCTCAGCAAAGCAATATTTGAAATCTAGAATGGTTCATGATACAGTCCCGAAGTGACAGACATTCAACTCTCAGGTTTGCAGTCACCTAATGGAAGACTTCTCGCCATGATTCTTCGCAAATAAGGTAAACCACGGGAATTTTTCGCGTTGCGATCATCAAATAAACACTCCGAACTCCATTATCCAGTGCAAAAGGGACTATCCATCAAGGGTGATTCGGTCACGATGTATCGGTGATGGGAGGTAATAAGATGATGTTTTTTACGTAGTTCGTAAAGGTAGTAATGAGTTTGTATACAAAGCTCTTAAAACTAAAGGCTTGTACTTATATGTGCATGTATTATTTAACACTTTTCCGAAATCGCCTATATCATATATGTCGTTAATTTGTACATTTGCGACATGATTTGTGCATGCGTTCAGCAGAGCTCAGACTACTTGAAAGTTGAAGACAGGCTCCATGTAATGAAGTATACAACAACCATTTAGACTTTTCAGATCTTATTTATGTTTGTTGAAGTCATGACTGGATCAAAAAAGGTATTAAACTCGAAGACAGAATATGTGAAGCATTTTTACTTATCCTTTTTAATGAAGTAATCCATGTCGCCCATCAAGAACATTGAAACGTTCATGAAGATCTCACAATTGTCATAAAACATGTTCAAAACAGATGGCGTTGGGATCTTCAACCTCTTCGCTATATCTCGGGACATAACATCCAGCATTTCGTCGTACTCCCTCATTGTTAACTTCCTGCTGCTCTTCATCACGAGTTTCTTCTTTGCAAAGTTGATCCCACATTTAGATGTTTGGTACACTGGAAGAAACTTTGTCTTGGTCACTTTTATAATCCTTGTTAATTCAGCCCCGACAGTGATTATTCCAAAATTCACATTTGGGAACTGCTCGTTCAAGTCATCAACGATCTTTTGACGGATCTCTTTAGGTACAACACCATTTTCGTGCATACCTATATACTTCAGCATGCTACGAGACAACGCTGTAGTGTATTCAGCGCTCCATCGGATTTTCTTCTCAGTGGCCTTCTTTGAGGAGCCTTTTTTCCTTGTCTTTCGGAGATGTTGATCATAGCCATCAGCTTTGACACTCTTTTCATCCCCAGTCTTGTCAGTATCACTATTGGAGTATTTTGAGGTCAAATCTCCTCCTGGCTCACCATTGAAGCTGCCATCTGCAAAGTCACTCTGTGATTTAGACCCAGTCGACAACGCATCAATTTTAGTTTGCTGTGATTGCACTCCAGTCTGCGCCTGTGATTGCACTCCAGGCTGCGCCTGTGCTTGAACTTGGGGCTGATATTGAAACGTCGATATATCAGGAACGCTAATTCCATCGCTCACCACTTTTAGCCTCTGCTCCAACATATTTCTATGATACTGTGCCATCAAGATTTCATGATCAACCATCATCATCTGATGATGGATCTGCCGAACGTTGTTATCCATCATCACTCGCTGCTGGTGTAAAGTACGCACCTTATCCTCGATCATAATCTTCTGTTCTTGTATTTGTCTCGCTAACAATTCCTTCAACGTTGTCTCTCTAGTGATTCCGTGTTCATTAGGCCGTTGTGTAGAGTCTCCCACAGAAACAACGCTAGGCTTCCGCGTTGCTAATTCCAAAAATATCTCAGCAATATCATCTGTACTTTCAGTGTCTTTGTCTCTGCTGTTAGCATTATTGTAGTTGTTGGTTCGTGATTGATCTGTTGTTGTGACTGTTGTTGTTGCTACAGATGCTGGCAGTGGTGGTGGCCTTAAGGTTGTTGACGGTAATGAACACGCCTGAGATTCTGTTACGCGTCCATTCGATGGTGGAGTTGTATACTGTGTCCACTTCGTAGGAAACACTCCCATTAATGGATTCTGCATTTTGGAATAATTTGTTTGTTCCCTGTTCTTTTGGATGGTTACGTTCAAAAGGAGTTGAATTCCACATGTAAGTTCAATGTTTTTTTTCCCAATTGTCCGCATGGGAAATGGATCAATGTCTCAACTAGCGTTCGAGAAAAGAGATTGATCATTTTGACTGAAAGCTAAAGCAATTGAGATTTCTCGCATAGATTCATAGAATGGAGAGTCAACATAATGTAGCTGGGTATATGTGAAAATTTTTCCCTTCTGGGTTGATTTCTGTGTCCAAAGACATAGTTGAAGCTAATTCCAGCCTCAGTTTCCTGCAACACCCTTTACACCAATTTGTTTTTTTACTACAGAAGACGGATAATAACCTTCATCGGTGAAATAACCAGTTAAGTTGTAGTTGTTGTTATTAATGTTACTAAAATGTCTATGACTTTACAAAGCTACTCTTTCTCTGGTCGAAATAAGGTATATTCTAAAGGCTTTCAACTGATGATGATGAACCTTTGTTCCAAGCTTACTTGAGTCCCTTTTAGCTAGAATCAACGAGCAGTAAGAAGGTCTCAATCAATACTCAGATCTTGTTTCAATTTCATATTGTTAAATTTGTTATCATTGTTCATTCATTCAATATAGTCACGAAAAGGGGTCTCATCAACTGAACTCGGTGAATGTTTGAATGGATATTGTCAAGCTCAGATTCAACACATGACGTATTGAAAACAGTATTTTTTTACCTCAAGTTTATATTGTTTCATTAGATGATTGGCCTCCTATATAATCAAAGCATAACTTCTTGACACGGTTTTAAGCAGTTCAGCTTCGAATGGGTGTAAATTGTTGTTTTTGAGATACATTTTTAAAGGCGTATATTCTGAGCACTCTTAATAACGTTGGTGGGAATGACCGATAAAAATCACTCCATTGAGAGAACTTAAGGCCAAACTCTTCGATTTATAGAAGATTAGAATATATTGCTATTCTACATCTTGTCTCACAGCTCGTATAATACGGTCTTCTACTGAAGCCAAATATCACTAAAGGTTTTTTCCTATGACATAACACTGAAAATCAAACCTATAAAAACTTCTAGATTGTGGTATCTAGTGGATGTACAGAATCCAAAACTTTCACTTCACAGCTGTCAGCTTATATAAGAAACTGTAATATGATAGCCAAATTTATAACACGAGTCAGAAATGTGAATACTCTAGGACTTCTAAACATTTTAAGCAGGAAATAGTGATGATTTGTAGCTATTGTTGATTGCGTAATCACATAATCTTATCAACTCTTGATATATTCCACATAATAGCAGAGGTATCAAAACCCCTAATAAGAGCTCAGAAAATGGATCTTAGCGTACGCATTATTGAGTAAGTAGTGTTAAATGATTGTAACTTTTGTTTAGCGACACTAATAAATAGCAATCTTCACTACAATCACAGTTTCGGTGTTTTTGTAGTAATGGTTACTTGGTATATCTTTAAAATATCACATTGACGGTGTCTAAATACTATGGGTCATGAACCAACATTTTTTTAGGATATGCCTCAACTAGTCCATTATATAAAGACGCTTATTATAACACCTGTGTGCGGGGCTCTGTCCTCGAATCTTCAGGTTAATTAAGTCCTCTATGTGCATACTGTTATAATGCAGCAGTCTAACTCAAAATGACAGCGCACTACATGGATTATCTATTGTTGATCTAGTCTTGTACTCAAGCGTCTGAAACTAAATACTCTTAACATTGAAGATTTTTGTTGTTGAATAAAATACCGATAATGATTTGAAATAGGTCAATTTGGGCTTCGGGATTCTTTGTATAATTTTCTGGAATTAATTGTTTCTTCATTCTGCAATAGAAAATTCGGCAACCAGGACACAACAAAATGATAGTTTAATTTTTAAGCAATTATACTAAGAAGGAACTACATGCAATGGAAATTATTCCTATTATCACCACGCAAGATCTGATGTTTCATGTCACATATTTTTCAATGTGTCATAATCTATATGTCCAATAACTCCTGTTTATAGGTTACCAGACAGGAGTCTGCTCTTGTCGAACTGCGTCTGGATCCACCAAGATTCTCGGCAATGGTACTCTGTGTTATCTACAACATTGTATTTACAGAAACTACAATCTACTTAATACCCATTACGTATATGAGATATTACTTGTGATACATATCAAGGATCAATCCAGCCATTTCTAACCATAAATGGGATTCGGATATCTGATGTGAAATATACACCCGTACAACCAAAAAAAAACCCTAACATCCGCATTTGGAGCCACCTCTCCGGCGCGCGGCATGGCTCTGCGTGATAAGGAAAGAAAAAGTGACAGGTGTGGCACCGCTCCAAGGTCAAATAGAGAAGCACCCACACATTTACTTGGAATTGTGGCTTTTCACTTTTACAAATGTTTGGGGCATGTTTTGTGAGAGAACTAGGAAAGTTGTAGTTGTGTAAGATTATATGTATCAATGACTATAAGCTCGATTGATATCTGCTGAGTTGACAGGTTAGCTTCATATTCTGTGACATTCGCATTTTACACCAACTGTTGATGTAGATCTTTTTTTCAGTTTTAGCGTTGCTTCACATTGCTAGGAGGTTGGACGAAAACAAACAAACAAATAACTTGCCAATTCTCCACAATTGTTAAGCGTATTTGACAGGGAAGGTAATAGCACAGTTCTAATGGGCGAAGATATTTTGTCTTGCCCGTCAAAGTCCAAAAAAAGAAAGTCGGCGCTTCAGTGCACCGTTTTAACCATCACACCGAACACAAAGGTCCCGATTGAAAAACACACTTCAGTCGGAAGGGGAGAGACAAGCAGAGAGGTGAGAAAAACAAACAGAGAGAACAAAATATAACCTCGTTTTGTTCGAACGCTCTCTTGTACCATTTACTTTACTTTTTTGTTTCATACTGAATGAGCTGGTTTGTTGGAAGTGATTGAAGTACTAAAGCAAATGCAATCGCATACTGAATCTCAGACGAGACCGTTCCACAAGTTGGTGTTCAAGCCACATACTCAAAAGAGAACCATCAACAAGCAACTACTGGCAGAACTCGATGCTCAACCTCCTCAGAAGACTATAGCTTGTCAAAGATGTCGGAAACTTCGTAAAAAGTGTTCAAAACACTTACCATCCTGCTTCACCTGTGTCAAAATGGGCGAGAAGTGTGAATACAGTGACAGCAAAGCTGTGGATACTTCAAACATTCAACAGCCACAGCAGCAAAGTGCACAGCCACAGAATTATCACTTTCAAATACGGCCGCCACAACAATCGGTGCCTCAGCTCCTGCCCTCTTTGAAAGATCAATTGAATAATACCCACAGTTCCAAGGATGTGAATCCGTCATCGGCAGTGTGTGTTAATGACAACAACAAACTACCGCCAATACGACTACCACCTATTAACCATGCTCAATTACAGCACGTTCAGTTGATATCTCAACAGCAGCAAAAACAACAGGAGCAATCGAAATTGAAGAAGAGCCAAAGGACAGTTGACATTCAAAATGCCTTGTTATCTACCTTGATCAACTTGGGAAAGGAAAACCTGTTACCAACAGAACTAGACTCAGAACCTTTGATGATACCACGAGAAGATGCCTTGAAGTACACTGCAAATTTCTTCGAACATTTCTATACATTAGTACCGTTTTTGCACAAACAGCAGATATTGAAAAGCTTCCAATCAGCCAATCTGTTCAACATTTTGAACCCTCCACAAAATTCTACACCATTAGAAATGAGAAAATCCTTCCAATTGTACTTGATTTTGACCATTGGGTTCAAGAACATGTCCAATAGTAACCTTTTATCTAAAGGGGAGATTGAGTCTCACTCTCGTATCTTTTCAATAAGACCACTAACAGAGTGGATAATCAGGTGTATGTCATTCCGAACGCACGAAGATATTGAGTGCATGGTGCTTTTGGTTATCGATTCTTACTTCACCAAAAACTGCTTATCAACGTCGAACATCACTAATTTATTGACCGGGCTAATTCTCAGATACCATTACCATAGAAAGTTATCAAACAGGGAATCGAAGAACTATTCAGAGCTAGCAAAGGAACAGAGGTACAGATTGTTCTGGTCTACGTACATCATTGATAGAACAGTTGCAAACTATTTGAACAAACCTGTTACTTTGTCGGATGAATTAATATCTACGCCATTACCTTCACAGTTATCATTGGAAGACTTCAAAGACGAACAAGGATTAACTGAGACCTTGAGACTGATCATCAAACTGAAACAACTGGAGGGTGATATCTTCAATGAGGTGCACTCCGTTGCGGTATTGAAAAAGAGGGACCTGAGTATTGCTGAAAAACAAGACCAAGTGTTAACACCTCTCCGGAACAGATTGGATGAGTGGCTGTTTAATACAACAGGTCCACAGGAACTCTTGAAATCAAGGTTGTATTTTTCAACAATGTATTACAACAGTTTAACCTTGGTTTACCGTCCTTCATATCTAATTCCACATCCAGAGGGTGATTCCATGGTTAAGTTATCCAAGTCTGTGTTGCAAAATCTGACATACACCTATAACCTTACTCTTTCCAAGAGTTTGTTCAGTGTGAACTGGCTTACATTTTTTAGGATCTTGGTGATTTTCAAGACATTATTGAGATGCCTACAGCACGAATATATTGTTCTAGAGGAGAGCAAAACCGAGATTAATCTGTGTGTGGAGATTTTGAAGAATTTCGAAAATGAAAATAACGCTGATTGGTCTTTTATTAAGGAGATCACACTCATTTTTCAAAGATTGTTGAAGTTGTCATTCCAAGCAAGTTCTCGAGAGGAAGTATCTCATGAGATCTCCTATGGCTCTTCGAGACTTGAGGACATCTTGAAGGACAATAGCGTTGGCTGTCGTCTAGATGACCGTATTGAAGAAGAATACGATGTATAACTCTGTGTATCTATATAGCTCTATAACACTATTTTGTAATATTTTTACTACTCAGTTCTGTTTACTGCCTGGATTACAATTCAAACATGCAACGCCTGAGAACACGCAGCTCGAAGAAAGGTTTTTTTCTCTTTTTTTCCCTTTTTTTTTCTCTCTCTTACTCTTCATTTTCCAGTAAACTGTAGCAACGATTTCCAGAGGGCAAAAGCAATGACCGAACAACCAAAGATTACACTTCACTGGTAAGTTTACAGTGAATGTCACGGGTATTAACTCAGAAACCGCTTAATTATGTATATGTACTAAGACAATTAGGCTGGACCATTCAAGATCACAACGTATTGTGTGGCTCTTAGAGGAATTGAACTTGGAATACACCATCAAGCCATATATTCGTACCGGTGGTCCAAGAGCGCCACCAGAGTTGAAAGCTGTTCATCCATTGGGTAAGGCGCCAGTACTTGTCGTTGAATATGCAGATGGTAAAGAGAAAGTCATTGCAGAGAGCGGCCACATTATTGCCTTTCTCATAAGAAACTTTGATAAGGAATCCCTTTTAACCCCAGATAACACAGATGCGTTCGACGAAGTTGAGTATTACTTACATATGTGTGAAGGTACACTTCAACCTGTGTTGACCTTCCTTTTGGTTCTCAACACCGCGGCTTCAAGAGCACCTTGGTTCGTTAAGCCAGTTATCAGTTCGTTTGTCACCAAGGTGTTTGAGCTGTACAACTATAAGGAGATCATCCTCTGCCTTGACTTCCTCGAGACTAAGCTCGGTGAGAACGCTGCCAAACTCACCGCATCGTCTCAGAACTTGTTCTTTGTGAACAACAAGTTATCTGGCGCTGATATCATTTTTGCCCTGCCGGTGGGTGAGATTTGCATCATTGGTGACAAGCTTAGTCATCTCGTTGATAAATCCAAGTACCCCCACTTGGTAAGATGGGCTCACGAGATTAGGGAGAGACCAGCATACCTCAGGGCAATGGAGAAAACCGGCCAGTATGAGAAGCCAAAGGAGCAAGAACAAGAGTGATGTGTACTCCGCAATCACAACTCAAATGATGAACTGTTTTGTAGTGTAATGTAGTGGGGATTAACCACGGCTAATTTGCTTTTCCTAAACTTCCAAGAGTTGTAGAGATATATACAGGCTCCAACTTTTACGCTGCCATTACAGCAATTGTTCAGAGCGGGAACATGGATCTTTCTTCTCCACATTGCTCCGCAGTTTTGTTTTTCTTACCAGCGTTGTACGCTAAAAGTAGTGAGCTTTTACGTCAACTCTCAACGGAACAGGGTTCTTCCATCAGTCACCCGCAGTGGTCCCGCACAGATTCCATCAACGGGGACAACACACCAATTGTAGCAGGAGAATAAGCGCCATGCCTCTTGATTGAGACGGTGTCAATTAGTCTATAAAAGGACAGAGGAGTATTCTTGGAGGGTAAAGCTATTCCTTCATTTCTTGAATAGCAACCAAACCATGACCGAACCGAAGCTTACACTCCACTGGCTAAACCAATCAAGGGCACAACGTGTTGTCTGGCTTCTCGAGGAATTGGGCCTTGATTACGAGATCAAACCTTACAAACGTGATGCAGAAATCCGTGCTCCAAAGGAATTGGCAGATGTTCATTCTCTGGGTAAATCTCCGGTGTTGGAGATTGAATACCCTGATGGTGCTAGGAAGACAGTTGCAGAGAGCGGACATATTGTTTCGTTCTTGATGAGAAACTTTGACAAAAACAACGTCTTCAAGCCAACCAGTGAACAAGAGTTTGACGACGTTGAGTACTATTCTCTAATGTCAGAGGGAACCTTACAACCGGCCCTAAGTTTCATAGTTGTTCTGCGTAGAGGTGGTGAGAAGGCACCTTGGGCCATGAAATCTGTGATCAGAACTTACAACGACAAAGTCATGGAGGCTTTTAACTTCCCAGAGACTTTGAAATGTTTCGATTTGCTCGAGAAGAGACTTGTTGAGAAGTCTAAAGTTTCCACAGAGCTTTACATCGCTGGAGAAAGGCTCTCTTCGGCTGATATTTTGCTGAGTTTCCCAGTTGTTGAGCAAGTTGTCTTTGGCGACAAACTAGGAAGTGCATTCAACAAGGAAGAGTACCCTCAACTGGTTACATGGGCCAAGCAGATTAGAGCCAGACCAGCTTATATCAGGGCCCAGGAGAAGACCAAGAAGTTTGGCTGATGCAAGGATGCCTTTAATTCGTCAAGTACAAGTACCATCACCTATAAATGTTTGTGTAGAATCATCACTGTTTAGTGGATCCACCAGCGGATATTAAGGCGATGTCTTAACCAGCGTAATTCGCTAGAAGTCAATACCAATTACCATGGAAACAAGATATTAATTCCTTCTCTGTATCTTCAGCGGTTGCCAATCTGCAGAACATACTGAGATTTTAACGTGTACCTACCGCGTCATGAGTTTGTCGTTCGCGAAGATGCCAGCGAAAAAACACACGCACACCCACACCGAAAGCAAAAGGGCAAAAAAGCTGTCGACGAAAGCAGCAACGAGAAAAAAAACACACACACATGGATCGAAAACGCTCTCTTTTAATCTTTTTGTTTACTTTTGAGATCAGTTTTGAAAGTGGAATCGCATCACTGGCAAGCGCTTATAAACTCTGAGAACAGAATTTATAAACAAGACGCTTAGAAGTACGTCAGATCTGTGCTACTGGTTTTATCAAGGTTATTGACTCAGATATCCTTTTCTGAAGAGGAAATTTAAGGAGAGAGCAAGAGAAACCGAACGAGCGCTGTGAACTACCTGTCGATACGGCGGCTAACATGATGTCAAATGTACAAGGAAGTGCGCCAAACACGCCATCTCAGAATCCTGTGGTCAAGCAGACAATGCTAGAAGTGCCACAGATCAAGAGCAAGGATGAGATTGATGTCTTGATGAATCGCTTACGCTATTTGAAAGAGTCACAAAGTGGCGAGGCGGAACAACAGGCTATCGTCAAGGCACTCAAAGACGTCAGTACACGCCAACAGGATTTTAGAGCTCGGAGGGATAAATTGAACAAAGCTTTAGTTGGTGCAAATAGAGGTTACGACGCTGAACTGTTGAGAGATCAGCTTGTGGCGTTTCAACTGTTGTCCAGAAACTTGGACGTTCCAGAGAACTTGCAACGTAACTTGGGATTTGACTCACACCTCAGATCCAACGATAACGTTGAACAGCAGGAGGAGCCTATCACACCGTTGAAAACATCGTTGGACTTCACGAAGCGACTAACGAATTTGGGTATCAAGGATAAATTTTCCAACGATATTCCTAACCCCTCAGAGGCAATTGTCAACACACACACTGCTGAGGCAGTTATCACCCATAAGATAGATGCTAGAGTCAAGGAATTGGAAAATTTGCCCTCCAATTTGGGTGCTATCAAAGTGGATGACGCTGCTTTAGATGCTGTGGATGATTTATCCAGACATGCGGATGATTTGAAGTTGTCGGCTCTTGTGGAGCTCAAATCTTTGAGGTTATTGCCAAAGCAAAAACTATTGAGACAGAATTTATTGTTCAATATTGGTGCAAAGGAACACACCTCAGTGGATTACCTGAGAGAACACCCCGTGACGGAGTCTGCCCAGAGATCCCTACAGGTGAGACCAAAGATCGTCATCAAGCAAACTGCCACCCTTGTTGAGGAGCTGGAGAGACAACAAAAGTTGGAAAAACAAAAGCTGGAACGTGCCCTACACATCCAGAAGATCACTAAATTGGTCGAGTTTGCCAATGAATCATTACAAGAGAGACATGATCGTATTACTAAGAGATTCCAATTGGCCAAAGCAATCACCCAAATGCATACTCAAATCGAAAGAGATGAGGGCAAAAAATTGGAAAAGACCGCCAGACAACGTTTGCAAGCCTTGAAAGCCAATGATGAGGAAGCATACTTGAGACTGTTGGATCAGACGAAGGATACAAGAATCACTCACTTGTTGAAACAGACAAATTCCTTTTTGGATTCGTTGGCCCGTGCGGTTGAAACTCAACAAACCGAGGCAAAACTTGCAAACGGTGAAACAGTAGAAATCTCTGATGAAGACAGAGAAAAAATTGACTACTACGAAGTTGCTCACAAGATCAAAGAAGAAGTTACAGAACAACCTTCTATATTGATTGGTGGTCAGTTGAAAGAGTATCAACTCAAAGGTTTACAATGGATGGTCTCTTTATATAACAACCATTTGAATGGTATATTGGCAGATGAAATGGGTTTGGGTAAAACCATTCAGACATTGTCATTGATCACATACCTGGTGGAGAAGAAGAAATTGAATGGTCCTTTCTTGGTCATTGTGCCCTTATCTACTATCACAAACTGGACTTTGGAATTCGAGAAATGGGCTCCTTCTTTAAAGACCATTGTTTACAAGGGTACTCCGAACCAGCGTAAAAATTTGGCCATTGATGTGAGATCAGGAAATTTTAATGTCTTGTTAACCACATTCGAGTACATCATCAAGGATCGTCCTATTTTGTGCAAGTTGAAATGGGTACACATGATCATTGATGAGGGTCACCGTATGAAGAATTCGCAGTCCAAATTATCTTCTACCCTGACACAGTACTATCATACAAAGAATCGTTTAATTTTAACCGGTACACCATTGCAGAACAACCTACCAGAGTTGTGGGCGTTGCTAAATTTTGTTTTACCAAAGGTGTTCAATTCACAAAAAACATTTGATGAATGGTTCAATACACCATTCGAGAATACTGGTGGCCAGGAGAAAATTGAACTTTCAGAAGAAGAAACCTTGTTGGTTATCAGAAGATTGCACAAGGTCTTGAGACCATTCTTGCTTCGTCGTCTGAAGAAAGAGGTCGAGAAAGACCTCCCAGACAAGGTTGAAAAGGTTGTTAGATGTAAACTTTCTGGATTGCAGTATGTTTTGTACCAACAGATGTTGAAGCACAACGCATTATTTGTCGGTGCTGGTGCACAAGGAGCAACAAAATCTGGTATCAAGGGATTGAACAACAAAATCATGCAGTTGAGAAAAATCTGTAACCATCCTTATGTCTTTGAAGAGGTTGAGAATGTGATAAACCCTAGCGGTGTCACCAATGATATGATGTGGAGATGCAGTGGTAAATTTGAGATTCTGGATAGGGTTTTACCCAAATTCAAGAAGACTGGCCACAAGGTTTTGATGTTCTTTCAAATGACTCAAGTTATGGACATCATGGAAGACTACCTGAGATTTAGAGATCTGAAATATTTGAGATTGGATGGCTCAACCAAAGCTGATGATCGTACAGGAATGTTGGGCCAATTCAACGACCCACAATCAGACTATTTTTGTTTCTTGTTGTCCACTAGGGCTGGTGGTTTGGGATTGAACTTACAATCAGCAGACACTGTGATAATCTTTGATTCCGATTGGAATCCCCACCAAGATTTACAGGCTCAGGATAGGGCACATAGAATTGGTCAAAAGAATGAAGTTAGAATCTTGAGATTGGTGACATCTGATACCGTGGAAGAGGTTATCTTGGAGAGAGCATCTCAGAAGCTTGAAATTGATGGTAAGGTTATCCAAGCAGGTAAGTTTGACAACAAGTCCACAGCAGAAGAACAGGAGGCCTACTTGAAACAATTATTAGAGAACGAAGGGCGCAAAAACACTGATGAAATTGGTGAGCTGGATGACGATGAACTTAACGAAATTCTTGCAAGAAGTGACAATGAAAAGGAGATATTCACTCAAATGGATCTCGACAGAATCACAAGGGAAAAGATTCAAAGCAGAAAGCCAGGTGGTTATAAGGAGAGATTGTTGACGGAGAACGAGCTTCCAGAAATCTTCACAGAAGACATTGAACAGCACCTCGTCCAAGAGACCAAAGAACTCGGACGTACCAGAGAGAAGAAACGTGTGTATTATGATGATGGACTCACAGAAGAGCAATGGCTCATGGCTGTCGATAATGATGATGATACCATCGAAGATGCCATTGCACGTAAGAGAGCACGGAAAGAAAGAAGAAAGGGAAGCTCCAAGGGGTCGAAAACTCCAAATGGCAAAGAGCGTACACCTGCATCTCCTGACGCAGAAGATGACGAAGAAGAAAGTGCAGCATCGACGCCTGAACCTGATCATGACCAAGATGAGGAAGAGGAAGTTGTTGTCCAACGTTCTGCTCCTAAGAGGCAAAAAGTTGAGATTGCAGACTGGAAGAAAGCATCCTATGAATTACTGGATGACTTACAGACGAAGACAGATGAGAGTGATGGTCATTTACTGAGCGAATACTTCATCAAGTTGCCATCACGAAAGATCTATGCAGACTACTACAAGCTGATCCAAAAGCCAATAGCTATCAATGGTATTCGTATGCAAATCAAAACCGGTAAGATATCGTCATTCGACCGTTTTAAAGATGCTGTTATGCTGATCTACACCAATGCCAAGTTCTACAACGAAGAAGGCTCTAGTGTATACTTGGACGCTGTTAAATTGGAGGAGTATTCTCAAGAAAGGTTCAAAGAAATTGAGAAGTCTCTATGATGTATTATATATATATATGTTTGTTCTAACAAGAAAATCGCTTCTTTGGTATTCCCAATGTAGAAAAATAACGAGAGATTTCAAGTCGAACTTGCATTGTTGCTCTTAACAGTCAACGTTCTTTGCTTTATTGAATGGTGCGTTTTCACCTTATCTGAAGTGATCTTTAGCATCCCAGATAAACCAGAAAGTACACCTGCTATGTCCATATTGGAAGGAGAGGACTGCGGACTTACCAGTTTGACTTACAGATCAAGTTCACCCTTCTCTCCGTCGTCACAGGACGATGAACATGCTATCCCCTCAAGAATCTCACAAGCGGAGAAGTTTACGAGGTTTAAGAAGTACTTGGAGTACAGAAACATTGCACCTGCTGCGATGCGATATGATGACAGCGATAGTACAGATCCAGATCTGTTCTATGATCTGCAGGTGTTGTCGAAGAAGAGAGATACACGATACGTACAGAGACCGTTTGCGTTTAGTGCGAAGGAAGACGTTACCGTAAGTGAAGGTGCCCTTAATTCTTACCAAGCCTATGATGTACATCGAGAGCAGTACCTTGAACCCTACGAAGCAGAAGGTGGTCTGGCATCACGGTATGATGATTCGATGGAACTGCGCTCTATAAAGGTGATTCAAATACCCACAATGGGTAACTTCGTTGAATGCAAGGGTAACTTGGTTGAATGTTACGGTAATTGGTTACTGATAGGTTCTGGTTCCCATCTAACGCTATTGAAGAATGAAAACATCATCAAAGTTCATGATTTGAGACCTCGCATGACCACCGTTACCCATATTCAAAATGCGACATGGCAGGTAAATCCACATACTTTGAATCTGGTCAAAGTTGTTAAGCTTATGGGAGAGGATATGCTCATATGTTGTTTAGACGATGGCCGAGTTTTACTCTACGAGCTAAAAGCACTGAACTTGTATTCAGAGTTATCACAACCGTTGTTTGAGATAGCAATGGAGTCTTCAGTTTGGGGAGCTGATGCGCAGGACAATGTTCTTGTGATGTCGGATAATAGCCATAAGGTAACGCTTGTTTATTTCTGCAAAACTGAGAGGAAAGTTATATGTGCTGGACAGTCTACTGAATTCAGCTCTAATATTCCAGATGTCTCTATCATCAAATCTGAAATAGATAGCGTGACTGTTTCGCTTGTTAATATTGATGGAGAGTTCCTCGTCATCAATTTCGACCTAAATACTGAATTAATCGAAAGTGAGATCTTGGAGGGTGACTTGGCCAATCCAATCACTTTACACCAGCTGCTGGGTAGAGCAGAGGACTCTATACTATGTACAGTACGGTTTCGTACCAAAGTTGACGAACAAGGTTGGACCGTTAACACCGTCGATGCGGACTGTTTCCTAGAGGTGAACAATCCGGGGTATTTAGGAGCTTATGACATTGACACTGTTGAAGTGATGAAGTGCTCGGAGATCCTAGGGTTAAGTGAGAACTATATGGTTTCCTCCAATCTTGGTGGGGCTTCAAACTTTGTATGTCTTGACACCATTGCACAATTCGCTGAGAAGCCAGATTCTCGTTCGAGGAGTACTCTCAACTCTGTGACCGATAAGGTGAGCCGTATCAAGAAGGCGTACTACGACATGGAGCTGGGTCCTCACACAACTGAGAGTGGAGGACTTAATAGCCTAGACGGCAAATTCCTCCTCCTCACTACAGAGACAAAATGTGCACTGTTCCGAGCAGACAGACTCATTTGCAATGCCACTACACAGGAGGTGTTCGATTTAGTTACAGATGAATATGCAGAGTACGCCAACAGAATCTCCATTGTCCGGGTGATTCCAAAGATCAATGCGTACATCGCTGTTTCACAAGCTGGAATCGTATCCATTGGCAGATTTGTCAAGCACCGCGGGATCCATTCCATCAGAGAGGAGCATGCCTGGAGATGTCCTAAGGGGCCCAACACCAGAGACGATGAAGCACGGACCGTTGCTGGGGTTGCGCTTCGGGAAATTGGGCAATCAGTCTACCAAATTTACCTGGTTTTCTCTGACGGGGAAGCACATCTCTTCGACTTGAGAACGGCAGACTGTGACGACACCAACCTGTCGAATTTCTTAATATGACTCTACACCCGTATATACAGAGCTCTTTAGACCAATAAACGAAACCCGGATAGTAAATTGCGATGTTACACACAACTCTAATCACGCAGAAATCATACGTTTACAGCAAAGGCCCCGTCCACGCCAATGAAACAGCGTCACCTGTCTTTTCTGTTTCTGGGTTTGTCCCTCATCCCCAGACCCCCCCTCCGCCCATGGGTGGTTTTGTTTCCCCGGTTGGAAGACATCCGTACACCTACCAACGGGGCTTCAGATCGGATCCTGTGGTGTTTTTCCTTCTTTCCCAATTTGTTGGTTTGCGTAGCCCTTTCTCTCTGTCCCTTGACAGGAGATCGTCGAAAAGAGATGGAAGCACCGTAGCAAAAGGTGCTCCGGCCAATTGCCGAAGCACAAAAAAAACCAACAAGCAAAAGCTAAAAGCCCACGAAAAACCTTGAAAGCCGAACTCGGAGCCAAATTTCCATCGGCCCCGCGAACTCCCTAGGCAACGAGAAAGCGCGTACATGGCATCTCCCAAGAGCCAATCACAGATGAGTAAACTACGCTTACTTTTGACGTAAAACTCACGATTTGAGGTTATCCTATGGGAAAAGTTGGCACTGAAAAAACCTCAGTAGACTATATCAGCCACGAGCAACAAGAAGATGTCATCCAATTCCAAAGATCGCTCCTTTAACCCTGCCATATCTAACAAATTCTGCTGATTCCCCGGTTTAACTCTTCCATACCTCATCGCCATTTTTGGTCCTTTCACGCACTGACGTTCGCTTTTTTCGCAGAAAGAATGACCTGCACGTGTTGCGCGTAACGGAAGTATAGCGTTTTGGTAAAAGTTGGACGTTTGTTTATATATGAAGGCCCAGGAATCCCTTTCCTTCGTCACTTTCTCTCTCTTTTCCCCCTTTCCTTCTTCAACAACAATTTCGATTACGTTCATTCCAAAATGTTGGCTGCTCGTAACTACTTGAAAGTGAGTGAATAGAGCAACACGTGTGGTGTGTACTGGGCGGAACACACACAGGCCCAGGGTTTGCGAGAGATGACTAGCCGCCTTGGTTCAAACTATGGGGTTATCGCTCTCTTTTTGCAGATCTGTGTTTTGTCGGAGCATTTTCCACATCGTGCTCAATTCAGCGGGATTGGTTACTAACTATTACTTCTTAGAACCCAAGAGTCGCTCGTGGCTTTGCTACGGTCTCTGAGCTCACCAAGGACTCCAAGGTGGGCATGAACTTGCTTGAGGACCACTCCTTCATCAACTACAAGAAGCACCTTGAAAACGTTAACATTGTCAGAGAACGTTTGGGAAGACCTCTTACCTATGCCGAGAAGGTCCTTTACGGTCACTTGGATGATCCACACCACCAAGAGATCGAGCGTGGTGTCTCCTACTTGAAGCTCAGACCAGATAGAGTTGCTTGTCAAGATGCTACCGCTCAAATGGCTATCTTGCAATTCATGTCTGCTGGTATGCCATCTGTTGCTACACCAACCACTGTCCACTGTGACCATTTGATTCAAGCTCAAGTTGGTGGTGCAAAGGATTTGGCCCGTGCCATTGACTTGAACAAGGAGGTTTACGACTTCTTGGCCACTGCCACTGCTAAGTACAACATTGGTTTCTGGAAGCCAGGTTCCGGTATCATTCACCAAATTGTCTTGGAGAACTACGCTTTCCCAGGTGCTTTGATCATTGGTACTGATTCCCACACTCCAAACGCTGGTGGTTTGGGTCAATTGGCTATTGGTGTCGGTGGTGCTGATGCCGTTGATGTCATGGCTGACTTGCCATGGGAGTTGAAGGCTCCAAAGATTATGGGTGTTAAGTTGACTGGTAAGATGAACGGTTGGACTTCTCCAAAGGATATTATCTTGAAGTTGGCTGGTATCACTACTGTTAAGGGTGGTACTGGTAAGATTGTCGAGTACTTCGGTGACGGTGTTGACACTTTCTCTTGTACTGGTATGGGTACTATCTGTAATATGGGTGCTGAAATCGGTGCTACCACATCTGTTTTCCCATTCAACAAGTCTATGGTTGACTACTTGAACGCAACTGGCCGTAACAAGATTGCTGAGTTTGCTACTTTGTACAAGAATGACTTCTTGTCCGCTGATGCTGGTTGTGAGTACGATGAGGTTATCGAGATTGACTTGAACACCTTGGAGCCATACATCAATGGTCCATTCACTCCAGATTTGGCTACCCCAGTCTCCAAGATGAAGGAAGTTGCTATTGAGAACGACTGGCCATTGGAGGTTAAGGTTGGTTTGATTGGTTCATGTACCAACTCTTCTTACGAGGATATGTCCAGATCTGCTTCCATCATCAAGGATGCTGCTGACCACGGTATTAAGGCCAAGTCCTTGTTCACTGTTACCCCAGGTTCTGAACAAATTAGAGCAACCATTGCCCGTGACGGTCAATTGCAAACCTTCGAGGAGTTCGGTGGTATTGTCTTGGCCAACGCTTGTGGTCCATGTATCGGTCAATGGGACAGACAAGACATCAAGAAGGGTGACAAGAACACAATCGTCTCTTCTTACAACAGAAACTTCACTGCCAGAAACGATGGTAACCCAGCTACCCATGCTTTCGTCGCTTCTCCAGAGATGGTTACTGCTTACGCCATTGCAGGTGACTTGAGATTCAACCCAGTAACTGATACCCTTGTTGGTGCTGATGGTAAGGAATTCAAGTTGAAGCCACCTTCCGGTGACGGTCTTCCACAACGTGGTTACGACCCAGGTGAGAACACCTACCAAGCTCCACCAGCTGACCGTGCTTCTGTTCAAGTCCAAATTTCTCCAGAGTCTGACCGTTTGCAAAAGTTGACTCCATTCAAGCCATGGGATGGTAAGGATGGTTTGAACATGCCAATCTTGATCAAGTCTGTTGGTAAGACCACCACTGACCACATTTCTATGGCCGGTCCATGGTTGAAATACAGAGGTCACTTGCAAAACATCTCTAACAACTACATGATTGGTGCTATCAACGCTGAGAACGGTAAGGCCAACACTGTTAAGAACTTGTACACTGGTGAATATTCTGGTGTTCCAGACACTGCCATTGCTTACAGAGATGCTGGTATTAAGTGGGTCGTTGTTGGTGGTGAGAACTTTGGTGAAGGTTCTTCCCGTGAGCATGCTGCTTTGGAGCCACGTTTCCTCGGTGGTTTCGCTATTATTACAAAGTCCTTCGCTCGTATCCACGAGACCAACTTGAAGAAGCAAGGTCTTTTGCCATTGAACTTTGTTGATCCAGCTGCTTACGACAAGATCAACCCAGATGACACTGTTGACATTTTGGGATTGAAGGACTTGGCTCCAGGTAAGAACGTTACCTTGAGAGTGCATCCAAAGAACGGTGAGGCTTGGGAGACCCCATTGTCCCACACCTACAACGCTGAGCAGATCGAATGGTTCAAGTACGGTTCTGCTTTGAACAAGATGGCTGCTTCTAAGAAGCATACTTAAAGTTGTTTTACGCATAAATCATACATAGTTCCATTTTATTTATTGTTCTTTTGTCAATATTCTTATTCGTTGAACAGATGTAGAATTCCTCGATAAAACTATTTTGATACGCGATATAATTTCGTGTTCGTGTATTATTATTACGTGACTACTGCAGAATGTAAACTTCAATGTCCACTTCAATGTGAAGGACACATTAAGATACCCATTATGAACGCACTTTTGAAAGCGGGAAAGGTGTCCCTCTTATACACAGGCTTTAACTCCACAGAAGACACGATAAAAGTGAGTTTAACTATACACGTAGATTCATATTTCAGAAACAGCATCTAATAACTCTCTTCCAGTGTATCTTAGAGGACTCTACAGGTCAGAGCATCATATTATTCGACTGTGGAGTACCAAGGATATCAATTGATGTACTGGCATCTGGCTTAAGGGACGAGATACTGAACAATGTACGATATTCTCAGTGTTTTGATCTGGAAGGCTTGAAACAGTCAGTTGATGATGTACATGATGACGTCCGTGTACTGGTCTTAGTGAACGTTAAGCAGTGCCTCAACAGGGATAAAGTCACAGACTTTAATGCTTCACACAAAATCTTGAACTCCACAATGATGAAATGCCGAAGACTTTGTATATCAAGTAACATCACATTGGTCATTGTGGAACAAGAGAGAGATTACAGAAGTACTTCGAACATACTGAAATACTACGCTGACATCACAATGATTACGAAAAATGGTGCGTGGATGCCATTATGTTGATGTGTGAATGTGTGTTAATTGTATCTGCAATATCGTAGCTCCAATTAACCGCGGGCTTCAGTCAAGAAGGCACGCTGTAGATGATTGTTGATCAATTCAATTAAGTCTTAGATCTGTAGTGTGGAGCCAAACAATAATTTGCAGCCCTATTCTATTTGAAAGTCCTCTCACGTGATATTGAGTAGGGCTACAATAGTTCTCTTTATGCCTGATGTCCGGGTGAATTGCTTTTCACGACAGACATACCCATTTTTCACTTTTCTGTTAGCAGACAAGATGAATTTTCCTGTGCGTGCATGAACCAAAAACCTGTGTATCTTTAGCGATTTAGGCAGAGATTGCACCAATTCGGAAATTCGCCAACCCACATAAAAACTTCAAAATTAGCAGTCCCATAGAATTTGGGAGAATTTTCACCTTGGGCAGCGCGAACACAGGTCCTTGAAGCATTGTGTAAAAATTGAAATCTTTCAACAACTCACATCAAAACAAGTGAATACCAAACACATACATCATAGTCGCCATGAACTCTTTTGAGCCAGTTGTTGTCGTTGACGGTATGTTCTCTCATCATCATTGAATGTTATGTTGAAGTTATAGAGAGGAAGCTCGAACGGATAGAAAGTTGCTTCTTAAAGTCTCCAGCCATCTTTAAGGTCAGAGAACAGCGGGAGATGAAAAAAAGCTTTACAATATGAATCAGTCATTGAAGATCACCAAGCAGATACAACCTACCATGGAGCAAGAATATATTGATCAACACTTGTCCACTGCCTCATTAAAGGTCTCTCTAGTGAACATCAGAAGACAGCTTTCTTATACCATTGTTTCCTCTTACTTCAACAAGTAAATCAGAATAAATTACTAACAGCTCTTGCAGGTAAGGGTCACCTTTTGGGTCGTCTTGCATCTATTGTTGCTAAGCAACTCTTGGAAGGTCAGAAGGTTGTTGTCGTCCGTTGTGAGGCACTCAACGTTTCTGGTGAATTCTTCAGAACCAAGTTGAAATACCATGACTACTTGAGAAAGGGTACTCGTTTCAACAAGACCAGAGGTCCATTCCACTTCAGAGCCCCATCCCGTATCTTCTACAAGGCTATCAGAGGTATGGTTTCCCACAAGACTGCTCGTGGTAAGGCTGCTTTGGAGAGACTCAAAGTCTTCGAGGGTGTTCCACCACCATATGACAAGAAGAAGAGAGTTGTCGTTCCACAAGCTTTGAGAGTCTTGAGATTGAAGCAAGGTAGAAAGTACACCACTCTCGGTGACTTGTCCGCCTCTGTTGGTTGGAAGTACAGCGATGTCGTTTCCAAGTTGGAGGACAAGAGAAGAGTTAGAGCTGCTGAGTACTATGCTAAGAAGAAAGCTGCTACCAAGAAGGTTGAGGCTGCTAAGGCTTCCCAAGCTGATTCTAAGGTGACCAAGGAATTGGCTGCCCTTGGTTACTAAGCGGTTTTGATGATGAAAGAGGAAAAACGAGTATAGGTTTAGTCTAAATGTTTATCTGTAATTGTACCAAACTTTGTAGACGTATTTCGACCCTACTCTAACGCTCAACATGTAATTGAATGACGCATCCTGTTTTCTAGATCATAAGAATATCGTATGCCATATAATATGTACACTTTTACTTTTTTTAAATATCGGATAGACCTGTATCCGTCAAGCTCTCCAGCTTTCTTCTATACAACATTGAGTCATTCTAAAACACATTCGTAAAAGCATTAAGACAACACGACAAAGGTGACAAAAATTCACTTTTTGAAACCCTTGGCCAAATCAACATTCTGTAAATCGCTGGTATGGGTCTCGTTATCATGTTGTTGTTGATATTGTTGTTCTTGTTGTGATGGCAGTGGTTGGCGTTGTTGTACTTTATTTTTCGATGTTAAAGGAGAATCTGGAACATTCTGAAACCCATTCTTCAGTGGAGATGCAGAATCTTTACCCTGACCAGGTTGTAAGGGGGTACTGAACTGAACAAAGTTCCAAAGTGCAGGTGAAGATTGTAAAGCACCAGGTTGACCAGGTTCTCCAGAGTCTTTTTTGCGAGCACCACGTTCAGGTGTATAAGCCTCAACGGCAGATATTGAAAACGGTTTATTTGGTGATGCAATCATTCCATAATCAGTTGACAACTGCCCATCTTTGGCTCCTGAAATCGCACCATCAGCACTGGTTACTCCATTCGACTGAAAGGTAGCGGGATTCTTGACGGGTGAAGATAACTGTGTCTGTGGAGCTGAATCATCACGAGTTGAAGGCTTAACCTCAGTTGTATCCGTAGATAGTTTAGACGGCTTGGTCTGTGACGATGAAGATATTACACTTCCTTCAGACAATGGTTGGGTTCCTGGTTGACCATCCTTCAACTCCTTCTTCCGCTTATTTCCAATGGATTGTACATTATGGTGCATTTGTTGTTGCACAAGAACATGATTTTGATGCAATTGAGGTTGTTGTTGAACCTGCTGTTGTTTTGGTTGTTGGTGCATTTGGCCAAGACCCAATACTTGCTGCTGCTGAGGAGGCAATGTGTGCTGAGTGTGAGGTAAAGGATGATAACCGGGTGGTGGTGATCCTGTACCACTAACGATGGATGAGTCTCTTGATTGAGGGTAAAGCGTCTGTTGATATGCCACCGGTGGACCCTGCTGCTGTTGTTGTTGTTGTTGTTGAAGAGGCGGTAATTGCTGTACATACATGTTGACATATGGATTGTGAGGAGGCCCATTGAAATGAGGTGGTTTTGTTGTTTGGGCAGCATGTGTGGCATTTATATATTGCAATGATTCGTTTGATTGGAGATGCGCTTGAGGATGTGGATGCTGCACCTGCTGCACCTGCTGCTGCTGTTGTTGTTGTTGTTGTTGTTGTTGCTGTTGTTGTTGTTGTTGTTGTTCTGGGTTTAAAGGCTGCTGGTACTCAGGAGGCGCATTTGGGTAATGCTGCTGAATAACCTTCCGTCTTTGAGATTGAGAAGCTGGAAGGTCATTATGCGTTATCAGATGTAATTGTAATTGTCTTGAAACAGATGAACCCCTTCTTGCTTTTGATAACGATCCACTTTGGAATTTTTTCATAAATTCGTCTCTATACGCATCGCTAATTTGCCATTTCATACCCTTTCCAGGTTCATTTGGTCGTCTGGGAACCTTTTCAAATGCCTTGTTCAATGATAAGTTGTGTCTAATGGAGTTCTGCCAACCAGATTTGGAAAACCTGTAAAATGCATAATGACTTGCTATCCAATCATAAATCTCTGACAATGATAACACACCTTCAGTATTTGATAAGATTGCTTGTGTAATCATAGTAGCATATGAATAAGGAGGCTTAATATCCCGTGCTTCATCAGTGGATAAGTCATTCTCCACAGATGGACTATGTTGTGGGGACTTATTATCGTTGTTTTCAAACATTTGGAAGGCCTTCATGGGTCCCGAAAGCCCCTTTGTTCCACGATTGTTGAATGATGTGGAGTTATTGTTGAAAGTCGACGATCCAGGAACAGGATTCGCAGTGACAGAAACATCCAATGCCATTCTCTTAGACTTAGGAGGTGGTAGTTTTGGTGCAACTTGATCCAATATGGCCCTTGAAACAATCGGCTGGGCATCTGGCAGTATAAACATCATCTGTGTACCACCGATGTCAAGGACAGCACCAGAGTTTAGTTCAGTAGGGACCGCATTAGCACCACATGGAACCTTTACGGTGTTCACTTTAGCACCGTTTCTTCCTGTAACGTAAAGTTCCCATGATCTTGTGTTCAAGTTGTAGTTTATACTGGCATGAGAACGACTTACCAGTTTGGAAGGTCCCAGAACAATATCTGTGCCTGTGGTGGATCCGTCTGGATGCTCAACAGTTTCCTCATTTCTTCCAATGGTTACGTTCAGTGCCTTGACGTAATAAGTCCAGTTATTACCGGCAATTTTAGCATATGCCTGGACTTCTGTAGCGGTATTCTTGTCATTGGCAAACTTCTCAGCCGCGATGGTCTTCTCCTCTGGGGCGTTCAAGTTTGCAATAACAGCGTTCACCAGCTCATTGGGATCACTATACGCGGAAAGGTACTATGGAATTCCGTAGTGTTAGTACTCTGTGGATTGAAAAGGGTGTATGTGGAACTTGTGCGTCCTCTTGGACGGATTAGACGTCAGTCTGTTGGCTTTAGAACCACGTAGTTATGGCCAGCCAGGAAACAGCAGCAACACAGTTAAAAAACATGTCGATGTTTCCCGAACAGCGAAGCAAAAGTCACAACACTCAACGTGGATTGTACTTACATTTCCGCCCATTTCATCAGCACTTCTCTTTCTTGAAGAGTCAGACATTGTTACCTGTCTCGTCCACTTTTTGTTTTTTACTTTATTCGTTGTTGTTGTAACCTTCTTAAAGGGGCAAAGATAGGGAAGGGAGAGGCGACTGTTTTGTTGTCAATTGGTTTTGGTGAGAATCGCACAAAAAAAAAAACACACACACAACACACAAAGTAAACAAACAAACAAAGAAAACAAACAAATAAACAAACAAAAAAACGTTTAGAAAGTCGACCAATGAGATTCTTCTGCGGATGAAAAATTTCGTAAAACGGTATCCACAAGCAAGCTGATCGGTCAGTGTTACTAACTTCTTTCGTAGTGAGTTTAATCGGAATGGCGTTGGATGTTTTCCTCCTTGCTGACTTTTAATGGGTTTTTGTTGTGTATTTTTTTGTGATTTTTTTGTGATTTTGTGATTTTTTTTGTTTTCCTACGGACAGAATTCCCCTTTGTTTTCTTTTCGTCCCTCCAGAAAAATTTGTTTTTGTTTATTTGTGTAAACAAACACACAACCTCCGCGCGCAGTCTCAGTTTTTTGTGTGTTTTCTTCTTCGAGAATCTAATGGTTAGCGCACCTCATTCTCCCGTTGGCGCTCAGATTATGTAATACATCTAGACACCACGATGAGGCACAATGGTTTAGCGACGGTGCAGAATCGAGATGGAAAGATCTCGTCCTCTTTCTGTTCCTTTTCTGTTCTTCTTTTTTTTTACAACTTGGCAGCTCCTGATTGCAAAATTGTCGCTGGCATTATTTGTTCGTTAGGTTTACGCTGTGCACGTACGCATGAGTTGCAATAACCGCAAAAATTACCATTGCTATTCTCACCCGTGTTGAGTGCGGAGAGTGGGTGTTCTCGAGCGTTCTTGAGCGTTCTCGAGCTCTAAGGTTGTCGTCATGTTGAAGATACTGCAACACCGTGACACACAATTCCTCCCGTATTACTAAATAGATAACATCATGTGACACGTTATAGCGTTTGCAAGTTGCAATGCTGCAATGCTGTAACGCCACTGTCGGTGATGGAAACTCACCTGCAAAATTGGGAAAGTGATGTCCGCCTATACATGGAATATTCGCGCTAGGTATCCTCTCGATATGACAATTGGCCCTGAAATGAATGTTGCATGGTTCTACCGAATACATCACTCTTTTTGCGCAAAACTTAAGCGCTTCTTGAAAAATTCACCCAGGAAACCACCCCAAAACACGAAAATCGCGCAAGTGCAATGGATAAGGAAGAGGTACAGTGCAAAGAGAATTGCTTCAGCGTTTAGCTCCTAGGACGGGAGGGAGATCCAAGAGTTGAAAACCCCCAAGTAGCCTACCATACATACCACAAGAAGCTTCACGCTTCAAAGGTCACCACCTTTCCAAGGAGTAGCGCCACACATTAGCAAGTGACACCTTTATGAGTGGTTTTCTTTTTCTTGGTGTTTCTCTTTCGATTACTTTTCGCCCTTTTTTAATTTCTCGCCATTGTCGTACATATAGCGCCAATTTCTTCATTACAAACTCGTTGCAACGCACATTAAGAGGTTTTAGCCACATATCAACAAGTATCTTGGCCTTATATAGCCACTTTTTGGAATTTGGTACCAGCCGGTTCTCTTAAATTTCACGTTGTGATTTCGATTTCTGTCAATCAAGTGTTGTTGATCATCTACAAGCTTTGCACACCTATTTCTCCGGAGTTGATGCTTTATACGCAATAGTTTGAACCGAACTCTGCTTATCTCTACCAGCTTTTTTGCGTTGTGACACATAACACATTAATACCAATAGCTTTTCACCACGGGACTCAAAGCGTGGGAGCGACCATATATTACATATCATGTCACCAAAGGATACGTTTGGTCTCGGTGTGCCGGCCGACCAAGCCAAGACCGCCACAGCTACAGGCGCATCGATGGCCACTAATAGCAACAGCAATGATGGTACCAACCAGCAACCTATAATTCAGAAGAGGAAAAGGGTTACAAGGGCGTGCGACGAGTGTCGTAAGAAGAAGGTGAAATGTGATGGGCAGCAGCCTTGTATTCATTGTACGGTCTATTCGTATGACTGTACGTATGACCAGCCGACTAATAGGAAGAAAACAGGGGCAGATCTCCACCTCATAGAGTCCAAGCTGAGGGCTGCTGAACAGGTGTTGCAACTGCTGTTGCCGGGTGTTGATGTCTTTGATGCAAGCTTTCAGTTCGAAGTGCTCGAAAAGAAGTTCAACGACCTGAGAACCTCCGACGGTACACTCAACTTGTCAACAGTGGCTGAAGAGTACCTGAAAGAGGCCCCTGCCTCTGTCAAGTCAGATCCAGATCTAGGCTCACCACCAAACTCTGGTTGGAAGTCCACGCTCAGTGGGACCACTGCCGATTCCAACTCAAGGCCTTCAAAGAAACAGAGAATCCTTATACCTCATTCCAATATTGATGGTTCGATAGAGTCAAGAGACGGCCGTGAGATTAAAATCATTCTACCACCAAAAAATGTTGCCTTGGAGTTGGTTACGAAGACTTGGGCATCACCTTGTGTTCTGTTCAGATTTTACCACAGACCTTCCTTCATTAGCGATTTGGACGACTTATACGAAACTGACCCGGAGAATTATACGAATAAGCAGAATAGGTTCTTACCCTTGGCTTATTCCGTCATGGCCGTGGGTGCGCTGTTTAGTAAAAGAAATGGAGTGGACGACAAGTTCTTGGAAGATGAAGGTTACAGATACTTCATCGCTGCTAGAAAGCTGATTGATATTACAGATGCTCGTGACTTGTACGCCATTCAAACTATCGTGATGTTGACTCTGTTTTTGCAATGTTCTGCAAAATTGACAACGTGTTATTCCTACATTGGTGTTGCCTTGAGATCAGCTTTGAAAGAAGGTATGCACAGAAAGATCGAGAATGGATTCAACCCTATAGAGCTGGAAACAAGAAAGAGACTATTTTGGACAATCTACAAGATGGACATATACGTTAATACCATCTTAGGATTACCGAGATCAATTGACCCGGAGGATATCGAACAAGACCTTCCGTTGGAATTGGACGATGACAAGATAACAGAACAAGGGTATTTGGAGCAAACACAAGGAAAGTTGAGTTCAGCAGCGATTGCAAACTCTCACACCAAGTTGATTCTCGTGCTGAACAACATTGCGAAGAACCTGTACGCAATTAATAACGACTTGAGGTTGACCTCTCATGAAAAAGTTTCCGAAATGGAACTCCAATTAAGGGAGTGGTTGTCCAATTTACCGAAGGAACTCATTCCCGGATTCGATCCACCGTTCCAGTACTACAAAGCTAATAGGTTACTGCACTTGTCATTTTTGCACGTTCAAATTGTACTCTACAGACCATTCATTCATTACATCTCACCAAAGTATACAGCACAACCACATGTGGATGCCCTTTCAATTCAAAGAGCCAAAAACTGTATCAGTGTTGCAAGAACAGTTGTTAAGCTTGCACAAGATATGATTAAGAAGAATATGCTGTCTGGATCATACTGGTTCTCCATCTACACAATTTTTTTCTCAGTTGCATGTCTTGTATATTATGTCCATGAAGTTCCACCTGATGAGTTCCATCCTGATTACGATAATATAAGAAGTGATGCAGAAGCTGGTAAAGAGATACTTACGCTTTTGAAAGATTCATCGATGGCTGCATCGAGAATTTACACCATTTTGAACTCATTATTTGAGAAACTGAACAGAAAGACCCAGTACCTGCAACAACAAAGAGAAATGGAAAAGCAGAGACATTCTCAAGAACAGGGAGGACAAATGTACTCTACAGTTACTTCTCAGGGAGATATTCCAACCTCTCAGAATCTCATGCCTGGCAGTCAAATACAGCCAAATACAGCGACGTATCAGTTCAGCTCTGATAATGGTGCTAATCAAACCCAGGTCCAACAGCAGCAACAGCAACAGTCACAACCACAACAACAGGAACAGTTTAATAACATTAAATTGGAGGAAGGATTGAATGACTTTGACCATTTAGCAAACTTTGACAATTTCATCAATCAGCCTATTGCTAATAATGGTGATAATGGAACAGCAAATGCTACTGACGTACCAACAAATCCACCTGAAAATAGTTATATGCCTGGTATGATTGACCAATTGGATATGCAAATATTTGGTCGTTTCCTGCCACCATATATGCTTAAGCGTCCAGATGGATCCGTTGGGCCAGGTGCAAATGGTGGTGATTTACCTAGTGGGCTACAGACGACTCCATTGCCAACTAATTTTGACGACTTGCCTATGAACAACTCTACGGAGTTTAAACAGGAACTAGACAGTTCATGGTCAACCCTAGGTACAACAGATTTCAGCAATTTCATGAAATGAGGATCTGTTGAAAGCTTGAAGATTATCGCTTAGTGTGTGCTGATTGTTCTTCAAACCAACTGGGCGCACAGTTGAAGACACCAGTTTACATTATTTACAACTGTTTCGAGAAATCAAAGGTCTAATGTCTTTTATATACGATTTACCGGAAGTCCATATAGAACAACTAATTAATAAGTCAATTTATCAGCAGCTCCATAGCGATATTCCTGAGCTTCCTGTTGTATTATACGAAACCAACTTTTCCATTGAATGCATATATATGCACAGATTATGTCGAACTTTTATACGATGATGGGCTTCACTTTAATCTCTCATAATGCATACAAATCAGCAATGAATTGAAGCCAATGATGCAATAATGACTGGTATAAATACCGCAAGAGATTACCTCAGAGACACGCCTTCAGCTCTTTCGATGACTTTGTAGCTCACAAGAACAGTTACCGATTTAACAAGATGTCTAACTGTGAGCCGATGACAAATGCTTACAGTCTGACAAGCTGAATTTCCAGTAGTAGATCTTATTACCAGTCAATGGGCTTATCAACTATTAATATTTATTAGCGATTGACAAAACTCTGAGAGCAGACGGGTGGTTTGACTACGTAGCTGAAAACCTTTGACCAATGCCATGTACTTATCTAAGCAACTCGTGCATTGCAACCTATGTTTTCAACAGGTTCAATAGCACTATCTTCAGGATCATTGGTTAGAGCTTTTGAAGAAGATTTTCATTTATATCATGTTATGCTTGCTGGTTATGCTTCAATTACACGGATACCTGCTGGATTGGTACTTGGTGATGCTAAGCAATCATTTTTGCATTCAAGAACTCGCACAAGTGGTAGAAACAGTAATGTGGGTATTATGATTAATGTGGTATCTGTGTGAAGTGTTTTGGTTTACACAGTATGTGTGACTATTACGACTCACGTAGGCTGTCCGTGAATTATGTGCAAACCGTCAATGACTATCACTCTGCCGAAGCTTAAAGTGTTTGCTCTCTAGTATTTCCTGAGGAATGGCATCCACTAGAGCAGCTCGCGTTAAACCTCATCAGTAACATTGATAACGATGAGTCGAATCAACCACTCACAGAGATGGACTTGATAAATATCTCCCAGAGCTAGCCATGTTGATGCTGTTAATGATGGATAATACAGAACCAATACAGACTACTTAACTAGGTGATGTAAGTAACCATCATCTTACACTGTAGGCCAGGTTAGTCATTGTTTCAATACAACAATGGTGGCAACGAGTAATACCACGACATGAGGTTCAAGCACAGTCCAATAAGGACCAAGCTTGTAAGGCTCAATAGCATAGCTCCATGACACGCGGAAGCAAGACGTTAGTAAATTAATAAAACACACACACAAATATTGACGCTGTCATTAAAATTCATTATATAAAAGTTACAAGTAAGAATGTTGGTTGTACAAGTCAACTATTGTTGGTAGTTGACGTCCTTAAATTCGATCTTCTTTGAACCAGACATTTGATAATCGGGATTAAACCCATCGAAGCGTGCTTCACCAGGGGTGCCAACGAGGTATTGGCCTTCAACAGACGTTTTCAGTGGCTGTGGTGCTTGCCCTTGCTGCTGGACTGTTCTGTCCTGTTGAGGGGCCATCTGTTGAGTTGGAATTATTGCAGATCCTGGAGCTGAACCGACACTAGAGCTCTTCTTACCACGACCTTTTATTCCTCTGTTGGAGTTCTTGTATAGATCGGCAAAGTAATTCAACAGTTCACGCTCCTCTGGTTTGATATGTTCATCGGATGGGTCCACCTCAGCCAATTTTCTTGTTAATTCGTTAAGCGTCTTCAGATGTGATCTGTTTTGATGAGCTTTCAAGTTACCCAACTGTGTAAATAACTTATTACAACCATCCAATTTACACTGAAACGGTTTCAGATTACCATGCGTCAGTTCATGTGCTTGCAAATTACCCTTTCTGCTAAACTGACGCCCACATGTCTTACACTCATAAGGCTTCTCACCAGTGTGAAGCCTCTCATGAGTACGCAAGTTACCACCTTGTGTAAACCTCTTTCCACAATAATTGCAAGCAAATGGTTTATAACCAATGTGCGATCTGACATGAACGTCCAAATGTGTAGATTGTGTAAATCGTTTATGGCAGTACGAACATTCATGGAATTTCGCAGCTTTGCTCTTTGGTTTATCTATACCACCGACAAGTTCAGTTTCTTGGGGAAGAACACCAGCACCGTTATCTAAAATGGTGCCATCGGACGCCCTTGGGATCTGATCATGTATACCTTTCTTTCGAGCTTGAATCACAAGCATTAATTGGTCAACTTTGGTAGCACCCAACAATGGTCTCTCATCTGATAAAGAATTACTTGGATTTACCGATGAAGCAGTTTTCATCTTTGGGTTCTCAGGGAGTGATTTGACAGTTTTATGACGACGTCCACTTGTAGCTTTGTTAGATCCTGGTTGGGAAACAGAATTTTGGTTTAATGCAGTGAGCTGACCCGGCGATTCTTGCTGTTGCTGTTGCTGCTGCTGTTGCTGAAGTAGTTGTTGAGCTTGTTGCTGTTTCTGCTGTTTAATTTCTCTTTGACGCTTCTTAGGCACAACCTGAGGTGGAGGTAGTTGCTGAGAATTGTTTTGAATGGTTGATTGATGTTTCTGCCTTTGTGATAACATCTGTTGAGAGAATGGCTGTTCACGCATTTGTGATGGTTGTTGTTGTTGCTGCTGCTGCTGCTGTTGTTGTTGTTGTTGTTGTTGTTGTTGTTGTTGTTGTTGTTGCTGCTGCTGCTGTTGTTGCTGCTGTTGCCGAGTACCTCTGTAACCTGTGAATACTGGTGTTCTGAACTCATCTTTACTAACATCACGTACCTGGGAATTCTCAGGTATACTTCTCATCTGGCCTTGCATATTCTGTTGATATTGAAGCTGTGGTCTGGCCTTTGCATGATCCAAATCTCTTAGACCCAACTCATCGTCACCAATATTCTTGATAGAATCTCTCTTTGCAAACAGATCAAAATCGGAGCCATCGAGGTTTGTCGTCAGGAAACTTGGCTGTCTTGCCCTCACAGAATCTCTCTTACCAAACAGATCAAAATCGCCTTCAGAGAACGAAGTGCCAGCTGGGAAGGTCACAGAATTCTTCTTAGAGAAGGATGGCATCTTTAGCTTCACACTTGGGTTGAACGGCTCCAACTGCTCTGAAGGGCGTCTCAGCGCACTATACGTATTGTAGTCATTTTGAGGAGGGAACGTCGGTGTAACACCACCGACAAGATTTTGACTGCCGGTATTGCTGATCACCCCACTGTTGCCACCACCGCTACTGACACCGCCAATACTAGACGTCTGCGACTGTTGCTGTGGCGGTAGAAACAAGTTGTTGATAACGCTGAATCCTCGACCGGTGTCAAACGGCTGGCCAGCATCTAAGCTCCCAAACCCCAACGAGTTGCCCAAGGATGAATTCGTCGACAACCGCTGACCGTTGGGACCCAGGTTTGTGTAGAACGATAGAGAATCCTGTCTCCCCATTCTCGGTATTGAGTCCTCGTTCAGCTTATTGAGTGGACCCTGCTGTCCCTGAATACCGGGCGTCGAGCTTTGAACGCTTTGCACGCTTGGAGCCGGTTGCATCCCACCTTGGCCTTGAATTCCCTGACCCTGTTGAGAAGAGACAGTCCCGCTACCTCCTGGAACGTTCGATGCGTTAGATGCACCGTTTGAATTTGCCATCTCCATTGATTGGTAAACAAACACAGAGTTGGCCCCCTTTTCGTTTTCGTTGTTTACTTTCCTTTCCCCCCTCACTTCAGTAACCGTGGAAATGGGATCCGGAATCCTTCCAAGAACTGAATATGACGGCAATGAACACTGTCACTAGTAACCAACTTCCCACTGTGTTGATTTATTCACTGTCTTCAGGGAAGCTGTAGCTGATACCCCTTTTCACTAACAGGTAAAAAACGCAACAGGAAAAGACAAACAAATAAACAAACAGATATGGGCAAAAAAACACGGGCGAATTGATAGAGGGAAAAAACACTGGTCGCCACTGAGATCTTACAGATGCGCTTGTCGTTACCGTAGTCTGTTGATGCTAACCTGATTCACGTATGAATGGATTGGTTATGCTGTTTGGTCTATTAGCTTCTTTTAGTCAGACAGATGTGGGCCCTTCGATAGAGATGTGTTGTTGTGTTTATGCTGACACACACAACCGGACACATTGCTGTGGTTCCTCTTTTTTTTTTCTTTCTTTTTTCCTTTTCCTAGTTTTCCCTGAATTGCACGGCCAGTCGCGGGGGGGGGGGGAGCAGCAACTTTGACGTCATTCACTGGGAACAGTGAGACCATTGGTGTTTGGATGTTGCAAGGCTTGGACATGGGGTACTATGCTACAGAAGCGATTGGTGTCTAGAGAATGGCTTAAGTGATATACATGGTAAAATCAAGTGAGAAGCAGGGGTGTGCGTAGGTCATTCTTCAGCACTAAACCCTGATTGCCAATGCAAGCAAGCCCAATCGAACTAAAATACAGATGGTACAAAGAAGAGAAGATATAACATCACAAACGTTGAGTTATCATGCAAGAACGGCCCAGAACTTCTCCCAGAGGTTCTTTGGTGGTTCCTCCTCCCAGACAATGTTATCAATCTCACGTCTGTCGGTGTCGATATCAACTTCCTCAATTGGAACGAGTAATGGTCCTCTGAACCAGAAGAACTGGAAGAAAATCCACAACCCCAGGAAGATGAAGACGGAGATGTAGGCTGTAAGGAAGGCGTCGGTGCTGAAGCCCAGAACAAACGAGTCATAACCGTTGAAGAAAATGATCAATGAGAAGAAGAAAGTCGCATACCATGCACTGAATGGCATGAAAGTAGCCGTGAACGGCAGCTCTGAACGTGAAATACCACGGTGTTTCAATGTCTGCATAAATCTGATGTGTGAGACGGAGATGAAAAGCCATGCAATAAGACCAGCAACAGCTGTAATATTCAAAAACCAGTTGAAGACCGTCGTGGCACCACTTGAAACAACCATGAATCCTAAAAGACCAAACATAGCAGAGAAGATCACTGCAATGTATGGGACACCTCCCTTTGTAGTGAAAGTGAAAACTCTTGGGGCCAACTTGTTCTGTGCCAATGCATACAAGATACGGGATGAAACGTAAACGTTCGAGTTACCAGCAGAGATGATGGTTGTCAAGATAACAGCATTGAAAATATCCGGTAAAACTGGAGTTCCACAGTTTTGAATAGCAATGATGAAAGGTGAAGAGGACACATATGACTCATCGGAGTTCAATTGAGAGTCGTTATATGGAACCATCATACCGATAAAGAATAAGGAAAGGATGTAAAAGATCAAGATTCTGAAAAAGACGGTGTTGATAGCTCTTGGAACTGTTTTTCTAGGGTTTTTAGATTCACCTGCAGTAATACCTGTCAACTCTGTACCTTGGTATGTGAAGGCAGCGTTGATAAGTGACGACCACCAACCCAAGAAACGACCCCTAGCAGTATCTGGGAACAGGTAACCTGGACCCCAAGCACCTGGATTTCTCCAGTATCTAAAACCAATAGCACCTTCTGGACCAGCACCACAGACCATGCACAAACCGTAGATGATGAAACCGATGATGGCAATGACTTTGATACTTGCAACCCAAAATTCAACTTCACCGTAGTACTTAACAGGGAAGAAGTTACCACAGGTAAGAATAACGAAGAAGATTGCAATCCACGCGGCCAAGGGAACTGCAAATGTCCAGTATTCAATAATCTGACCAACGATACTCAATTCAAGCGCAAAGGTGATTGCCCATGAGAACCAATACATATAACCGATAGTGACACCCAAGGCTGGGGAACAAAATCTGGCGGTGAAGACAGTGAACGACGAAGTCACTGGGATATACGTTGCCATCTCACCAAGCGATTGTGTAACCGAGTATGCCAAGGTTGCCATAAAGAGGTAAGCAATAAGAGCACCGACTGGACCGGCAATGGAGAGCGGTGTACTGAGACCGATGAACAAACCGGTACCGATGGTACCTCCAAGCGCAATCATCGTGATGTGACGAGGCTTTAACGCCCTCTTAACCTGTGTATCCCTAACATGGCCCGTAGTTGCATCAGGGCCTTTAGAAGATCCATCTGAGCCCGCGTCCCAGTTCATGTTCTCCACATCTTCATCCAGACGCGTTGTATTTTTGGAGCCATCCTTCAACGAGGCATCTTTCATCTCATACTGTTCATATGAGGACATGGTTGGTAAGGTCTTATGACTCTATCAATAACAGTTGTCACGAGATCTAAGAAATCACAGAGTCAAAGGAGAAGGGACCTTAAGGAAAAAGTCAAATTGAGAACAAGTTTTTATGGAGCAGTATTCCATTACAAGGCACACAAGTCCGTTTTTGCAGCTCCAATAATCGTTTTATATAAGAGGAGAAGCGTCACATATTATGCTGCAAGCTGGGCGTCCAAGAGGCATCTCTGTGTTTTTCTCTTCAGCCCAATCTCACATGAACAACACGCTACAAAAGCAAACTGGTTGGGGGTAAATTTAAAGCGTTGTTTCCCCCAAATTAGATTAAAATTGAAAGGCGGGTGCAGTATTACAACATTTCTTTTTTTGTTTGTTCCTTGTCTTAACGTCATACAAAAGCAGCAGGTGCCGCAAATGACAGTCTCGCTCGATTTGTGGGCTACACAACAATGTATGGGGAAAGATACGGACGTAAGGAATGTTTAACCGACTTGGTGTATACTTGATCGTGTTAGAATTGGCGCTGAGATGTAAGAAGATGGGCGTGTCTATGTGGGTGTTAGATTTGATCGCTTCTGAAGTCCATTAGGGATAATTACGTCGTTTCAGAAACGTTAGTTATCCGTGGTAGCGGGGTTTAGTGATAAATGATTCTGTAGCCATATCAATGGCCTAACGCTATAGGTCGGATTGGGGGTTCAATCGAAAAAAAGGAAAGCAAACTTGGCTGCATTGGTTCGCGCAACACACGTACTTGTCGTGTCGAGGCTGCTTCATGGTGTCTTGTGGTATGGCTGGGTCTGTGATTACAGGCACACTATCGATGGAGGCTAACTCTTCGGCGAACATCGGCGCAGTGCCACTCCTTGATCTCAGGGGGATGGGCTTGGTGTTTTGATAAGTAGATCTTTAATGGCGACATGTATCGTTATTAACTTGGGTAGGGGTTCTAGAGTTACACAAGCCACCATGGGCGAGTCGACTTGCAAGCGAAAATAATATATAATGGTGATCACACCGGCCTACAACTTGTTTCCAAAGATCACGTTGGGAGTCTTGACGCGCGTGCTTGGGTCCAGCAGCTTTAGATGATCCCTACAAGTTAGTTCCATGACGATCTTTTCTTGTCGGAGCAACCACCTGCTCGTTTGAAATCAGTGTAGTTGGTCCATAAGTGCTGCCCAGAGCTGAGTAGAGAGACGCCTCGATGATTTGAGCTGGAATTTGCTTCAATTCGTTATCGAGAAATGTGATGTTTCTTATCGCAGCTTTGAACAAAAGAGGATCTATGTCGCGTGCAAAGTTTCACTTTATTGAAGCAATCAAAGCAATGTTATCAAAATGGTGTGAGATTCGAGATTAGTGCTGCAACATTGCACTAGTACATATATGGTGACATCTAAAGCGTATAGAAATTCCGTTTCCCTTCTGATGGCTCTCTTCAACGAGTCACTATGGCATGGATGAATCAAAACTCTACACCCAGAGAGTGTTCTGCATTGATCGAGCACTTTGAGAATACAAATTCCAGTGTTGATGTCACCATGATGCATTGTAGATCGCCATAATCACGCCGAGTTCAAGGGCCAAAGCCCAACATAAGCCTTTTGCACCCTCCTAGTGTCTGTACCAATAGATCCAGTATTTCCGGGGGAGATCCAGAGTCGGAGCTTGGGCCATAGAGTAGGGTAATACCCTTTTCTGTGAATGTGCTATACTCATCGGTAGGAGACACACATCGGTTACCCACACACAAATTTTTTCTTCTTCATCGTTCGGTTTGACCGTGACGAGAAAGTAGGAGATGAGCATTTAACTGTGGTTGTTCTTTAAACTATTGCTGATCCACGCCATTCCCGTTGTGTCAACACGCTCGTACAGTTACACTCTGCCCCAATTTGATCCACTATGTCATTAGAAGAACCAGTTCAAGACGTTGACGTCTCCATGAAAGACGTCATTGAAGAAGAAGAAGAAGAACAAGAGGTCTTGGACACAGAAAAGATTAAGATCCTTCCTGGTGCTACAGAAGATGGAACTGCAGCTTCTTTCCAAATTACAGAAGAAGACCACACTTTGGGTAACGCTCTCAGATACATAATAATGAAGAAGTGAGTACCACGTTCACCCTCTGAAGGATCGGCAACGGTCTTTGGCATTTTTGGAAAAAGATGTTCCGTCAACTTAATCCGTATACTAACACATGAACTATTCTAGTCCTGATGTTGAATTCTGTGGCTACTCCATCCCACATCCTTCAGAGACAAAGCTCAACATCCGTATTCAGACGTATGGTAGCACAACTGCTGTGGAGGCATTCCAAAAGGGTCTTGCAGATTTGTCAGATCTCTGTTCACATATAGAGGATAAGTTCTCGGAGAAGATCAACGCTGCTGACTACTCTACAGAAGAGCCTTAAGACCATTGCCATCATCATAATCCTGTTACCAACCTAAACCCAAAATCTATAATCATTACCAACAGAAAAGTGAGAGGTATATAAAGGGAAAATACTGTACATTAATGCAATTCTAAATACTCATATTTACAACTGTAGAGCCCGCCTATAAATCTTCACATACAAATATACACAGTGCTTCTTACTCTGACACCCTAGAACGCAAATTAGGTGATATAGCTTAACAGTTCATGTTTTAATGTTGAACAGAGTGAACAGAGCCGAAGACAAAAAACCTGTAAAAAGCACTCCGAGGGCTTGAAAAAAAAAACATTTTGGTGTGCAGCCTTTGCTGTCTGCTTCTCACATGACAAAGGGGAATACGAAATAACCGTAGATATTGGTAAAAAGACAATGTCCTCTAGAACTCTGAAGGAAATTCTGGACTCTGAAAACGTTGGTGAAGACGCAGACGACGATAAACATTTGGCGGAAATTGACCTGGATGAGAGCGAGGAATCTAAAAGGGACCAAACCCTATGTTCCGAGTGCCAGGATATGCGTATAGAAGTCGAGTGTAAAGACTGCCAGGAAGGGTTTTGCGGTGGTTGTTTCCAGTTGATCCATCATGGTGGAAAAAGAAAGTCTCATGACTTTGTCAAGCTGTTTGACGATTCTAAGAAAGAGTCTGAAACCGCCAATGGTGACAAATCTGAGGATGCCGATGGAGATGTAGACGTTGGTGATGACGTTGAACCCGAGCCATCTTCAATCAATGAAAAGTTGATCCAGTCGATAAAAAGCCAGGTCAAGTTCATTCCTATGAGACTGACATACGAGGAACGCCACTTGTTACAGCTGTTGGAGGCGGCGCTGAGTGTATCAGAATACACCGATAAGGTTGATATACTATCATACACTTCCAAGTCAAAGCGTATAGTGGCCCAGTTGAAAGAAATGTGCTCTGTTTTGGCAGGTTTGGTTGTTGCTTCGAACTTGAAGATCGGCCAAGCTCTCATTCAAAACAAGAACTTTGAAGATAACGCTGAATGGTACAAATCTGTCTTTGAGATTGGAAGACGCTACAAGATCATGAACCCTGAACGTATGAGATCCACTTTTGGTAAGTTGTGCTATATGGTTATGGACTCAAGATTACCTGAGATTGAATCCCATATGGAGTTCCACTTGTACAAACCAATCAAAACCGTCTATTCCTATTTGAGCTCTAAACCTGGCGATAATGGTAAAGCTCTACGGGTATTTGACGATGAGTTAATAATCTATGCTACTGCAGAGATTTCTCCAGTTGGCAAATCAAGATCACAAGTGCAGAGAGAGATCAAGACAAAAGAGAATGCCATTGAGAAGCTCTCTGCTAGGTACTCGTCGCCTATGGGGTTCTCAAAGGAGGATATTCGCCAAGTGTTGTATTCCATTGGTGACTTCAACGCATACACACATTCAAACAGAAAACCAATCCTTAGATTCCTGGAAAGATTAGAGAGGTTCCAAGACCCTGCAATCGCCAAGGAGTTCAACCTTGGTATCCAGTACGGCAGATCTGGCTCGAGATTGACCCACGATCACCACAGACAGTTCGAATACGTTAAGCAGTCATTGACCTTGTGGTCTGTGATTCAGCGTGAAATGATTCATCTGTGGTCCATTGCAGATGACGATCTATTCAACGGATCACATTATAAACTTACATCCACTGGACAGGGGCTCCATAGAGTGAAGGCGTGTCCTTCCCTGTACAAGGAGATGTACAGAATCATCGCAGAGTGTAAGAGCAAATGCTCCTCTTGGATCGGATCCTCGGTGGTTCACTTGGGTGATGACGCTGTGCCAAACGCGCTCTTCTTCCTAGACAAGTATACGCAGGTGCCAAACATTTTGATTCCAATTGATCAGTGCTTGTTGAAGATCCCTGACCTAGACAAGGATCTCTTCACCAAGAAGTACATCGACGAGCAATTTGGTAGCAGCGAGAGACTACAGCTAACGATTCTTCAAGATGCGTTTGCACACATGTTTGACGGTTCAGGTGCAGACAACTTCTACATGTCAGGTTCCTGTATCGATGGCCGTTTAACCAGCGCATGGAACCATACGAACCAAATAGCGAAGAAGCCTTACTACAACATCTTCCTGCTCACAGGCTTCATCGGTTTCAACGGTTCAGAAGGGTTCTAAAGGCTCAGCTCTTCACATATTGGATCAAAACAAAAGAAAATGTATAGAAAGGAGAGTGCCATTTTGTGTAGTTGTAGAAGGCTTTATCTCACCGCGATTTGCTTGTTCAATGTTTGTTTTTTGTCGCGTTGTGGCCTGTCGTTTAGTTCAACAACGCCAAAAACAACAACAAGACAACAAAACTACGGCGGCTACTTCAAAGAGGTCTCCGAAGAGCCAAAATGAACTTCCTTGCTAGTGCAATAGGTTCTTTAACGGGATCATCGATACCTTACAACATTGGAGAGGAGCAGAAGCTCAGTTCAGAGTTCCCGCAGAGCATTTGGAAGGTGTTTGATGGAACAAAGAAGGTATGTACCGTGGGTCGCTTAGGGCCCCACTATGGGCCTGTTGTTGAGTATCCAATGCTAACTGATCAGCTATAGGACGATGGAAGCTGCTGCACCATATTTCAGAGAAACAAAGATGGCAGTGAACAAGATGCGTTGGCGCTGAATGCCCTTAGAAAGCTTAGATCAATGCGTCTGCCTGGTGTTTTGAAGGTGTTGGACACGTTTGAGATGGATTCTGTGCTTTACATCGTAACCGAACGTGTTGTACCATTGTGCGATGTTTTGAGAGCCGTGGAAACTGCTGATGAGATGCTCATACTGGTTACTTATTATGTTGCAAAGGCTGTTAAGTTTATCAATGTGGAAGGTGGGTCTGTATTGGGACAGCTATCACCAGCAACAGTGTACGTCACCAAATCAGGTGAAATAAGAGTTGGTGGGTTCGAAGTATGTACTAATTTGAGCAGCGATGCACAACAACCACTGTACAAGTCTTCATATGCTTTACCTGGGTTTAACGATTACCTTCCACCAGAGGTGAATGAAAAGGGAATCGATTCATTAAGAGGCAAAATGGCGCTCAAGTTGGACTCTTGGAGACTGGCGACTTTTATCTACACTTTGTTCCATAATGGTGATTACCATTTTGATATCAGTGAACTGGCCACTATGAAGTTGATTCCTAAAGGTCTTGCTGGTCAAAACTTCTCCAAATTGATCTCTCCGTCTCCAACGACAAGAGGTACAGTTGAACAGTACTTATCCAGAGTTTCTACATTCGATCACTCAGTGTTGATAAACGTTTATGAGCACTTGGATGAGTTCACTCTCAAATCAGAAGATGAAAAGATCAGACTCTTTGATTCTTTAGATAGTGTCAAAGCTGATGCCCTTCCAGGGTTTTTGGAATACAGGGTTATACCTGAATTGGCGCAGTTCTTCACACAAGCTCCAACACAAGCTGCGTTATCGTTGAAATATATCTTATCATATTCAGAAACTTTACCAAAGATTCCATTTGACTCATTGGTGAAGCCCATCATCTTGAAAGCGTTCACCATTCCAGATAGACAAATCCGTATGCTATTATTGGGGTTCCTACCAAAGTATGTCGAAAATCTGACCAAAAATGATATTTCAGATCAAATGTTCAATTCATTCGTTACTGGATTTTCAGACTCCAATGAAGTGATCAGGGAGGAGACGATAAAGGCTGTTATCTACATTGCACCAAAATTAAGCGATCGCCAGTTGAACAACGAACTGTTGAGATATTTGGCTAAGACTCAAAGCGATCAAAAACCTGATATTAGGACCACCACAACGATTCTTTTGGGTAAAATTGCGGAACATTTAAACAAGAGCTCAAGATCCACTGTTCTAGCGACTGCATTTGGTAAGTCTTTAAAAGATCCACATTTGCAATCCCGTCTTGCTGGTTTACTTGCTCTGTGTACATGTTTAGACTATTTTACACCAGATGTTATTGCCAATAAAATCCTGACGGTTATTGCTCCTAGTTTGTTGGACAGGAGTTCAAGGGTTCGTGACGAGGCACAGAAGGCTTTTGACATGTTCTTCAACAAGATTAAAGAGGAGGCCTCTAAATTGCCAGTGGATGCAGATGAAGCAGATGATACAGTTGAACAAGTTGCATCTAATGTCCAGAATTTTGGTCTAAACTTGAGTGGAGCATTTGCCAAATTGACTACAGGACTCGGTGGATCTTTAAACAACGACGTATCCAATGGTATCACGCCAGATCTAAGTAGAGCTGGCACGCCAAAAGTTGTTGAAACTTTCGAACAAACAACGTTTGGAAGAGGCGAACCATCTAAATCTAATGCTCAACAGAAGTCGTATTTCAACGACTGGGACAATGATGACATTGAGATCGATGCTGATGATGATGGATGGGGTGAGCCAGTTGAAAAGCCAGCAGCAGGAACCATCAAACCGGTTGTTAAACCAGTTGTTAAGCCAGTGGCTAAATCAAGGGCACCTAAAGTGACCAATTTGGTTACGGAGGATACAAAATCTAAGCCAGTGGTTAAGCCAGCTTCCAAGGCCAAAGGCATGCAGCTTAAAAGCAAAAGTAAGTTGAAACTAGATCTAGATCTTGATGGTCAAGATGATGGATGGGGTGACGGATGGTAGAGAATTCTCCCCCAGCCCACTACAATAAACTGTACAACCCGTACATATTCATTAAACATGGAAAGCTTCAAGGACCCTTTATCTGTTGAAGTTCATTCAACTTCTTCGTATACTTTTCAATCTCCTGTCTGACTTTCTTGATTCCATTCTCAATCCTAACAACTTCCTCTCTTTCTGTCTGTTTGCTGAACACGCTCTGCGTCTTCAACTCTGGAACCATATTACCCGGCTTCTGTGTCATTATATGGAACAATTGTTCAGTTGGCTCATTAAACACCACTTCGTCGAACTGTATGCTTTCAACGTTCTTCTGCTCTTCAGTAGGCACGGCATTGAGAGGCAACCCATACGGGTGTAGTCTCAAGTGGTGATACAGCGACACATTCTTCTCGTTGGCTTCATTGACGAAGAATATCTTAATCCCGATCTCAAACTCACCCCAGCCGGTCTCCGTGACTTCAAACGGCGGAGACTCGATGGATCTCGTACTGTTGTTATAGGTGTCGTGCAGTTTAAACACAACCTTCTTGATGAAGTACGAGACGTCTTCACCGTACGGACCGCGAACAAACACCGTCCATGTATGGGTATGCTCTGATGGCGCATTTGGTGGCCTGTGCTCCGGATCAAAGGGCTTAGCTGTGTTGCCATACACTATGGGACGGCATATCGACAGCGTCTTTATTCTCTTTGATGAAGGTCCTGGTGCCATTTCCCTCCTACGGCTTTGATGCCTGGTGTTGTGTGGTAAAACACGCACACACAGAACGTATTGAGCACCGCGAAATGTTGAAGATCCCAGAGCAAATGCGGAAATGGAAAAAAAACACAACACCCTTACACCACCTATAAACCTTAAAACTCGAGACACATCACCTGTGTGTGTCGAAGAACATTTACTCCAGGACGACGAGCAACGATGACTCTCAAGACTATTTACATTGCTAGAGTGAGTTTTTCAGATCTCGTATTGCCATGTGATGTTAACTAACGTGTTTGATTTCCTTAGCACGGGTACAGATCTAACTGGTTACCCCCACCGCATCCTAAGCCTGTGACAGGTATCGATGGTGATCCGCCGCTAGCGGAGCATGGGTTAGAACAGGCACAGGAGTTGGCCCATTACATTCTATCGATTCAACCACAGCCTTCGATGATCTTTTCGTCGCCGTTTTACCGGTGCTTACAAACAGCGACGCCAATTGCGCAGCTGTTGGACTGTGATATCGTATTGGAAAACGGTATCGGTGAATGGTATAAGCCAGATAGACCAACCATTCCAAAGCCTGCTGATTGCCAGATATTGTCCCAATGGTTCCCCAATCTGAAGGACACGTGGTCCCCTGTTCATTATCCATCTACAGACGGTGAGAACGAAGAGCAGATTATGAACCGTTGTAAGGTGTTCTTATCAAAGTTCATCCCAACGTTCGAGGAGAAGTATCCTGAAATCGAAACCGTTCTGTTTGTTACCCATGCTGCTACAAAGATTGCCTTGGGTATGTCACTCTTGGGATTCTCAAACGTTCGTGAAACCATTGACGATGAGGATACAAGGTTAAGAGCCGGATCTTGTAGTTTGGATGAGTACCAGCTGGATAAGGAAGGGAAGTGGGAAATTGTCATGAATGGCAATTGTGAATTCCTCACTGAAGGAGAGGAGATGCATTGGGACTTTCTCAATGCACATGAAGCTGGCTCTGATGCTGATATAAAGGCAAGAGATAAGAGGAACAGCAAGAAGGCAGAAGGAGACGAAGAGGAGTACGAAGACGTTTATGTCACTTTAGATGTCCCATCGAACAATTTCAATACATCCACGATCCCTCCAACAGCAAAGCTACAAGTCTCAGGATTACATACAGAGACTCCTCTGTTCATGGTCAACAACGACGTTTATCAAGGTGATTGGAAGAACTTAGTTGGCACTGAAGTGGCATTCACTGAGGATATGGAAGAGAAGTACAAAGTCAGTGATAGGATTCAATTACACGACGTTAACCCGTCATAGATAGGTTATAATAGTAATGATTTGATCTGCGTAATGGACATTGGTGATGTATTAACAGCGAGCGAAGCTACAGCAGCGTGATATGCAAAACTGGTGATGTTCTGATAACCATCCACAGTCATGGCTGGTGGCATCTGAAGGACAGCATAAAAGCCAGCGACGTGTACAACTTAGAGAAGACCTTAAACGGGATTGACCTTGAGTATCCAACTGGGGAGCTGGACTGAACCAGTAGAAAGCGAGTATTCGGTATAAGTGGTACAAATCGATGTGGATACAAAGTATACACAGTTGGAACCACTGTATCTTAAACTGTACAGTGCACTAACCCCAATTGGACAAAGACTGTCTTTGATGTTACTACTGCTTAAGCTGGAGTACCAGCATAGGTCGTTCAAGTTGACTGGTGATGAATTGAAGCAATATTGGTAGTCAGGGATAGATCCAGATGCTTTTAACCCAGTGTAGATGGATGTTGATTCTCAAGGGAACAATGTGGCTGTAGATGAAAGCACAGTGTTTTTACAACACCTTGGTGAGAAGTACGATACAGAACAGTTGTGCCATCACGATCTTACTTCACCTTTGAGCCGGTAACAGACAGAGTGGATAGAGTACGATACTGCCAATTTTGCACGTACCCAGGTATATGATCCTGGTAAAGGGCTTGTTCCAAGAACAGACCCACCAGGTGGCAGAGAACAATACGAGATGTAAGAGAATGGTATTATCACGGTTTAGAGCAATACAGCGACCTGAAACAACGGTTGGTTTGTAAGTGATGACCTCAACATTGCGGACATTACGATAATCACTAATGCTCAATTCATCACTCAGCACCAGGGGATAACCTTGGACTCGTACCCAGCTCTTAGGGAACAGCTCAAGAAGATACTAAGTAAGCCTGATATGCAAAAAGTACTTTTCCTTGACCAAGTAATTCATTCACCAATCGATTAATTAGTTCTTTAGAACAGGCAGATATATACGAGTTGTTCGCTCGTAATCAGCGAACTATCGTTGTCAAACATTTTCAAAGAACGACAACAACTACAGCAACAACCACTACAGCAACAACCAGCATACATTATAGCTAAAATGACCTTTAAACCCTTCAAACATCCTTTATTTGACAAGCTGAATACGAAACGATTCATTCTTGCTTCCACCTCGCCTAGAAGAATTGAAATTCTCGAACAAATGGGGTTCAAGAACGTTGAAGTAATCCCATCCAATTTCGAGGAGAATCTGAAGAAGGAGGACTACGAACCAAAAGAAGTGAGTGTAATCCCATTATATGGTGTTTAGCTGATTCCATGATTGCTAACAATCAATCTCAGTACGTAAGACACACTGCTATAGGTAAAGCGCAAGCTGTTTATGATGATTTAGTGAGTAGTTCCGTATTAAGAGTGGTATGATCACTACTAACCACATTTCACCCAGAAATCAAAGAATGAACATGAAAACACGGTTATATTAGCAGCAGATACTGTCGTTGAGCTGATGGGTGAGATCTACGAGAAGCCAATCGACAAGGAGCACCAGTTGAAGAACCTGAAACATTACAGAGATTGTGCCCAGCCTCAACATGTACTCACTGCTGTTGTTCTCCTCGTTGATGGCGAGATGGATACCATGGTGGAGCAGACGAGTATCTACTTCGATGAGACGTTGAGCGACGAATTCCTACAGAGCTACGTCGATACTGAAGAGGGACTTGGTGTTGCTGCCGGTTATAGAGTCCAGTTGAGAGGTGCCTTGATGATGAAGAAAATCGATGGTGATTACTTCAACTGCGTTGGATTACCATTTCACTCCACCTTCAAGCTCATGGAAAAGAACATCTTATAGAGCATAATAAATCTATTACTACAGTTTATGGATGTAGTACTCCAGTGTATAAAAACGAGATGGGTACTCATCAGTGTTGGCACAGCAACGATTTCGTGCTGCTCGAACCGATGAGCTCTGGGAAAATTTTTTTGTGGGCTTTTCGAAACGTTTTTAGTTATTCTGTGTGTATGAAAGCGTATAAAACCAGCGAAGTAGTGAAGAGGCAAGTGGTCAAAATGGGTGTTAAATTAGGCAAGAAGACCGGTATCAAGCCAAAAAGAGACGTTCAAAGAAATGAGAAGGTGAAAAGTGTACAGAAGAAAGCACCAAAGGAAGAGGAACTCACCATTATTGATGTAAGTGAAGATGAGAGTGCGAGTGAGAGTGAGGATGCTGTGAATGAAGAAGAGGAGCAAGAGCAAGAGAACAAAGAAGAGGAAGACTCAGAAGAGGAAGACTCAGAAGAGGAAGAATTTGGTGGATTCTCCAGTACGGATGAGGAAGAGTCCGAAGAAGAGGAAGAAAACGAAGACGAAGCTGGACCAAAGAAGAAATCTAAAGAGTCGCACGAGGTGAAACAACTCCCAAAGCAGTCTGCCCTATCTACTAAACAATCTAAGAAGTTGAAGAAAGGGCTAATCTACATCGGTAGACTACCTGAAGGCTTCGAAGAATCCGAATTGAAGAAATATTTCAATCAATTCGGTGATATCACGAATGTGAACGTTCCAAGAAGCAAGAAGAGTGGTAGATCCAAACATTTTGCATTTGTTGAGTTCGATAACGTTGACGACGCAAAGGTTGCACAGGAAACCATGAACAACTACCTATTGCTCAACCATCAGTTGAAGGTTAACTTGGTGGACGAGGAGTTCAAAGCTTCAAAGAAGTTCAAGAAGAACTACTTCAGAGTGTCAAAGCCAAAGGAGGACCTCGAGACCCTCAACGCCAATGCCAACAAAAAGAAAGAACAGAGAAGAAAGGCCTTGAAGGATGCTGGCTTCGATTTTTAGAGCTGACCTTATAACTATATACGCCGCTGAATCGTCCCAGATCAAGATGACAAAACTTCCATTGACATTTCATTGGTGGAGAACCCACTGACACATGTAGCACCGATATCTACGATTTCCCTAATAGGAAGTCAAGGTCCGCTTTACCGGAACAGGGGATTTTTCCATTGCGATTTGTCCCCATGGATCCGCGAATATTTCCCAATGCGTGTAAAATATCCCCAACAAACCCTCCAAAGGCTACGGAACGAACAAAAACCACTTAATCGTTTGTGGGATTTTTTTTTTCTTTGGGAAAATTTGACGGGAATTTGGAATCTCGATTCATCACGAGCTGATAAAAGGGCCAAAAAAGTGAAATTAACATTATTCTCTTCTTCTTTTCTCACCTTCCAAGTTTTATCCACAGAGCAATTCAACAAGCTTCCGAAGATGTCTAGCACTACTACCAAGGTTTACACATTCGATGAGATTTCAAAGCACAACACCAAAGATGACCTTTGGATGGTGATTGACGGTAAAGTTTATGACTGTACAGCCTTCCTGGATGAGCATCCGTAAGTGGTTATTCTGATCATTAGTTATTGTCACTCCAAATGGTTCTAATGGTGCTAACTTTATTAAAGAGGTGGTGAAGAAGTTATGACCGACTGTGGTGGTATCGACGCTACCGGTCCATTCGATGTACGTTATAGAACGGCGTTTGCCTATTTGTTTTTTGGGCTTGCCTATCAGTTTCTGTCTCACCAGACGTGGACTGATTTCTTTTTGATAGGGACATGATACTAACGTGGAATCTTATTCGTAGGATATTGGCCACTCTGAAGAGGCAAGAGAGATGCTCGAGCCAATGTTGATTGGTGTAGTTGACGGTCCATTGCCATCTTCATCTGGTCCAGGCGCATCTGCAACCACTGGTGGTGAACAGAACGTTGGTTTGGTCATCGCAATCATCGTCTTGATCCTTGCCATCTTGGGCTATGTTCTCTTTGCCCAATAAGGGGGATATCATTGTGCAATACCATAATAGTGAACAGTCCTGATCTCTGCCTCCGTCTTGTTTTTGACAAGCTGTGACTGGGTTCTCGGTTGATTTGTGCAGTTGACTTGTGCGGTTGATGTTGGCGCGCGCGCGAACGCGCGTAGCATCGGCCAATCAAATCACTGGAATTTACAATTCATGTGTTTATGGTTAAAAAGTAATAGAGGAAGCAATTGGAGAGGGTGGAACTAAGCGAAGGATGAAGTATAGAAGACCAGAGTATAGCCATGACGGCGAAGTTGTATTTATTGGAGAGTGTGCGTTGTTTGAGTTGTCTTTTCAACGCATGGTTGTGTATGTAATACGCGCCTGCTTTTTAACGATGTGTGTGTCGTTGAAGCACAACTATTGTAATGAAAGGTCGCTGGATTTATATATATGCACTTTGGAGGTTTTTGATATTATATGGTTGCATTATATACTGTGATATCAAGTATCAAAGCCAATTGATTTGGTTTGATGATCTCTGGACTGGTGAGCCGTTGATGTAGTCTTATTTGCACAGGTTAGCTACGCGTGATGCTCTCGAGGTATAACTACGTTGTTCAGGTTTGGAAATTGAAGACAGGGCATATTCTACCGACCTAATTGATTACATATCAGGGGGGATAATACTATGTACACTGCCATCAAAATGACCATGAGAAACAATTAGTATTATATTAAAGTGGCATTATAGGGAAAATATTAAGAAGGGAATGTGTCAAATGAGCGAAGAATGTCTTCACATTGAAAGCGCAATGATCATTGGTGTTGTTGGACTGGAACCTGCTGTATTGGTTGCTGCTGTGGGTCGACAACGTATTCACCTTGTTGTTGGGCATAAAAATCTTGCTGTGGGTCTACTCCAACCTCTGTGCCTGCGTTATTACTGAGTTGTGCACTAGTAACATCACCAGCAACCTCCTTGTTGGCTTCGGTCTCATCATAAGGTTGTTGTAGCTTTGCCTCACGTCTGTCAATCATAATCTTACCAACAAGAGCAATAGAGAGTGAAACGAATAGCAACACACTGAAGACAAATGCCGTCCAAGAGATTCCTAACCAGGTATGACCCTTATCAGCGACGGTTCTGTATGTTTCACTGGTGTATGTATTGGACAAATCGTCCAACAGCTTCTGAGCGGTACCACTGGCGACAACCATACAGATCCATTGGATAAATGTGAAAACCATACCAACAATGTAGACAACATAAAGGGCGAATGGGAAGAAGAAACCAACTGGTAAACCAATAAGCAACAGAGCAGTCGTCAGACATGCGAGGACAAATCCACCAAGGGCACTGTTATAAATGGTATTTGCCTTTCTGTTCAACTTACTGACACGTGGCCAGTCCTCATTTAGGCTATAACCTGATGGAGTATCAAAGTTGTTCGACAGCAAGGCAGGAATATCAATCTTGTAATGGGAATGGGAAGATGTGCAACCATTGGCTCTGTAGGAGCCTGTGTTCACCAAGCCGGCACTGTTGACGGTACGAGAACCGGAACAGTAACCCCAAAGACCAAAACGGAAAACATTGTCCGTGAAGCTTGTATTGGATATGGTCAATTCTTCATCTGGAGTTGGCGTCAATGGGTACAAAGCACTGAAGTTTGCCTGTGAAATATCGAATTCAAGTAAGTATCTTTGAGGACTTCTTGAGGGGTTTGAAAACACCTGAACACCCGAAAGGATAATGGCCAATACAGTGCACAGTAGTGGAGCAATCCAAAAGTAGTAATTCTTTAAATTCAATTGCATTGGTGTGTAATTGAGCTAGTTATTTTGTTGAAACTTGTACCACAATTTGTAAACCTGATTGGTAAAAAGCCCTATTGGAAAAGAATTGAGCGAACTGAACAACAAATGGTCTTTATATATTAAGCTGTCAACGTTAAAACAGATGACCCAACATTGCCAAACCACATTTAGCAATTGGCAACGAAAAGAAAACTTTTCTCTGCCCTTGAGGAAGTACACGCAACAACAGTACATGCAAAGTAACGACACCACATCATTTTAGTTACAAGTGCATGGAACTTACACAGGCAGCAAACAAAGCAGAGGGAAAATGGCCAGTGTGTAGCAGAAACAAACCACTTCATGCATGATGATGATATCAGAAATGAACTACAGCTTCATGGCCAGACACACCCTTTTCCCACGGCTCAGGGCCCTTGACCACTCCACTGCGAGAGGATAGGGAAATGAACACAGAGAAGACTGGAAATTGAGCACAGATAGGGTGTAGCACACAACACTTCCCATTTACACACACACTGTTGTATCACCCTCAGTGCTGTTAAACCACCTCTTTGTTGAACGGACATTTGCTGCTTGCTCTTTCTCCTTGCGGGTGTTAAAAAAAGTTTGTCCGGGACTTTGTCACGCTGCTTTCATGCAGCTAAATGCACGATGAGTTTGCACTTTTTTGTGCCATTTTAACGTTTCAGAGTTGAAACATATGAACGCCCCAGGGCATTTGCGGAAACTGAACGGGGACGGACAGATGTTGTCGCTTTGGTCGTCCCGGTGAGACGCTCCTTGTGCCTTAACTTTCGTCATTTAGCTTTGTTATTCTGCTGTGCCGTTCGCTCGCACAGTCATGGACTCATGTACCAAAGACCATGTGATTAATCACTACGTTGGGCCAGACTTGCCTTATACGAGCAGAACACCGCCGCGCATCCTCGATTGGCGAACTAAACAGCACCGCTCTCTGTGTATTGTCCATGCAGTGTTACAAACCTACGCTCTCTTCGTATATGTTTGATGTGCGGTGTATTTCGAGTTTATCGTGATCATTTCAGGTTAGGCACTGACACGCTGGGCAGGGTCGTGTCTTTGTTAAATGACTCGCATTGCGGTGTGGTTCAAAGTGACATTAACGGGCTCTTGAGGAAGTTTCGTTACTCATCGTCTGTGACTAAACTCTAAGCCACACTGTAAGAACTCATTACTGGGCGCGGTCAACTTGATTGAAAGACGGTAAATGCCATGATGCACATCGATATTTAGCGGAATCTCTTGGGGGGAGAGGGTTGGTTCACGCGCGTCATAAAGTGAAAGAAGTGACGCTCCACCACCCTGTTGTTGACTAATTAGACGTCTACGAAAACCATCTCATAATGAAATGACATCATGAGTCATCCGTGCCTCTATGAACCTGATTGAAACGGGATATGCAATGTGTATCTTTAGATCTCTCAAGAATGGTCTGTGTGTGACAATAGTGCCCGAACTTCTATGCACACGATGAGTGTTCAAAGCAGAACCTCCGAAATGTGTATCCTACGCTATTTTTGGCCCTGGTTTATCTATAATGAGCCCGTTTACCCCACGAAGACATTCAGAATGAAGGCATTCAGAATGGGAAGGACTTATACCATCCACCAGGGGTGCACCGAGCAAATGGCAAACAGTCGACGTACAACGGACTGACCATCTGCCAATCCAATTGAACTGTACCGGAACTCGGAACGCCATATCTCGCTGCGAATGCTTACGTAATCAAGTTTAAAGCTGGGCCTCAAAGTACTCTTCAGGCACGAGCAATCTCAATTGGCTGCCATATTCAGCTGCTGTAAGACAGCATTTCCTACCACGAGGAAACGGAGCCCCTTCTTGGAGCCCCTGGTGCCCCTGTGTAGCAGCCCAGCGCCTTCTCACTAATCATCGCGCTCTGATTGGTCAACCTCCGCTTCCGGCGCTTTCCCCGAGACCGGCGCGTTTATAGTGGCTCACTCTCTTACAGAAAAGACATGATCGATGCGATGAGTCTTTCACGTATAAACCAGGCAAGAGAAAAAAACAAACAATTTCCGTTCCTCTTCAGTTTATACATCGCTTGAAAGCATACACTCCATTGTGACGAACTAATGTCGAGACGTAACTTCTCCACAACTGTCTGCAAACTGGCAGGTCAGAACCTTACAGAGAAGATTGTACAGAGATATGCGGTTGGTTTGCCAAAGGGCAAAATCGTCAAATCTGGAGATTATGTCTCTATCAAACCGGCACACTGTATGTCACATGACAACTCATGGCCAGTGGCTCTCAAATTCAAAGGTTTGGGATACAAGAACGTCAAGGATAACAGACAGATCGTCAACACTCTAGATCATGACGTTCAGAACAAGAGTGAAAAGAACCTGGAGAAGTACCACAACATTGAAAACTTTGCAAAGGAACAAGGTATCGATTTTTACCCAGCAGGACGTGGTATTGGTCATCAGATCATGATTGAAGAAGGATATGCATTCCCATTAAACTTGACGGTTGCGTCAGATTCCCACTCAAACACTTATGGTGGTATTGGTGCATTGGGTACCCCAATCGTCAGAACAGATGCTGCTTCAATCTGGGCAACTGGCCAAACGTGGTGGCAGATCCCACCAGTGGCTAAGGTCGAGTTGAAAGGTAGATTGCCAAAGGGAGTTTCTGGTAAGGATGTTATCGTTGCACTCTGTGGTGCTTTCAACAACGATGAAGTGCTGAACCATGCAATTGAATTCACAGGTGATCATTTGGATGAGTTGTCCATTGACTACAGATTGACTATCGCCAACATGACCACCGAATGGGGTGCTCTTTCTGGTGTTTTCCCAGTGGATGAAACTCTCATCAACTGGTACAAGGAGAGATTGCAAGTCTTACCACAACCACACCCAAGAGTTAACGAACAGACTGTGCAAAACTTGATTGATAACAGTGTATCTGCAGACTCAGATGCTTATTACGCTAAGCACTTGACTTTGGATCTGTCCTCTCTGTCTCCATACGTCTCTGGCCCAAACTCTGTCAAGATTTCAACCTCCTTGGCCGATCTCTCCAAACAGAACTTGAAAATCAACAAGGCTTATCTCGTGTCTTGTACTAACTCTCGTCTCTCTGATATCAAAGCTGCTGCTGAGGTCATTAAAGGTCACAAAGTTGCTCCAGGCGTGGAGTTCTACATTGCAGCTGCTTCGTCCAATGTTCAAAAGGATGCTGAACACGATGGTGCCTGGAATGCCTTGTTAGAAGCTGGTGCTATTCCATTACCAGCAGGTTGTGGTCCATGTATCGGATTGGGTGCTGGTTTGTTGAAAGAAGGTGAGATTGGTATCTCTGCTACAAACAGAAATTTCAAGGGTAGAATGGGTTCTAAGGATGCCTTGGCTTACTTGGCCTCACCGGAACTTGTTGCTGCTTCTGCGGTGTTGGGTAAGATTGGTGGTCCTGAGGAGATTGGTGGTGGTCCAGTTCACGGGGCTCATGGTATTGTGAAGTCCATTGATATCCCAGAGAAGCCAGTATCTGATGAGAGTGTCTCTAGTGGAGAGACTGCAGGCGTTGAGGTGTTGGAAGGTTTCCCAAGATCCATTGAAGGTGAGTTGGTTCTCTGTGATGCTGATAACATCAACACCGATGGTATTTATCCTGGTAAGTACACATACCAGGATGACGTTCCAAGAGAGAAGATGGCTCAAGTTTGTATGGAGAACTACGACTCTGAGTTCGGTGCAAAGACCAAAGCTGGTGATATTATCGTCTCCGGTTACAACTTTGGTACCGGTTCCTCCAGAGAGCAGGCTGCGACTGCCATCTTGGCTAGAGACATGAAACTCGTTGTTGCTGGTTCTTTTGGTAACATATTTTCAAGAAACTCCATCAACAACGCACTGCTTACCTTGGAGATTCCAGATTTGATCAACACCTTGAGGGAGAAGTACAAAGACGCACCAAAGGAACTCACCAGAAGAACCGGATGGTTCCTCAAATGGGACGTTACCAGTGCTACTGTTACCGTCAGAGACGGTCCAGAAGGTGACATTGTACTTCAACAGAAGGTTGGAGAGTTGGGTACGAACTTACAAGAGATCATTATCAAGGGTGGATTAGAAGGATGGGTTAGGGCCCAGTTGAACGAGTAAACATATACAACATTGACTCTGCATTGGTTCTTATTTATATTTATAATTGTCGAGTTACAATTATCACTCACGGTGTAAACCATCTCGTAGGCCATGCATTATTACACTAAGGAGAAGAAGCTGCTAATGTACAAATTTTATATCCCATTTGGTATAATCAGGATAGCGATGGGATCTCCTTAACAATCTCGTCAAAGTTCTCACGGTATTCCTCAGCCTTTTCGCTGTTCTTCTTGTTCTTACCACCGCCTGGAACAATCATCACCACTGACGTTGGTCTCTTTGTAGCGCCCGCTGAGCCCAAGTCCTCCTTTGATGGGACAAAGAGGTAAGGGACTGTAGAGTCCTCGCACAAAACTGGCAAGTGTGAAATGACGTCTGGTGGAGAGATGTCACCAGCGATGACGACAAGACCCTTCTCTCCTTTACGAAGCGCCTTCACAACCTCCTTAACACCTCTCTTGACGTGCTTGGCCTTGGACGCCTTCTTCACAGTCTTGAGCACTTTCTTATTCACCTTCTTCGTTGCCAAAGGGTGAGCAAAGGCGAGAACCGCTGGAAGCCTCTTCTCGTAGTTGTCTTCACTCTCCTCTTTCACTGATTTTTCCTTCTTGGCCATTGTGCAATGTGGTTCTAAGCGCTGTAGCTCTTGATGCTCGTTGTGGGCTCTTTCGAACTCAGTGAAAAAAAAGCTCAACTGCGGTGGAAAATTTTCGTGCTAACGATGAGCCGGAACTCACGCGCTCATCGCAACTTCCGAGGGCTCAGGCTCAGGCTCGTGGTCGGAATAGCGCGATATCTTTCCCAACCCTCGGATCTCGAGCGCTGAACCCCGTCGGTGCAATTTGTTCCCCCAAAGGCGCTGAAAAGGCCTGGAAAAAATGTTTCGATGGACGATTTTTGTTTGTTTTGTTGGTGCAAGCTCTTCTGCTCTTCAGGTACTTTGTGTTTAGGACAGCGCTTAGGATGAGATTAACAGTTGGAGGAGCACGTTTCTTCTCCAGTACGAGAGCCGCAGCCGGGAAAGCTGGGTGCAACACCGTTGCGCCTGTTCACCATACCGTTAAGATTGACAAGAACAGGCTGTCACCACGGTTCCCAGGGCTTCAGCATAGTAAATTGGACATCAGACACCCTGGGTATAAGCCTACAAGCACGTATCAGGATAGAGTTGCTGAGTACTACAGCAACTCCGTGCAGTCCGATCTGTTGCTCATCAACGCACAACACGGTGAGTCGAGACAGCCTGGTTATAAGAGAAGAGAATGGGACGGGTCCTCACCTTTCCATCTCAACAGATCTCTTAGAAAGCCAAAGGGGTCTGACGCTGAGACGCCAGACATAAAGCCGCACAGCGCGGCCAACGTCCCAAAGATCGAGGCGATTCACATCAACTGCTACGTGGAGCAGGCAAAGGACAACGTGAACCATGCAATCTCTGCGCTTGTCCAATTACAACAGATCACCGGAGTGAAGCCAAAACCGATATACTCCAAGACGAACGTCTTACACTGGAGAGTGCGTGCCGGGTATCAGATGGGTGCCAGCGTTGTGCTGAAGGGACGTCCTATGCACCAGTTTATAGCGACACTGACGGAAGTTGTCTTTCCAAGAATTAGAATGTTCAAAGGTGTTTCAAACAAATCCGGTGATACTTTGGGTGATATTCAATTTGGTTTGAGACCAGATGACGTGAAGTTCTTCCCAGAGATTGAGCAAAATCAGGATAACTGGTCAAAGACATACGGATTCCATGTTAACGTTGTCACGTCTGCTCAGACTGATGCCGAGGCTAGAACTTTGTTAAGTGCCTACGGTATCCCATTCTATGGTTCTGAAAAGGGTGTCAAGCCAGAAAACGTTGAGTACTAAACTCCATTACACACTCGCTCTTGTATATATACTCGTATAAAATCTAATCGCATACTCCTGCTATATACTAAACAAACCAAAGAGTTATATTTATTCATGTTTTTTTGCTTTCGGTCACACTACTAACTTTCTAAATATACAAACCACGATGATCAAACATGTGTCACTTTCACCTTGTTGGTGTTGCGTGCAATAGCTGCAACTTTATCACCCATGGATAAGGCCAAGCCTTGACCCTTAGAACGGATTCTAACGTGTCCAACAATTGGGCCATCGACTGATTTCTCAATACACAGGTTGGCAAGTGCATCCTCGCCAAAGGAGGATCTTGCGTACAAGTTGGCACTGAGGAATTGGCATTCTTCGCCGATAACTGCACCAGGGGTTAGACATGCCATGTTGGTACCCGCAAGCAATGCGTCCAAGTAGTCCTTCAGAGATGGCAAGTTGGACTTGATGGCAATCTTGTTCTCCCACTCAAACTCATCCCACATGGTACGGAATCTGTTCTCTGAACATTTTCCTGGTTTGATGTAAGACATGATATCAACATGTACATCGTTCAAAATAACAATCTTATTCTCAAGACCATGCCCACCATCGTACACAATGTTACCGAATATCACACCGGTGTCAGCGGAAGTAACCTTGATTGTGGTTTGGATCTTGAAGAAACCATGGGCTGGGATGTTTTGAGTGGTTGGCTTGTCCAACACCTTCAAATCACCCAACGTGGCAAATTCAACATGTAGATTGCGCAAAGTTTCTGTGGTTTGATTGACGAGAAGAACGTCAAGAACAACGTCAAATTGGTGGACTTTAACATGGGCTTCGGCATAAACTGGGTCAGAGAAACCAGTCAATTGCACAATCTTGTTCAATCTTGATGAGAGGTCCTCTTCAACTTTGACACCAGTAGCAGCACTTAGGTCACTATCTTCAACATCGTCATTGTCAATCTTACCGAATTGTCTGAAGTGAACAACATCATCAACTTCTTGTCTATGCTTTTGAAGCTCAGCAGCATCCCTCTTTGCCTTCTTCTTATCTTCGGCAGCCAATTGAACCTTGAAAGCATCCTTGGTTGCATCCAAGAACGCCAGTTCCAAAAGTTTCTTATTGGCTTCACCTTCAGCGATGTAGGTTATAGCGGTCAAGATTCTCTCTGCGGAGTCCTCATCAATCTTTTTAGCAACGTAATAAGAGTCACCAACTCTTAAAATACTAACAAGAGTCAACATACCTTCAGCCTTTAGGGCATTAAGAACATCAGCCTTTTTAGAAACCTCCTCAAATCTGAGGATCAATTTAACAAAAGTAGAAGCGAGAACAGCTGAGGTATAGAAGTCACCATCAAATATAAATTGACGTAATGGTGGTCTACTTTGCTCCTTCTTGATCTTTTCGATAGTAAGAGCGGATTCAGTGGCATAAGTTCCATCTGGCAACACAACTGGCTTGTGTGTCGATTGAGCATCCTCCTCTTGAGTCTCTTCAACATCGCTGTGTTTTTTCTTCTCGGATTGAAGAATTGGAACTTCACCAATACATTCACGGATTGATTTCCATGAATTTTGAATGTCCTTTTCAGTTGTAGAATATTCTCCAATAATCCAGAGAGCACCACGGAAGACTTTGCCAGATTTAATCTCGTGCAGAGACGAATTCAGGCGAGTAATAATGGTGGACTTCAAATCTGGGTATTTCTCAATCACCTCCTTGATGAAGGCAAGGATATCCGTGGCAGCAACTGTGGAGATTTCTGGCAAGAATTCCAACAATAGATCAACAACGTCAGTGGCAGTGACAGATGCAAACTCTAGCGCAGTCTTGTGAATGGCGGAAATCAACAATTGGCGGTAGTCAACAGACTTGTCAGCATCTGAGTTAACAGTCTTTTGCAATTCCTTCTTATAAAGCTTCAGAACATCGTCAACATTACGGCTTGAGGTGAGTTGCAATGCCAAGTCAATAGCTTTCTTTCTAATGTCGAGATCTGGCGTGGACAAGACTCTTAAGATGTCCAATGTGGAATCCTCTAAAATTCCAGGGTTCTTGTTGTCAATCTGCTCAATTCTCTCGAGTACGATCAACTTAACGTTGTTATCAGGTTCCTTATTGACCAACTCAATGAGTCTAGTCGAGGCCAATGAAATTACTGAAGGATTACTTGTCAATCCCGTCAAAGTAGTTGAAGCCTCAAAGGCAACAGCATTTGATGGAGAGTCAAGCAATTCTGTAAGCAAAGCAATGTACCTCGTTCTGAGTTCCGGCGCCTTGTCTTTTCTAATGAATTCGATAAAGGCCAATTGAAGCAATGGGTCGAGTGTACTCAATGCAGCAACGTTGTCTTGGATATAACGCAAAGCAGCGTTTCTGTCGACATTACCCAGTGCTACAAAAGCATTACGCTTGCAGGTTGGGTCTGTCTCAGTAACCAAGAAGTCATTGATGATTTCAGGAGCATCTGGTATAAGGTGATCAGATACCGTGTAGATGGTGTAAATGGCAAAGATCACGTACTTTCTGACATAGGCGTGACGGTGTTCGAGACAAGCACGAGCTGAAGGAACAAGTTGTTCAAGCAATTCAGGCTCGTGTAATTTAGTCAAGAATCTCAATGTGTTACCACGGATATACTCATTTGGATGTTGCAAATCTCTCTGAATGGCGTTACAAACAAGAATCATTTCTTGTCTCAACTTACCATCGCTCTCCACCTTTGGAACAATCTCCCAGTAAAAGTACAGCAGCTTCTTCAGCTCTTTGTTCTTAGACGGCATAACATAACGGATAACATGCATCAACAGCTCAGGCATTGGGTTGCCATCCAACATGGTCACAAGAATCTGCTTCATGGCATCGATCTTGGACTCGTCTGTCCCCTTCTCCAGAAGGGCTCTAAACTCAGACACCGAAGCCTTCCCAGCTGGATTCGGGTCATACACCAGAGTATAAGCTGCGTCTGTCATTCTTCAATGTTCAAAAGAAGGCACAAACTAATCAGGAATCAAAAGAAGGTTGCTATACAATGTTAGTCCTCAAACCCGTATATGTGTACATGTGTGTGTGTGTTGTTTACTTCAAAAAGGGATCGAATAACAACATGTTGGAAGTTATGCTCCACACACAAGACGGAGAGTCAACGAAACAACACACTCCACGAATTGCTTCCAACGCTGACTCTGATGATCAATCACTCACTTTCTAAGATTGATTAACGCTTGCTTTGATGAACAAGCTGAAGAGGTTTTGTTAGAGATCAACAACGGGAAAAAGAGGTTGACGTTTTCAATTTTCGAAATTGGCCCAAAAGGGCGCGCGCTCGGGCTTGACTTCCGAAAAGGGGTACACTAAACAAACACGATCTCTATAGTAGAAATTAGTTAAAGAATACTATAAACGTCCAATTAACTCATTCTTGGATATCAGGGTTGGCTATGAAGAGAGTCATGTGACCCTTATCACCGTCTCTGACAGTTCCACTCCTTCCAATGGATATCTGGGGTGAAATCTTGTCGTTGAGCAATGTTCCGGATCGAGTCACTGAGGGGACACTGTCTCTCTTTGGAGAGAAACTCATTGAAGAATGGGACCCAGGAGAGACGAGTGCACCTCCTATGGATGTGGTTGTGGAGTTCGCTCCTATTGAATGGCCTGTGTCGTTTCTTTTCAATTCAGAGGATCCACGAGCAGCTGTGGCAAGTGACTCATCATCGTCATCATCACCAACTTCCAATGCGAGTTGGCGTTGTTTGATCTTTCCATGCTTCAAGTCGTTCTTAGTGACCCGTGAGCTTCTCTTATAAGAAGTTCTCCAGCTGGCCTTGGAATAATCATTGTCTGATATTCCAATAGGCAACCCCCACTGGGAAGCCTTTGCATTTGTATTGGCTATTCCAGTTCCAAGACGGAGCATTTCAACATAGTTGGACTTCTGCGGTTCGTGTTGAATAACAGGACGGCTTTCGGCAACTTCTTTCACAGAATTGTATGTGTTTATTGGTTGTGTCAAAGAAGCACTCCTTCCAGATCTTGTTGGGATATCTGGTGGAGGTGGCCTGCGTCTTCTCTGACCACCAGCACTTAAATAAGAAACAGGTGCCACAACTTCATTAGCTCTTCTGTCATAAACGTTCGTCGCAGGTTGTGGTTCATACTCGGACTGCATTGGTGATGCTGATTCAGGAGGTGAAACAATGGACTGCTGGGGCGTGGAAATTGACGGTTGCATGCTGCTTGACCCAACAGATAGATTAGAATCAGAAATGTTATTATGGAGAGCCCCAACTCCCATGCTCTTGTTGTTTGGCGAATCAATATTGAAATGAGACATTTGTGGTGATTTCGCTGTAAAGCTCAAAACTTCAGAACTTGCAGTGGTTGACCTATTCAGCAGGTTAAAAGTTTCCTGATGAACCACACTGTAATCTGCTGTGGAATTTCCCTCTGGTTCAACAATTGAATCTTCGTCACTACTTGAGTAATTCCCATCGTTAACGACATGAAATACCCGTGGTCTTTCATTAACCTCGGGTGTTATAGGTTGTCTTGATAATTCATTGGTTTTCTCATCAGATGAGATAAAGTCTTCATTATTAGTTGTCAATGGCAGCTTTTCAGAAGACTCGAATGGATAAACGGAACTTCCGGCTCTTGATGAGTGAGGAGACTCTATAAGCGGTTGTGTATAAATATCACCAGGGACTATTACTGGTGCATTTGACTTCTGCAAATTGAAAGGAACATCTTGTTGTGTGATAAGATTTAAATCATTAAGAGAATCAGATCTTGGAAGGCCCTTTGATGAACTTGATTTCTCGTTATAGTCCAATCCAGATGAATTGGTCGGTATGTAATTTATCTGCGGTGCAGTTGAGCTGTTCGATTCAAATGATTTGTCATTTTGTTCCTCATCACTTGATGATTCGTCATCCAATAGATTTTGTCTTTGTAGAACGATTTCCTCTGACGACGAATCTTGGAACAGGGAATCACGTCTCCTCAATGGACCTGGACTGTCTATTGAAGGGGTTTTTTGGATACCTGACACTGCTTGATCTAGGCTTGTAGGTAGTTGGATATCCTCCTTGAGTTGGTTGCTTTTATTCAGCGGAGTAACAGGTGAAACATCGCTCATTTCCTCTTCAGTGTCACCATCTGTCTCGTAATGCACTCCTCCTGGTTGGTAGTTTTCAATATCCTTCATAATTTCATCGGAAAGAGACAGTTGCTTTTTATGTGTTTGCTCTCCGGATTTGGTTATTAAAGCAGGTATAATCCCCAAGGTCTCACTCTGTGTCTTTCTATGGAAGTTTAATGGCTTAACCTCTACACTTGATTGGTCACCTTCATTGCCTGAGTCCTGCTGTGATTCGTCCCCTGTCAGCTGGACATTATTCATATCTGATGTTACACTGTCAATGTTAACGTCACTTGTTTCAACAGTATCTTGTGCATCGTAAAAATCTGCCGTCGAAGAGCTTGCGGGCCTAGAGAGTTGTAGTCCAGGAGCACTAGGTGGCATAAAAACTCCTGAGAGACTTTCATCCTCGTTGACAAAACTAAAGTCTGACTCAGAATCCTCTGATTCACTCAACTGTGGTTCAGTCTTGTGTGTGAAGTTTTCTTTTTGTTCATCTTCATTATTGGGAGAAACAAAGGATGAAACATTCTCCTTTGGATGCGTATCTTCCTTCAAGCTCTTAGAGTTAGAGGAATGTACCGTACGAAATGGGTCGTTAACAATCTCCACTGATGGCTTAGCCATAGCCTCTAAACCACTATCCACTTTTGAAAGGGACTCTTGAGATGAATGAGCCATCATAGGTTCGTGTAACTCAAACCCTGATGGAGGTTTTCTTCTTGGTAGAGAGGCTGCTTTGTTCATGGTTATTGGCTTCCCTTGAATTGTGAGAGGAGGAGCAAAAGACTTCGTGTTGTAGTCGGGAACCGGTGGAACATCAACCATAACATCTAAACTGGATCTTGGAATATCAATATCCTGTATCGAGTCATACCCATCTCTTTCACTTTCAGAACTCTTGCGCGCGAATAGCTGTGGTGAATGAATATGTGGGGGACTGAGATGTGGAAGGTGTGGACTCTGAGGTCTCAATACATGATGTGAGGTTGGTGATGGAGCCCTTTGTTTTGGTTCAGGTGCTGAAGATATTCTTGGCTTCGCCGAGGAAGATGTTAGAACTGGTACATGTTTACCAGATCCTATTGTGGAAATAGACTGCTTAGGAACCGATGGAATTGTGGTACTGACCGCAGCTTGGGGATGGTGCTGAGCCAACGGTGACTTCTTTCTGTTTATAACTTCAAACTTGGACTCTGGTTTAGAGCTCCTGAAGGGGAACAGAAGGGATCTCCTCTTTGATCCGTCACTACCCATCCTTGGCTTGACTATAGAAGAGACAGGATCAATTCAAAACCTGCTTGCTTGCAAACCAATTCAACTGAACGCTCTTTTGATTATATACCCACACACATACACAATGTTGATGTTTTGAAGCAGTTGCGAATTTCGAGCTATCTCTGGAGCGTGTGTGCCCTGTGTGTTTCCTCGGCTACATTGCGGTGTACGGATGTACCGGTGTTAGGGTTATTAGGTGTCCGGATTAACCCGTAAACAAGGGATTCATGGTAATTACATAAGTTGTGTAAGGTCCTCATTAGACGAGTCCCTTCAAATACCTGAGTGCCGTCAAGTTGCCTTCCGGAAGTCCTGTCAATGTCACGGTTCTATACTTGTTATCCTTAATTGAGTCGCCAATGACAACATTACTGTTTGATTTGGATCTGATTTCTTTGATTTTGAATCCGCCTCTTCCAATGACATTACTAACACTGTCTAGTGGGATGTCGATGACTTGCTTTATTGGCTCTAAGTCTTTAATCTTTTCTTGACACGTGCCTTCTGCTTCTTCAATAGTTTCCAGCGAGTGTTGTTTGGGGTCATCCTCCTTAGAAAGAAGATGTGTGTAGTCCTTGTTAATGAACTTGACAAACAGGTCTCTGCTCTGATTGAGCAGTCTCTGTGTAGTCTCTGGTGTCTGGTTTGTGAGATGAGTACCAACAATTGGTATTCCCTGAGGATGTATCAAAACTGTAGAGTCGGTAACCGAATCATGAATATGTGAAACAACATCTTTCAACGTCTCAGTCAGCTTCGGCAAGTGTTCATTAGCGTAGACGGTTTTGTAATTGGAGAAAGGCAGAAACTCGGAGGATAATTCCACGTTCAACCTTTCGAGCCCTTGCGTCGCACATTCTGGCACTAGTAAGGTCAAATGAAACAGTGTATCAGTGGTGCATGTTTCGAGAATACTCCCAAGGGTAAACGCTACCAGGGCAGTAGCATGTACCACCTGCTTTGCATTACCCAGTAACACCACCTCTCTGTCTACACTGGCCTCTATCTTATCGGTGACTTCGAGCACCTTCACCTGGGACTGTTTGGCAATCCATTCAATATGGCTCTCCCCCGGCGGACCCAGTAAGATATCGCCTTCTGTAGAGGATATCAAGAGTCTGAGTCCAACGTCTTGATCTGCCTTCTTTCTCCCATATATCGATTGTAACACGCCCTTGATTGTCTTGTCAGCAGATGTTTTGCTCAATGGTTTATACGTGTCAATGACTTGAGGATGAGGTTCACCATTTGACGGTAACTGAGCGGACTTCCTGGTTCTCTTCGTCACTTTCTGATCACCATTCCCATTGTTCGTTGATATAGTACGTTTTCTTGGTGGCATTCTCTTTAGCTCACTTATCCTTCAGTCTCAAGCTGTTTGGTTGGTATATTTCATCTGTTTACGGTGTCTTCTTGGTGAAGCTGAGGAAAAAATCTCTCCCTGTGTGGAAAATCAACAACAGACAAAAAAAACACAGATACAGAAACAACATCAACAGGGCATCAATTGCATTAGAAGCGTTGAAGTTATACGCTGTGACGTTCTCAATTGTCTCTTGAAGCTGTCACACAATGAAGTACTCACCGTATAGTTCAATATTGGCTAATTCATCTTTCGAGTTCGATGGTGACGATGAGTTTGACTCGAGCTCTCCGTTTCTGGTCAAGTCATCACCTCTCAAGTCACTTTCCAACAATGTTGATAATAGTATAGAAACGCCCTCAAAGTCGCCGGTGTACAGGATGAGAAGAAATGTTGTCTCCTCTCCATTGCACAAGTCCCCGTATAATGTCTCACAGCTACTTGGATCTCAAAGTCGAAAGAACGCTGACGAGTTGAGCGACTTGCTGAAGGATTTCAACCTGAAGGATCGTTTTGATATTGTCAAGGAACAAGCGAGTACTAGGTGTCCCAGGTTAAGGCCGGTATCCAGACCCGTGTCTGCATCATCAAGTGCTAGGCAGACACGAAGATCGTCTATTGTTCTGGACTCGACAACGGGATTGGAGATGTCGGATGAAGTAGGAGCACTCGATGGCCAGAGAGCCAAACTCGAGCTGGAAGACAGCCAGCAAAGGGTTATATCTAGCTTAGAAACACGACTCAAGAAAAGAACTTTAGAAGTTGATTCCATGATCAAGGCTATTGAAGATGAAAAGAGGCGTATTGAAGAAGAAAGGAAGAGAAGAGAAGAGGAGGAAAGAAAGAGATTAGAGGAGGAAAAGAGACTTGAAGAAGAGCGTAAGAGGAAAGAACAGCTAGCAAAGGAGAAGGCTGAACGGGAGAAGAAAGCTCAAGAGGAAGCGCAAAAGAAGCTTAAAGAAGAAGCTGAAAGGAAGGAAAAACTAGAAGCTGAACAAAGGGCTATAGAAGATGCAAAGAAAGCTAAGGGATTGACAAACTTCTCTGAGATTGACTCCACTTTCCAACATTACAAGCAGATGATTGTGGATATCAAGAATGATATAGTTCTGAAGGTTAAAGAGGATCTACAGACAAAAAATGCCATTCTTAAACACAAGAGAAAGATCAATCCGAAATTTGGACAATTGACAAACAGTATGTCACAACTTCATCGTGTTAGTGATGAGGTTATTACCTTGATCAATGAAACCAGGGGTGTTGAGCTTGCATTCAAATGGATATTGAACTTTGTTGCAAAGGCTATTGTATCACAAGCTGAGACAGAGGTAAGAGTTCGACCTGATTCCTCTTTGCCATTGGCAAGGTTAACTCTGAACATTCTATGTGAGTTCCCGGAATTGAAAGAGTTCTTAATGGCGAGATTTGTGAAGAAGTGTCCTTATGTGATTGGCTATACGTGTGCAATTGACACTGTTGAAGGACGTCTCTGTATGGGCTGGAAAAGGCATGAAGATGATAAATGGGAAGAGGACATCAGTTATGACGAGAGGATGGCAGGGATGATGACGTTATTCAGCGTGCTAACAAGGCTGCCTCTATCACCAAAGTACTTTGGAACGGTATCACACCCATTGCCCCTCTCTGAGAACTGGAAGATGATGGCTAGATTGTTAAACCAACCGAAAGAACAGCTGACAAACACCCACTTCACAGTGGCATCCTCTTGGTGGGAGGCTAGTGCGAATGAGATAATTATGAACTATGGTAGACAAGGTCAGAAGTTGTTGGAAATCATATGGACTCAATGGGTAGATTCTGTCGTCGATAAGAAGTTCACCAGTGCCAATACTTTACGAATCATTGGTGAAGATTGGAAAAACTCAGGCACGCTCAAGACGTTAACTGAGATGGAGCCTTAGACATGGAGGTGATTATTGCATTATTACTGTTCGTGTGACATCATCCTTGTATTGTATATTGACGCTATTTGCGGTCTTTAAATCGATCATATCCGCTTGGGTCATGAATTGTGACTATATTTACTAATCGTAGTACTTATGCATTGCCGTTCACTTAACCCATTTCATTGGCCTTGCTCGGAGCTTATGGCTGCTGGTGGAAACCCCAAAACTTGGGTGACCATCGGCAATTGTACGCTTATATCATGATATGTAAAGAATTGTCATCTTGAGGTTTCAAGTGTACAAGTGACAACTCCCGGGCCGACCTGAACAAAGGTCAAAACTGTATCGCTTTTAGGGAACCCTTCGTGAATCGTCAAACACGTCCATGCTAACGCTACAAATCTATGATCCAGAAGCCAATGAGACAAAGACTTAAACACATATGTAAGACCAAACTATGAGAGGGAAATTGGTACACGAGGTGACCTACTAATTACAATTATGATTCCACTAGCCGGCATCGAAGGGTAAATTCAACTCCGGAGATGAGCTAAGCCCGATAACATCAAGATTTGGTTAACTCCTCAAGCTTCATTACAGTTTACAGTCCGGGGTGAGAATCAACGTCTTCCGAACCGCACGCATACCCATTTTATTGTATACCCCACGCCTTTTTTATGTAGATCCAGCTTCTGTAAAAACACTTGTATTCTACAGTTCTTTCTCTAGGGAGTGTATTGATCCACCCTGGTTGACAGCTTCAGGTTCGGTGTGACTGCCGTGATTCACCACACCTGCTCACGATGCTTGTTAGATATCTTTCACGTTGAGTCCCCGTTCAGTTTGAAATGTATAGATATCAAAACAAATGTAATCTTCCAGCCCGATTAGCTTCATCATTGTAGTCTCTTTGTCGAGTTGAGTGAAGACAGTTGTTGTATTTGATCCTTTGAGCATTCACGCCCTGCTTCAACGGAGCTTTGTGTCAAAACAAAACAACCGCTCTCCGGTATTGGAATGCTGGGGATCAACGCCGTACAACGTAGCTCCTACATACAGAAGAACAGTATACAACCCTGTGATTCGGGAGTCCGGGGAGCATGGAACATGGAACATGGGAAATGTGGAGTTTACATGAAGATACCACACCCACGTCTCCCGACGTATGAATGCGTGTGTTGGATCCAATGATGTTTGTCGAGTATAAATAGTGGGCAGAGGACACTTCCATGATGAGCTCACCACCTTGGCTTTTGTCTTCTATACATACAACTCATACATCATGCTCAGAGCTTCCAAGGCATTGGGAAGCTTCATTTCCACGCCACGCAAAGCAAACATACTACGTACAATGGCAACGTTTAGTGTCCCTCAGACACAGAAGGCCATTGTCTTCAACGAATTGAACGGACCATTGGAATACAAAGATATCCCTGTTCCAAAGCCAAAGCCAGATGAGATCCTCATCAACGTTTTGTACTCTGGTGTCTGTCACAGTGACTTGCACGTCTGGAAAGGTGATTGGCCTGTTGTTCCTAAACTACCACTTGTTGGAGGCCACGAAGGTGCTGGTATCGTCGTTGCCAAAGGTGACCAGGTGACGAACTTCGAGATTGGTGACTATGCCGGTATCAAAGGCTTGTACAGTTCTTGTATGTCATGTGAGTACTGTGAGAACTCTTACGAGCCAAACTGTTTGGATGCAGTGCTTACTGGTTGTCAACACGATGGCTCCTTCCAACAGTATGCCACTGCCAATGCGGTTCAAGCTGCAAAGATCCCAAAGGAGACAAACTTGGCCGAAGTCGCCCCTATCTTGTGTGCTGGTATCACAGTTTACAAGGCGTTGAAGACTGCAGAGTTGAAAGCTGGTGAATGGGTTGCCATTTCCGGTGCTGGTGGTGGTCTAGGCTCCGTCGCTGTTCAATACGCAAAGGCCATGGGCTACAGAGTGCTCGGTATTGACGCCGGTCACAAGGAAGCACTTGTCCGTGAGTTGGGCGCAGAGGCCTTCGTCGACTTTGAAACCACTCCAGACCTTGTTGAGGAGATCATCACAAAGACCAAAGGTGGTCCACATGGTGTCATCAACGTTTCTGTGAGTGACAGGGCCATTTCGCAGTCCACTCAGTTTGTTAGACCAACCGGTAAAGTTGTCCTTGTCGGTCTCCCACCAGCTGCTGTTTGCAAGTCCGATGTCTTGAGCCACGTCGTCAAGTCCATGCAAATCAGAGGTTCATATGTCGGTAACAGAGCTGACAGTCGTGAAGCCATTGAGTTTTACACAAGAGGTTTGGTGAAGTCTCCAATCAAGATTGTTGGCTTGTCCGAGTTACCATCTGTCTTCAAGTTGATGGAGGAGAACAAAATCTTGGGCCGTTACGTTGTAGACACCTCAAGATGAGCCAATACATCACATATGACCAGTTTATAAGAGTTCTGAATCATTAATGTCATTGCTGTTTCTATAGTTAAACAACCAGTAGTACCAATGCTCGAGTGTAATTCCCGGGTAATTTCGAGAACGCTCCGATAACAAAGTGCACCGACAACAAAAAAAAAAACACAAGATCAAAACGTTCACGCTTAGACTTAAAGGCGCTCTGTCAATTTACCTAGCGGCTCGGTTCAATTCAATCATAGAACAATGGATTTGAGCTTAAACATTAGCCAGTTCCTTGCCAATTCCGGTTCTGATGAGAATCGTGCAAGCGCCATTGTTGAAAGGTTTGCAAATCGTGAGTTTTAAGGCCCGTCAAGAGAAAGGACAAGAGGTGATGGATTTAGACTAACAACATGTTCTAAAGAGATTCATAGCAGAGACATCAAGTTGATCGATCTCATCAAGGCCCTTGGTGACTATCTCACGGCAGAAGATGATCTTCTTAGACCTAAGGCTACACAGTGTCTCTCTGGGACGTTGAACTCTTTGAAGAAAGATATCTTAACCCCCAATGATATCTCTGTTCTGACTGGTTTCTACGTATCGAAGTTGGAAGACGGTCAATGTACCAAGGAAACTCTATACGGCATGTCTTCTCTTGTGGACATGGATAGCTTTGGTCCTAGTAACTTGGATAAGGTCCTCAAGGGGTTAATGGAGCAATATGACTCTACCAAGAACTTGGCTTCTACTAGGTACTACGGGTTGCTGACTCTTCAAAGGATCTTTACAAAGTTTGTCAATTATCTCATACAGATGAAGAAGGATAAGTTGTTCATTGAATGTTTCCTTCATGTTGCCAGTGGTGAAAAGGACCCAAGAAACCTACTTCTGTCATTCGCTCTGAATAAAGATATTTCATCCAGCTTAAACTTGGAATCGTTTGAAGATGAACTCTTTGACATTCTGTTTTGCTATTTCCCAATCTCATTCAAACCACCAAAGGAAGATCCTTACAAGATTACTCAGGATCAGCTCAAGGGAAGTCTGAGATCTGCTATTGCATCGAGCTCGGCATTTGATAAAGATTCATATCCGAACTTGTTGGAGAAATTATCCTCAACGTCACCCTCTGTCAAACGTGACACTGCTGAAACCATCAACGCATGTATTGCTAACTATGGTCAGAAGTCTTTGATTGAACATTGGCTCGAGATTTGGAACGCATACAAGTTTGAAGTAGTCCATGGTGAACCTGATGATGAAGAAATTGGTGTCTATCAATCACTATTAAACACATTCACAGAGATTTCCAAGGTTCTAACTTCAAACGAAGTTGAATTTGATCAATTTGCATCGACCCTTTTGAAAGATTTGAAAGAAAGCTTTCAGAATACTAAAACTCTAAAGCAAACATGTCTTATCTTTGGTGCGATTGCTAAGGCCAATAACATTGCATATAACAAGGCTGTCAAACTCGTTCTAGCACAGCTTTTGGTGAAAACAGATGGGTTAAATGTGCGTGAAGAAAGAGAATTAATCCAAAACTTGGGAGTCTTTACGTCTGCCTACAAAGACGTCTATGGAACCACATCATCACCAAAACTACAAGATTATAATAACGGCTTGAAGGACTTCAAGGATCAAATCTTGATTCTGTTAGGGAAATCGCTTATGGGGTCATCTCAAGTAGAGGTCAGTTTAAGAACATTGGCCATTACAGAACTGACCAATTTAACAACTTTGTCCGATTTCCTGTCAAACTCCGAGTTGAGTTTGATAGCTCAATACTTTACAGAGACTGTCTTGATGGATGATAATGAGTATGTCTTCAACTCTGCAATTGGTGGTCTGGCTCAAATTGCTCAACTTGATTCAAGTGTTCTGGTTGAAGTGACTCTCCCAACTTTGATCTCCCTGTTACCTGACGCTGATGAACCCGTGCGTATAAATGGACAGGATAAACCGAAGGAGAAAATATTTGATGTTATCGTCAGTATCAGTACAGGTGGTGCATTAGTCAACTTCATGGTTATCAGATTACTGAACAAGCTTGAACAGCTTCAAACCACTCTTGCAGATCCCGTGCCATACTCCTTTTTGATTCTCTCGTCACTGCAGAAGATCATTACTACGAGTGAATCTTCAACTCAATTTTCAACAGATACTCTCTTTCCAAGTTTGGTCAAACTCATCCACCTTTTATTGAAGTTTCCATCGCTAAACCAAGATGATGCCATCTTGGAATCAGCAACTGAAATCTTGAAATTGATTGTTGTTTTTTCCTCGAAATCATTTCACCAGCAATTGTCTGACGATACATTATCATTCTTCACTGGTCTGCCTGTTGCTAATGATGACTACTATAAAGACCTCGAGCCAATTAATGTCTTTGCCGAGCCAACACCTCTCATCAACATTCTTTCCAAAGTCCTTGCTGGTGTCAACAAATCTGTCTCTATTAACAACGTTGATTCATTGATCAATAAACTTGTTGAATTCATCAAAACATCCTCATTCCAGGATGGGTACGTGAGAATTAGTTATTTGAGATTTTTGAGCTTGATTATCAACAAGTGGAACTGTGAAGTATCAAAGTATGAAAACATAACCTTCGACTCTGTTCTTTCTTTGGAGATATATACATGGATCACAAAGGGTGTTCTTTTGAGAATCGATCCAAAGAGTGAAACTTTCATTGATGTATTGGTTGGTGCTCTTTCTGATACTTCATTGGGTGCTATGGCTGCAAACTCTTTTGAAGTTCTAGTAGTTGATCTGTCGATTTTCGAAAAGTTCAAGAAGATCTTAAACAACAACGTTAGACTGTTGTACAAGCAAAAATTCTTTGACCTTGTGGTACCTAAGCTTGTGGAGGGATTCAATGGTAATGATGATATGAAGATCAAGTCCAATTATCTTTCTGCACTTTCTCATATATTGAAGCACACTAAGAGAGAAATTATCAACCCACATTTACCATCATTCTTCCCTCTTTTGCTACAGTCTTTGAACTTGATGGACTCTGAAGTCCGTTTGGCTTCATTGAATACGATTCTTTCCTCTGTTGGAGAAGTCTCTGATTTGATTACAAGTCATATTTCTTCTTTGATTCCTAAACTTCTCGCACTAGCTCAAAGTGATAGAGATCATCTTAACACAGAACCAGTTCGTCTGGCTGCGGTGAATTGTTTGCACAGCTTTGCTATGGCATTACCGCTTCAGAAGGTTGTTCCATATCAAAAAGAAGTTATAAGAGAATTGACACCAGTTTTGGATGATAAGAAAAGAAGTGTCAGAAAAGGTGCAATTGACGCTAGACAAGCATACTATGAACTGGGAAGAACAGTGGAATAAACGTTGTTGATACATAGGATGAACTATATATAAAAACTGTGCATTAATTAATTGATATACGGCAATATTAGAACTTAAGGGTGATATGTCTACTCATCGTCAGAATCGTCGGAATCTGACAGTCCCACAGGTGCAAGACCTGGAGTAAGACCTGGATATTTCCTTTCCAATTTCTTCTTGTATAAGTCCTTCCCAAGAACTTTCTGTTTGACTCTCTTCTTTGAACGGTCTGTATTCTTCAGCTGGAGTATTTCTCTTTGTAGATCTTCTATTTGGTCTGCTGCCTCTGTCTTCCAGCTTTGCAAGCTCACGACGTTTCTATTGATGAGTTTCTTCAACTCTTTCTTCTCTCGATTCGTGAGATTCCCTGTCTTTGCATGCTGTTGTAAAAGTTCATACTTTGCTGTGGATTCAACGTGGTCCTTTTGATCACGTTGTTTTCTTATTTTCTGTCTCTTAATATGTCTTTCTTTCTTCTGAATACGTCTAATCTCTTCAGGTTTCAGTTTCTTTTGAGCCATGTTGATAATTTGCGATGTGGACGTGACATTGTCTCTCTGCTGGTCTGTGCTGGAGACTGAATTCCCTGGTAGCAACGAGTCGAGAAGCTTGTTCACCTGGGAAGCCGATGAAGCCGAACTTTGGAACTGAATAGCCATGTTACACACTTGGATGGTACCTGAAAAGGGTCTATTCAACTAGTTGATTCAAGTCTTTGGTAAACGTGAAGCAGATGAGAAATTTTCTAGCGATGAGGTGCCTTAGTAAGTTATTATGTAATGACATTTTATATCACGTGACTTGTATGTGTATCTATTCGTTACGAGTTTTGCCATTTGTCCAATATCAATATACAACCTACTAGTTTATACAACAATACGTTAGCAATGAGCACAATATGGTGGTAGAGTAGGCTGCTCTTAAAAATCCCAGGGTGATGCGGGCTTTTACCTAAAGCATGTGAATAATTCATATAACGACGTGGATATTATCCCATCCCAACACCCACTGTAGCTATAGGGCGTGCCCTCCTCGCCGACGCTATCTTCAAGCAGACCACTGGCTAGGAATCCTGTCTACCATTGTTTCAGCTCTGTTATTCGCTAAAGCATACAGAGCACATATCCAGCATTGGCTGTTAATCTTGTTATAATCATCCAAGATAACCTCAAAATTATAAATTCCCCCCAAGCAAGCCACTTTAACTCCAAGACAACCCATACTGATTAATCCGTGATGGCTGCATCTTCAACGGCTCCACCGTTCTAAGAGGCACATGTCTTATGCCAAGTGACAACGGCTTCTCCGGGTAACCAATTGCTCAGTACTCCTCATTATGGTTCCGTTATATATCAACACCATCTACAACGCCTATATTTCCTCAGTTTGAGTAATTGATCCCTTCCACCACAGTAAAGCACTTCCTCGCTACTCTGAGCTCTTTTCTTGCGCTTTGTATTTGTCCCCATTGCACTATCAAGGCTTGTGTTTTTTTCTCGTTTCGCTTGCGCTTGCGCATATGCGTTAACTTTGATTTTTTGTCTATTTTTCGCAATTTAGTACAAATCGGGAAATTTCAACAGATCAACCAGCCACATCGCAGCAGCGAAATTTGTGAGACACAATTCTTGATTCAAGGTGGGATTAATCCACGAGTCATCATCCATAATTCTGAACCCTTCTCCTTATAATTCGCTAGTTGAATCGGCACAGACCATCACGTAGAACCAACATCACACAAACCATGACGGTCAACGAGTTTGAATACTCACCCACTGACCAATTTCCAGTTTCCAGACGGTCATCGGACGAAATTGTGCAGCTGAAGGACTTCCCACATAGAGCGAGCCTACGGCCTTCAGTGGAGTTACCAGAAATCACATCTGTAAGGAGACATGGCTCAGACACAGTGAGGCAACGAGCTCTGAGGTCTCAATCTCAACAACAGCATGGACACTCGGCGAGTGTTCATTCGCAGCTCTCGCCTGCGGAATCGAAGAGATCACCTAGTATACGGAAGAAGAAGAGGTTCATGATGAGCAAGACAGAAGTGAAGAGGAAGTTTTTCTACCCAGTAAATGCCCCAAAAAGAGAACTGTCACGGCGTGGGAAATATCGCACGAGGTATGAGTTGAATTCTTGTTTCAATTATATGAACATCGACGTTGGAATGTCTAAGGAATTGTGCATCAATCAATACGTTAGGTCGTACTACATAAGAGATGGTGATTTGATCAAGCCTAACCCACAACTACACGAAGAAGTCAAGGCAATCACCGTGGATTCCAACAATAGAGTCATACTTTATACCCCAGCACCAACTGACAGAAATAGTTCAGTGGCTGATGCAGAACAGATACTGAACGAGCAATTACAAAAGCTTGGAGACACATCAGCTTTGGCCAAGACGAGCCCCATGTCACGGTCTTCTCATATGAAAACTTTTGCAACGTTCCCACCTACGAGGAAGCCAAACTTTGCACTAAGAAGAACGAACTCGTTACCAGTGAGGATAAAGAACAACAGATTAGAAACTCTGTGGAATCTATACCTCAGAAGAGCCATCGCACGGAGAATCAAATGGAGATTGGAACATATGGGACAGAGCTCTTCTGATTTCACCTCCAAATCGTACAAACTGAGCAGGGAGACATCTGTGGAAACAAGTTTCTTCATGTCACATGTACTGCATGAGGATGGTAACGAATCTAAGGAAGAGACAACCTCTACGCAGGATCACCAGTCCCCAAATCAAAGAGATAATGAACATGACGGATCACAAGAAAGTGTTTTATCCTCGCCACGAAGTCCAACGTCTCCAAGAAGAGATGAAATGATGGATTCGCTAGAAAGGCTCATCAAAGAAGTCGAATCCATCATCAGTACAGTGGGCCAATAAACGACTTAATGATACATGACTACAACCTATGTCTCGAGAATGTAGAATTGTATAGTATTTACAAGAATGTGGACAATTCATCAGCTGAGGAGGAAATTTTAATCTTTTCGATTTGTGAGTCCTCAACAAGTTTCACTGTCTCCTTCAGCTCGTGATCTGGTAATTTGGAAAGTTTGTCATTGACAAACTCTTTAATAGCCTTTTTATCTTCATCTGTTGTCATACCAGCTAGAATAATGACCGTGATACCTTTCAAAGTTTTTCTCATGTCTGCACTGATCTTGGAGCCTGCTCTACAGCTCTTCAAAGCCCATTGGTCATAGTGCAGTGTAAACCAGTGCCAAAGTGCTTTCTTGTTCATCTCGTTATTGAACTGTAAACCAACAAGAGCAGTCTCAATCAAGTTAGATTCAATATTTGTTGTGACAAAGTTCAAAACTCTTTTGACCAGAGCAGAATCTCTTGTAAACCCGATGGATGAGATGGCTGCATGTTGAATATCAGGTGCTGAACCTGCAAAGATATGGGAAACTGTAGCACCTGGGGATTTCACAAGATCTAAAACCTTCTTCCATGTGTTTTGATTGGCTCTCAATGAGACAGATGCAAGTACTGGATTGAGGAAGTGGGCAGGAACGGCACGAGATGGTCCATGTAGTAACTTCTTGAACAATGTGTCGCAAAGTTTCCCAACTTCGGCAGTGTTGATACCAATAGACAAAATTAAAGCACGCGTCTCCAACTCATGAGAGTTCAAAGTCTCATAATCAATATTCCATTGTAATTTGTTGAACAATTTGGCATTCATCTTAACAACCCACTCAGAGAATGCGTTATATGACTCCCTTGATGCGTATAACTTGTAAGAGTTCTCCACGGATTCCAAGTTCGTCAAGGCGATTCTCAACACTTTGAAGTCTAACACTGGTGAATCAATCAACTTTTCACTGAACTTCACCAACGCAATGAAATTGATACTCTTCTGCAATTGGTCATGACCAATTAAATGGCCCAGGTCATGGAACATACCAATCAAATCAGCAGAGGATAGTTTTGAAAAGTTGTTAACAATGTTTTCAATGACACTCAAATCATCATAGCTAACTCTGTAAAATCCAGTTCTGTTGACGTTCAAGACGACAAACTCTGTTGATTTTATGTTCTCTAATGTCATTCTTCTGTCGGTCAAGATTGTATTAACAACTGATCCATCATTAATACGAATTGCCAGTGGAACATGATATGGTGTGTTCTCCAGATTTTCAAGCTGTGGCGTACTAAACTCCAGGAATCGGTTCTGCTCAACGATTACGTTACCCTCATCGTTCAAGCTCACAGACACAATTGGGAATCCAGCAACTCTTAGCCACGAGTGTGCAAATGCTAAGAAGTCGATCTTGGACTCATTGTTAAACGCTTTCCAAATTTCAATAGGTTTGATGGAACGGAAGTCGTTGTCTTGTATGAACTTTGCCAAAGTAGCAGTGAATTTGTCCAAGTGATCATCAAAGGTTCCTTCAAAGGTGTTAGCAAACATTCTCAAAAACTGAATTCCCTTTTGATATGCTGGAATTTGGAAGGCATCGAATGTACTCTTGATGGACTTTGTAGAATTGTTCATCACAGTACATGCCTTCAATGACGCATCTTCCTCAAAGACGGTCTCTATTTCCTCATCAACTTGGCTAATCCATACATCCTTATCTGATGCATCCAAATCAAGTTTGTAAAGAATGTATTTGGCAAACCATGTTGCGAATGCCTCATTTAACCAGAGATGTGACCATTCGTCGAATGAAACATTATTACCGATCCAATGATGAATGAGTTCATGCACAACCAGTTGCCTGATTGTCTGTGTTACTTTCTTGTTGGCCAAAGACTGCACCAGGATGTGACCAGACTGTATAGTAATAAGTCCAAAGTTTTCCATGGCACCATCACTGAGGAAAGGCAACGCTATGAAATCCAGCTTATCGAGTGGATATTCACGAACCAACACAGATTCAATGAAAGGAAGAGCTTTGCTGGCAACATCCAAGGCATATGCAGAACCAGAAATATTACCAATTGCAGAGTAAAATCTAACTGGAATTTTACCTTGAGAAAGTTCGACACTGGTTTCTATGAAGTCAAGGTCACCAATAACAAACCCAAAGATCGATGGTGTGATTGGAGGTGACTGTTTAAACTTGATGATTTGGAGTTCTCTTTCCTCATCAACTTGTTTAGATTCAGGAGATGTGTTTGCCAACACCTTGAATCTGGAGTTTGTCTCTATGGTAAGAGTGATTTTTGCCTTTGAAGCAGGTTCATCGATACACGGGAAGATATTTCTGGCATAAGATGTCTGACAATGTGTTGCCAGTATGTAGTTGGTGGCCTTGTTAGATCTTTCACCAAGGTAATTCGTTCTGAACAGCCCCTTTGTGACGTCTTGGAACGTCTTGATGGAGTTGATCTTACCGATGAAGCCAATCTCGAGGGACAAGGACTCTTGGTTGTAGAGCTCCTTTCCATTCTCCACGACAAGTTTAGCGAGACCCTTTTCCTTATCATAGGACACTTTCGCTTTGAACTGGCTAGTTTGGGCATCGAATGCAGCACTCAGCAACACCAACTCAGAAGCATTGACCCAAAATTCAAAGTCATCGCCGTCGCTAACGGTCGCATCTCTCGACTTGACCAACAAAACTGTTACTGACCCTTTGAAATTGGACTTTTCATGATCCACATTCAACGTGATATCATACTCAGTAGGCTGGTGTGAGTTCTTCAGAATCAATGGAGTCTCCATATCGGTAGAGAAGTGTAGCTAATAACCTCGACGAATCGCATCAAACTCTTTTGCAAACAGGCGGTTCTGAAAAGTTGGGCTAAAAGTTTCGCTGGTGTTTGGATGCACAGATCGGCCCAAGTGTTGGCCCTGAACGAAAAAGTAGCTCCTACTGCCGTGGATAACCAAGCCTCCCTGACCAGGTCGCGGAGGGGCCTTAACTCCGTGTAATTTGTTGATCAAGACGAGATCAAGACATATCGTTCCTGGTCAACGTGATCACTGAGCATTGATAAGATCACTCCAAGAGCATAAATATCCTTGATGTGTGTACTGTTTGCTTTGTTACGTTCAGATCTTCAGCCTTACCACTCGAGCCACGTTTGGAATAAAGAAAGCTATACAGATGTGCCTTAGTGGTCAGTGAGCGCATCAATATACGCTACACACATGTGTAATCTCTCATGTGTAATTCCTCCCTGTGGAATGTTTTGAAGTTGCTACACCCGCACATTCCGTACCTTGCACGGATGGTAACGTTACACAGTGTACCTTGTCATAGCAACGATCTGGCGCTGATAGTTTGCTGTGTACTTCAGCCAACTCTGGCCTTTGATGTCTGTGTATCTACCGCTGCGAGATAAGAAGACAAATGCATTTCTCTTTTTTTGTCTTGAATTTGCTCCATTGATATCGTTTACAATGATCATTGGGATAGATAATCATTCGTGTGTTCCTTGCTCATCAAAGGTATGTGCTATGATGCTTGTTCTAGATGCACGCTGCATGACAAATGTTTCTTTGTCAATAGAAAACACCCTTCATGGACATGATCAAATAGCACACGGTACATTCCGTACGACAAGGAGCTGGGGAGGCGTTGTAGTGGCAGATGGTCCATACTATCGGTAATATGTGTCAGGTGAAGAGCACACACATGTACCTATTGTGCAGACGATGCGTGGACTACATAATAATGAAGTGATATGCCCGTAAACCTCCATCGACAATAATTGAAGTTGATCGAACATTGGAGAACAAATTCTAGGGCAGGCGCTTCAATAAGATTGGGATTGCATGCTTTCACCAGCATGCTCTTAAAGCTTTATATTTAGAGAGCAATCGTTTGAGTCGAGTAGGGGGGTTGATGAAAGAAAGGTATGATCAACTGGTGTAGCCGCGATATGGGGTCGTCATGGTTCAAACCATACCCGATTATAAGCAAATCACTATAAAAGCCATTTGTAACTGGGATGAATGTATGCGATTACTCATACAACTCCCCCCGTAGCAACTTATACGTAGCTATCGCTAGCACCTACTACTGCCACGTCTGGACACAACCAATTGGCATGTTACATACAATGGTTTGATAGGTGACTGATGATCGCTTCTTATGACGTATTGCCATTGCTGGCCTGTGACCTGTGAGACCGTGATTCATGCTCCTGCCGTCGTGTTCTTTAGCCCCATGTCCACAGTCTTTAAAGGTTCAGATGCTTTGCATAAGGGCGCAGCGAATTCTTTCGAACAAATTTCGAACTTGGGGAGAAGTTTGGCTCGTACCGACGGTTTTTGTCTCCCTTTCCAAACGTTTCTCTTCCAATAACTGCACGTACTTTACCACATCACGCATCACAACTGTGCTTTTCGAACATTGAGCGGGTCACAATTATAAATACGCAACGAGGGAATCTATTTCCCATATTTGAGATTAAATCATGTATCCTGGTTCAACACTGCTCTATTTTTTGTTTATTTTAGGTCCGTGCTAAGTTTCTTTTGGTAGTGAACGGTTAGTTTTGACCGTCTAGTATTTCTCACGGGAATCGAAACACACAGAAGGACCGAAACTATATTGGTAACAAGTATCTTTCAATTTGCATAACCACCTTCTCGCATATATTCGAACAATTGTGAACAGGTGTTCTCAACCAGCCGTGGTGACTGAAAGGTGCTCTAATTATCAGCATTTTCTGAGCTGTCAGAGTCGAGAGCAAACCCACTGATGGTGAAGTGTAAAAAGTACTATGATTTATTGGGTGTACCGCCAACAGCAACTGATGTTGAGATCAAAAGAGCCTACAGGTTGATGGCTTTAAAATGGCATCCTGATAAGAACAATCACAGCGAGGAGTCTACCGCAAAGTTTCAAGAGATAACGAAGGCGTATGAAATTTTATTTGACAAGGAAAAGAGGACTGTCTACGACGAATATGGCGAAGAAGGTCTACACGAATTGGCCAAAAGTGAAAGTCCAACGGCAGAGGATACAGCTTCCGTGCCAACATACTCTATGAAGTCTAATGACATCTTTTCACAGTTCTTCGGTGAAGGGTTCTTCCAAAATACACATTCAAAAGACAGAAAAGGTCCAAACATTAACCATGAACTTTTCTGTACACTGGAAGAGTTATACAGGGGTAAAAATACAAGACTCTCTCTGTCCAAGTCCATCATATGTCCAGAATGTAACGGTCGTGGCGGTACAAAAGTGAATACATGCGGTCATTGTTTTGGTAGAGGCCGTGTATTGATTCAAAAACAGGCTGGTCCTATTGTTCAGCGGTATGAGAGTACTTGCATTGCCTGTAACGGTTACGGTAAACTGGTGATGCAGGATGGTCTATGCAAGACCTGTAATGGAAATTTAAAAATCAATCAGACAAAGATCCTTCGGCTGAAAGTGCCACCAGGTACGAAAGCTGGTGACACTATAGTATTCCACAATGAAGGAGATCAAGCGTTTGGTTATGATCCTGGCGACGTTGTTGTCACAATCAAGGAGAAAAAACATAATTATTTTAAGAGAAAAGGTTCAGATCTATACCGTACAGTGAAGGTTGATCTACGTACAGCACTGTGCGGTGGACATTGTTCTATACAGCACTTGAATGGCAAATGGCTCAAGTTACTTCTTATTCCAGGTGACATCGTTGAACAAGATGGGTTAAAAGTTGTTGAAAACTACGGTATGCCCAAGAGGAGGGACCCCTCCGTTTTCGGTAACCTCTACGTGAACTTCATAGTCACTTTTCCAAAGGTTGGTGAGCTTACAAAAGAGAACTTTGAACTGCTGAGTAAAGCACTACCACCTGGTCCAAGTTTAAACATTCCAGAAGGTGCAGAAGTCGACGAACAAGTTGTCACTGCTTTTGATCCGTCAACCCATAGTTATAAGAAACGGAAAAGAGCCCATGATGAAACAAGATCACGAGGTGGGTCGTCTCCTGAAAACGATGGCAATTTATATCCAGAAGGTTATCCACAGCAGCAATGCAGTCAGCAATGAACCAAGTAGCTCTCTTTGTTCTTGGCTCAACTTACGACTGTGCTATTCCTGAAATTTAATGCTTATTTTAACGATTTTTATCTGAATTGTATTATCAATAACTATGTGCGGTATGTTCGTCACCCCAGGGGTGGTCAATAAACCAATCATAACCCATCACTCATTAACACCCTTCATTAAACTAAAAACTGTGCATGAGTCTAACAGCTCTGTGCCAAATAACAAGTTGTCATGGCGATCAAGGGAGTTTTGCGATTTCACGGAAACTCGTTAGAGATCATGTTAGGGCCACGCCGTAAATCAGCTTCTGTTGTGCTCCCATGGTATTTTTCTCATTTTTTGTATGTTTTGAAAAACCACGTATCCAATAACGTTCAAACCAAAACCTAACTGTGGAATACCAAAAACAAGGCAACAATGGATAAATTGAAAGAGGTATGTTCTGTTGTTTCTGCTCTTGGTTTCCTTCTCTATGATATCGCTATGGCTAGAAGGCATTGTTGTGTGAACCGCCGGGTACAACTGATTTCCACACCCCTTTGATCTGGGAGTTTTTGTTTCAAAACTGCATTTTTACGTGTAAAGGGGGGGGGGGTGAACACAGGGTATATATGGGGAAGAGGATGATGGCGACGCAGCTGTATTGGTATCGGTTTGTTATAGAGATTAAACTACCTGGCACATGTACTAACCGATGTTCTTGTGTTTTAGAAATTGAACAACTTGAAGGAGGAAGCTGAGAAGTGGCAAGAGAAGTCTGATGAGCACTTGACGGTGATCAAGAAGTTGGAACAAGAGCTCCTTGAGAAGGATAACCAAATCCAATCCTTGACCAGAAAGAACGAAACCTTGGAAGAGTCTGTTGAAAAGTTGGAAAGTGAAGTGTCTGAACAAAAGACCGCTGCCGAGGAGAGCTCTTCTTTGAAGGCTCACAACGACAACTTCACCAAGAAGAACCAACAATTGGAGGAGGAATTGGAGGAATCTGACAAGAACTTGAAGGACACTACCGAGAAGTTGCGTGAAACCGACTTGAAGGTTGAACAATTGGAACGTAAAGTTGCCTCTTTGGAGTCTGAACGTGACGAGTGGGAGCAGAAATACGAGGAACTCCACCAAAAGTACACTGGAGCTCAAGCCGAATTGGACGAGATCTCTGCTCAATTGGAGGCTCTCTAACTTTTGGATTCAAATTTTACAGTTGTACTGGAAGATTCTAAACGCAATGGAAACATTCCGTTATGGGCTGTTTTAAAACTGTTATTCTTGACATTGGTCACTGTGGAGTATTTGAAATCACCTATTTCGTTTATTGCGATTTATATTTTGCTACCATTATGTGTATGTCTCTTTCTTTTATATCTCCAATGATGCATCTTTATATACTTTTAATGGGTTGTATGTGTAATTATCCCAAGAGTTCTGAATCATTGGGCCATTGCCAACATTCCCTTGATGATTTGTAAACCAAAATCACATTTTTGGATGGCGCGCTCAGCTTTCTTTTTTCAGCCACATCTTTTTGGTTGAATTTCTCAAACATGCGGTTACACATTTACATTCAGACATGCATGTCCAATATGCATTACTGAACTACAACTATAAGCTGGCGCCGGTCTCACAATTGCTCAATTATCATAGAGAAATGGTTTCAAATTTGGATATTTATTTCACAAATTAATTTGTGAATTTATTCAAGGATGGGGGATCCAGATAAAAGTAGTTTAGTGCTGATTATGAACTGGATCATTTACCATAACTTTCGATCAATATAACAGAAAAATTATTAGGGGTTCAACTAAGATAGTTGAACTCGATATTTTATCGTTTACCAACGGGAACATGCTCAAGGTATAGGTGGAAACTGTTGTATTGAAATCAATTACGCTGTAATTATACATTTAGCCTGTAAAGGAGCATAATTACACTGATAACATCTGTCTGATTGATAATATTTGAATACGGAGGTAAGTTTCATTGCTCAGTGTTTAATTAATAATTTCAAGTTTTATGTTTGTATCAGAAACAGTATTAAGATCGGTTGTAGCTGGACGCATCCTCCTATTTGTCAAATGGATTGGCAGCTCGGTTGAAATGGATATTGGAGATTATCAGGGAATATTTCACAACGCTTCCTAATCAAATTACATTCTTCATTGGTTTCCATTGGGGATCAACAAGGTTTAAGAAGACACAAACCGTATAGGGTGAATGTTTAGAAACAGAACTCAATAGTCCAAAGCAGTATTCGCAAAATAACAATTACTGATTCCCGGAAAGTGTTCGGAGGCAGCACCAATGAAATCTTCATAGTGTTCCTAATCTATTGTCCCGGTTAAGAGTATCTATCTAAGAGTCTGACTTCTGGATATATTAGGGTTCAAGACCATCTAAAGACAGATGCTAGAGGCTCTAAAGAAACAACATGTACTAAGGCCTGGTGTCTCAAAATTCCGTGAATGACTGTAGGTTGTGCATCCAGACGTTTGAAACTAGAGCAACCACTTCCATGCCTTTCTCAACATTTGATCCGTAACGATTTCAGAGAAGTACCAACCACCAAACTTTCAACTGGATCTAAGCTTCACACACATTATAACATATTGTGAAGAGTGCCTCTGTATATTCAATGGAGCCTATGGTATACGCTTACCATTAGTATGCACTCATTTCTATCAGTTCTGACTGCTCTTAAGACATATGCACGTTAGATATCCGAAGCTCAGGACATTTCGAATCTTGGGACAAATCGTGCTGGTGTACGCCGAAAAACGCAAAGGGAAATGAGCGCGATTGTGTACGGGGCGTTTTTTTTTGGCTTCAACTCGCCGGTGCTCGGCCCCATAGTTACAGAATAAACAAAAAAATCGAGGCCTTTGGGAAAAGGCGATGTGAAATGCCCCAGTTCTTCTGTTTAAGAAAAAAAAGAACCAAAAATCTGGCAAGGAAAACTACAGTTAGGTTCGTGCATGATGATATTTACGCTGAAATGTTTTTTGTGTTTCTCTCTAAATCCGCGTTTTCTCCTGCCTAATCGCCCCTCAGGCTGCGTAATTCTCATACCAGGGATTTTTTCCCTTTTTTTTGCTTCCTGAAGACAGAACAAAAAAACCCGGCACGTCAAGACCGAACAAAAAAATGCGTGGGTTCCAGTACAATTTAGAGAGGATAGGCCCGTGAATCACTTTCAAATTTCCAAGAGAGAGTGATCTATTAAAGAGATAACGAAGTCATGTCTGATAATTACTGGCTGAGTGAACAGTTGAAGACTGACGAGACGTTCAACAGCGGTAATAACAATGAAGACCAGTTGATGTCCTCCTTTCTCAACTACATGGAGGATGATAACACAAACAACACCGGCGGTAACAACAACAATAACAATAACAATGGCGGTATTGGGGTAAACAGCGGCAATCCAGGTATGAATAACACGATGTTTGGTGATGACAACGTGCAAAGTGGCTCACAGCTTCAGAATGAAACGTTTGATATAGG